CTAGAGTTCTAGGTACTAGAGTTAGTTAAAGGAGAATAGGAATAGGAGATTAAAAAGATCCTAGAAGACTGCACTTAGGGCGGTAAGGTTTCTTACTTAGTTAAATAGGTAGGATAGTCGGAGGACTATAATTAGTAGCTACCTAAGTTAGAGTTAGCGTACGCGGATAGACTTACGAAGACATAAAAGGCTACGAAGGGGAGGAGAAGTAGAATATAGAGATAACAAATTTTAATTTTACTACCTAAAGAAGTTACTCCGTATAGGAGCCTAACTATAGGGACTAGAACTTTCTAACCCTACTAAGATAAGACTAGTAGAGGCTCTTAAACTCTTACGCGAAGCGCGAAGAGAATAAGAGGGTCTTTACTAAGCGAGGTTAGGGCGTACTAGGTACGTACCTAACGAGTAGGTCCGAAGACCTACTCCTTAGAGTAGCTATTATCTAAGTAGCCCCTAATAGAGTCGAGCTCTATTAGAGAGATACTAGTAGGGCTAGAGCTACGACGAGGGTAGCGACCCTATCTACTACTACTACTATAGGAATAACTACGAGAATAGCGCTCGCGAGGAGTAGCTACTACCTTAAGGGTATAGCGTATATGCTACGACTTAATTAAGGCCTTACGGCGCATAATCTCGTCTATAGTTATATTATAGTTAAATATATAAGGGATAGCAATATTACTAACGCGCTAGGTCGAGGAGTTACTATACTAACGGCAACGGTTATAGAACTCGCTTAGGGTACGCTAGATAACTAATTCGTAGGTACGTAGGTATAACGACTAGCGGTACTTAGTAAGGAGTAAGGCGTCCTTAGTACGTACGACGTCGTTAAAGTATAGCGTTAAGATAGCGTATAGAGGGATATACTTATAACGGTTACTAGCGTAGCGCTAGCATACCTTAGACATGCTAGGCTTATAATAAGCGTTATAGGCGTCTAAGAAAAATGTTAGCGTATGCGTATCGTATAGGGGTAGTACTAGGAACTTACTAATCTTAGTAGCCTTTAGGTACTAAGTACATCGAAAGCATATAAAATCCTAGAGCACCTCGACAATACTAACGGCGTAACTAGCTAGGAAGTTTAGTAAGGGTAAGCGCGAACGAGAATGTAAGCGTAGATTAAAGATAGGAGGGTCGCTATAGGAAAGACGACTACTACGCTCTATAGCGCGACGTTCCTCCTTAACTAACTCCTTAGTATCGATAAGGCGCTTAGCCTTAGTAGCGGCCTCGAAGTCGTAGTAATAGCGCTTACGCTCCTTAGGACCGACTACGTAGGGACGGCGAGTACGGTTAGTAAGCGAGATATACTTAGGAGTATAGGTTTAGGTAGCGTTACGACCGTAGCTAGTAGAACCGAGGTAGGGGGAGTAACGGCGTAAAAGGTCGTACTTACGCTAGTTTCTCTCTAAGGTAGTAAGGTAGTCCTCCTTAGTAGCGCGGTCGGTACGTCTATAAGTATTAGGGTCGTTAGTAGGACTAGGGCGAACGTATAGCGAGCTAGCGTTTAAGGTAGGGTTAACTAGGCTACTAGTACCTCTAGATATTAGGGTAGGGTCCTCCTCGTTACGAGAGGTAGGTATATAGCGTACGCTAGGTAAGGTAGCCGAAAGCTCCTTAACGTAGTAGTATAGGGTAGTAAGCTAGTCTTTAATAGGAGTCTTACTAAAACGTACGCTACGTAAGGTACGAGTAGAGCTAGAAGTAGGTTCGGCGCGACTACGACGAGTAGGGGTTATAAGGTCCTCGAAGGGTAATAATAAGCGCTTAGTACGATAGTAGCGTAAAGTAGGACTACTACTAAAGTTAGGTTAGCGAGGGCGAGATAGAGTAAGTAACTCCTTACGGATGCGGTATATATACTTAGTAGATGCTATAAGAGTACTAATAAGGAGTACATCTAGAGAAGTATAGACAGATATAGGAGCCTTATAGCGATAGCGGTACTAGGATCTAGGACTAGGGAACGGATTACGTAGAGTGCTAGGCTTATAACGGGAGCTAGAACTATACGTGCCGCTAGTAAAGTATAGGTAAAGGGGGTAATAGGGTATAAGGAAGGCGATTATCTTAGATACGCCCTTATAGTGAGCCTCTTCTTTACGTAGACAAGCTACGGACTTACGCTCGAAACGAGTAAGGTCTAAGTTTAATATAGTAAGATCTATCTACTAAAAGTTAGTATAAGGTGCGTAAGCGACTTATAGAGTAAGCCTATTAGAGGAGGGGATAAGTAAGGTTAACGTATATACTACGCGTATGCTACGCGTATATAGTTAGGATAAACTAATTCTATAAGCGGAAAAAAGTCGAAACTATTAAATATATGCTTAGCGTAAGCAGCGCATATATTAGAAAGGATAAGTAGCATTAGGAAGGGTTACTTACTAGAAGTATTAGGGCGGCTAAGTAGATGTTACGAAGCTAATAGGAAGAAGAATTACTAGCGTAATTTGAAATTCTATATATTATGCTATAGTATAGACTACTAAGATAATAGCGTTATTATTACAACGCTAGAGCGTACTCTAGTAAAGCCTAGGGAAGCGAGCCTATACGCGACGTATATACGACGCGACAATTTTATAGATTCTAGCTATATATAACGCGACGCTAGATTTAGGAGTAAGTAAAGTAGACGCTACTCCCCCTATACAAGCCCCCTACGAGCTATATACGAGGTAACTATAAGTAAAGCACGCATTACGTACTATATGCTAGCCATATATAGTGCACCAACTATTAGCCTCTTAGTTATAGATAACTATATAGAGGATAGGATAATTATTACTAGAGAGGTTAGGGTAGCCTCTACGATAAAGCCTAAGCCTCTAAGCAAGGCTTAGCATATATAAGTATATCTTTACTTTTAAGAACACTAATACTTAGGGCATCGATTAGTCTTTACTATTAGTAACTATATTACTAGTAGGACTTTATACGTTACTATATACCTTTATACTCTAATAATCGTTTACTATGTCTAAGTAATATCTATCCCTATAAGCGCTACTCTCTAAAGGTTAGTATTACTAAGTATAGTATATTATTACTATTTTATATAGGTTACGCTACTATTCTAATAACGTTTTTCCTAGACTACTCTACCTATATCTTACCTCCTATATACTATAAGGCTTACGCTACCTAATAGGGATACTATATCCCCCTTTTAGAGTCCTTAAAGCCTACGTTTAACACTACTAATAAGGCTTAGGACGCCTATACTACTCTCCCTAATAGTTACTAGCTTAGTTTATATAGGTTCTACCTTAGTTATAGTACCGTTCTAATACATTTATAGAGAAGAAGTTTATTACTCGTAGTAAGGCTACTAACGGCCGTTTTAAGGCCTTATTACTAGCTTACTAGTCCTACTATAAAGGTGTCTTTAGCGAGAACCCTTTCCCTATAGTTAAGTATAAGGCTACTAGTACTAGCGCTCCTAAGCGTACTACTATTAAGATTAATGGCTATAGTATATAGTAACTCCGATTCCATTATAGTACCTCTACTAAATTCTAAATATAAGAGCCTAACTATTAACTACCTAGCACCCTAAATCTAATAGATAGACTAAAAGGATAAATACTATCCTTAAATAGTACCTATAAGCCTATATGTCTTACCTATAAGATAACTAGGTTAACTAGCTATCCTCTACTAAGTTTACTAGTAATAGCTAAGTGTCTAAGATAATAAGAGTCTTACCCTTCTTTACCCTATATAGGTTTAAACCTAGATAATAAGGGTTATAATAATAGTAGTTTAATTTAGAGACTATTATATAAAAGAGAGAAGAAGGAGCGTAAGCGTAAACTAGCTAATAAGGCGTATTATAAGGTACGCGCTTAAGGGCCTTAGTAGTACTTAGTAGTAGCTAAGGACTATAGTTTAAATTAGAGCTAAACTATATTACTAGACTAGGTTTTAAGCTAATCCGCCCTAGAGATCGCCCTACTATAAGAGACGCTACTCTATTCACTAAATAAATGTAAAGGATCTATAATTTCTACTATACTAAGATACTTACTACCTAAGCCTACTAGGAAGAATAAACTAATAAGATAAGAAGACCTACCTACTAGTACTATCCTAGAGAAAAGGTCTAGCTAAATGCCTAGAATATATAGACTCTCCGCCTAACTAAGAAGCTTAACTAGAAGAACCTAGGACCCTTTATAGTTAAACAAATAGTAGGTTCTTACGCCTATAAACTATAACTACCTATAACTATAAAGGTACATCCTATATTTAACCTAAACCTACTACGCCCTATTTCTAAGGATTTTCTACTAGGATAACATTAACTACTACTACCTCCTATTAAAGTAGAGGGCGTAGAATAATAGAAAGTTAAGGAGATTATTAACTTATACTAGGACCGCTAGTTAAAGAAGAAGCCTTACCTTTACTACACTATTAAATGGACTAGCTATATAGACTATACTACTATGCCCGCCGAATACCTAGAGAACGCTACTAAGCTAGTTAGAAACTTCTATTAACGCTACCCTAATAAGCCTAGACCTAATAAACGTTTCTCTAGAGTTTTAACCTAAAAGAGGGGATACTATTATGGCGCTTACCTATAATAAGTGCTATAGCTAATAGGGTAACCCTACCTAGGGTTACGTAAGCTATAGAACTAAGTTTCTACTAGAAAAGGATTATATAGCCTATGCTACTTCTATATTAGTAGCTCTTTAAGCTATGTCCTATTATTAAACCTACCTATTAGTTGTACTACCTAACTATAGATAGCCTATTAAATACTACTATACTCTATATAGCTTCTCCTTCTACTATATACTTAACCTACCCCTATAATAAATTAGTTCTAATCGCGTTTGCTTTTAATACTATTTTATATGTATATCGTTCCTATTATATAGTCTCTACCTCCTTAGAGTATTATAGTGCTTTACTAAGTGTACTTAGTATAACTAAAGCTCTAAGTAGAAAGCTAAGGGTTGTCGTTATTAGCTCTAGTAGTCTCCTTACAAATAACATTAGTAAGGGTATACGGAGTAGAGTATTTAACTCCCTCTATAGCACTACGGCTACGGCTACGGCTACGGCTATAATCCGAGGCGTCCACGGAAAGAGCCTTGACACCAAAGCGTTGATGACACTCTTTGGCCAGACGGTTCGCCATACGCTGTGCTGTTCCGCTCTGGCTGCCCCAGAAGATTATCATATCGGCTCCCTAGAATACATTAGCAAGCTGTCGTTTCAGGGGCAGAAGAGTCGTGACAAGAACAAGCTCCGGCTCCCAAGCGCGGCCACTTCCAAGCGGTCAAAAGATACAATGTTTTTGGTAGTTGGGTCACTGTGCAAAGAGAGAAGCACATACACGCTCTCTCTGTGGCCCACCAGAGGGAAACCAAAAACTTTGTGCCTTTTGACTGCCATAGATCCAACCTCGCGAGTGTGCGGGACACTTATGCAGGAAAGGTCAGAGTACATGGGCATTCACGGAAGGGGTAGTCACTTACCGTCTCCTCCAACTTCTCAGCAATATTCCTCGTCTGCTGCGCACCAGCCCTTCCACCCATCAACTCCTGAGGTCTCTCAAACCACTTGTAGAGATACGGATCCGGCTTGTCCCATAATGTGCCCTTGAACATATACGCAGCGCTCGCAGCGCCTACCAATGCCATGGCCGCAATATCTTCGAAGCCGGCATTCTTGGACAGATGTGAGAAGACATTGTTGAAGGCCGGATTGCTGGGGAATGTGGTGGCCATGTTTGGTGTGGTTTGCTGGATAAGGATATAGAAAGGAAAAGAAAGGAAGGATGGATTGTGAGGTGCAAAAGAAAGATGATTGTTCCGCAAAGACAAAGACCTACGCTTTCTTATGTATGTTACTGACCTTCGGATCACATTTCCAGATCTTAGTACCTACCAAGATAGTAGCCCCGCGCGCATTTCATCGCCGAGTCAAGGCGGCAGTCGCAGTGTACCTGACTTTGAGCTGTTGACTGCGACAAGACTAAAAACTCTTGTCCCCAGATAGGGCCTGCGGGGTACGCGATGTCTGGGGCTCCGCTTTTCGGAGAGAATTACTGCTTTCTGTGTTTGGTGCTGGCAAAAGGGAAAAGGTAGATCAGCTCATTGGCTTTGTACCGTCTTTTCGACCAGCTATTCTAGAAACAATTCGCGGTTCGTTGCGTCCGCCCTCGAATCAGCTCGGCATATGGCAATCGTGTGTGTTGTGTTGCCGATCCGCGTTTGCATGTCGTGAACGGTTCACTGGGGTGTGGAGTGGGAACGAGGAACGCGACGAGCAAGATGCGAAGATGCTTTGCGAAGCGTCGGAAACTTTGCTTGCAGAGTGCGGACCAACTACGGTAAAGCGTGCTACAAGTGAATCGAATGAGAACTACTCGAATTCATATGCATATTGGCAGCAGATGGATTCTATGCTTCAGAGATGTACAAGGAAAAAAATGAGGATATTGTACAGGTCCGTATGGTCCAAAAGTAAAGTACAGTGGTATGTGATTCAGTGAGAAAAAGGAAGGACGAATTTCATTTCGCATTTGTAAGGTCCGGGTTGTAGACCGATCGTCTACCTTCTCAAACCAGTCTTGCCAAAGGTCAAGTTACTTCTGGCAGTAGTGGCAATCTTGTGGATACCGGTACGCTTCTCCCAAGCAGAGCTGCGGCCCTCAATGATGGCGACAATCTCTTCGGCAACGCGCAGAGCGAACATGTCACGTCCACTGCCACGCGACTTGCGCTTGGAAGCAGCATCCAGGATCCACTCGAAGGCAGTGCGACGGCGTTGGCGGAGACCCAATGGTACAGGGATTTGCAAAGCGACACCACCACCAGCGGCACCACGTTGCGAGCGGATGCGCAAGAGCGGGGCGATGCTGTCGACAGCGAGTGTGAGGTAAAGGACAGGGTTCAAAGGAAGGTGGGATGGTGGGGCTGTAGAAGGAGATGATGGTTAGCTGAAGAACACAATGAGGAGAGCTTGTGGGAGGTTGCACTTACGAGCACCGGGCAGCAGAGGCCTACTAGGATTGTAGTTTGGAGGAGACTGCGTGCGCAGATGTGTCAGGATGGTGGACATGTTGCGCTGAGCGACACTGAGCTTGCCATGCTGCATCATCAGGTTTGTGAACTGGCGCACGACGGGGTCGTAGCGGTAGTCCTTGTGTGCATTGCTGGGCAAGGGCAGAGTGGGCAGGCCGAACTTGTGGCCAGTGGGGGTGGTGGTGACGGGAGTGGCAGGCACAGCGAGTTCAGACGCACCGAAGTTTGTGTTTGCGACAATGGCCTCGTCGAAGGGGCTCTCGTTGGAGGTGCTCAATTCCTCCTGGCGGCTGCGAGCACATGTCGAGAATGAGCGAGTCTGCGAGGGCTTGGGGTGTTGTGCGCCGGCCTTGATGCTGTCCTTGAGCACTTGGGGTGCATTCTTTTGTGCTTCCTTGTCTTCCTCGAGCAGCTGCACACCATCAGTCTCTGTCCAATCTCTCCTTCCAAGCTCTTGTGTGACGCACCTCTTGCACTGGTGTGCCCATCTCCAGGTCCGGTCCCTGTCCTCCCTGGATCTTTGCCATCTTCGCTGCCTCCTCACTGATGTGCTCTTGCTGGTGCATGTTGGGTCCAGCGCCTCCGCTCTGCTTGGGGTCGGTTGCGTAGTTGCGGCGCCATGATGCTGCGATCGGGCTCTGGATTGATGCAATTGCCCTGGGGCGGAAGGCCAAAGCCCTTGATGTTGCGAAAAGACTCATTGTGCTGTGTGTATTGACTTTGTCGTCGCTGGTGATTCTTTCCATCCATGACTTCAGTTTCGCCCGCACAACGCCAACGTCACATGATTTTGGGGCTTATGCGTTGCACAAAATAACCTTCGAGCATCCGATGTCGCCCTGCCATCTTCTTTCTTGCTTTGATCCCTACGCGTTTCTGATCTCATCACTGCACAGCGGTTGCGCTACTCCCGAGCTCCAGCCCTGTGAAGCGGCTTGACGTGATCATTGAACATTGCAGATGTTTATTTGATATCGATGAGCTCGTCCACCCGGAGCGGCTGCTTGCCGCATTCTCACGGGACATGACTCTGACCACGAACAGAGAGTTTTGTATTGCCCAGGATGTTCAACGTGAATGTACGGAGACGATGAGAAATTGCACCAGGATCGATATCCCCGAACGCAGACATCTTGCCTTTCGATAGTTGGTTCGGTGACCAGTCTGAGCCTGGGAGGCTGGAATAAACACTGGGTTCTACGAGTAGTGTAACTCCTCTTTTATCTCACGTTAAGCTATGTCACTTTGATGTGGATGCTACACAGGAGACAACGAATCCACACAGGGTAATGAACAGAATATTTGTCAAAATTTGCGAGAAAAAAATGAATGCTATCTATAGGGTATAGTAATGGTGTGTTTTGGCGTCCACGACAAGCGACGACCAAACAAAAAAGACAGAAAAAGGAGCAAAAGAAATCAATCTAGATATGTAAGTTCCACAAAAAAACATACAGATTACAAAGATATGCAGATAACAAGCCAAGTACTTTTGGACTTTTGCCGCCGTGACGAAGTGAAAAGAGAGAAGTGTACAATGGTTGCAAAACAAGGATCAAGGCTTAGAAAGCTGCTCTTTGCGGAAGAAGGTGAAGAAACCGACACAGATGCCGAGTTGAAGGAGTAAGCAGACCCAGAAGTCTGCGCTTGCGAGTCCGCTCTTCCAGTCGACTGAGAAGTCGGGGAAGACGTCTCCAGGTCCAGTGGCGTCGGGGGCAGTAGCGCGAGAGAGGATAGTCGCTACTGATCCGATGACCTGGGCAGCCACAAGAGTAAAGGTGATGTGGTAGCGAGTCAAGGTCTGCAAGAGAATCATACCGAAGCCAATACCCTGAACAGAGTCGAGAACACCCAGCCAGAGCCAAAGACCACGACCCAAGAGTGCCGAAGCCACAGGGCTACCGGCCCATGGCAAGTACATGCCAATGTTGCTGCAACTCCACAGGATCTGGCACCATCTAGGTGCACCGAGACCAATAGCGAAGATAGGGATAAACCAAGAATGGGTGGTGCTAAGGTGAGAGAACCACCAGAGTGCAAAGGCCCAGATGATGACGAAGAAGAGAACGATGAGAAGAAAAATTGACCAGCCGGGTGCGTGCTTGGAGCTCCACAAGTACTTCCAGTTGCGACCATAGATGGAAGCAAGGAAGTAGTTTTGGACGAAGACGGCAACGAAGAACCAGACGATGATCTTGCGTCTCATGACAGCTGTGTAGAAGGAGGGTACAGCACCGGGTGCTTGACGGTAGAAAGCGGGTAAACCTAGCCAGAGAAGTATACCGATAGCCCAAAGGAATACTGCAATCGGGACACCAATAGCTGTCATAGTCGAGCCATAGGTCACCAAAGTGGATGCACCCTTACCAGAGTCACTAAGGGCGGAGAGCTTATCACCCCAGTACCAAAGACCAACGATGTAGAGCTGTTGAGTGCCTTGAATCATACAAGCACGGAAGCCCCAGGTCTTGACAGGTGCGGATCCAGTGCTACCGAAGTTTTGGGCAAAGAAGAATGATCCAGCAGCACTAGCGAAGGAGTAGAAGCCGGTAGCGACGTTTTGGACCCAGCCACGACCAGAGTTAGTTGCGGCATATGGAGCCATACCCAACAGGAAGAACGCGAAGCCATAGAAGAACCAAGGAAGTGCAATAGTGTAAATCAAAGCGAAACGACGGAAGACAAACCACCAGACCAGCGAAGCACCGAGGTAAATGCAGGCAACAACGTACAATTTGCTTGCAGTCTCGCCGATTTCGCCAGTAAGTAGGGTGATTTGATAGCTGTTTGCGGCGATGATTTGACCAAGTGCCAGGAAGAACGAGTAAATGGGCCAATCACCGACCTTGTACATCATCAGACGACGAACACCAGTGGGAGCTTGGTAGTTTTGCGGGAGCAAAAACTGGTCAGAAGTCTCCTTTTCGGGGTCCATATTAGTAGTGTTGTATGCACCGGTAGGCGAATTCGCACGAGTGGCGGCGGGAGTCTCCTTAGCCATCTTGACATCGTGCATACGGTTAAACCACTGCTTTTCAGACTTCTCAAGGTAGTCCTCGATACACAAGGCAGACTCAGAAGTCTTTCCACTTAGGTCCTCAAGCTTACGCTCGAAAGTGCGATAGTACAGGCCAGTAGAGTCGGTAAAGAATGGAAGCAGGTCCTGGGGGGTCTTGTCTTCCTTCTGTTCGATAACCTTGTCGACAGTCAGAGTGGATTCAGCGTTGGCTGACCTGCCCAAGGAAGGTGGGAAAGGCAAGAAGGGGGATGAGGCCGAGGGGCTCGCAATACCAGGGGTACCGGCAGGAGAGAAAGTATAGGGGCTGTTGGCACCGAAAGGATCCTGGTTCAAAAAGGGGTAGCCGGAGCGAGCCTCTTCTTGTGCCTGTTCCCTGGCATGCTGTGCTTCTTCGGTCGTGATGTTGACCTCTTCGTCCTCAATTCTTGACAGACGGTTTCTACCCTGGGTCGGCTCAGTAGAGTTTCTGCGAGAAAGTGTGGGACGAGAGCCGGAGAAGCTGCGAGCCCTAGTTTGAACGTGGCCGGGACCTGCACGAGTGCCAAGGGACAATGAGTTGTTGCGAGAGTTGGTAGGAGAAGACTCTGCAGTGTTTCCTTCTCTTGTAGGAGAGGAAGGTCTGGTGTTAGGACGACTGGGATTGGGTGTGCCTCTGCCCCAGGGGGTGCCGGCGCCAGGAGTGGTCCAACCACTAGGGGTCATCCAGCCAGGCATGTTAGGAGTGTTGTAGCCACTGCCCCACGGTGTTGTGGCGACGGACATACCACCGTTGCGCTGCTTCTTCTCCATACGCTTGTCGTGAATCTTGATGGACTTGGACTGCAGGATCTCTAAGTCTTCCTTCCACTGAGCAACAGGGAAACGTTGCTTAGCAGAGCGGGCTCTCATAAGTGCTCTAGTCTCGTATTTTGACTTCAATGCGCCATCGATAGCCATCTTGAACTGGTGCATCTGATGCTTGGTGGTCTGCGACTCGATGGTATACCACCAACCGGGCATTTGACCGAGACCTCCAACACGCGATCCGACACCAAGAGCACCCTTGCGACCGAACTCAACAGCAACGAGACCAAAAGGCTCATCTCTGCTGGGAATCAAGGCGAACTCCGCTCCTGAGAAAATGAAGGGTGGGAGAGCTGTGAACTCAGGCTTCGAATAGACTCTGCCAGGGTACTTCTTCATCATGACATCGAGCTTGAGAGCTGCGAACTTGCCATAAAGATCGATACAAGGCCCAACGCAAAGAAGCTGAACATTAGGGTTCTTCTCGAGAATGGCAGGGAAGACATCAGCAATAAGGTCAATACCCTTTTGCATACTCCAGCGACCGACGAAAACGAACAAGTCAGCGTCTGGCTTAACATCGAGACCAGCCCACTCTTGAGCTTGGCGTCTGAGGCCAGCTCTGGACGATTCGTAGACCTCGTCAATAACAGCATCGTTAGGGTCGGCCAGCTTCTTGTCCCATTCTGCAACATCCGAGGGGTCAGGGTTGGGCAAAGCACCAATGCTGTTCAAGCCCCAGAAAATGGGGTAACGTGCCCAAGAGCGTTTGCCATATTTCTTGCTGACACCAACAGCACCGAAGCCCTTTTGGTGAAGACGAAGCAAACTAGCACCAGCATGCAGCAGGTTGAAGATTTCACCGAACTGAACATACTTTGCAACCACGGATTCGGAAAGGTTGTAGACAGAGCATACTTCAGCTCTCTCCTTTGCATTACGCATCGGCCATAATCCTTGGAACTCGGCATTATGGAGTGAGAGACAGACAGGGATGGTCTGGGGTAGGAGATATAGGGGAGCAATGGTACCGTGGTAATCGTTGATGTGGTAGAGGTCGATGGGGAATCGGCGGCATGCCTCGGCGATACATTGGTTCCAGGCAGAGTAGTAGATGGCAGAGTCGAGATCGTCCATACGGGCAGGATAGGGTTCCTTGGCCGACTGCTTTCTGAAGACGGGAGCGTCAAGCAACATATAGGTGATATTCTCAAGCTTGTGGTACTGGACTTGAACTTCGTAGACTTTACCGAGAATAGTGACATCGACAGGTTCTCCAGGTGTGTCGACAGGGTAGTCGATGCCACCAACACAGGGAACGACCCAGATGAGATCCTGGTGCTGAAGATTTTTGCCCATGAGCTGGGCCATGACTCCGAGACCACCGATCTGATGAGAATTAGCCTGTGCATATACAAGAGGTCGACAGGATGAAACAAACCTTGATTTTGATGTTCCAATCGGAAATGTCATACTAGTTTTGAGTTAGCGTGTGACTTGTATAGATTGTGTGTGTACATCTCTGCGAGGCGGAAGTGTTCGAAGTGTGCCATCATAAAGCAATATACTTTCCGAAACAGAAGCACGTCCAGTGAGAGCGCGTGGATCAGATACTTTCAGTGGATGTGCCTTCAATCCCGGAAGGTATCGTTCTTTTTGACAGCTCCAACCAAGCAGCCTCGGCCTGTTGAGATGCACGTGTGGGTTACCTACCTCCATTGTGCCAATAAGGACTGTTCTGCGCTTGACCATTGCTCCAGCGGTGACGAGACCGCCGTTGTCCATAACGACGTCGGCACCAACGCTTTCGGAGCTGGACGGAACAGCCACAGCCTTCTCGTCCAGTACTTCTCCTTTGCTGAACTTGTTCCTGATAGCGATGGGAATCAGCGACTTAGGGTCTGAGAGGCCGATGAGGTTGTGCTTGACAGCGTAGAATGCCTTCTTGTAGAAGTAGATTCCAAGCAGAGCGGTGACTGGCGGGATCACAGCCAACAGGATGAACAAGGCCAATTGTCTCCAGCGATTACCAACAGGAAGTAGAACGTAGCGGAATGATGCATCGTTGAAGTGAATGCGCCATGCAAGGAACGGTGATTCCGGTCCGTGGTCGGTAATGTTGACGACTGACATCTCCAGAGAGGTGGGGCCGATGCGGTCAAGCACGGTATCGTTGTCGATATCACCGAAAGCTGCCGAAACATCAGGCTCACCGTCCTCGGTCATACCCCAGACGTTAAGCTGGAATTGAGAAGGCCACTCAGTCATGAAGTCGTACTCCCAGGTGCTGTTGCCAACGAGCTTCATCTTGTTGTTCAGTCCAGAGTCATAACCATACTCGTTGAAGGATCCGTGGACGAAGAAGTGAGGGAAGCGACGGACATGCTCAACAGATCCAAAGACATCACCTTCCTGGATATGATCACTGCTACCCGATGCCTTAGACCAGTACTGGACCTTGACGTGATCACCTGACCACTTTTGTCTCTTAGTGCCGGCCCAAGTTTGCTTATCCAAGGTACTGTTGCCGCCCTGATAGTCCATCCAGTCAGACCATTCAGCACCCCATGTAAGAGAGTATCTCCACTTATCGGCGCCAGGAGCCTTATGCTGGACATAGAAAGCATCCTCTGCGGTGCCAGACGACTCAGATGCACGCTTAGTCTTGCCATTGCTGCTAAACAGCAGTGTCGAGCTGTAGTTTGCCTTGAATGGGAAGACCATAGGGTTGTCGATCTGGCCAATACGGAACATCAAGTTGTCTTTAGATCCAGTAAAGGTATCCTGGCTGGCTGAGGTGGCGTTATTGACACTGATCGTATGAATACCATTAGCGACGTTAGTGATGTTTGTACGGTATCTCCAGATGGATGGTCTAGCTCCATAGAATAGGGGCTCGTCCAAAAGCTCCGTAGTCAAGCAATCTACACTGTCTGTGTCGATGACAGCGACTGATCCATCGCCAGTTGTGGAGGTGATGTTAATCGAGCGACGAACCGAGTCGCAGTCCATCTCTCCAGAGAAACGGAGCTCTAGGGTCAAAGTCTCCTTGTCCTCGTCGCTGACCATAATGCGTGAGTCGTGGCCTATGAAAGTGTCGTTCAGGATCATCTTTGTAAGCGAGGGGGAAGGGGCTTCCCAAACGTCCTTAGGGACAAAAGCTGCGAAGCCATACATCGTCATGTTAAGCCAGGGGAGACAACCATTGTACTCGGTAGACCCGTTCAGATGAAGTTTCTGTTTCGAGGGCTCAAGGGTTCTCTCATCGAAGGGGTAATAGAGGTTCTTGACGGTGGTACCTGCGTCGTAAGGTGAGATGATAGCTTGGCCACTGGTACTGCTGCAATCGAACGTGTAGTTTCTGGAACCATTGTAGTTACTCATGAGCAGCCAAACGGGTTGATTTCCATAGCCACCAGCATCTGACAGATCCTGAGCACCTTCCAACTCTCCACGGTAGATACTCCAGATACCAGTCTCCGTTGGTTCACCGAAGGAGCCATTGAGGTAGTAATGGAATGTCTGGTTGGACAATTGACGAACGTCGAAGCCATCGTTTAGCACAGGGTATCTTCTTCTCATCTCGTGGCCCATCTTGAGGTAATTGTACATAGGGTGGGTAGGGTCGCGGTGATCCAGAGAGACGGCATCGTCTTGGCATCCGACAAGAGAGCTATTGACCGGGAAGTTGCTCAAGTTCTCATCACCAACTTTGTAGCAGCCATGCATCTGCCAGGCCTGTGCGGAGCTCATGGACTGTCTGCCGTAGATGTAGTTGGCAGCCGTGTTATCAAGAACATAGAACAATTGCTCTTCACCCCATGATACCATTGAGATACCAGGTACCACAAGGGTGTTCACAAACGATCCGAGAACCTGACGTTGTGTACCGTTAATCAGGCCAGGCCATCGCAGAACGTCCTGATTGGATACACCGTACATGTGGCGGGGGTCGAACTTGCCGTTGTTGGCGTTGACAAAGTCATTTGTCTGAACCATGACGTGCCAGGCATCGATGAAGTTCACAGGCGCATCTGAGGCTGCAAGTAGGTTTCCGTCAAGGCCCAAGAATCTCATGAGACCACGGTAGATCGTGTAGTGGAAAGCACCAGCGTCAAGAGCTTGATATCCGTCCTCGCGAATATAGGTCGAGTTGGTAGTGGCAGCCTCGGTCAAATTGTCAACCTGCATGCTTGGTTCCTTTCCACGTCCGATATAGATAGCTCCGTTGGCGTTACCGTTGACGATTTCGCCGGGGATGAAGAAGTTGTATTTTCCGATACTCGCAGCACACTCGCGCATGGCATGAGAGAAGTTGCCTTGGCCATCTACGGTGACTTGCATGGCCTTGTCGATACGGAATCCATCGAAGTCGAGCGCTTTAAGCATCATACACATAAAGTGTTGGAGCTTGGTCTGAACAGACGGACGCCAGTCACGAAGACGATCTTGGACACCGTTGAATTTGGACAGTTGCTTCTGCCATTCTGGGTACTGTCCGAAAGCGCCGACATCACCGTACTGGTCGAATTCACTGTCCATGCAGCCAATCATCTTGGTGGTATTCTCATCCTGAATGAGAGCACCACCTTGGTCCCAGAAGCGAGGGTATTCGTATGGGCACTCGTCATGCCATTCGTTTTTGAACTCCCAATCTTGATAGCGTTCCCCAGATTTCCAGACTGCCTTGTGTTCCTTGAAGGACCAAGGTGCACTGCTGTTGTAGTAACCTTCGAAGGCGATGACATCGCTCATGGTCGCCATGGTGTTGTCGAGCAGGACATACATACCACGAGAGTGTATGTCGTTGATCAGTTCTCTCCACTGGGCGATGGTACCGAAATGCGCGTCGAGGTAAGTATGGTCCTACGTAATAATTAGTTACGGGTTATGGCCAGATATGTGTCGGCAACGTACCAAAGGACTGTATGTGTCTGACATCCAAGGGAAGTTGTAGAAGATGCTTCCCGCAAGGTAGATGCCTAGATAGAACGTCAGATTGGCTATCTTAGCAGGTGGTGCTCGCCTCCGGTTACCTCTAACGCCCATTCCCTGAAGATAATCCAGGGATTCACGAACACCCTCAGTGTCACCACCGTGACGGAGTTGGGTGCCGTAGATGTCATGCTCCCACGCGGTGCCGTTTCTGAGCAAAGGTGTCAGTCCTGTCGAAAAGAATTCAAACAAACATAGATGGACTGGTACGCTACCAGCATCTGTATATTTATCCTACTCACATATTATCGTTGCTCGGGTCTCCATTCACGAACCGGTCCATGAAGAAACTGTAAAAGGGAAATCGCCAGTTATCCGGACTGGGATGATATGTGTGGTTGTCGTATACGGTGAAGTAGTCCAAAGGATCCGTGGCATCCTGTGCCATGTTCAGGTTCCAATCGACATATCTCTCGTCATAGCGAAGAGCTTGAACTCCCAAGGAGCTCAGCGCCAGCGATAGCAGCCACTGGCCGCGCATTGTAAAGTCGTAGGGTCGTTAAGAAGGAGCAAAGCAATGCAAGAAACAAATATCCAGCGCCACAAAGGCGAGTCGACGTTAGGTAGGTGTAAGCTTCCTAAAGGTCAAGCATAGATGTCGAGTTGTGTTTAGCGAGTGTCGAGGGTACTTCAAACAAGTGTTGTGAAGAGCTCCGCAAAGAGAGGGAAGGATTCAAGCGGTTATGTAGTACAGAAAAATCATAGAAGGCAAGGACCCGAGAAGAGAATATGTGGGATGCGGAGAGATGCAGCAAGTGGGTCCGCCAACAAGCCGTGGATCAAGGATACAGTAAAGTAAGAACGGAGTAGATGCGTAAAGAAAGGATATGCCCGAGTGTTGGGTGTCCGGGAACTTGGTCGGGTTAGTCAAGAACTCAGAGTCAACAGGAAAGGCCGGCAACAATGGGGAAATGCAGCAGCTTATCTTGATTTGCTTTGATCTATCGGTGATAGGACGGCAAAGGGGCATGGACTCTGCACAGTGCGGCGAGCATGGTTCAACACAGACTGATACACTGACCATCAATGATGCATTTGACCATAGGCCACTGCAGGGGTTGAGATGGCATTAGCAGAATGATCGCCAGACGGCTCAGCGGGACAATCCGCCGTCTACTTTCAACGGGTCTTTTTTTCGGGTCTTGCTGCAAGTGATTTTTCTCAATCGGAACCGCGGTCACAGTCAAACGAGTCGAGCACCGCAGCGCGCGTCCAATGCGCCACGCCGCAGTGTGTGCTCTTAGAACGCCGACCCCTCATAGGTAGGTGACGTTTCATGTCACCTCTGTACTGGAAAACGGCCGAGATAGACGCGGTTGTGTCCTGGGGCAGCAGCCGATAAGCTGCAAGAGAGACCAAAGGGCTTTGCAATGAAACATCTTGTGTCGACATCTTGGCGAAGCTTTCCAGGCAGGACCGTTGGGTGACAAGCCTGTTGATTGTCCGTGCATCTGCAGTAGGGCAATTTGATATGGCTTCGGACGGACAACAACCCACTTCCGATGACAAACTCTCTCCCTCTCTTGATTCTTTCAAACCAAAGCTCGGGCTTCTTTCTCGATATCCGTAGGTCAATCGCAGTGCTTTGGTTGATTGGCCGTTCGACATTGGCGTGGTTTGAACGAGATTGATGAGGTCGCAGATCCCAGTCAACCTTTTTCTTGTCTCACAGGCCTGCAACTCCGTATGCATGAGGGCTGATTGTGAGGGAAGGTAAGAGAGCATGAAGAAACAACAGTATGCCACACCCCAGTCCTCCATCTCCCCAAACTCTTCACTCCAACAAGCATCTGCCATCCATCGAAAGCCGTTGCAAACTCTTTATGCTTGATATCGGTCTTCCATGCGACACGTCGTAAGCGCCTACGTTTCAAAGTCCCGCTGCGGGTCCACCACAGAAGCCTCTCTTGGCGGAACAGAGAATCTGGCATCATCGTTTGGCTTTCCTTGCCAGACTCCCGAGCCGCCGGCACATGAAGCGATGCGCGAATCAGCGTTGAACTCTCAAGTTCCTGCATCGTCAGTACCGCCACGCCGTCCGCCACGTCAAGCCCCAATGTTCAAACGGGAATTTTATTTCAACGACCTTTCTTTCGGTGAGAAGCTTGAAGAGGCCGCGTCGTTCCTGCAGCGCTATCACCGTCCTTCGTCATCATTGCTCTGTCTTGCCTCGCGGAGAAGAGATTTGCTCATCTGTTCAATTCGCTCATGACGGATGCAGGTCCACCCTGCCGGAATTACGGGTACCCAGAGAAGTGGTTATCAGATCCATCCTTACTCAGTATCCACAGGCCAGTCCTGCCAAGAGAGAACGCATGTTCCTCGAAACAGTGGCACAAATTGACACTTCTTGACAACAGAACCACAGCAAATCAGCAAAGGGTTGTGATCCTTCCCGTGCTCGTGTAACCCAAACTTGTCGCCTCGATCTGAAGAGTTGAAAGCAGCTGGCGACAACCATTCCGAAGTTTTTGCCCCATTGTGAATCGATGCGGGAGATTTGCTGCCGCGCAGACGCGCAATAGTACCGATGTCCTACGGACGTATCACACCTGCGGACCGCAGCGAGAGTCAGAAGATCAGACATGCACGCAAATCATAGACCTTCGAGAATTCTCAATGAAATCCACCTTGCATCGCAACCAGGCGACTACAGTTTGTGGGCTTATGGTCAAACACTTGCAGCAGCACGGACAAAACGATCAGAAACCTCTCACGACCTAATCTGTCGCGCTGCCGATCCAAGTCCACTTATCGCTGCCAAGCTGCATTGTCCTCCCTCGTCAAATTCAACTCCAACCACTTCACTTCCTGTGTCTGAATTGTTACTCGAATACATAGGCCAGCCGAAGATTGCCACTTCTCTGGTCAGACTTACACAACAGGTCTACTAATCTCGAAATATTGTGCTTGGTCACATCGACTTGATCTCTCGTCGAATATGTTGCCAATCGCCTGGCCTTATTGGTGCACCTGCAGATCGGATATGCACGATTCCTCCTCAGCGCTTCTACCATGCTGAATGTGCTTAGATATGTCTCGGGAGTCGGATCGGGCAGCATATGTCTCCTACAACTCCTTTGTGGTTATGATCTCGAGTTTATCTCTACAGTTCCTTGCGTCGTGGTTCAGACGTCACAACACGGCCGCAACAAACTCAGACCGCTCTTAGAGACACCCAGGCAGTTCCTCTGCAAACCAGTAATCGGGCGACGCTCAATACAAGCTTACAAATGTGGTATTCGTTGGGCGGCCTTGAATCATTTTGGCGCAATATCAATAGTAAGGCACATCACAAGGCCACCAACGCCGCACTTATCTTGGGCAAATATCTTCGAATGGATGCTCCGCTTGTTGCACTGCATGTGTCCGTTGTCGCTTACAGCTGCATAAAGATTTAGGCATCTTGCAAAGTCTCCTACCTAGTGAAACCGGGTCAAGAACGGGTAACTTTGAGCAAGGAGTAAGCTGGACACAAAAGGCATGCATCGACTCTGCGAACTCATAGCCAAGCCAGAGTGCAGATCAATATCTACAGGTTTCTGCAAGGCTTTGAACTATATTTTACTGTCAGCGGAACATTCGGCCTGATTCCTTGCATGTGCATGTCGAGTTGCCAACCAAACTAATGGTCGAGATCATCGCCTAGCGTTCACTCAACTCAAACCCTTCAACAACCGCCATATTCGGAAAAGACAATACTGATTTCCTTGACAGGAACTAAGAGCTTAGGCCGCCAGGCAGATACTGGCAATAGATATTGCTTACCAATATCGCACGTGCTGATGAAGCGCTAGTCTCTTCGTCTTTCGTCAGTTTCCTGGAAACAAACTCGTTCTAGATGTTACGGAGCAATCTCCGCCTATAACAGTATGTCTGAATCGTCACCTGCTGATCTACATACAAGAAACCACCGCCCAGGCTACCGATGCCAAACCTCACTCTTTATACCGTGGTCCCATCCAAGTGTACACCGATAGGGAGGTAGGCTTTAGGTTCTTACGTTTCGGTGATGGCTTCGTTCCGTTTGAGTGGCCGCGAGCTAGCGGCGATGCCCACTTCTCACTCGCCGATTCTTTGGCAGTAGGTGCATGATTGATAGTCATACTTGATTAGAGCAATGTTGATTCGTTCGAAGGGACTTGCTTATCGTGGACCATACCAGTGCATGGACTCGTCAAGGCAGTGACAGTTGCCTCGATGGTGTATGTATGAGATTCGATGATGAAGTCTTATTTTTTGATTGTGCAATGTCTGATCTTCACCCATGAACCCACAGTCAAAAAACCACTGACAGATCGATTCAGTTACTTAGTTCTCGATCTCAGTTCATGTTGTGGGATTGAATAACTCCGTGTTCCTGCACGAAGTCTCGAAAGCAATCAAGTCAGGGTCACCCGGTCGACATCTGAGATGGCAGGCTCGGCAGCCAAGCTTGACCCCGTGCTCCACCAACCAGAGACTTTTCTCTATCCTCGAGATAGGAGAACAATCTATCACCGTGTCTTTGACTCTTTGCGGACACACCTGTTGGATAACCTTCTGTCTATCAACATTTCCACTGCCAAGTCGCGACTGACACGCTTGCCCTGGTCCCCAAGCTTTCCGGAAGGGTTGCCTGAAACACGTTTCCGGGAGGCTACGAGTCAGACCATAAATTGATGACACCCCCAGCGCGCCATCCTCAATCAATCGCGATATATTAACATCTCAAACCTGTTAGGCCCACAGATAAAATAGAGTGAGCACCGCTTACTGCCGGAGCTTTTCAACATGGCACCCATGCCTGCTTATCAAACATAGCCACAGCTAAAAATGCACATTGATGAAATAGAACAGGTCGCGATCGCCAATTCCGTCAAACTTAGCGACAAGGCGTGAATGGATCGCCACAAGATAATGTTGGCGGAGAGTTTGCAAAGTGGCTGGGATGCCCAGTCTATTCGGCTTCTTTGCTTCGAATCATCTTCCTGCGTCGACTTTCGAAACACAATACCGCCGCATCGCATCTATAATGATGAGAACCCGCCCGCTCCTGCCCGCTGTACAATGTCGCTACACGGGTATCAATCAATGTCGCTCTTGGTGGAGTCGCAGAAGCTCTAGAAGCACTCCTTCACAAGCTTGAATACCTTGCAGTGGAGATCCTTACACGCCTCGGACGGACCTGTAATGTGGCGAGACGGAGATTCAACATCCTTCATCTCGGTCTACAGCTCTGGAACTTCTGGGCGTCAAGTCTTCTCATCAACAAGAAGCATTTACTAGGATGGTGCTCAGGATAAGCGAGAAGCGGCCGATAGCATCAAAAAAGGACAATGTGGATGGGAGTCCACTGTCAGGTCTAATATTGCAGAAGCATTACCGCCCATAGTGTGACCTAGGCAATGGACCACACACTCAAAACTGCACGAGAATACTTCTCCGACAAAGGCTCCGTACGTCTTCATGCATGCGATACTCACATGCGCACCCGGAGCTTCTCAAGTAAGTTGGACCGGAGGCGAAAACAACAAGCATACACTTATAGTGTCCTGACACTCTCAAAGAGAGGCACGACAAGATCGATTCGCTATATTGACCGCATCTCGACAGCTGCAACCATGTTTGTGGAATAGATAAGCTATCTCGTCTTAACGGCGTGCTATATCCCAATGCATAGCCAATATTCGCTATCTGTCGGATTGCTCAACAGCGCCTCACTATGGAGTTGCCCTAGATTGTCAACTACATCAGGCAATACGTCCAAGTCGCTCCGACACCCACGACATCGCATCTACGAAGCGCGAAATGTCCTGCTTACCTTTTCATAGTGTGCTGGAATCTGTCACATCACATCTCCAATGACAGCGATGCGCAGCAATATCACCCATCCAGATTCACGAAAGTAGTAAGCAAGAGCAAGTCGTCCAACGAAAGCGCCTATCTGACAGTCCTTCCCTTGAACCTAATTTTGCCCTTTTTGCCCTCGAAGCAGCGAACACGGTCAAGTCTTCGTAACCTCATGCTCAAAACATCGTGTTTCCATTTTCATACTATTGTTCCTTTATCTTTCGAGACAGCAACTTGTCAACCCTTCCACTCTCATCATATCAACACATTCCTCCTGTTCTCAGAGTCGACGTGCCCTCTTTTGTTCTAGCAAAGTGAAATTTCAATGGTCGTTCCTTCCTTTGATCATCTGGCTCGTTCCTTCTTCTATCAACACACTAGAATCCTTCTTTCCTCCTGTGATATCATGGATGTGCTTTCCCTCTATTGGGTCAATACCACATCGCTCGAGCCTTCCTCTACATTCTGAAGTATCACTGCTCCTCCCTGGACAATTGAATTCTCGCTCCTTTGTTAAGAAGATGCATGCTCATTCATTCCTCTTCTCCAAAAAAGAAACAACGTTTATTTTCCCTTTACCACTCTAACGATGTGTTTTCCACTTCAACTCCAACACGCTAGCTCCTTGCTCTTCCATCTTTCGACACACAAACAAGAAAGAAAAAAAAAAGAAAAAATCTAACCAGAGAAATAGACCACACCCTCCAATAAACCTTGAACCAAGAATGAATCCACATTTGAAAAAAGGTGACAAAAAACAGAACAAGGGTGACCAGAAGAACGAATGAATTACACATTCGCTTTCTCTCTCTCTCTCTCTCTCTCTGTAAAAACCGACCGAATTATCTTCGAAACAAAACAAACCACCACATACCGAGGCAAAAAGACGAATTTCCGGGATCGCAATGAGAGACAAGAGTTGCTAATGATCTTTACAGAACAAAAAAGGGGAAAGAACAATGACAGGAGGAAGAAAGCGCGATTGTCAGGTCGACCATTTTCGATCATGTATTGCTCCGGTCATTGTTTCTTGATTATTTAGATCTTGTTCGGGTCACTACTTACTCATTCATCATTGAGATTTTGCTCGGTCTCTTGCTTGTTACTTTTGAGGTTCACTATCTTGTATGCAGTCTTGAAGATGGATAGAAGGAACAAGAGGATGTCCTAGCACTTTGCTTGAGACGTGGGTGAGAAGTGTTGGATGTGGCCGCGATGATGAATGTTGGTATGCCCGATGTTTTGAACTACACAATCAATCATCAAGAGCACGGGGTAAAAGTCGAGACGGGAACAAGTCAAAGTCTTGTGCATTTCTCGTGATAGCAATAATAGTGTGTGATATGAATAGCAAAAAGTGTTCAGGTGAACTTTCAGCGTGCCCAATAGAAGGGAAAAGAGAAGCAAAAAGGAAGAAGCGAAAATAGGTAGAAGGGAGAGTATGGTAATCCAATACTGCCACTTTGTGGGCTTCGAGAGACGCGTGATTAACGCAAAGTGAACTGCTGAAAACGCTCCTATCGTCTCAAGCTGCCCGCCGCACGAGAGAACAAACTGCGACTGGGACTCTTGGCTTCTGCACTGCCACCAGGAGCGACGACGAGGTTACGTGTGGTGATAGCTTGGTTGGCTGCTTGCATGGCCAGTGAGTCGTCGCTGCCACTGCTGCCGCCATAGGTCGAGGTATTTGGTCGCTTAGAAGGCGAGAGGCGGCCAAGTCTTGATGACTGATCGGAGGATGAAGTGTGGTGTTCACTCATGCGACGGAGAAGTTTGTTTGTTTTCTGAGAGATTGCTGCGCGTACACCACCTCCATTGTTTGACTGCGATTTGATCGGAGGTCCCGGTTGGAAGCTTGGTGGAGTTGGCCAATGCGACACTTGCATACTTGTCATCAGGTTGGGCGTGGTCTCTGATCGCTCCATTCGTTGTGGGCGCATTTCAGACGACCTGGAAGCGGAGTTGTTCCTCTGCAGCGGATCTGGTGGTGTCTGTATGGCTGTAAGGTTTGGCGTCGTCTCTGAGCGATCCATTCGCCGATGACCCCTGTTGTTGTTGTTCTGTGACTGTGATGTTCCCCTTTCCAAAGTGTTTGGGCGTTGAAGCGGTGCCTGGCGGGCCCCTTCTCCGTCGTAAAGCATATCTCTAGCAGGGGAGATCTTGCGACGCACTTGAAATCTGGATGGTGTGCCTTTGACGATCGATCCGCCATTAGGGTACGATCCATCAGACCCGGCACTACCAGTCCTGGCGTTCGTATTACTGTCTGATTGTTCATAATATTCGTCCTCCTCGTCAGTGGATGAAAGAGATGCGCTATGTCTGTTCGACCAGCTAGGACCATCTGTGTAGTGTCTTGAATGGAGCTTGCTCATGTCTGCAACGCCAGGTGTCTCGGGTGTGTGTAGCAGTGCTGCGTGCTTTGCAGCGTTGGCCAAGTTTGCACTCATCCTTGGTGGCACCTTTAAATCTGATGGGCCATTCATGTATGAGTCCTGTAGAACGCTAGTACTTGCGCTATCTGGAGTCGGAGGTAGTAAGGCTCCACCGAAAGATGAGCCCTTCAGCGATGGAGTCCTTTTTTGTTTGTTGTGCGACAATTCTGTCGTTTGCGATGTGTATTGGTTGCGATCGGGGTCTGATTGTGATTGCTGGAATTGTCCCTGGCCTGAATAGAGCACAGGTGGTTGTGGTGTCTGCACCTGGATCCAAGAGTTGATATCACTGTCCGAGTCATGCTTGTTGCCAGCATTGCGTGAAATAGCATCCAGCTGGCTAACATTCGCCTCACCTTCGACGATGTCCTGGTTTCTGTGTAGATCATAGATGCTTGGGAAACTGCTCTTGCTCAACACACTCAATCGTGGTGAGTCTAGTGTATCAACCTCCGAGACGGACTTATCAACATCCTCTCTTTGCGACATCAGAGAGGCGAAGCTTTTTACAGCATGCAATTTTGGCGTTGGCTCCAAATAAACGCTTCGCAAAGCACGAGCGTTCGATTTCTTGTCGCCCACGAAAGACGGGACACGCCTTGGTGGGCTCGCAGAAGCAGGTCGCATACATGCCGATGTATCAGACTTGTGTGGTGATAGTACGGGGCAAGTTGATAGGGACGAGCGTCGTGGCGGCATAAGGTTTCCTGGAGAATCATGGTGGCTCTGTTGTGATATTTGTGCTCGTTCAAGCCTTTCCTCCAAGTCACAGATAATGGTGACAGCTTCTTGCACAGCTTCATCTCGGTGCTCCAGTTCCTTGACTAGGCTGTCATTGAGATCAAGAAGTGTGGCGTTCTCTTCGACAAGTCTGTTCGAATCCTCGGCGCGTGATGCAAGTAGTTTGCAGTTCTCTTGCATCTTGGCCATGCGTTCTCTACAGTGAAAGAGCTCCAGCTTCAGGTCGAAATTGAGTTTGGACAATTTGTCCATGCGCTTCTCAATTTCGCGTGCGCCGAGAGAGGCAGTGGCATTCGTAGGTGTATGCCTATTCTTAGGTGTTGTCACTAGGGTGTCATTGCCAGAGGATCTAGCCTCGTCGAGAAATAAGTCATCGTCCAGACCTGTAAGTCTTGGACCTGAGTCTGAGCGACGTGACCGGGTAGCGGGGATGGCGCGACGCGCTTGAAGGCGATCAAGAAGGTATGGAGATGCTGGGTTTGTCATGGCGCCTAAGATGTTGTCGTGTCGTGGTTTAGGTAAATGCGACTGTGGTCATGCTGTAATAAGTAGACATGGATGAGTGATGCTGTGAATTTGCAGTGACGAGACGAGAGCCGGTGAGCAAGTGAAGCGAAAGAAAGACAGGGTCAAAGACATGCAAAGCGCAGCGCAGGGTTGGAACGTGACGGTCGGTGTGGCCTGGCTTGACTGGCTGGTTATAGATTGCTTTGAGCAGATAAACTCGACCGTTGGAATGCACTCGTCGTCAGAGCAGCAAGGACGTTTTACGGCATTTAGCAGCACCTAGGCTGAGCTTATATGCAAAAGGAACTCGGCGACAAACATGCATGTATGAAGTACTGGATGGTGGAAAGATGCTGATGGAGTTATCTTGAGAAAGACGGCCAGGCACAGGAAGGGACCATGACTTTCACAGGCCAGCCGAACGCCCATCACAATGCAGGGTCCCCGAGCCGCACGAATGGCATGCCCGAACGAGCTGCTCAAACTCGCGCTAGCTTGGCCCCGCATTTGGCACCCAATTGACTTTGCCCATCTGTTTCAACTTCTCTTTGCGTTGCCTTCGTGATTCCTTCATGTTCACATCTACATAGATTTTCGTGGCTGCCGGCACATCATGGACGAGCAGCGTTTGCTAAGTATGGTTATTCGACTCAAGTACATGATAACGTGTGATGATTCTACGCCCAACCACCACCCTTACCTCCGAATCCGCTGCTTTCCTCAACGGCCTTCCTGTTACCGCCTCTTTGACTCTTTTGCTGCGCTGCCTCATGCTTTCTCAACTCCTCTGGTACCCTTGAGATAGCACTCTTTCCAAGCATCTGCTTGAGATCATAAAGCACATCGTTATCTTCAGAGCCAAGGAACGTGATAGCCACACCACTCTTGCCAGCACGACCAGTACGACCAACACGATGAGTGTAAGACTCAATGTTTGTAGCCATGTTGAAGTTGACAACCAGCGAAACGTCAGGAACATCGATACCACGACCTGCGAGATCTGTGGCGACGAGAACTTCGGTCTTGCCTTCGCGCACCGAAAGCAGTGCTGCTTCTCTTTGTTCTTGCGTTTTTGAACCGTGCAAAGTGACGGCCGAATAACCCATTCGTTGGATGTCTTTTGCCACAGCGTCGCAGTTGCGCTTGATGTTGACGAAGACAATGATCGGGGGTGCGAATTCTCTGCTGGACAAGATCTCTGCCAAACGCTTTTTGCGTTTGTCTTCACCGCTGACAAACTCGACGCGTTGTTCGACTGTGTCTACCGCTTCACCTACGTTTCCGATAGTTACTATTGCAGGGCGACGAAGGTACTTTCTGGCAATCCTTTCAACAGCTGCGGGCATGGTGGCTGTGTACATCATTGTTTGACGGTAACGTCCTCGTTCGCCAACGTGCATTTGCATGGCTTTGGAATCCTCAGCTTCTTCAGTATCTGGCTTTTCATTGCCTACCGGGAGAGCGTCGAGGATTTTGTTGACGGGCTCTTCGAAGCCGAGATCGATCATGCGATCGGCTTCATCCATGATGATGTAGCAGCATTGAGAGAGGACGAGGACGCGGCGTTCAATACAGTCAACAAGACGACCTGGAGTGGCAATGATAATTTCGGCACCGTTGCGGAGATTGTAGGCCTGTTCTTCGATTTGGTGACCACCGACAATGGAAACACAAGTGAAGCCTAATGGTGTTGCGAATTTCTTTGCTTCGATTTCAATCTGTTGGGCCAATTCACGAGTGGGTGCGAGAATGATGGCGTATGGGCCGTCGTTCTTAGTGAGTTCGTTCAAGGCGGGCAGTTCGGAAATGTAGACCAGGAGAGGCAAGAGGAAAGCGGCAGTTTTACCGGAACCAGTGACGGCAACACCGATCAAGTCGCGAGCTTGTAGAGCAACAGGAATAGCTGCTCTTTGAATGGGCGAGGGATCCGTATAGCCAACTTGGTCAATCACCTGCAGCAGTCGCTTAGGCAGACCAGATTCTTGCCAGTAACGCATTGGGTTCGGTATTGAGCCACCCTTTGTGCCGATGTTGAAGTCCTCTTTGAAAATACGCCAATCTCTCTCGCGCATCTGTGTGAGCTCCTTCTCGCTCCAATGTTTGTCGATGGCGTTGCGACTTTCGTATGCCTTTTGTCTTTCCTTCATTTCCAGAATCTGCTGTGCTCGTTGCTTGCCAGTCTCCGGATCGCGCTCTTGCAACAACTTGGCGTACTTTTCAGCGGCAGTTTCATCTCCATCGGCATAGCCACCTAGTCTGGCAGCAGGGGCAGCTCTGTCCTTGTATAGCGGGTCGGTATTAGCACTTGTGTCTTCCTCTGCGTTCCATTCGAAGTTGAATTTCTTTTCTGTCGTTCGCTTGCGCTTCTTCTGTGCCGAGAAGTTTGACTGATTCTGTTCTGCTCCCATGTATCTTTGGCGGATCGAGGCTTGGGCAGCTTCTTCCGGGGTGGGTTTCTTTGCTGTCTGATTGCCTTTGATAATGGCAGTTTGCTTGGGCGGTGGGGGAGGAGCCATGTCATATCCTCTGTTATGTTGATCCTTGTTCCTCCACCCCGAAGGGCCTGAGGGAGGTTGGCCTCCTCTTTGACTCCTAGGGCCAGTAGGAATAGCCGGGCGACCGTCCATGGAGCGATGTGAACCAGTGTTGACCTGGCCGTAGACGCCATCCGGCTGAGGCTTCGAGTAAGAATCGCGCTCGATCTCTGACTTCTTCTTTGATTCAGCGGCCTCTTTCTCGCGCTTCTCTTGTGCTATCCGTTCACGCTCGGCTCGCGACAAGAACTTTGGCTTCATGGCTGCTGCATCTGCGGCCTTTTTGCGCGCGAGGATCTCTTCGATGTCCAGAGGTTGATTCTTTTGCTTCACGGTACCCCAGCCCTTCTTTTGCTTCTTCGAGGGCATCATCGAGGGGCCGAGTTCTTCATCAATGTTGTCTGCGGCCGGCGGTGGAGGCACATCGGCCATGGGCGGCGGCGGCATGGCGACATCTTCCGAAGGAGGTGGAGGCGGCGGTACGTCTGACGGAGGAGCTGGCGGGTGGTCCATGATGATATGATGTATATTGGTTGTGTATATGAAAGGTGGTGTGGCAGAAACAAACTTCTTGTCGCCTTGTCGATTCGCATGTGATTGCATCGGTCAAAGCTGCCCGCAAAAGCCTCGACCGAGCAGCGTCATTTCGCAGCCACTTCTCTTCTTCCACCCGACACCAAGACAACATGAGCGGCGCATTAGGTCTGGGAGGCTACTCCAGTAGTGACGACGAGGACGAATTGATTGCGCCTGTCAGCAAGCCGAATCATGTACAGCCCGACTACACAATCTCTCGCAAAAGGGCGGATGGCTGCTAATCAGCTCGCATGCTAGGCCGTCGCAACAAAGACAATCGGAGAAGCTCTGCCGGGAGTTGTTCCATGTATGCTCTAATGTGTCGACTAATGTACAAGCTACTCACTATCTTACAGCAAACCCTCAACACGCCGCTCCCACGACTATCGTCGAGTCGACCACTGAACCACAACAGGACTCTACGCCTGCCCCAGCCGATGAACCAGCACCTGCTTTGTCGGGTCCAGCTCTAGGTCCGGCACTCGGTCCTATGGCTGGCCCTGCCGCTGGTCCTTCAATGCCAGAGGCCGGCCCATCCGCAATGCCCAGCGAAGAAGACGACGGCTCCATTCCATCGTCACCATACACGGCCGGTCGTCTTATGCTCCGAAACCTGACCATGCCGCCCGTACCAAATTTCCAGATCCCACCATCACCACCGGGCTCGCCGCCCCCAGACACAACGACCAAATTCGCGAGGTTTCTCAACTTGAAGAAGAAAGGAACTCATTTCAACGAACGTCTATACCACTCCTCGGCTTTGCGGAATCCTGGTCTTTTGCCAAAGCTCATGGACTTTGCCGGCATCAGTCAAGAAGACCAGTATGCGACCCCGTGGTCACAAGGAGCGATCGCGACGAAATTTCCTGATTGGGCATATGGCGACAAACTGGTTGCGGCGCATGAGAAGATTGCAAAGAAGAAGGAACAAGAAAAGGCCAAGAATCCAAGGGAGGCAGTGGACTTTGTACCGGCAAAACAGGAAGCGAATGCTTCGGCATCCGGAAGAGTGGAGAGGAGAACACAAGGCAGACGAGGGCTAGGCTTTGACAACGAAAGACGACGATCCCGCTCGCCCAGATGAAAAAGTGGATCACAATCCCCAGAACTTCTCAACTCTCATCTTGACTCCTTCCCAGCTGTTGAGCTTTGGGCGTACGTCAAGGTAGAAGTTGAGAGACTTGCCAGGCTTGCCCTCATTCTTGCCGGCGTAGAAGTCGATGACATAGTCAATGTGGGTGCCGCAACGGTCAACAATCCAGTCGTGTCTGTCGAAGGGCTTGGAGTAGCCCAAGATAGAGTTGAAGCGTGCTCTAGGAGTCAGTTCCTTGGATTGGCCCATGAATGAGACCAGACGAGGACCACCACATCTGACGGACAAGTTAGCTCGAGTGACAAGAACATTACGAGCATGGTGCAACTCACGCTTCAGAACCTCTGCCCTTTTCCCAAGCCTTGATTTCCTTCCATGCCTGCTCGTTGACGGCGTTGTGGATGGGTACGATTGTGCGCATGTCGGCGGCCTCGGGATCATAGTTCTTGCGTTTCATGGCGTTGAAGAACATCTCCTCGGACGGGTAGACCCAGTTTCCACTCTTCTCGTCAACGCCTGACTCTTGCTCGTTGTTTGCCGGGCTATGTGTGGTGGCGGCAGCATCGTGACCCTCGGCAGTACCAGCACGAGGAATCGTCGAGATTTCGCGGAAAGTGTCGAGGGCACCACGTTGGGCTGGTGACATCATAGACATGTTCTTGGGCAGTATGGCCAGCCATGCGCCATGATCGAGGGAGTAGCGAGTTTGAACAGGGATCTGGCGGAGGTCATGAGGACTGTTGTTTGGTATCGGCGGCGAGGGCGTCGCTTGCGGCGGAGGTGGTGGAGCGTCTTGAGATCTCGCCTTTTTAGCCTGGTCTAGCCATGCCTGGCGAGCTTCATGATCAACAGGGCATCCAGCAGCTTCGGCTCCTCCTGAAGACATGTTGAGTGTTGTGGTGAATGATGAGTAATTATCACATGCCGAAACAAAAAGTGCAACTTGCATGAGCCAGCGGAGATGGCGGCGGCGATGGAGCGGAGGCTTGGCGGTCCGACCGAGCTCCATTCGGGGCGCGTCACTGTCGGTTGACTTCCACTTGCTGCCAGTCGCATACAATCAATCATCTACTCTTCATCAAATCTGCTTTGCTCTTCTCGACCCTTCGCTTTTGCATCCGATCCGTCTCTCAGCTACCTCACATCTCTCACCCTCACAATGAATCACTTCCCTCACGGCTGGGGCAGAGTAAGCTCCATTCCATGCCATCAACGTGCCTGTCGTATACTGATTGCCCGCTCAGCCCAGAGATGATGTTTACGGCGCATACGACTACTCCCACTTCGGCCCTCAAGACCATGCAGGCCCCATTCAACATACTCAGTCACCCATCGTTACTGGTACTTCAGTCATCGGCATCAAGTACAAGGACGGTGTTGTCATTGCCGCCGACAACTTAGGTACTGCTCTTCCGCCATGCTACCATAAAAGGCCATATCTAACATTTCTCAAGCTTCATACGGTTCCCTCGCCCGCTTCACTGATGTCAAGCGTCTGCGTGTCTTCAATAAGCAATCCATCGTCGGCTTTGGTGGCGATGTTTCCGACATGCAATACCTCGACCGCCTCCTCGGCACCCTGAGCATCAACGAGAACTACCAATCATCCGACGATGTCACCCAACTCTCGGCCAAGAACCTTCACACCTACCTCAGCAAAGTCATGTACAAGCGCCGCTCAGACTTCAACCCCCTGTGGAACGCCATCCTCGTCGCAGGTCTCGATGACAAGAAGAAGCCTTTCCTGGCTAGTGTCGACCTACTCGGTACCACCTTCAGCGCTCCTACCCTCGCCACTGGTTTCGGTGCCCATCTCGCACAACCCATTCTTCGTCGCGCAGTGCCCGATGAGGAGGCATCAGCCAAGTTGACCAAGGAGGAGGCCGTTGAGACCATCAAGGAGTGTATGAAGGTTCTCTTCTACCGCGACGCAAGGAGTATGGATCAATACAGCATCGCCGTCATCGACGCTCAATCAGGTGTCGACCTCAAGGAGACCGAGAAGCTGGAGAGCCAGAGCTGGGCATTCGCAGAGGGTATCAAGGGCTACGGTACTCAAACAGTATAGATGATGGAACTGCACGCACGTAATTCGGCATCATGACATGAAGGCGTTTTTTCTCTTTTGAGCAGAAGGGGGCTGGGTTTTGCACATCATCAATGTATACTACCAATCAAGCGGTTCTTTTGCACGTTCAAGCGTGCGACACCCTTTACGATCCTGCACCTCACCCGAATGACACTCTCTAGACTATGGCAACACACTAGCTAGCATCTTTGCAGACAGAAAGTCGGGTTTGGACAGCATCAGTTGGCCGGGTCTACGAACGCCGAACATCAGCCACAGCGTCGTCTTCCATTTCGCGAGTCACGACAATAGCCTTTCTGTTTCACGTCGGACACCTGTGACAGACCTTCCATCCTGTTTAATACAACCACCTTCGAGAAGCCCGTTCATTGCCGCCACTTTCGAATTACCATGATTGCGCAAACGCTGTTTCCGAGTGAGACTGTCTGCTTTCCTCATTTGCCTATCGCATCGTGAAGTCTTCTAATGTGTCAGCGATGGCACACGCGACGTGCAGTACAGCTGGCTCTCTCAGTTCAAAGAACTGTTTGAACAGTATCCTCCCCAGATCTGGAAGCACGTTCATCAGGCCTCCCAGCTTCGATCACTTGGACAAGTCCATGTTTCAAATTCTTGCCTCGACTCAGGAAGACAAGCTCTCTGCTTGCCCGCTCGGGAGTGCATTTTCTTCTTGTAGTCGCGTCGTCTTGGACCTGTCATGGCTCCTTTGCCACGATTGGGACGCCTTAGCCTCTTACTCTTGGTAGGTTTCGTGCCAGGATGATACTCGGCCGACATGTGCTTGACACCCACCTGAATTCATCAAGGGTCTGCCATGGTAAGCTAGCTATGACATGACTATTACCGTTGTGGAGATCGTGATTTTCTTTCGTATATCCTATCCTTCTTCCTCTCTATCCTATTCCCAGCCCTTTCCCGTGATCCAGACACGACACAGCACAACAGATATGAGCGATCCGAACACGATACCGGCGCGACTGCCGCCACCTGGATATACTAGCAATCTTATCAACCCGCACAGTACTGGATACCAACAAACGATATGCAATGTGATATGTGTGATCTTCGTCACCCTGTTTGTGGGGATGAGAATATACACGCGGATACGGCTTGTCAAATGTGTCAGCTGGGATGACTGTAAGTTTTGTTTGCTCTCATACCTCCATCATTAACCTGGCCTTGCAATGAGTACTAACAAGCGTCATCCAGATCTCATAGCCCTAGCAACGCTAGTATTCTATGCCGATGTAGGTCTGTTCCAATACATAGTAAAAGTCGGCCTTGTGAGTATCTCTTGTACCAATCTAACCAACCCCCTTCTTCTAACACATTCTTAGGGCAAACATCTCTGGGACGTCAGCGCAGCCTCCTTTTCTCCGACCTTTCTCGAAGTCTGGACTTTCGCCGCTATGATCTACTCCATCTCTATGCTCTTCATCAAAATGTCAATCTTGATGTTGTATCGACGATTGTTTCCCATCAATAACTTCAAATATCTGTGGTGGGGCTGTTTGTTCTGTACTGTTGGGTATGGATTGGGTGCAATCTTTTCGAGTCTTTTTGCTTGCGTGCCTGTCAGGGCGAATTGGTGAGTCTGATCTCAAGGAGAGATGGGGATGGCTGCTTACTGCGACACAGGGACTTGACTGTTGAGGCAGACAGATGTATTGATAAGAAGGCCTTCTATATTGGAAACGGGGTCATGAACATCATCAGTAAGTCTCGCCCTTCCACCCTTCCATGTATGCCCTTGAAAGGTTCTGACAAGCGACAGCGGATCTAATGATCTTGGCTTTGCCTATACCGATTGTTTGGAGATTGTCGCTCGAGTTGAGACAAAAGATTATCCTCAGTGTTGTGTTCACACTAGGCTCGATGTATGCAATTTCCTCTCCTTTCTCTCATCACGACCCAATGGATACTAACTCTTGTAACAGCTCCTGCGTCATAAGTCTAGTCCGCCTCCTCAGCATCATAACCTGGATCCGCGTAGGCGATGCAGATATAACCTACACCCTCCAAAGCATAGTAGTCTGGTCGTAAGCTTTCCCCCTTTCCCTCTCCATCCCCCATCACCCTCGAACCATCCACTAACACACACCCAGTGAAATCGAACTCTCAGCCTGCATAATCTGCGCCAACGCCCCCTGCCTCCGCCCCTTCTTCACAACCCACCTCCCCTTCCTATCTCTATCCGCCCATACGAACCACTCTTCCTCCAAAACCGGCAATCCCTCCCAAATCCACCAATACCCCACCACCATAGGCGGCAAACGCTCACGAGCAATCTCGCCATATCCCAACGATATGGATGCCATTTTCGACGGCACCCAAGATGTCGAGTTGGAGAATTACGATGTCGAGTCCTCTGCTGGTGGGTCAGTGGGCGAAGATCAGCCAAAGCATTCGTATGCGAAACATGGGTATAAACCTTCCACGGGGAATAAAACCATCGTTAGTGTTACGAAAGCGGGGAGCAGGGGTGGTGGAAGCAGAGGAGGCAGTTTTGATGATGCGGAGGACAAGCGATCGGTGGGGGTGGGGAGGCAGCAGAGTTTGAGGAGTATTGGGGAGGAAAGAAGAGGGAGGATATTGGGGGATAGAGCGGCAAGTGAGTTTGGTGAAGAGGGGGGTATTGTGGTGCATACTAGTTATCACGTTCAGACTGTTAGAGAAGATGTTTGAGTGCGAGAAGTGGTGGAAATCTAATGTTTTATAAATGATAACTTGATATTACCCCACGACAGTGTATATTTTGTGAATACGATTGAGGGCGTTCACATTCAGAATAAGAGGGTACGGTACAGCAGCATAGGATTTCTGCACAAGGGAGTAAACTTCAACTCAAAATACCAGCTTTTGGTTTCGTATATGGTCATAAGGACATGCATCCATCTAGGAAGTACCAGTGCAACCGACAAAGTCGTTTCCAGAGGCTCCGGTATGGGTGACGGTGCCAGCCCAGACACCCTTGGTGTTGAAGATGACTCTGTCTGCGCCAGGAGAGCCACCGGTGAAAACACCACTAGTCCTAGGTACTTTGTCAGTATACAGTTTCGAGATTACTGAGAAGGTTGCAAGTCTTCTTCTTGTTTTCTGAGACAACGTGGGAGGGCTCAATCGTGGGCAACGAAAGAAGACAAGAAGTTGAGGAAGAATAGAGTAACCAACGACGTGAGGAAAGTTGGACATACTTCAAGGGGAACTCCTCATAAGGACCCGCGACGGGGAAGTCGAAGCCTTCGTAGTTGTTGTACTTGTGGGGGTAGCTGTTGCTGCCGTAGGTGCGACCGGCTTGGTAGTCACCATATCCAGCGCTGACGGCTGAGCGGACCTGTGCGGCGGTGTAACTGGTGCTGCCGCAAGTAGTTGCTGACTGGCGAGACTCAAGATCGGTAGGGAGGGCAATGGTGGAGGCTACGAAGAGCACGGCGGTGGTGAAGACGGATTGGAAGAGCATTTTGCTGGTATTGTCGGATATGCTTGAAGGGATGCAATGGAGAGCGAATGTATGGTCGAGTACTCGAAGCGAACGGAGAGAATGATGAACCTACTGTCTTGCTGCTTTGGAGAGACAAGCTGATATTTAAGTTCTTCCACTCTGCTGATGGTCTCACACTCCTGGATTTCCAGACATCCGAAGCACTGTACCTCGTTCTTGCTATCTTATCGTCCATTGGCGAGAACGAGGGCACAAAAGTAACTTCCTTCTTAGCGAAATGTGTGCTGCACGAGGTCGGTGATAGTTTACAGCAGTCAGTCGTGCAGCAGTAACAGTTTTCCATTCCCTCCAATCGCTGGTTTCACTCGGATATGCTATGCATGCAGGATTGAACATCAAACCGGGAGAATAGAGCAGGGCGGTAAGGTTAGCACAAAGTGTCGTGCATTCATGCCTTCCTGATCTGGTAACCGCCCTGAATATCTGCTTGTCTACAGCCGAGGCCCCGAGGAGCAATATTCGCCAAACCAAAGGTATAATGGCCAGATGGCCAATGATCTACTGATAAGAAAGCACGTCTTGAGATTTGCAAGTCAGGCTTCGGCCGGTAGGAAAGAACGATTGGTGAGGAGGAGAGGAGAAGAGGTTGTGAGTTCTCCGCCTCTCCTGGATGATCGACAAGGCACGGTCCGCCGTGTGTTATTCTTGGCGTGCGGGCAACATGCCTTCCATGTCGGACGTCGCCTCTTGTGTCTGTCGACCTCTTACACTATCAGCCAATGATAAGGAACATGTGGGATAGGCGTGTGGCTTCCACCTTGTAGGCGGTCTGGTGGGGGTTCGACGATCACCTCGATAATCTTGTCAACAAGTGCTGAAGCCAAAGGCGAGGCAGGTGCAATGGTGATACGTTTACCTCCTCGAAACACTTATCGGCCGCTCGTTCGTCATAGGTAGGTTCGGAAAGATCAAGGCAGCAGAAAGTGGTTGGTAAAGACACATTGCCCCTTCGCCTTTCTCTCATGCTACGTCCTCTGAGACCCGTCACTTTTTCACGTTTCATTCTGTCACAAACACACAGACGCCTCTACCAGCAAAGACTTCGAAAAATGGATATCTCACCTGAAGTCACTCAGCGCGAAGAATACAAGATATTCTCGTCGCACATAGCCAATTCCGACAGCACCGAGACGACCTTGGAGCAGTTCTCAAAATACACGAACTCATCATTGTCTAACGACAAACTCGAAACCCACCTGCGCGAAACATGGAACAGCATCCTCCATATCGCCTCTCAAAAGCCTCACTCTTCGGAACAACAAGACTCACTTGTCAAACTGCTCCAAGCACTGGTCACTCAAGCCGATCCGCTCAATGACAGTAACGGGAAGGCGGTCGAGATTGATGGCAGCAAAGTCTGGCAAGATCTACCACTGTTTGGCCAGCAAGTCCGCGAATGCTGGAACTTCCCTGACGACCAAGAGGTGAATAAAAAGACTAGGGATGCATGGATCAACGTCAATGCCTTCATTGCACGATTGACCGCTACAGCCGTCAACGAGCATGGCGGTGAAAGACAAGAATACGGCGCTCTCGACTTCTCCCTCTACGGTATCTGGAGTCTAAGAAGTGCACTCGAGGAAGAGCTGTCGAATCTGCCTGGCAAGACCACTATCGATGCTTCGATTGGCGCTGCTGCGGTGTGGATTCTCTATGCCGGCCCCGCAATCAAGGGCCTCTCCGAGAGCGAGAAGAGCTTCAGCGGCAAGGTTGCCAAACCTGGTTTCAACTGCAAGGACAAGGAGTGGAGAGGCTACACCAAGGATCGATGGCAACTGTGGACTGAGAACCTCGCCCAGACCGAAGACATGGTGCAAGACGGTGGCATTAAGGAGCTCGTGAAGAAGGCGGTAGAGACCATGAAGTCATAGGTGCTCAAGACAATCAATCATAGAAAACGCCTTCGAGTGCCACAACGAAGATCAGGACCACGTAGAAAATACCATTCTCCAATAGACCCTTCTGGCCTAGTCTAACGACCCTAACTTACAGTAGAACTGATCCAGCTCAAAACGTCGGGGTTGAAAATTTCACCCTTGGAAGTAGATTTAATTGACCTGCCTTGCTCATAGCATTGATCTCTCCGACCGCTTTCGTGCATATCTTCTAACCCTCTGTTCTCTCGAAACCTGTCAACACGGCTTCTCTAACATTGCCTCGTTCCATCGATTCGTCTTCGGCCACATACTATCTCTCTTCGGTGCACTCCGCCTCCAGAATACTTTGCAAGCCCACATTCTGTCATCGGTCCGTTTGAATCTTGATATATTGGCCTCCACTCCGGTCACAGCCAAGCGCGGGCCTTTTTGACTGGTTATCTCTATGTACGATGCGTTTCAGGAGAAGTTCCTCACCGGATGACATGTCTTGATTGACGGGCTATCGAGAAACAGACAGGTGAATTAGTTGAGCAGGGCGAGAGCAGTATGAAGACGTGTCTTCGAGCAATAGTTGACTGATTCTTGTTGTTCGGACTAATGTTATTTGTGGACTGTCTTTCTCTGCGGACTATTCATCTCCTCGGCCTATTGTTTTTGTGCCTTCGTTGCCTTCGTGTTATCCCTCCTTGCGTTTTATCGCTCTCTACGGACTATCTCCTTCGGCAGAACATCTTGTCCGAGTCGTTTGTTCGTAGTATCGGCATTTGGTGTGCTCATGGTGAAGTCATCGATGCCCCAGTTGTGTAAAGGCCTTCTGAATCATTCTCCGGCTATAAATACCCCTTGAATTTTGCTCGCGGAGTATTGTATTGGCTCTCGCTAGCTATGTCACGGTCATACAAGATGGCACATCGCGATCTCATACTCTGCGCTCCCAAGACTGGGATTCCTACGCTTCTGTGTAGCGGCGGTGAGTTGATCAGACTACCAGACTTATGAGTACGAGCATCTGCTCTTCCGCAGAAGAAGAACATTCGAGTTGTCGGAAACGTAAGGTAGAGGTATACCTCCAGGGTACTTGCAGCATGATGAGACGCAAGACGGCCAAAAGTCTTGACTGGCCAAAGCCCTCTTCTGGAGTTGACGTTCCCAACGCTACCACTGGAGCTGTTCCGAATGGACCATTCTATGCTGCAGTCTTGATGTGTAGAGAACTCGGTGACCTTTCCGATCTCTCCGCAATCGACTCTCTCGAGAATCGAGATACGTAGCTGCATGACACCGTAATCATTGTAACTTACGCTAGCCATCCATTAACATAAGCTATCTATTATACTCTCCTTAGACACTAAATTAGTTCGGAAATTGTTATAACTCTCGATGGCTGCACGCGCGATAGTCTCTATAGCTCGCAAGAAAGTAGCAAAAGCCATGCAGAATATATAACACAGGGTGTAAAATGACTGCAAGGGCTGCAGGGTACGGTCGTAGTAAGCACAACAAGATGCAAAACATATAGCAGCAGGGATTCCTACGTGGTCACCCACGGTAGTACTAATCTGCCGTTCAACTGCTTACAGATAGTTGCTCTGCATCTTTACGACACTCCGCAAATCATCTTCATTTGGTCAACAGCTACAGACAAATGACCGACCCATGCTTGTGCAACGATGGTCATGGCTCGTTGAAAGTGCCTGGTTTCTCCGACGTTCCGCTCGATCTTGAGATCTACTCTCAGAATCGTTTTACTCATGGTGCGACCGAATGGGTACAATGGCCGAACCTGACCGCACGAGAACTTGCTATGCTTGGTCTTATGAACGACCTGACTGAAGAGCATGGTTGGCATAAAAACATATTCGACGATGATCTGATGGTAGATTGGCGTATGCAGGCACTGTCGAGACCGCTTATTAGTCCCAAGGCATGGGACTGGTGCTTAGCCGAGCTGCAGGATAAAGCTCTGTATTTCGAACAAACTGGCAACATCGTGGTCTTCAACACTGGAGCAGGAATTGTCAAATCTGATGCAGTTGCGGAAATGATCCAGACTGAGTTGAGGGACGCTGCGAAGCTACTTGAAGCGGATGAGAAAGCCCCGAGGCAGCAGGTCGTGCTGAATCTCGTTGATCCAAGCCTTTTCCCCTTGGTTTACGGTAGAACACGCGTTCTGATGGACTCAGGCCGCGTGAGTCTCGACAGTACCATCAACTCCTTCGGGCGGGGTGCAATAGTGCTTGATATTCCGCCTGGCTATTTCCGCCCTCGGAGGAACGTTCGCCGGGATCCATTATGGTCGGAGGAGGTTACCCCGAGAGCAACGAACTCCGACGATGAAAGATGGTCAGCCCGATCCCAATGGCTACCTTGTGAAGTGGACTTTATCAACAACTCAGGGACAGACGTGCGCATTACGTCTTACGTGAACAATCTACACCCGATCCGATCCCGCGCATTATATGGAACAATTGAAAAACTCATCTCCCAATCGATTGAACCATGGAACCAGATCCTTATTAAACAGAATCGTGGTCGCACTCCGATCCGGATAAGGACATACGGTGTTAAACCGGATAATGAGAGGCCTAAGTGGGCTACTTGGGACAATCTGAGAAAGCTGGAGAGCGACCGCAGCAACACCGCCTTTAAAGAAGCCGTTGATGAGATCAAAGAGTACCTCGCCTTACCTAAAAAGCTCGAGGGGAGAGAAGGGGATTAGATCTCACCGACATGGGAGACTAAGAATGGGGGGTTGTCGGAAGCACTCTACACAAAGTGGAAAAGACTAAGAACCTGGCGGCATCCTGAGCCTGGCACAGCGTTTAGTTTTGACGATTGGAAGGCTGGCCGGGCGGGAAAGACAATTATCGACAAGAAGATCGACGATCCTAACTTCAACACTTGCCACAACTTCTACAAATTTGCCCTGCAAGACAGCTTCCGCAAAAAAGGCCTCCAAGTTGTCGTTAAGATTTCATCGGTCGAGTTGACACTAGAAGACTTAGCTTATGGCGGTACTGATTGGCACCTCGACGGGATGCTTAACGACCACATTGTGGCTTCCGCTCTTTATGTGTTCGATGTTAAGAATGTAACAGAGGCACGACTTTCATTTCGCCAACAGACCAGGATGGAACAAGCGGAATTCCACTATAGCAAACACGAAATGGAGATACTGATGGAGGTGTTTGCAATTCCTAGCGATGAAGAAGACATGGACGACTTCGTCATGTTTGATTTCCCGCCCTCTCTTCAGGATCTGGGGTCAGTCGTTGCACCTTAAGGCCGTCTGCTGGTGTGGCCGAATGTTCTACATCATCGTATGGAGCCCATTCAGCTGCTTAATCCCACCGTGTCAGGACACTGCAAATTCATATCTCTACATCTAGTAGATCCTCATTATCGAATATGCTCGACAAGGAATGTACCACTACAACGACACGACTGGTAGGTTGAAGAGGCAATTAAAGCGACTAGAGCGGCCAAGCATCGCCTCCCACCGGAACTGATTTATCAAATTGACGCTGAAACTAGAGATTAGCCGATGGGTATAGAAGAAGCGGAGAGAGTAAGATTGGAGCGTGAGCAAGAGCAGAATACTGTAGACGAATTCATCATAAGGCGTGGTGCTCATAGATATATATTCTAAAGAATCTTGCAAGCGAACACTAGAAATTCAAGTTGGACACCGTATTGGATCGCGATCATCTCTGCTGCCTAGATGGAGTAGTGCTTTACTGACCCTACCCCAATTTTTATGCTAATCTTGATCTGCTGGGAGTGGTCTAGGATTGTAGTGGCTGCACCGAGGTTGCCTTCTTTGCATGCTGCATCTGCAAAGATGACCTGGTAAGGGTTCTCTGCAACCGTTTGATTAATAGCCTGTGTGCTTTCCTCTCGGTCTATGTTGATGGATATTGCTGCAAAAGGTGACGGTCTCCAGGATGGGGGAGGGCAGGTATCGATCACTGCTAGTTCTTACTGCAAGGGCAGCAGGGTACAGTCGTGATAAGCAAAAGGAGATGCAAAACATACAGCAGCAGGGATTCCCACGTGGTCACCCACCGTAGTACTAATCTGCCGTTCAACTGCTTATGTATGGCAGAGCGGACGGATGCCCAGTTTTCAGCTGACTGTGGCCGTATGTGCTTGGATTGTTAAACTTTCAACATATCAACTTGCTTTTTGACTAGCATGCATTCATGTTTGCATCACGCTTATCGAAAAAGACCAGCACTGCCTCGCTTCCTCTAACTTTGATGATACCATCACGTCCAACACTCTCTACATCCAGATCACCGGTGGCATTGCCCTGCGGAAACGACTGCCCAGCAAAGGTGGTCTTGTTCGCGCTTCCTTCATCGACATGAGGAGCAGTCAATCTCTTCAGCCAAGCTCTGGTCCCCTTCTTCGAGTGTCCATACTTGGAGATGTCCAAAGTGACAGTGAAGTCACTAGTCGAGTTGGCGTAGTAAGGCTTCGAATTAATGATGGCCAGCTTGTTGAGTTTATTCTTGACATAGAAAGCGTATGCTGCGAAATAGTCCTTGTCAACGCCTGAGGGAGTCTCAATCTGACGTATGCGCGTGTCTTGAATGGCAAATGCTTCGGCCATGAAGAGCTGGCTGGAGAAGCTGGGCAGGACTCTTGCGGGACCACGCTTTTCGCTGTTGCGAGGGTAGAACATGTCGTAGGTTGAGTAGCCTGGAGAACCATCTTGGCCCGCGGAGTTGACCTGCTGACTGCTCTGGAACACTAGCGCTGCTCCTTGATGCAGGTAAACAGCTGAAGCATTACGTGCGGCATATATCAGCTCGCTCTGAATTACCCACAGAGCTTGTGCGAAAGTGTCGGATACGTTAGGGTTGCCGGAGCACGAGATGGAGTTGAACTCGCCGATGATCCAGCGGTTGCCTGCGTCAAGTGCAGCCTTGGCAGAGGGATAGATCTCTTCATCAGCATAGCGTGCAAGCTCGGTCTGATTAAGGATGTTCTGGGTGGTAGCCAACACCGCTCGAGCTGGGTCGCAGGTCGAGAATGGATATGAGTGTATGGAGTAGTCGGCCACCTGATCGTCCGAATTGATACCGGCAGGAATAAGAGCAGCAGGTCGAACTTCCAGACCACTCTTGTCAGTAGTCGCAGATGATGCCCACCAGCGCTCACTGCCAAATTCAGCAGCTGAATCGTTGCCCAAAGTTCTGTTGACGGCTGCATCGATCTGGTTTGTCCAATTCTTCCATTGCTGGACGTATGCTGCGGTACTATTCTTCCATCTCGAGCTCGGGTAGTTTGTAGGCTCATTGCCAAGCTCGAAGAAGCTGATACTATCATTGCTTGCATATTTCACAGAGGCAACCGCCATGTCTCTGGCAATGTCGAGGGAATTGTTGCCAAAATTCAGCGTGGAGACGAACTTGGTACCCTCAGGGAAGTTCAACCAGCTCTCGTAGTAGGCAGGTCCGACTGTAGTACGATAGACGCCACCTTTCGGATTTGTGGTGCGAACTGGGTCTGCACCTGCTGGGTCGAATATCATAGAGTCCATTGTAATGCCTCCGGGCCGGATCGTTGGTTGGCCACCATGATCCACGATACGATTGAGTAGGTTGAAAGCGAGCTGGTTGGGGCTGCTAGAGTTGCCAAAGAACTCTACCCAAAACGCAGGTTCGAACGAGAAAGATGCGAAGGAAGGGTCGTGTTCTATGGATGCGCCAGGTGCAGTTTTTGGTATGTTCAGAGAGACAGCATCGCTGTGACCTCCAGTCGGTTGAGAGACGACAGCACGGGCTGCCAGGAGGACACTTGTATAGGAAGCCAGCCTAATGTTCGATGACTGCGGGAACCTCATGACGAGAAGAGAGTGCTATCCTGCGAGCTCAGAAGGAAAGGCGAAAGAACACATCGAGGTTGGCAGAACGTGATATATGCATTTCTGCTTGAAGAACTCGGGATAGTACTAACCCGAAGTATGGGCTCTCGAGCGGAGTAAGGCATAGAATACGATGATGATCTCTGCTGTTTATCCGGTGCATGTCAAGAAGAGACCTCATCAGCTCCGGCGGGCACGATCTTCAAGAAGCCGCCCCATCAAAGTACTGATCACATCATACACAGAGGAACAACCACTACCGCAGCTCATTCTATTGGCCGATGGTATTTTTGCAACATGTCTGCGGGCCTGCGGCTAGATCCTTGCAGGCATCGGGCAAACCAGTCGACGGAAGAATGTGGGGGAAGAGTGCTTGGCTGTCACTCTATGATGTGCACCTTCGTGCTGAAGATCCTCCAGATTGCATCTCAGATGTAACGTTTACTCATCAAGCGACTTGAAAAATGGGAGCGACCCTAATAAGAACAGGAGTTTTGCTGGGCTGATGTCTGAGGTACTCGCCCAATCACCAGTTCAAGAGTTGTGTCTGAAGAGGAGTATTATCCCGACAAAAGAAGAACATAAAATTGTCAAGACGTTGTACGAATAATCCTATTTGATTTGTAGAGAAAACTGAAAAGTGGTATTTGTGGGATGCCTCCAACTTACCATGGGTATCAAACCGAAATTCATCATAACTCATCTCCTTCACCCTCTAGAAGTACATATTCTAAGATATCACTCAAAGTCAGCAAACCCTTGAGCTTTTTGTCCTCATCGATCACGACGAAGCGATGAACGCGTGATTTTCGAATTGTGTCGAAGATGGAGTCCAGGCGGTCGTTGAGAGTACAAGTGAAGATGCCAGGGAATTCCTGCAGACATGTCAGCTATGATCGCGTCCAACGAAGATCCCAATCGTTACCTCAGAGCGCTTGAGCAAGGCCTCTCCGACCGTCAGGTTCAGATCGTCATATACACCGCCCTTAATGAGTGATATGACATCGACTGCTTCGAAAACGTTGACAACACCACCTGTTTCGACGTTAGCAAAAGGCGCCCAGATACGTTCGAGCAGAGATTCGTACCTTCGCTGTCCAGAATTGGGACGTTTGATATGCTGTACTTAACAAGCAAATGAATCACGTCCATGACGGGAGTTTCCATAGTGGCTGTCTGCAGGTTGCCGTAAGTCCCGCAGTCAATGTCTCGCAGAGGCTTGCGCAGATTTTGAGTGTCTTTGACGTTGACGGCGACGAACTTGAGGATACGGTATTGAGTAAGGACACTGACTATCATGGCGCGCTGTGTCTCGTCATCGACGTCTACAAGAGGGATGCGACGAGCGCGAGACTCGAGCATACGACGACATGCAGTGTACAAGGACTGGAGAGGATGTACCGAGACGGTCTCGATGGGTTGTACGCCAATGGCTTTTTCGATGTCACGGAGACTGTTGAGGCGGAACTGGTCGACCTGTGCTAGGGCATCGGGATTCTGCCAGTAGTATTGAATGACATTGATGTAGTCCGAGGTGGTCAAGAGGCCGGCGAAGGTTGAGGTCTTGGAGTCCCAAAGAGGAGCGGAGACAATGCCTTGTTTGAGAAGTCAGTCGGAGGGGCTGACGAGGGGTAGAGGGTCTTGTATGCATACCATTTTGAATGAGGATGTTGAGACTCTTCTTGACCAACAAGGCCGTGTCAAAGACAATGAGGCGGTAACTGAGGGGCAGGACATCGTAGCTGGTGCGAGCTTTGAGGAATTCACGGATGGCTCGCTGTAGACAATGAGTTAGTCGAGGTTTGGTGGGATGGCTATGTGGGGGTTGACTGACCAGGCCATCAAGCTGCTCATGGTCGAGCGGACTCATCGGACCCCGTGATTTGGATACATGGCTTCTCTCACGAGGGCGGAGGTAATCGCTGGGCGCGACGAAGGCAGGCGAAGATTGCTGTGCTTGGGTCGGTGTGGGAGTCGAGGCGGACGGGCTGAGACCTGGGATGGGTTCGTTCAAAGGCCCGGCTGCGCTTGCATCGGCCTCTGCCATGGTGGGACACTGCAACTCAGTCCAGTTGATCTATGCGCAACGTATAATCATCGACCTGGGCGGTATCGGATTTGCTGCTGTCTCTTTCACTTGATCTTGATCTTGGACTGCTCCTTCCCTTCACCAAGCATCATGTCCCCGCGACTCTCGGTCCAATGATCGCTGCACCGTGCTCGGACCCGCGTTTTTGCGGAGAGATTCGAGAGGCCCCAATCAACCATCCACCAAACGCCTCTTCTTGAGAGGGCTGTCTGTTCCGTCTCATGCCTCTGAAACAAAACAGAATCGTTTCTCATTTATGGAAGCACTCATCAGATTTTGTGTGTGTCCAAACGCTTGCATAGCACGGCCGCCCAGAATTGCTACTCACGTGCCTCTTGCTGTCTTCGGCTCTATCCGCTTCCATTGTTTCAACAAGTGTGCCTTCTATTATGCATCTCTTCGCTGCTTCCTTTCCACGAATGATTGCAATGAACTCTACAGCCTGTTTGTGGCAAGTCATGCGAAGTTTTCAGGTATTGTAGGCCGAGGCAGGCAGGGAACACCTTCTTCTCTGTTTGACATGCCGTCTGTCAATGTCATCGCACTGGTGCTTCCCCAAATGCCTACCGGCTTTAAGCTTAAAATTACCTATTTCTCAAGCCACAATCCCATCTCTTTCGTCACGCTTGACGGCCATCACCATTTCGACCGAGGCACCACGGTACGTCTGACGAGAAAACATCTTGACCATAACGCAGCACAGTCCAATCGGTACGATCCCTTTGTGCGAATCATACGTGCGATTGCCTAGACTGGCCATCGTGCCGTCGTTGATCCGCAGATCCACGCCGATCCATGGCCCTCAAATCCGGTCCAGTGACGAGTAGCCTTTTACCAAACAACCCGTCTCTGCCAGCTGAACCAAACCAACGAGGCAAGATCCAGGCGTCATGGCGATAGTCGGTTTGTGGCAGCCTCTTAAGGTAGGTGTTTTGCATCTGGTTTCGTGTTCCTCTTTGTCCATCAGTCTCTGTATATCCCGACATACGACATGACGCCGCTATCAATTCTAATTCTTGGTGTATTGGCTGAGTTCAGCTCTGCCTTTCCCGGCATGGGAAACATGCGAAGAGAGGCTGGTGTGCTCCCTCGCAGAGCCGCGGCCTCTGCTGTTAGTTCAGCAAACACTGCTGCCAGTACCTACCCAGCCTGGCATCCAGCACAGAAGGGAGAAGGTAGTAACATGTCTGTCTCCTAAACAAGACACCTTTTTAACCAGTTCACAGTTCGCTCACCATGTCCCGGTCTCAACTCCTTGGCCAATCACGACATTTGTCCACGAAGCGGCAAAGGATACACTATTCCAATCTTGACTGATTGCTTGAAGCGAGGCTTGAACGTTGGCGGCGACTTTGCTCTGGTCGTAGGCACGGCAGGCATTGGGTCCAACCCCAGCCCTCTGACCTCTGGCTTGTACTTCGACCTTGATATGCTGGATCGACATGACTTTTTGATTGAGCACGACGGCTCATTGTCCCGTGCCGACACCATCACGGGCGACAACCACAGTTTCAACCAAACCATCTGGGACACTGTGCTCGCGTACTACAGTGGTATGACAGATGCTACCATTCCTGTTGCGTCCAAAGCCAGATTCAACCGCATTCAGACGGAAGCTGCCAGAGACCCCAACTTCAGCTACAGCCCTGTCCAATTCATCCTATCGTATGGAGAGACCGCACTTTACCTGTCCACGATGGGTGACCCAATCACTGGAGTTGCTCCCTTGGAGTACGTCCGCAGCTTGTTCGAAGAGGAAAAACTCCCTTACGAGCTTGGCTGGCAGCCACCAAAGACGACGACAACCTTGGCCAGTTTGGGAGCGATGGCTCTTCAACTCAACCTCGCGAGCGGTGAACAGGTTCCTGAAGGCGTGATTCTGGGAGAAAAGAGTCTGAGAGCGGCACTGATCGGCCTCAACGCTGCCACCGGCGAGATCGAGAACAATGTTGTCTATGCTGTTGCGAAGCTGACTGGTGCGCTCGGTAGCTTGACTGGTGTTTTGAAAGGCTTGACCGGTTCGTAGTGTGTGTTCATTTTTCTGAGGGAGATCGAAACACATCGCATGTTTCTGCCCGATCGGGTATTAAATCGTATGACTTTCTTTGTATATGCAATGCCCACATCCGAGATTTTTGGTTGTACAGTTTCACCTCTGATCAGAGTGTGCTACTTGCTAAGACTTAGGTGTACTGAAATCTGATATACTTATTGGACCCCCTGAACCCGGGTACAATCTCCCACATGTCACACAGTAGAACTAGAAACTGCTGGGAAGTCAGCAAATGTAAGCAAGCATAGAGTTTAAAAGGAAGAACATGTATCTCTCCCATTTATACTTGCAACGACTTCTGAAGCACTATTGCAATTTGCAACACACAAGAGTAAAGTCGTCCATATCCAACAACTCAGCGTTTAAAGCAAGATCTAACAAGCAACACAGTCTTTCCAGAATGCCTTTCTATATATCCTAGATCCATCGCCGTATCCGACCAGCACACCAGAAAAACAAATGTGCCACATATCAGTCGTTTCCACCAAATATCGCATACCACCCTGCAACAATCAAACCTGCAGCACGAATTCCGAGATTGTCATTCAATGTGATTACAGAAGAGTCATGGGCGCTACAGACACATGTGCCAACCCAAAGAGAGTGTATATGGGCGTCAGATGCGTCAAGGGCAGATGTCCATTGCATAGGCATTTCATGCAGGATGATGTTTGAGAGGATATCTATTTCACTCTTTGTTTCAGAGGTTAGGAGTCTTCTATGTTGATGCTTTGAGTATGCATCGGCCTAACCAACTTATGTTCTATACTTTACGTAGTCGCAAGACGAGTCCCAAGTTCTTCAAACCTCCAGTATATGTGTCTGCTTGCCTGGAAGCTTTAAAATGTTGATTTCAAAGAGTCACGAAGACATGAACAACAAGAGATTATGAGTGACGATCATAATTGTGGTTCCACAAAGCTACAGAACGAAAACGAAAAACAGCAACATTAGACTGTGTAGAAGCCATCCACATATCATCGAATTTCCATGGAACGCTCTATCCGAGTCAGTCGTCGGCAATCTCGACTATCAACAGTTGCTCATCTCCAAGTCTGAAGAACGTTCAGGCCCTGAACACGACCAGCATTGCCGTCCTCGTTTTCCTTGGGTTCGGCGGCTGTGGCCTTGCACTTTGAGGCATGAGCAGGGTAGTGCTCCTTTTGGCATTCCACAGAGCAATAGTTTCTTTCCTTGCAACGACTGCAACGCTTCAGAGCATTTCCGTCTTTTGCTTCCTTCGCACCGCAATTGCCGCATGCATCATCGGGTTGCTCCTCGCGGGCTTTGCGGAAGCCTACGCAAAGGGCCGAATGTTTAGGAGTATGGGCCTTCTGGCAAAATTTCGAGCAACAGAGTCTCAAACAGGCGTTAGTAAATCGCCACCAAGAAGTTAGGAGAACCGCTTACCTCTCCTTGCAACCGGCGCAGCGCTTGAGGTTGCTTCCGCCCTCACACTGCTGGGCACCACAATTTCCACACACGTCGACAGGTCTGTTGAAGTCGCCCCAGATGCGCTCGATGGTGGTGTTCTGCTGTGTGATCTCCTCGCCGACAGGCACCTTTTCAAGTCTCATCCAGGTGATCTCGGATTCCTGGTAGTGAGGATTGCCAGTATTGACGGTAAGGTTCAAGCCCTTAGAGTTGAAGGGGTAAGGGACGCCGTTGCGGTATTCAAGCAGAGCTTTGCCAAAGCGAGCCTCACCGACTGGGGGAAGGCGGCATTTCTTGTAGCTAGCAACGAGCTCTTGACGACACCAATCAGGGATATGACAACCAAGCTGCATAGCACAGGCAGTGAGTAAACAGAGGGCGTTGCCGCGTCCCTTATCGCGCAGGTCGTTGACCATACGGATGAAGACGCCGCTATCAAGATGTTGTTGAAGCAGGTCTGGGTAATCAGAATTGTACAGAGTGAGATACAAGTCGTCGGGCTCGTCACTGGCAGTATCTTCCTTGTCGTCCATATCCATGTCACTGTCGCTGGCGCTGTCGCCTTCTTTTGCTTTGGTTGGCTGCTTCTTGAAGGAGTACTTGGCTGGATCGGCCAGGATCTTTTCCTTCACCTTGTTGAGATCGGCAGACTCATCAAGCAGACAGATGGTGTCAAGGTCGTCATCCGACTGGAACAGATCATAACCCCAAGCTCCCTGCAAGATGTTAGTAGGGAACATTTGAGCAGGGCATTGCACACTAGATGCTCACCATGATTGCGAAGAGAGGGCGCGATGTGTGATGAAAGTGATGGGGCTAAAGTGTGTGAACAGAGAAGAAGTTGTGAGAGCTTCGCGGCGAGAACGGGAAGAATTAAATGGAAGGCGCGTCGCAGGCTACAGTGTTATCTTCCCTTCATTTGTCTGTCTCAACAAACAAGAGCTGCTGTCGGCTACCTGCATGCCGAGAGCTTCATTGCAGATGCACCACATTCTCACCCGATCCATTGCATACAGGTAAGCGAGGTAGCAATTCTTCTCTAGATTGCGAAAGGATGCATGCTGTTCCTCCCAAACTGCTCCCACCTCTTCAAGTGTTTGATAATTTGAGATGGTCTGCGAAATTTGAAGTCTCGTACTCGGTAGCACCAGTATATCGATACAATATCACACAAGCAGAGGCCTGTACTCGAGTGAATCATCCAGCACAGGACCAACGACACCAGGTCTTTACCAAGATGCACGATGAAGGAAATTGGTCGCAAATCGGGGTGACGGTCTATGTTGACATTTGACCATACCGCCTTCCTCTCTCGGCCTTTCTGCCGACGCTTCCAGACGGACATCAAGTGTTCGAATAAACCTACCACCTTGTCGCACAACCCATAGGATTATTAATTTCCAGTCTGTTGTTGAATATTTGACTACAGAACTTCAATCACAACTGCAAGAAATTCTGAAACACTTGAAGATTAGTTGACTTTGATGCACTCGGCGACGACTCAGTAGATCAAATCTGGATTGATCGTTATTGGCCAGTTCAAGAGACCAATCGACTTCGGATTCCCGGATGCAACAACAAAAGATCCACGTCGCTTACAGCAAAAGCTCCTTTAGGCTTCCATATCATCCATGTATCAGTGCTTACAAGAGTTTGTCCCAGTGTAGGGACTATGGGCTACGTTTTGTTCAATTGTTACACACTTTCATGCTCTCTGGCAACCCCACTTCCTGTCGACCAATTCATCGAATCGCATACACATCGCCCGTCAATATTACAGGATATGCTGCGGCACTCTGACCGACAGACATGTGTTGTGCGGAATATATTCAACCAGAACCAAACTTCGTCCCCTAGTGTGTTCTACTTTGCAGCCACCGGAAGGCGTTCAACTTTCATACCAGGTCATTCGTCCAAAGAAGAATAGCTCTGCAGAGCTGTCTCAACGAACGTCGAACTCATCGTCAGATCCATTGTACCTCTCGGCAGTTGCCTTGGAAGGTGCCTGGGAGCCTGAGACGTCGGCGTATCCCGCTCTGGTATTCCTACTCTCGGATTTCCATTAATCATGCAGAGGCATTATGCGTGAGTTTTTCAATATCATTGCAGTTACCTGGCTTCAACATCGACTATTCTATACTCTCCCGGCAGAAAGGCATTCTCGAGCAGATCACAATAGCCACGTGGGAATACTTCGTTTGATATATCATCATGACCTAGGATGTTCTGCCAAAAGAGCAGATGACTCTTGTATTTCGCGAATTGGATTATGAGTTGGTTTGCGGTCGCACAGAACATTCTACACTAAGAGCTTTCCTATGACTCCTGTGCCATACAGACGCATAGAAAGTCCTCTGTGCCAAACGAAAGTAACCCAGCAACCTTCTTCCTCTTACCATCTACTCATCTACTCATCCACTCATCTCACCTCCTCATCTCAAACAAGATGCCTACCAACATCCCCTTCACAATGAAGACGCGCTCAAGCGTCCAAAAGCAACACGAGGTCAGAATTACACACAAATTCACGACCATCAACGGCAGACGAGCCGTTCAGCTCTTCACGGAGAGCATCAAGGGCAAGGGATCCATGACTCTATTCCTGAGTCCCAGACCTTCGCCAAAACTCAGACTGGGTAAAGTTCCCAGAAGGCTATTCACCAAAGCCGCAACACCTCCCTGCCTGCTTCATCACAATCCTCTGGCAGACGACGACGAGAAACCCATGGTATGGACAACCAGCAGCCTTACCGACAGCGAAATGTTGGATGCTCAGACGACCAGCAGCAACCACCTCGCCGACAAAATCATCGCCGCTGCCGATGACAAAATTGAGATTGATTCTGCAGAGAGCGATATCACAATGGCTGGCATCGAATCAGAAGCTCTCGCAGAAGTGGACGTAAAGATGGAGGACTTCGACGACGAACATGTCGACATCGAGATGAAGTAGGCCTCCCCGGGCATACCATCAACATTGCCTTGCTTTTTTTTTTTCTACCCATTATCGCATCAAAACCATCAACGAGCATCCTTGGAGTTTTGGATGTTTGAAATTATCAGGGTCGTCGGTCACATAGAATACATTGTTTGGGAATTCGGAGTACGGTATATTTGGGATTGATGGAATGATTGGAGGATTTTAGAGGATACCATACATGTCGGGAAGTCTTTGATACACATCATCAAAAGAATCATGAATTTATACACCACGAACACCTTCCTCGTCTGTCAAGTACCATCAGTGCGTGTTGGTGGAAGCTGTCTGGCATTTTCATCTAAACGAGACTTCAAGATTGCTAGTCCTGTTAGATCTCATGGAAGAACTTGCAATGGGCACGATAGACAGCAGAAAGAGGAGGCACACATGTAGTAGAGGACCATTATTTTTGTCCAGCTACCTGAGAAGTAATAGAAAAAAAGCCATATCGTTATTTCCGGCGGGTATCGATTATGTTGTCGTCAAACGCCCTTCAATTCTTGCTGCCGTTTCTGCACCTTTTCGTCTCGTACTCGAACCTCCATTGTAGTGCTCGCCCCATGAGCACTTCACACGCGTGTGTGGACTGGAATTGGGGTGGCCATTTCTGACGGGTGTTCATCCGTCCCCAGTGAATCACAAGCAAATAAGACAGCTAGGTAGATTATCAGGATATTCAGAATTCTGAGATGTTGACCTTCTGGTTGACGAAGTCCCATAGCATTTTAATGAGCTGGTCCGGAAGAGTGTAAAGGTCGACGTGGAACTCGCCGTCTGTACTTCATGTTAGTGTCAAAGTGTTTATCGCAGTGGCCGAAAGACGTACTCTCAACATCATTCTTGGTGTATGTCTCCTCGGTCTTGTTGTCGTGGACCAGTTGGACGACGTGCAAGAGGTCGTCCTCACCGAGTCTCTCCAGACCCTCGGCCAACTTCTCCATATCGACTTGCTGTTGTATTTGTCAGCCACAATCGTTCTGAGAAGCAGGAGAGTAACGTACAGTCTTGGAAGTCTTCTTTCTCTTCTCGGGCTTGGGAGCACCGTTGGCATCGCCCACTGGCCCAGATTCCCTCAGTCTTTCTATGAGTTCGGGCTTGGGGTTGCGGAAAGTCTGTGTGTTGTTAGTCGTGGGTTGAACAAAGGGCTATGGGTCAAGACATACAAACTGCTGCAGACTCTCATAGCGCTCTTGCTGGAAGTTCAAGTCGTGGAAGACAGTCTGTTCGCCCTTTGGCTGGGAGAAAGGTTGAAGGACAATAGACATGTCGAATTCACCCCATCCTTGCTCTTGAATCCTGAAAGGAGGGTTCTTCAGATCTGCATTATGTATTCACGTCAACATCGGTCTCTTTCAGGAAGGTGGGCTTGAAGCTCGAGTAGAGCTGGGGCGCAGCGTACGTTGTGTGGCGCGCTTGCCGAAAGACTCGTGCAGGCGGTAGGTCACCTTCTCGAAACAGGTGGCGGGCAGTTGTTCGTCGTTGGGTCCTACTACGTAGATCTCGATGCTCCACTCGCGCATAGGGAAGCCCTCGACTTCTGAGGGGACATCAGGCCTGTGGGTGGAAGAGGACTTGTCAGATCGGTCTTTGCGGCGAAGCTAGCAGGGGCAACAGCAGCAACATACAAGACGTGCTGCTCAGTAACGAGCTTGATCTGACGCTTAATCTGTAGGCGCGTCAGTATGCCGAAAGGCCAAATGGATGGGGAAGTTGGCGCACATCAGGCATCGTGGTACTGCGATGAAACTGGGGTAGAATGAGAAGGCTCGGCGCGGAGATGTGTTATATGATATTCACCAGAGACGGGTCAATACAGCGGCAAGGATGTTTAATGTAAGAATTAGATGGTTAGACACGACCCTCTGCTTTTGCGACGCCAGACGCGACAGCTGAGCGTGTAAAGTTCCATTTGCGGGGAGCCTTGAGGCTTGCTTGGCACAATGACGACGGTACAATTGTGAACCGAGAATTCCCCTTTCACACATGCAAGACAAGAAGTGACTGGAGGTATTGTGAAAGAAGATCCGAAGACGTAGATACATTAACCGTCATGTGCTCTATCTAGATGAAGGCGCTAAGGAGACTGGGGAATAATCATCATCATCTCGGGGCCGTCAACGAGAGATCAGGGAATTTGGGGAGGGGGGATGCAGTGCAGAACGCCCAGAATGCTGAATGCAGAATGCATCTCGGTGTCTTCGTCAGATGTGGGTCGTGATGTGGGCGAGGAAGATGTGGCATGTGCATGTGATAGGGGGGCTTCAAGGTGTTGGTTGGATTCTGGGCCTGGCTACTGCTTGGTGGTGCACAAATGGCGGCGTGGTCATCTGGTTACTAGACCGGTATCTAGTCAGTCTTGCTGAAAAGGGCCTCGTTCTCCTGCTGGGCCTTGATGAAGGCCTCCTTGAACAGGTTGGCGTCTGGAGATACGTCAGCATGGATTCAGAAGCGCAAACAGTGGCACAAAACTCACTCTCGCTGTTGCCGAAACGGATGGCAAGGGTCTGAGCCTCAGGCTCGCCCTCGGAAACATCGGCGGAAGCGTTCCAGACCCATGAGCGGTCGCTGCCGACGTTGGGGGAGAGCTTCATGTCGGGGACAACGTAGTGGTTGGCGCAGACCTTCAGGGTCTTGTCACGACGCATGACAAGTCTGGTTCTGCCGTTCTCCTTGTGCTTGAGCAGACGGACCTCACCGGTACCACGCTCCTTCCACTCTCTGCTGTCACGGTCGAACTTGAAGAGCTTGGCGCGCATCTTGAAGGTCTGCTCCTCACTCTCCTCGTGTGTCTTGGTGTCGACTTTCTCGGTAAGGTGAACAACGGGTTCGAAGTGGACATCGGGCTCCTTGTCGTCGACCTCTTCCTCCTGTGGAAGGTATATCAGCATCTCGTATCGAATAGATAAGGTGCAGGTAGCGAGCGCATCATCTTACCTCGTCACCGGTCTTTGCTACGGCAGCCTTGGAGCTTCCGCTGGGCTCATCAGCGCCCTCGTCCTTCTCCTCAGCCTTCTCCTTCTTGGGACCACCACCGAACATGCTGAAAACATTGTCCTTGACGGCGGAAGCGGTTGCAGCGGCGGCCTCGGTGGCTTGCTCGGTGACGGTCTTGGTCTCCTCAGTCTTGGGAGCGTCGGTGGCGGCGACGTCCTTGGGCTTGTTCTCGGCTTCGGACATGATTGCGATGTGGGAGTCGATGTGATGGGGTTGTGTTGAGAGTGCCTTGGTTGGCGAGACGTTGATCAGATGGATTGTTTGGTGGATTGCAGTCAAAGGAACCTCAAAAACACAAAGCAGCCCCGCGGCAAGCAGCAAGATTCTGGCGCAGCCTCTCGCCGCGAACGGGCCCCTTTTGTCCCCTTGGCTCTTGTTTCATTCGCTCCTTCACGTTTCGCCAACGTTGCCAACGTTGGTCCTGCTGCTTGCTAGCTGCGTCACTGGGGCCTGGAGAGAGCGCTTGCCTGTCTTCCGGCGAGTCCGCAATATTACTCCTCCGTACGATAAACACTTGCAGCTCCGTAGCAACCAACACTTCGCTCTTTCCTCCATTCAATCCACTCAGTCAACACAATGATCCTCCTGCCCCGCCCGTGATCCGCTAGTCTCCAACATTTCCTTGTTCAATCATCAACCAACATGGCTCCATCGTCCTCCGTTGGCTCCGATGTTTTTGCCATACTCGCCTTGCTTTCTATCTCGACAACAGTCATTCTTCTTCTCCGATACTACCTTCCTTTACGAACTACTCCCGCCTATCTTCTGATTCCTGTCTTCTTGGCCCTCGCCCTCCCGTCCTCCATCGTCCTCCTGGTACCAATTGACTTGGCCTCATCGTCCGGAACCGACACAGAAGGCCAAAGAGGAATATGGCTGCCCGACAACGTCATGCTGGTCGCATGGCGACTTGCATACTGGCTCACCTTTTGCTTGACATGGTCCGTCGACTTCCATATGATTCCTCCACTTCGTTCACGCTCCCGCTAACACATTATCCCTAGGTTTGTACTCCCTCTACTCGGTGAGTACTGTGACTCAGGCTACCGGGAACCCAAGGACCGATTCATATATTCTCTCCGATCTAATGCGCGCTACCAACTCATCACTCTATCTCTTGGAACCACTGGCGCAATCTACTTCTTTTGGCAGAATCACAATGATGATACTACAACCAAGGCCACAACACTCAAGGCTCTAGTCATGGCCATGGCTTATGCATACGGTCTGATTCTGTCCATCTACCTTATGGGTCATGGACTCGTTGCCATACCACGCCGTCTGATCAGAGATGCGACTGTCAGTGCCAGATTGAGGAGGCTTCAGACTCATGCGCCGGGGATACACGACAAATTAGATGAGGCCATTGATGATTTAGCACAGGTCGAGGCTCAAATCCTGCAGCTGCGCCAGCGCAAGAATGCCATGCCCAGGGATCTACAAGACTGGGTAGAGGAACTCTACGACACATCTAACCTGCCCGAGTCACGTCCCACTGCCATATCTGCACCTGCACCCCCACCCGTCGTGACGGAGAGATATATGGCAGAACTTTCTCGAAAGGTAAAGCGCGCACGACACAAGCGCGCTCGCTTTACAGGCGAGTGGAATCACTTGGTTAGGCAAGCTGCCAGACTGCAGTCGCTCATCGATTTTCCTTCATCGCAACGCCCAACATCAGCCAACATGCGCTATCATGTCCAGGTTCACGTTTTTCCTGCCCTTCGCATCGTTGTGGGTGTTTTCCTTGCATGTGCATCCGTTGGGCTTATCTGGTCAGAAGTGGTTCATGAGAAGGCGCCCAAGCTGTCCTTGGTCGGCAAGAGTGTTGTACACCACCCCTCAAGCTCTCGAGGCCAGATCGGCTTCGCTGGTCAGATGATTTCCGCTGCATGGCTGCTTTACATGTGTGCTGCAGCCTTGTATTCGGTGACAGAAGTCAAGGTCTGGGGTAATCGTGCGCTCGTACGTCGTCAGACCTATGCTGAAAGCGCTTGTTGGTACAGCTTGCAAGTGGCAAAGCTTACAGTGCCGCTAAGCTTCAACTTCATCACCATGATTGACCCTACTATCAGCGAGGGTACGACTTTCTTCCGCTTCCTCGGACGGCTGATCAATCTGACACCGGTCATTGGTAACTTCTCTGCTTACTTTCCTATCGTTGTCTTGCTACCTGTATTCGCGACTCTCTTCAACCTATACGGCAAGGTTAAGAACATCATCGGATTCGGCGTGATCGAAGACGAACACGACGAGCCAGGGGCTGGCACTTGGCGTGAAGGTCGTATTCTTATCGAACGCGAGCTGCAGGCCGATGGATCACAGCTCAATATTGCTTCTTCGAGCCTGTTGTCTTCAGCCGAGCCATCACCACGCCATAGTGCCGATCTCAATCGACCATCTCGATTGACCAACAACAATCGCGCCTCTGCCGCCAGAAGAGCTGCAGCACGCATGCCTGCTGAAGATGAAGACACCAGCGACCGCGCCTTCTTCCAAGACGTCGGCCAGCGTATGCGCAACACATTCGATACAGTGGAGACGCCGGCATGGCTTAGAGACATAGGCGAGGGTATCAAGAAGCCCAAGTGGATGAGTGGAGACAACGACGACGGTGGTCAGGGCTCAGGAGAAGGAATCAATTTCTTTGGAAAGCTGTTCGGCGGCGGCGGCGGCAGCAGTAGCAATGGTAATATCAGATTGTAGTATTAGTTAGACCTAGGCTTTTTGTTTTTAGCGAGGTGTTGGGGATACGTACGTAGATTGTTGGCTTTTGGAGGCTTCGCACAAGTAGGATCTCGAAGAGTCCTATCTCGCAAACAAGACGAAGTATTTGTACATGCAGAAACTTATGATTATGTACATGGCTATCTAGATGGTCTGTTGTCTGTCTGTCTCTCATAATACTTGAGACAAACTTTTCATTTGCTTGAAGATCCTTGTCATCTTTCCTTCAAACCACCAAGACTTTTGCTCACAATCACGACACCTTGGTGGTCCTATCATTGCACAACCCGAGCAGATGATCTTGATATCCAGGAGTAAGCCCTTGTGGTTCTTGTCATCGTTGAACCTGGATACCTTGACCCCTGCTCCATGAGTGTTCGCACGAAAATCATTACCGATGAGGGCATCCTGCCAATCTCTCCCTTCTTCCGGGATCCGTTGGTAATCCATCAACACACTTAAAGTGCAAGAAGCATACATCTCGCGTGTCATTTGTGGGTGTGTGCGTAGCAACGGCGGTAGTCTGTAGTGGGCCCTGTGTTCTCTACTGATATACCGTAAGTGGTATCGAGTTATTCCGACTCCTTTTAGTTCGAGGGCATATTTGTAGATTGTAATTCGGACTTCAAGAGGGAGCATCAAGAAGGTTGTCGGCTTTTGCTTTTGGGCTCCTGTATTGATGAGGATACGGAAATTGCGGTTTGAGATTGTCGAGTGGAAGATTGTTCCTTCTTTTGGCAGTGACTTGGAGTCAAGTTTTGTCATGGTTTGAACCGAGTCTTTTGGGATGGTGTGGACCAATGGACCCGGTGTGCTTCGATGTCGAAGTTCTTGTATGGAATTTTGTGGTGGAGGCAAATCTGCGCCTGATGTGTATGACCATACTATTGTTTGTGGTGACATCTTGGTCAATGTTCTGATTTCTTTGCGACCGCTGTAGTGCGATGAGAGCTTCAACAGATCAAACTTGGGCCCTCTTATCGAAATGAACACTCGTGGAGCGACGAATTACTCACAAGTGCTGTGCGTACCGTGAATTGCATGAATGACTGCTTTGACAGCCGCACGAGTCATCGCAGTGATCAGTCGCAATCTTGCTCACGAACGCTTCGAACATCTTCTAGGTAAGCATTTTGATCATTGAGTATTACATATATGTACATGCCTAGACGACCATGGTCTCAACTGAGCCTACAGGGCGGCCGGCGAAGCCGACGAAACCATCAACCACGTGCTTTCTCGTCGGCTCCGAGCTGACGTTCTTGCCTGCCAGGTAGCCCATCCAGATCAGCCTGCTGATTCTAGGATCCTCGACCTTGCCGACTCTCTCGATGCCGGTGCCCTTGGCGGGGTCTTCGAAGAGGACTTCCATGGAACCAGGAGCATCTCTCAACATGAGGACAACAGAGCCCTTGGGGGTGCGACCGCCGCTGAACATGCCCTTGAAATCACGCATGGCGTCACCGAAAGATTCATTCTCGTAGTCGGCAGTGATGATTTTGGAGTTGGTCTGCTTGACTCTGTTGACCTCTGTCGTAGCACGCTTGATTCCGTTGACCCAACCGTCGCGCAGATGAGCAAAGTCGGTGTTCTTGGAGGGCACAACACGCCATGCGGAACGGATGCCCTCCTCACGCAGAAGTTGTTCCCAGATCTCAACGCTAGTGTCAGGGTCGAGCATACGTTGCTTGAGACCGTCCTTCTCGCCGGGCACGAGTGTAGAAGCGTCGGGGTTGATCAGGTGGATGAGACGGGCCTGGAGAGTCGAAATATCTTGAGTACGAACATAGAGACCCATGACGTAGACCTCAATGGATAAGAATGATACGGTACGGATACCAAGGCCGACCATGGTGTATTCCTCTTGGTTTTGAACATTGCCAGGGTTGATGCGGGAGTTGGGTTGAGCGGTCTCGGACTTTGAGGATTCGGTTCCAGGAACAGGTAGATAGATCTTGCGAGGGAAGTAAGGTACGCTGCCACTGCCAGTCTTGACTAAATCCAACTCTTGGTCACCCTCAGCTACAATCCTCTTGTCCTCGCCAGCACCGATGATGTGGACGTGACGGCCCTGGAAATCTTCGGAACCTGGGCCAGCGTCCAGTTGGGCCTTCTTCTTGTTGGCACTCTTTTCTAGCTCGTCCAGATTCAGGTTGTAGAGAGTGAGTGTAAGGCCACCAACGCTCATGAGTAAGCCAACAGCGGCGAATCGCATACGATGCATTGCGTTTGCACGCTTGGCCTCAAACTCGCGACGGGCGGCGAGCTCATCCAGAGGATTGACAGCACGGTCTTCTACATCTTCGGAGTCGATGTTCTGTTGCTGGTCAAGGAAAGAAGGAGCTCTGGCGGAGAGTGTTGAGCCCGTAGCGCGAGCTGCAGGGTTGCTATATCTCGACGAGTAGCGAGTTTGCGACAAGGTCGACTTGACACGGGGATTTTGGAGCATGCATCTTGATCTGGCAGAGAGCAATCGCATCGCTGAGCGGCACGGAGTCGCCATTGTGCTGCTTGACATGGTTGTGATGTTTGGAGGCATCTCGCTATGGCAATTCGACCTCATGCATGATGGCATTCATCCTCGCCAAGCCATCCCTCGAGCTCCGCCATTCAACTTCCCCTCCACCGAGGACATGAGTACGAGTACCAATCTCGCACAACTCTGCACTGTTACTTCTGATATCACATGAGATGAGGAGTTACAAATCACTGCTGTGTTGATTCATCTTATTGTCTGCGGATGTTTTCAGATCCGTGTCGGAGAATAGATCATTGCAGCGATGTCTGAACGTCTTCTAGAATGCTTGAAATGACGTGCTGTTTGCCTGAGGGGGACGATCGTGGCTTTGTAAGCTCTTGTTCCTCAATAAAGCAAGCCAACATCCCTCTCGGCCCAATACCATCAATTGCAAACCCTGTCCTCTCGACATCTACACCCCTCACAACTCGCCCATCATTAACTTCGTACGAAGCTTCTTCACCCGCGCGACCAGTCCCGCCAGTATGTCGTCCGCAAAGGCCAAGGCTCAGAACATCATCGACCAGAACGGCGTTGGTATGCTTCACTATCCTATCCAGCGGCAGCTGCTGCTTGTGGCGCAAACACTAACACTCCCCAGCCGTCTTCTCCAAGTCGTACTGCCCTTACTGCAAGGCCACCAAGGAGCTGCTCTCCAAGTCCGGCGCCAAGTTCTACGCCCTCGAGCTCGACCAGATTGGTAAGAATCCGCGCCGAGCTGTCTTATTTCATCGGAACTCGACGGCTAACAATTTGTCTTTGTAGATGACGGTGCCGACATCCAGAACGCCCTCGCCGAGATGACCAGCCAGCGCAGTGTGCCCAACATCTTCATCAACAAGGAGCACATTGGTGGCAACTCGGACATCCAGGCTCTCAAGAAGGACGACCTCAAGAGCAAGCTCACCGCTGCCAGCGCTTTGTAAAGGTGCAAGCAAGGAGGATCATGATATCACGATAGATACCGAGCGCAAATACATGCATGCGTTATAAAGCTTGAGCACATGTTGAGATTCTGTGCTTATGTCAACAGTGACCGAGGTATGAGCATGCGCATGAGCATGAGCATGCGGGAGCACGCTCGCATTGCTCGGAGAAAATGTGTTGCACCGCTGCCTCTAGATGTACAAGGATACCGAGGGTGACCGCCCATAGCCCAGGCACTCGAAACAAGACAAGAGGTGAACAAATCACACGGTATCATGTAGGTTCTCATGCGACAGCACCCGACCGAGAAGAAGCGGTACATTTTCAGGTGAAGTATAGAGAAGGCGGCTAGCAAGAGTGAATGACGACGACTAGACCGCCAAATAATATACAGAGAGATGCAGGTGGATGGGCGAAATGGAGGTCAGTCTGCCCGACCAGATAGCAAGCGCACATGATGCAGACAAAGTTGCAGGTGAATGCATGCGCGGCACTCAAAATGCATCAATGGAAACACGCCATGAGTGCTGCCCGCAATGCCCGGGCGGTTGTAGCGCAGCAAAAGGTGGGATTGGCTGTGCCCGTCTGCGCCTCATCATGTCCATCACCCTCGCCCGTAGATTGAAAACCGGTCAGCCTCAGTAATCGAAGTATTGAACCCCTTTTCCCGCTTGCTGCTGGAAATCCTTGCTGTACCTTTGCAACAACAAGAAGCAACAGAATTGGAAGAGGCTCCTGTAAGTCGTCCCTCTCCGGCAGGATGATGCGTTGGCTTACGCTAGAGACTAGACCCCATATCGTAGCTTCCCTACTTGTGCCCAGCGACCGCAAGTACCTGCCAAGTCTCGAATTGGTCTGACTCGATCCGCTGGTCAACTCGAAACATCCATAACTGTTTTCTGCTCGTCCTCGATAGCTGCCTACAATCCACGCCCATTGTCTCTCGCTCTGCTCCCGCCGTCGACCCACATCTCCCCCGCCGCGCGTCAACTCTCAAGAGTCAAGACCATCCTCTACCCAGGAAACCCCCCGCTTTTCGAACGCGGTAACCTGCCCGTCGTGGCCGACCATCAAGATCCTCCGTCTACGCCTCCGTCGTCCTCGTCGGGTGTCTTGCGACCGCCCGTCGCTTCGGTCGACATGGCCTCGCCGGCACCGCTCCTGAGACCGCCAATTCCTGGTAGCAGGAACACGAGTGCATCACGCACCCCCAAACTCGGTCTGGCTATTCCACCATCGCCAAATGCCAGACCTTTGAATCCGGCCAACAATTCACATGCTGTACCCCCTCTACAAATACCACCTCGCCAGGGCCCTCCAAAATTGAGCCTGGCTACCCCAATGGGAAGTCATGGAGTTCCCCAAGAGACGACCAGGAATGCTGCTAGAGGGAAACTGCCCCCACTACAAGTCACTGGACTCTCGACCGCTCAAGGTGCTGGAAGTAGTGACGACAGTGCTCGTTCAAGATCCAACAGCAACGGCGCGAGCAACAATTACTCGACCTCTACCACCGCATCTTCATACTCGGCCTCTCTTGCCGGCTTGATCGGTGGCCAATCTAATTCACAAGATCCTCTTTCTGCCGCTGGCTCATTATACTCGTCATCGTCCGCTGGCGGACTTGGTGGCACACACATGGAACGAGATGGCAGTATGCAGGGTGCAATATTGCCAGACTTGGAGAAGCTGAGTTTGGAAAAAGGAAGACCGCTAGATGTTGAAGATTTGGACGATGCTGGTTGGAAAGTTGCTGCTAAGGAGAGCAGAATTGTGGAACTTGGAAGCCTGGGAGAAGGAGCAGGAGGTGCCGTCAATAGATGTATACTCAAGGGCGGAAAGACGGTCTTCGCGTTGAAGGTAGACATCTCTTCCTGCAGATACGTAGGCACACAGCTGACTTCTGGCACAGATCATCACAACAGATCCCAACCCAGACGTCAAGAAGCAGATTGTACGTGAGCTGTCGTTCAACAAGAACTGCGCCTCTTCGCACATCTGCCGTTACTACGGCGCCTTCATCGATGAAACCCACGGTACGATCGGTATCAGCATGGAGTACTGCGAGGGCGGTTCTCTAGACTCGGTATATCGCGAGGTCAAGAAGTTGGGCGGTCGTACAGGTGAAAAGGTCTTGGGCAAAGTGGCCGAGGGTGTGCTCAACGGTCTCACCTACCTGCACAGTCACCGCATCATCCACCGCGATATCAAGCCCTCTAACATCTTGCTCACCCGAGCTGGAGAGGTGAAGCTTTGCGATTTTGGTGTCTCTGGCGAGTTCGGCACTAAAGGTGACGCCAACACATTTATCGGAACATCATACTACATGGCACCGGAGCGTATTACTGGTCAGAGCTACACCATCACTTCCGATGTGTGGAGTCTGGGTGTTACACTGCTCGAGGTGGCGCAACACAGATTCCCCTTCCCGGCTGACGGAACGGAAATGCAACCCAGGGCTGGGCTTATTGACCTCTTAACATACATTGTCTCACAGCCCATTCCCAAGCTGAAGGATGAAATAGGCACCCCTGACGGACAGGATATTCGATGGAGTGAGAACTTCAAGTACTTCATCGAGTGCAGGTAAGTCTTGCCATATATTCACCATATGATCAGCCATACTGACAGGATGTGACAGTCTTGAAAAGGAACCCAACAGACGAGCCACACCCTGGCGGATGCTGGAACATCCATGGATGTTGGAAATCAAATCCAAAAGAGTCAACATGGCCTCCTTCCTCAAGAGAGTGTGGGACTGGTCAGACTAAAGAAAAAACACGACAAAAGCACACACAAAAAGTTCTTCGATAATGAGGAGGAAACAAGGCATACGCAAACAAGACCGATCCGACTCTTTCACTGGTACATTGCCCGCATATCGTCCCATTTTTGGTTTCCGCGCAAGGCTTGGAGGTTTTGTTCTCTCTCTCTGATTTCTTTGCCGTGTCTTGATTTCTGCATTGGGCTGGCGTTGACACATTTTCTCCTTTCTTCTCTCTCGCGAGCGATCATTTCTTGTCTGTTCTTGCCCTTCCTTTTTCTTGCTCAACACTCGGTTTTCTTCTTTCGAGCACACACAGATTCCCCTGCATAACCAGCGAGTACCCTCCTTTTTCTCTCCATATTCCAGGCTATAGAAATCACAATCTTACTCATTGAAACGAACAAACAAATACCCCATTGACGAGGCAAAGAATATCCACAGAAAAGCTTAGTATAGAAGATTAAAGTGAATTTTGTGATTCAAAAAGGCATTTCCTTCTATCCAATAGAAGTAGAACGCCAAAAAAGATATGAGATGCCGTTATCATGTTCCTTTTTGAGACATGCCTCTCAAGGCATTACTAGGGAAAGGGGGTGAGGGTAAAGTGCTATAAGAATGTCAACGAGTAAAGGGACGCAAAGTCTAGTCTTCCCACTCCTCGTCCAATTGGTCTATCAGTCTGTTTTCGTCGTCGGAATTCGAGCGGCCTCGTCTTCCGGCGCTGGAGCCGTTGTTGAAGTTGTTGCCCACTCTGTTGTAGCCCTTGCGTCCGGGCAGGAATCGAGCGCATGAGGAGAACAGAATGACGAACATGTCCTGTAAAGCCTTGTTAGTTACTGTCGCGGTAGTTCAGACGCTAGGTGGTCTTACCGAGACGAAACTCGCAATGCCGGCCCAGAGCGAGTAGTTGGGCAGTTGTCTCCATCCTCTCTGGTGCATGACGGTGCGCTGGTATACGCAACCACCGACAACATATACTATTACTGCGATCAAGGCAATGACGCCAAAGACACCGCTGGGGCCGAGTTGCTGTTTGGCGACCTCGATACCTCCGCAGGCTGCCGAAGAGCGGGCTTCGAAGATGTAGGTGCAGCTGTCTGGTGACGCGACAAAGGATACAGTGTTGAGAGGAGCCAGAGGGTCGGTGCTGCAGAGTAGAGAGATGATGGTGTTCTTGCGACGGGCGAGCTTGGACGAGGGTTCTTTGCTGCCTCCCTTTCTGCTCTTCTTGTCATCGCCGTCCTCGTCCTTGTCCTTGTGCTTGTCGTCTTTGTCGTCGTCATCGTCATCGTCGCCGACTATGCCGCGTGAGAGGAGAGATGAAGTGGGAACTTCAGGACATGGCGAGCCATCGGTATAATTCAAAACGAGCTTGCGACCGCGGAAGACGGGTTCCGCGTTTTGTTGGCTATTGTAAAGTGGTCAGTCTTGTCGATTGGGCATGGAGAGCGAAGCGGTCTCACCCTATGCTGAAGGTCTTTCCGTCCAATTCGTAGAAAGCGCTGACGTTCTGCCATCTCGCCTCATCTACGCCTTGGACGTTGGTCAGGTTCTCGACTACGGGACCACAGAAGTTGATTGTAAAGTTTGCGCCATAGTCGTAACCGCGAGCGGACCAGGACTCGTTTCGCGCGTCTTTGCTCGCCTTCTTTGGGTCGTCGGGTAGAATGACGTGCAATGGGTTTAGATCGAAGAAGGCGCCCGAGGTTGGCGAGCGGATGGTACAGGGTACGTGGTTCTCCTTCTTGCCCTTGGAGTCGTCCGAGGCGGCGCTGACGACTGCTGGCAAGGCGAAAGCCAGCAGCGAATACAAAATCGATGGTTGCATGATGGACAGGCGATTTTTGATAAGAGATAGTCTCGCACTGCAGGACAGTTGTACAACAAGCGTCTGGAGGATGCGTACCTTGAAAGCCACACGACGGCATCACTCAAGCCACATTTAGCATCATCTACCCGTCCGTCGTCCGTCGTCCGTCGTGGGGTTGCCGCCGCTCGGTACCCCCTGCCGAGGGCTGGAGATCGTCGCTGTGGACGAGATCGTACCATGTCGAACCATGTCATTACTAAATTTCCCTTGTTGACATTTCTTCCTCCGTTTCGCCTTCCCTCTTTTCCCCTCTTCTCCAACATATCCAATCCGAACCAATGACGGCGAAAAATCATAAACACGGCTACGAGTTTGGCGGCCCGTATGTTCTCTCCTTCCGAAATATTGCAATGAACTAACTTGTATACCAGTCTGGGCGCCATTGGCATCTCATTCGGCCTTCCTGTCGTCTGCTACCTCTTCGCCTTCCTTTGCAACGATGTCACCGGATGTCCTCCTCCCTCGTTGACCGATCCCTCCACTCTTAGCTTGGAAAAGCTCAAGCAAGAAGTCGCATGGCCTGGCGTTGCTGGTCTCCTGAACACAAAATCTGTTGTCGCGACCCTCGGATACTACACACTCAGTCTCGCTCTCAATGCCTTCCTCCCTGCACACACCACCAAGGGTGTTGTGCTCGCTTCTGGCGGAAGATTGGACTACCGCTTCAACTCCTTCGCCTCTGCCATGTTCATCCTCACCATCGCCGCCGCTGGTACCTTCCTCCAGGGCGCCGACTTCCCTGTCTGGACCTTCATTAATGACAACTACTTGCAGCTGTTGACGACAAACATCCTCATCTCCTACTTCCTTGCCACTTTCTGCTACGTTCGCTCCTTCTCCGTCAAGCCCAACGACCCTGACAACCGCGAACTTGCCGAGGGAGGTACCACTGGCAACATGATTTACGATTGGTTCATTGGAAGGGAACTCAACCCTCGTGTATACATCCCTATCTTCGGGGAGGTCGACATCAAGGCTTTCATGGAGTTGAGACCTGGTCTTCTGGGCTGGGTTTTGCTTGACCTGGCTTTCGCCGCTCGTCAGTACGGCACTTACGGCACCGTGACCGATTCCATGTACATTGTCGTCGGTACTCAGGCCTGGTACGTTCTTGACGCTCTATGGAACGAGCCTGCTATCCTGACCACCATGGACATCACTACGGACGGTTTCGGTTGCATGCTTGCCTTTGGTGATCTCGTCTGGGTTCCCTTCATCTACAGCATTCAAGCCCGCTACCTCTCTATCCACGCTGTTCATCTTGGCTGGGCAAAGGTCGCCTTCATCATGGCTGTCCAGCTTACTGGCTACTGGATCTTCCGTTCCAGCAATGGCGAGAAGAACAAGTTCAGAACCAACCCCAACCACCCTGACGTCAAGCACCTTGAGTACATCGAGACCGCCCGTGGTACCCGCCTCTTGACCTCTGGCTGGTGGGGTACTGCCCGCCACATCAACTACCTCGGTGATTGGATCATGTCTTGGGCTTACTGCCTCCCCACCTGGCTCTCCGGCTATGTCATACACACTGCTGCTTTCACTGGCGACAAGATCATCAGCCAAGGACCCAATGGCGAGATGGCTGGCTGGGGTACTCCCATCACTTACTTCTACATGCTCTATTTTGCCGTTCTCCTCATTCACCGCGAACGTAGAGACGATGCCCACTGCCGTGCCAAGTACGGCAATGACTGGAACCGCTACTGCGCCATTGTCAGATGGAAGATCCTGCCTGGTGTTTACTAGACTTGCTTGTTCGGAGTTCTGTATAGATGGACATTTATAGACTGGCTTGTTCGCGCATACATGGATAGACGTCAATTAGCTATGATCAGATATTCAATTGAAGTTTACCATAATCGACCTGTTAGTGCTCACATGCTGCCGCCACATAAAAGAAGCTCTCGTAGCGCTAAGAAACTCCCATCACAGCACATCCAGCCCCCTCAGCGGGCTGGAGCCAAAAATGTTGAAACAATAAGATACAGTGTGTTCTATGAACTACAGGATCTGGTGGGAGGCACGGGACTTCGCGACACAGGTCGACGTACCAACTGTCCGGGACGACCTATCCGTCAGAGCGACGTGGACGGCATCATTGTTTACGGAAAGTAGGCAGAGATGAAAGTAATATGAACGAAGGTGGTGGGAGTGCGGTGAATAGGAGAGATTTGGGTGTCATTAGTAGAGTTGGTCGGTTGTCTCATCGATATAGGAGGTGAAGTCTACTGAATGTAGGCAGGAATGATTTGAATGTTCTTTGTCATGGTATCAAAAGATGAGAAGAAGGTCCAACATACGAATGTAAACCCGATCGTTCTTGCAGTATGGGCCTCTTGCATGTTTCACCATCGTTTATCCCATGACTGTGTCTCGCGCCTCGGAGATACCCACATATCAGATTGCACAGTCCGTTCTGTATAGCGTTCTAGTAGATACTCGACTGCTTGGAACAGGTATGCTGTTTGTTGAGAGTTCATCACTAGAGCTTTTGACGTGTGGCTTCTCTCTTTGGCGTATGCTGTACTCTGTCACGCCGGTTGACTGTAGAAACACATGATTGCAGTCATCTCCGGTGGGTGTTTCGTTGCTCCAAGTTCAATGTCTTCACAAACGTGATCCTGGACTCTGCATTCAACCAGGTTGGGGCCTATCGCGATCATATAGACAGCGCATCTTTTGGAAAAGAACGTGGCCTTCTCAGCCGTCATACTGTTGTCTTGTCTTGTTGTTACATAAAAGCGAACGTGGAAATCATAATGCATGAAACCCAACCCAACCCATCCTCTGCCAAACCCACGGTGACGCCCAAAAGTCCACTGAGTGTATACTATCTATACCAACTGCTGCATCAATGCAGGGCAACGGAGTAGATCAACCAAGCTTCTTACTCGCAAACTCATTGGCCTTGCCCGCCCATGTTCCAGCCTGTGTAGCGAAACCCTTGACGGCATCCCAAGCTTTTGCCGAGCCGGTGGAAGGACTGCCAAAGCCGTCGTCTTCCCCGGCAATCCATTCGCTAATGCTATTGCGGCCAGATCTGCGGCCTCTTTCTGCTGCCTCTGCGGCTTCAAGACTGGCGCGTTGTGCAGAGGTCATCTCAGCGGCGTATGGGTTCTGTTGATAGCCCGGAGGGTGTGTTGAGATGCTGGCGGGACGGCTGTGCACGGGGCCCATGGGTAGGGTTACGGGACGGCGTGTGGGCGAGGTTGGAGAAGCGGCTACTGTGCTGTGGGAGGCCAGATTGCTTGTCATTGGTGCGGGAATGTTGAGTTGTGATGGCATTTGGGGCATGGGCTGTGCTCTTGGGGGTGCTGGGCTATTGGGGTTGTAGCCATTGGTGTGAGTGAGTGATGGCGTGGGCACAGCGCCGGGCTGAGGAGGAGGTGGGCCATCAGTCTGGACGCTCGTGGGGACTGTTTCACTAGGTGGTGGAGGTTGAGGTCTTGAGACACTGCCCGTGGGTGCAGGCTCTGCTGAGGCACCAGGCTGAGCGGCCGGATAGCTGTTGGTGCTGGCAGTGCTCGTCGTGGTTGCTGGCACCTCAGTCGTGCGAGTTGGTGGAGGTGCCGTCTGAGGGGTTATACCATCGGCTTTGGCCGCCGAGATGGGCGCATCTGCGTAAATGGGGATTGGCGGCATGATGTTGGATTGCTGACTGTGTGAGATTGTTATGATACGAATGCAATTGTAAGAATCATGTCTGCTTTGGACCAACAGGTGCGCCTTCTATTGTCGTCCCTTTGTGCATTCCAAAAGTCGACGTCATGTGACCGAGTGACGTCTGCTGCTTGCGCGTCTGCCAGCTGTATGCTTCCTGCGGCAGATACAAACGTGCGGATACTTGGGCATAGATCACATTTAACAAGAGAACATTGGAAGAAGGTCATGATCAAAAGAAAACGCCTGAAATTTATTTGTGATACATGAGGAAAGACGAAGACGGGCTGGTATATTTGCAACCGCCCCAGAAAACATCATTTCCCAAACTCCCCTTCTCATCGCCAGGCCGATTGAGCCGCTTTTGAGTTGGAGCTGTCTTCCATCGGCAGACAGGTGATACATCGTTCTTTCTTCATCCCCTATGCTTTGCTCTGAGTGTTTGTCGAAGAGAGCGTTTAACCGGAACCACCCTTGAACTTCTTGCCGAAGAGGATGAGCTGGACCTGGTCGTAGATGGACAGGACACCGGCACCGGCAACACCACGGAGGATGTTGGCACCAGCACCCTTGAAGAGAGACTTGACACCCTCAGCGGCGACGATCTTGCGGGCAGCATCGAGGGTACCGTTGTACTTGACGGCCTCACCGGAGGTCATCATCATACGACGGCGGATAGTGTCAAGAGGGTAAGAAGCGATACCGGCACCGGTGGTGACGGTCCAACCGAGGAGGAAAGAGGCGAGGAAGTTGCCCTCAAGGTTACCAGTGAGGACGACGGGCTTGAGCGAGTCGTACATACCGAAGTAGAGACCACGGTAGACGATGATACCAGCGACGGAAGGCATGAAACCACGGTAGAGACCGGCAATACCGTCGGAAGCGAGAGTCTTCTTGTAAACATCAACCAGACCGTTGAACTGGCGCTCACCAGAGCCCTTGGAGGACTTGGCGTCGTTGGCAAGACGGGTACGGGCGTAGTCGAGAGAGTAGACGAAGGCGAGGGAAGTGGCACCGGCAGCCTAGATAATAAGGTCAGTAAGAGCTCGAGTGCAAGGTGGAAAGGAGGAGGAACGTACACCACCGGAGGCAAGGTTGCCCATCATCCACTTGGCGTAACCGTCACGCTCCTTCTTGAAGGCGAACATGGACTTGTAGGTGTCGCGGAAAGCGAAGTTCAAGGCCTGGGTAGGGAAGTAACGGATAACGTTGGCAGTGTTACCACGCCAGAGGGAGACGATGCCCTCATCGGCGGTGGTACGCTTGAAGCAGTCGCCAATACCGGCGTACTTGTGGGAGAGACGGCCAGCCTTAAGCATCTCATCCTGGTTCTGGATGAGGAGCTTGATACGCTCAATGGGAGCGGCAGCGGTCTTCGAGACGGCGGCGGAAACACCACCCATCAAGAAGTCGACAACGAAGCCCTGGAATGATAGTCAGTGAGATGCGCGGGGATGAGAAACAGGCGGCCGCCGCGCGCACACTGCATTTTATCGAGCGCGCCTCGACACCAATCCATTGACCATCAATCATTGCAGTGAGCCATCGAAAGGTGATGGACTTGTAGCTATGTGCAACGATCTGTCAAGGATTTTCGTTTCCGAGGGTGTCAAGTGCGCAATCTCGACGAATTGCAATTGCGAGCGACAGCCATGCGGTGTAACTTACGGGCATGCCGAAGACGCTCTTGTCAGCCTGGTTAGCTGCCATTTTGAAGGTCTTTTTGGTAGAATTAAAGGGAAAAGAGAGGAGAGGATGGAGAAAGGGAAGAAGTTGGATGGACGAAGCAGCTTCAAATAAGAAGGGGGCCGGCTAAGAATTTTTAGCGCACTAAGCGGCACGAATCGGAAGGAGCTCGGGAAATTCACGCACCTTCCCCAACTTCTTCAACAGTTCTTCTTGCCTTCACCTGGAAGAGTCGATTCCTCAACACCAACGATTTATTTGATTGTTTTTTTTGCTTCAACGACAACTTTTGTTTGATAACCATGAGCTTTGAGATCTGGATCTAAGCAAGGGTTTTTGTGACACTTGTCGTTACTGCACCCTAGGAGCCTTTCCAGAAGCTGACGATCTGCGCTTATCGGCAGCCGCACCAAGCAGGTTTGGTGAACTATCACAAGCCAGTAAACAGTCACCAATTCTTCCGTATCCACACGATTGGAGGGTGCAGCTCATCCTATCTTCACATATACCACTAAAATCTCACCCTCATGAATCCCAATCTGTATCGGACAGAAAAACAATCGCTGTAGACCATTAAGATGCTTAAAGCCACCTTCACATGAAAAATCGAGCCCACTCGCGTCCCCAGATTTCTGAGGCTCCACATTTTGAGGCCACAGCGCTCTTGTTGACCTCTACACCCTACGAGCGATAGCATTCTCTTCAAATACCCTTCGATATGCAGCTTTGTGTGGCACGCGACATTGAATGTGAAAGACATTGCGACGCTCGATTGTCTGCGCCTCGAGCCTTTGGCCCGTCGACCGGCAACCCCAGTACCAATTGACAAAAGGTGTACGTGCGCGCCGTTCTCCACACGGGTTGCCCGAGAGGCGTTCAACAACACTTCATCCGTGGAAGCAAGAGTGTCAAACTTGATCTCACCCTCCGTGAGTGTCGGTCTCCTAAGGCTGTTACACAAACCCAGGCGGCTGTGATAACCATACGAGCAACTGACATCACCTGTACTCGGATTTAGCCCGAACATACTCGTTGTGGCTGCTATGTTGTACTGTGAGTATGCAAAGGTATGCCCTATATCTTCTCATCGATCGGCAAGCCCTCCGAATATCCTTAGATCTGAGAAGACCAGGTTCTGCTCATGCTGACTCCAGTAGTATACGCTTGTCGCCTTTTTCGTTACCACTGAATTATTCTTCGTTACCCTCGGTCATCAATGTCCCGAGACCCGATGCCAATATCGGTGTGCGACAGCTTGGCTAAGGATTATAGAATGGTCCAAGTTGTAATCGCCAGTCGCATGATTGTCTTGTCGGTCTGAAGCTGCTCAGCAAGCTCGAGTATATTGAAGGAGTCGTTTGTTCCTATGGGCTCACTGCCTGCCTGAGCGCTTCGCTCGGTCATTCCGCTAGGCCACCATCGATACTTAAGAGAGCCTGGAATACCTTTCAACATCACATGAGTCCTGTGTTTACTCAGAACGAATGTGCTATTTTCGCCTATTATTCGAAGTCTAGAACATCATGTTCGGCCACCAAGAGAACTATGTTTGAGTACTAAATGACCTACCGATGGCGTTATTACGTAGGGACAATCACTTACTGCACAACGTCTCGTATGAGGGTATCAGTGTGTGTCTTCTCCTACCATGTTGAGGCCTCGATCTCAGTGGGGATCCTGCACGCTGAGACTCGCCGAATCTCGTATTCATCGATGAATCCGAATCGGAGTTGTGTTCCTCATTCCAGTGCTTACTCGTGCATTCACTGAAGGAGCTTCCAGTTTTGGTCGATCGACAGTCTGTCTCTGGCCCGCGGGAGCCCATTGATATCCAGTCGAAGAAACAACCAGATGAGTGACTGCATATGACAGGTACACAAGCAGACGAATATACTAGGCGACCCTTCTGTATGACATTACACATTGCATGATTTATGGTCAGGGTCATCCCCGAATCCATGATCATAGACGACTCTAGTAACGTCTCGTGACGCAAGCCTATGAGAGTCCAACCACGTCCATGAATGTAGTTCCTTTTCTTTGGGCACAAACGTCACGGCAGATTGGGTTGTACACGTACGATCTCACAGAAACCTACACCATCCCGCTCTCTGATTGATCATTTGCAAGATCGAGGTAAGCATCGCTGGCGAAGAGCGAGGACAGGGCATGATAAGAGGCTTCGAGCCGGCAAAGACTGCCATGGCTCGATCACGAAGGTTTAATTAACGAAATAAGAGTCAGCTATTGCTTTGACGGATGGCTCTTCTATTGACTGACCGTTTTTTTGCGGCTCCGTTCGGGTACAGAGGATCCAAGCGATTTACGATGCGCCAAGCTAGAAGATATTTTTAGACCACAGCTCGTCCACATCCTTTCAATTGGCCGTGACCTGAGAAGCGAAGGTCGAAAGTTCTCGCCCCGAACATACCATACTCGAAGAAGCAAAATTGCCGTACGTACCGGGCTCCCGAAAGCATTACGGACGAACTGTCCCCACGGCGTGTTTTTTTCTTTTTGACTTTGGATGCCCAGAAGTTCCAAGGCTGGCCTTGAAGTGAGAGGAGGTGAGGACAGTCTATTCTTGTCCACACCTGCTGGGCTTGTCATCCTGCGACTAGGCACGACCAGAGTCAGGGACTTGGATCAACTTGTTTGCTGGCTGCCGGAGAACAAGACTGCAGAGATCGACTGCGCTGCACTTGCCCATCAGCGCCGGTCTTGTCTCGTAACATCAGGAACTGGACTCGATCCATCAATCAAATCCGCATTTACATGACTGTTTGGCTCTAGCGTACCCTCGTACGGTTGCGGTGTGCACGGCTTGTTTCGTATTCTTAAAAACCACAAGCCCACCGTCGACGAGCTAGCTGGTCATGTCAATTTGCCTTTCTCTTGTTGCTTGCTTACCTTGTCACCTTATCTAAGATGCAAGGTTGGCTTACCCTGCTTCCCGTGGCTTTCTGATCCTGTACTCCGCCTCCACATAACCAACACCTTGGACATTTGCATCTATTCCCCGACTATACTAGTTCAACCCACCATCACCGCGCATGCAGCTACCTACTCACACTCATGAACCGCGATCGAATTCAGCAACCTTCATACTGGACATGCCATGCGAAACACCATCATTACTGTGACGTAGTTGGAGACTCATGGTCACAAATGGACCCGAATTCAGATTGGTCTCTGCCGCGCGATCGCTGGACAGAGACGAGCCACGACGAAGGCTACTACAGGAGTGGTTCACAATATAGAGACGACGCGCCTGAGTACTCGACACTACCATACAATACCCCGCCAATTGACCAATACAACCCACAATTCCGTCATATCCGACCTCAAATACACTCTCAGAACTCGGTGCCTTCATTCATGGAATATCAAGGCAGGGTAGCACCAGTTCAAAATCCTGGACCCCGCTGTATCAGTCAACCAGGCTTCCAGACTAGCAGAGGCGAGGAACAGATATCTCGAGCTGGCCGCACCGAAGCTCCATCACCAGTTGAAAGACGCCCGAGCGAAAACGAATTCTCCAGTGACATGGACTTGACACTCTTTGTGGCAGCAACTTCTGGATTTACCCCGGACTCACCGCTACACCGCTCTTTTGGGGATGCACCGACATGGCGCAACCAACCACAACCACGAACGGAATATACACGGCCACAACAACGGCCAGATTACACACGCGCGCACACCTCATACACCAGTTCTACACTCGTGCAACATCCTGTACCATCGTATTCTACACCTCATCTGCCGATCAGACAACCACAGCCTCGGAGTCCTGCATTAAGTCGTCAGGCCAATGTCTGGCAAGAGAGACTTGAGACGGAACCGTATGCATGGCAAGCCCACGATTATGGCGATGAGCCGCCGCCAGCAGACGAGCTGCCGGACTATGAACAGAGTCAGGCCGAGATGCAGAACAAGAACCGAGTTGAAGCAAAGCGAAGGGCAGAGGAGTTGCAGCGGAGGTGGAGACAGAGACACAGTCGATGAGATGTTTGAGGTGGAGAATAAGACGAAGAAGTAAGAGAAGAGGAAGAAAGGCCAAAGAAGAAGAGGCCGGAAGAGAAGAATTTTGGCGAAGTAAGAAGCCGGCGTATTTCCTTGGGTCTCGTTATTCTCTCGCTTGGTCACCGAAAGGACTCATGATCTGTTTCAATCGATACCCAAAGGCATAGCATGGAAAGGGCTGGGGACATCCTCTGATGGATGCGGCGCAACACGGCGTTTTCTTGATTTACAAAATGCTTACGAAGAGTCATGAATATGATTCTCATGATGCGATACGAAGCACATCATCTCTATAGCTACATGAATCAAATATGTAAATATTCTTTGAACCATCATCGTCACCATCAACAAACCCCGCGTGAAGCTTGGGCCAACCCAAATTGCCCTGCAGCAGTTCGAGAACAATTTTCGGCATGCGCAGACCTCAGTCATCGTCGTCTCTGAACATCAGCCTCGTCATCGGAGTCAGAAAATCGCATACCCTAGACACCATAATAGCCATGGCGACAGAAGCGAACACCCCTGGCGAGCCTCAACCTTCAGCCCTGCAAACCCTCCTCACAACCTCCGCCTCGGACCCAAACCATCCACTGTACCTGACCCAACTCGCGCACCAAATCGCACACAATCTCGAGCACCAGCATCTATGGACCAATCTGCGCATCCACAATGTCTCTCCTCTAGACTCTTCACCGCTCCCGCGCCCCATGGTCACCGGCACGCCGCCGCAACGTCTGTACATTCACCCAGACGAGCAAATCGCGCTTCTGCAAGTTCAAAAGGCACAGGGGAACAAAGGGCTGGGAGAGGTGAAGGCTGAAAGGGAGTGGGTGCTGCCGAGCCATTTGCGCGAAAAATGGAGTCTCAGACGCTTCGCTGAAGCGTTTGAGAAGATTGGGATTATGCCTCCGTCGAGCGGAGAGGATGACGAGGATGAAGAAGAGCAGACGAACAAGTGGAGGACTAAGAAGAGGGTTGTGCTGGCTACAGTGGACGACGATAGCACTGTTGTCTACTACATTGTTCACGATGGAATTGTCAAGCCGCGCCAAAACTGAGCTGTAAATTCTGGGAGTGGAGAATGTCCAATGGATGAACCGAATGAACGAACGGCATCTACAACTACATCTACAAGAGAACGTACAAGGCGCACATCTGCCACTGGGTCAGCATTTGTCCAGACAGGGTCCGAGAAGAAAAGGATCAGGCTTACCATGCTCAGACCCAAGATCATGCTACACCAGAACAGCACGTTGTTGAGGATGGTTCTATTACGGATCCACGGGCTGCGCTGAACCAGGACAATCGGCATTTGCAACATCATGGCGACAAAGCCATAGCCACGGAACTTGCGTGTGATGCAGCCCATGACCAACTCATGCGCTATACTGGACACCAGGAAAGTGATGAAGGTGGCCACGGGACGAGACATGGTATTGCGAGAAGCCGAGTAGACATGGCGGCGGAAGAAGTGGTGGACAGGAACGTTCCACTCGCGTGAAAACTCGAGCCAATCCAGACTGTTCCACCAGTCCGAGTAGAATTGTCGGTCGGCAAAGCCTGCAAAGAGTCAACATACATCATCAGTGTGCAAAAGGAGGATATGCTAGGCTTACATGTGATCTCGGCGAAAGCGCCGAGTAAGTATTCAAAGATGACAAGGAATACCAATAAGAATGCAACCATGAACGGGAATAGCAATCTGCTAACCGTCTCTGCAAAGACCAGACTTCCCTCTTGCCAGTTGTGCTGGTGTTCGAGTCTTTCAGCAGATTCATCGAGCACCGGGATGATAAATTCCTCGGAAGTAATTGTGAGCAAGAAAATGCATCCAACAACGGCCAAAGTCTTCCAGAAGATCTCGAGGTAAGACCGAGAGCTCGTACGAGGATACTCAAGCTCGTAGCACAGTGTTGGACAAAGTAGGAAATCGACATAGTTGGCGGCTGTCAAGTTTTGTGGGTAGGTGAGACGTCCGAACGGAGAAACGAGTTCCATGGCCAAGTCGTCCCTCAGCTGTGTCACGGAATCTGCTTCGGCCGTTTCTTCCTCCTCTAGTTTATCGCCAATGTCGGCAATTGGTGTTTGAGAAGAAGGATACTTGACGGCAGCAGCAGTGGAAGTGTTGGCAGCAGGATCGTCCAGTGCAGACAAACGGTGCAGCGTGTTGGCTAGATGACCGTTGTAAAAGGCATATGAGTGCATCTTCATAAACATGACGAGAAGGTGCAGAGTGAAGAAAACTTGGGCCGTCCAAGTCCAGTCTCGCAAGAAAGGCCAGCTAACCCAGAGCAGCAACCAGAAGGCCTGGAAGATGCTCTGGACAGCCATCCCCTGACGCTCCCACTGTAGCCAACCTTTGCTGTTCTTGAACATCAAGTTCAAAGGCAGACTTATGCCAGTACTAGCCACCATTACCAAGTCGATTACGGCCATCTCATAAATGTTTTTCGTAAACAAGCCCCATTGGCGCATGCTCAGAGGGTAGCCCGTCTCTTTCAGGTTGCGCAACGCTGTGGTAAGGACCATGATGGTCAAGGCGATCCAGAAGAGGACGAAGAAGCCTCTGAAGTTGGCATACTCTGAACGTGGGTCGAAATGACTGACACGAGCGGCGTACTGTATTCTAGGAAACCCTCTCTTTTGTTCTGCGCGAACTTGTTTGCGAGCCGACGAGGTCGCCTTGACTGACGGTGGAGCGTTGGTGGGAGTACCTGGGCCTGGTGTGCCTGGGTCACTGGGACGAGTCAGGTGTCTGGGCGAACAAGAAGAGCGGTCAGAGTCTGGTCGTACCTAGAAGGGGTTGGTGAAGGAGCAAGGGTAGCATCTTCGTGGTATGCGCGCAAAGCTTGCGGATTCGGGTTGCGTGGTTTTGGCTGTTGAATCGGAATGCCATTCGCATCACTACCAGTCGCAGTTGCCATAGCCTGGAAGGTGTGTTTGGGAAGTATGCAGGCTGCGGCTGCTATCTAAGGGTTAAAGGAGCCGCGCAGATGCAGACAGATTATTAGGCGAGTAAGGCTCTAAGAAGATGCACGCGTGGACTACCAGGGAAGAGACGACAAGGTGAAAGAGGGTATATATAAATACAACGAGGTGGGCATTACTTGAAAATAATCGGTAGGAAGCGCCGGAACAAACATATGGAAATCAGAGATTCCGATCCCGGTGACGTAGAGAAAACACAGCGTGTGATACGGCGGCGGCTACCAGCGGAGGCCAAGGCTTTAGAGCACCGGCCAGACAAAGGCAGCAGAGACCTCGTGTCGCATCTTCAGGGAACGGGTGTGGCCCATGTGGAAAGAGTTGCGAGGTTATGTGACTGTACTCAGTGGATGACTAACATGTAATCTCTCGAATGACCTTGTGCAAGATATCTTTTCGACTGCTTGCAGCGGTGGTCTTCAAGAAAGTAGGAAATTGCGGAGGGGAAGCTAAAAGAAGACTATCTTATCTGATTGATCGAACTTCCCAAAGGCTAAAGGAGAGGCCGACCAACCACGCATGCACAACAAAGTCGAGACCATCTCTCGGACTTCCCCAATCTCACAGCTGCTCGACTCGACCCAGTCAACCCTTTTCTACGACTGATAATATCCAGCACTACTCCCTAGGGTCGAAGGGACAGTCACCATGAGCTCTCGTAAGCATCAATCGCGAATGACAGCTGCCATCAATAACCCCATACTGACCAGCCTTCAGTCAAACAGTTCATCCGTAATGTTAGAGCGGCCAAAACGATTGCCGACGAGAGAGCCGTCGTCCAAAAAGAAAGCGCTGCCATCAGAGCTAGCTTTCGTGAAGAGAGCCACAACTCCAATGTCAGGTACGTGATGGCTTGCGCCCACTACTGCCTACCCCTCTCTGACCATTTCTCCCAGGCGCAACAATGTCGCAAAGCTCCTTTACCTATTCACACTCGGCGAGCGAACCCACTTCGGTCAGATAGAATGTCTCAAGCTGCTAGCTTCACCTCGCTTTGCCGACAAGCGTCTGGGCTATCTAGGCACTATGCTGCTGCTCGACGAGAATCAGGAAGTCCTCACGCTCGTCACAAACTCTTTGTCCAAGTATTTGCGCCATCCTCGCTGTCTACTACTGCCCTTGCTGACATGTATCTAGTGACCTCAAGCACTCGAACCAGTACATCGTCGGCCTCGCCCTCTGCACTCTCGGCAACATCGCCTCGGTCGAAATGTCGCGCGATCTGTTCCCGGATATCGAGACCATCCTCTCCAGCTCCAACCCATACATTCGACGAAAAGCCGCTCTCTGCGCCATGAGAATCTGCCATAAAGTCCCCGACCTTCAAGAGCATTTCTATGAGAAAGCCAAACTACTCCTGACAGACCGAAACCACGGTGTCCTCCTGTGTGGAATGACTCTGCTTGTGAGCATGTGCGAAGCAGATGAAGAGGAAGGAGGAGAGCAAGGTGTCATCGAGATGTTCAGACCCCTGGTACCTACACTGGTCAAGATCCTCAAAAGTCTATCCAGCTCTGGCTATGCTCCGGAGCACGATGTCACTGGAATCACCGATCCGTTCCTCCAAGTCAAAATTCTCCGTTTGTTACGCGCCTTGGGTCGTGGTGATGCTCAAACAAGCGAACAGATCAACGATATCCTGGCGCAGGTCGCCACAAACACCGACTCTTCCAAGAATGTTGGAAACTCAATCCTCTACGAAGCTGTTCTGACTATCCTGGACATCGAGGCCGATTCAGGCTTACGCGTTCTCGGTGTTAACATTCTTGGAAAATTCTTGACCAACAAGGACAACAACATCCGATACGTCGCCCTCAACACTTTGATCAAGGTTGTCGCTGTGGAGCCCAATGCCGTACAAAGACATCGCAACACCATTCTCGATTGTTTGCGCGATCCCGATATCAGTATTCGCAGGAGAGCACTGGATCTCAGTTTCACCCTGATCAACGCAGACAATGTCAGGGTTTTGATCAGAGAATTGTTGTCTTTCCTCGAGGTTGCAGACGCTGAGTTCAAGCCAATCATGACTTCCCAGATTGGAATTGCAGCAGATCGGTTCGCACCCAACAAGCGATGGCACGTAGACACTATGCTCCGAGTCCTTAAGCTGGCTGGTAACTTCGTCAAGGAACAAATCCTTTCCTCTTTTGTCAGGCTTATTGCAACTACTCCCGAGCTCCAGACATATGCAGCTCAGAAGCTTTACGCCACTCTAAAGGACGACATTTCCCAAGAAGGCCTCAATCTAGCTGGCGCTTGGGTGATTGGTGAGTATGGCGATGCCTTGCTCCGCGGCGGCCAGTATGAGGAAGAAGAGCTTGTCAAGGAAGTCAAACAGAGCGATATCGTCGACCTTTTCACCAGCATCCTCAACAGCAGTTACGCCGGTCAGATTGTGAAAGAGTACATCATAACTTCTGCTATGAAGCTTACTACTCGTCTCACGGAACCAGCTCAAATTGAGAGGCTGCGAAGGCTCCTCGAAAGCAACAATACCAATCTCGATGTGGAGATCCAACAGCGTGCGGTCGAGTATGGCAACCTGTTCGCATACGATCAAGTCCGCCGCGGTGTCCTGGAACGCATGCCACCACCGGAAATTCGCGAGGAACAAAGAGTCTTGGGTGAGGCCACGAAGAAGCGCCATTCCAAGGTTCCAAAGATGAAGAAGCCAAGTCAGGTTACCGAGCAAGACATGCTTTTGGATCTGATGGGTGGCGACTCAAACATGCCCGTTGCTGACTTGAGCTCGACGATCAACGGATCACAGCACAACGCAGACCTGCTGGCTGATATATTGGATGGAGGTCAATCTGTGTCGATACCGTCTCAGCTTTCGGCCACTACATCACCTGCTCCCACTGGTAACATGAGCTCGATTATGGACCTCTTTGACACACCATCGACGACAGCAACACCACAACCGCCACCTCAACAACGAACACAAAGTGCCGATTTGTTTGGTGGAATGACTTCTCCACCGCCGCAAACGCAAGCGCCCTCGGGTCATACAGTGTTTGACAAGAACGGACTTTTGGTGACATTCCAGGTCCAGAGAAATGCTACAGCAGTACAAGTGATGGCTCGATTCAGAAACACGGGCAACTTTGAGCGATTGACAGACCTGAGTTTGCAGGCCGCCGTACCCAAGACTCAGAAGCTCCAACTGTTAGGCATCAGCTCGGGCGAACTAGATGGTGGAGAGGAAGCGACACAGCAGATGCGCATTATCGGCGTTCAAGGAGTAAGTTTCACAGAGGTCATTTCAGACGAAACTTGTGCTAACATTCTATCGCAGCCACCTCCACCAAAGTTGCGCTTGAGACTGAAGATCAACTATGCACAGGCAGGCAGCCCAGCAACGACAGAGCAGGTGGATTGGTCGGAACCAGCATAGAAAGTATAATGAAACAAAGGGGAAGAAGATGAGACAATCGCTGTGCCTAGCAGATGACAACCCATGCGTGACAAATATACGAGATGCCCAAGTACATTTCCATCCAATAACACCCGACTCGGCATGCATGAAACTATTATAGGCGTGACAGCACCGGTGGATTGGATAAGGTGAAAGAGCAAGCAGTACAGCACGTGCTTGGAACTGGGGTCGAGTCCGAATACTGGGGCGGCCGGGGAAGTGCAGATGTACCTGTAGACTGTAGTGTCCGGCGAACGGGTTTGTCCCGGGCGAGAACGTTCAATCGACACGAAATCAAGTTATATAAAACGATGCCAACGTCGAGGCATAGCAGTCGGTGAGAGCAGATTGTCTGACCAGTAGAAGGAAGGCATATGTCAAATCAAATTGACTAGGCCCAAATGGAAGTGGAGAAAGGGCTCTGTCGACAGCTCCACATTCGGAGGGATCGGAGGAAACCTTAATGATATCTAGTCTTCGCCGGCCAACAGGGACCCCGAGAACGGCAGGTTCAAAGGCAGTTGGACCTTCTGCCTCTTTTCTCGCCTCGTAATTCGAACGAGCGCGTAATTGCCTCTTACACAATCGTGAGAAGAGTTGGCCATTTCGACGAGACCCGGTGTACATGTCGCAGTCGTAGTCAGAGCATTTATAAGCAGACGACGCCATCTCCGGGACAAGCGGGGCTCTATCAATAACGACTTTGCTTACCCAAGGTGAGTTGGTCGTTGGCTTCGAGTGTGCCGTCGTTCTGATTACTGAAACTTCGGGTGCGCCACAGCTCAAGACACTCGTGCCAATCGCAATCGACTAGCAGGCACCGCTGTCGTCCGAGTCGCACGCAGCACCTTTGCAGAGGGCCCCACATGGCCGTTATAGCTCTCTGCAGTCATGTCCATGTCGCCAAACACGTCGCCCTCGTTCGACACGCCAGGAAATTCTTTTCCTGACCTGGATACTTCCATTCAGTCCTTCGCCGCGCCTTTCGATCCCACCCAGATCCTGTCTCCCCCGATGCACAATGCTCCCTTCCACTTCTCTATCCCCGAACTCGGCGATAGTCAGTCGCCATCTTCCGCCCACTTTCACCATCGCATGAGCATCGGTAGCTCCGGCCACTTGCCGAATCAGCTCCAACCTGGAAGCATTGGCGACTCCGATGCTGTCAGTCCTGCCAGTGGCCAAGACCCAGGTTCCGTAGGACCTGCGACAAATGCTTCGGCCGGTCAACTGGGCGCAGATGATCAGAAAGACAAGAATGACCCATCACCAGCATGGGCAGAGCTCAAGACAAAGGCCGGGAAAGAGCGTAAGCGACTTCCCCTGGCCTGCATCGCTTGCAGACGTAAGAAGATTCGCTGTTCAGGCGAGAAGCCTGCTTGTAAGCATTGCCTACGGTCTCGCATACCATGCGTATACAAGGTCACCACCAGGAAGGCTGCGCCGAGGACGGACTATATGGCTATGTTGGACAAACGATTGAAGAGAATGGAAGAGCGCGTCATCAAAATAGTACCCAAAGAGGATCAAGGTCGCATAGGAACCATCGGCCGAGCTGTTGTCAAGCCTGCCATCCCCGGATTGCCCTCGAAGAACGAAAAGAAACGACCGGCCGACGCAGCTTTTGGCGACGACATCAATGACTGGTCGAAATCCAAGTCCGGAGGCAGTGCGGAAGCTCGTCTAAAGATTGGCCCCCAAGAACAGGATGAACGTCGACTGCTTCAAGAAGGAGCTGACCAATTACCTTCTCACGAACTACAAATTCACCTAGCTGAGGTTTATTTTGACTACGTTTACGGTCAGAGCTATCATCTGCTGCACAAGCCCAGTTTCATGCGAAAGCTTGAAGTCGGGCAGGTACCGCCAGTGCTCATTCTGGCAGTGTGCGCAATATCTGCTCGCTTTTCGTCGCATCCTGATGTGAAAACGGAACCCGCCTTTCTAAGAGGCGAAAACTGGGCCAGCGCAGCGAGAGAAATCGCACTGAAGAGATATGACTCGCCTAACATCACGATCCTGATAGTATATTTGATTCTAGGTCTGCATGAGTTTGGAACGTGTCAGGGTGGCCGAAGTTGGATGCTTGGTGGTATGGCTCAGCGAATGGCATATGCTTTACAACTGCACAAGGATTTAGACCACGACACCTCAACGCGCGCCTCAGGAAACACTGCTGAGCTCACATTTACCGACAGAGAAATTAGGAGGCGTACAATGTGGGCCTGCTTTATGGTATCGCGATATCAGCACGTACACAATCCCAGGTTACTAACAACACGTCGCAGATGGATCGATTCAATTCGTCAGGAACCGAACGACCGCTTTTCGTCAACGATCAATACATTCAGGCTCAGTTGCCTGTCAAAGAACACTTCTTTCAATTCGAGATTCCGGGAACCACGGAGATACTCGAAGGACCAGTTTCTGGTGACGTCGAGAGAACCGGATCTCACGCACTCTCAGCGACCGAGAACATGGGCGTTGCTGCATACATTGTCCGATTAGTAGCTATATGGGGACGTGTCATCCGATACATGAACCTCGGGGGAAGAGAAAGGGACAAGGAGCCTATGTGGTCCACACAATCTGAGTTCCACGCCATAAAGGAAGCAGTGCGCGAGTGGCAATCCACACTTCCAACATGGCTCTACTGGTCGCAAGAGAACCTGGAAACTCATGCAAGCGAGAAGATTGCTAATCAATTCATCTTCATGCACTTGATCTGCAACCAGATTATCTGTTTCACTAACCGATTTGCTCTCCCATCACCAGGCTCCAAATCTGCAAGCCTTCGAGATACTCCCCAGACATTCATCACCGAAAGTGGACGAGCAGCTTTGGATGCAGCCAACCAGATTTCGATCTTGGTGAACGAAGCCATGGATCACAGGGTCATTGCACCATTTGCGGGATATTGTGCCTTCTTCTCCAGCACTGTTCACATATACGGTGTATTTTCGAAGAACCCAGCACTTGAAGCATCCTCGAAGCAGAATTTGGCGACTAACATCAAATACCTTACGAGGATGAAGAAGCATTGGGGCATGTTCCATTTCGTCACAGAGAACTTGAAAGATCTGTATCGCAAACATGCGGACGCTGCGTTCCGAGGTGCACAAGCCGGAGGGAATCAGAAGCCACAGGAGACCATCTTCCAGTATGGCGATTGGTTTGACAGATATCCGCATGGCGTCAGTGGTACAGACTACGAGGAACCCGTCACTGCAGATGTCAAGAAGGAGCCAGGCTCTGACGCGGTGTTGGGTCAAAAGAACGATCTACAGAGTGTAGAAGAGTTCTTCTCAAAGCTGAGCCCGCCGAGTAGGACAGCAAAGCAGAAGGCGCCGAGGAAGAAACGCGGAAAGGCAGAAATACAACCAAAAGCGGCAGATGGACAAGCGGCAGGAGCGTCTGGGTCAGCGTCAGCCACCTCTGGCTTCCCAACACAGCAACAAAACCAAGCACTATCGCAAGCCCAGGCGCAGGCGCAACGGCAACGCCCAGCAGCCACCGTCTCACAGATGGCAGCCGGGTCCATGAATTCCAACTTCGGCGTGATGAGTCCACAAAACAACACCAATTTCCCTGCAGAGCTTGCCATGATGCAGCAACGACAGCAAACAGATCAGCAACAGCAGCATCACCAGTACAACAACCTGCTCAACCTCGATACCAATATGCCTATCTCGCCCTACTCGAACCTCGATCCTTCATCTAACAGTGCCAATCCGTTTTCTATCGATCTCAATGCCTTTGACTTCGGCATGAACAGCAACGCGCCCTGGGACAATCAAGGACACAGTTCAGCTTGGTTCATGCCCTTCAACGTCGATCCACCGTCGGTCGGACCGGGAAGTCTAGGCGATGATGCAGGAGGTCTGTTCGCTGCAGATTCTGTTGGTGGGTTCGATGTCAACTCGCTGTTCCCGGACTTCGGAGGTGCTCACCCCGGACTGTTGATGCCGGAGCACGGGTTTGAAGACAACAATAACAACAACAATAAGGAGTGATGCAGTTGATGCTATGTGTATATGTGCAAAAGAAGGAACAAGGAGGACTAGATGTGAATACTGGAGTTTGCAGGGGATTAGGCTTGGGGTCAAAGTTGTACGTTTTAATGAACACAAGTGTGTATGTAGAGATGTAGATTGTATACGCAGCCAAAGACGCTGCAACTTCATCCTCTAAACACCTCGCGAGACCTTGATCCCACGATTGCACGAGTCTTGAACGATCATAATAACCATTACAGTACTCTTCTGGCAGAAACCAAGGTGAGAAGGAATCCATTCTCAAGCATGACTCCCGCCCTCGCCATCATCCAGAAAGAGCACACACTCTTGCGGTCATCGGTCGACAGTCCTTCTGATCCGCCAACAGATTCCTTCGGACCTGAAAGTTTCTCGCGATCGTGTATTAACAAAATACAGTACTACTCAAGGCTATCGAAACGAAAAAATACATTCTACAGTAAAGTCGAATTCAACTGGCATCTACATGAAAACGTATGCTTGTCTCGCGAATTTCCTGATACCGTACTCCTATGATGATGATGAGGACCGGATTATACTGTTCTGTCGAGAAGGCCAACAAGATGGGTGGAGTTAGCGCAATGTGGAATACAAGGAGCAAGGGCAATATCAAACTTTGACGGTCAACTGCACTGTCAATTCACAAGTCTACCTGCTACACTAAAGTGTCGGATAGCTACGACAAGGCACAGTGTTTTTGCAATGGTTCAAGTCACCATTGAGAGCCCCTCACGTTTGTCTAGATCACAATAGTCTATCCTGTATTTGCAAAGAATGAACATTAAAAGACCTCTCCTCATGTCTTTGCCTCGCGTGTACATATGTATGGAATAGAAAAACGAAAACGAAAACGAAACGTGAACTTCGTAAGAAGAATAACAAGCAATGTCAGAAACCGTCGTAAGAACTCAATGCTGGACTTCGCTCTTGATGTCCTGGAGTGCACCAACTCCACCAATCTTGTTCACTTTCTCGACGAGAATGGTGTTCTCGCGCTCTAGGTCGGCCATTTGCTCTCTAAGCATACCGTTTTCTCTCTTCAGCAGATCAACTTGATGTCTGAAGTCATCTCTTTCTCTGGCAACTCTACTGGCCTCGTCCCTGTTCAACTGGACGCTTCTCTTTCTCTGTGCTTTGGAGATCTCCTTTTCACGCTTATGCTCGAGTTTGGCGAGTTCCTTTTCACGCTTCTCTTGTAGTTTGGCCATTGCGGTATCATACTTTTCTTGATACTTGGCAACATCTTCGGGGTCCTTCTCTTTATGACTGGCGAGTTTGACTGCTTCGGCGTCTTGCTTCTTGTGAATCTTTGCTTCAATCTTCGCGCGATCTTTGTCGATCTTGCGAAGCTCTTTGTCGTGGGGTGAGCTTCCCATCGGTAGAGTTGTTGATGAAGTTGTCGAAGTGGCGCCTAATGTGTCTGTAGAAGCGGCGACAGCGGTGCCACCGTGAGCGGGCTTCTCTGCAGGATGATCGCCTAGGTCGTGATGGTCTCTAGCCGAGGCGAATGAGGCGGCGTCCGAGGAGTCTGAAGATGACGACGAGTCCGAAGTGTCGTCCTCGGGGTGCATGTAGGCGTGTGTGTAGTTGGCGACTGATGCTGGAGCGTAGGCCTCGATGCCAGCCTCAACGGCACCTGTGAGAGAAGCGATAATACCGCCTTGCTGCTGTGCGGGCTGTGCTTGTGCGTTCTGCTGAGGAGCAGCTGGAGGAGTCTTTTGTTTGGCAGTCTGGCTTTGAGCCTCCTGTTGCTTATCCTCATCAGCATCTGCGTCGGGGATCTCATCCTTTGGGCAGGCCCAGTCCAAGAACTTGGAGACATCGGCGGCAATGGAGCCGGGAGTGCCTCTTTCGACCATGAAGCGAGGGATACCACCGCCAGGGTCACTACGGGTGATCATGATCCACTCGACAGGGTTGAGCTCGTGCTTGTCACCCTTGGCGTCATCCTCTTTCTCGGGTGCTGGGTTCAGAGGGATCTCTCGAATCATCTCGACCGACTCGTATGTACCCTTGACGTAGCCTTCACGATCAGAGGCTTCGGGGTGTGTAAGCGGCTTTGAGATGACCATGTAGTGTCTCGGGATGGGGTGCTTGTCCTGGGTAGTCTTGTTTGACAAAGCATTCTCCGAGGTCAAGAGGAGGGTGATGAATTCTCTGGGGGTGGTGGGGCCAGGGAATTGGGCGCTGAGTTGAAGGGCTTCGAGCTTGCCCACGTCGCCAGGCTCCTTCTTGTCTAGCCTGCGGTCGCCGCCAATGCCGCGTACGTTGCCGGCTCCGGGGCCACCGGACTGGGCGAGAGACTCTGCGAACTCGCGCTGCATGGCTCTTCGAACCTTTGTGATGGAGATGCCTTCGAGCACCTGTCTACGGGCAAACCATGCACCGTGTCTGTCTTTTGCGGCCATCTTGTAGACGGAGATACCAAGCGGGTTCTCCTTGGCTCCTAGCTTGATGGGCTTCCCCCATGACTTCTGCAGGTCGCCGTGTTCAGGGTGTGGAGCGACAGGGCGGGCGTCCGAGTTGACGACTTCTTTCGAGGACTTTGCCGTATCGGGCTTGGGCTGGGTAGGTTGCGATTGCTCGAAATCATTACCGCCAGCGGGCGGAGGGACTGAATTGCAGATGAGTTCACCCGTTTCGAAGAGCTTCTTCATCCATGGGTTAAGGCTATTGTCGTCCTGTGGCACGTCGGCCCAGTCAATGGGACCTAGTTGCTCGAGTGCCTTGTGTAATTCCGACATGGCGCTGTAGGAATGTGGTTGGGAGGCAGCTGTGGTTGTGGTATGCAGGTATGGCAGGGACGTGGGACGGTAGCACTTGAAGAGAAAGCGATCAATCCGCGAAACGCTTCAGTGTGACCAGGTCAACATCATCATCAACGCCGTCACCAACGTCTTGATTTCAGAGTCGAGCCTACCTAATGGACCCCATAAAACAAGCTCTCTGGCCCCGGATCGCCGCCATGCCGTCATCCCGGCGCAGCCGCATTGCAACCAATCACGCTGCAGAAATGCACGAGTATTTCCAAATACAAGAAAGCTCCAGTGAGAGCGCGTCAAATCGCTACTCTCACTGGACCCTCAGGAGACTACAATAACTTCTTGCATTTTGACAGCTATTTTCGTCGGGTACTTGGTGTGGGAGAGCGACGTTTCTAGCCCTTGATATCAGATCCTGCTATTCTTGGTATGTGCCTGAGGCATTACTGCATACTTACGACACTTACAGAGCTTGTCCTCGGAGCTTGTTTCCGTGCATGCATCCCGCCGCTTTGTACGCGTACCACATCGGTCTTCCAAATCATCCACAACTCTCAAGCTTTAGTCTGTCCATCCGTGGAAGCGACAGCAAGTATGCCCCTCTGCTCAATGCTAGATATCACATGGACTGATATCCTTCTCACATCCCGGTCTTCGAGTGAGATTGACATGAATTTGAGGGCGTGAAACATTTGTAATTTGGTATATGGTATCGTCTCTTTTCTAACCCTCGAGGAGAGCGGGCAGGTTCTCCTCGATGAACTCGACCACAGCGTCAGGTCCCCTCGACACCTGGAGACCCTGAGGCAGAGCGAAAGTCTTCAGTTGCGGGCCCATGATCTCCTTTGCCTCTGCGTGGATGCTCTTAGCCTCTTCTGGTGTCCACATGGATGCTGTGAACTGTACATCTTGTCAGTATCTTGTTGGAAGGTGTGTTAGCCAGAACCACATACGAGGACATCGGGCTGCTCTTTGGTAACGACTTCGCGGACTTGTTCTTGGCCTGGATCTGGGTCAGGCAATGTTCTCCTTCAAATAGGCTTCACCACTCACTGTCTGCGTTTCCAGCGTGGATGATTGTGTATTTATCCTTGACGTTCTCGACAACGCGGCCGATCAATCTGTAGGCACGCTCAGGTGCTGTGTTGACCGTGACGAGCTTAAAAGGTCCCAATGGCTTAGTGGTCGACATTTTGTGTGGTATATTGTGGTTTGTGATTGAGGAATAGAAGACAAAGATGCTTGTAAAGACCTAGAAGAAACAGATGATCTCGGCCGTCATCGGGATATCCTGTCTAAACACTCTGTAACTGCCCCACACGGGTCTTTCAGTCACCTCAGCTTTGTAGAGCTCTGACCAGCAACAATTGGTGGTGCTGTTTCGACATGTGGGAAGAACATGACGAGCTGCTCATACAATCTGAAGCCTCCTTTTCAATCTCTGTCTATGCTTCGGTATCACAAAGCTGAGTCTTTCGATGTATTGTTTCCCAAGCAGACTTCATGTTGTTCTGTCTCGGTGTTCGGCATGGCTTCGGCCGAGGGAGCGCTTCAATGCACCTTCCCCACCTGTACCCCTCGTAGGTGGGGAAGGTGTTTCCCAAGGGTCCGGATCTGGCGTGCGGGACTTGATGAGTTTCGTGATGACCAGCATTCGCGACATCGGCCATAGACTCGATACCTTATCGTTGTACCACGACCCTTGAACTTCTCTCTCATACCAGGAACACTCCATACCAACACATATCCGCCCACAATGTCTTTCGACCGTCTCGTCCGCTTCGTCCCCGCCAGCGACTCCAATGCCATTCTCATCGGCGAACCTGTAGATGCCAACCTCGATGTTGGACTTGCTATCCGCAAGGGTGATGAGGTTGAGGTCAAGGTCTTCAGTGGCAAGTCTGCCTTGAACCCTGGCTCGCTGTCAGACAAGACCGAAAAGATCGCCAGACTGCTATCGCCTCTGTCACAAGAGGAGGTTGGCACGATACGCTGCATTGGCTTGAACGTAAGCTCTCAATCCACTCCAGACGCTGTTCCGAATATCCAGCTCCTGACGCAACGCACAGTACAAGCAACACGCCGAAGAAGTCAAGATGGCAGCCCCACCAGAGCCCGTTCTCTTCCTCAAGCCAGCCACCTCCCTCGCAGACCCCTACCCTCAACCCACCGTAATCCCCAAGCACACCAAGTCGACCGACACTGCAGACTACGAATCAGAACTCGTCGTCGTCATCTCCAAGCCCTGCAAGAACGTTTCCGAGGCAGAGGCCCTCGATTACGTCCTGGGCTACACCGCCGCAAACGACGTTTCCAGCCGTGCTGCCCAATTCGCTCAAAGTCAATGGTGTTACAGCAAGGGCTTCGACGGTGCTTGCCCGATCGGTCCCGTGCTTGCGAGCTCAAAATTGATTCCTGACCCGAGTAAGCTGCACATCAAGGGCAGCAAGAACGGCCAGGTCATGCAGGACTGTGGTATCGACGATCTCATCTTCCACATCCCCAGACTCATCAGCTTCTGCTCTCAGGGTACTACTTTGCCTGCTGGCACCATCATTTTGACCGGTACTCCTGCTGGTGTTGGTGTTGGCAAGGACCCCAAGGAGTTCTTGCGTGATGGCGATGAGTTCTCTGTTGAGGTCCAACCTCACATTGGTACTCTCACCACTGTTTTCGAGGACGAGAAGTGAAAGCCTGGAATTTCGATTTACGGCCATTTGTTGCAAAATCACACAAGCTTGACGAGTTCGAATTGAAATGTAGACAAACCTCCCAAATGATATGTCATGAAACCAAATCATACCACCGACCTTGTACTCCTAAACATGAATCATTATACATCCATATGCAATCTCTGACAACATATCTCAATGGCTGAGCGAAATCCAAGAATTCAGCACAGCCTCCATGTCGTACGCCAATCCCCACTGCGAGCTGAGGCAGCGGAACAACTTTTGCATCGAATTGAGCTCGTACAACAAGTTGCGTGTCATGGACTCGTAGCCACTTCCAGACAACTGCTCCCCACGGACAAACCTCCTCGTGGTGCTCGATCCAGCTGACGTTCCTGCCAAGTCACCGAGGATGACACATGGGTCTACCTCGGTGAAGAGTGCATCCTTCCAGTCGACAACTCTGGGCAAGTTGACAGTGGTGTGGCCTGCTAGAGAGAATACACTGTACACGGTCGCAGCAGCGAACAGCGAGCTGGGCATATGAAGGACATGAGCACGGCCACGAGGAAGTTGTTCGACAATATCCTGGATAGCGACAGCATGCAGCAGAGCCCTTCGTGCATCTTCAGTTTTGGCCCAGGCAACCAGATCCAGTCCCGTCTTGAGCCCCTTGTTACCTCCAAGAACATGTTGTGGGATGTTGTAACGAGCGCAGAGATGACGACACAACATAGATGAGTCGGTAGCCGCATCAAGACAGATTGAATGCCATCGGAGCAGAGCTTCAAGTGTCTCTGGCGTGGATATTGTGTTTTTGGTGATACTTTCGTGTACCTGAGCCAGCGCTCTACGGATCTCAGAGCGTGTGGGAACACCAACTGAGGGTCCATCTGTTGAGTCCGAGACAAGTGACTGTACACCTTCCAAGAGGACTCGTAGCGAAAACGAAGTCAGCGTATGCTCTGGAAGCCTTCCCATGTCGACTGGTAAGAACAGAGATCGGAAAATATTGCGGAACGAGACATCTTGCTTGGGTTGCGATCGCATCTTGATGAGCCACTCATCTGCGGTGCTTGCTTCGAATAGACTCTCGTCGCACGGCAGACCGAGCTGGTTGGCAGCATGCCGCGTAGATGTGGGATTACCACTTGCTGACGAGACAAGTCCATCCAGGATATATTGCGCAAGAAGTGCTCTCCTTTGTATTTCGTGAGCAGCCCACGTCTTCCATTGACGATCCTTTTCTGCTGGTGATGCATCCATCGATGGCAAGTTTTCCAGGGAAAATGTGTCATTGTCGTACATTCCGCAGTGCCTTGCCCAAGAGAAACCTAGTGCATGGAATATTTGCGATGTCGTCCGAAGCGCGCGATTCTGACACGGTCAGCAGTTGCAGAACAGTCCCGGCCACAAACGACGTACCTTTGAAAGCGCAGCATAGACTTGACCAAGCAGAGCAGCTAGCACCAACTGAAGTCCATTACATGGGTCGTGCGGTCCTCTGTGGGTGATCAGACTTTGCCACTATGAGACTTGTTAGCGTTGTGATTTGCGGACTTGCACATATTTGACATACTGAAGTAGCAACAGCTGTGTGCGAAAGACGCCATAAGGCTTCGCCCTTCGCGATAGCGTCCTTAGGGCCAAGGTATAGAGATCCAATAGCAATTGCGTTCAATAACAGCGGGTGTGTACAATCTCTGAACACGAATGTCGCACGATGTAGAACGGGAAATGTGGGTATGAATCGGACGAAAAACATGTGGAGGCACTCATCCAGAAAGACAGAAGTGATAGACGTAGCCTCTGCTTCTGCAGTGATACTCGACGACTGAGACGATCAGCTAAGAACATTTGACACGACTGCGGCTCTTACCAAATTCGAGATCATCTTGCTAACACCATGGACAGCCTGGTGGCCACCACCATTGGGAATAGCCTTGATGGCTGACCCTCGATCGTCAAACGAGGTAGGCGAGTCAAGACTAGTCGGTGTAAATTGATCAAGTCCTTGAGGAAACGGCAAAGTCCCCACCGGCATTTGCGTAGTAGTCTCCGAAGACATGATTGACTGAAACAGCTCCTCGGAATCAGGCCAGATCAATTGGAAGTCAAGGTCCGTAGCACAATGCATGTCCATCATATCGGATTCCACTTGATATGATTGCTCATTCCAGGTTTGCGAGGTACCGTGATCTGATGGTGGCACATAACTGCGCGTATCGAGTTCTTCGTCAGTCGCTAGCAAATGCTGTAAAGCGTGAGTTTTCGCCGGAGTATTCGTCGAAGCGGCAGGGGAGGTGCATTTCATGCTCTCTCTTCGTAGATGGAGTTTCTCATGACGAGCCAACGAATCTTGTCGACTGAATGCACGATTGCACTCTTTGCAGGTAAATGGACGGACGCCTGTGTGGGAACGTTCGTGTCTCTAAAACGTGCATGTCAGGATACAATCTGCTGTTACACCAAAATCTAAGCCTACTGTCAAATGCTCTGCTTTAGAATAGATCCTTTGACAGAACCGGCATTCCAATTTCTTCGCTGTATTTGCGACACTTTCGACTGAAGCCATTGTGTGTGGTGAGTGGTGGAGAAAGGATGGAGGTGGTGGAGAAGGGATACTAAGGGCATACATTGCGGGGCAACGGAACGCGTAACATCCCGTCCAAGCCCTGCCCTGACCTCTACGGCCGACATCGTGTCTCATGGCAATCACATTCGGTAAGCATTCAGGTCGGGAGAAGTTTGGTACATAAATGGTTTCTCTGAATTTGTGAGAAGTATCGATTAAAAGCTAGTCGGAAGGCATTTGCGGGGGCAATATGAAAAGAATGATAGTAACTCGCCCCTCTCCAGGCAATTTGACTGTACAAGACTCTGTAAGGGCGCAGCCCCTAGAGTCACTGCCTTTGCCGGAGCTTCATGAATAGAATAAGTTCTTGACACGTCCCGAGTTACCAAACTCGATTACAGACTCCCAGTGCCCAATCATAAAGCCTTTCCCAACCACGAATTGAAGAATCCAGAAACGAAAAATGCATGGTCTGTTTAGTCCATACCTGAGTAAGATTCACCGTTCACTCTAGAACATGCTCTTTCTCTTCTCGGCTGCGCTAAGCACGCCCAACATCATGTGTCTGCGACCTAAGCCTTGCTGAATGGGGCTGGGAAGCTGCTTGGCGAAGGAGCCCATGTCAAAGGCATCGCCCTTCTCGCTGACAGGAGTCTGAACAGCACCACCGGCACCGAGGCCCTCAAGGCTGTCCTTGGAGCTTCTCTTAGCATTACGCTCACTACCGATGGGGCTCTGCTTGCGGAAGCAAGGCTCGTCCTCCTCCGACTGGAAGTGCAGTTCACGCTCGCTGATGGGGCTGCCGCGAGGAGATCCGCTGACAGCACGACGGAAAGAACCAGCACGAACAAGGTTATCGAGAGCACGGCGGCGTTGACGGGTTGCGAAGTTCTTGCTGCCCTCGTGCTTGCTTGTAGGCAAAGCGATGAGCTCTTCAAGCGGAGGTGGGCCACGAGGCTGACGGATAGGGTGTTCTCCAGCACGAGCAGCACCAGGTCCGAAGGTACCAGTCATGGGTGTGGGTGGGAAAACGGTCCTGGCTGAGCCGAAGGTAGCAACGCTGCTCGTCTTGGGTCCGTCTGACACACCAGTCAAGGCGTTGATTGCAAGGGAAGATGCCTTCTTGTGTCCACGGCGGAAAGCGTTGGCGGACGGAGGGGGCAGTGGCTCGACGTGAGCGAGACTTGATGCAGGCGAAGAAGTCTTCTTAGGAGGAGTGATGGAGCGAGAACCGGTGGGTGTAGGACGCTCGGTAGGTGGAGGTGAGATTTCGGCACGGAAGACAGGCTGCTGCTTCTGAGGAGTATCGACATTAAAGAAGCCGGTCTGGTTTTGCGAGACAGGAGACATGGGCGATTGAGCGTTGTTGTCGACAGCGTACTGGTACTGGCCGGTCATAGGGTTGTACACAAGGTAGAGACCAGGTTGACCAGGCACCTCGATGGGCGAGTGCTGAGCGCGCTGCTGCTGCTGCTGACCATAGGCGTTAACTTGAGGGGACATGGGCTGCTGGAATTGGTTGAGGTTCAAGCCTTGCAACTGAGCAGTGCTGGCAGCAGCCGTGATAGCGGCGAGCTGCTGCTGGAGTTGCTGCTGGCGCTGAGCGAGGAACAGGCTAGTGAGCTGGAGCTGCTCCATCACATTGGGGTCCATCTCGGCCTCCTGTCCGTAGAAGGTGGGAGGGGCCAAGACCTGCTCGGGCATAGAATACATGTGCTGCTGCTGCTGCTGCTGGTGTTGTTGTTGGTGTTGCTGGTAGTGATGGCGCTGCGGCTGCTGCTGCTGCTGTTGCTGCTGCTGTTGTTGACGGCCACCGTAGTGGTTGCCACCAAAGCTGGCAGTAGTAGCTGATTGGGGAACACTCTGCATGTATTGATTGTACGAGTTGGCGTCCATGCCACCAAGCTGGGACTGGTAGTCGATCTGGTTGTAAGGAGCGGAAGCCGGCACGGCCGGCGTCTTCGGGGCGGTGCGGAGACCGGCGAGAAGGTGGGAACGCGAGGTGCGAGGAGTAGGGTTTGTGTCAGAGTGGCTCTCAGCAGGGTTGATATGCTGAGGGAGGCCAACGCTGAGGCGCTTGTGGTTGTGGGATCCTCTGTTTCTAGAAGCAAAGCCAGAGCCGGGAGCGCCAAGGCCGTTGGAGGGAAAACCGTTAAAAGTCATCTGAGCGAGACCGCCAGCGTCTATGCTCATTATTACAGTTTGATTCGTGAGACCAGGGATGATCTGAGTCGAAATGATGTCGGTGATGCTGAGTGAAGATGGTGATGCAGAGGGTCGTTAAATGTGCTTCGTGCAGAAATGCGGAGCTCCGGTGGACAGTGAGTCGAAGAGCCGAATAGAAGAATGGCAAGCCGGGAAACTTGTCGTCAAGGTCGAATCTTGTACAAGAGTGAAGTGAGGGTCGACGGTGACCGTGGTGGAGGTGAAGTGCTTGACAAGCAGGCAGCTACACCAAGTGATGCTGGACTGAGATTACACAAACGGTCGGAGGGAACCGAGAGATCCGAACGGCCGATGCGGTATGAGATGTAGTCGACTAGATAAATGTTTGTCGGTATTTCAACCAGACAGATGTGTGTATGCGTATGATTACACTTCGAATCGAGTGTTTGTCGTGTTGCCTTACGGTGTGATGTCAATGAACCAACGCGTTTATCGGGACAGGGCTGTCAACAGGCACACGTTGACGCTAGTGCTTGAGACAGATAGATGCGTAGATGTGTTGTTATTTTTCGAAGTCCGGAGTGTCGGAGTGATGAGTGGTCAGGTGTCAGGATCAAGGGTTACTGTGATGTTGCTCTACAAGAACACAGCGACGGATGATGCTAGACAATGGAGCGCGTCGGCAGAGAGAAAGCGCCTTCTGTTTTTGAGGGATTATTAAATTGCAAGGGTCGACACACAAAAAGGTAAGAATGAAACAAGGCTGCAGTCACCAAATGAAGGCAGAAAGGGAAAGAAGGACGGCGCCGAGAGAGTTGTAAAAGGCACTGGAAAAAGAGAAAGAAGAAAGAACCCTTGGTGGAAGGGGTAGCGGCGGGAAAGTGCACAAAGCTCCTTCCTTCTTGGCGCACGCTTTCTGAACGAACACTCGGACCCCTGAGTCGGGTTCCGAGTGGAGACACTAGAGGCCCCTTTTCTGAAACAACCCTTGTTCTTCGTTTGTTCTCCAACTCGTTGCCCAAATCTCTCATCTGCCACATGACAGGTCGCCTCTCTGAGCGGCCAGTACACTAATGCGGCGTGGATGTTGCTGGCACCATGGGTTTTCGCATTGTACGGGCAGCCCTCCGCGGTTGAAGCTCCTGAATGAAAAAGCAACCGTCTTTTGAGTTTATGACCCGCGAACAAAGGTGCAAGCAAATTAGATGGATCGCCAGCCTTTGTTTTGATTGGTGCGGCCGTGCCAGCCTTTGACAGCCCGGCGCCTATGCACGCTTCGTTCACGTTCCAGCTCTCCAAAGCCACACGCCGCGCTTCTCTGGTTCCACTCATGTGGCCAGCACCCACAGTCACGCTTGGTCACAGAATGGCCTTGCATTTCTAGAAGACCTTGCTTCGAATCAGCACCTTCTGGCACCAGCTGAAGATATTCCTGGTATCTCGTGTCACACACGCGTACTGCAGCACGCGGCTTCTCTCACCTCACCACCTGCAGATCCTCCGCATCACGGCATACCACAGTTTATGAAACGCGCAAGAGGAGGCGTCGCAGATCCAGATATATTGTAGACTAGTGGTGTCAACGGCCGGCTCCCTGGGAATACTACTGAATTCAAGGAAGCTCGTGTGCGCGTTTCAAAAGCATCCTGACATTCCTGGAGACGAGACGGCACGGTTGTAGTCGGGGTAACCCTGGTTATGTGTATTCTCGCCCAAAAGAGCCTGGCCGAGAGAGGCAACAGTGACCTCCAAGATCATGATAGTAATTTCACAAGGCCCATTAAATGTACGGTGTAGTCTGAGGTAGGAGGTTGGTTCATGGGGACGCGGATCACGTTCCCCTTTGATTCACAACATGTGTTCAGGATTCTGCAAAAAAGAAAATGAACTGGCACTCAGGGTTCATGACCTTGGTTATTTGCAACCGTAAATGCTGGGTATTATTCTCAATAGCTCTAGTAAGTTTCCTTCGGTCCCTCCTTGCAATGGACCATCTACTCCTGCTCGTCCAACACGCGCTCCAATTCCTCGACCTCGACGTGGTCGCGAGTGTTTTGCATTCGCCTTGCCCATTTGATCTCGCCATCGACCCAGATGAGCTCACCACCGTTCTGGCTCTTCTTTCCGGAATCCGTGAGCAAGGTCATTAACGTATTTCCGGTCCCGATCAATGTTCCCATCAGGCTGTTCGTGATATAATTCGGTTTGTTCCCGAGGCCCAGGTTGCAAGTCATGCCGAGGGTATCATACGTGACGCGTGACGGGTCCGTATAGATCTCAAACTTGCAGCCCGTGCGTTGGATATAAGTCTGGATAAACGTATGGCTACCGCAACCGACAATGAAGAGCTCAGTCTGTATAGACCTAGAGGCCAGATCTTCAGGAGAGAGTTTGGCAGTCAATGCGCGAACATAATCGGCGCACGACTGTGGTTGGTCCACGGTCAGTATTGAGCAACGACGTCAGAACGTTTGGACGGCTTCGGTCAAGCTTCATACCTCGCAGTTGAAGTGACGGATGAAAATAACGATGGTTCGACGACGCGGCTTGTCACTGTGGGAACTCCAGAGGCTGCTGAACTTCTTCTTATCGCCATTCTTGTCCAGGATATCTACTTCGGCAACCTTTTCGAGTTCTGTTTGGGTCGGGAGGCGGGTCTGCGCCTGATCGTTATTGTGTGATTCTGCATCTGATTTTGTGTTGAGATCCGGCATAGTTCAATTACGAGAAAGAAGGTCTATTAAAGTATAAAGATGAGGTGTTCCAAGATGTTTGTCGAGAACTTGGTATGAAGATGAACAACAATCACATCGTGCCCAACAATGTGTGCACGGTCGCTGGAAGCCGTGGCGCTTAAATATTACACGTGAACAATTACTCGTGACGACATTCCTTGTGATACAACAAATGTTGTAACTCAAAATAGTTATTTGAGCTCGAGACAGGACAGTTTAATGTATGTGTTCCTCTTCGCAATCCAATCGCGATGTATACATTATACATTGAACCTATCGCTTTGCGGCCGTCCGAGACTGGGCTTTTCGATTCATCGGGGAGTTCCTCACGATGTACCCAATGGACGTAAGCTAATGATTTTGAGCATACTCCTATCCATAACTCTCTGATGTATATGGATGTGAGAAGGACCGATTGACTCAAGCCGTTGTAATACACCCAGTACTCGATGCGGAGTTTGGTGGCTCAGTGGTCGTCCATCTTCATGCGGACCTTCTTGGCTGCATGATTCATGTTGCCTCCCTATTCGAAGAGCCATATGGATCAAAGGCACATGTATCTTGTAGAGACCCGACGAGGCGTGTGCGGAGTGTATACGTTCAGATCTCCTTGACGCGTTTGGGTGGTCTAAGAAATGAGTCGTCTGGTAGACCACTTCTCTTCGTCCCTGGCAGAGAGCCTGTTCTGATGTCGTTGTCTTCAGAACTGACCTTGCGAGGGGGATACTTGTGCTCGATACCCTCAAAACAGTTCTTGGGAGGCGCGCCTGGAATATTGCTTTCGTCGTGTAGGAAGTATGGATGCTGTAGTGCATTCTCAGCGCTCAGACGATGCAGAGGATCATACTCGAGTAGCGACTTGAGCATCGCTAGTCCATCCCGGTGTGGCGCAGGCATATTCGCTGCAGCATACTGGCTGTTTCGAGTGAGATTATCCCACCATTTGTCAAGAGTTATCGGTCGCTGAACCGCAGGATTGCCGGCCGCCAGAGTCTGTAATTGAGGATACTCCGGCATCGCCTGCAAAAGTGGCCAGCTCTCCTTCCTTGGAATACCGAGTACTTCAGCAATCTTTCCCATTTGGTTTCTCTGGAATGGCACTGTCTTCTTCGAATCTTGCTTTGCCTCCTCACCTTTGAAGATCGGGCGCAAGCTTAGAAGCTCGGCGAATATGCAGCCGACTGCCCATGTATCTATTGCTGGTGTGTAGTGTCGACTTCCAAGAAGAAGTTCAGGTGCTCGATACCAAATAGTGACCACGACCTTATCACCACCGAACAAAGCTTGAAGGGGTTTGTAGAACAGTCGTGCGAGGCCCAAATCACCTATCTTGACCGAGCCTGCTGAGGTGACCATGATATTGGCTGGTTTGAGATCTCGATGCAGTACCCAATTACGATGCAAGTAGAGCAGCCCTTCAAGAAGCTGATACATGATAGAACGTAGAGTTGGAGCGGGGATAGGAGTTCGAGGATGTTGTGTGTGCCAGTGGATGATCTGCAGGAGGTCGTGTTCTGCGTATTCGAACACCATGAAGATGCACTTAGATTCCAGAATGATTTCGACAAGCGATATAACGTTCTCGTGGGATAGTTCTGTGCAAAGAGCCATTTCGCGTATAGCAGACTGCGAGATGCCCGTGTATTGCAACTCTCCTTCTTTGTCGGGCTTGAACCTTGATGCTACATGTTAGCTTCCAACAACACTATTCAGGACATTTGGCGTACTTCTTGATTGCGAACGCCTCTATGGGTCTGCCAGAGTTTCGGCTTAAGATAGGATGAGCCCCTCGGCCAGACTTGTTCCGGGCCTTGTAAACCCTGCCATAGGTACCGCTGCTGATGAAGCCTACTACATCGTAGTTGTCGTTTATCCGCCTCTGACTAGTGTATCCCATCGACGACATCTTAGAATCGGCGGGCTCTGTGAGTCTCGGTTAGCCGACTTTGACTTGATGTGGACAAAGGTGTGATTGGTGCGAACATGAACAGGTACCCCGACCGACGCTTTGCCAAAGTGTGCTTCATCAAGGGTGCCTTCAAAAAACAGAAATAGTAAATATTTGGAGTGGAGATGAAGGATACACCTGAGTATAAATGCACGTGCAGAGATGGAACTCAACTGTGGAAGCAGAACATACCGTTAAAAGCAGAGTGGACGGTTCTTTTGAGGGTTAGACTACCTCCTGACACGGAGGCAGGATTTGCATTTCTGACACTTGGGGCGGAGCTGGGCGGGTTGATGGTGGGAGCAGCAGAAGCGGTCACAGAAGGAGGCACGTTGGAAAGGGCAGAAGTCGAAGTGACCATTGCTGCGGTATAAATTATGCTTGGTTTATGCGTTACCCCACGGCGGAGACAGACGGTCGGGAGAGAGATGTTGAGTTTCAGCGTTGGGCCGAGCGGCGAGCTGGCGAGGTATCCAAGTTCCGAGTAGAGTGACTACGGCTCGGACAAACAGCGAAACATGCGGTGAAGGCAGGTGGGGATACGAGGAATAGAGAGCAGATGATCTGACCCGAAGAGTTGGCCCAAGGAAGAGTCCGCTGGCTTGGAGTTGGTGTGTTGGATTGACCATCAACGGAGAAGCGAGAGAGGGCAAGCTTCGCGGCTGCCACGGCCCGCATGTGACAGTCACGTTTCGCGAGCTTGCAGTTCCAGCTGGGAACGAGGGAAGTCGATATTGGCTGACCATGTCACTCTGACACTTTGACAGCAGCATCTTGTCGCAACTTGAAGTTTCTCATCCGAGGCTTCCATTGACCTAACACGCTTGGTTGAAGCGACAAGTCTTTGCAGCCAAAGTCTCTCGGGCTTCGAAGCAACATCCTTTGATCTGCCTCGTGAACTCTAAATCACCATGGAGCCCAAGTCGTGGTTCAAGGATCTTACGCCTTACTTCATCTACATCCTCCTCGTGTCGACCATTGGCCCTCTGCTGTTTGGCTTTCACCTTGTAGGCTCCCATGTTTCTCGCTATACAAAAGTGCCTCAAATCTGACAGACAACCCTCAGTCAGAGCTCAATGCGCCCCAATCGATTATAACATGTGAGAAGAAGTCCATCTCGTCCACACTCGCCCCGAGTCTGCCGCAATGCATCCCCATGGACTCGACCCAGTTTGGTCTGGTCTCATCCATCTTCACCCTGGGAGGCCTTCTCGGCGCCCTTGTAGCTGGGCCTGTCTCGGCTCGCTACGGTCGCTATAGATCCATGCTCTTCAGCACCGTCCCGTTCATCATCGGTCCTGTCTTCGAAGTCTTCGCTACCAACATCCCCATCTTCACCGTCGGCCGACTCATCAGTGGTCTTGGTGCCGGTGCTTCGGTCGTAATCGCTCCCATCTTCATTTCCGAAGTCGCTCCCCCGAAGGAGAAGGGCTTCTTCGGCGCCTTTACACAAATCATGATCAACATGGGCATCTTCATTGCCCAACTGCTTGGTCTCTTCTTGAGCAAAGGCTCCCTGTGGCGCATTATACTCGCTGTTGGTGGCGCTATTGGCATCCTTCAAGCTATTGGTCTCTTCCTCGGCGGTCAAGAGAGCCCCAAGTGGCTTGCCGACCATGGCAAGGAAAGACAAGCGAAACGCATCCTGCGCAAGCTGAGAGGCCATGCAGCCAACATTGAAGAGGAGGTCAAGGGCTGGGGTGTTGAGAGCGAACAAGACATGGAAGACGAAGAAGACAGCCTCCTTTCGAACCAAGATCGCATGCCCTCGGGCGGTCTCGAACAGAGCGGTCCATCGTCTGATGCATCCGCGGGCAAGAAGACAAAAGAGGCTGTCGAGGCTCTTGGTGCTCTTGCTGTGCTCAAGAACCCCGATTCTCGCCCTGCTGTCATTGCCGTAGTTGTTGTCATGGTTGGTCAACAACTCTGCGGTATCAACTCCATTGTCATGTACGGTGTCTCCTTATTGTCGGACTTGCTCTCCGCAAATGCTGCTCTTCTCAACGTCCTGGTCGCAGTTCTGAATATTGTTGTAACCACATCCTGTGCTCCTCTTACCGACAAGCTTGGTCGCAAAGTCTGCCTTCTTGCAAGTATTTTCGGCATGGGCGTTTCGTCCTTGCTTTTGGGTATTGGCATCATGAAGCACTTGCCCATCCTGTCGGCCATCACCGTCTTGACATTCGTGGCTTCGTTTGGCTTGGGCTTGGGACCCGTACCCTTCATCCTTTCTTCTGAACTTGTCGGTCCTGGCGCTGTAGGAGCAACCCAAAGTTGGGCACTGGCAGCCAATTGGATTGCTACGTTCGTCGTCGCGCAGTTCTTCCCTATTGTCAACGAGAAGCTTGGTGGAGGCAAGGTCTACTTTATTTTCGCCGCTTTCGCTGCCCTGTTATCAGCCTTCGTCTTCTGGGCTGTACCAGAGACGAAAGATAAGGCTGACGCCGACGAGGTCTGGGGTCGCAAGGCTGGAAGAGCTGTCGACTGAGTAGAAAATAATTCGTGCATCTTCAAGAGTCTTATGGTATGAACACAGACGCCCCAAAGGTACAGAACCAGTGGGCTCCTTCCCTTGAAATATCTCCAGAACATTGCGAACAAGTTGTAATTTCAAAGTAACCATGAAAACGTCATCATACCCATCGCTACTTCCTCTGATCAAGTGCATACGGACCCCTTCGTCACTATCGACCACTTCACTCATAACGCATCAACCCTTTAGCTCGAACATCATTCCATTCGCCAGGCATCATACAACATTCGATTAGTCAAAATCTCAATAAATTACACTGCAATGGAACTCCAGGATGACAGAGCGACCTCCCCACTGTCGACCAGTCCCCCAAAACCAAAAGACGCAGGAAACAAGCCCCCTGCCTCGCTGAGATTGGCCGTAGGAAAAAAGGCTGGCGTTATGACTGCAATCAACAAGGGGTTTGATGTTGCTGCGGAGACCGACAACTCAGCCCAGCCACATGCACAATCTGGGATTCCTGAACCGTCTTCTGGGAAGCCTGGTTTGATGATGAGTGCCATCAAGAGTCTTTCAGGTCACCACTCCTTCTTCGGCAAATCGTCACATAAAGGCCCGAGACGCCTATTGCCTCCCCAATTCCAAGACCAGACAACTGTGGGCACAAACCAGGATTTGGCATCGATGTCTGACGTCGCACTCTTCCAAGTACACCTCTATCACTGTCGACAGTCGTATGCGTACCTCGAAGAAATCGCGAGAAGGAGAGATCCGCAAAAGCCTGACTGGACTGCACCGGGTGATTGGAAAGTCTCTGGGACCGCGGCGGAAGAACCTCCTTCGACACAAACCCCTCCAAGGCTCCAGGACGTTGGTTCGCTGACTTCTGTCAATGAAGGACTTCCAGAAGTTCGAGACGTTGGTTCACTTGCTTCTGTCGGCGAGGGGCCTTCAAGGCCTCGAGATCTGGGTTCGCTCGCTTCTGCTGATGAGAGCCCCTCGAGGCTTCGAGACGCGGGTTCACTCGCTTCTATTGTTGAAGGACCACCTGCCACAAGAGCGTCTGAGCAAACCAGAAAAGATTCTCCGACACAGAGATTCAAAGGCAGTATTGGATCTGCTGGGAGAAGGTCGTTTTCCAAGGTCGTGCGAGGTACACCAGTGGCAAGGTCAGTGACAACGTGATCGCCCAAAACGTTAAGCTGATGATCATGAAAGCAGAAAACCAGTGACCCAAAGGAGCCGAACGAAAGTCAGGAAAACGAAATCCAGAGTTCTGGGGGTCGCATATCACGGTGTACATATAAGCGAGGCCCAACGTCGTGCCATACTTGCAACAGAAGTCAACCCACATGTACGAGAGCCTGTCATATCCGAAGTTGTCTCTGGTCTCAACGGTGACGATTGGCAAGATTCCACAGACTAGGTGTCTGAACCGGATATCGAGTCTGCCAGGCTGCCATCCAAATCGATTTCCGTTGTCAAGATCGAAGCTTGCTGGGAGACCGGAACGAACCTACTTCACTTAGCTTTGAGAACTGCTATTCCTCTGCAAACGTCCAAGACATCGAAGACTCAATCGAGGGAGGACAGCCAGGATGTAGGCTCCGACCGGTCGTCTGGGACATCGCAAAAGCAGAGAGTAGAACAACATGAGCAAGACTTTACACGTCAAACCATCCGGTCTGGAAAACAACCACAAGAGCGGCAAGACGGTTCTGCTGGCTCGAGTACTGCTGACTTGGCAGACCAAGAGGACCTGGCAGAGAGAGATGACCTGGCGGATTACGACCAATCGATCGATTCTCTAGATGGCTGGAAAGATGTCAAACCTAAACATGTCAGCGTTTTGACCAAGGGGAGCGTCAGAAGGGTTGCATGTTATGGGTCAGCCAGGGGTTTGACCAAGGGAGGCGTCAGAAGGGTTGCATGTTATGGGTCAGTCAGGGGTGGCAAAAGGAAACCGCTACATCTGAGCATCAACGAAGCACTATCAGCAAACAAATCTGGTGAGTACATGGCCTTGTGTCGATACGTGAAAGACTTGGCTGATCTCAATGCCTCTCCAGTTCACGGACAGCTGCGCGGGGGCAGTAGCGACTCATCGCGACCACCATCCACACCGCGGCCAGCAAAGGTACAGCCACGTCCGCTCGGCGCTCTAGTGCATCTGGAAGACTTACACAAGGCCGGGGACATGGATTCCAGTCACATCGAAGACATACACGGTAAGTGATAGAGATCTTTTGTACAAAGATTCGACGACTGATACGACGGAAACAGTGCGACATCCAGAAACCATAGATCATTCTCCTGGATTCGATTTTGCAGCAGCCGAGTCAATGGCCGAGACAAACCACGCATCTATGTCCAACGGACATACGATGTCCACCAATACAAGCTCTCGACGCACACGCGCACACAATTACGTCGAAAAACCTTCCAGCTACTACAGGGCTCCAGAGATTCAAGCTACGGGCAAGAGTTTGGATCGAAGCATGAATCAAGCACCGCAGAACATCGGCCTGGGCATCGGCCTGGACATCGGCGGATGGGGTGACCAAAGTACTCATCAAAGTAACGAGTGGGACGCAGAGGAGATGACAGAGAATCCCAGGGTTCAGAACTACTCGTCTAGGTCCACGACTTCGGTGATGCGCCGCAGGAGTCTGAGGGTCGAGCACGTTCCAGACATTCCACGTTGGGACGATCCTGTGTCGGCGGTTCGAGAAGTGCTCATGGATGGCGGGCTTTTGCTCCGAGCAGGGCATACAGGGCTGATGAGGGTGACTGTCGAGCAGGTGCATGCTGTCAGAGAGAGAAGGAGACGCGAACGCGAAGGTACGTTGATGAGATCGGCATCCCCGGGCCGAACCGCAGCATGAAACGTGCACGTCGCAGTGCAGGAGTCCACAGTATTCGCTAACATGAACACCTCCAGCGAGAGACAAACACGATCGCGAACTAGACGACTACGTCGCGAAACGGGAAGAGCTCCAGCAGAGAGGAGAGCTCACAGAGCTAGCATCAAACGACGGTGCATCGGAAGCAAGCGGCAAGCAAGCGACGACAAGCACACAAGCCCGCTGCGTTGGCGACTCGGACAGTGACGGTGACAACTCCAGCTCAGGCTCTGATAGCTCTGTGCGCACTGTCTTCAGACTCAGAGACGGCAATACCACGCCAAGGCCCAGCGACACTATTAGTTTAGGAAAGATCGAATCACGCCCTCTTCCACCAATCCCCACCTTCCCTACCTCGGACCCTCTCAAATCGGCGCATGCAGAAGACAATGAGGAGTTCGTCTCACTGAACGATCCGTCTATCAAGGTTCATATTGCGCACGCGCTCGAATCCCTGTACACTGGTATTATGGCTGCTCAGAACCCAATGGCCAATGCCACAGCCCCATATACTTTGGGAGGAAGCATGCCCTCGGCAGGACACCATAGCGACATGCAGCACATCTGGACCCTGGTTCAAGAATTGAGCTCGGTCCTACAACAAAACCGCGAGCGCACCGACGAGCTCCAAGACGGCCTCGCACGCGCGCAGGTACGCCTCAACGACAAAGAGATGTGGGATATGCTTCGTTTGCTCACACAGTCGTTCCTAGACCAGACCCGCTGAGAATGGCCTTCTGACTAACGGAGACAATGGTACGGTCCTTTCTGCTTTGGTTCATTACGCATGGCGTACAGCGCTTTAGATACCCTTTTCATTCATTATTGCTCTCACCGCTCGTTAGCTAATACTCAAGCTTTATTGCTTTGCAGCCTCTCATGCCCCCCAACATGCTCCTTCTGATGTCGATGCCTCCGCTATCCAAGCCCAGCTGTCAGACGCACTGTCTCGCATCACAGAGTTAGAAGCCGAGTGCAAGGATGCCAATGAAGTCATCGATTACGCAGAAGAAATCGTCGAGAAATTCAAGCAACAAGTCCAGGAATATTCTCGCAGCCATCAGAGCGCGACTATCGGTATGGCCTGCACCTTCCTTTGACTTCACGCCTACGAGTACTGACCTTTTACAGCTCTCCACGCCCACTACAACTCCCTCCTCGAGACCTCCCGCAACGAAACAATTCAAGCCCAACTTACACACCAAGCCTGGCAAGCCTCCCTACTACGTTTATCCGAATACCTACGCCTAGCTCAACGCGCACACGAAGAAGGCTCACTACCATACCGCCGCCGTATCGCTGCTCTGAAGGAGGAAAACCGCATACTGCGCGCCAAAGCTGGCTGGGAGCCTGCTAGTGAAAGCGAGGGCAGTGACGACGAGGATGATGTGTTTGATGAGGGCGTTGAGGCCGACTCCGCCTGAAAGATTACTTGAGAAATGTCGATTAGCAGCATGGGTCATCACCTGGAGTTCACAAGGCGAATGGAGTACAAGAATTGCCGTCGGATTTTTACAGGTGGCATCAACAGCGCCAGTAGCGCTTACAGAGTTTTATATTGCACTGACTTTACATTGTTCTTTCTCTCGACAGCTTTTGCAGCTCGCGATATCTTGCAGGTGGCCACTGCAAACCCAAACCGTCCTGGACCATTGACCGTGGATTTTGGCACTGCAAAACGTCGAAACTACCGCATTGAGCGCCTCACCGTGCCCACCGATGAGCTGGCCTCGCACGACCGTGTGACCGAGTCTCTCGGTGCAACACACAAAGTCTATGACAAGCAAGGTGCTTCTGGCTTTGATGAAGATGTAGAGGCCAGTCCTAAGGTACCAGCTGCAATCGAGGGCAATTGGACCGACCTTTTCAAAGGCAGAACAACTCCAAGACCAAACGATGTTGGACCTGACAAAGGGAGACTCAGCGAATAGCGTCCAGAGGCTTCTCCAGTGTTCCAATGCTAGATATCTTTGTAGTCCAGCAATCAGGTATGGCCATATAAGGTCCCCCTGATCCCCTTCCATAGGTCTTCAATCGTCAGCAGATTTATAAGCCCGGACGATCTGAAGAAGCAGTAAGTTGATCAATCACGTACATACTAATGCCAATGCTGACCAGACGTATAGATTGATGAGTGTCCTTTCGCTTTCGACGTCGCTCGACGATGGACCCGGGTCGTTGAACGGTACTGCTTCTATCGAAGGTATAGCTTCTATCGACGCCAGTTATATAGCGACCTCGAAGGCTCTTTGGTCCCACAGATGCTCAAGATCTTGGGCATTCGCAAGCTATACGATGCGTAGGCTCTATTTCTTCGACGCCTAAGTATAGCAAGAGATGAGGACTAGTTATAAGGTCCCTGTCCGCCGGCAAGACCTTGTTGATGGCATTATACCCGATGCGTTTTGCGCTGCGCAATGCCAACCAAGAAAAAGGAGCCCTAACGGCCCCTGTAATCGAACTGGCAGTCGAGATCTTTACGCTCGTTCGAAGTCTTATATATGGATCGCCGGTGCGCAGTATGGTTATATATAGAGGTCTATCCCTCGGCGATTTGATCGAGCAATTCTTATCCTTACGACTTCAATTCCAAGGATCGTCAAATTTGCATATCGTCCAGAATCGACCAGACCATCAGTTCTCCAGAACAGTGCTACTACTCCTCAACATCCTTAACATCATGGACGATGGAGCCAATCTTGATGCAAGCTCTAAAGCGAATCACAAACCTGGAAACTGAGAATGCCTAAGAACGAGACCGAAAGAAGAGCAGCGCAGCACGCGTGGGATCATTCTTATAACCGTCAAGACGAGATGCAAATTAAATTGACATCACTCAAGAACAAGATCTATATATCTCAAAGTATCATCGGTACCCCCGGCAAGATCCTGTCGCTACTATTTAATCCCTCTAGGTCTCACTCTTCGACGAGGGCGACGTTCTACTTTATACGTCCTTTTATGTTCTAGCTATACCAGATCAAAGGCCTTTATCTCCGGCGCTTTCTTGACAAGAGTTTTTACGTCGAGCTTTAACGCCCACTCAATTGATTGTCTTTTTGGCCTGACATCGAAGGTCCTAAACGTAATAACGATGGAATGCGACCAAACTCAGCTCACGAACTTCGACGAGAAGTGGTCTACAATCTCGCTAGTACAGCAATGATGAACAACGTCGTCAAGATTTTGCAAGAGGGTGAATTCGACATGAGCCAACCTCTAGTCGTCTTTTGCCCGCGAATTGCGATGGTCAACCGCTTCCACCAACAGCTTCTTGCGTTCGCAGATCCTTCTAACGAGTCTTCGTCTATCTTTAAGCTCCACGGAAATATGCAAGACTATGATCGCAAGCTTGCTATCGAAGGGTTTAAAAAGCACACGAGGACAAGTCATCGTGTGTACTTTTGTACGTTTGTCGGCGACTCGGCGCATACGAAACTCAACACAAGCCGGATCCCATACACACTGTATCACGAAGAAGCCTTTCCTGAAACCGGGGTTGATCGCACGTTGGTAGGTCTACACAAGTGACAATGTCGTGATACAATTTGATTCGTCAGTGATACATGAGGAGGGAAGAGTGTCTACTCAGCGACCCAGACGGCAGCCATGCCCATGCCGGTTCCGACACACATGCTGGTCACACCGACCTTCTCGCCCCTCCGCCTGAGCTCATAAAGCAATGTGCTGACTTGTCTGGCACCGGTGCAACCAAGAGGGTGACCGAATGCAATAGCACCACCCTTGGGGTTGATCTTCTCCATAGGGATCTGCAGCTCCTTTGCACACCACAGACATTGCGAAGCGAAGGCCTCGTTGATCTCCCAAATGTCGACGTCGTCCTTGCTGATACCGGCCTTTTCCAGAGCAACGGGAATGGCCTTCCAGGGACCGATACCCATGAGAAGTGGGGGTACACCGACGACTGATGCTGCGACGTACTTGCCGAGGATCTGCTGGCCGAGCTTCTCGGCGGTGGAACGCTTCATGAGCAGTACTGCGGCAGCACCGTCGGAGATTTGTGAGGCATTGCCACCGTGAATGGAGCCGTCCTTTGCAAAGGCAGGGCGGATCTTGCCCAGAGACTCGGCTGTGACACCTGCTCTGACACCGTCGTCCTTGCTAACGGTAATCTCCTTTGTCTCGTCGGTCTTGGGGTCGGTCCACTTGACCTTGAGGGGGGCGATCTCCTCGTCGAAGAGGCCCTTCTTTTGTGCCTCGGTGGCTTTGGCGTATGATGATGCGGCGAATTCGTCTTGGTCCTTGCGGGAAACGTTACGGTCCTTGGCCATCTGCTCGGAGAGGACTAGTCAAAGTCAGTGGATGTGCAAGACGTTCGGGGAGGATGAAGACCGACCTCCCATGGGCACCTTGCACTTAGCGGCCTCCTTGTGGTTCTCGAGAAGCTCCGAGAACTCTGTGACAGCTCCAGGACCGTACTGACTGCTCATGCTCTCAACACCAGCACCGATACCAATATCGATCATGCCGGTCTTGATGGCATTGGCAATCTCGACACAAGCTTGCAGGCCCGAACTGCACTGACGGTTCAACGAGTGTATACTTGTGCTGTCAGGGAAGCCGGCAGCCAAAGCGGCAGCACGGAACTCGGTGGCACCACCTCCAGGAGGTAGCACACTGCCAACGGCGATATCCTCGACCAGCGAAGGGTCAATCTTTGAACGCTCAATGAGTGCTTTGAAAGCTCCGTGGAGAAGGTCTGCGGCGGGTGTGTCCTTGAAGCCTCCCTTTCCTCCCTTGGTCAAGGGTGTGCGGAGACATGCCGTTACGACAATATCATCGGGGCTCTTCTTGAGGATGGCATCGCGGTTCGGGGCCAAGTCGGACTCTGATGACTTGAGGTGAGTCTCGATCAATGACAGACGCTCAATAGCTATATTTCCATCATCAGCTTGATTTCAGCCATGTGTCGATGTCCTCCTTCACATACCGACCGAGTTCTTTCCTGTTTGGTTGGCCATGTTGTTTTTTGTGTGCAATTCTTGAAAAGTTACAAAGGACTAGATAAGAGCAACAAGAAATGGGAAGGAAACAGATAATCAGCTAGGGCAAGGGCAGATGATGTATTGTCTGGAGAGATGCCGAGGTTCGGCTCGGCCTCCTTCACATGCTCGTCGCTCGCGAGTCTTCTTGGCATTGACCTCTCCTACATCTTCAATTCTTTGATCATGCTGTACTTTGTTTGTCAGAATGAAGGCGGTAGCTTCGGTCTCCGATATACACGTGTGAGAGCCTCGGAGAAACATATGTAAGTAATAGCCAAGGTCACCCGTCAGAACTTCAAGCAAACGATGAGCCTACGTCACCTTTTGAACAGATACTTGACAGCAATTACACTCGTCTTTGGCCTCAACATGCCATCAGGCCAAGGCATACACGCAGAAGTGGAAGCAAAGTTGATAAAAAGCAAAGTGTGTTCATATGGTAGCTACTTTTGAGGCTCATCCCTGGTTGGTATCATTGAGCAATAACATTTCTCTCAAATCCATAAACTCCATGTGTTAAAACAGCAATACCATAGCTCCGTTAAATCCGTTGGCCCTTTTAATCATGCAAAACAGCTAGTAAAGTAAAGAAAGAAAACAAGAACAAGACAAGAAGGAAAGGAAAACTTCAGGACATATCAGTGTGATATGAAGTAACAAGAGAAAACAGGTCGACACAATCATCTGGCGATGCGGCTGCCATCGTACTCGTTCTGAACAAGGTCAACGTCATAGTCAGGCAGCTCGGACTTCTTGAGATGACCAGGCAGGACAGTGCGGCATGTCAGAGCATAGCGCATGAGGCCCTTTGGGCTGACACCATGCTCAAACCACTTCTGAAGGTGAGCGCCACGCATGATGCAAATATCTCCATGACCGAGTGAAAGCTTGATGTAATCGTCGACCTTGGTATGGCTCTTCTTTGGAGGGTACGATGCTTGCAGCTCTTTGGCCATCTCGGCAAGCCGGGCCATTTCTTCATCCTTGGACAGATCGGCGTTTTTGATCTCTTCGATGAATTGCTTACGCAGTTCGTAATTGGGGAACTCGGGCAACGGCTCGTCCATAGTCATGACGGTCATCTTCTTCCCCTTGTGTGTGGCGGACCTCATACCGTGGTAGAAAGGCGCCTTAGGCTTGAAACCCATGTCAGCACGTGCGCCAAGCGACAGAGTAGCGACTGTGGCACCAAGTCCTTTTTCTCCGTCATCATGATAGTTCATCGACTGGTCTTGAAGATAGGCAACCAAGTACAGCTCGTTGAACTTTTCCTGGTCCTCGATAGCGTTTCCTGAAGTGATTCTGTCGGCCCAGTTCAACCGAGATACAGCTTCCGTGACGGGCCAAGGCGCGTCCGTAAAAGGAAGGCTGTCGCCTGCGGCAATGAACTTGTACGGCATGCCGTAGTTGATGGTGAATGAGTTCATGAGAGCATTAGATAGTTCTCTGCGCACCAGTCCGTGACAGTTGCCCTGAAGATGTTCCCACATCTCGTTCGGACCTTCCTGCTCCTCGCGCACGACTTGATTTGCGATTCCATGAACCACTTCGCCTTCCTCAGTGGCTGAGACTTTGAACTTGTAGGTGATCCAGCGGTAGTTGTGAGAAAAGTTTACAGACACCTTGATGTGAGGAGACGCAGAGTCGTGCGAAGAGGGGTAGGCTGTAGTGACCGGGTGGTTCTGGTTCTGGATTGAGGCTGCTGGGAGAAGGTTCATGACTGGCTTGTGTTCGAAACCACAGTGCGTGCATTCCCAGCCTTCCCACTTGACGCGAGCATTGCATTTACCGCACACAGGGCAAGTCAAACCACGAAGGTTCTCTACCTTGTAGTCTTCGCCTGCGATCGCAGAGGCGAAATACAGGGGGAAACGGAAAGTGAGAGGTGCCTCTTCGTTTGCCCATGGGGTCTTCTGCTTCAAGAAACGAGGGTCGTAAAGGAGCTGTGTAGCATCTGGTATGCTGTCATCAGACAGGCGCCAGAACTTGTCGCACTTGCTGTTGAGGCACAACCAACCACAAAGATATAGCTGGTCGTATTGATTGCCGCACGAACCGCAGCAATCTCTGACGGGTGGTCCAAGTGCACCGAGTCTGACGATCGGTTCGGTGTTTTCAGGGACCCACCAACCAGGAGTGCTTGGGTCGAGCCTTTCGAGACGGTACTTGATGACCTTGTATCTGTCCTTCTCGGTCCATACATGAGTGGCCTTGTACCAGTCGAGAGAGTTGTACTTGTGTGGCATCTTGCTTTGTACTTGGATGTTCTTGTCGCCACAAATCACAGCGATTGGGCTTTGCTGGTTGATGGCGTTGACCATTGCATGATATTGGTGCTTTTGTTCTTGGTCTTCACGCTGCTTCATGCTGTTGTCGTCATCTTTTGCCATGCTGCCACTAGCTCGCAGGATGATGACGTCTTCATCCAGGTGGTCTCTTGCGTGACCATTGCCGTCGAGCATGAATGCTTTTGCAACGCCATTTTTGCCGTAGTAAGAGCCTTGCCATGATGCATAGAGCCCACTAAGACTCTCACAGAGGTGATGGCGATAGTCTGCCCAAATTTCTGGCTGACCCCTAGGGTTTGGCTTCTGCTTGATGGATACCTTTTTCGTCAAGTCCACAGAGAGTGCGACCAAGTCATTGAAAGTAGTCTGAGTCTCGGGAAGTACGACCTCGGGCTCGAATGTAAGGCTGGATGGAGGTGTGTGTTCCTGGGGCAGTGCCAGGGCTGATGGTCCAGGGATGGACGAGGCAGGAGTTGCTGGTAAAGAGCTTGATGGTTCAGAGGCCGACGGTTCGGGCACGGACAGACCAGGCACTGAGGTATCCATAGTCGATGAGTGGAGTATTTGACCAAGTCTCTCTGCATCGACCTTGATCTTGACAATCTTGGACTTCTTGGACTGGTTTTCGACAAGAGACATCGACTCTTCGACCTCGTTGCTCGAGGCGGGCGACTCGTCGGATCCGGGTTGAGCAGTCGTAACAGGCTCGGGTGATATGGCAACATCCAGCGTCTGCTTGCCACGGCTTCGAGTCTCGCGGACTGTCTTGGGCTGTGAGACCTTGCGCTGCTTTGTAGGACGCTCAGACACTTCAGGTACTTTATCTACTTCAGGCTCCGTGATAGTGCCAAGATCGGGGTCTTGCGAGTATCGAGCAGGTCGCTTGCGCTTTCGGTCGGATCTGCGAACGTAGATGTGGACGTCAACGGGTGCCATCTCGGCTGGAGCCACGTGAACCGTATCAGCCACTGCGTTGTCCGAGACAGAAGTGACTGGTGATCCGATCTCTTCCATCGAGTTCTCAAGCATGAAGAGGTCTCCCATATATTGAGGCATCGATTGAGACTCGAAGTCTCCCGGAATGGAGCTCAGTGGTGAGCTGGGAACTCCTGTGTAGCGTGGGGAGGCGTCATCCTTGTCCTCAAAGTTGACAAACGAATCATGTCTTGAGTCCATGTTGAAGTTTGAGACAAGAAGATGTCGCTGGGGTATGATAGCCACCAAAGCACGTGCAAAGCGTAAGACAGCAGGCTTTAGCGGATAGAAGAGCTGCTGACACAGAAGAGGGATATTCTGTCAAGAGCCAGCACGTGGAGTCGCACGCAAAAGCAGGCTTTTTGTAGGAGCGTGTGCTGTTGCAGTTACCGTTTTTGGAAGATGTGAGAACAGAACGGTACAGCTGGAGACAAAGTCTGGCGATACCAGTGATGTGCTGTTATATCTTCTGCAAGTCAGTAGGGAGGAATGAGGCCGCCGGAGAGTCATGAACATACACAGTTGGTGATACGAGAACAAAGTGTCTTCTGTGTGCAGAGAAGATACAGGCGGTAACGTTCCGACGCTGTTCAGGTCTGGTCGGAGACAGAACCTATATACTATGGAGTGTTGTGTCAGCACGTGTTATGCATATGAAGACCGAACAACACGCGTCGTACATATGGCTTTGCAGAGCAGATTGGTAGCGCACGACTGAGGCACGTGGCATGTATCTATCTTTGTGGTGTCAGTTGGGTTCACGTGGTGCAGTAAGCATTAAGAAGCACATGAAACAGGAGATAGACGGTGGTGATGATGGCGATGGTGAGCAAAAGACGAGTCTCGTCGCGTCTTCGATGACCTTGACAAGAACTTACCAAAGTTTGAATGGTTGATAGTGAGATGGGGGTGTGTTTGGCTGAAGATGTACTCAGACTGAGTATCCTTGATGGATGGAAAGACAAAGGTCGATGATCACTGGAAGGCTTGGAAGAAGTCGTTGAAGAATCTTCGAAGAGAAAACAGACTTGATGTCAATCTTCTATGCCTTCTTAGGAAAGAAGCAGAGAATAGTTTGGAAACAGAGATGTGCAGGAATACAGAACGAAGGATAGAGGTTGGTTGTAAGATGACTCAAGTTGCAACTTTGGTAGCGCAAAGTCAAAGAAGGGTTTCTCTGACCGCAAAGGTGGTGTGAGGAGTCGAGAAAAGACGCTGAAAGGAAACAGACCAGTTACCTGAGTGGTGTTTCAGAAGCCTGGAAAACTGGACGGTTCTGCAATCTTCAGAATGAAACGGCGGGTGGTATGGAAGGATGTACTCGGTCAACCTGTCAAAGCGACTCGAATTTCGGATGTGGGATCCGAAAGCTTGATGACGCATGGGGCCGTGCGCAATTCGGTTCAACCCCGCAGGCCACCAGAGCGGGGATGACATGAGTCCAGGGCAGATGGTGATCGCCGCAACAATGGCTGACAAGAAGGCCGAGGTAGATGTGCAATGTAGGTCGTACCAAGAATTAACAAAACTCGCCATGCCCCTCCACGGCCATTTCACCTCATTTCGCGCCCGACATAGCCACCAGCATGCCATTCTACGCTCCAGAGTGGGTGCCCAAACTCCCGTTCGATGTACCCGACTCCATCTCGATAGACAGGTTCATCCTGGATGAGAACTTCGACCGTCATCCTCTAGGATACTCTAGACCACCTTTCACCTGTGGATTGACAGGCAAAGAATACAGCGCATTGGAGGTTAAAGAACGAGTCGACTTTCTGGCCAGAGGATTGAGTCGCGAGCTCGGTTTCCTTCCAAATCAGGGATCAGAGTGGGAGAAGGTTGTCGGTCTGTTCAGCATCAACACGGTGAGTGCCAGTGTACATGTAACAAGCTCGGCTCTCAGGTATCTGATGTCATGCAGATCGACACATTGACCCTCGCATGGGCGACACACCGCATCGGCGGTATTCAGACACCAGCAAACGCAGCCTATACCGTCCAAGAATTGGAACACCAGCTTCGTGACTCCGGTGCCAAATGTCTATTCACTTGTCTGCCTTTACTGGACCTGGCACTGCAAGCGGCGAAGACTGTCGGCATTCCTGATAGTCGCATCTATCTGCTCGACGTGCCCGAATCGCTTGCCGGCAAGAAAAGAGACGGGTACAAGACTCTTGATCAGTTGATTGGTGAAGGCCAAAAGCTGGCAAGACTCGAGGAGTTGAAATGGTCCAAAGGCGAGGGTGCAAGAAGGACAGCATTCCTGTGCTATAGCTCGGGAACGTCGGGACTCCCAGTAGGTCTTTCATTGGTCACGATTCGGATGAGAGATGCTGACCGAAGAACTAGAAAGGAGTCATGATCAGCCATAAGAATGTCATAGCGAACGTTCTCCAGATGCGAGCCTTCGAAGATCCATGGAGAAAGACGTTGATCCAGCCAGGCAATCAATCCGACTACACCGAGAACGTCCTTGGACTGGTGAGTATCGAGGCGACACCTACTCCTTGTTCAAAGAAGCCAAGCTGATCCAGAACTTAGCTTCCTCTTAACCATATCTATGCTCTGATTGTTGTTGCACATTTGGGTGCGTACCGCGGCGACGGAGTCATCATCCTGCCCAAATTCGAGTTCAAGAGCTTCCTGGAAACCATCCAAACATACAAGATCAGCAATCTGTATTTGGTCCCGCCAATCATCATCACGATTACCAAATCGAGAGATGTGGTAAAGCAGTACGATCTTTCTTCTGTCAATAGCATCTTTACTGGTGCAGCGCCCTTGGGTGAGGAGACGGCAGAAGATTTGCAGTCCATGTTCCCTGGATGGGCCATCAGACAAGGGTATGGAATGACTGAGAGTGCGACGGTAGTATGCTCTACCATTCCGAGCGATGTTTATTTCGGATCTTCTGGAAGTTTGTTGCCTGGAATTGAGGCGCGTATTGTCACTCCGGAAGGCGAAGAGGTGACCAAGTATGATACGCCTGGAGAACTCTGGGTCAAGGGCCCTGCTATAACGCTGGGCTATCTCAACAATCAGAAGGCAACTGGGGAAACGTTCGTAGATGGATATCTGAGGACTGGCGACGAGGCTGTTGTCAGGAAGCATCCCAAGTCTGGTCATGAGCACATCTTCATCGTCGACAGATTGAAGGAGCTCATCAAGGTCAATGTACGTGTTTTTGGGTCGACGTTACTGTTGCGATTACTGACTCGAATAGGGATTGCAAGTTGCGCCCGCCGAGCTCGAGGCACATCTTCTCACGCATCCCGCGGTTAATGACTGCGTCGTTATCGGTGTACCGTCGGATCGTGAAGGAGAAGTCCCGAAGGCGTTCATCGTCAAATCACCCTCTGTTGGTCTTGAAGAGTCTGACAAGATGGTTGCGCGAGATATCGCTCGCCATGTGGAGCAACATAAAGCGAAGCACAAGTGGCTGAAAGGTGGGATAGAATTTATCGACATTGTCCCCAAATCGCCTTCAGGCAAAATTCTGCGTCGTCTGCTAAGGGACAAGGAGAAGGAGAAGAGAAGAAGCCAGGGAGCGAAGCTGTAAGTTTGCTTGTACGATGTCGTTTGCGGATAGTTCGAATATGGCTTGTACGTACCGCTTGTACTCAATGTTGAACCACGAAAGAGCTTCTGAGGTATCACGATCCCAAACAAGTTGCCACTGTGAAGCAGCTGTCTTTGTTGCGAAGGAGTCCCCGTCTTTCAAGTCAACGTAGCATGAGAATGCCACTATGAGGCAAGGCTCGCTTTCTTGCAGACTAAGTTGGGATGATGCACAGTTTGATCTCCTGACGAAAGTCCTCTGCTCAAGCAAGGAGCTCTGCTCATTTTACTTGTAATCTGCAAAGTGCTGCCTCTTATGTGGCCCGATGTGCTATACATTCGTGTTGTCTGATTCTGATTGATACAATGACGAATCGACAAAAATATATATCAAGACTCACGAGCTCCTCCGCTCTGGACTTGCATGGCGGTGTTCTTGGCAGCGCCATGACGGGTGGTTGGTGCCTTCGTACTCTACATCACGGGGCTACTCGTACGTCCAACGGTGGGCCGTTGATGAATGAGCGGACAAGCAGTTACATTAGTTCGACCATGAAGGAGGTTGGTGGTTCAGCGGACGTTGTTTTCTTCCTTCTTGCATATTTTCCAAGATAGCAAGGCAGCGTGGTCTTCTCTCCCAACGCGCGTCGACATCATAGGCCGGGTCCAGTCCGCAAAGACCACCATTCGAACAATCGCATATACCTCGCATCGACCTCCGAGTAGCTTCCCCCGGCCAGCGCCCGCCCGAGACTGGGCACGGGCATATCGCTATTTCGCAGAATGAAGCCGAGACATTCACAGACCAACAAAGCGGCCATTCAGGTCATATGTCTTGTAAGCAAGCTCCTTCCCCACGCGCTGGTGCTACCCCACAGATCTGACTATTGTTCTTGCACGCCTAGGGCTCAGGAGGAGGACCCAGCGAAGACAATGTGACGGGCCTCTTGGTCCGGTCGACGGCTACTGATTGGGCGCGAGGCTCGCTGCTGGCCGTCGATGCTGGATCACACCTTGCCGCCATCACACGCATCCTCGAGAAGAACCTCCCCAATGAGGCACCCGCTCCGGAACTGCCTCCTCAAGACATGGAAACGGATGGTACCTCGTCTCCGACCTCATCACCCCCGACTAGGAATCCTATACAGCCAAAGACGTTACCCGAGCCCATCATCTTAGACAACGGTCCTTTCGCCGGCCTTTCTCTCCCCCATGCCTCTGCTCGCGCCAACGCAGCCCATGTCGTACGCGCACACGTCTCGACCTATCTGATCACCCACCCTCATCTTGATCATCTCGCAGGCTTTGCCATAAACACAGCTGCCTTCCATGCCACGTCGCGCCCCAAGAGACTGGCAGCCCTGCCATTTACCGTCGAAGCCATCAAGAGGCACATTTTCAACGACGTGATATGGCCGAACTTGACCGACGAGGATGGAGGTGTGGGCTTTGTCAGCTTCCAACGGTTAAGAGAAGGTGGCGATATCATGGTTGGGACAGGAGAGGGCAGGGGATACATTGAGGTGTGCGATGGTCTTGGTGTAAAAGGCTTCAAGGTCAGCCACGGCAACTGCATGAAGGAACCTCAGCCGACCCGTTCGCAACGTGGTTCTCTAGGCAGTATTTCGGAACCGGATTACTCTGCATTCAAGGGCCCGGATCATCGCAACTTGTCGATACCCTACGTCTTTGGCACCCCGGGCGAGCAAACTCCAGGCCAGAGCTATTACTCGCCCGGCGTACAAGGCAGGAGCTTCACCAGCGACCCGACACCACAGCATTCGGTAGTGGACAGCACTGCCTACTTTATCCGGGACTACGACACTTCGAAAGAAGTGTTGATATTCGGCGATGTCGAACCGGACAGTATTTCGCGTGTACCACGTCTTGCCAATATCTGGGCAGAAGCGGCTCCTAAAATAGCCGAGGGGATATTGTCAGGAATTTTCATCGAATGCTCTTATGATGATAGTCAACCAGACGCGGTACTGTTTGGTCATCTGGCACCGCGGCATGTTGTTGCTGAGATGAAGACACTTGCACAAATGGTCAAAGACGAGAAGGCTGCCAGAGCTTTGGATAGGGCCCAGCGAAAGCGAAAGCGCAGCTCGAACGGTCTGAACATAACGATGGACGACATTACCGATAATAAGAAACGGAACAAGAGCGTCATCACTAGGTCGTCTAGCATGCAACCCCGACGCGGCAGCCTCCCTTTGATGGTGCCTGAGGAGGAGTCGCAAGCCACTACGCCTGATTATGCCGGCACGGAGAGAAACACACCGGTACCGCCGGATGCACCTCTTCAAGGCGTCAAAGTGGTCATCATCCATGTCAAGGACACGATGGAAGATGGTCCACACGTAGGCGAGCGCATTTTGATGCAACTCAATGAGCATGCTGATGCTCTCGAGATCGAAGGATTTGGCAAGCTCGGCTGCGAGTTTGTCATTAGCAAGAGCGGAGAAGACTACTTTTTCTAGTCGATATTACTTTATTGAACAAAGCATAGTTGTAATTACGATTCGACTTAACTGGAGGGATGCTGGGTCTCTGGTGGGGCAGTATTGAATAAGTTTCGAGGATAATGAGCAGCAGATTGAAGGACCGGGCTGTATGTATATCTGTACCTACCCTTCTTCACACGAGATTCGCAACATCTCTATCACTTTCTTCCTTCTTCACTTCGCCCAAACTCGGCGAGAGTAAATGATGGCTGGATGAATCCAGGGATGCTCTCATCGAGTGGTTGAGGGGCTTGGCGGCCCTCACCCCGCTAAAGAACAATGGTAAACGTCAGGATTCAGCAAATCCACAAGAGCCAATTGTTTCCTTCTTCTCACACCACATCAATTCCACATCAAAATGTCTGGCCAATACGAGATCCTCTGCCTTGAGAACCCCCTCCTGGACATCCAGGCCGTCGGTGACGAGAAGCTGCTCCAGAAGTACGGCCTCAAGTCCAACGATGCCATCCTCGCCGAGGAGAAGCACATGGGTCTCTACGAGGACCTGTTCCAGAACTTCAAGGTCGACCTGAACGCTGGTGGTGCCGCACAGAACACTGCCAGAGGTGCCCAATACGTCCTCCCCGCCGACTCGGTCGTCTTCGTTGGATGTGTCGGCAAGGACAAGTACGCCGAGAAGCTGGTCGAGGCCAACTCCAAGGTCGGTCTCCGCGCTGTCTACCGCTACGATGAGGAGCAGCCCACTGGTCGCTGCGGTGTCATCATCACCGGCCACGACCGTAGCATGTGCACCGACCTCGCTGCCGCCAACTGCTACAAGGTCGAGCACTTGAAGGAGAACTGGGACCTCGTCAAGCAGGCCAAGATCTACTTCGTCGGTGGTTACCACTTGACCGTCTCGGTCCCCGCCATCATGGCCCTCGCCGAGGAGGCCGCTGCCGAGAACAAGACCTTCATGCTCTCGCTGTCCGCTCCCTTCATCTGCCAGTTCTTCAAGGACCAGCTCGACCAGACCTCCCCCTACTGGGACTACGTTGTCGGTAACGAGACCGAGGCTCGCGCCTTCGCTGCCGCCCACGACCTCAACACCGAGGACATCCCCACCATCGCCAAGCACATGGCCAACCTCCCCAAGAAGAACACCCAGCGCAAGCGTACCGTCATCATCACCCAGGGCACCGAGCCCACCGTCATCGCCGTCCAGGGCGACGACGAGGTCAAGTCTTTCCCCGTCCACGTCATCAACAAGGACGAGATTGCCGACACCACTGGTGCCGGTGACGCCTTCGCCGGTGGTTTCCTCGCCGGCATGGCCAAGGGCGAGAGCATCGAGAAGTGTGTCGACATGGGCTCCTGGTTGGCCAAGTTGAGCATCAAGGAGTTGGGCCCCGCGTAAGTTTCTGCACTACCAACCGCACTTCACGAGCAGACACTGACATATCATGATCACAGATACCCCTTCCCCAAGCAGACCTACAGCGCATGAACACCCCACCCAAAAGTCATTCTTCGCATTTGAACAATTCTCAACGAAAAATCTGGAAGAACATACATACGCACCTCAATGAGTAGGTAGCGTCGCGCACCCTTGAAAGAACAGGTCGCGGAGATCTTCAACAGAAAGGTCAGCCCAAGGGACACGGCGTCCCTGTGGCCGAGGGAACAGGAGACGGAAACGAGATACCATGAGAAAAAGAATACAAGTTTTCCAATATACCAATCTACCAATCTACCAAAAACTTATGAATGAGGAAGCTTTCTGCTGAACCACTTATCCTTTTGCAAGGATCGACCGCCCCGTGACATTGTGTTCATGCGTTCACTTGCGATCTGAGTATATACTGCATGGTACGTCGAAGAGCCGCTGTTGGGCATCGTGGCTGAACATGTATTGGAGTAGAGCTAAAGTATCGCTTTGCGCCGACAGATAAGAAAGGTAACAAGCTTGTTCTTTCGTGTGCCAGACGATTGAACCATTGGTCTTTTGAGGAGCTTGCGAGTCGACTGCAGAAACGAGGATGACTAGACGAAGCCTAAAACTGTGATCGCGATCCATGAGTGATCACGATTTCGATGCTGTCCAGCACATAAAGTTGACTACAAGAGAACAAGGGTGCGATAATCGACGATGTCGCTATTCGAACAGGGCGCAAACATGTGATTCTAAACATCCCTTATCGTGTGCTCGGTCTTTGCATGCAGGTTATTAAGGATGTATTCTCAGGGTCCGGGTGTCTTTCAATAATTGATGGTGCTATTGCAACCTGTATCATTCCAACTTGCTACAAACACATGCTTCCTATTAGTACAAAGTATCCCTGCATCTTCATGTGCAAGCACATCATCTTGTTGTCCAATAGCAGTACAAGAGATGGTATATGCTTCTTACTTGGGGGGCGACCCTGATCACCGTGTTCTTGGAAAGTAGGAGAACGAGGTCATGAGCGCTTGTGCGATCTTTGCTGTAAGCGACGATGTCCTGAGTAACGGGACGCTTATCTGAGCGAGCTGGGATAGAGAATTGCACGAGACCAGAGTGCTCGCTCACATCGATGATTATTGAGATTGTGATTCCAAACTTTCCAGAGTGCATATGACCTTCGGGTAGGAATTGAGCCCCTGTCGGGGAATAGACAGTAGACGTCTCTCTTACCATATGAGCGATAGAAAGCTGTTTCCTATTCCGATCACCTGCTTATCAGAGTAGCGAGGTCACCCTTATTACCGCCGACATATAGGAGGGATGGTCACGAGCGATACCTATACTCTGTCGATGCCTGGTGTCCTTGGTGCTTGCCACTAATCGCGGGATTCCTTCCGGAAGCGCTTCCGGGACTGGCAGTGAGGTGTTTGACGGTTTGTGATGAGGATCCTTATACTGATTGTCTTGGAGGAGGTATCGATGTCACGATAGGCTTTCGCGGCTACACGGCCTACTAAGGCTCAGGGTAAGCTGATGCTTGACCCTACGAGATCATCAGGGGACGATGTACCCCTATAGCGTTCGAGTGACTATCAGGCAGTTCTGCGAATGTGGTGCAACTTGGTGAATAAAACGACGTGCAATGGTTGCGCCGTCGATTGCCGGTGTGATGTTGTACGTACCAGAGGCTCTGTGGCTATCAACGGCTTGCCTTCACGACCTTCTGGAGCCGGTGACGCTTGACCGTATCTGCTCTTGCCGACTCCTTCTTGCCTACATGAGGCAGTCGTAGGAAGAGGTTGCATATGATCCTTCTGCAAATCTTATGCGATCGACTGCAACAAATGCCAAGTAAGCCCTCGGCTGAATTCCATAAGCAAGCACCGAAAGCCGGGCCTGGTTTCCCACCTGATGGTAGGCGTGGTGGGATTAGAGTTTGTGATGTGGTACCCTGAAGTAGCCATGGCGTGCCTCCACGCGCAGTGTACGCACACAAGACGAGGATGAAGGATTCGTGCTGCAAGCAATCTTGTTTCGTGTCGGCGATTCTGAGAATACTCGGCGCGTGTATGCCGTCTTCAATTTTGGAAACGATCGAGTTGGCAACGAGCTGAAGATGGCTCTCCGCGAGGATTACTGATGTGATCGGCTTTTCTTGTTCCCGCCTATTCCGTAGTGCCCTCTCCGGAGTTGAAGCCGTAACGTTGACGCCGTTGTTCAGCGAACTTGGCCGCGCTGCACTTGCCTAGCGAGGCGGGTCCGCGCTTGAACTCTCAAAAAAGCTCGTCTAACACTGTTGACCAGTTGGCTTGGTGGAGGAAGAGCAAGACCTAAGATCACACGAGATTGTGAAGGCAGGCAGCGTATACATAGCCCTAGCAGCTACGGGGTATCGGCCGTATGCTCCGAGGACGACTCTTGCGGGAAGTACTCCGTCTTCATAAATTGTTGGCCATTGGTCGTCGAGTCGGCGACGACAGTGAGGTGAGATTCCAGCATTCTGAGGGCGTCGCGGGAAGATTGCCGGACCGATGAGTTCCGGGCGGCACTCTAAATGCCTAGCGTCTTCGTCTCGAGGTTTCTGTTTGGGTGTACTTTGCGTAGCGGTACTTGGAACAACGTCGTCTGGGCTCGCAGGGAACCGTGCTGTGTCAACGCTATCGCCGCGTCTGCTCTTCAACACAGTGTAAGTTGCAGAGCTGGGAAGAATCCAGGGACCAGACGATCAGATGGAAGGGCTACGAGTGTGAAGTTATAAATGTCTGGGAAGGTGAGTCTGCAATCGCAGCCTATCTGTACAAGGGCCACGCGCGCTTATCAGATCAAGTCTGTTTATATCCAACTACGGTCCCGGATGCAGATCAAAAAGAGCTCAAGCTGAGTCAGCCACTCCCTATGGTGGAGCTTCTGAGAATCTGGCCAGTTGATCAGTCTCGCGGCAAGAACGAGCGGACGAGGCGTACATTGACGTGACTTTACCCGCCTCGACCAGCCACTTTCTCCATCACTCTACAGTACTCATCAATAGATGACTGGCGTTATTGGAGACGAGCATTGTCAAATCATGCCAAGCATACCTGCCTGTGCACTCAACTGCCGAATGTACTCGTCATCGACCTTTTCCTATGCATCCGTGAGAGTGAGAAAATCAATCGCGATATTGGAAACTCCTCGCATGGTCAGCCTTTACGACGTCAGAAGAGGATACCGTACAGTGCAATAATAACATTACGGTCTCAACGTTTGAGTAATGGACGTGTCAAGCTCGGCTGCCTCCTTGCATTTACGGCAGGAAAGGGCGAGGGGCTTGAAGCATCCTCGTTTCCTGCTCGGCTGACACATACAACCACAAGATCTTTCTTGCCTAGCAATGCCTTAATGCATCACTGCAAGCCACACCTAAACACGCGAGAGCTGTTAGTGGACAAAGGAAGTTTGTGTTTGCTGCAAGGACAGGTTTCAGCTCGACATTGGTAGAGCCGCACCCCAGTCTTGTCTCGAATATCGATTCCAGAAACTCAGCGTGTCTCTGCTTGACACTTGACACTCGCAGCAACCATCCTGTAACAGAAACTAGTCTTCTTCGGCCCGGTTGCCGAGTGGTTCCTTCTCGATCTTCCTTCGTTCTCAACCCGCCGTTGCATACTGATGACCCAAAGAATTGTACAATGTTCTTGGGCGACCCCATGCTGTTTGCTGACTTGACTTTGTTCGTCGTTTCGGTTCCTAGCCTTCCGAACCTAATCATTGTGGCCTACCCCTTCCGATCTTAGAGCCTCACGGTTCTTGCCCAGACTTGTGAGTCGTCAACAAAGGCCTTCCCAACCTCCCCCCGTTTCTAGTTGTTGAACTTGAAGCCCTTCTCTTCAAAATCGATACACGGGCCCTGTCTGCCTTCTGTTCGCCAATCCAAGTCTTTCAATGTTGGATGACCTATTGCAGGCCTGCACGTCTCTGTAACCTACTGTGAGCTGCTTTGTAGCCAAAGTTCGACGAATCACCCGGATATCGGACAGATCGACCCTTCTTTTCCGAGATTGCATGGCCTCAGAACTCTAATCTTTCCGAGATCAACTTTATCTAGCCCCAATCTCTATGTCCTTGCAACCCTGGCGTCCCTCACTGAGTCGCGTACCTGGGGAATGGAATACCACCATGATAGGGATCAGCAATACTATCGGCAAGATGTTCTTGATGAACAAAACCAGACGACTCAGATTTCTGCCCAATACAACTCTTCGGCTTCGATGTCAACTGCTCGCTTCAAAGTACCGCAATTGCCACAGCGGAGCATACCAAGAACGACAGCTCAATCTCTTCCCCATTCCTCGTACTTGGGAGCCGAACAGTCCGTATCATCACCTCTTCATGATGGTCTCAATTACCCTGGAGCGACCTCAATCAATTCGACATACCAAAACGGCTATGGCTCACTTCGACAACCCTCGACTTCACCATCTTTCGAGTCAGCTGGATTTACATATGGGTACCAGCAAGCACAGCAGATTCCAATCTCAAATGACTACGCACCGCACAACATGCGTTCGATGAGCATGTCGTCGCACTATGACATACCTCAAGCATCACAGTCCTACGCTTCAACCGCATATCCCTACCACAATCTATCTTCGTCAACAGCCGAGCTCGGCATGTACGAGCCTATGTCGATTGATCACCAAGAATTTCAAGCACCGCAAATTGTTTCTGGCAACAGCTACCAAGGCTATGCTGCATCCCAACCCATGCAACAGCAGAGCACGACACAACAGAACAACACCAACGTACGCGAATATCTCGAGCAGTATCAGATGCGGATCAGAGAGATATTCACGTTGGTAAAAAACCATCAGTTGAAGCCGACCGCAGATCTTCTCCTGCAAGTATCACGGTTCCTTATCGGTAATGTCGAAGCTCTGGGGCTTGATAGAGACGACAAGAGTCAATACGCAAACCGACTGGAGCTCTGGGACACCTTCAACGCATGCTGGCTCACAGTGCTACAACTGCAATACAAAACGACGCATATGATGATGCGTACTGCACAAGAACTACCGCCAGGACAATCAATTCTGGACGCTGACACTATCGAAATACTGGGTCAAGAGATTGTGAAGTTGTGCGACGGCATAGAGAAGACGGGACTTGTCGATTATCAGATGGGTGTAGCCGAAGAGCGGATCATCAGCAGTAAGCTTCTCTCTCTCCAGCGATGCCATGGACGTCGAACCCCGCTGACCCTTGCTAGTCTTACTGAAATGCTTAGAGATACTAAGACCACAATCTCATAGCACACCCAGAGCTTCTGGATCAAGCGCCAGTGTCAGTGCCAGTGCCAGCGGCAGTCGCAGTTGATGCGGATGACTCCGCACTCGGCTCGCGAAGGGTCATGAAACTCGAAACCCGGTATGGCTGTCCCGACATTATGGATCATGCTTGCTCCAGCCGTCTTCGTCGGCACCCTGCATAGGAAATTGAGTACCACCGATATGCACGGTTCCGTACCGATGGTTGCACCAACACATCTACCTCCAACACCAACACCAACTTATCACGATTCTCACGAAATGACTGAAAAGAGATCCGGTTTACATTATCTTTGCATCATTACACTGGGCAGAAGGATCATCTTTTCCGACCTTTTTTTGGAGGCAGCATCTTCTTGTCTATCCTTGATCGTTTTGTTTCTTTCTTGTTAGTAGATACATGAAAATGAAGGATACAGTACACGAATCATGAACATTCGTTGCCGTATCTATCAATCCTTTTCCGTTCGCAGCAATTACACTAGCGATGCTCGTTTGTAAGCATCAGGTCAATGTCCCCACTCTTTACATGTGGATGGACAAATCATGGCTCATTCACCAAAGACATGACAGCTCAGTAGAGCTAACCCTCATGTTGATCAATTGTCCTTGTTTGGAGCAAACAGAGACCTACAGTTTCTCTCAGCTGTCCCCAAATCTATATGTCCAGCGTCCCCTCTGATCGTGGAGACCATCGACCCATCTATCCACTTCTGACAGTCATCATGGGATTCCCGGACACCCCTGTTGAGTTAGCCAATGGCAAACTCGTCTGCCAGGATCATGGTCTGCAAATCTGTCATCAATGCTGTTGTGACTATACCTTCATAGACGACAGTGCCGAGCAGGTCTCCAGCGACGAAGAGGTTCCCTCGTCCTCATCAGGCGAAGACCGCAAGAGCGAGGTTCTCTCGAGAGCCGAACCAGCCACCCAAATTTTGACAGGTGCAGCTGCCAAGTTCATCCCTTCTGGCCAGTCTTCCCAGTACTGCGAGGAGTGCAGTCTCACCTGGATGTCGGTATTCCCCGCAGACGTTCCGATGGTCTTTGACGAGCTGTGCCCTACTCACGACTCACTTCCTGGTACTCGCGCCGATCAACGCACGATCTTCGTCAACATCGATGGTGCTTGTCCTGGTAACGGTACTACTCACGCAGTCGGAGGTCTAGGCGTCTCCTTTGGACCCTCTTCCATCTACAACATCTCCGAGCTCATCCACCGCAATCCTCGCAAGCCACCCACTAGTCAGCAAGCCGAGCTCAAGGCCGCCATCCGTGCTCTTGAAGTCATTCGCGAGAAATACCTGCCTAACCGTCGCGTAACATTGTCATCAGCCATGAACACCTGTCCCTGTCATGAGGAATGCTGGGCCAGAGGTCTCCCCTTCCGCATCGTGCTCGTCACCGACTCCGCCTACCTCTTCGACTGCATGACCTCCCACCTCCTCATCTGGCGTTGGGACCCGAAGAATCGACTCTACTCCAACAAGAAGAGTGGCAAGGTCATCATGAACTCAAAACACATTCGTGGTGTGGTAGAGGAGATCGAGAAGTTGGCTGGCAGCGGCGTGCAGGTTCTGTGGCGTAAGGTACCGAGGGAGTTGAATGAAGAGGCTGATCGTCTTGCGAAGGCTGGAACCAAGATTGAGGTGAAGAAGACGGGCGATTCGGGTTATCTTGATGAGCAGGGCGGCATCAGCGATGGTGCGCTGGCTCTGGGAATGCTTAGTCTCGGATTGGACCCACCGATCTGATTCCTCCAGGAGTATTCAAGGTACGCCGTTGAAGAGTCGAGGCTTTAAGGATGTATTGTTGTTGTGAGAAGCTCAATGAAGTGATGATTACAAAGGATGGACGGAGACCCGAGTGATCATTCGATGGAGGCTGAAAATGCGTCAAGCATTGTGACGAAGCTTGGTCAGGGGCCAAGGCAGGAGCGAAGCAGTAGATCAAAAATCGAAAGGACGTATCAAATGCCAATTTTTCCACTGCTCTTTCCTCCCTTTTCTTATTCTGCTGTTTCCAACTACCCTAGAATCCACGGATTCTCCTGCCAGAATTTGTCTTTGATGATATCAACATGCTCAACCACAACTCTGGCTTTTTGTTTCCTCTTTCTCTCCTTCTCCATTTGAGTTTTTGACAATGGCTTTTTCTTTTCATCTGATGACTTGCCGAATGCTTGCTCCGGTGTCGATTCTGTTGCTGATGGCTTATCCTCGTACTGTTGACTTTTCTTAGCATAGCAAAGAGTCAATTTGACGAGAGTATTTTTACCTTTCTGTATACCACACTGCCCTTTTTCCAGACCTCGCCTTCTGCATTGTAGTTGATGTTGAATCTCTTGAACAAGATTTCGTTCTTGTCCGCTGAGAATGTTCCCTGTCTGGAGTCAGCAAGGAACAGCCTAGAAGTGATAGCGAAAGACTTGCCTTCAGTGCTAACTCAGCCTCCGTTGTAGTCATGGCTGGCGTATCCGTATCGGGATTGCCCTTGACCATGTTCCAGAACGTTGTGTTGTAGAGGTTGTTAACATGACCTGAACTCTGCAATCAGCGAACCGTCACCCTCAAAGCTTTTACAAGAGCACTCACAATCAGCCTGCCTCCAGCTCAAATAATCTCTCAAAATACTCTTCTTCGGATACAGCACACATCTCCCATCAAAAGTAGGAAACGGCCTTTCTAATTCTTGCCCTTCAAAGAACTTTCCCCATTGCATACAATACTCTACCGAAAACGCCGTTGATATGCTAGTAGCTAGTTTGGCGGCTCGTCGTTCGAAGAGTTGACAGTCTTCGTGGAGGACAAAGCTGTATTCGTCGGATTGACCATAGGCGATTACGATGTCGGTGAATTGTTTTACTACTTCGATAGCAGCGGCGTTCATGAGGTCAATGGCGCGACGGTCGTTTGGTTTTGCGAAGTTTTGCCGTTTGGAGAACCTGGTTGTGAGGGAAGAAATGTTAGTCTGTCGGTTTCATAGTACAGCTCGGATTTCAAAAGAAGAATGGAAAGGGGTTCTACGTCGAAGACGATGCGAGTGTGATGCATGATGGAAGCAGCGACTATGCATGTAACGGATGGACGTCGCTCTTTCCTGCCTATTCTCTTCTCTCCTCTTCTTGGATTCCCATCTCCCCATTTTCAGAAAGTGCATCTATCTTGCATCTTATCTTGCCTCTCATTCTTCCATCCCCGTACTTTTCACCAGCTCTTGTGCCTCATGCATTCCTCCAAACACAAACAATTCATGAAGACAGAGATGCATCTATACTCGCGAAGAACAGAAATAACAACAAAAAAAAGTTATCCAAAAACTCACTTGCTGAATCCTCTTCCATCAATCCTCACAACAATCCAATTACTCGGCGCAAGCGCATCCCACTCTTCGAATTTGCGCACGTATTCAAACCTTTACAGATTCAATCAGATACATGTGCATTCATGGTTCTTTGTATGGAATGGAACTTACTCGCTGTTGGCCATTGTGGCAAAAGATTTTCAAAGGTTGTGATGGTGAAGATGATGCTGTCGCGAAGAAAGTTGGTTGGACTGATGGATGGTTGGAGAAAAAATGTGGAGAAGGACAGGGTCGCTCAAATTTGCCTTCGGCTCAAGAAATTCGAAAAAGCCCGACCACACAGCACGATTAAAGTGATCACGAATACAGATTCTCACGTTGCTGTGGCTTTGGCCAACGCGATATCAAAAATTGTGGTACTGGATTATAGTCCTATTGGTCTGGTTATTGTGGTAATCTCGTGCCAGCCTTGCGTTGCCACTTCGGCAAATGCATGTCAAAGAAGAATCAAAACCACCACTTTTTTTCTTTTGCGAATAACACGAGGGAGATATTTTTGAACCTTCTTCATTCACATTTGCCTTAAAAGTCTTGTGTTTCTCTTTGCCCCCCCAAAAATCTCTGATACGCTTGGCTCAACCTCCATATGCAATTTTTGTGAGAGCCTGCCTTGAAGGAAAAAACAAAAAGAACAGCATCGAATATCTCCCTTGTCCTTGCACCCGCGAAGGGGGAGAAAGAAGTGAAGAAAAGGACAACACTAGCAGAGAAATAAAAACAACGCCTTGTAAAGAAACTCCCTCCGAAACTCGCTTGTGCTCTTGCCCATGCATTGTCTTCGTAATCAACATCGTGACTACGTTTTGTTTAATTTTTGTTGTGACCTCGATGTCAATCATAGCCCATGAGAAGACGTGAGCCCAGTGAAGGGTACGCCAAAACTTGGATAGCTGCTCACTTCATTCGCTTATTGGCCAGGCGAGCTGGAAAGAAGAGTCAGTACAAATGATTCGCTAAGAGTGTCGACGTGTTCGTGACTTACTTTGGTGAGTACTTGGGGCTAGTAGGGGAGTACTTGGGAGAAGCTTGACCCGGAGAGTTGGGGGTGTACTGCGGCGACGTGGGCGAGTATCCTTGCTGTGCCGGGCTGGTAGGACTGTACACTGGCGATGTCGGGCTGTAGCTAGGCGACGTAGGCGAGTGCGAGGCTCCTCCAGGGTTGTAAGAAGGACTGGTTGGGCTGTACGCGGGTGAGGTAGGTGAGTAGGCCGGGGAGGTAGGGCTGTAGCGAGGAGAAGTGGGAGAAGGACCAGATCTGTGAGCGGGAGAAGTGGGGCTGTAAGATGGGGAGGTTGGAGAGTAACTCGGCGACGTAGGCGAGTAGCTGGGCGAAGTCGGCGAGTAACTGGGAGATGTGGGAGAATACGACGGAGAGGTGGGAGAACCCTTGCCGTATGCAGGCGATGTAGGCGAGTAGGTAGGCGATGTGGGGTTGTATGCTGGGCTCGCAGGAGATCCCATGCCATAGCCAGGACTGCCGAGAGCGGCGCCAGGTGATCTGGGCGAGTAGCCAGGCGAGGAAGGCGAGGCATAGCCTGGAGATGAAGGGCTTGTGCCCATGCTGAAGGGGCTGGTTGGTGCGTAACCAGGACTCTGACCACCACTGTAAGGACTGAAGCTACCGCCTTGGTAGGCAGAGAAGCCACCCATCTCATCGCCGCCTGCTTGAACCATAGGAGAGAACGAGGCGCCATAGTCGGCAGCGCCGTAATCACCTTCAGCAAGAGGGGAGCCCATGTCGTAGGGGGTCATAGCGCCATCAAGAGGAGCAGCACCAGCTTGGGTACCAGCTCCCATTCCATGGTGACGAGACACAACAGTGCTGAGCATCTGCTGATCCAGGAGAACATCAAACTCACCAGTTCCCGAGGGAGCAAGTTGACCAAGAATGATGTTTTCGGAAACACCACGGCAATCATCGAGCTCACCAGAAGAAGCGGCCTCGAACAGAATCTCAACAGTCTCTTCGAACGAACAACGCATCAGCGCACCAGTGTCAGCGCGGTTGATACCGTGACGAGTGACGGCCATGAGGTTACCGCGAGCTGTCATGATGTCTACCAGAAGGGCAAGATGACGGTGGTTAACGTAAGAACCGTCAAAGGACAGCACCTGTTTCAGTTCTCTCATCAAAGCCGATCTGGTGGCCTCAATACCGAAGACGCTGAAGATGTCGATGAAGTGGTTAGTGTATGTGCGAGTAGGGTCGGTACCTTCAACGGTAAGGACTTCCTTAAGAGCAGTTCCACTGGTGTCCAGGAACCATTCCTTACAAAGCGGATCACTCTTGGACATGGTGAGGCCGCCGTCTTCCTTAACACGCAGACGCTCCTTGAAGTTGACGAACGCACGTTCGACATGTTTGACGCCACGAAGCTTGGTGTCATCCAAGAGATGAGCTTCCAGTCTTTGAACGACAAGGTCAGCCTCAAGATCTGTGTTCTCGTCTTCCTTGGATTCCATGATCGAGTTCGAAGCTCTGCAGCGAACAACAAGCTCATCGGCGTTGTCGTCACTGAAAATGATGGAGATTTCGTGTTGGTAGACATTTCTTATGGCGGCAGCGACATCAGCAACGGAAAGGCCCTTGTCCAGCAGTTGTCTACGACCAAGGACAATACGTAGCAGCCACTTCGAGTACATCTCGGGATTTTCTGCATTCTCTTCAGGAATGATGAAGTAAGATTCGACCATGTCTCTGTCTTGTTCAACGACAGTAGTTTGGAAATCAGGGTCGTACCAAATCTCAGTCTTCTCGGTGATTGAGCGCAAACTGGTGTACTCAACAAGACTGCGGAGTCTCTTGCATGCTTCTTGATCAAGGCGGTTCTCTTCGGATTGGTAGACGGTCATGGATGGTGTCTTGATGTTGGTAGCGACGTTCAGGATTTCCTTCAGACGAGGCACACCAAGAGTGACGTTCTTTGACGAGACACCAGCGAAATGGAAAGTGTTGAGCGTCATCTGAGTTGCAGGCTCTCCAATGGACTGTGCTGCCAAGACACCGACCATCTCACCAGGACTGACGAGAGCTCTTGAGAATCTGTTCAAGATGTCACCAAGGATGTTGTCAAGAGCAAGTTTGTTCAAAGAGTACTCCTTGACCAGGCGCTTGAATGCGAGACGTGATCTCAAGAGAGCCTTGAAAAGGATAGTTGCGTTGTATTGTGCTTCTTGTGAGAGAGGGTCATCACCACGAACAACAACGATCTGATCGAGCAAGTTCTGGACCTTGGGAATGACCTCAGACGGGTGAAGATCACTGCGTGCACCGTCCTTGATGCGGAATCTGGTCTTTGCACTCTCAATGATACGAGTGATATTAAGAGGGAGCTGGTGAGTCTCTTCGTCGTCGGTGCGACCATCTCTCAACTGGGCTCTGTCGGCTAATAATGCCTCGTACTCTGCGTCGAGATGACGCTGAACTTCGACATCGCCAGCAATCTCGTGTGCTTGGTCTAGGATGTCAGGGGAGAGCGACATCTTGGGGTCCATGACGTCAATGCGGAATTTCTTCTCGAATTGACTGTCAGAGCAGTTAATGATGTCCAGCTTCTGACCTTCAATGTGGACGGCATCAAGGCCATCTTCTCCGTACACGAACTGCACAACGTCGCCTAGGGAGTTACGGACGGTACCGTCGTACTTGGCCATGACTTCTTCAAGTGCCTTTACGAGACGACGCTGGATGTAACCAGTTTCGGCGGTCTTGACAGCGGTATCAATCAGACCTTCACGACCAGCCATGGCGTGGAAGAAGAATTCTGAGGGTGTCAAACCACGAAGGTATGAGTTTTCGACGAAACCACGAGACTCGGGAGAGTAATCGTCCTTGGTGAAGTGAGGCAGCGACCTATACTTGAAACCGAAGGGAATACGCTTTCCTTCAACTGATTGTTGACCGACGACAGCGGTCATCTGCGAAATGTTGATCGCCGAACCCTTGGATCCTGAACGGGCCATTTGAATGGCGTTGTTCAAATCCTTCAAACTCTTCTCGGTACGATCACCAGCGTTGTCACGAGCGCTGTTCAAAGCCTTTGAGACTCTGCTCTCAAACGTCTCACGCACGTTCATACCAGGAAGAGCTTCCAGCTCGTTGGCGGTAGCAGCTTGGGTAATGATGGCAACCTCGGCCTTCTGCTCGTTGACTGCGTCTGTGATGGCCTCGGCGGTCGCCTCATCAGGAACCGTGTCACCGATGCCGATACTGAAACCGTTGTGAAGCAACCAGTGGTTGACGACACGCTGAGCACCATTGAAAAAGTTGACAGTGGCCTCCCAGCCCTTCTCGTTGAAAACAATGTGGATGATACCACCTCCGCTGGCACCAACAGACTTCTTGCTGAACAGACCGTACATCAGCTCACCGCCGTGTACCATCAGTCCGTTGTCGTTGAGCGGGTGCATGCCCTCTGAGTCGCTGCGGACTAGGTTGAGACCAGCGGGAACGATCAGACTGACAATTTGCTTGCCAGTCCAGCGTGGGCGAGGCTTGACTATGGCAGGGGGAGGAATGATACCGTCCCAATCCGGTACCCACATAAGGATGTTCATGACATGCTCCTTGTCAAGGAAGACGTCACGGCGGCACATCTTGTAGATACCACAGAGCGTGTCCTGCACGATACCCATCAAAGGACCGTTTCGCTGAGGGGAGACGATGTTGAGGGGAACCATGCAGAGATTGACGACTTCTGAGCGAGTTTCGTGACTTTGAGGAACGTGCAAGTTCATCTCATCACCATCGAAATCGGCGTTGTAGGGCGAGGTGACGGAAAGGTTCATTCGGAAAGTAGAGTAAGGCATAACGCGGACTCTGTGACCCATCATGGACTCTTTGTGCAGCGAAGGTTGACGGTTGAAGATAATGACATCACCGTCAACAATATGCCTCTCGACTTTGTAGCCATACTGCAGTTGAATCTCACCAGCGCGCTTGTGATGGCGCAAGTCAATACGCTCGCCAGTATCTCTGATGACATACTTTGCTCCGGGATGTTCATTGGGACCGTTTCGAACGAGTTGTTGCAGCTTGTCGATGTTAAAAGCGTTGACAGTTTCAGGGAAGGTGAGGATGCGGGCGGTACTCCTGGGAACACCGACTTCGTCCAGAGACAGGTTGGGATCACCAGTGATGACAGTGCGGGCCGAGAAGTCGACACGTTTGCCCATAAGGTTACCACGGAGACGACCCTCCTTGGACTTCAGGCGCGCACGAATAGCCTTGACAGGTCTACCCGACTTTTGGAGGGCCTTGGGCTGTCCTGCAATGTCGTTGTCCATGTATGTGGCGACGTGGAATTGCAGCAATGCCTCGAACTCTGCAATAACGTGGTGTGGTGAGCCCTCGAGTTCGCACTTGCGGACATTGGCGTTGGCGCGAATAATATCACTAAGTTTGAAGGTCAAATCATCCTCAGAGCGCATGCCCTGGTTGGTACCGTCTACCGAAACACTGGGGCGAACTGCGGGCGGTGGGACAGGTAGAACAGTCAGGATCATCCATTCAGGACGAGCGTAGTCTGCATTGAGACCCATTCTGGCCAGGTCGTATGTCGAGATGTTGCGGAAGACGTTGAGAGCCATTTGAGGTGTGATGAGCTTCTTGTCCTGCTTTTGCTCCGAGTCTGCATCCTTGGGGTAGGTCCAGGTACCGGTAAGCTTGAGACCGTCCTTGCGGATGGTGGGTTGCAGGTTACCGCAACCGCCATGTGATCGCTTGCCCTTCTTCAGTGCGTCTTTGGGGTCTTCGCCATCTTCGGGCGCCTCATCGGGGTCACAGGTCGTCTTGGCTTTGCACAATCTGTGGATAGCGTCGAAACGGCGCTTGGGATCTCTTAGGCGGACGGCTTGGGCAAAGGCGGGTACGCTCTAAACAAAGAAGTGGACATTAGCATTAGGGGTCGAGGGATTGAGTTCAGCTTCAGCCGCGCAGGGCGACTCACTTCATCAAGCAAGACTTTGCCACAGTTGTGACAGACGGACTCCAGAATCTTCTTGATCTTTGTTACGAAACCTGCAGCAAGTCAGCGCAAAGTCGGAGACAACAGGTCTTGTGGCGAGCAAAACACACCGACGTGGAAGACAGGCACGGCAAGCTCAATATGACCAAAATGACCAGGACACTCGAGCATGTCTTCACCGCAAGTACCGCAGGCCACCGAGCGGTCGATGGAACCCAGCTTGGGGTCGTTCAATCCTTTCTCTCGCGGGCGCATTCGTTGCTCATCCATGGTTTCGGGGTACTCGATGTGACAGACACTCATGTTCTTGATTTCCTCGGGCGAGAAGAGACCAAACTGGATCTCCTGGATGGTCTTCAGCGGCGCGCTGGAATACGGGAACGAGTGGATGTTCATGGTGGCGGTTGTTGATAGCAATGGCTAGGTGTAGGGGCTTGAGGAATAAGAATCGGATCAGCGGTTGCCGCGTTCAAGACGCTGTCGACGAGGAGAGTGGCCGGCGATCTCCAGGGTAGATGGTGTTCGGATGGAAGTGAGTCGAGAGTGGATGGAAAGCAGTTGGGTCTGGCAGCAGTGCGCGTGTCGAGCGATTGGCCTTTCGGTCGGCGCGCGCGCAGCCGGACAGCGGCTAAACAAAGAAATCGACGGGAATTAAACAGCGACGCGACTCGATGGGGCGAGATGCGCGCAGCGAAGATGACGGGCTCGGTGATGTGGAGGGTGAGGGCGTAGTGGATAGAAGGGCGAGGTCGAGGATATGACGGGCGTTGATGTTCGGCCAAAGCGTCGCTGCTTCTGCTTCTGCCTCTGGCGGCCGCAGCTGCCTTGACCACCGATGATCACGTGCAGGCACTTTCACTCACACGGAAGTCGCGAAACAATCAAGTGAATTAATGCGCCCCCTGAGGATTTCGTTACTTGAATGGATGCTAAGGGTCCGCCGAGATGAGCAAACAAGACACGCGCATCAACTGAACATGTATTGGTACCGCCTGTGACGGTCCCGGCTGGCCAGCTCAGACCGGCGCTCGCCCTTGCCTTTGGCCTGTCGTTCAACATTCGACTAGACGCTTTGTTCCAAGCATGCAACTATAGACTTACTGACACGACAGCCGCCCATCCGCCATGAATCTCGCTCTGGTCGACCCATTCGTGCTGGCGCAGGACATGCCAGAGACGCTCATTGCCCGTCTGCGCAGTTCTGGAGCCGCCGTCTGTCTACGCTTCAACCGCCAGGGCGACCTGCTCGCTTCTGGCACCGCCAAAGGTGCTATCGCCATCTTCGATCTCGAGACACATGGCGTCGCTCGCAAGCTCCGCGGTCACACTCCAGGCCGCCAGATCCAGTCGCTCAGCTGGTCGGCTTGCGGTCGCTACCTGCTCAGCTCCTCGGTCGACTGGAAGGCCATTCTCTGGGACTTGAACGACGGTTCGCGCATCCGCACCGTCAATCTCGGTGCTCCTATCTATATCGCCGAACTGCATCCTCACAATCACCTTGTCTGCACCGCCGCTCTCTTCGAAGCCCAGCCTGTCCTGGCCGATCTCAATCAACCCTCTGCTGTCCGAATAGCCCTACCTACCGCCCCTAAGCGTTCTGCCTACGACCACGAGGACAAACAAGCTGTTCATGATGCCAAAAATATCACAACAGTCACCGTCTTCACCCCTTCTGGCAACCACATCATCACAGGCACCACAAAGGGTTGGCTCAATGTCATTCAAGTGAGCGACTGCTCCGTCGTGTACTCGACTCGTCTCAGCAACAAAGCTCTGCTTCTACTACGCCTCACTACTTCTGGTCGTGACCTACTAGTCAACGCTGCCGACAGCATCATCCGCACCATCCGCCTTCCCGACCTCGACGATCCTTCCTTCGACCCCGACAACATGCGCCTTGATGTTGAGCACAAGTTCCAGGACGTCGTCAACCGCCTGTCTTGGAACCATGTTGCATTCAGCCCTTCAGGCGACTACGTTATGGCGTCTACGCTCATGAATCATGTCATCTATATCTGGGAGCGTGGTCATGGTAGTTTGGTCAAGATTCTTGAAGGTCCCAAAGAAGAGCTAGGAGCTGTTGAATGGCACCCTTTGCGTCCCTTTGTCGCTGCCACCGGCATAGAATCTGGTCGCATCTACCTGTGGTCTGTCAACACTCCTCAGCGCTGGTCCGCCCTTGCTCCTGATTTCGTAGAGGTCGAGGAAAACATCGAGTACATCGAAGCCGAGGACGAATTCGACATACATCCTATTGAAGAGTTGCACAAGAGACGTCTTGACCTTGAAGACGAGCATGTGGACGTCTTGACCATCGATCCTGCCAAGCCGGGTCAGGCCAAGCATGAATTCCGCATGCCTGTTCTATTAGACATTCACGCAAGTGACAGCGAAGATGAAATGATTGCTATTGGAGCAGGCCAGTATCGTCGCAAAAGCCAAGGCGATTCGGAATGGCTCGAAGACGATGAGGATACCGTGCCGGCCAATGGCCAGACTAAGCGACGTCGCGCCGATTGAAATCGAGTTGAAGGCAATCTCAAGCAACAGAGTTAATCGCTCGATCACAACAATATCGCTTTGCTACGGCAGTGCCTCGTCGGATGTGCACAAATCTTCATCGAAGCAAAGTGTGGTTCTCCCCAGATTGCGAAGATACAGCCAGGCATCTTCATCACGGATGCGAAAACGCCGACTAGGCTCGAAACCACCGCTGCCTGTTTCCATGCATGGAGTCTGATGCGAGAAAATAGCCACATCTCGAAACTTCAAACAGTGCTCGGATGCCACATTGAAAGAAAACAAGCGTTCGTTCTGAAGGAGGAGGTGGTAATTGGGCTTGGTTACATATTTCGTATTAGTCGAGGCGGCTCCAGCCACTCGAAATGCACATAAACGTCCTTGCCATGTGCCAAAATCCGTCGCTTTCAACCATCTCTAGCAACTACTTCTGGTATTAACCGTGCCGTAGAAATGCACAAAGTTTGTAAGATCGCTACAGCCGTCCATAGAGAAGCGCTGACTGTCTCGCTCTCGGTCAAGACTACCATCAATAGGGCAAGCATCGCGTAACTCCACAGCTATACGCGCGTGTCGGAGTCTACCACACGCGGAGGATGGTATGTTCAAACATAACCTCGGCCATCATCGACCTTGTGCCAATAATTTCTTTGTCTGAAATCAAAGAGAAAAACAAGGAGCGAAAGGTAAGTAAAAACACACCCGGATGCGGACTTGTGCACAAAGAACTAGTCGTCTACCTGGACACACAAATAGAACGCTTGCTCCAAATCGCATCTTTGCTAAGAAAGTCTTGATTCTCGGAACACATTTCGCTGCGCCCATCATGAACGGGCACGTTCTGCGGTTGCTGAAAGGTAAACCCAGGTGGACAAAAAATGAAGAGAATTGGCATGGTGCAAAGGCACTGGGATGTAGGTTTTTCTCTGCTCCTTTGTTGGGGAAATGCTTGCTGACCTTGTCATACAGCTGGCGGACAGGGCTGTGCAGTCCTTTTCGTCAAGGTCGATCCCAAATCACAAATGATCGTTGACCGTGTGGTGGTCAAAGAGACTTATGATATGGTAGGCTTGCCGAATAAATACTCTTCGACTGAACCTCTGGAATTCTATATGAGCAAAAGACTGTCAAAAAAGACAAACACAGTCAACATCTTTGCCTATCGCTTGAATCCAGGGCGAGACAGTTATCGAATGTACATGGAATATTGCGCTCTTGGGGACTTGACAGACAAATTGGAGCAGCCATACCGAAGCCGCGGCCTTGCCTTCCCAGAGCCATATTTGTGGAAACTCTTCCTCGACCTTGCTCAGGCTTGCGAAGATATGGACAACCCAGTCGGTGAGGGACTGCACAAAGACAGTTTCATTGCTCATGTGTAAGGATACAATCTGTTCGTTTGCTCTACCGTACTAACAGCTGCTGTAGTGACTTCAAGCCTGAAAACGGTAAGACCTATCTGCGACACGGCTCGTTCCGATGATTTACTGACCCAGCACAGTGTTCATGTGCCCCCCTGACAAAGACAACTTCCCGAAGTACCCAATTGCCAAGGTCAGTGTGTGTTTTATCGACAGCATCATAGCTATACTAACGGTTCAATGTCTGTAGTTGGGCGATTTTGGAGGAGCCATGCTCTCACATCCGCATGAAAGATGGTTGACACACCGGGATAAGACCAATAGATGTATGTTAAGCAAGTATACCTAGGAAACCGTTGAGTTGCTGACACTTTATACAGGCTTCAGGACTAACGGTAGTGTTGCGCCAGAGGTATACCGGCTTGGGCTCGACAATGGTGACCCACATGAGATTCCAAGAAGACACAGAGCACCAGGCCTGAAACTCCCAAGAGATCCAAGGGTGACCACTACCACGAACGTATGGAACGCTGGGCTTATCATTGGCGAGTTGATGTTTCGAGAACCGCTCGAAGCCCCGAAAAATCATGTTGTGCCTCCGCACAAGGAGGATATCTGGTACTATACTGCTCGCGATGAATGGATTGAGAAGTTCAATCTATGCAAAGACGACAATGTCTCTATGCCTCAGTATAGTGCTCGATTGAAGAACTTGGTCATGGCTTGTCTCGACTATTTTCCCGAGAACAGGCCTACTCCAGCAAAACTTGTTGAGCTGGTCAAGGCAGCAGTCAATCACCATCCCATCATGTCAACTGCCGACTCTCTAAAACCTGATCTCTACAATGGTCGATACGATCTTGATCGCTCCATTCGATTAATTGACGAATATCCCGTCCACAGGTCGAAGAACCAAGATGGTGATTACGACATGGCTGATGGGGCGAGTATTAGTTTCCCTTCCTCGTATTCGGCAGAAGCAGGTGCTGGAGAATCCGGATCTGACGAAGAAACTGGCCCCGAAGCTGACTTCGCTGCTGTGGATGCTATGCTCGGAATGATTGTCCAGGGCTTCAAACAATTGTGGAGGAATTTCTAGGCTTGCAAGTGGAAATCACAATGAGTATAGCATAAATTTATTGTTTCACCCATGAGCTTTCGAGAGTTGGTGTTCCTGCGACCGTCAAATTTGGCGCTTTTTATCATGTTGTTCAATGCGTACTTCCTTTTCGGCGTTCTGTTTTCTTCTCCTGCTGTTGAGGTTGTTTTTCGTAACTTCCAATTTTGACTTCCTTTCGTCTAATATTGATCGTAGTCGTCGGTGAACTGCTCCTTTCTGGTTGCGCATGTGCGTCTGTCTTCATTGTTTTTTCCATCATCTCCGGAAACGTCCCGTTTTGCTTCATGTTCTCTGTTTTCTTTGCGCTACGGACCGCATGCGGGACTGTGATTGATGTGGAACAAAGGCGTCTGACACACCCGTGGCTACAACATCGATGCAAATCTGCTGATTTGGTCTGTCCTGCCAGATTCATCTCTTCGACGGCTAACTGACTATATAGAATGGCAGCTCACAATGTCGCACCGCTTCCTCCGACACCGGCGGAATTACCACATGCACTGAGTCGTATAAGTCGACCTGCAAAGAACTGGCTAATCAACAACCTCATTCGAGTCTGGAATTTTGCTTCACCTACACTCACCTCACAACCTCCCGCCAATACAAGACAGTACGTACAAGGCTTGTGGCTTCCAGTTCCTCAAAGCCATGACATGATTCCATTTTCGACTGGCGGTAGTGGGATTATACACGTATGGGTGTGTGTGGACCACAATGGGAACATCAGGGATCGTGTCGTCGTCAAGAACAGTTTTCCTGGCTTGCCAGAATTCCAGGACAGGGTGAATTGGACAAATGGAGTGGTTGGAGGGGAACCCATAGAAAGTTCTGTGGCAAACAGGATTCACGCACGGTTGGAGGCCAATAACGCTGGAGATGGAAAACATGTCGCCGAGTGTCTCGGATGGAGTATGATATTATCCCTGTCTGTGCGAGATGGACCATATGCTGACAATAGACAAGGCGACATCTTGGGCAATCCTGCCGCTGTCCCCATCTTGGGCAATCCTCCCGCTGCCACCATCTTGCCGCAGTTCAAGCTATACTACGAGTACATGCTGGGAGATCTATGGTATACGATTCGGGAACAGGAAGCAGGGACGAAATTGGTTAAGCGTCCTAGCCTTGTAAACAGAACTCGTGTGGAGCTACCAGCTAAGCCCTTCCCCGAAGGATTTCTGTGGATGGTAAGTATATGTACACCGGTTACTTACGGTTCTCATGGCTCATATTGAAAAATAGCTGTTTGAAGCACTCGCAAAAGTTGCAGTGGCTATGGACGATGAACAGATTCTTCACGGGTAAGTGCACACCGATCATTCTATGAGACACCACTCAAGGATACCTAACTGACATGTTCGCAGTGACCTCCACACTAACAACGGTAAGTCTATCACCCCATTGAGTCATATCGTTATTAATGAGATAGTGTTCCTTGGTCACCCCAATCCGAATTTTGACTACGCCATATGGCCAATTCCGAAGGTACGAAGTTTTACTGGCAGTCAAAGTCGTACAACTACTAATCAAAGACTCCTAGGTCAGTGACTTCGGTAGTTCTCGCGACCTTACCGTTGCAGCAGTAAGGAATCGATTACATCAGGGAAGTTGGCAGCGCAACGCTACCGCACCTGTAAGTGGAGTCTCGTTCAATAACCATGTCATAGTTCTGAGGTGCTGACTTTTCGGATAAAATCAGGAGATGGACAGAGGTGCCGGTGGTTTTGTCGTCAACCAATCTACGATTAACAATGCCGCCCCAGTGCCTCCTACCAACACACCCGCGCGTTTTTCTCGCAAGACGAACATCTATCAACTTGGGTTGATAATGCTCAGTGCACTCCGCGCCGAGTGTACTCTAGAAGAGACTGAATGGCGCAATGCCGCTGGGTCGACCCTTCCCGTCAACCAGCAGCTCGGATTCGCGGCTCCGCGTACGCCCAACCCACTGAGGATGAGACTCCAAGGTCCAGAAATGGCGAATTATAGTCCCCATCTTTTCAGATTGGTGGGGCTATGTCTCGAACTTCACCCTGTCAACAGACCTACACCCGCTGCATTGCTTGCAGAAGTTCAACTACGCATGGCTGGCAGAGATGGAGGCATGCGACTGGCGAAAGGAAGATTCCCTCATAACCATAGTCAGGGGATCAGGAGAAGTGTGGCGGATAAGTACAAGATTGGAAAGAAACCTTTCAAGCCGGAGAAAGTTCCATAGGTTGACACTGTGGTCTCGAATCTGGTTGTAGAGAGCTGTACATGTCGTTACATTCAAATAATGAGAGTTTCCTTTTGGCCGGAAATCTTGGTTTTGCTAGAGGCTTAGGATAATTAGAGACGGAGGAATGCGACTTAACCCAGGGATTTTTGCTCATAATCATCCTTTGGCATTGAGGATGAGTTAGAGTGACAAGTATAAGGCTTGCAAGAAGCCATATCGGCCGCGTAAGGTCATACAATTGGCACAAGGCACAGCTGTTCCAGTCCATCTCATGACTGTTCTTTGTACCACGATTCAATCAATTTCTCATCATAGTAGACGGTGATATAGATTTATTTGGGTGCAAGCACATCTCTGGATTTGACTGACAAGCGTATGTTTAGTTTCGTCCCAAAGTAACCGACCCTTTTGTGATTCTGAGGTCATCTCATGCAAAATCGCCATTCTCCCTCTCATACTTGGAACAAAAGTAAATTCATCAACAAAGTGCTTCTTGCAAATGACTAACAAAAGAAAAAACATAAGACATCGACTAAAATCTACGGCCAACAGCATATGGAGGCCTTGTTTTCTGGATTCTGTATTCCTTCATGGCAGCAGGTATTGCTGCCCCTACAGCTAGAGTGTTTGTGTTCTTATATCGCCCATTGTTTACGCCTTCACGATCAATTTCTGCCAACAGAGCAGCAGCTGTAGGTCTCTGAGCTGGTGCGGGACTCAAACACGTCATGACGAGATTGATGAGTGCGTTACTGTATTTCTTCGGCCCTGGGTTCATTTTGTGTGCTGGAATCTGCTGAACGCCAATTCCGGGTCCTGGATCATGGTGTAGTTGGTCTGCGGGTGCAACATTATAACCAGCAGGAGGGTTTCGCCAGTTGTTTTCGGGTACGACTGCCATACGCCGTATTGCAGCGGCCATGACAAGACCGATCTGATAGATGTTCGACTTTTTGGAGACTCTCATGTTTGTTACTTCCCAGCCTACGCCTGCAAGCGTCGACAGTTCCTAGATCACAAGCTCTATATCAGTACGATAATGACAAAGAATGTCCTTGATAGCTGTCTTACCGGTGGTGCAAACGCCAAAAACATAGGATCGTTCAGGATGCCGGCGCCGCGCCCTTGCACTCCGTTCGTAAGTTTTCGGGAACTGCCAAAATCTGACACCTATATGGGAGCTTAGTTCCAATCAGACATAATACTGTCGCTGAACTTGACTCACTTTCGGCACAGGATAAAGCCCAAAGCTAGTAGCGGTCGCGGCCGGCTCAGTAAAAACGACTAAGCCCAGTGTCAGTCGGTCAATACAAATAAAGAATCCTGGATACTCACTATTGCCTGGATGTAGGTCACTACCTTGATATCAGCAGGGGTCATAGCAGACGTTTGTAGAACACGATACGTACCCATGCAACATTCCACGCGTCAGAACGCCACCAGGAGCTGGGTAAACTCCTTCCATAGCCAAACACGCATCCGCCAAAGATCGGAACAAATACCACAGGAATGGCTCCGGCCATTTTAGGTTGGGCTTTGTTTTTTTATCACGTCTTCTCCTTCCATTCTTCTGTACTTGAATCATTGTTTTCATGTTGCCATGGTCGCAATATTCGAAGTAGAGCTTATACCGAAAATTGATATTGTCCACATCTCCGTAGCCCAGGCATGAAAGGATGTGCTGAGGTCGAAGCGCCCAAGCTAGATTGGCCTGGCGACACTCCAAAGGTTCACTTCCTACATTGTTTCCCACCCAGGTTCTTGCTGTGTTATATCGTGCTTGCCCAGGCTAGAGTAAAGCGGTTAGCAAATTTCTGGTGTTCAAAACAGCTCCTGTAGCTGGAGGTAAGAGGCTATCTTGGTATAACCTGCCACGATTTACAGCCACATGATACTGATAACTTCCGAGAGCGGTACAATGCTTCGATTTACTTACTATGACTTGCTTAACAACCACTCGATCGGTGATCAATTGGGTAGCTGGATCGACTTGACACCAAACGTGTACGATGCCCTCACCACCAGTCGCGAGTACGTCATTTGCTGGTGGTATGGGTATCCACGGGTGAGTGTTCGTGAGGGCTCTGTGATTCCCTGGATTGAATGCCGCTGGTACTAGAACCCAATTATGAAACGCTATTTTGAGAGCACGTTGGACCGCAGCTGGTAGATTCAAGAACCTCGCCGCCATGTCGGCTTGAGTGCACTGGTTGGGTGGTTTTGAGTGTGTCGACGGGACAGATGATTACGCAGTAAAGATAGAAGTGGACAGTACACCAGATGAGGTCGATGAGCTCCGGACGAAGAAATGAAGAAGGAAGTACCTAGTACATCTAGCTTACTCCTTTGTTCGCCGCATCCGTTGTGCGGTACTGACAGAATGTATCAACGCCTCTCGTCTTTCTTCAGTCTCCATTGTTCATATGTTCTTTTTCCAGCTACACAATTCAGCATGTGATAAGCTTCTTAGCTCCAATGTGGAAACGTTATGTGCCAAACCGGTCTTGCCGTTTCCGCTCTATCTCGTCATGGTCTATCGTTACCAATCCTCCACCTATCCTCTCGTCGCAGTGCTATCTTGTGTTTTCTCAATGCTGCAGGTATCGGTGCGCCCCGTGCTAGTGCCTGGCGTGTTGTGTCAAAGATCGCGTGTGTGTTGATCAAAGCAAGGAGGCGTCGAGCTGTAGGTCTATGGGATGGGTCGTGTTTAAGGCAAAGTCTCACGAGATGTATGAGATCCTCTCCATACTTTGGATGCACACCGTTGTAGTAGTTGAGTTTCCTCTTCGGCAATTCTTGTATACCTTGGCCTGTCAGTTTCGCGTTGTGGTGTAGTTGCTCGCCAAGAGGGACGCTGTAACTAGGCGAGGCCAATCTCCAGTTGTTTTCCGGTAAAGAAGGCTCAAGTCTCATTGCGCAGGCCATAAGCATCCCAATCTGATAGATGTTGGTCTTTCCTGAGACATGCATGGCGGCCGGGACCTCCCAAGTATCGTTCACCGGATCCCAGGCGAGTTCCTACCATGACGCACACATCTTCAGCCTCTTGAATTCATGTTATACATGCTTTCATATGATCTCTTACCGGCGGTGCATACTCTGGGCAACAAGGATCTGCTCCCATGTCGCTACGGTCTTTTACGTTAGGTAGAATCTCACGAGCACTGCCGAAATCGGCTACCTGGTCAACAAGTCAGCTCCTCTCATGCCTTGATCCGTTGACATCAACTCGCCTTTGGTACTGGGTATATACCAAATTGGTCAGGATTTTCCTCGCCAAAGAAGACTTGTTGACACAGTCAGTGTCTCGTGTTTCGGTGTCTCATTCGAATACATACAGTTGCCCGCTTGCAAATCACTATGTTTGAGGTCAGCCAAATGCTCTCATTCGTTCATTTCAACAAAACATACCCATGCACCATACCAGTACCGTTGTAAGTCTTTTCCATGGCTAAGCAAGCCCTCGCTAAAGATCTGAATATGTACCAAATGAATGGCTCGGGCCACGCTCTCTTGAATTTTCTGGATCTGCCAGTATGTCTCTGATTCTTTTGTTGTCGCATAATCATAGTCAAATCGCCGTACACGCAGTATTCCATGTAGAGCTTGTAGCGCCATAGGCGCGAGTCAATTCCTCCCCAACCCAAGCAATCGACAATGTGTTGTCGATCACGCTGACTCATCTGTGCCTGGACTAGGTTCATCTGATAGCATTCCATCGGCTCTCCTCCAACATTGCCGTTTCTCCAGTTGCGCGGCATGAGAAATCTAGCACGCCTGGGACAACTTGCTTGACGATAACTCTGTCAATAATTACTGAAGTCTGCGGGTCGATCTTGCACCAGAGATGGATTACACCTTCACCTCCGGTGGCCAAAACATCGTCACTTGGAGGTACGGCAACCCAGTCGCCTGCAGTAATTGATCTCTGATCCTCAGGTTGCCACGGAGGACGGACGAAGCGCCAGTTGCGAAAGGCTCTTTTGACACGCTGTTGGGCGACCGCAGTCAAATGCATAAACCCAAATCTCATCGCTGGGGGCACAGGTGCGGCCATGTTGATCGTTCAATCGGTAGAAAGGTATGAACATACGTCCCTAAGCGGAAGAGCGATATGGGGCATGACATCCAATGAGGACGCCTCAGCCAAGACATCTTTCCTTTTCCTTTGTTTGATACGTCTCTTCAGAAGGCGCGATGGTCGAAGCCAGAGTTTGGATGCGGAAGCGACGAAGCGTTACCAGAAGCCGCATTGAGGCAACCAACAGCAACGATCAAACAAAGGTTTTGTCTCCTCCCCACAAAGAGCAGTATCATTCCGTACTTTTGCTTGCCCAATTATGTTTCCACTGTTCACCCAGAATTCCTTTAGAGGGATTGGTTCTGTCAGACAAAGAGAATAATGACGACAAAAGAACCGAATCCGGCAGTGTCGGATTTGCGAGGAGGACATAATCACGAAAGGAATATACTCTTTTCTCCTAGCAGTTACCCAGCTTACCAAACATAGCTTACCTTCTCGCTACGGATTCACCGCCTCGTCACCAAGTTTCTGTAACAACGGCAGTATGGCAGCTCCAGTAGCACAACCACCTGATCCATTCTGGTGGTCAGCAATAGCGGGAAATGTAAAACAGCTTATCGCAGATTCTTTCCGAAATATGCCCTTCGCTGCACCAGCGACTACGCTTACCAACAGAGCTATGCAACCTGCTGCAGCGAATGAAAGATGGATACCAGCTCCTCATCCAGGAAGACATGCGCTTCATGAAGGAGGGGAGGGTATAGTAAACCTCTGGTGTCTTGTTGACGCCAGAAACCGAATTTTAGACAAGATAGCTGTCAAGCAGGTCCATCCTGGCGCTTTGAACTACAACGACGCAACAAACTGGCTGAATGGTACCGTTGGTGGCACACCTAGAGAGGTTTCAATGGCCAATGCTGTGTGGACCGCTCTACCCCTTGGGGACCGTCAACATGTAGTGCAGTGCCTGGGCTTTGGAGATGTTCAAGGTCAAGGAAAATGGAGATATAGGACATACTCCGAGTATGCCGGCCAAACCAATCTGCTTGCAAGGATAGCAGCACAAAATCCAAGGACCAAAGGCTTGAATAAAGATGGCCAGCAGCTGTTCCCTGAGCCGTTCTTGTGGATGGTAAGCCAATCTTTGTCTTTGTGGTGAAGCAGTAAGCTAACTTGTTCAGTTTTTCGAAAGCTTGGTCAAGGTTGCGTTGGCCATGGAGCAAGTTGGAAGCGGCGTATATCATGGGTGTGTTCAAGATTTTGCTTCCAGAACAAGTTTGGCGCTGACGGGTTAACAGGGATTTGCAAGCTCAGAATAGTAAACTTAACCGGCACCGCAGCAACAGAGCAATGCTGACAAGTCATAGTCCTCTTCTCGGATAACGATCCGAATAGGTTCGCAATGTACCCTGTACCCAAGGTAAGGCCGAACAGCCCATTCTAGCCGAGACTCGACTGACGATTTTGTACAGGTCTCCGACTTTGGAAGCACGCGTGACGTTAGTGATGCCGATGTGCAGAATCGTACCAATATCATACTAGAAGATGGATGCCATAGATTCAATCAACCACCGGTACGTGAAGATGTCTTAGCAGCTGTGTCCTTTGTGCTGATGATAACCCTCCAATTCAGGAGTTGTCAAGAGATTTTCACATGACGAACTGGGAGATTCAAAATCTTTCACTTGCAAGTCGAATCAGCAGCAAGACAAACGTTTGGCAGATCGGCATGCTGATGGCTTGTTGCATGAGGTTACGCCCATTTTTAGAAGGTTCGTCAAGTCCTCAAACGAGTGGTTCATAGATACTGACGACAAGTAGAAGTAAACTGGCGAGGTGTACATGTCACAAAGCAGAAGTTGCCGAGAGCTCAGCAGCTACGATTTGACGGCGCGGGCCTCAGGGAGCTACCGAGAAATAAATTCTATCACGGCAAATCTCGCTACAGCAGGGAGCTGATCGACCTCGTAGAAGACTGCATGAGGTTTCTCCCAGCTCATCGTCCGATGCCTACGCAGCTTTTGAACGATATCCAAACGGATATGCAGGGTAGACTCCAAGGAACCGACACCTATGTACTAAGAAATGGTGTAGTCCAAAACCATATGAAGCCATATAAGCTCCGCCGCCACAACGACGATAACAAATATAGGGTCGGTAAGCTTCTCCGAGGAGCATGATAGAGGCTTGAGAAGACGCATTTCTTGCGGAATTGCCATATAGTAGCAGTAGATACAATTAAATTGAACCATTCGTCCTGTTTTAGCCTGTCTGTCACAATGCTGTACCAGAAAACAAAGAATCTGTTGTACGACCTTAACCCTGCTTCCGGACAAGTCAACGGGGTACAAAGAAGAAAGGCCACATCGTGTCAGGCAGTGATCATAGTAAGGATCTTCTGACTTTCTCTGCACCCGTGCCACACATCTCGTAACAAGGTAGAGCATGGCTGCGAAGCCGCCAGCGAAAGGTTACTGGCAAGCACTCCCAGAGTTCATTCAGGCCCTGGTTGCAGACTCATTCCACAACTTCGTCTTCACTGGACCACCGAATCAAACGATCGACAGGCCCATACCGGTCTCAACAGACAACACAAGATGGGTTCCAGTACCACGCGCCTCAACCAAAAAGGGCTTTGCGGAAGGTTCTGAAGGTTTGATCAACCTCTGGTGTCTTGTCGACAGTGACGACAAGATAATAGACAGGATCATCATCAAGCAAATCCATCCAGGCTGTCAACGCTACGAAGATTCTTCAAACTGGAAAGACGGAAATGTTGGTGGAGAGCCCAGGGAGTGTGCCATGGCCAATTCTGTCTGGTCCGCCCTAGCTACCGACAACAGAAAGCACGTACTCGAGTGTCTGGGATATGGGGATTGCAAAGGGGAGCCACGATGGAGATACAGACTTTACTTCGAGTTCAGCGAGCATGAAGACCTTTCTAGAATGATTGAAGCCCAAAGAGAAGGCCAAAGCAGTACTGGACAAAAGAGAAAAGCCGATGATGGTGACACTATATTCCCAGAAGCTTTCCTGTGGTATCTACTCGAATCTCTGGCTAAAGTTGTCGTAGCCATGGACCAAGCTGGTGATAAAGGTGGCGTCCTCCATGGGTGAGTGTCTAACTGTAGAATCCGATGTGAATAGTTTGCTGACAATTCAACAGAGATTTGCAAGCCGCGAACAGTACGTGTCATATTAGCCTGGCCTCGTGGTACCATTGCTAATAAGTCCAGTATTCTTCAGTGCACCAGATTCAAAGAGATTTAGCTTGTACCCAATACCAAAGGTAAGCATAGCAATCATCGTCTCCTTGGCGGTCGTTCTAACATCACAAAGGTGGCAGATTTCGGGAGCTCGCGTAACCTCGGCGACTCAGGAGTCAGAGATCGATCCGACGTTGTCAGGAGAGATGCATGCTGCATGCTGTTTGCGCCGCCGGTACGTTCGAATCACATAGTCATTAATTATCCTGAAAGCTGACTGCTTGATCGCGATTCAGGAGCTGGCCAGGATCAACGACGGGGTGACGTGGGAGGTCAAGGATGGATCAAGTGCCACGCTCAGCAACAAAACCAACGTTTGGCAGGTCGGAATGCTTCTTGCTTGCTGCATGAGGTTGAGACCATATCTACCAGGTTCTGAATACCCGATCTTCAAGTTGTTGATCCTCACTGACAAGTCGCCCAGAAACCGATTGGCGCGATGTACCTCAGATGCATTGGGAGACGCCCGAGAAAGAGCAATTGCGGTTTAGCAAGAAGAGAGGCAGGCCAGAATTGAGTCGCAAGCAGCTGTGTCACGAGAACTCCAAGTACAACTCGGTGCTAATCAACATCGTAAAGCTTTGTCTGCACTTTGATCCAGTTAAGAGGCCATCACCGAGTTCTTTGCTGAGAGGAGTGCAAAAATACATGAAAGACGCAGTCGCTGGTGTTGAGAACTATCAGTCGGTTGAAGGAGAAGCCGATGACGATATACAGCCGTACAAGCTCCTCAAGAAGAAGGACGACAGATACAAGATTGGCAAACAGTTCGACTAGGCTTTGCACTGGGGATCTGTCGCGTAAATTTTACTGATATTTTCCGAGGTTGAAGGAGACTTTTATTCCATGTCTCGTCGCAAGGTCGCTCATCGATACTCTTGTTGGTCAAGAAGGACAGCCCACGCGGCTGGGAAGGTGACATCAAGCGCGGGAGGGCATCTCATACAGTGTGTGCCAACTTTGGCCCTTTCCCAGACCAGTCCGTAAAACATTACTATCCATTGAAGTGCATAGCGTGATTAAGACTGCAGAGGGCTCACTGAGAGTTCGGATTTACTAGTTCTCTGCCAGACACCATCAGAATTCATAATGACATTATGCGTCTTCACGATTGCACTCTTGAAAGCATCTGGTGCCCAAAGTAGCCGCGCTGCATACACTGGACAAGCAAATTGCAGACGCTTGACATCAGGTTTCCTTGGCTGGCTGGCCTCAAGAGTCTGGCGTTCCTTCTTTGTTTCGTGAGTCCACCAAGCTTTTGCTTTCAGAAGTCTTTGTTTCGATGTTTGCTGATTGAATTCGGTCGGACGGAAAGGGAACGCAACGTGCCTGCCTGGTTTTAGGACAGCCGGCGGCCCCTTAACTTTCTTCCTCTTTTCAAGCGTCTTCGAGAGTATACGATATGGCCGAGATGGCAGCAGAAGCGCCGCAAGACTATGCTCCCACGAATCTCGATCCAGGCAACGATGATGAGGCTTTTGGAAACCTTGCTTCTGGTGCACGAGACCGAATTGCACTCAATTTCTTGAGATGGGTCTTTCGTCGTCCCAATCCAAGTCGATCGCCTGCAAAAAGAAGAGGCCTACTCCTAACTTCCCGACGTCGTACCTGGCGGCCGGTTTACAAGAACAAGCCATTAGGACGTGGAGGCAACAGTCTAGTACATCTATGGGTGTGCACAGATGATCAGCAGAGAATCGTTGACCGTGTCATCGTCAAGGAATGTGTCCCTGGTCAGGCCACGTACAACGATGCCAGATTCTGGAAAACTGGAGTCGGTGGTGGAGTCGGGACCGAGCCACGAGAGTGCGTGATGGCGAACAAAGTCTATGACAGCCTCAGGGTCAACTCTCCTGGCGATGAGAGGCATGCGACTCAATGTCTGGGCTGGGGCCATCTACGCAACGGGGGCCCTCGGCTGTGGGGCTATAAACTTTACTTCGACTATTGCGAACATGGCGACCTTTCATCCCTCATATACTCGCAAGCCATAGGACACCGCCGAGATCGAAGGCAAAGATCAAGGATCGATCGCCCAAGAATAATCTACACGACGCCTCCATCCCCCGTGATCTTTCCCGAAGGGTTCCTATGGCATATGTTCGAAAGCCTGGCAAAGGTTCTTGTACAGATGAGAGCTACTGAGACACTCCATGGAGACATGCAAGCAGCAAACGGTAGGTGTCAACTTTGTCACGTCTCTTATGGCCCTTGCTGACAAGTCTAGTGCTCTTCAGTGCTCCCAACCCTGATAGATTCAAGATCTGGCCAACCCCAATGGTAGGAACGGCAGATCCAGGCTTCAATAGGTGCAATGCTGACATGCAACTAGCTGGCTGATTGGGGCACTGCCCGTACCCTCGATGCCGCTACACGCGCACGTACCGGTGCTTTGGATGAGTCGATTTGTCTACCTTTTGCTTCGCCAGAGCAAGCTTGCGATGACACATTCAGCAATTGGGAGGTACCGAATCTGGCCTTCAGTGCCAAAACCAACGTGTGGCAATTGGGCATGCTCATGTGTTGTGCAATGAGACTCACAAGGGTTCTGCCAGTAAGTCACAATTTCCAGTTGGCGTTGCTAGTACTGACAAAGTTTTAGGAAGCAATTTGGCGTGGCGTAGATCCAGAGGACTTGATAGAGCCAAATACCACTGAACATCTCGATTTTTCTAAACCCGACCAACGAAACGTTCGCGAAATCGAGCGGGACGGTGCTGGATACAGCCCCGAGCTCGTCAGTCTGGTGCGAAGGTGCTTGTCTTTTCATCAGATCAACAGACCGTCGCCCGCGAACCTGTTGGCTGATATCCAGCGAGACATGGTCGGGAGACTGAATGATATGGACACACGTACGACCCCAGTGCCCTGGAATCATCCAGCGCGGCTGGTCATGCGTCTGCGGAATGAGTGGTCGATCGGTTCAAGCTTTGATCCAGATTTCCCTGTTCCTCACTACCCTGAACCTGACTCTGATTCTGATTCTGACTACCAGGTATCTTCTGACGACCAGTTATCTTCTGACGATGGAGCTCAGGCAAGACCGCGAGATCAGTATGATCTTCGAAATTGAGGTTGATCGTGCGGTGAAGGCTCTCGAGGAATGTTTCTCGTCATCTTTTTGTTCGGTCGAGTGTGTAGTTTGCTTTTTCTTTTCCCAATGAATGCACAGTTCGAAGCTCACTCTATCCAGTTGCTGGTGACGCCGAAGCGACCTGGGGGTAACGATTGTTATATATTCCTGAAGTTTTGTAGCGCTATAATACAGAGTTTATGCGTTTATACCGTTATCACCAGCCGAAGACTTTTGCAAGAGCTTCTTGGAATACTCCAACGTTGTAATCTATGAGTACCTTCTTCTCCATTGGGTTGTCGTCGCCCATGATGCATACCAGTGCCAAATATCTGCAATGTAATCATAATCAGTATAGTCCTCAATATCGAATTTTTGGGATGCAACCGACCTGTTCATCTCCCTCAGATATAGGTAGTTCTGTCCCTTCTTCTCCATAGTAACCATACTCTCACAGGCATGGTTGTTGAACTCGGTCTTCTCGCCTTGCTGGGGTCTTGACCAGCCGTACAACTCGCCGATATCTACCACCACATCAATGAAGTCGGAGCAGATCTCGTAGCTGTTGGTGTCTTGCGGGCTCGTGTCAGACGCAATGTAGATCTTTGTGATGATGTCAAACAAATATGCCTTTTGGATACGACACGTGCTGCACAGGCTGTTGAGCAGACTCTCCAGCGTCGGCAGCTGCGGCAGAAGCTTCTGGATGACTTTACTGATGGACTCGAACACGGAATGGTCGTAGATGCTAGTCTGGTAGAAGCTGACTGGTGCGTTGTCATAGCCAAGGTCGGACAGTTCGTCCAAGATTCGTTGCCGAATGTCGCGGAACGTGTCGTTCTTGTACTCCTCGGATAAGCCATCGACTTTGTGCACGAAGACCTCGACGTTGATGGCAGGCCATGTTTGCGCTAGGTAAGTGATTGTGTCGATGAGTTGATTGAGGGCGTCGAGGTATTGATCTTGTGCGTCGATGACCCAGATGACGGCACCAATTTCGGCGAAGATGTTAGCCTGGTTGAAGTCTGGTGTGAAGTAGTTGACATGGCCAGGGAGTTCCGCTATTTGAAAGTCCATGAAGGAGCTAACACGAGGTCAGGGTTGGCTTCAATCATTTCCGAAAACACAACACTCACTGTGCGGATGATTCTTCAGGTCTCGTTGTTGTCTCCAAGTACAGTGTCTCCGAGGGTGGCATCTTCTGGAAGACCACACCTGATATTGATGACTTGCCGCTCCTGCGACAACAATCAGTATTTTGTGCTTCATTTGCTGTGCCGAATCTGTTACCTTCTCTGACCCATGAGCATCAGCTTCGGTCTATTGCGATTCTTGGCGCCATTGGGTAGTCTGCCAGTATGAAACTGCGAATTGGAGACTTCGGCGGACATGTCTGGGAAGTCGGCTGATGTTTGATCCTGAATGTAACTCATTAACCTCTCTCGGCCTAAAAATTCATCGGTCGGTCCATTGAGAACATGGAGGCCAGGCCGTGGCATTGTAGCAGATTGAAGGACTGGAAGAGGCGGTCTGACTTGTCTCCTTTTGGCGATGGGTATGATCGATGCCTTGTTTTCCTTCTAAACGCGACCTTGATCAGTGAACGTTCTTTGAAGGTGGAGTCCTTGGCTGACGGCGCCTCTAGACTGGCTGGATGTAGTGCGTGCGGTTGACTGGACCTCTTCGATGTAAATTTCTCCCTGCAAAAGCGAGGCGCGAAAACATCGCTCGGCGCAGTCTAGGGCACAAGATCAAGGTCTGAGAGCCGCTCACAGGCTTGTAGTTTTCGATCTCAATTGACGGGCAGATGGCAAAAAAGGGAACTTGACAATACTCACAATTGTGTCTGGAAAGGTGCTTAAGTACACGCTTCGTGTTTATTGCAAAGACAGTCTTCAACCATCAAGTCTACCGACAGACGCGCATCTTCCAAGCCGAGCAACGACGGCGTTCAACCTCCACAAAATTCGGGGCAGCACTTGATACTTACATCCATCGCGTTAGGCACCTTTGCTTTACCGAGCGAAATAAGTGGCTTGCAAGGGGGAAGCCTTGATCGGTATGCACGATGGTCAAAGTTGTATTTCAGACTGATAAGTCGACCAACCCTCGCGAAGGGAGTGCGTCGGAAGGGGTACCGGCGACCCGGTTTCTTCTTGACAGATGCGGCTTGATCTTTCCCGACCGTTCCGGCTGCAGACAGGTTCGTAGCAATTCGAGTGGCTGACAATTAAATGCAGGATTTCGTAGTTGGGCAGAAGGAGATCAGGTCGATTGCAGGTCGCGAGAGACGGTCGATATGCCAAGTCTCCAGACCCGGGCTGGCTTTGTCGATGATTGGAGTCAGAAAGATATCGGCAGTAGCCGAGGTTAGATCAACGCCTATCACGATTGAAGCATTTGAAACCACGCGTGTACCTGAAACTTGGTGTATGGAGATTTATGATTATTCTAGAAGGACATCAATTACAGGTTATCATAGCGGGTTCCTGACATTCTTGCATCATTTCTCGTCATCTCAAAGACCTGCTATCTAGTCCGCTGTGTTCGTGCTTTGAATAAGCAAAACGCTATGCTTTCTACGAGTCCGTACCTTGGGGAATCTACTCGTGGTTATGAAGAACTATCAATACGTCTCAGTGACGGAGTTCTCAGATGGGAAAACCAGCACTGTGCGGGCGCTTCTTAGTGATGTTGGATCTGCAGGTTGCACCGATTGTCCATGTTTCACAACATTTCCGAAGTCGTTCTTGGGAAGATCTCTCCTGGCATGCAATTTTGAGCAGGTGGGCGAGATTCGTCGATGCCTCAGCTGCGAAGCGAAGTAGCCTCGGTCGCAAACCAAGCTGAGGTCGTCGTATAGTGATGAAGTGACGGCTGTGTTGACTTGAATTGGCGACACATGGCTTTCTGAGCAGGCGGACTGTCATGGGCGAGTTTGTGTGAGTGAAGGGGGTCAGCGTAGAGCTGGCGGCCTTGCTTCCTTGTTCCATTTGACCCTGCTGCAGAGCCAGTCGACGGCTTCCTTGACACCAGTGCCGGTCAAGGCGCTCAGTGGGAGGACTCTGCTGTCTCTGACGCTTCCGCCTTTTTCACCTTCGACGATTTTACGCACCAGGCCCTCCTTGATGCGGACGACCTCGACGCAGTCCTCGCGATCTTGTTTGTTGGCCAGGACGAGAAGAGGGACGCCTTCAGTCTCTCCATTCTGTAGGATGCTCTCTAGCACCAGCCTACATTCGTCTAGCCTTCCTTGCTCTTCGACGGCATCTTGTCCCTTGCTGAGGTGTTCGAGGTCGCCATCGCCTACATCAGTGCTGTCAATGACAAACACAATGGCATGACAGCTGCTGTAGTACGACTGCCATAGCCCTCTCAGCGAGTGTTGGCCGCCGACGTCCCATATCTTGAGGTAGATGTCGGGCAAGTCGACAGTAGAGACATTTTGACCGACGGTGGGGACCGTGTTGAGCTTCGGGTGGAGATGCGGACTGAACAAGGCTTTGATCTGTTCAAGCAAGGTCGTCTTTCCGGCATTGTCGAGGCCAAGGAGGAGAATCGAGTATTCTTAGTGTCGCGTCAGCCAAAGTCAAAAGCGCGACGTCGTCTCGTTCGGTGATGGTACCTTCTTTGCTTGTCGCATGCAGATAGAGCGATTTGACCAGGTGATACATGATTGCTATGGCACACGCCGGGACAGTTTGGGCGGCAAGGTCCTCATGGACGCAGAACAACAATCAAGCCATCAATCACATGCATGTCGCAAGCTCTCGGCCAAAGACGCGACAGGTCACGGTCACATCTCTGGCGGGGAAAGTGCCCACTGCTTCCGCTCGACAAACCTCGCTTTGCCCCCACCATGTTCAATGCAAGGAATGCTGAACTGTCGCCCATTGTGCAAAGCTAAGTCAACATTCGTGACAATGGAATGTAAACGCCCTCTCATCGAGAGCTCGAATAAGACCATCATGCCTCTGCCCAATTCCTCTCCTCTTGTCTGCTTCGCGACAGCACCCAATAAACATGGCCATCCTTCATCTCCTTCTGGATCTTCTGGCCTTTCTGCAGCCCATTTCTTTTGTGCTCGCTATCATCTGGATCTTCTTCGACGTCTTTTGGCTCATCCGTCCAGACAACAAGGCTAGAGGCATTTTCGCGACACCGGGACGCCTCACCAAAGTAAAGCAGAAGGGATGGCGACGAATCTATGCCTGTGTTTACCTGCCTCTTGCTGCCTTCAGTGCTGTGAGAGTCATAAGCTATCAGAACACATACATTGAGAGCGTTGACCTCTTGCACAGTCAGAGAGGTCACCCTCAAGCTTTCTATCCTCGTTTCTTCGAGTTGGTCAATCTGCAACTCCTGATTCCATGAGCAACCCACTAAAACACTGCTAGGAAATGGGGACATTTGGTGCCTCAGATGTTCCAGATGATGCACCTCCGCGCCTGGGCTGGCGAGGTTAGTAAAGATTCGCGACCAGAATGGGCCTACTTTGTTTGGAATGCACAACAATATGCCGCCGGCCTGGTCACCTTCGCCTTCTTCCTTATAGTCCAGTGTAGGTCGAGAATTTGAGCACCCTCTTATAATTTATACTGACAGGTCTGCAAACAGCTCGCGTGCGTCCACTAAAGTTCTTCACGATCCTTACTTTCATCTGGATATCCATGACAAGCTTGAGCTGTGCCCACTGCTTGCTCTTCTACTTCATACTGGTGACCCCACCACTTCTGCACGGAAAACGCTACGTGTCGGATTGGCTGCACAAGATGACAGCGTTCTTGACCATATTCCAGCACCTTGCGGCATATTCACTAATGCACACTCTCAACACCGCCTCCTACCAAAAGTACTTGCTATACATGATGGCTGTTCCTCTGACTGTCCCTATCATTGCATTGGTAAGTGTTCTGCCTCCGTGTCCTCTCATCGTTGTACTCATCTTACACACAGCTCTTGCCTAAACAACCCTCGTACAGATTGAGATTTGTCACCCTCCACGAAGCACAAACCTACGTTTTTCTCACCAGCGGTTATGTTTCTGCCTTCCTGCACTTGTACTCAACCTACACCATCTGGTGGAAAGCCGTTGAGACTGACATCAACAAACCCGATTATCGTCTTTATCCCAACCAGGCCGATGCTATACAGCGGGGAAATGAGTTCGGCTGGTTGTGGTATAATCTTTCAGCTAAAGACCCATCATTCGGTGCTATAACCTGGGATGTCTTGTTGACTCTTGCATCGCTCTTGATCTGGACCTTGGTCAATCGCTCCAGCTATTGGGGAATGGTCAGAAGCTCCTTCTCCTGGTTGGTCAGGAGTCACCAGATGCCAATTTGGGATGGCAGTCAAGATATCGTCGATGATGGCCGGACCAGAGCTGAGATGAGAGCACTTCTCCGCAACGATGACTTGTACCCGGAGTTGCCGAGGAGCCAGATGACAGATGCGGGAATGATCGCGGAATGGGACGCTAGAGCTGAGATAGGACGAGCAGTGGCAATGATTCGCGAACCACCCATGCCTTACGAGCCTAGCAGACTGCCAGGCTGGTTGCAAACGGTATGGAGTTATGTTGGGGAAGTGGTACTTGCCGTCATCTTATTTGGTATTGGTGGACTTGGATGGGCTTCGGCGGCAGTGCTTGGAGCAGGGCCAAAGAAATGGCCTGTACATTGAGGACATCCTTAGAGTACTACACTGGTTTCATGACGTCGGGACATGGCCAGCGTAGCCAGCAGGGCCAATGATGACCAAGCATTTATGGTTGAGGGTGTCACCCTGGCTTTGACATGGAAATCGTCTTGTCGTCTTCTGTCAGTCGCCAGAGCCACATTCAGGTACGACATTGGTATCTGCGATGGCTTCACTAGATTATGCTACTGTTTGCAACCGATATCTCATGTCGTCGTTGTGTTACGAGTCTTTCTATAATTTGGAGGCTTGACATTAAAAAGGCTTGGTGAAACACATTGTGTCGGCTACCAAATTTGTCAGACTGCCCAGAGTGTCGAAAGGAACGATCAGGGATCTGTACCAAGTAGAGCATAAGAAGCCCCTGAGTCACAACTAGTAAGCTTGTACGGCTGATCTCTAGACGCAGATGCTGCCAATGATCAGTAATGGCCGATGGCGGAGTGGCCGTCTCTATCGCAGGATTCGCAGCGGGCAGATCCGCGATAAGATCTCAGGGCTATAAAATCCCCGAGAGACAGAGCCAGGTGAAGAAGTCACACAACCAATTAGTGCCCTGACAACGACTATTCATTCATCACTCTCACCATAAACACAAGCAACGCGATGGATTTCGCATCCCTCATGTCGGCGCAAATCGCCAAAGCAAAGCCTACGCCAAAATCGGAAACGCCCCAGGAAGTGAAACCATCCAAATACATCAAACGCGCCGATGTCGAAGCACAACGGCAAGCAGACTACGCCGCCGAGCAAAAGGCAATAGAAGATGCGCGCATCGCAAGACTCGACAAGAAGCGCAAGTTTGAGGAAGATGAGGCAGAGAAGAACAGAGCAAGAGAGGAGAAGCGAAAGAGATTGGCAGAGGAGAGCAGGAGATTGAGAGAGGAAGAGGAGGAGAGAGAAGAAAGAATTCGACGCAAGAGATTGGGCTTGCCAGACTTGCCGCCGAAAGAGAAGGCTATCGAGAGTGGTGATGCCACACCGGCGCCCGAGAACGACATAGCCGACGAAGAGCTCGTGCAAAAGTTGAGGGAGATGAATGAGCCGACACGCCTGTTTGGAGAAACACATAATGGCCGATTGCGACGCTACAGGAAGCTGGCCGGTCTCGATGCGACAGGCAAGCCGAAAGCAGTCATGTATCCTGGTCCTATTCCTACAACCCTCCAGCCTGTACCTGAAGCCGACATGAAGGTGCCTGACGCTGTACCGAAGGACAACGACGCCCGATCTTTCCTCTACCGCCAGCTTGCTTCGTACTTCACGCTCGTCCTGTCAGAGTGGCAAGTCTCGTTGTCTCTGCGAGATGAGGCAGTCAAGACGAGCAGTAGTGGAAAAGCTGCTTACAGCGCCATGGTACAAGCTCGCGACAGTATGGTACCACTATACCGAAAATTGGAGAAAGGAGATGTCGAGGCAGGCATTTTGGGTCCGATCGTCGAGATTGTACGGGCCTGTCAGGAAAGACGCTATGTCGATGCCAACGATGCTTACCTGCGACTAAGTATCGGTAAAGCGTAAGTCAACTCATACCAATCCTCTGCCGCACGCGATGCTAACCTCTTCTCAGTGCATGGCCTATTGGTGTCACCATGGTCGGTATCCACGAGAGATCTGCCCGCGAGAAGTTGCACGCAAACGACAAGGACGCTGCACATATCATGAGCGACGAGATCACAAGAAAGTTCTTGCAAAGCATCAAGAGATGCTTGAGTTTCAGCCAGACTCGCTGGCCACCAACCACTCCTCTGCAGCTCATGGGCTAGTCGGTCATCTTTAGCTGTTCTCACTACAACGTGTAGAGCTCCCAAGCATCCTCCTAGAAGTTTAATGAATAATGCGAACCTAAGATTGTTGTTCTTGTGATTGGTGTCGTTGAATTTATCTTCCATTAATTGCTTTTTGTTTCGTTCCACCGTCCGACTCCGCGTTTGGTGTCGCGACTCGCCTCACAGCTTCATCTTGCTTTGTAATTTTGACTTGAGATTTATTCTGTTCTCAATCAACAACGCTGCTCTCGATTCCGAAATGCATGAAGTCATCACGTTGCAGTTTGGTCAACAGGCTAACCACGTCGGCACACATTTTTGGAACGCGCAGGTAAGCCCCTCTCTTTTTTCCACAACGTCCCCAGCCTCTCCAAACGCGAGATTGGAACTTCGAGCCAATAACGACGTCAATGGAAGCAAAAGCAAGCCTCTGTTGCCGTGATCAATGGTCATCGTAGAGCGTAGTCTTGCAGTCAAGAGTCCACAAGTTTAATCAAATTGTATCTAGGAGACATATTTCACGTATGGTGACGAAGAAGAATCTCCGGTGGATCATGATGTTCACTTTCGACCCGGACACTCAGAAGATGGCACAGAGACATTCACACCTCGTGCGCTGATCTATGATCTCAAAGGCGCTTTCGGTACTTTGAGAAGAGATAATGCGCTCTATGGTGCGCCTGATGATCCTGCCGCCATCGCACAGCAGATGTGGTATGTTTCGTGTATATTTCCTTGACTATGGCTATGGAAGCCAGCTTACAAGATTGCTCAGGTCGGGAAACACAAATGTGATTAGGACAGAACAGATACAGCAAAGTGCATACCAGCAACATCTGGACCAAGGACTCGCACCACCGACCTTGTCACCAGACACTGTTCGCTACTGGTCCGATTTCAACCGAGTGTTCTATCACCCCAAGTCTATCGTCCAGCTGCATGAGTATGAGCTGAACTCCGCTCTCATGCCGTTTGAGAGATGGGCCACCGGCGAAGACTTGTTTGACAGTCTTGACAAAGAGCATGACCTTCTGGACAGAGACCTGCGACCTTTCCTGGAGGAGTGCGACCAGTTACAAGCGATTCAAATGATCACCTCCGCCGACGATGCCTGGGGCGGCTTTACAGCAAAATACCTTGAAAGAATGAGAGATGAACTAGGCAAGACGAGTGCCTGGGTATGGGGACTCGAGGAAGGTGGACGCAAGCCAAGGGTAACATGCACATGCACGAGAATCTTGATACATGTACTAATGCAGTGTGTTGCATGACAGGATAAGCAAATCTTACAGGTTGCCAATGTAGCGCAGTCGATTCACCAGATCTCGAGCCAGGCGAGCATGTATATCCCGCTTACCACGTTGCCGGACGTGCTGCCGCCGTACGTTCATCTGAACGGGTCGTCCAAATGGCACACATCTGCCCTGCAGTTGCTGGCAATGGAGAGCATGACTTTGCCGACTAGACTGCGTGCAGGTCAGCAAGGACGCTCTTCGTTCGCTGACATCGAGACTCTGTTGAGCAATGATGGCAATCGCAGAATTGCTCAACTCAACATGAGCATCAAGGATCCATCTGAGCTTGAAGGAGAAGCAGATGGCAATGCGGGACAGCACGATAGCAGAATGAACAATTTCACAAACGGCAACCACGGCCACGACGACTCCAACACCAAGGATCTCGACATCGACATGCAGCCCAAGACTGCAAACCTGACCGGCGAGCGAGGCAACGACCATCGCCGAACTCACGTGTTCAGCCAACTGCAAAGCCTACGAGGAAAATGGAAATCAAATCTCGAAATCGAAGACACGAACCTCGCATCCCGCGATCGCTTTGGTCATGGCCCTAGGATTGAAAGGTATGTCTCAGACGATTCTTTGGAGATTGCGATGTTGCGAATTCGCGGCAGAACACGAAGAATGCTAACAAGGGTTCACAGTCACCAATCTTCATTGCTTTTCCCCGTCATCGACAGCTTCCCTCAAGTCTTTGCATCTGGCAATGTTGTGCAGAAACTTGCTGTGAATGTTTCGTTGTCGACAACAACTTCAGTTGCACAGAGAGTCCGTGCTGTGGAAAGAATTGCTCGCTCAATCATTGGGATTGATGAACGCGAGGCACTCTGCGATGGACTGGTGGGGATCTGCGAGGAATATGAAGATGGATGGGAGAGCGGCAGCGAGAGCGACGACGATTGAGATTCTTGAGTTTAGTAACTCGGCTGAAATGAACTGCATGCCAAAAAAGTCTGCAAAGCTACATGGTACAACTACATATCTTGGAGGCTGTTCTTGAGTTGTTTTTCCTCGCATGCCCTGCAGCAAACAAAAGGCACAAGCGACAGCTGATCAACAGGGCGGTGCCTAACCTTGCAGTCACAACTTTTCTGGTTGGCGGGAGCCCTTTGCACCCCTCCTTCCTCTTCAGTTCCCTCCACTCGGTGGGCCGACTGGAAAAATTGGGCGCGCGGATGAACATGCTGATTTGGGCGTTGATCTGGCCGTGGAGTGCGTTAGCTCTTCTGGAGTGCATATCATGAGTAATTGCGTAGGGTGGAGAAACTTCAAAGCAGCAAGCATCGCGAGAGCGTGCGCCGGAGCAAGAAAAAAAAGGTCCTCAACAGAATCCCACACCATCTCTCGTATTTTCTCGGCTGCAGACTACCAAAGAAGTTCATGCTTTGTTCTTTGTGCAGGTTGACAAGTGGGAACTAGTCAGGTACCTGCATATGTTGCCATTTTCGCACCTGTGAAGCCAGTCAGCCTCTCGACTTTATGGCGTGAGAGACGAGTCGGAGACTCGGAGAGCAAGTGAAGGCTGGGCGGAAGCCCGCGTAGCTAAGGACAAACTCAGAAAGGCGCTGCCGAGGGACTTGGGATTTTCTGATTGGCCGGCATTATTTCTATTACCACGCGAACCAGAGTGTGAAAAGAGCGTGCTTTACATGCTCCACTTGCTCCAAGAGGGCAAGAGTCCAGAAACTCAACTGGCGACTGACTTCTGAGTTTTATGAGGCTGCTCCGATATCAGAGCTCCGGCCTTCTGCGCGGATGGCGGCAACGATTCAGAGCAGGACATGGCGGAAGTCAAAGCTCACAAGGCGAGATCATGGCGTCGGTGGCTTGAATCCTCTGGATGGAACATTTTTCGCAGCAGCAGCAAAGCACGACACATCACATGCATCCAGCCATCGAGCGATGTATTCATCTATGGATGCAACCTCGAGTACTGAACATGCGCGATGGTGAAAGTGACATCTTGCTGTTCCTCGTATATTCAATACCAAGCTGTATAACAATAGTATCCTCCTCACAGCCAGTGTGACCGCGTGATGATATATATTCAAGAGCCCGTCTGATCGCGCATCTCGTATGTGGAAGCCACCGAGCCCTCGATATCACGAACAGATGCAGTGATTCGATAGACGCATGGAGTCCACAGTAGGGAATACGATATTTCCACCTCTTGTTGAGGGCTTTGAGGTGTCATGATGCGACTCCAGAATCCTTCAGTCTGAGCAAGGTTTTGTTCTTGCAGACGAAAACCTCGCATGGCGTCTCTTGTCACTGGTCAGGAACACCCAGGTTTAGAGTTGGTGTGGTTTGTTGATCGCTTTCTCGGTTGTGGGCGGCCCTCTCCACCCCACAAGATCGACGTGAGTGGCACTTCTATTTTCTACCTCTTGGTTTTGGCGGTCCTTCTGCCAATTGGGACGCTACTGCAGGTTCATTGTCTTGGATTATGGAGGCCACCACCACGCCGTTCTTACCAGCGTTGAGGTTCGCTGAAGCCAAAACGTTCAGTCAACGAGCATACGAAAACGCCTTGTCTGAGATCTCTCCAGATGTACAACGTCATGCGGTATCACGTTGAAACTGGCAGAAAGCTTCCAGACGAGCAGGGATTTGAATTGATGTTTCCAGAAATCAGCTCTGCATGTTCTGCAGGCATCGACTGTCCTGCGCAAGCTGTCTGCAAGTGGGAGCTCGGTTGGCTGGGGCACGCTTGCTGCATGCAGGTGGAGCTCTCGTGCCGTCTAGTCACCGCGTGGGTCGGTCCTTGGGCGACGAACCTTCAGGCTATCGCCTCGATACGAAGAAAAAACCCATCTCTGCCAAGCTCAAAGTAGTCGGCTGCTCCGCTTACCTCGTACCAACCATGTGTCTACCAGAAGGTGCTTAATGCGTGAGCCGGTTGATCCTCATCAGTGGCGCACTCTAAATCACGTCAATCGGTAGAGTACCAGAGGTGCAGAGGTGGAGGAAAGAGCATCTCAAGGCTTGGCCAGTCAACATGATGGGGAAAGCACGATATATTAATTATCCTGTTCCCTCCTGCTGTTTACTCTCTCTCATCCCAATCGCTTCCATCAACTCACCATCAGAGACTCTCTCGCTACGGTCTCTTGGATACCTTCGTTTATATATCCATCCATCAGAAGCATCATTAATCAATCGACATCGACCATATCATCTGTAAAAGAATGAAGTCTTTCTCGATCCTCGCAGGCCTTGTTGGTCTTGCGTCTGCCAGCAACTGGAACGAAACTTGGACTCACTCTTCCTCTTCCACTCCCTGGTCTGCTACTGACGTGACCTCATCCTCATCTTGGGTCCCCGAGCACAAGCCCACTGGCTGGTCATCTGAGTCTAGCTCTTCTTCCGTTCCTGCCCACAAGCCTACTGGATGGGTTCCTGAGTCGAGCTCTTCGTCTGTTCCCGTTCACAAGCCTACTGGATGGGTTCCTGAATCGAGCTCATCAGCCTCGGTCCACAAGCCTAGCGGTTGGGTCCCTGAGTCGAGCTCTTCTGCTCCTTCCTGGAAACCTACCGGATGGGTTCCTGAGCACAGTTCCTCGGTTTCTACCGTCACAAAGGACAACGCTACCTCCACCCTGGTCACCTACGTTACCACCACAGTTTGCCCTGTCAGCACCGTTATCAACGGACATACTTCGGTCTACACTACGACTTCTACCTTGACTGTCACTTCCTGCAAGGGCGGCTGCAAGCCCACCCAGGCTCCCTCGACCTGGGTTGCATCTCCCACCAAGCCTGCTGAGCACAATGTTACTAGCACCGAGGTTGTCTACACCACTACTTCGCTCTGCCCCATCACTACCATCAAGCAAGGACACACCTTCACCTACACTACTACCAGCACTTTCGTTGTCACTTCTTGCAAGGGTGGATGCACCAAGCCTACTCAGTCCGTTCCTGATGTCACAAAGACTGAGGAAATCTACACGACCACCACCGTCTGCCCTGTCAGCACTGTCATCAATGGACACACTTCTGTCTACCAAACCACCTCGACTTTGACTCTGACTTCGTGCAAGGGTGGCTGCACTAAGCCTACTGAGACCCACACCGTCCCTGTCGCCCCCTACCCTCAGCACAACACCACTGCTGCCACTACTCAGGGTCACCACGTTCCCTCTGGTCTTGTTCCTTCCGGCTGGGTTCCCGTCCCTGTTCCTTCTGCCAAGACTAAGACTGTCTCTGAGGTCATCACCGTTATCACCACCTGCTCGTCTGGTGAGGTTATTACCACTGGCGGTGTTAAGACTACCCTGACCACTCCCTCGGTTATCACGACCACTCTTACGCAGACCAGCCAGAAGACAATCACTCCCCCTACCCAGGGCCACGCTGTTCCCACCGCCCCTGTCTACCAGAACGGAACCACCAAGTATGTCACCGACATTACAACCACATACTTGACTACTTGTCCCGTGACTTCGCAGTACGTGACTGGAGGCACTACCAAGACGAGCGTTTACCACACTATTTCTACTGCTACGACCATCATCAAGATTTCCAAGACCGGATCAGTCGAGATCCCCGCTACTTCTGCCCCTGAGGCACCCAAGCCCACTACCCTCACCAGATACAGCACTACTGAGATCACCAAGTCTTGCAAGGAGTGCGCTTCCGGCACCCAGGTCCTGACTACCTCCTACCCTGTCGTCATCGTCGAAACTCCCAGCAAGCCCGTCCAGATTCCTGCCTCTTCGCCTGTCTCTCCCGTCGGCACTGGCAAGGTTACCGTCGTCGTTCCTGTCACTCAGTACACAACTACCTGCCCCATTTCTACTACTGATGAGCACGGCTCGACCCACGTCTTCATGACTACATCGATTGTTAGCCACCCCGTTGAGAGCACCACTGTCCCTGTTGTTCCCGTCGTGCCTTCCAGCAAGCCCGTCGAGTCTGCACCGGTCCAGAGCTCCAAGCCTGTCGAGTCCCACCCCGTCGCTCCTACCACCGCTGTTGAGACTCACCCGGTTGCTCCTACCACCGCTCCCGTCGAGTCGCACCCTGCTGCATCATCCAGCAAACCTGTCGAGTCTGCCCCCGTTGAGAGCCACCCCGCCTCGTCTCCCGTCTCTCCTGTTCAGTCGACCAAGATCGTCGAGTCTGCCCCCGTTGAGAGCCACCCCGCCTCATCTCCAGTCTCCCTTGTCCAGAGCGCACCTGCAACCACCCCTGCCGCCAGCTCTCCCGCTTCCAAGCCTTCGGGACAGGTTGTCACCCAGATCAGCGACGGTCAGATCCAGGCCCCCGGCCCCTCATCTGCCCCCGCTGTTCCCGCAACCAGCGGCCCCGTTGCCTCCTCGGTTGCCTCTGTCCTGAGCAGCTCCGTCCAGGTCAACGTTCCCAGCAGCACCAGCGGCTCCGTCGCCTCTGCCACCACCTCGACCCCTGCCCAGTACACTGGTGCCGCCAGCAAGACCAACGCCAGCTTCATGGCTGCCATTGCTGCCGTCGCCGCCGTCTTCTTCTTCTAGACGCTTTCCCCAGCTCTAGATGTTTTCTCTTCTCCTTCACTTCTTCTGTAACACCTTTCTTCTTCTTCTTTAACACACACTTTTTGATCATCCCTTAGACGGGGATCATGATATCATGATGAAACAACCACTTAATGACCTCGAGGCTGGCTATTTACCTTTTATCTACACCTACACCCCTTTCTTCTTGTTTAGCTCAAGACAGGCCGGCGAGGTACGCCTTACATTCCTTATATATTGCCAGATTGTATATAAATCTAAAAGCATCTGAAAACTCAAAAACTTATATAAGCTACTCTACACTTCCAATCTCTCCACCATGCCACATAATTTCCTGGCAGTGGTAACAATCTTGAGCTCCCAGCCGCTGAGCCACATTTCAAACCAATTGTCAAAAGGCAGGATGTTCCCTGCACTCCGATGCTTGTCCGTCGAGAGCAGCATTTTAACAAGCTCTCTCTGAGCAACCACAAGAACTCCAAAGACATCTTGCCTCTTGAAAGATACATGACGGCGTTGATCAAATGAGGGAGCTCAAATATGAATCCTTCTCCACCGCTGCATCTGCCTGGTAGATATATGACTTGAGGCACAAAGATTTTCGAAACCGGGTATACGTCCGAAGAGAGCTCGAGAGGCAAGTCGCTCTCCGTGGTCAACACTGCTGATCTCAATATCAATCGCGCATTGTAATAGTTCCTTTTGAAGGGGGTTCGATGATGACGACGAGAGTGTTGGCTCTTATGTTTCATTAGCTTCGCAAACCTTCGACGGAAAAAAGCAAGTGTCAAAAGTTGATGCTAAAAAGGTATAATCTTCATGAAAAGCACAATTATAATGAGTAGAGGTACGGGAGAGGATTGATGCTCTCACTGGGTAGAACTGGCGATGTCAAGATTATCTTGCGTGGTGACGACTTCTTGTTGAAAGTAAGAGGGAACGATAATGAGATGATTGCTCCGTTTGATCAGAGCATGAATCCTATAAAGCAAACTCGCTACTTATTTTCTCGAGAAGGTTTCTTGCTCGCTTTTGGGGGATGATGCATTTTTGTTCATTCTGACGATATCATGGCAGGTGTGACATGTTTCAAGGAACTGAAGAACTGATCAACGGTCTTTCCATAATCCATCAACAACAAAAGCAATAGATTCGATATTTACAAGAGCGATCGCAAAGAGTCGCTGCTATCCACACCTCAGCTGTACAGAACGCATGATAATAGTTTCATTCAATCTCATGAAGTCAACCGATTATCTCCAAACTCTCATTTGACAGTTGCGATTTCACCAAAAAGCATGGATGCATCACTGTAGTGTAATACCGAACCTCGTCAAAGGAGTCGACAGCAAGGTGTCACCCGCAAGAGCATTGAAAAACATAAGAAAAAGAGGAATTGGATGGGAGAATATTACTTTGAATTTGTATTGTGAAAGAACAAAAAAAGGGAAACGCCAGAAAATGCTCAACTGGAAAGCAGAAAAATTGGGGGGTTTCCAAACAGGGTATAAAGCAAGAGACACACGAAATTGGCAATGTCTATATGACATGCCAGCAACAGAGGAAGAAAAAAAAGATCTATAGACAAGAAACGAAAAGGAAAGAAACGCCGTGATATGCAAATGTGAATAGCCAACCAACCTTTGACCATGTTTTTGACCCAAATTTCCGAGCTCTTTATGATCCACGGAATTTTATCGTTTGAAGATTGAGATGAAACTCTTCCTCTTGGCCACTTTCGGACTGACTGGCGAAGCAGTCTGCGGTATAGGTGGAGGCTTCATTATAGGTGTAGCCGAGCCCGGCCTGGGAGAGTTGGAGACGTTCTTCAGTATGCCATTCAACGTGCTCTTTCTCTTCTCATCGCCATTCGGCGTCGCAACAGGTGTAGGTGTCTGCTCTTTTACGGGCTTCTCTTCCAAAACGGGAGATGTTGCACCAGCGACGAAAGCTGGGCCTGGGTGGGAGGTGAGAGATACGGCGGATTGGGAGAGGTTCTGGCTAGGTTGGCGGGAGTGGCTCGTTGTGGGTAGGTGTGTGTTTGCGACTTGGGGGAGTGCGGAAGGAACGTCGTCGGTGTTTCGGACTGTCGGTTTCTTCGCGTGAACGGATCGTCGCGAGCCACGGGTCCAGGCGCGCTTGATGGCATTGGCGGCTGTCACGTCGTTGTCGCTACTGCTCTTTTCAATGCGTTCGATCTCGCCAAAGACGGTGGTGCCGTTTGTCGCCAGATTCTCTTCTGCGATGGGCTGGAATCGGAGAATGCCTCTTTCTGGTGGGACAGCAAGAATGTCTGCCATGAAGGATTGGATCAAGGCCGAATTGCGCTTGTTGGTGACGGGTTGTAATTGGGAGGGAAGGGCGGTGATGGTGAGGATGTATGCGGGTTCGAAAGAGCCAGCAAGCAGCAGGCAGGCGGAATGTTCAACATTGACCATGATGCTGCTCTCGGGACGGGAATAGCGCTGACTGAGATTGTATGACATGTCGGTGACGAGGGTGAATTCATCCTTGACCTGTGCCTCGAGCGTTAGCCTTCAACCCTTGCTTCCACCACGTGCAACCAACACAACAACATACAATGACATTGGTGCGCAATTCAGCCACGACAGGCGAGTCCTTCTCAATCCTCTCGCGTACACTGCTGAGACCGTTCCCCTTGTATTGAAATTGCTCTTCGTAGAAATTCGTCCTCCTCTTCGAGTCTTCGACCGAGTATGTCTGGCCGTCTATTCCATCCTTGTCACCCATACCGAATGACAGTTCAGAGCTGATATTCCTTGAGCGATTGCCTCCTCCACCGACAAGATTCAGGTATGCGGCTTCAATCTCTGCTGGGTCTCTTTCGTCGCCGGATCCGTCGTCATCCCGCGTTCTACCGAGTTGTTCTCCGGTCTTTTGAGGTTGCAATGAGAAGACGCCGCTTCTATAAGTCTCCCTTCGAGGCAAAGCTCCTCCGGTTGTGGACATTGACTGACGGTCTTGTTCTCCTAGGGCGGGGGAGTCCGGATAAGGATATAATGTTTGCCGCGCTGAGGCGCGTTTAAACGAGAGAGGTCTTTCCAAATGCATCCTGGTACCTTGTGCGGTGCTGAATGCACCCTCCCGAATCCGTGTGTACTACAGATCCGCCTAGTTCGTGCTAAGAGTGTGTGACAAAGAGTGTGTATACGAGGTATTAGTGACAAAGAATGGCGTTTCGAAGGAGCAGTCAGAGATAAAAAGGAATGTGGAAGTGACAGGACAACGACGTCGGATCGACCGCTAACAAGAGGGAATGACTCTCGCAGTCGGCAACATCTGAACAAGTCGGACAGGGCAAGTGAAAAGGACTCGGGAAAGACATGGGACTCGCCAGCTCATGGGCTCAAACGCCGTTGTGTGGGCACCAGCACGGATTGGGAGGAGAAAACGTTGAAAACTAGCCATGTGCTATCAAGCGCCACTCGAAGCCAACTGCCTTTTGCTGTTGTTGAAACGCGCAAATCAGGCGAATCCATGTCCGAACATGACTGCGACATGACAGCTGAAAGATAATCCAAGTGAAGCCTATTCGCGGCCGTGGACGATACAGATGTCGACGCTGCCTGGTAGTTGGTCAGAGATCCCTACAAGGCCGGCCATGCCCCGCCTATCCACAGACCGCATTGGGTTAGGCGCTAGATCGAGCCCGGCAACAGGACGGCAAGGCCTACCATTTTGGGTTCCTTCCGAGGCAGATTCGACACTGTTGCAATCGAACCCATCTTGAATGCGTAATCGCAACCGAGATCTGAGAGAAATGTTGAGCCTCCATCGTGTACAATTGTACCAGCTGAATCCAAACCTCGTGCTCAAATCGTGGCTGGATCATGTCACAGTAAGCAGCGCTTAGGGTGCGATGACAAGAGCAGCGTCAGTCGGCAGTCGCAACCTCCCAGGCGTCCCGACAATGGATCTGATGTCCGCGATAAATCCGAAACGATTCGAGCAGTTTCAAGACCGCTGTGCTTGTCGCATTAATCGTTGTATAGGGCAGAGCATGATTCAGTAGACCATGAATCAGCAGGACAAGCCTCTAAGCGATTCGCATAGAATGCGACTCCAAAAATGGGAGAAGGACAAAGGACGTTTTGAAGCCATCGACTGCAAGCGGCTTGGGAGACAAATCTCGACAAAGGGTCCATCTGGAATGTGAGATCACGAATCGTGGAGAAACGCATCACCACAACAATCCAATACGAAGACAACTCCACAGCATTCGACGAGATCAACACAATCAAACCCGCATGAGGCTGAAAATCCCATGTCAAAGAACATCTTCATGGTTCTCGAAGAGCTTTCGTCTGAGAAGATCAATTGACGCTTTACTGCGTCCATGTTGTCATGACGAAATGGTTCCTGAGTTATGACGAACTCGATAGTTAGACAACTATGACAGCTCCAACATGTTCGATGTATATAATAGAACAATTGGAAAGCATTTCTGTTCTGATCATATCACACTTTGAATCTTTCATCGACATCTCTACTACTCAAACAACATACACAATGGACGGTGACGCATCAGCAAAGACCATGGACAAGGGAGCCTCTGCGTATGTGAAGCCTTGGATTCTTTGTGGCCAAGTCACAGAGTGCTAACCTCCCTCAGTGCCCTGAGAAACGACGATATGGGCATCAACGCAGTCCACGAGGACTCAGTCCCCAGAGGCGAGCCCGCAGGCGAGAAGACCACTGGCACCGGTACCTCAGCATTCAGCGCCGATGGCAGCATTGGCAAACAATTCAATGGTATGTCAATCGATCCAGAAATCATCAGAGACAGGCGCTGACGAGTACAATAGCCGACGGAGCAATTGGCCAGATTGGTGAGAAGGTCGGCGGACCTTTCTCATCACAAGGCAGCATCGGCAAGCAGTTCACCACCGAGGGAAGCATCGGTGGCACTGTCCAGCAGAACCTTGGCCAGGGCGAGAACAACACTTTCCAGAAGTAAAATGGTTGCATATATCACATGCCGACATGAACATGGCATTGTACAATAGTATCATTTTAATGGCATCATGAAACATATTTCCATCCATCAATTCCATCAGAGAAAAGGCTCGCGCGTGCATGTGAGATCAGAATGTGGAGACAGCATGAGCGTCATGAATCAAACAGTGCAAACATGTCGGTCTCATGTTGCGGCCCTCGAATGTTGACTTTGAAAAACATCTTTCCAAAATGTCAGACGAGAACCAAATACCAATCGATCCAGAAGAGGAATACAAGTCGAGCGAAGATGAAGACTTTAACCCCGATGGGCTAGAAGCAGCACAAGACGAGGACCTGTCGTCCTCAGAAGACGAAGAAGCCTCACAACCAAAGACCAAGAAAGCACCCAAGAAGCGAAAGAAGGCACAAGTCGACGCAGAAGAAGAGCTGGACTCTGGAGATGAAGCGACAATAACAGAACTGCGGAAGTCGAAGAAGCGCAAAACAGATGACGATGAGGACAGTGGTGGTGAAGGAGGCCTGATCAAGACGAGGGCGCAAAGAAAAGCAGAGTGCGTACAGCTGTCGCATCGCCTCGACACTATGCTAATCTGTATCACAGAAAGCAAGAGCGTCAGGAGTACCAACGAGCCAATGTCGAGGATGTCACTGTCGACGTTGATGCCCTATGGGCCTCCATGACAGCGAAACCGATCGGACGACCAACACACGACCAGCCGAGACCTCAAGAGGATAACACACAACATTCCAGCGGAGCAGACAAACCACACGCTCAGCCCTCCCAAACAGACGAAGATAACAATGGCATGATAACCATAAAACGCTCCTACGATTTCGCCGGCCAAAAAGTGACAGAAGAAAAACGCGTACACAAAGATTCCGCAGAAGCAAAACTATACCTCGCAAACAACGACACCTCAAAACAAACCACCGCGAAACCGTCCTCTCCATCTCCAACCTCCGATCAACCCACTCTACGACGCCCCCTCCGCCGCGCTTCCAAATTCGAACCCAATCCTACAGGCGAAGTCAAAGGACTACCCGCAGATCGCCAACGCCTGCGCACACCTTCAAGAGCCGACGTGTTGGCCCAACAGAACAGATTAGAAGAGGAAGCCAAGAAGGGAGGTAAAGCGGTCAAACTCAACACCGTGCAAAAGTCCGCCATCGATTGGGCAGCACATGTGGATGAAGAAGGTCTGAAGGATGAATTGGATGAATACGGCAGGAGTAAACAAGGTTATATCGGCAAGATGGATTTCTTGCGGGGTGTGCATGGGAAGAAGGAGGAGGAGGAGAGGAAGGCGAGGATGGCGAAGTCGACGGCGTGAGAGTTGTGGATATACCCCGAATTGCATTGGTTTTGATACATCAATTCTATTTCTTTGTTTGGCGCGGACCATCCCTCGATTACGAGGACAGAAGAACCTGAGACGATGGTAAAAGGAACTCGACACAATCCACAAAGATACAAAGACAGGAGGAGATACTTGAACACAAGAGTCTTGATACCGAAGGAACAGCCGAAATTGGCCAGCTATAGCACACGACCTCTAAAGTATAGTATGCAGGAAGCGTCTAAGGTCTCTAATGGAAGCACTCTACTCTTCACCCCGACCCGACGAACTTCCTCCTTCGCTGCCATCTTCGCCGCCATCTTCACTGCCGTCTTCCTCGTCATCGTCCTCGTCATCCTCATCTTCGCCGTCAATGTTCTCTAAACCGTAGTCGTCTTCAAAGTCAGACAGGGACTTGACTTCAGGCTTGAATCCAGCATCGGTGAAGTTCTTGACAAGATTCTGTGAGACATGTTAGCATCATTTCCGATCAAATCGAGTAGGAGACAACATACCTCTTCCATGATAGTAGCGCAAGAAACGACCAAATTAGTAGACTTGGGGTTGAAAATGGGCATGATGATTCTCTTCAGAACATCCTTGATCTCATCCTCTGTAACCTTTCTAACCTTCTCAAGCATACCGTCATTCCAGTTCTTGGGAATGCCTCTGATGACTTGGTTGACGAAGGACAAATTGGCAGCACTGCCCATAGTAGGTTGTTCGTCTGCGAAGCCCATGATGATGGAAGAAACAGCACCTTCCAGGGCGAACTTGTCAAAGGGAGTGGCGCCGGTGGCGTAGTTGCTGACTTCGGTCTTGGCGGCGAGGAAGGCCTTGAAGGTATCGGGGGAGCGGTAGATACGGAGGGTCATGAGGCCGACGTCGGTGGAGCGAGAGAAGCCGGTACCGTAGGCGAGACCGGTACCGCGGACTGCAGCCCATAGAGGTCCCTCGACGGCATCGAGGTATGACTGAGCGACCATCAAGGCGGGCAGGTCAGGATGAGACCAGCTGTCAGGACCACGAGAAGTCAAGAGAGCATACGAAGAATCGATGGTGGACAGAGGAATGATGTAAGCAGTGTTACCAGGTTTCTTGGAAATCTCGCTGAGCTTGGAGCGGCGAGAGTCAAGAGGTTGAAGAGGAGTGTTGTCATCGTGGTTGGCGAGCAGAGCCTTCCAAGATGAAACGGGGTTGGAAAGGTTGTGCATGTTTGCTGCGACGTAGACTCTGAAGTTTGAAGGCTTGTGGAGTGTGTCGATGCAAGTCTGCAGGCGAGAAATGACAGACTCAGGGTCCTTTGCCAAATGCTTCTTCAGACGCTTGAGATAAACGGACTTGACAAGAGTGTTTCTGGAGCGGCTGCTTGAGTCTCTGGTAAGGTGGATCATTGAATCCACTGCAGTAGCCATGTCCATACCACTACGCTTCTCATCAGGAATGTCGGCGAGCATCTTGGTAATAGCGGTCTGCAGTCTCTCCTTGTCCAAGATGGAACTGAAGAGGGTAGTACGAAGCCAGTCAATCATGGCAGAGTACTTCTCAGCTTCGACTTGGAATGTGATCTGCAGAAGCTCGCCATTGCCAGGTCCTGATGTGATGTCGTAGTCAACAGTATCCTTCTCCAGCTCAGTGACAACGTCCTCAAATTCGATTCTCTTTCCATCGCGTTCGATTGGAGTCATGAAGAAGTTCGACAAGTAAACGGCGAGCAGAGGCTTGAGCTCAGTAGGCAGCGAGCCAGTGCACATGATCAGCTTGGTGCGAACAAAGTTGGAAGGGATATGCTCGAAGTGGATAAACAGCGGAATGTCTGAATCGTCCTTGTCGACAATCTGCTGAATGTCGTTGTCGAGTTTACCCATCTGTCTGGCTCTACCTGCTCTGGCTGTAGTTGTCGGAATGAAGTGAATGGAAGATGTGCCGGGTACTGGGAACTGCGAGAGGACCTCATCAGGAATGGGCTTGTCGTTCTCAGCCTTAGCTTGGTCCAACTTCTCGGCCAATTCCTTGAGACCCTTCTCGCCGAGCCTTTCCTTCTGAGCCTTGACTCTAGCCTTCTCATCAACCTTGAGCTTCTTGGACAATTCCTTGGATGGAACGCCAAGGATGGAAACGTGATGTGCGTCGGCGAACCACATGGAGAGATAGTCTCTCCATTGCTGGTCTGACCATCCTTCGAGAATATCCAGATCCTTCAGGGTCTCAAGCTCACGGAGATCCTTACCATCTCTGTTGCCAAACAAGTGGTCCTCAATGATGGGAGTTGCAAAGAAATCTCCTGTGCTCTCGCATTTGAACTTCAATTGTCTGCGGTAACGGCTGAGGCAGTCTTTCATGTAGCCCATGTCGAGGTTCTTGGAAGCAGTCTCCTTGAGGACCTCGAAAAGACGCTTCTCGGCATCGGCAAGTTTCTCGGTCTCAACAGCACTAAGGTTGAACCAGAAAGCGATATCAGGTCGAACGTCAGTGGAGTAGTAGATCATGCTGCAAAGTTGTTCCTTTTCAACCAAAGTGTTCTCCAGAACACTGACCGAGGAACCACAAAGGTAGATGAGCATGATGCCTAGTGCTGAAGCCTGCAAGTGATCATTGCAGTCGGGGCCGAGGAAGCCCACAAGGACCTCACCCATCGACTCATCGTCCTCAGGGAATTTGACAGTGTCTACAATAGTCTTCTTAAGCGGAGGTGTGCGCTTCGACTCGACCCAGGGACGCTGGAAGGGAGCTTCCGGCGATGGGATGTCCTCCATGATTGTGCCTTCGAAGTCGTCCAAGATCTGTAGGAGCTCGGGTTGGTCGATCTCACCAATGAGTACGAGACACAGATTCTTGGGCTGATACATCTCGCGGTGGAACTCCCGAATGCGGTCAGCCGTGAGAACACGGAGCTGTTCCATCATACCACCAGTCTCGTATCTGAAGCCATCGCCTTCGGGATACCTTGTTCATGTCAGCTTTGTGATGAAGTCTAAACGAAAATTACTTACATCAATCGTCTGGCCTGCAACTCCATGAGTTCGCCCTGTTGGTTCTGAACGCCCTGCATCTCAGAGTACACAACACCGGCGTCGTGACCAGTACCGTCTACGTGGAAGACTTCAGTGTAACATCCAGCGTCGGTAAGAGTAGGAACAAGCACGTGCTCGAGATAGACGGGAAGGATCTGAGCGAAGCCTTCCCAACCAGCAGTCTCCAAAGTGTAGGCGGTGTGATCAGTGGCGGTCCAAGCATTAGTGTTGGAGTACGCACGAGTGGCGAGTTTATCCAGGACACCCTTGTAACGGTAGTTCTTCGAACCCATGAAACACAGATGCTCAAGGGTATGCGGCGAACCCGAATCATCATGGATTTCTGTGGCTAAGGTGAAGTAACCGTAAACCTTTGGACCCTTTTGATCGACAATGACAACACGCATTCCAGTACGTTCTGATTCATATTGGGCAATGTCGATGGGAGCATAGTCGAGTTTGAACTTTTGGATGGGCTTGAAATGGGTCTGAGTCTTTGCTGCCGGCATTTTGTAGCGGGTGAGGCAGCGAGAAGCCGCAAAGTTAGGTTGATAAGACTTTTGAGCGACGTGACTTTTGGTGGAAAGTCTACGACAAAAGATGGTGGGCAGAGTCGCAAACAAAAGAGCGACTTTGTACCGAGATATATTAGTTTGCAAGGACTGCAAACGAAGTGAGAAGAATGTTATGGTGGATAGACTCGCCTCCAACATCTCGACATGTCTTCAGAACGAGTGGTGGAGGGGCATCCACCCTGCGACGCGCTAATCAACGGACCGGGCCGCGAGCTTATTGACAGGCTGCCAGTGGAGCTTTCGTGAGAGCAGCAACGTCAGCGGGATTGAGATGCCAGAGTTGCGACAATGTCAACCAACGATCAGCTCAAGCAGGCCATAGTGGACAGCGTCGAGCATGGCGCTTATCCCGAGCCTGATGTCTCGTCAGCCGAATTACCGTCCACCTTACTTCCCTCCCTCCTAGCCGATCTACAGAAAGCCCGCGATGAGGTCAAGGTATGGCACAACGTGTACTGAAAATGATAGCGTCGTCTGACACGATGTGATATAGACGGACATACGTAGTCTGAGTAAGGACATTGCGCCCGACGTCGACGGATGGATTGCCCAAGCCAAGAAGCTTCAAGCCGACATCGAACGTTCAAAAGCGACCGCAAGAGATATTGTCAGTCAAGCCGAAGCTGGAAAGGCCCTCAAAGAGAAGACGCATGATGCTGGAAACAAGGTCCGCTTGCTGGAGAAGGAGGTCGCCTTTAATGAATCCCTGGCTACAACGCTCGATCTGATCAGGTCGTCCTGTCGCATACTCGATTCAGCAGACCAGGCCTACAACGCCAACGACCTGCGTGCTGCTCTGGACAGCATCAAGCAGTGCGACAGATCAATGCTCTCGCTTTCTGCTGCCCAAGACACAAGGGCTGTTGGCCTCCTGCAGACCCGTAGTTCGAGGTTCAAGGCTACACTTCTGGACAAGACAACCGCTCTGGCACAATCTCTCATACAGTGCGACATCGATGCTCGCTCCGTGGCGATAGAACACAACGTCAAGGATATGTCCGACGTCGACTTGGAACTGGTCGTGGAGATACTCACATACCTTGGAGGCTTGGACGTCTACATCAGACGCCTGAAGCGCGACATTGAATTCTCCTTGATCGATCCGCGCCTCTCTACCAAGCCCGGCCAGTACACCATTTATCAAGTCGAGGACCGCATTATACGGGCTTCAAAAACAGCCTCAAATCCAGACACGATTGCGACACTGGACGATATCTGGTCCGCTCTCGACTTCCTCTCGACACGTCTACCAAAATCTGTCTGCGAGCCGCTCTCGCAAAAGCTGCTTCCGTCTTTGTTCGAAACTCTCACGTACACCTGGCTCGATCAGACCGTTCCTGTCCAAATTGACCAGATGCCAGTCTTCCAGCATATTCTTGACCGTGTATCAAAGCTCGCCGAACAGATCGACGCCCTTGATTGGGCAAGTACCGCTCTTCTGAAGGACTGGGTCCAAGGCGCACCAAGGACGTGGCTTTCCAAACGAAGAGAGACAGCCCTTGGTGCTGCAAGAAGTCTGCTGTTCTCTGGACTGAGAGACAGGAAGACCGTCGAGAGAGTCGAGACACAAACCGTATCAAAAGGAGATGCCATCATGGGTGGAAACGATGTTGACGATGCAGATGACGCATGGGCCGCTGACTGGGAGGAAGACACATCAGAGCCGAAAGCTGTCTCTACAGAACAGCCAGCAACCACGACTAATGACGACGATGACGACGATGCCAGTGCATGGGACATGGATGATAACGATACAAATGGTGCGTCCGGCACATCTGCGCCCGCAGCAGACGGCGAGGAAGACGATGCAGCCGATGCTTGGGGTTGGGGAGACGACGAAACGGCGACTGAGGAAGCACCGAAGCCAGCATCTCCAAAGAAGACAACCAAATCACACGGCCCTCCAGCTACCGAACAATCAACACCGAGCGGCGACAGAGAGCTTACACTCAGAGAGACGTACACTGTAACAGCAGTACCAGACGGTATTCTCGAAATTGTCATGAAGGTCGTATCCGACGCCGAAACCTTGACGGATCCTAGTTACTCAGGATCACCCATAGGACCAGCGGCCTCTGCGTTGTATACTCTGCCGACGTTTATACTTGCCATCTATAGGGCTACAGCATCTACAGCGTATAGCAAGCTCGACACGGGAAATATGCTCATCTACAACGACGCCTCCCGACTGGCCGATCAGATACGCACATTCGTGGCCAGACAATCGGAGAAAGATGGCTCTTCGACGCTACCCAGTCACCTACGACCATCATCTCGTCTGAGGCTGGACAATGACATCAAAGCTTTGGAGACATTTGCAAAGAGGGCATACAGCGCGGAGATGGAGTCGCAACGTACCATTATTCGTGACATGCTCGATGGAGCTCAGGGCTTCTCCAACTGCAATGCCGAGCCGTTCGCGAGTGCATGCGATAGTGCGGTAAGCATTACCGAAGGACGTCTGCGTGACGTGCACAAGCAGTGGGCTCCCATTTTGTCAAGATCTGCATTGTTGCAGTCCTCAGGCTCGCTACTCAGCACCGCAATTTCGAAAATGGTTATGGAGATTGAAGAAATCCAAGACATTGGCGAAGAAGAATCAGTAAAGCTCCGCAAGCTTTGCGACAAGATTTCAGAAGTCAAGGATTTGTTCATGCAAGAGCATCCAGAAGGTGGAGAGGCAAGCGATATGACGGGTATATACTGCCCCAACTGGTTCAAGTTCCAGTATTTGGGTGAGTTGTTGGAAAGTTCGCTGGCCGACATCAAGTATCTATGGACAGAAGGCGAGCTTCGACTAGAGTTTGATGCAGATGAGGTGACGGATCTGATTGAAGCGCTGTTCTCGGATAGTGATTACAGACGCAAGGCAATTGCAGATATCAGAAGGAGCTAGATGGAACAGTAGATAGCTTGTCTATGATGCAAAGGATCATGCAAAGGCAGAAGCCGAGGGAGGATGAGACACATGCTCGTTCGACCCCTCATTAATTCAAAAGCCCCTTCCAGCCGGAGTGAGTTCATCTTGACTCGTGTGAGGCTCCCAGACCTTGTGACATGGACAAGTTCGAAAATCGGTTTAGGTTTCGCAAGCTGTTGAAGATCTCCTGATGGGATTGCGTCGACGTGGATTCCCCACACCAATCACGAATGAGCGGCAGGGGACCGGGCGGAGATGAAGGCGGCGCAAGAATGTCATGCATTGACGACGACACGGGCACGAGTCCTAGACAAATTCGACAAAGACAGAGGCATTGTCGTCTGAATTAATAATATCCAACATTTCCAGATCTCGTCATAGCAACGACGACGACGACGACATCATCATCAACTTGCAGCACAGCAACGACAGCGGCGCAACGCAGAGAGGCGCCCGTTTCACGACCGACGAGAGTTATCGATAATACTTAATAGTTGGCAGAGGGAGTCGAGCATCCGATGAGCGCGGGTCTTGTTTACAGGGTCGAAGAAAAAGCGTCAACGATAGGCTTCCGAGCAAGGCACCGCATACCGGACACACGCCCATCACTTCCGGCAGCGCGACAAGTCGGCGCATAGCACTCGTAACGTATGCCACCCGCCTCTCGAGCGCAGGCGGAGCTCCAGCACCAGAAAAACAAACTTGCCAACTCGTACAGCGAACTTCTCGAGTAAGACAGAGCACTCTTCCGGGAATCCATCACCTCACTCACACGACCCAACAGCGAGTTCAACAGCAAAGACCTTCGTACCGTTGGCAACTACACCGTCGGCCGCCTGATTGGCAAAGGCTCGTTTGGCAAGGTCTATCTGGCCTCCCACAAACTCATCAATGGCTCAAAGGTGATGTCGCCGAATCTTCGTCAACTCGTCAGACGACTAACTTGACCAGGTTGTGCTCAAGTCGGCCAAGAAGGACGACGCCAACCTCGCTCGCGAGATCCACCACCATCGCCAATTCCTCCACCCGCACATCGCCCGTCTTTACGAAGTCATAGTCACCGAGTCGCTGGTATGGTTGGTTCTGGAATGGTGTGCTGGCGACGAGCTGTATAACCACCTGCTCGAACATGGTCGCATGGAAGAAGGAAAGGTTCAAAAGATCTTCACACAACTGGTCGGCGCCGTCTCGTACGTCCATTCGAAATCGTGTGTCCACCGCGACTTGAAACTGGAGAACATCTTGCTCGACAAGCACGGCAACGTCAAGTTGGTCGACTTTGGCTTCACGCGCGAGTACCAAGGCTCGACCAGCTACTTGCAGACATGGTGTGGTACGGTGTGTTATAGCGCACCTGAGATGCTCAAGGGAGAAAAATACGCGGGTGAAAAGGTTGATGTTTGGAGTTTGGGTATCATCCTGTACGCTCTGCTGTGTGGAGAGCTGCCGTTTGACGACGACGACGAGAACGACACAAAACAGCGCATTCTCAAGGAGGATCCCAAATACCCCGAATACGTTCCCGAAGGCGCAAAGGATTTGATGTCGAAACTGCTGTCGCGACGACCTCTTATTCGACCTGCACTCGCTGATGTCCTCCGCCACTCGTGGCTTCAAGAACACGCTCCTCAACAGCAGGAAATATTGAAAGTCCTACAACCTCCGCCTTTCAGCACCGACCTCGAAAAGCAAACCTTGGGACGCATGCGTAGCGCCGGCGTTAACATCGACCACGTTATCGAGAATGTCCTGGGACAACGATGCGATCCACTGGCTGGCTGGTGGGGCCTGCTCATTGAGAAAGAGGAACGAAAAGAGAGGAGGAGGCAACGGAAACGAAGAGAAAGAGAGGCCGAAGCCAGGAGCATACGAAGACTGAGTGCCTCCAGCAGTCGTCTGTTGAACGCTCCAAGTCTGAGGGAGATCACAGAGGAAGAGCAAGCAAAGCACACGTTAACTTCACCAAAGACTAGAGGTCGGGGTGTGAGTAGGTCTAGCGCTGCACCACCTGATCTGCCGAGAGTCACCGAGGGCAAGACGCCCGAGCCCGATGAAAAACCACCACCGCCTGTGGAGAAAGACCAGCGGCGACGGTCTCTCTCAATCACCTCGTCGAGCTGTGGTCCGGCTTTGCCACCGAAAGACGTACCCAAAAGACCTCGTGCGGCCAGTAGAAACAGTTCCCAAATGCTACAGGTCACGCACACCAAGATCGACCATCTGACGGTGCCTCCGTTCCATCAAAAGCTCAAGAAGCGTCCTTTCAAGGATCAACTCGCTCACCTCAAATCTTGGTTCAAAGTCAGCAGTGGGAAGATTTCCAAGAAGGATTCCCAGGAAACAGTTGATACGCAGTTAGCGACTGCGCGGAAAGCGTCCATGCCTTCAAGTCAACGAAGAGGCTCTGCTAATGATCTTCTGACCGATCCACGAAAAAGTCCAAGGCCGGACATGCCTACACGGACGACGTACCCCGTTCGCCCACGCATCTCCACTGCATCATCATATGGTTCCACGGGATCTCGGGGTCATGGCGGTAACAGACCATCTCTCTCACCAGCACCACTCACACCTCGCTCTTCCATATATCGCCGCAGCTCCGGTCTCCGTGGAAGGAAGTCGACTTCATCATCTGTGTCTTCCGTCCGGAGCATTCACACTCACCACCATTCCCTCTCACGCGCCTCCACTACATCTTCTAATTCTGTGGCTTCCCCTTCTCTCAGCACACATTCTCGCGCCATCTCTAGATCCCCGCATACAAGTGGCAGCGTTATAGTCTTGCCGCCATCTACACCCACGTCCTCCGTCACAGGCACTTTCCCCTCTGGCATCAGAGTCGCTCGACGACCTCCTCCTGGAAATCTCGGATCGCTCCCCACGCTGACTACCCAAACCTTGAACTCGCCGATGAATTACACCTTTGGTCCCGCATCACCAGGCATGCATCCAGTGTTTGCCAAAAAGAAAAGAAGCGTCTTCAAAGGACCAAGTCTGGGCAATACACCAGGCGCTCGAGGCCGTGGCTCAGGAAGCAACTCTGCAGAAGGCAGTCGAGGTACCAGCGCACAAGGACGCCGAAGCAACGAGATTACAATCGCCGAAGAAGATGAGGAAGAGGAAGTATCAGAAGAGCCCAAAGACTTCTTCTCGAGCAAAGTCACCTTGCAAGCACAAGGAATGAGACTGGTTGAAGAAGACGAGGAAGAAGAGGAAATGCTGTTTGAAGAAGTAGAGTCTTTCTCCCCGGTCGAGGAGGACAGAACCGCTTTCATTATCGAGGAGGCAGACGAAACCATCATTCCTGTCGTCCCCGATGACACCCCTCAAACCACAACCACCACCTCCTCCCCCGAGCTCACCAGAGACGCCAAAACCATCGCCTCTGACGTCCTAAGCCGCAAAGTCATCGACGAAAACGGCATCGCAGAAGAGGACGAAGAAGGAGACAAAACCGAAGGCTTGGGCATCAGTGGCGCCGGTGCATCCGACGTCGATCAAACACCTAGTGTTGGATACGATAGGAAAAACTCTGTAGTATAGAAAGCGAAAGAGAAGTTCAGGAACGGCCGATGCATTGGCCGAGAAGGAGAAGGTGTATGTGTATGTATATGAATTGTAATTCTGTCTTCCGCCTTTTACGACAATCTCCTTCCATACTCTTGACTGCATCTCAACCCCATGTTAGCATATCAATGTCAGGAAGAAATTGCAATATCTGGAGAAGGCGCAATTGTGCAGGCTCCACAAAGGAAAGAACGCGAGAAAATCACAAGCAGATGAGGAAGTAGCGATCGGTCAATCGTTCCTTCCGTCTTCGTCAATCGTTCTTTCCTTCCTATACTGTCGTCCATTTGCTCCTTCCATCTTTGTATAGCCGATCGCTCATTCTGTCTATGAGAACTTGCTCATGATCCATCTACTACATCTATGGATCGTGCCTTCTCTTGTCGTGATAGCAGGTTCACTCCTTTTTTCATTTCTAATAGTAGACGACTTATGCGGTGTCGTTTGTTGTGTTCTGTCTGGCGGCTGAATTGACCGGCTCGTTGGAGGTCGTCGAACTGGTCGCTGGTCGGCCTGTGAGAATTAGCGATGATGAGATGGTGAGCACTAGAAGGTGGATGTACATGATGTCCGCCGCTGCAGCCTTTATTCTGCGGTACCTCGACTCCAGCGCACTTTCGCTAATGGACAGGCCTGGGATCTAAGGAGGGAGTGACCAAGGTCGACTGAACATGATAAGGAAAGAGCGACCGAGCATGACTCGATCAAGTGAGGAAAAAATGGTCTAGTAAGAGAGAAGGAGCGGTAGGGCAAGAGAAGGAACGACCAGTCCACTTATCTGGGAAAAGAAAAGAACAGCACCGCGAGAGAGTACCAGAGCGAAACAAGGAAGGAACAATAAAGCAACTCTTCCACGCTTGGAATAATTCAGTCGAGAGCAAGATGCCGACTGGCGATAGCTGCGTAGGTGCCAATACATACATCACCTTGCCTTTGCCATCTTTGTGAACACTGCACGATTGCTACAATTCGGCTTGTCCTCATCAGATCATTTGAGCACTGTAAGGCGGTCTTGTTCTGTCGTGGTGGACGTTCTTCCTCCGGCACTTTACTGTCATAAGTAAATTTCATCTTCAGGAAAACAGCAAGAGAGCTGGAAAATGTTCATGTTCTGTTTTTGGTCATTTTCATTTTTTGAATATTTTGATGCAATTGAAACAGAATATTTTGCAAGTCCTTGATGTTCCTCTTTTTTGTGCTCCTTTTTACCCGCTTGAATGCAAAACCAATGAGAAAGCGACGGCTGGAAGAAGAATATTCGAAATGCGCCCAGATGCATACGGCCGCTGAGAATAGAGCCAGTGAAAAGCCGGGCGCGATGAGGACGAGCGGCTTGCAGAATTGCGGTCAGCCGGTCCGGGAACGCCAAATCGAGATAGTGTTGAAAGTTGGGATAGACACGATGCGGGGCCAGCGATTTGATTGAGGGTGGAGTAGCCCAGTAGAGCCTTGCTCGTCAAGTTGCTGGTGATGATTCGCTGATCGTCCAGCAGCAACCACGAAATGTTCGAGCCAAGGACCGCGTAAGGATATCGACAGAGCATATGGGTCGCTCAAAGCAACTCCTCGCAAGTCCAGTCCTCGTACCAGCCGTCGGGAAGATATCTGCGAACAACCAGAGGAATCTTCTTTTCGCGGAGCTCCTTGATGGCAATTTGAAGGGGATCAGTCTCACCCTCAACGTCAACAAGAACAGGGGCGTTCATGCTGTGGCAATTTGTCAGCTCAATTATTCTCTTCTCTGCGAGCTTCCTTGGTTCCGTTGTCTGTAACCTTCTCTTCCTCGATTCTTCCTGCTGGTTGTTTCCGTGTCTTTTGCTCATCCTTGATCTCCCGTTCTGTCCCAAACGTACCTGATCTGCAGCGCCCTTGTGCCCAAAACTCTTGCTCTCTCATACTTTGTCATGTACGGTGTGGTGGTTCTCTTGTCATTGTCGATTCTCTTTTCCTTCAAGCCCTTGACTCCCAAGTTTGCGTTTGCGCGAGCGACAGCGTTAGGGTCACCCGATGCGACGATGGTAGCGTTGTGTTCAGGGTCCTCGGTTCCGCCGGTGGGGTCGTTGTTGTCGTCGACCAGGTCCTCGACCTCGTCATAGTCTTCTCCGAGCATGTTGTCATCGTACTCCCTGGACAAGGCGCGTTAGTGAGGAATCCTGGATATGGGCAGCTGCAGAAAAGACGTACTCGCCGGCACCGAAGTCACCGCCGCCGTCGTCGCCGTAGTCGGACATGTTGACTGTGTGTTGTGTGTGTTGTTTCGCGTTGAGAGGAGGGTGGCTTTGTAGTGGATGCGCGCGAGGGCGATGGAGAGATGAGAGTGAGCGGTTCGCGACAAATGTGAAGGTAGACGGAAGTTGCGATGGGTCGCTTTCGCTGTTGTCGCAAACTAAAGTTCCTGGTCGGAGCGCGGCCTTCCAAAGGCGGTGACTCGACCACTCGTGTGGCAGAATCTGTCCGACCCCGGACTTTTCGGTCAATCGCAGACGACATGTCGTCCCTTCCTTCACTTTTGACATTTTTCTCTAGAACCATATGTTTCGACATCCCAGCAGCCCATCAATGCACTGAAAATATCCATGAAAATGCAGGAAGTAATTCAACATGATCGATAGGTCCAATGAGAGCTCAACACATGAGTGCTCTCACTGGACATTCCGCAATTTTCCAATAACTTCGTGCATTTTTGCAGGCACAAATAGTCATGAAACGGCCATGCGAGATGTCAGATCCTATCTCAAGTTTACATACGGCATCCCAGCAACCCACTAGGGGCGCAAAAGATGCACGTCAAAATGCAAGATTGTATTCAAATTACTCAAAAGGTCCAGTGAGAGCTCGAAAAAGTAGTGCTCTCACTGGACATCTCAGGAGTTCCAAAAAACATTGTGCATCTTGACAAACGCAAATCAGTCACGATTGGGCCATGAAATGATGATTTTCTCGAAACCTTTATACTCCTTTTTTTTGTTCTTTTCTACTCTATACAATCTCGTTCATTAATCTCTCTCGTTCATCATCTTTACTGCCATAAGGCACAAACAATCTCACCCCCTACTTCTTGCCCCTGATTTCGAAGGCCCTGGCCTTCTGTTGTGACTGTCGCTGCTTACGCAGCCAGATCTGGTGCTGGTGAGCCAGCACCGAAGGTTTGCCTCTCCTGGGTCTGGTCTGGGGGGCCGGACCGCCACCTGCATTGCCTCCGCTGAGGAGAGAGGACTCCATGGGGTTGGGGTATGCCCCCATGATGCCCGAGCGGTAGCCAGGAGGCAGGGGCTTGCAGAAGTCGAAGGGGCGGTACAGCCCCAGACCCAGGGCATCTGCCAACTCCAGGTTGTCCTTGACCTCCACCTGCTGGGACTGTATACCATAAAAAGTCAGTATATCTTCCAGTAATTGGTGCTGGGAGGAGGGGATGACGAAGATCAGGGGCAGAAGTGAAGGGAAAGTGGCTGAAAATGGTGAAAATGTGAAGGAAAATTGACTTACGTGCTCGATGTAGACCTTTTGGCCCTGTGCCAAAAGGCCCTTCATCTCCCGGAAATCACCCTCGGTCATCAGAAGGCGGTTCCAGCCCTGCGGCTCATCACTCTCGCCCGCCCAGAACAACCAGTTGCCATAGTAGCCACCAGCTAGCCAGCCATAGTTGTAGCCCAACTGTGCAGACTGGATGTTCTGGGTTAAGGCGGAGAGGGTACCCTGCATTTGTTCCCACGTGCTGTTCTTCTGGATGTTGGCATCCTGGACGACCTTAGGCTCGCCACCCTCGTAGTCCAGGTATGTAGCCACTCTAATGCGGTATTGCTGCTTAGTGGGAGCAGCAGGCTTTTTCGGCTTATAGAAGAGGTCGTTCTCCAGGACGTAAAGATGGTCGATAAGACCTGGGAGGGGCGTGACCTGCTTAGGGTCGAAGTCGAGCGGAGCGAATTTAGCCAACTGTCTAGCGAGGTATTGTCCAGCACGTGGCTTTACGGTCTTGTCGTGCTGTACTAGCCATTCTATAAGCTCCTTGCGTTCCTGCAATAATTGTTCAGGGTCGCCCTCGACCTCATCCTGACGGTGGTGTCTCTCTAGAAGGTCAATCCAGCCAACCTGAAGTTGAAGACGCAGATAGAAGACAAGCCCAGGGTAGGCGATGTTCTGAGACTCAGCGCCACGTACTCTACAGTAGAGGAGGTAGAAGACTGGGTCGTTTGTAGCGGCAGCATGGAAGGTGTCGGTCAGGTATTTGATGCGGCGCAAAGCAGGATCAACGAGGACGGGGGTTGGCTGCATGTTGGGAGCAGGATATCCGGCAGGTAGAGGTGCATGGCGTGCAGCTGCAAATTGCGGACGCTGGATGGTGGGAGTCGTCATGGTCTGTAGCAGGTTGTTGAAGCTGAGAGATGTGCCTGCCTGGGGAGGAGCACCAGCAATGGGAGCGGGAGGGCCGGTAATAGGCACAGCGTTGGGTGGATAAGTCGTGCGTGGTTGGTTGTCGGGGGCGAAAGCAGGACGAGGTCCTACTTGAGGTTGGAAATGGAAGCCTTGGACGGCGAGACCAGGTCTTTGTGACACTTGGGTCTGGTGCTGGTCAGGAGATTGATGACTTCTTGCAGAAGGAGAGAGCTGTGCAGCGCCTGGGACTGTGTGATTGCCGCGCTCAGTGGAGAGGACGGAAGCGCTGCCGGAGAAGGATCCATAAGCGGCATTGGGAGTGGCTGAAACTGATTGAGCGGCAGAAGCACCATGAGAAGGATGTATGGAGGAGGGTTGGAAGATCTGACCCTGCTGTAGGTGGGATGGCTGGTAGATGCCAGCAGCGCTGTTGTACGGAGCGAGAGTGGATCTTGGAGGCTGTGTGTAGGAGAATTGGTTGGGAGCAAAACCATTGGTCGATGAAGGCGTAGGCTGGTATGGCTGAAGATTGTGATTCACTAGCTGAGGAACACCGCCGGTAGAATTGAGTCTGAGCTGATTGACCAATTCGCGGCGCAAGCGCTGGCCCTCGGGGGTGTCGGAGTCTCGACCGTCCATTTTGCTTTGGTCAGGAAATGGGTTCGATGACTTGTATTCTTGATGGATGCGCTGGGATTTGATCCACAATATCAGGACAAAGGTGCGCAAGGAGAAAAGGCTCGCAGCGATGATCAACAAGGATGGCGGTGCGTAATACACAGAATTTGGCGGCGCGCTGGACGAAGACGATAACAATGCGCAGATTCAAGGAAGCGCGGTGATGCGGCGAACGATGATTTGCGCACGGAAATAAGAGAAAAGGTGAAAGAGTGAAGCTCGTGGCGGAGTGTGAAGCGTTGGCGCTGAAATTCGAAGTGAAGAGAAAAATTATGTTGATGCGGGAATCGACGAAGACGATGTTGTTTGAAAGTTGTGAAGAGCAACTCGCAATGAAGATGTTGAGATGGAGGAGAGGTATCCAGGCGGGTGTTGTGTTGATGTCGATAAGCGACGCGATACCGACGAGTATGATGTGAAGTCAGATCGTCGAACTCCGCGTAAACGACGGGGTGTTGACACGAAAGTTTCCCAAGGACTCGTCTATCGAAGCTGGTCGAAGGGACAAATGATGGTTCGAGGAATTCAGAGTACGAGTTGGAGTGTTGGTTGGTGTCACACTGAGGCCAATGTCAACAGTATGTTTCCTTCCCGTGCGCCGAATTCTGTCACTTAGAAGGCTGCTTAAATGTGCAACGACTTTCTTGACGAGAGTGAAGTCCAGAGAGATGACACCAATCAGATTCTCTTTTCGATTGACACAGGATCACGCAAATGCATTGAAATTGGTGCATCGCAATCACCACTTCTCGCCGCTGAGGTATCTGATGTAGCGAGGTCCAGCACCCGTGGAAGTTGTCAACCACCGACTAGCAGACAATCAAAGTGTTCGTAGGCTAGAGACACAAAAAGGATCGTGCAAGATGCCCGAATGGCAAAAAGGGACCTCCCACGCCGTATTACCAACCGTCTTTATTTCGCTCGAGCGGGCACGGATCAATTGATAATGCGTAATGTTCAGCCATAGCGGTCAGTCCAAGGTTCGAACCAAGGAGCAGATGAGGAGGCTAACCAATGCGCCAAATGACCGCTACAGCATTTAATTCAAATTGAAGACTTATCAAGGGTCCAATGCTTTGGTTGCCTTGGCGGTGTTCCAGGAAATTCAAATGCAACCCTATGACAACTGACGATAAGGGACAAAGAGTCCCTGGTCGATGCACCGGGATGGTGAGGGTCGTTGGCCATTGCCTTCGACAGAGATCCAGCAGTAGCACTCTGCAGACTTCCGTGGACCTCTGCCAGTATTCAGTCCAGATCTCATCCAGCAACGACGACAAGGCACGAAGAAAGTCTGGCTACCCGAGAAACCTGACAATCAGACATGCATGTGATCACATCCAAATGCTGAATATGTTTGCCGTCTATGACAAGCTCCAATGTGAGGACTGAAAGGCCAGATAAACGCCAGAAACCAAGCAAGAGGTTACGAAGAGTCCAGATTAGTGTTTCATTTTAACCAGTAATCGTATCCAGCGATGATAATAGATCTATCGATCAGAATCGGTAGCTTGGTGCTGCTCACTGAACAGAGGCGGACACTTTAAAAGCCTTGCTCTAGGGTTTTGATCTCTTTTCCAGACCAGTTCCTGGACATCGGGGATCGGTACGATCTTCTGAGGCCTAGCAATTCTGAACTAGCAGAAGGTCTAAGCCATACCAAATATTGTAGCTCGACCGTTGTTTCAACTCATGTTCGAACTTGCGGAGACAAGAGCAGATCCGAGCAGCTCTCGGTTTGGTTGTCCAGAGTTTCTTACAGAGACTTTCTTCCGATTGCGACGATGGATAGGATTCGAATGATGTGCTTGACTAAGAAGAAGAGGATACAAAAGACGGAAGAAGAACCTCAAGAGAAAAGCTGGCTTCAGGAAATGCCAAGTGCGGGGTGGAATCAGAAAGGAAGGACCGATGCAAGACTCTTTATGAAGTCATGCTTGCCTTTTTCAGAGTAAGTACAAGACAGGAGAAGCAGCGGATTGAGAAAGGTAGCACGACAAGATTGTGAAAGAGGTTGTTGAGGACGAAAGAACTTTTCTGATATGGTATGAAGCTGTACAGTACCTGTGTCTACCCTACCTTCAACGCCAAATTTCCCCCAAAAAGAACCCAACAGCTATGCAATTACAGATGTGTTACATGATACGTCGACAACTCGTTCAACCGTCTGTGATGCAGCCGTGGCTGGCGTCTTGAACGACCTTGGCGTACTTGAAGAGAGTACCCTTCTGGTACTTGAGAGGAGGTGCCTTCCAGCTGAGCTTTCTTTGTTGCATCTCCTCCTCGGAGACGTCGGTATCAATGACTCTCTTCTCGGCATCAATGGTAATAGTGTCACCATCCTTGATCAAAGCAATGGGACCGCCGTCCTGTGCCTCAGGGACGATGTGACCGATGAGGAAACCGTGACTGCCACCGCTGAAGCGGCCATCAGTCAACATAGCGACGTCGTTACCAAGTCCGGCGCCCATAATGGCGGAAGAAGGTCTCAGCATCTCGACCATACCAGGACCACCCTTGGGACCCTCGTAACGGATGACAATGACAGTCTTCTCGCCCTTCTTGAAAGAACCACCCTCGATGGCCTCAATGAGACCATCCTCACCGTCGAAGACTCTGGCCTTGCCGGTGAATTGAGTACCTTCCTTACCAGTGATCTTGGCAACACTGCCACCAGGGGCAATCTTGCCGTAAAGGATCTGGATGTGACCGGTCTTCTTGATGGGGTTGCTGAAGGGACGGATAATCTTTTGACTCTCTGGCATGTCGCGGACGTTCTCAAGGTTCTCTGCCATGGTCTTACCGGTGACGGTCATGCCGCTGCCGTCGATGGCACCCTCCTTCAAGAGGAACTTGAGGATGGCGGGAGTACCACCAATGTCGTAAAGGTCGGCCATAACGTACTTGCCGGAAGGCTTGAGGTCGGCAAGAAGAGGAGTACGGTCGCTGACGGCTTGCATGTCGTCAGGGGTAAGAGTGATGCCGACGGAGTGAGCCATGGCGATCAAGTGGAGAACAGCGTTGGTAGAACCACCAGTGATGTTGACAACAGTCATGGCGTTCTCGAAGGCCTTGCGGGTCATAATGTCCGAGGGGCGGATGTCTTCCTTGAGGAGGTTCTTGATGGCGCCACCGGCAGCCAAACATTCAAGCTGCTTGGCCTTAGACATGGCGGGGTTGGAAGAAGAACCAGGCAGGGACATACCCATGGCTTCAATGACCGAAGCCATGGTATTAGCAGTGTACATGCCACCGCAAGCACCACCACCAGGGCAGGCGTGCTTGATAATGTCCTTGCGCTCGTCCTCGTTGATCTCGCCAGTGATGAACTGACCGTAAGCCTGGAAGGCCGAGATGATGTCGAGTCTCTCATTTGACATTTGGCCGCATCCAGCAGCAATAGTTCCTCCGTAGACCATGATGGAGGGTCTGTTGACTCTACCCATGGCCATAATAACACCAGGCATGTTCTTGTCGCAACCGGGAAGCGAGATGTTGGCGTCGTACCATTGGCCACCCATGACAGTCTCAACCGAGTCGGCGATGATGTCGCGGGACTGCAGGGAGTAGCGCATACCAGTGGTACCGTTGGACATGCCGTCACTGACACCGATGGTGTTGAACTGCATACCCTTGAGACCAGCTCTTTCAACACCCTCGTTGACCTTGTGGCTGAGGTCCATCAGGTGCATGTTGCAGGGGTTTCCGGAGTACCAGACGGACGAGATACCGACTTGGGCCTTGTTCATGTCTTCGTCGTTGAAGCCAGTGGCGTACAGCATGGCCTGCGAGGCACCGTGGGCCTTGGGCTGGGTGATGATGGCACTGGTCTTGTTGAGGGCATCCTTGTCCAGCTTGATGTGTTTGAAGATCTTGTCCTCACCAGGGCCGGTGGCATATTGTCTGGAAGAGAGCGACTGGGCGACAGAGGGGCTGATGAAACATAGTTAGTTGCTGGATTAATGGTCGAGGCTTCGTTTGGCATGCAACCTACGCGACACGCAATTGCGCGCGCGAGGCCAACGACGACCTCACGGCTTTGGCTCCAAGACGCGACGACAACATGACTGTCACCGACAAGATTCAATGCTTGGAGAGGGTAGAAGAAGAGGCGGCGACGGACGAATGATTCAGAGCTCTCCAGTTCAACTTTCCCACAGTGCGCGAGTCAGTCCCCGCAATCAATTTATCTGCCTTCTGATTGGCCGTCCTCGCTCTGCTTGGCCGATGTCGCTCAGGAAAACATCATCGCTCCCGGGGAAAATCAGCTGCGAAGAAAATGGTCAAGCATCCGAGCTAAATAGGTTATACCGAGTACCTGTTTTGTATAACACACGTATTTCTTGTTCAACTCAGGTATTTTCTGGCGGTCAATGGCTACCGCTTTATCCGAGAATGAGATCCGTCAGATTACCCTAAATGGCGCGAATCTCGTCCCGCGTCAAGTCCAGGATAAGAATAATTTACAGCAGGAAGTCACGAAGTAGGTTGATTACTTCCTGAAGCAAACAGCCATGTTTCTACTTTTCTTGTGTTGAATGAAGCTGACACCATTCAGAGTGATCGACCTATTCCATCGTATATTTTCCACCTTACGGACAGACATCACCAATCAACACAGGACAGCTGCTTGTAATCTACTTTCCACACTGATTGAGAAATGTGCTCAGTCCACCGAGCAGAATATTCAGCTTCTGCTCTGGCAGACACAGAAGTTCTGGGCTGAAGCATTCTGGCTATACCTGGATCAACACCACGCTCTGAACGTTAAGCCTTCCCGTTTACTACTGACTTCTATCACTTCCGTCCTCGCCAAATGCCAGGATAAAGTTATCTGCGAGCCTGAGAAGGCGAGATCGCTGGAGCTACTTGTACGATACATTGCTACGCCTTCCGAGAATGCTCCTACCAGACCGGCCATGCAAGCTCTCGCTCATTGGCTCTCCAAGAATATCGTCAATCTCGAGGAGACATGTGATGTCTTTGCGAAAGTCCTCAATCTTGAAAGCAAGACCACTTCGACTTCTTTGGTTCACGATCTGCTTCAGATCATCTTGCGTCGGGCGCCATACGAAGACTTCGCTTCCTCCGCTGGCTCGTTGGCGGCATTGATCATTCAAAAGGATCCATCTACGAGCCAGTCATCTTCGAAACTCCAATTCGGCAGTTTCCAGAATTCGCTGTGGACTTCTACCGTACTAGAAGTTCTCAAGCAAGACCCGCGTTCTCTTGGGAACTTCCGGCATTATGTATTTCCTGAGATCTTCCAGCAGGACAAGGCAAGCTTCATCGCTTTTCTGGACCAACTGGGCATTCAAAGCATACTCGGAAATGATCAAGCCTCTGTGGTCGCTCTTCCTCTTCCAAGATCACAATGCGAAGAAGTGTTGTTCTGCGCGTTGTCTGTGGGAAGCAAGCTTGGTTTGGTAAAAGTGGCAGACGTTGACCAGCATGCCACTGCTGAGCTGTTCTTCGAGGAAGATGTTCTATGTATCCCGGATGTCTTGCTCGGGGCATTGTTATTGCGCACTTCCGACGCTACGAGAATCGCAGGTCTTAGCATGCTTACAACATCCACGACGACCACCCAGCCGCTGTCTGCAGGCGCGATGGATGCTTTAAGGAAAGGCCTCCCTTTTCTTCATGCCGACGCCGACGCTGGTTTCCGGAGCGAGCTCTTCAGCTTGATCAAGAACCTTGTAGATCGTATCAAGGCTGCGACAGCGACCCTCGCGAAGCCGTCAAGCAAAATGAAGAAGGATCAAACAAGGGATGTTGTAGATTTGCCCTCGAATACCGAATCGTCTGAGTTGATAGACGCTCACAAGTCGTTCGTTGGATGGTACCTATCCTTCCTCAAGGGCGAGCTGCGACCAACAGCCAACTACCAAAGGCATGTGTCCGCACTCAGATGTATTTATATCATTGCAACATCTGGAGTTGATACTGGAGTACAACGGTCTTTCTTCTCAAAATCTGCAGGTCCCGTAGCAACGTGGCCTTTCACGCTGAACGTCGTCGACACAGGCCTGGCTGATCTCTTGGTTGATCTGCTTCTTAATCCCTACGATGATGTGAGAAGTACAGCTGCAGAGATCTTGAGTTTAGTGGAGACAAAGTCACAACAGCAGAACAATGCAACAGAGGTGCCTGTCATGGTGAAGGTCCTTGCACAAGCCGAGGACATGATGAAACTCAGTGGACGAGCTGATCACGCCGATGGAGTTGCACATCTCTACGGCATCCTGTTCACTCGTTGCTCGGTCTTGATCGACGCTACTGGACAATGGTGGAAATCCCAATGCGGAATTCTGGAACACCTTGTTGTTACTATTGAAGAAATCATTCGTGTGGCATGCGCGGACATCGGCAAAGCGGTAAACAAACGCCCTCTTCACGGCTTGTGTATCAGTCTAAGGTATACCGAATACTCGCGTCTAGTTTGATAGGTCCTAACACTTCTCAGGTATATCGTCGAGAGGTCTGGCTTCTACCAGATGTTTTCCTTGGATTCTGCTGCGTCGAAACGTTTACAACTGCTCTATTCTCGACTCTACAGTGTTTTCGGAGATGTTTGGAAATGTGTATATGACACACTTTGCCACGATGTCCTCGATAATAGTGCTTCTGAAGACACTGCAGAAGAAGACATTGGAACGAAGGATGTGTTGAGCTACGCTTGGAGAGCGCTGAAAGAATCCAGGTATTGTTCAATGTGTTTCTTGTGAGGCTAAAGCTAACTTTACAGTCTGCTATTGCGAGCGATCGTGAAAAACTGTCCTCTCAGTATCTCGAATCAACCACTGCTTTCCTTGCAACAACTTCGCCAGTTAGGCGATCTCACTTTCACCGAGCTCGCTGAATTACGACACCGTGGTGCCTTCTCGACGGTCGCCCAAACCTTCGTTATCTGCTGCATACGATCTAACAGCGGTGCCGAAACTTTGGGCGAGAATCTCGAAAATTGGTATCAGGTAAGTGGGCTGAACAGGTTCAACCCGATGCTTGACTAACTGAACGTAGCGTGCGGTCCTTTGCATCCAAAACCAAACTGCCATCAACACACGACGCTCAGCAGGACTGCCATCACTAATGATTGGTATTGTCGTTGCAGACAGCAAAGGTGCTTTGTTCGGCAGAGCGATGAAAGAGCTTACTATCGAGGCAACGCGGCCCGTTGATCAGACTGCAGAAAGTGCTGGTGGCCTTTCTCAAGTCCATGCTCTCAATTGCATAAAAGACATCTTCAAGAACTCGAGACTCGGCGAGCGCTCGGAAGCCTACGTCCCAGAAGCCCTTAGTCTATCGGCTAAATGCTTGTCATCAGACACGTAAGTCTGCATACGATTCCAGGCTCGAGCATTCTGTATCACTAACTGATTTGTTTAGATGGGCGGTCCGAAACTCAGGCCTGATGCTCTTCAGAGCTCTCATGGATAGACTGATTGGCACTAACGACGCATATACTGACGATGATCAAACCACGCAGAGTCGACTGTCAGAGGAGGCGATCACGAGTCTGATGCATGTTGTGCTTGAGCTCCTCGGACCAACTGATGGTGATGTCAATCAAGTCAATGCTGAAGTTGTCTTCCCCGCTCTGCAATTGCTTCAACGCATTCAACCACCTCAAGTCATGGCAGCAAAGGTTCAGCACTCAGTCCTGAGGCTTGCCTCTAACCGACAATGGCACGTCCGTGATAAAGCAGCGAAGACATATGCCACTCTGGTGCCCGTGAAGGATCGAGTAAGTTGTGTGGTAGATCTTGTTCTAAGAAAAGCTCGTACTCAAAATGAGTCACATGGCTGTTTACTTGGTGCCCGATATCTCATGGAGCGACTAGGGAAGGATACTACTACTGGAGGTATGTTCCGCATAATTCGGAACGTGGAAAGATTGCTGACAGTCATAGACATTGAAACATTGATGACCACCGTCCAATCACGCATGAACGATTTGCTATATGAAAACGCTTGCCCATACACTCAAGCAGCATTTGTAGATGTGCAAGTCTGCTTCTTTTACGCAGCTATTAGAAAGCAACGATACCTATTTGGTATGTTTGGTTCTGGCCTTTCTCGATCAGGATCGCTAACATCCTGAAGCTCCGGGTACTACATGGGCTACGACCGAGGACATGAACATCCTTTTGGCTCTGCCTCAAGAGCACTTTGCAGCATGTGCGTTCCTCAGACAGTGTTTAGCGCTGTCTCTCATTCACGAGTATGCCGTCTTCAGTGGACCGACGAACGACAATTCGGCAGCAGATGTCTCGGCAAGAGTTGATACTTTCTTGTCCCTAGCAGCTCGTGATCCCGATGCTTGCGCCACTGCACTCCGCGAAGCTGCTCGCATTGGAACTGCTGACCAGGTTTATGCCGCACAAGCCACGAACTTGCTGGTAACTATCTCATCCAGACTCCTGTTTGATGCCAGTGTAGATATCGAAGTCCAAGATGCTGCCCAGGAAGTACTCAAAGTTCTCTTCTCTCGAGGCGCAGCAGAAATTATCAAAAAAGCCATCTTCGTCGACTTGAAAAAATTGTATCTGCCTTGTAGCGCTGCAACTCCACTGTTCAGCGACAAGCGAATCATCCTGCAGGGATCGCTGCTCAACCTGAGAGCGGAAGATGAATCACTAAGGGACGGCCAACTAACCGAGGACTTTGACAGATGGGTCTTGCAAGTACGAAATGCCTTGTATGACGCAAACGTAAGTCTGATTCCAGTTGGTTTCGTGAGGTTAAGCTAACAATTTATCAGCCGTTCGATACAAGACAGGCCGCCGCAATCGCAACACAGCAACTCGACAACAAAGCCCTGGCATATTTCAGCTCCATCGCTGGAGGTTCTGTTCTCAGTTTCTGCCTTGCCGTCTACGACCTGAACAATGACGACGATGACGAGATCAGAGCAATAGCTGCTCCAGTCGCTACCAACATCCTCAACGCAGGTACTGGAGAGAAGCACTCCGACATGGTACCATTAGCCGCAAACCAAGGCCTGGCCAACTTCATCGCTTTGGCTTTCGGGTCAAGCGATGTTGCAGCCCAGTCAGCACTCAGCAGAGCTACCGGCAATGCTGTCAACTCTTTCTTTCCTGACTCAGTCAAGCAGATTCTGGATAATAAGAGCAAGTTAGGCTCCTCACTCTTCGCACAAGAAAAGCAAAATCTCTTCATCGACGAAACTAGAGAAGCCAAGATTTGGTCTTCGGTCGCTGCTCAATTACACCCCGAGGCCTTTTCATTCCGCCTACTGATGAACCTGTGCACCTGGGTCATCGATGGCCTTGACGTCTTGATTGCTGAGATCGAAGCTAAGCCTGACACCCCGCTTGGCTGGAGCAGGAAACCCGAAGTCTTTGTATTGGGTATACAGATCATCTACACTGCTGAGCTCGTATTGAAGCTAGGCAAGAGAGGATTTGAGGTGCCGGTTGAGGGTAAAGCTGTTGTGAAGAGATTGGAAGTTCTCTTGAGCAGAGGTCAGGAGAATGGTGTCAATGTTCTGTGGTTGCAGACTGTCAAGGAGGTGTTGGAGCAACAGAAATGAGACCGGTGTATTCAAGTAGTGTAGCATGGAGGTCCTCCACCATCTTTGTAACTTCAGTTCACATGTGCATTCACTCTTGTAGGTCGTCGCTTCCTTGTCTGGGTCACTAACATGAACTATTTCGTTTGTTCTGAATTGTTAGAATGCAGCTACTCCAACAATACGGTTATACTCCAGGAGGACAAGAGCGTTTCTTGTGGGAGAAAGGGCGACAGGCGATAGACGTGGAGCTTTATATGGCAATAGAGAGACATTAATGATTCATGCACGAATCTGCATACTTAGAACTTTAGATATCAATTGTGCGTGTTTCCGAGCCTTGACGTGATCACCTCGGCTCTAACACGGGAATCTTGTTGACTTCCACCCGAGCCTCTTCCCATGTTTCCAAGCTGCGTTGCGCCCACTCGATATGGCAGCGTGCGAAGGCCAGCTGAAAAGTTTGTCAGTTCTCGAGCCTTGTCATTCAAGCATGCTGGCGCTAGACTTACCATGTACTTCCTCAAATCTTCTTCCTTGTCGCTTTGGAAGCGTTTCAAGTCCTTCAGTACTGCACCACTGGCATCTTTGACGTCTTTTTCAGAAACCTCCAAGGCTTGCTCGAGCTGTAAAGATGGTTAGCGTGATACACTGTGGGAGTGGTCGTCTATTCCTACCTGAGTCAGACTCTCCCTCGTCTTGCCAATCTGGTCTCTTCTCATGCGCTCAGGGTCAGCATCCACAACATTGTGGTAAGCGTGTGTAAGGCGTCCGAAGATCTTGTTCGTCACAAAGTTGCCACTAGCGCCTCTCTTATGTTGCGTAGGGCTGTGAGGTTGATCCTGGTGAGGAGAGCCTTGAGCGGCGCTGGGAGCACTACCCATGGTAGGTGGAAAGTCGGAATCGATACTTGCTGTGTCGTCTTCTGCACGTCGTGGTAGTTGGTCTCTAGCCGGATTGCGTCTAGCAGCGTTGCTGCCGGTGCTCATACTACGTTGAGGCGGTGAAGAGGTGTTTCCTGAAGAGTGGAGATATTGCTCAATGCGCTTAGCTTCGGCTTCGCTTTTCTCGAGAGAATCGAGAGAAGTCCTCTTCCTGTCGAGTTCCTCGCGGGTCATCTCTTGCTGAACACGCTTCAGGACTCTGTATCGCAATACACCCTTTACAATGCCAGCGAACTGAGCACTCTCACGCATGGGCTCAGCAAACTGAGCAGACAAGCCGCTAGACAAGTCACGAGTCTGAATGTAGGTAAAGTCGCAGGCCTGGCCAATCTTCTCAATAGCAGCAGCAACCTCTGCAGATTGTTCGGAGAGGGAGAAAGCATTGTAACGGCCACCCAGTTCCATCAGATCATCACCGAGCTTGTAGAGATGTGACAAAGTTCGCTGATTGACCTTCTCCATAGATCCTTGCAGCAGTGCCTCCAGCTCGCGAGACGAGTTCTCGAATTGGACAAAGTATGGGTCTAGGTCTTCTTCTGACAGGTTTTGGGAGTCTGGAGGGAAGCGACCGAAGACTTGAGGACCAGGAGAAGTGTGGGCAGCAGTTGACGGTTGCTGGAGTGGCGGTGAGTTGGGAGTACCCGAAGCAGCAGCGCCGCCAGCTGAGCGTAGTTTGGCAGATTGGGAAGGTACAGGGAGGAAGTTGTGGCCAGGCGAGGGGTTGGCAGGGTCTAGTGGTGGAGCCTTGAGGTTGTTCTTGGGGATGTTGACAACGGGGTGAGAGTGGAGAACCTCGTTCCAGCTGGCGTTGGGGTCGAGGAAGCGCCACCAAACATTATCGTCGCGCACGTCTTGCATGCGACGGCAGCGGTTTAGGAAAGTGGTCAACATACGCTGTCGTAACTCAATTATGCCCACATCCTCTTTTGCCTTGGTTGGCTTCGAAGCGTAGTCGGTGATGGAGTGTTTCTCGGGAATTGGCGGGATGATCAAGGTTGGGTGCAGTGCGACCAGAGTTGCTCGCAGAGAAGCGAACTCGCTATAACGTCTTCGTACTTCGATGTCCTACCAGGGTCAGTATCTGGGCATGGGGTACAAAGTTGCCACGTCTTACGCCAGTGCGAATAGTGTAGGTTATGTAGCTGCCTCCGCCTTCGGTATTCTTGCCTGCATGGACGATCTGGATGTCCAGGTCGGGGTTTTCGTAGAGGATCTGCTCGATGCGACTGTGGTAACCACCCTTCTTGGGCTCGATCCTGCGTGACTCTGAGAGATCCTTCTCTTCCTCGTCTTGATCGTCGCTGTCTTGTTGATCGTGGTCAAAGGGCTCATCGTGGTAGGTCGACTCGGGACGGTGGTACTCGGGAGTCGACTGCTGGGGACTGCTTGAACCTGAGGGAGGGGTCGAAGGCGCTTGACGGAAACCTGATGCGACAGTCAGAACATGTCTAGAGGGGAGTGGTTGGGCTTGGTGGTTGCGGTACCGGGAGCGTCGGAGCCCTCCGAGTCGCGTCGATTGAACGAGCCGTACGGGTTGTTATCCTCGTCGTCCCACATCTTGGCTGTGAGTTCCTGGCAAGACTGTGAGGTGGGTAGAATGTCTCTGGAGTAGCTGTTGAGGATCGCTATGTCTTGTCGCTTCGTCTGGGGAAGCTGCGTGTTGCAGGAGCGTCTCCACCAAACTGCTGCTGCTGCGCTGCTGTGGTCAATCTTCGGCAATCATCTACGTCACTGCCAAGCACTATGAATAGCTTCCAAAGACGCGTCCAGACCCTGTCTCGCTCTTGCTCCTCTTTCCACATGCTTGCATCCATCCATACCGTGCAACATAATTATCAGCCGGTTGGTTCCATCTTGTACGCGATGGGCATCCAGATGTCATGCCCTAAAATGAACCCTTCCCCCTCGTGCATTATGACAAAGAGCTCTGCAAAGATCTCAACAAGGCAAGTCGACCGCTGTTCGCAAAGCTTTGGGGAAAGTGTGCCGACTCAAATTAACCTCATGTCGTCTCGGCGTTTGGTCTCCGTTTCCAATTATGACTCTTCAATCCAACCATCTTTCCTTTGTTTCTGAATCTTTCTTGATCTCATCAATCTTCCTGCAGATTGTTTGACAATCTATCTTCGCTGATATATAGATCGGAGCGAATCTCTCTTCCTCCGTTCTACTCATCATCAAAGAAGACCGCCTCAAATTGACATCAGTCATGGCACCATCAATCTATGTCGTTCGTCACGCCCAGGGCTATCACAACGTCAACGTACGATATGTTCCAGCATCTGGTCCCCTTCCTTCCATCTAACCTTCATCTAGAGCCAACACCACCTCCGTGACCCTAACATCACCGATCTCGGCTGGACTCAATGCACCAACCTCAGCAAGACTTTCCCCAAATCGTCCCTGCCCGCTTCTCTCACAATCATGGCATCTCCTCTCATCCGCACAATCCAGACCGCCTGTCTTGGTTTCTGGGATGTCCTGAAGAATCCTGATGTCAAGTTTGTTCTGGTACCCATGGCTCAGGAGATCGCGAATCAGCCCTGTGATATCGGTTTCCCCGCTGCTGAACTTAAGGAGAAGGTCGCAGCTTGGCTTCAGCAGGAGAGGTTGGGCTTCGGTGTGGAGAGAATGGATTGGAGTCTGGTGGAGGACGGTTGGAACTCGAAGACTGGCATCTACACTGCCTCTCTGACCGCAGTCAACGCCCGTGCTGCTGCTCTTCGTGCTACCCTCTATGCTCACCCTTCAGAGGCTGTCATTCTGGTCACCCATGGCGCCTTTCTGCACTATCTGACAGCTGACTGGTCGTCTTTCGACGGCGCCAGAGGAACTGGCTATGAGAATTGCGAGTTCAAACAATTCATCTGGGAGAAGGAAGGTGAGGAAGGTGTTCACCTCAAGGAGATTGGCGGTGCAAAGATCAGACAGGGCAGACCTCCCGGTGTGCACGCTCACGTTCTTGAAGGTATCGAGCAGATTGAAGGTCTGGATCCCAAGAGCATCAAGGTCGGAAAGGGCATTGCATGAACGACTACATGGGACCTATTCGAGTACGATAGACGGACAAGATGACACGGAAGGAATTGCTCGCACGAGATAGATCAATGGCATGATCACATGGTTGCAGTCGGGATTTCTGGCTTTAGACAGGAAGATAGAAGGAACTTTTCAGGTAATTGCATCATTCATTCTCTATCTTCCACTCCCAATCAGAAGAACTCTCCGTACGCATGGGACTCTTTATTCCCTTCTTCGGTCTTCTTCGGCGTCCTTTGCCTTCGACAGTCTTCAAGTTCCCCAGAAAGACAATTCCTGTTCAAGATCTCACACCGCCGCAAGAACTTGCTCATTCAGCTTTCCAACCACTTCCAGGGCGGTCATGGCAAACAAGAAAGTCGCGATCAGGCCTTGTTGCTTCCAGCCTTACTGCCAGACTTACTGCCAGACTTGCTTCCCGACTTGCTTCCACCGGTCTTGCTTCCACTCTTGCTTCCTCCTGCCTTACTGCCAGGCTTGCCTCCACCAGCTTCACTTCCACCAGGTCCACCTACTGCACCATCCTTGCCACCAGCACTCTCACCAACCTCCACGTCACCACCACCACCACCAGCTTCCAAATCCATCTCTGTCTGTTCAACCTCCCTCTCTCTACGGCGCAAGATCTTGCCGTACCAGACCTTCAATTCCCAATCCAGGAGTTTGACCCAGATGTACCAGAAGAGGAAGACGAAGAAGATGGAGAGGACGAGGGCGAGGAGAATTTTTGTGGTTTGAGACATTGTTCGTGGGATCTGTGATCGGTGTGGTTTAGGTGTATTGGTCTAGAAGGTGTGATGTTTGTGATCAGGTAAGAGATCTTGAGAAGTCGTGAGGTTGTGAGGTGCCTTTGCGATGATGGGCTGTGGTGAGTCGATTGTGTGTAGTCGATTCGATGAGACCGAACTTCGAAGTTACGATGGATGTGTGAGAGAGAGGAGCTCTTATGTGCAACGTGGTTGATTTATCCGTGACACTGGATGTGCAAAGATCTGTAATGCAGAGTCTTGTGACAGTCGTAGTCGATGATAGAAAGGTCCGTTTGTCGTTGTTCCTCGAATTCGTGCTCTCAGGTCAATGGCGACCGGAGAAGTTTTACTTGAGTAGGAAGTGGTGAACGAGAAAGTTTACTCTCTTGAGAAGAGTTGCAATAGGCTTGAGAACAGGACAGTGCGTGTGGTAGATGTGTTTTGCAATAGTTGGTTGTGTGCCCAAGAAAAAGATGTTGCAAGCTCAAGGGGTTTCGAATTATTTTACTACCCGCTTTCGAATGGTCGTACGACCGCACACCCTGTCGAGACGGAAAATTAACGAGATCTGGAGAACAACCTTTGGCGAAACACCAAGACGGCGAGCTCGAGCTGGTCTGTTTGACCGCTGGAGATCTAATGCTTGAAGCTGTTTTGCTCTCCACATGAGATCTATCCTGTGTATCACATCCCTCTTTCACCTTCGATATGTCATCTCGCGTGCTGGTCTGTATGGGAGATAGTATAATACCATGGTGACTTATGGTCTCGCAGAGGTTAAGGGCTTGAGAGTGATAAAAAACAAACCAACCCGTGTCAATGGCCCTATACCGCTCGCCAGGAAGACGATACAAGGTCTTGAAGCGTGTGTTTATCAGACCATTCGACCTCGTCGCCTCCGTAGGAACCGAACAAAGTCTGCATCTTCAAGATGTAAGAAAGTTATACATGGCACGCATGATGATCTACAAACCTGTTACCGAGCTCAATGTTATGACAGAGCACTTGAAGACTGCCTACTTCCAGACTCCGCCAAGGCTTTGATCAAGTTATATATTGACTCCCAGCAGATTCACTCCCAGAGGACAAACTCGGTTGTTTAGCGCAAGCGGCAAACCACCTCTGTGATCCGCTCTGGAGCGGCCAAGACTCTGAACAAGACTACTGGCGCCAGCGGCCATTACCAACAAGAACCACCTCTTGGAGTGGCGAAGAATCTGAACAAGACTACTCGCGCCAAGTAGCCTTCTGACTCCTTCTTTTTGTTCTACACGTGGTGCGTAGAGATGGGTGCAGGCTATGGTTTTGTTGTGGTAAAGGGAGAGGGTGTGCTGGCTGGCGTTTGTGAGGATTTGGGAGTTAGGGTTCAATCCACTGCATGGTCGAATTCTTTTTGCATCTAATTTTTGATCGTGGGACACAAAGCCAATTGGCGCTGCCGGCTTTCACTCTGAGTCTCCGAATCGGTTTTTGTATTTCGATAGACTGCTATCAGCAGCTTGAGATTGCACTCATAATGCAGATACCAGCGACGTCTACGTTTGATCAGGAGCACTGGGCAGACAACACAGGCTCGTTTGGGTGCAAGACACTGCTGAGCTCTTGAGCAGAGTTTCATCTAATTCTGTTCCTGTTTTAGCTTTGTGGAACAGAGATGATTCAGTCGCAGTAGCGATGCGCTGGAGATGAGACATGAGACACTGTCTCAGTAATTCGTTCAAGACAGGCAGACTCCGACGGAACTCCGGGCGCATATAAGGAAGGCACGACTCGCCCATTCAAGATTCTTCTCAAATCATCATTCCAAAACCTCGAGCTTCTCTAATCTCATCTTCAACCCAACGTTTCTTTGGATATCTTAATCCTAAATCCGCAACCATGTCCGACCATCTGGCTTACGACTATGACCACAGCAAGGCCACCACTTCCGAACTCATCGAAAAGCTTCATTACCTGAATGACAAAGGCGCGATCTACATTCCCAGTCTACAACTCACCCGGACTCAGAGGAAGTGGAAACTCATCGCCCAACTCGAGAAACACTACGCTCTTCAGCGCGAGCACTTGAACATCAATGTCAAGGACTACCTTCACCTTTGCCATGAAAAGACGTATCGCAACAAGATCACTTGCCCGGAGCTCAGGAACATCCTCTCGCAGTACGATATCCCCTATCCGGATGAGCCGAGTAGAGCTCAGCTTTTGGAGGTTCTGGACAAGAATATCGTGTCCATCCGAAAGCGCAATCGATGCAAGGAAATTGAGACAACTCGCAGGAAGCTCAAGAAGCTGGCTGATACTCGCAAAGAAGCCGAAAACGGCCGCCAGGACGTCGGAGATGACGAAACGGATGCCAAAGCCACTGAGGAGTGGATCTTGAACATGTCCAACCGTTCCAACGACGGTGAGAAGAACCATCGTGAGGAGGTGAGAGAAACTTGGGCAGTCTGGGGACTTAAAGTGGCCAAGTCTCGCGTCTCTTATGCTGCAATGGCGCTCGTCCCGTGGATCATCTTGGCCGCTCAAGTAGTCGCACCAAATGGGGCAGCTCCATCGTCTTGAGAAGGCTATCGCGTTGCATATCCCGTTCCTACTACCTGGCTTATCGTCCTGGCATGTCGGGATGATCGCTAGATCTGCTGAGCTCATGCGGAGAATCTCGAGTCACATTTTCTTTGTTCGCTATCTGTTTGTTGCATTGTCTGGGGAAAAGTAAGAAACACTGTCGAAGCTAGAATTATTCGAGTCATGAAGAAAATTGAAATGTCGTTCTTATTTGCTGTTCTTCCAAGCCAGTCTGCCCGACATTACCCGCATCGCTCTTTCCTCGTCACTTCATACATTTTTGCAACTGACGTTCAACCTAGAAAAGGCAGTGACAGAACACATCAATGATGTGCAATCACAGACTTCACCTCCCCAAGTCATCGCAACACCCGCACGTGCAAATTATCTGCAATCGTCGAGCTATAAGAACGATCTCAGCATCGAAGCAAATCTATCATCACCAGAGCCCGCTGGAACCAGAACTGATCAGACAGCAGTCGACCGCCTTATTTGGCGGTTCGGCGCGAGCTTGTCATACGGCGTCGCTACGTCGAGGTACTTGAGTACGACTCTCGGGTACCGAACGTGGATTTTATGGATCATCTCCGAGTGGTCGCGTCGACGATATGGTAGTGTTGTGACGGAGTGCAGCGTTGCTACTTATCCCTTTAAACAAGAGAGATGCTCCGTAGTGTTAATCTTCTAAATTTGCAAGTATGCCTCTCGGGTACCAAACGTGAAAATCATAGTTTATCTCCGACTCCTCGTGTCGACGACTCGGTGGTATCATGACTGACTGCAGCGTTTGTCTGCTATTCTTCCAAACAAGAAAGATGGTCCATGGTGTCGCTCTTCCAGCTTCATAATTACGCCCCTCGGGTACTAGACGCGAAGATTGTAGTCTGGCTCCGACTCCTCGTGTCGACGACTTGGTATATTCATAACGAAATGCAGCGTGTTTAATCACTCTCACAGACAAGACAGATGGTTCGCCGTGTCACTCTTCTAGCTTCATAAGTACGCCTCTCGGGTACCGAACGTGAAGATTATGGATTATCTCCGAGTAGGCGTGTCGACAATATAGTAATGTTGTGACGGAATGCAGCGTTGCTACTTATCCTTCCAAACAAGAGAGATGGTCCGCAGTGTTAATCTTCTAGCTTTATAAGTATGCCTCTCGGTACCAAACATGAAGATTAAGATTCATCTCTAACTCGTCGTGTCAACGACCTTGTAAAACCGTAACGAAGTGCAGCGTTCTTTGCTATCCTCACGAACAAGAAATATGGTCCGGCGCGAGTTCATCTCATCGCACGTTATCACTTGTTGATTCTCGGGTACCGAACATGAAGATAATGATACAGCTCCGGCCGGTCGTGCCGAGTACTCTGGTATCACGATGACGGTCTGCAGAGTTCTCCATGGTTCTCTCAAATGCGAGAGCAGCTCTCCCGTCTTTGCTCCATTTACTTTGCCATACTATCTATCGCTTGCTGATATGCCTCTTCGTGGTGAGCAATGGCATTGAACAAGTCAAGGTTGACTTCTGCTGGCCGATGCGAGCTAGACACTGCCATAGTCCACGATAGGTTTGCTACATTGAAAATCTGACTCTCTGAGTCCGCTTGATTGACCATCTCGAATGGTAGGCGGGAAATCTACCGCTATGCGGGTGTGGCGTAGTCTCGATGTATATCCGTGTCCAAGGTCATCCTTACTTGCTGAATCAATCGACCCTTTCGAATTAGGTCAACCATGGTATGAGATCTCCATGGAAGGGCCTGTCAACTTTTTCGGCCTTCTCTGTGCCTACCCAACGCCAGATGCCCTGCGTACCATCCATCTCTGCATCTCCGTGTGCCGCACTCTTCAGCTTCTCAAGCCTTGACTCGCTTTGTACCTTTTGGAAGAAAAGTGGCGTCCAGGTCTTGCCTTCTGCCTCTTCTTTCTTTCTCATCTCACGTTGGCCTTGCTCGACTTTGCTTTTTGCATCAACAACGGCTTGCATGTTGCCAGAGTTCAATGCGGAGATAGTTGGTCCCCATGCTTTTCTGCTTTCGTAGGGGTCCAGAGTCGGATCGTCAGGTACTTGGACTGGCAGCGGTGGATGGGCATTTGTGTCGAAATCCTCAACAACTGAATTGTTCTTCTCGTCGCGAATAGTGAAGACGTCGTTCCAGCTGCCGTCCAGAGTATAAATCGGGTGCTTGCGACTGCTGTCGTCTGCTGAGTATACAGCCGCGTGCAGACCGTTCTTCTTGCCTGCCAGACCTAGTAGACGCTTTCCAGAAAAGTCCACGCTTGCGACGTAGCCGGAGGAAGACACGATGTCATAGCTGCCGACAAGTTCCGGGTATGGCGTTCCAGTGATCAGTCCAGAAACTTTCACCGAGGGCAGAGGTATGAGGTAGTCTTCGTTCCATTTGTCGAGATGGATGATTGCGTGGCCAATCTGTTTGATGTTGACGGTACCTGAGAAGGTGATATTCTGACAAGCATATCCTTCCGCCTACATCATGAGTTAACAATAATCATTGGTCTGCCCTTGTCTTTACGTACTCTGACACCTTGCTCGTCGTTCCAAAGGTAACATGCTGTGATGGGTGGATGATGACTAGACGTCGGTCAGCGACTCCATGCTTTCCCGCCCTGGAATGCTCCCACCACTCACCTGACTTGCTCAGAGATCAAGCAAGTTCTTCCTTCTCCACTCGTACCTCCCCATGCACCCATGAAGATCTCGCCCAAGAAAGCATTCAATGGCTTCTTCACACCCGCATTCTCGTCCCTACCGGCATACTGCTGGCGCTTCAGACTTGCAAGGAACCATTTCAATACCAGTAAGCAGCGCTTCTGCGGGTCTGGCTCAGATGCCGGAGCACATAGTAATTGTGGTCGCTCGCACCAGTAAGAAGGAAATTCAACGGTCGATTGAGATGCCAGCAAAAATGGAGGGGCGGTGATGTTTGAGAGGTCGCCTTTGATTGTCGAGATAGACGCGATGAATTCTTTCAATGTTGATCTGTTTCCGTCTGCCATGGCTGAAAATGATGTTGTTTCTGTTGATCTGTTTACGATATGTCGATCAGGGTTCGGTTTCGAAGTTGTTGATTTGGGTTGACTTCGTTCTTGTTGACAGAGACGTCTTTGAGGCTGGCTTTGAATCTGATGGAGCTCTATTACAGTGTAGGGTACTTATGATAGAGTATAGATGCCGGGAAGAGAGACAAGGTAATGGTCGTCGTCGTCCTCGGAGGCTTGGGAATGACGACATTGGAAGGAGCGACGCTTGGCAACAACGTTTCGCGGAACTCCCGGCTCCCTCTTCAACCACTTCCTGCCTTGTGAAAATGCAAGAATTGATCTTGATGTTCCGGTTTGTCCATCGAGAGATGACCTTGGTATAGACTCCCGGCGACTTTCAGTGGACAAATCAGCATGTCAGGAAAACATCCTGCATTTTCACAGTTGATTCTGAGGGCTCAACGAGTGCTGAGAGCAGACGTTCACCACCTTGTGCTCTACGAGCTTTCCTCATCTCAGGATGTTTTGAGAAGTCACGAACGGCGATGGATGCAGGCACGCGAATCGAAAATTTTGATTCTCAGAGCGCGCCCATGGTCATACAACGCGGGTTCATTGTAGATATCCTCCCGGGCTCTAGACGAATACCCAGTCCTCCTCATCCTCCTCAGGGCTCTTGCCCGAAGGCTCACCCATGCCTGTCTCCAGGTCTTTCTTCTTCTCCTGGGGGACAAATGTCACCCCGAACATTTCTGCAAGGGCGTCCAGCACCCCGTTCTCTTCTTCTTGCTGCATGGCAGCGATTGCTTGTGCCTCTTGGGTGAGGACTTCCTTGGGGGCGTCGGCGAAGGGGTCGCTCATTGCTAGCAAGACGGGTCAATCGACGTTTCTTCAGATCTCACGCATCGACACCTACCCGTGGTGATTATGAAGACGCAAAGGTCTTTTCTTTGCTGGAGGCTTGGTGGGGAGGATCTATACGGTAAGTAAGACTTCGTGTACCTGTAGGGGTTCCGTTGTAATACCTGAGCTTGATGCGAGCGAGTGCAGCGTGGTAAGTCAGGTGTCGAAGAAAAGTCGCGTTACAGCAGGACGCTTCTAGCAATTCTCGTAGTATATCCTCGAAAGCTTCACTTTCGAGCGAAACACTTGTTCAATCTTCTTTTCCTTTCACAGAATAACGCAACGAGGTCACCAAAACCTCATCAATAACCATCTCTCCCACCACCACCACAACCTCCTCAACACCCCTCTCGCCTTCCATCAGCCTACAATGGCACCAAGCTTCCTCAAGAAGCTCAAGACCGTGGTCAGCGACCTGATCACCAAGATGAAGAGCGCCCTGAAGGGCAGCAGCGGTATGCACTCTCGTAGCACGTTAACCATTGCACACTACTCATGCATTCACGCAGACGACAGCAGTAGGCGGTCATCAACGGCCTCGCCAGCCACTCAACTCAAGCAGGATGAAAAAGAGCGCGCCAGGCTCCCTTCCACCGCTCCTGCAAAGGTGCGCATGGCCCTTGACGATTGACAGGGCGTGCCATCTGAAGTGGAAGGGGTGCCGTAAGAGCGCATGATGCTCACGGAGACAGGGGTCGAGAGGGATATCAAGGCTTGAGCCGGGTCTGGGAGGAAGACAGCAGCGGGTGTAGGAGTATAATGATCAATCCAAACCGCGTGCGACATCATCACTTGGCCTTGTAAAAATGCACAGTGATATCGGAATGTCTGGAGATGTTCAGTGAGAATGTCACGGTCTGAGATACTTTCTTGGGCTCTTAGTGGAGGCGTGTGCAATGTTGAAAAGTATCTCGCATTATGACAGCAGCATAATCTATCGTACAGTGCCTTTGAGAGCCAAAGCTCACGTTGACCTTCTTCTACCCATCACTATCTTACAGTTTCCGCCATCATAGTGCATTATCTTCCTCGTTCGTTGTCTTCCTCGTTCATTGTCTTCCTCGTTCATTGTCTTCCTCGTTCATTGTCTTCCTCGTTCATTGTCTTCCTCGTTCATTACGTTCCTCTTTCATCGATATCCTCATTCCCCTGAGTTAGCCTCCCCTGTTTCCATGGCTCATACGATCAAGCCTTCCCCTGATGCTTCTTCAAAACTTGGTCGAGGTCCCAACCAATCTCATCAGCCCAGTCATCAGTTTCGGCGTCTTCGGTACGGACGGCACCCATGAACATGATGCTTCCGCTCTGGACCGCGGTGGTGGGCTTCTCCTGCTCTTCGCTTACGGAGATAGTGTTGATACGAGTGCAGAGGTCTTCGGCCCAGTCGTCGGTATCTCCAACATCCTGAACTTCCTCAAGGACGTAGCGGCTTCTTGCTTGAGTGAAGAGAAGGGACGTCTTATTGGAGGGATTGTCGAGGACCGAGTGGAGTGGGGTCGAGTGCTTTCTGCTACGCAGCGTCTCTTCTGTGACCCCAACGGAGCCTTCAGACAAGTGCTGGTTGGCGATAGCGATAGTTTCGCCGTGAACCGCTGCTTCAACAGGAGTATTCTTGCAATGTCCAATTCCGGTGGTTAGAGGGGAAACTTCGCCGGGGGATAGAATTTTAAGCACATCTTGACACAAGGTCTTTGGGATCTTGGAGGTGACAATTCTGGAAGGCTTGTTCTTGGGAGGCTGCTTGTCAGAGGTCAAGCTCAATCTCTCAAGGGCTTTTTCTAGAGACGAGACACTTCCAATTGCTCTTGTGGTGGTAGAGCGGTGAAGGTTCGAGGACATTCTGACGTCTAGAGTCGATTCCACCAACGCAACTGACCCTGTGGATGACTCCTGATCGGCGACTGGGGTTGAGTTGCCGGCAGCACTTCTTCCAGCATAAGACACCCCGTTATGTTCGGGCTTGGTGGTAGTCAAGACGGCTCTGGCGGTTTCGGGGATGTCCAGCATGTCCTCACGCGTGCGTATAGGGATCTGTGACTTGGCAACCTTGAGAGCCATCGATCCCAAGAGCGGCTTTTCTGAGTTGCGGTACAGGTTCTCGCGATAATCTTTCGAAAAACGCTGCTTCTCAGCTGTAAAATGGAGCACATCTCGAGACACGACGGACACATTCTTGATGGGGTATCCGTTGAGTTCGTCAGCAGTTATGGAGCTTTTTCTTTTGACGCCGTGCCTGACTGCAACATTGTAGGTAGGCGCGTGAGGCATTTTCTTCGAGTTTCTCTCCCTCTTCGAATTGTGGATTGTCTTTGCTCCGAAGCCGTTCGTGTACTTGGGGAAGATGTCATCTGTCGGGGCATTCCATGCTGTTTCCTCGGCTTGGAGGCGAGACAACAGCAAGTTCTGATACGAATGTTCATTCTTCTTGCCATCTTTGTGAGATTGTACTCCCGCAAGACTCAGAGCGCCGGTTTCAACAGTAGCCATCGTCTTAACGCAAGACTTCTCGCAGGATCTGCGTTCGGTAGCAGTAGAAGTTTCCTCGTCTTGTCCAAGGATAGCCAGCACATCTTGACGTAGGTGCTTCGGGACTTTGAATGTAACAATTTCAGAAGGCTTGTTCTCTGAGGTAAGAGAGAGCTTCTCGAATGCTTGGTTGGAGGAAGAAACTTGTGCTTGTTCGAGGGAAGAAACTTGTGTTGTTTGGATCGTGGAGTTGCGGACATTGCCGTCTGTCTTGTTGTGGTTTTGACGTTTCTCGTCTGCTTCAGCCTGGTTTGTGATCCTTGCTCCCAGATCCTCTCTGTACTTTCTGGGATCGTCGTCGGTGAGATTTTGCCATGCTGCTTCTTCTATCAGGAGGCGATCAGAGAGATCTCGAAGCTTCTTCTTGATTTCCGGTCCGTCTACCTTGTACCAGATGATGTCAAGGAAGGTCGCGTGACCGATACGGGGTATCGGGGCATCTTCTCCGCTAGAGAGCAGACTGAAGTAGCAACTTTTGAGTAGGGGAGCCTCCGAGAGATACTCCATTGCTGAGCCCCAACCTCTTGCCCATTTCATGTGCAAATTCTTGAAAGTAACATTCTCGAGTCTTGTATAATGATATACGAGATGGATTTGCTGAAGGACAGGGAAGCTGTACTCAAGCAAGCCGTCCAACTCCAACGTAGAGACTGGAGTGGTGCTCCTCCAACGGGGATCTGTGCGAAGATAGAGCATCTTGGCGCCTCTCCGCATTGTTTGCGAGCGGTATTTTTTCAGAGTTTGTGTGACACTATCGTAGAAGATCGTTGCGTGACGCGAATCATCAATGCCATACTTGAGGTTCAGACTGGTGTTTGGGATGAGAGGCTCTTTGTACACTTCTTTGACAGCTTCGTAGAGCGACGGGCCGAAGCAGGGGACGACTGGATCACGATGACTCCCCAGATCAAGTTCAATGCTCGAGACTGGACAGTCCACCTGCTTGGATATCTGGAGCAGTGCCTTCAAGGTGTGTTTCATATGGTTTGCGGAATAGACCATACGCTTGACCGGCCAGAGATTTCCTTTACTGACGAGTTGTCCCAGGCCGTAGCATGGTTGGATCTTGTGAGTGTTCTCGAGACAAACTCCGATGCTGATTCCGCCGTGGTTCTTCTTGATGGTTTGGACAATTTGGACGACTTTTAAGTACTTGGCAGACGTTTCCTCGATGGTTTCCTCGGCGTCGACCTGGAAAGGAAGACTGGAGACGACGCTGTCGTGGTTGATCGGAGTGTATGGATCCGCAGTTCGTAGACAGTTGAAGATTATGGTGCGCACGAAGGGACCAAAGTATGAATGGGATACAATCTCGTGCATGGTTGAGATGCTTTCGAGGGACATTGTATGGCGTCTTCGAGTTAGAAATTCTTTGGCGAAACGAGGATTGCCGGCCATTTCAAAGTCTGAACAGACAAACCTGATTGAAGGTAGGTTCTTCTTGTCAACATGGTCGAAAACTCTGGCCAAAACTTCCTGAGGAAGCGCGAGCATTGTTGCCATATTGACTGCGCAGTGGATACACGTGGCGTCACCTTCTTTGCGTGTCAACTACTGTCAAGGGATATGTTGATGACGGAAGGGCTTACTTGAACTTGGAAACAAGAAGAAAGAAAGTGGTGTAGGACGCGTCGAATATTGCGTGAACGAAACGCGGGACTTCTGAGAGAAGAGAGTGGTCTCGCACGCGAGCGGCGACCTTGATGATTGGAAACTCGAGAAGCGGTGACAGGTGGACGTGATAAATACGCGGTGGTGGTAACATTTGAGGTTTGGATGTGTGGAGAGAAAGTACGCGTTGAGTTCACAAGACTTGTTGTTTGTGGTCGGCGACGACTTTGCGAATTTCCCAGCCCAGCAACCACGGTGATGACGACCGCAACACCGAACAAACCCCTGACATCCGACTAACCGAGAAACATATGATGAGCGGCAGCAGGGTGTTGGAAGCGATTCTCGATACGAAAAGCATTCGTCGTGTATTCAATCTTCAGAATCGTCAATTTGACCCAACCCCTTTGTCCATTCTCGCCGAGATGGATTTTGCACAACTACTACGATATCATGAAGAGACTCTTGCAACTTCGTGTCACACTATCCAGCTTCAGTCCTCATGAACTCTATATATAGGCTGTGAGTATTGAACCACTCGACACTCATAAGCCATCAGAGCTATAGCAATTGTCTTCGTTCTCGCCCATGATTAGTACCAAGACAGCGAGTATTCTGGCAGTCATTGACCAAACCTCAAGCTCAACACCTTGACGAACAATCGACCATCTCCTCGCTAAGCCGCCTGAGAAAAGTTGGAGCGATCTCAGGGCCGCCTCGAAGAACTCCTCGGTATCACTCACATTCAGCCTCAGAGAAGTATATTCGGCCTTTTCACAACCGCCTAATGCGAGACACTACATCTCTCTCCTGTCTCCCACACATTTCTTTTGGGCGTGGAGACAGGCGCGGCTCAGACCTCGCTTGTATCACCGAGGAAGCGACTGTGTCGCTCAAGCCTAAGACATTTGCGTTTTGCATCACTGTGCAGAAGGCTGCGAGGTTGCAAGAAGATTATATCCGATAGGTTGCATCCTGATGAAGTTGTGTTCTGTGGACTTACCCTAAGCGTATCTTCGTCGATGTCTGCGCTTCCATGACCAATGTCTGTTTGTTCGTGGACGTCGTGGGCATTTGGGGTGAGTATGGCCTGGGTTCCTACATTGAACGGGTTTTCGATGGCAGTTGATGATGAGTCTTTCGAAGCGAGGGCGATGCTTTTATCAGTTGCTTGCTCCTGCTCCGTCTGTGTATGGGCGCGACAGATGGTGGTGGTTGCGTTACTGGCTTGCACTTTCAGTGCAGCGCGCAGCGCGCTTGGCTGGTAGTCTGACTTGTCCAAGTCAACAAACGTCCACCGTTCTCGATCAAAGATCCAAATGCCGCAAATGCCGTATAAAGGGTCAGAAACTGCTAAGTGTCTCGTCCGGTGTCAAAGACTGATCCTACTCTACTGTCTCTCGACTACATCTCTCCAAGTCCCTCTTCATTTGGTCTCGATCAAAGAGCCAGCCACTACTCCTCCTTGCGACCAACCTCGAAATCCTCCAACATCGCCTTTCTGCTCTCCGGTAACTTTCCAAACTCATACCTCTTCACCAAACCAGGCAATTCCTCATCACCAAACAACTCAGCAAATCTCGAATCCTCCTTCTTTTCTATCAAATCATACTCCCAACTTGTATACGCCTCCAAGACTTTCTTATCCAAATCAACAACCCAAGTCCACTCGCAACACAGAGTATCCGTGATAAACCCCATATTCCAGAATTTCACCTTCACGGGTTCTTGCTCTGTGGCTTGCACCAGCAGATTCAAAATGTTTGCACCAGTATCGCGCGACAGCGAGATGGGAGAAACTTGGAATAGCTCCCAAGTGTTAGGATCGCGGGGTCTCTGGTTCCAGGCCATCTGGGCGGCAAACATTTCTTCCCCCCAGGCTTTATATTCTTCGTCTGTGAGAGTGTGGATCATACTGTCGCCGGCATCGAGGACTTTTTCGAGTTTTGTAATGTTGACTGGGTCGAGGAGGAAATTGTAGATGGTGAGGCCTTGGCTATCACCGTCCCATTGGCCGTATTGACAGATGCGGTATTTGCCTTTGTAGTAGACGATTGTGAGGTTGCGGGTGCCCATTTTGACGATATTTCGGTAGCTGATTGGAAAACGGTCGGTGGAGGGTGTGTTCTTATATATATTTAATCGATGGCGCCAAGAAATTTTGATTAGGCGGCAAGCGCGTGAATCATGGCTGGTGGTGCTTTCTCTGTGCCACATCTCCTCAAGACCATCCAATCCTTGGATAGCGGTCAAAATGCAAGACTGTGTTTCAGATTTTGTAGATGTCCAAACATATCGCGCGTTCTTAGAATCACATAGTCGTGTCTCACTGAAAAACTCGGCCAAATCCAATCCGTTTTTGCATTTTGATTTGTATGATTTGTGCCCTGATGGGTGGCTGGAGCGCTTTGATGAAAACCAGGGTGTGCGCAAAGTTTTGGCAGGCGTGCTCGCGAAATTACTCGGTTGCTTCCTTGACCATTGGTGCAGAGAGTGAGCCTGACAACCCGCCGACAATCTTTTCAGTCCAGCTTGCCCAACCACTCTTCCTGCCTGACCTGGCCTTGATGCCGAACTTTTGTCTGATATCTTCCTCTGTGAATGCCTTGGTTTTGGTGCGCAACATGTCTGCCAGCTCCTGCTTCGACATGTTCGTCTGATCACCGATCGGAATCAAGCAGTTCTCAGCTAAGTATAGGTATTGCTTCTTGAGAACTCTGATGGTCAGCATCATGTAGTCAATGTTGTGGAAGACAAGTGCGCGACCATTGCTGTAGGCTTCCTTGCTTTGAAGGAAGTGGACGGGTGCATCTCTCCAGTGACGGCGAGGGTTGAGGTGATGAGCAGTGTGGTAGCCGTCGTTGAAGCAGAAGCGGTTGCTAGGCACATCGATCAAGGTAATGCTACTTCTGAAGTCCGAGTCTGGGTCGACTTCATCAACAAGAGCATGTTGTCCCCAGTTTCCGATCATGAGCCCAAGACGCATGATGCCGAACGGAAGCAGAAGAACGAACATGGATGCACCGAAATGTACTTTTGTCGCCATGAAGTAGAAGAAGGCATAGTTGGCCATCTCTGAAACGCATGACTGGAGTGCCAATCTTGACTTGCCCTTGCGGAGGAAGTACAAAGGAAGCTCAGCCCAGATGAAGAGAAGGAAACGACCAACGTAGCACGCAAAGTCGAATGGAGAGTCACGCTGGTAGCGAATTGTTGAGGAAAGATCATCAGGCCCATTGCCTTCGACATGGTGGTGCTTGACATGGTGGTAGTAGTATGAGTCCCAAGTGTGGCCCATCAACGGTTCCAGCAGGTAAGGGAAGCTAAGATCAAACCATGCATATTCCTTCTTCAAAACACCTCCATTGTGGATGTGATTGTGCATGAGTAGGGTGAACGCACCGGCACACCATACAGTGTACACTGTATGAACCACTCCATGGTACCAATGGAAATTGTAGTAAAGGTAGGCAGCACTTGACAAGTTGACCGTCATGTACAGAAGAATATGTGTCAAGAAGACGACATCTGTCGGATGGCGGACAATCCCCATGGCAATTTTCGTGTATGGCTTGACCAGATATTTGTTGATTGTAGGATTGAGATCCTTGTCATCCCATGTTGTAAAGACAGTCGGTACGAATTCAGGACTCTTCGGGTCATTGATTGCAAGCAGATGCTTGATGTCCTTTTCATCATCTGCGGGATCCTGTCCAGCAGGTGTTGCCAGTGCTTCCAAGTCCTGGAGAAGATTTTTGGAAACAACAAGATCCGGTCCCGTCAAATAAGGGTCAACCGTGCGGGCCATGTTGGGTAGGTCCGAGGTGAGAGGCGTCGAGTCAATTGATTTAGTCCAGATGATATGAAGCTTGATGGATTTACGTCGAGTAACACTCGTTCAAGTCGCTCGTAAAATGCGAATATTTCGAGTCGTCCAAAAGAAAAGGTTGCAAGTCTTCCGAGATCAGGAGATCCGTATCGATAAAGCGGCTAAAGAATGGCAGGCAGACCCCACAACGGATACGAGGGGCGAAAAGAGTGTGAATTTCGAGTCAGCCAAGAGATTGAAAGCGATGCGGAGGTCGCACAATATCTCAAAGCTCGACTGGCAAGATAATTGACGTACATTTACAACAGGAAGAAAAAGAATCGAACACGTTCAAGGAGGGACATGATGTTGAAAGTCCAAGGCGAGATTTGCGGGTCTGGCCGCGTCAGGGTTTATCCACCATGCGCCCGAGCCGCCCCCCTTCGAACTCTCCTGATGTTTCAAAATCTAGAACGGCGTAGTTAGTCGCGTCGAGTGGACTTGGGGTTTTGAAGTTGGAGCGCGGTCTCTCTTCCAACAAGATGTAGCTATAAGAAAGTCGTGATTGAGCTGATGATCAACGGACAAAAGAGGAGCGCACGCAGGCAAGGTCAAACGAAGCCCATCCCAGCAAAAAGGATCTCCCCTCTCTGAATCGAACAAAGGACCTTCTGATAACAATCAAGCAATTACAGTCAGACGCTCTAAACCAACTGAGCTAAGGGGAGATGATGTCAGAGGTCTCAAATTTATCGTTAATAATCCTTTTCCAGATGAAGCAGCGATGGCAGCTTTATGACGGTGACACGCCCGTAGGGTCATTCGCTGAGTGCTATGAAGGGATCGTAGGCTACATGTGGGGTATCAAAGACTTTTGACACACATTACTCGCTTCGGCTGATGTCTATATATCATTCTGGTACTTAGGGCATTCCATTGTCACAATTGGTGCTCGAATGAATGTGCTTGAAGGCATTTTCTTGATGAAGCATTTCACAAGAGTGAAAAAGCGCCCTAGCTCCTGGCAATTCGATGCTGACCAGTCTAGAAGTTTAAAGATAGCTTATCAGAGTATGGTCTTCGATTTTCTCAAGTCAAATATGTATATCTCCAGACAGTGTAGATGTAGTTCGAGGTTGGAGAGAAAAAGATGGCCGAAAAGTATGCAAAGCGGGAGACCCTGACAAGAGCGGAGAAGTGGAGAAGTCTCGAAGGACGCCTTGGCACGGTAAGAAAGTGGTCTTGAACAAAAAGTAACGAGGGCCACCTTCAACATGACACTATCATCATCATGGCCGACTCGAGTGAAACCAAGCCAGCTACGGCGCCTATTGTGGACGATGCGCCCAGCAACGACGCAGGTGAAGGAAGCTCAGACACCAAGCAAGAATCCCACAGCGATCGCAAACGCAAGAGATTCCAAGACGACGGACTCAAATTCGGCCGCGGTGGTAAGAAGAGAGATATGGGCAGGAACGCGTGGTCGTAGGTATTGCGCACGGAGAACCTTCACCTGCGCTATACTAATCCCCTTCCAGGCGAGAGCAACCAGACCGTAGATCTCGCAACGACGAAGAAAAGAAGAAGCCCCGTCCTGAAAACTCGGTCCTTCCTGCACCTTTCGCACAGGATGAGATTGCCGCAGAGGAGCGCAAACCCAAGCGCAAGGTCGCCGTCTTGATTGGATACAGTGGTACTGGTTACAAGGGCATGCAAATCAACACGACCGAAAAGACGATTGAAGGCGACCTCTTCACAGCTTTCGTCCAAGCTGGAGCCATCTCAAAAGCAAACGCCGATGATCCCAAGAAATCTGCACTCGTCAGATGTGCTCGTACCGACAAGGGTGTCCATGCGGCAGGAAACATGATCTCACTCAAGTTGATTGTTGAGGACCCCGACATTGTCCAGAAGATCAACTCACACCTATCACCGCAAATAAGAGTCTGGGGAATCGAACGCACAATCGGAAGTTTCAGCTGCTACCAAGTCTGTGACAGTCGTTGGTATGAATACCTGATTCCATCACACGCATTCTTGCCCCCGCATCCCAGCAGTTGGATGGCAAGAAACCTGGAAGAGGCTGCCGATGAGACAGGTGACCGTGAAGGTTACGAGTCTCGTCAGGCCGAGGTCAAGGATTTCTGGAAGACCGTTGAAGAACGTGACATCAAGCCTATTGTGGATTCTCTGGATGACGACATTCGTGATATGGTCCTGCAAGCCATTCATGAGCCCTCCGATTTCAACCCTGACGGAGAACAACAAGACAAGCAAGAGGAACAAGTCAAGCAGACTGCTGAACTCAACACATCAGCACCTGCAGATGCTGACTCCAAACCGGAAGCTGCTGCCGAGACTGCTGCTAACACCGACACTCCCATGCCTGACCAGCCTGCCACTCTTGAATCAACAAACATTCCTACCGAACAGAAGAAGCGTATTGAAGTTGCTGTCAGACAGCTAAAGACTGCCTACAATGCTGCTCGTCGTGCTTTCCGCATTCCCGAAGAGCGTATTGCCCGTGTGCAGGCTGCTTTGGACTCTTATGTCGGCACTCGCAACTACCACAACTTCACCATCCAAAAGACTGCCAGGGATCCCTCAGCCAAGCGCAACATCAAGTCTTTTGTCTGCAACCCGCAACCCATCATCATCAACGGAACTGAATGGCTGTCATTGAAGGTTCACGGTCAATCCTTCATGATGCACCAGATTCGCAAAATGGTTGGTATGGTCGCGTTGACAGTCCGTTGTGGTACTCCCATCGAGCGTATCGTTGAAGCTCAGGGTGACCTCAAGTACAGCATTCCCAAGGTTCCTGGTCTTGGTTTGTTGCTTGAGCGTCCTGTCTTTGACAGCTACAACGAGATTCAAGCCGTCAAGCATGACAAGGAGAAGCTTGACTTTGGCAAGTATGAGAAGGAGCTTGAGGAATTCAAGCAGAGAGAAATCTACCAGAGAATCTTCGCCGAGGAGGAGAGAGACAACACGTAAGTTTTGGTTGATGCTGGTCTTACAATCGCAATGCTAACACGATGTATCAGATTCCACCTCTTTTTCAACCAGATCGACAACTACAAGGAGCGTCATTTCTTGTACTTGACGTCAAAGGGTATCGAGGCTACCAAGGGTGCTGGAAAGCTTGATGAACAAAGAGCAGTCAAGTCGCAGAATGATGGAGCCGATGCTATGGAGATGCAGTAAGCGACCTGCAATGCGCCCTACGCACACACAGTATGGCAGTATGCCTGCGCTCGATTCGCCATTGAATGGCAGAACAGTGACCGCAGTGCCGCGTTCAAAAGTTCAGAAGTTAGACTGAGTTCCGATTGTCGCGGAAGAATATCAGTCTTCTTATCTTGTCATCTTCCAGTCGTTCTTTCTTGTGCTTGCTTGATTTTCGTGGCTGGTTCTGTGATTCTCGAAGGATTTAACTAACGCTAGAATTAGCCGAGGCTCAAGGCAGCAATGTGACATTGCTTCTTCAGGGCAAGTGCTAACCACCCGGTCAACAAAGACAAGAGCATGCTCTTGCAGATACATATCAAGACGAAAGACGCCACTTCTCGACGAAACGCCGAATCTCTGATTGCTTCTCTCTCCTCACTGACACAGTCAAGACCGACCATGGATACCGAATTACTTATCAAACTCGAACGACTGATTACAAAAAATGCACGACTCTCCTCCCACGCCAGTGTGACCTCCGTTCTTCAAGATCTAGGTACACCGACTGTCTCTCTAGCTATCCTGGACGGAGAAAAGATTTTACCACACTGCTTCACTGCCGGCAGCGATGACACCTCCACTCTTTTTCAAGCATGCTCGATATCCAAGCCGGTCGCCTCTGTACTCACGTTTAAACTTATTGAGGCTGGAAAACTTTCTCTACACGCGTCGATAGCGGAGTACCTTCCGATCAGCGCCATAGAAGCACTGGAAACGACAGCAACAAAAGGAATGGCGAGATTCATCACAATCTCTCAACTCCTAAGCCACACTTCTGGGCTCGAAACATCTGGCTCGCAAGGCTTTCCTGGGTATGATGTTTCCAAGAATGCGAATGGGCATTATCGCGCTGCGTTGCCTGACCTGGCTGAGGCGTTGGAGGGACAGTGGCCGTCGAATACTCTCCCTATTAGACTCAAGGACTGGCCAGGTCATGTTTTCAATTACTCGGGTGGTGGAATTGGGGTGTTGCAATTGATCATCGAAGCTGTGATGGACACGCCATTTACGGAGCTCATGGATCAGTATGTGTTCAAGCCGATGGGTATGAAGAGGTCGACGTATGTCATCCCCGAGGAAGAAGACTTGAATGAGAGTACAAAGGAGGACAGACAGGGAAGCGGCAACTACGCAAGAGCCTACTACAACGGCTACACATCCTGTGAAGCGGCCCATCGAGTCAACCCCGAACAATCTGCCGCGGGACTCTGGACCACACCCTCCGACCTCTTGACCCTCGTATCAGCTATCCAATCCTCACTGCACACAGACACTGGCTTTTTACCCAAGACACTAGCAGCTTCCATGCTTAAAGAGGTCCAATCAGGAATGGCTCACGCCTGGTTCATCACGCCCAACCACTTCGGCCACGGAGGAAGCAATATGCCCGGTTGGAAATGTAACCTCCTCGCCTCTTTGACCAATAAAAGAGCACTCGCTGTGATGACAAACTCAGCAGAAGGCGCAAAAGTGTTTTGGAAAGTCCAAGCGGCTTTGTTATATCTTCTTGGATGGGAAAAGGCGAGCAATTTCTGGTACGAGAGGAACTGTGTTGTTCCTTTTGCCGATGTTGTCGCTGTCACCCCTTATAAAACGATTTTGGCACCATGGAGCGGAGGTTGGAAGGAGCAAGAGAGGGAGTGGATGGTTGAACTCGTGTTTGAAAGTTGCGTGCCTTGGTTAAAGGTAGGACAGATGCCAAAACAAAGGTTGTGGATTGCTGCTCATGCGAAAGGAGAGTATCAGGACGGGTCGAAGATAGTAGTAGATCTGGTGTGTAAAGGCGGAGTGGAGGTGTTAATCAGATTGGTGGAGGATAAGGAAGGTAAGCCTATGATGGAAATGTGGAATGGAAATACTGGGTCTGTGGTCATGATGGAGAAGGTATAGTGATATGTATACCAGGAGGCAAAGATCATACCAGAAACCGAGCTCTAAGTCTGGCGAGATGTCCTTGTTGACTTCCCATCAAAAAGCAAGTCTAACGTCCAGTGAGAGCAAAAACGTATACTGGCACGCAGTCATCGCCCCATAACATATTCTGCCAATATCCAGAACTGCAAATTTCACAAAACTCCCACGCTCTCATCTCCTGATCAGGACGGAAGCTCATAATTGCGATATCACTCAAGATCACTTCAATACTTCAGGAATTGTTTATAGCCTTCTCGCTCTCACAGCTGCTGATAAGCTCCGATGTATTGCTATAGAGAAGATTAAGCCCGACAGTGTCATTATACACGATATAGAAATGCTGGAAGGCTGCATGATTTTTCTCTTCTCTTGCTAGTCTCCCCATCTGTACCATGGAGATTCATACGTTTTCTCATGATGTAGGTATTGCGTTCGCTCAACTGGCACTGCTGCCAAAACTGCAGAACTCCAGCTTCGAGAATGTTCCTACAAGTGGATGGAGCATAGGCAGGAGTTTTCGATAACGTGGAGATGTAAGATTTGTGTAGTAGATGGTGAAGACATCAAGGAGATATTGGAAGAAACGGCTAGAGCGTTGAAAAGGGATATGGGGATATGAACTGGCAAGTGTGGAAGGCATATAGCCAAGGTGTGGGAATGGGTTATTGCTGAGCTGAATGAAGGCAGCGAGTAATCTGGACAGGTGGAGAGATCAACAGGCCTACGCACAAATTCATAGAACTTTTGGAATTCCTACAGATTCACATCGCCGCTTGCACGGAGCTTAAGAGTATGAAACTACAAGTTGCTTGGCCTTGATGAGGAAACAGCATAGTTTGGGAAATGTTAAGGATAATTTGAGCTACAGAAAATCGTGGATATATGGACATGAAAAAAGACGAAATATGCTCCGAATCACAATTTCAAATTCAAGCCTTGATGAAAGGGATACCAGTCAACTTGTATCCTGCTTCGCTGAGCTCCGGTGCTTTGCGAGGCTTCCATGTGTTGTGAGGGTCGGGCTTGCCATCACGCATGGGCTCCAAGAAGGCCTTGATGAAGGGCTGGAGAGCCATGGGCCAATGGCTGTGACCGTCCTGTGCCTCGAAAAGTGCCTTCTTGCGGATCAGATCTTCTTGGGTTGCTGTTGAAACGGGAAGCATGCAGACGTAGACGACGAATCTGTCAATGTCTCTGGTAGGAGAAGCGTTGTAGTGAGGGCAGCGAGAGTCCCCTGAGTGAAATTGTTAGCCGGATGCGCGAATGTGTAAAATAGAGCACACATACAAAGAACGAGATCACCAGGCTCAGCGTTGACCTTGACCCATTCGTAACCCCTGTCGGCCAACCACTTGAGACCAGTCTCCTTGAACAGGTACATCTCATTTGTCCATCTGAATTCACGGTGTTCGTTCCTGAAAACGTTGTGATACTCCTCACTGACCTTGTGACCTCCCTTCAAGACCAGAAGGCCACCATCCTCGGGACCATTGGGCAATAGATTGACGAAACCTTGTACACAGCGCAGACCACCACGCTCCGGGTCTTGATCTTGGTGAGGCCAGGCAGCATTGGCGGGAAGATCTTGACGGTTGGCGAGAGACACATTGACGGCATCGAATGAGCAGATCAAATCCTTGTCTTGGTAGAGGGTGGCGAAGACATCAATAACGGCGGGCTCTGAACGAACAGCCCATGTGAAAGATTCGTGGGTTGCTCCATATGCTTGAAGGAGACCCTTCTGGTGAATGATTGGCAAGCACTCCTCACGGATGGTAGAAGGGTCGTCACGCTTGTATCCGAGACCGAAGCCCTCAAGCCATGTCTTGATGTCGTTTGCGTAAGCGAGTGCCTTTTCCTTCTCGACAACATCCTTGACTACACAGAAACCGTCACGAGCAAGGTCTGTTGTGAGGGAATTAGCACAAGTTTTATCATATGCAAGCAATCACATACCGTCGCGGAAGTCGCCATAAGTCTTTGACTCATCCAGAACATCGAGGACGGGGGTATCGTGGACAACACAAGGAGGAATGGCGTGGACAGTGGCTTTGGCATCCAGCTTGGGAGCCTCATTGAACTCGCGCTGGACAGTGGTGGTCATAGTAGCGGTGGCCATGTTTGTTTGAATTGAGGAAGATCTCAAGTAGGCTTGATGAGATAGTGATCAGACGAAAGATAGATCAGAAAAGAGGACTGGGCTTGCATCTCAAATATCATCTCTGGCTTCTAATAGCAGTCAGTTGCTATGGACTCGGTCGCGCTTGCCCGGTGGAGGTCCGTTGCCTCAAAGTACACGCAAAACACTCGCCCGAACTCAGCCGTGGGCAGGAATGACCAGATCGGCGAGTTCGGTCAGCCTCCGAAAGCTGGATTCGGTTCGGCAGCACCAAACTGTGAATGCGGGGTCAGACTGCGCCGAGATGGTCTCCGTGTTTGTGTGTTCGGAGTAATGTCTTCTAGGCTATTCGGAGCATCTGAAGCTTTGTTTATAATGCTAGATGCAGCCTTTCTGAAGATTGCAAAAAACCCAGCGTGTCGTTGTCGTTCGTGTGTTTCTCGAAAACAGGCCCCCAAGATGGTACGTGCTCAGAATCCGGGGCGTGGGGTGCGGAGGTGGGGTTTGATTGGACAAAAGTCATGGCGAATATGCAACTCCGCACCAAACACTTGAAAAGAGCGACTGTTCATGAATTCTGTCCACCGCAGAGTGTCTGCGTATCTGGCTGACCTGCCTTCAACACCGAACTCGCCCGTGTCCACATCCCGTATTATAACCACGAAATACGGGGTATATCGAACCAGGTTCTACCAATTCACGGTAAGCTAAACTACAATGGCTTGATCGAGGTCTTTTTACAGGTGAACTGGAAAGTAAGGAGAGTCTTTTCTCTCAAGAATGCTGTGTACAACGCCGTTGTCGAGGATTTAGACTGGCGGGTGGCTGGCCTCTTGTGTTGTCTCCAGGATTGTCTGTCGGACGCGCCCACAAACTTCGACATAGATACTCCTCTTGGCGATTGCCGATAGAGGGTAAACCTGAAGATAGACCACATGCAGGACCGGACCAGTTGTGGAGACATCTACCCCATAAGAGACGCATATTGCTCTCCCCAGAATATCTCTACCCCAGGATCATTTCATTCAACCCCTCAAAGTCTTCTACCTCATCTTCGTTGTTGGAAGGCGATCTGAATCTCAAGATCGCTCCTCACCCTATACCCCTGTCATTATACACAACACAAACACCATCACAATGGACAAGTCGAACATGAGCCATATGGAAGTCGCGACTTTCCCCGACTCTCATGTAGTCGACTCTTACGCCGTCGATAGCAAAGATGAGCAAGTTACAGTCATTGGCACAATGGGACAAGATCCTGATCACAAGACTCCTGTCTCTTGGAGAGCCTGGGCCATTGTAGCCATTTGCGCATTGGCAGCTTTCCAGGTAGACACATCATCCATCGATGTGGACATGCATAAACTAACATACCCATTAAGAACACATACTTCGGTATCGCCCCTGCTGCCAATCAATATGCCATCTCTGGAGCTCTGCAGGGAACTGCAAGTGAGAGGATTTGGATCGTCCAGGCTGGAGCCGTCCCTGCCATTGCGTTCGGTCCCATCTTCGCCATCATCAGTGATGTTTACGGAAGACGTAACATGATACTTTGCGCGTGGGTTCTCTTCGCTGTTGGCTCACTGGTCTCCATGACCGCCACTAGCATGACTGCTGTAATTGCTGGTCAGGTCCTCTCTGGTGTCGCATCTGGTATCTCCGGTATCATGTTCGCTGTCGCTTCTGAGGTTATTCCAGGAGCATACCGTGCCTACGGTCAGACCATTGTCAGGTTTGTCGAGCCATATGCATCCCACCAGACAGAATATCATGAACTGACCTTCTCGCTAGTTGGGTCTCTGGCTTATCCTCATTGGTCGCTCTCCTTCCCATCGGAGCTGCCACTACTGCTGACCCCGTCAATGGCTGGAGATGGGTGTTCCGCATCAAGTTCATGCTTGAATGTCTCATCGTTATCGGCTTTGCAGCGCTCTATTTCGTAAGTAATTTCACCCTCGATTTTGTTCCTTCGCTGACCACTTTTCCCAATCCAGCCCCCTCCTCGTACTGCCGCTAGCAAGCAATCTCTTGGACAAAAGCTCAAGGCTCTTGATTGGATTGGTTACATTCTTCTTCTCGGAGCTCTTGTTCCATTTTTGATGGGCTTCGCATGGAGTGGTGACTCAAACTATGGCTGGGCTAGCAAGACTCATACTGTTGTTCCTGTTGTAGTCGGCGGTGTCCTCTTCATCGTTTGCTTGATCTATGGTATGTTTCGATCATCACAACATAAATTTGAAGCCATACTGACTTTGATTCCTAGAATGGAAGGGCACAAAGACCGGCTTCCTCGACCATCGCCTCTTCCAGAACGGACGCAACTTCCCCCTCTGCATGATCCTCATCGCTGTTGAAGGTTCCCTTTTCTACCTTATGAACAACATCTACCCATCTCAAGTCAACGGTATCTGGGAGACGCCCGGCACCATCAAGGCTAACGCATACCTGCTGCCCTTCTTCATGGTCATCACTGTCGTCTCGCCTTTCCTGTCTGTCTACGTTACCAAGTACAGAGATGTCAAGTGGCCCATATTTATCGGATTCATCTCCTTCAGCGCATCTGTTATTGGACTCGCACTTTCAGGCACGAGCGGAAAGCTTGGTCTGGCCTTCAACGGTGTTGGAGGTCTCGGTTTCGCTCCTGTCCTGATCTTGATTATGGTTTGGGTTCAGGTGAGCATACCATGTTGTAATGATTCAAACAGAGAACTAACAACAACATCTACAGAACTCTACTCCTCCCCTCTTCATCGGTACCGCATCAGCTCTCACCATCTCCTCTCGCACACTCGGTGGTACTGTCGGTCTCGGTATTGCAAACGCCATCTACGGATCTCTTACAAACACTCAAATTCCTGAGGCTATTGGTATGTGATAGTCAATTGAGCTGTATCAACTATTTGCTAACAGTTGTTCTACAGTCGCCGCAGTCGCTCCCCTCGGTTTCAACCCTCAACACCTGGGTCAACTCATCGGCTTCTACTTCTCCGGCCAAGGTCTTGACAAGATTCCTGATATCAACGGACAAATCCTCGGTGCCGGCCTCGAAGCTCTACACAAGACAGAAGCACACGCTTACAAGATTGTATGGCTGTCTTTCCTGCCCGGTTGCATCATCGCCGCTGGTATTTGCCTCTTCATGCGCAACTCCAGCGAGAGAATGAACTGGGTTGTTGATGCTCCCCTCGAGACCAAGCCTGATGCACTTTCTGCCAAGGAACAGGCGTTTGAGCTTCATCCTCCTACCTTGAATGATGATATCGAGATCGAGCGGGTCGAGAGGAGATAGCTTCGCTGATCTCTGCAATATTCGCCGATGGATCTAGTCTTCGGTTCTACCATGTACACACTCTGTAACTATGAATTTATGTTTTGATATGACGACCTCATTATTACTTTAAGCCTCGTGATGTATCATGCACTGATCGGCAATGAGTCAACCCTAACTGCTAGTCAACGCCAGAGGTTGCCACACTGCACCAATAGTGTCGCTGACTCCTGTCACTCTACAGCCTCACAGGGGCATCCTCGTTGATGGCATCTCAAGGTCGAGATCGTCAAGCGTGAGTCCCAGTCCGCATGGCTACAACTTTGTAAACATAACAACCATGACAACGAACAACCATGACAACTAAACCCAGAAGCAAGCTCCTCCTGAGCAAGCAGTGCAAAGCGACTCAAATCTAGACCAGCAATGCCGCACCACCCGGACGATCTGTGAACCTGATGCTTTACCGGTTTGTTCGTGTCTAGACTTGTGAAGATCGATTCTAGTGTTCTGTCAAGAGCTCACCCATGCTGGACCGTGTGTTGGAGGAAGGTGGAGGAGATTGTGGAGGGCATTGACTTGTGCTTAGATGGCCCGACGTTCTCCACGACAGGACGGGGAAAGTTTGGTCTCTGACACACATCATGGAGAGAACCGCCTGGACTCGAACATTCTCACAGATAAAAGAAAGCTGTTAGGTCGTTGGGAGGCTTGGTCATTCCGAGAGAAAGAGTCAAATTTGATGAAAGCGTGCAGGATAGTCATCCTTGATGGATGACGCTTGCGTACCCAAAAGTATTGTGCAGTTTGATGGCTTCGATTGTCCGAGAATGAGATGCTCAAGGGAGAGAAGACTGTAGCTTGCACTACCGATAGCCTTTCTCTTCTTGCAAGGATATTCACAAGATGATTAAGAGCAATATGATTTGAGCGAAACTACAACCGGAAGTCTTACTCACTTTCTCTGAACGATTCAGTGGAAGCTTTAGTGAATTCTTCGAACAATTACATGCGAGCTAAACTCGGATGGATAGTCGAATTATCTGCTAGTCGTAATGTCAAGCCCCAAGTGTTCTGGGAAAGAATGTTGAGACACTCACACTGCTGAACGGAGAGTTCTGATCAGACGCAACGTCACCATAAGCTTAGGAAGTTTGATCAGGGAGTTGCACATGGTTGTTAGCCATTTTTGGTATTCCGCCTTTAGTTATTTGCCTGTCGCTACTTCCTCAGACATAACAAGCTCAACGTAGCAGGCAAATGGATGTAGTGTCATGGAGGGAGAGTCTGTCTTGTTGTTTGAATGAGTAATGAAAGGTCTGCACTCTCTGTGACTATCTTTTATTACTCAATCCACCATCCGAGGTACTCATCTTTGTCATCGAGAACAACATCATCTTCCTCTCCTTGCTTCAATACTGTTTGGCCTCAATTCCCTGCACCTAAACCTCGCTTCCCTGTGTCTGGATGTTGGGCACGATGATCTTGATGACACCAGCATATTCAACATGGTTAAAGCGCACGAGCAGCACTTTCTGCTTCAACAGATCAATCGACTGCTCCTGAGTATCTTTGATCAGATCTTCCGTGCCCTGTGCCGATGCTCTTCCAATCTCTTGCAGGTTGTCGCGCATGTCAAGACGAACAGACTTCTGGCGGTAGTCTTCTCCTGCTTCTCCTTGGATGTCGACACGTAATTTTTGGATAGGACATTTAGCCGCTTCTGCTGCTGCGAGAGTGAGTCCCAACGTCTCTGCCATAAAGTAGGTGTACAAGACTTTGTGATTGAGAAGCGCCTTGCGTCCGAAACTTCTGACTCCGTTGTTGTACTTGCAATCACCGACACCGACCTCGACGCTGTTGCCGTATCCTTTGATGTTCTCAAAGACCTTTTGGAGGAGGCTTTGGCATTGACCTGATCGGACAAAGGCGTTGTCGAGAATGCTGGCACTTTCCTCTTCCGAATCATCGCGCATCTCTTCTTCCTCGTCATAGGGATCCGTCCAGAGTGTGGGACCGCCTCGGGATCTGTGCTTGGTCATACGGACGCCGTCCATGATGACTGCCGTGACATGTTTGCCGAAGAATGGGTGCGCAGTAATGTCCACCAGTGCCTTGACGCTGTACGAAGAAGCAACGTGGAAACGGCGTGAGAAGAACACTTTGGCAAAGCGATTGTTGGCGGCCTCTGACATAGACTTTGATACAAGACGGCAAGGAGCCAGATCCTTAAGGTCGAGATTGTTGGCAATCATCTCAAGCACTTCGCTAGGTAGGTCTTTGATGGCGGTAGCCACTGCTATTGTATGTTAGTCATGTACAAGCACAGCGAATGGAACGATCAGAGGATACATACTCAAGCCTTTCCTGTTGATGAAAGTCTGGAGTCTGTTGAGAGATTTCTTGCTCTCAATCAGATCTTCCTCCAGGCCGTTCCTACGCGTTAGGCTTTCTGCGTACTTCATCTTGAGTGCGGTGTTCTGATCAAGTGATTGCTGCAACTTTGCTCTGAGATCCATGTGGCTCTTGACGCGGACAAGTTTCAAGGCGTGCTGCTTGTTGATGTCGTTGTCGCGCTCTGACAATTGAGCGTGAAGAGTCTTGATGCTCAAGTCCCTGGCCGAGATGATGTCTCTGAGGTCGTCCTCTGTCATCTCTTTCTCTGACAGCTTGTGTCTGAGGGAATTGGCAGTCAAGTCACTGCGCGTGTTCATGCTTTGTGTTAGTCGGTCTTGCAGTTGGTCTTGAGATTCTGTGGCGCGCAACTTTTCCTTCTCTGTGACTGAGCTTCGAGAGCGCAGATCTGGCTTTCGAGAGTTGCAGCGTGAGAAAACGTTCAGTGCATAAAGTGATGTCTGTGGAAGTGAGAAGCTGTAAAGGAGCGTGCCGTCACTGTCGCGCCCCTCGACAGTATTTTTGCAGACCCTCTTCTCGACGGCTGCCACGAAGCGAACTCTGCACGAGCAAACCAATCTCACAATCTCACAATCTCACAATCTTCAAACGACACGACTGATGACGTTGTACTGTGAACAAGTCCTTCCAGCAGCCTGATTTCCATAGCTCTCTCACTTGGCATTCTGAATGATCCCAGTAGCCAATTCACCTACGCAAAAGCGACTCACTTTCACACCAAATCTCGACCCTTTTCATCTCAGCGCAGCTTTCCTTCAACCACAACATCATCCAACCAACAACATGAACGAGCCAGAGCCCAGATCAGCAAAAGACGCGCCTCACGTGAAGAAAACTCTGGAACATGCGGATGATCTCTACGATGTCCCAGGTAACGGAGAGCATGAATATCTCGTAGAAAGCTATGATGTTCGTGAAAGACTGCTCGTCATCAGTGACCAGATTGCCGAGACTGCAGCCAACAAGATCAGGCGTGTCTATGAATACTTTGATCCGAACCAGGAGGGTGTTTGGATCGATGTTCGGGATGTCTGATCTCCGGAGAAGATGTTACAGATACTAACGGCGTTCATTTGAGGGTGGAAGTCGAAAGAGAAGGACTGTTCAGATCGGCACAGGAGGGAGATATCAAGGAAGGAGAATGGACTTTGTACCGCTCGTGATTCAGGCAGCATCTCCAGCACCAGCAGCAGCAGCATCAGTCTCGGAGCCTAGCAGCTCCTCCAATCTCGCAATACTTTTCGGGAAGTACTTCTCCACACCATACTCCGCAAGGTAATCCCTCTCCTCTTTCAAATCTTGTAGCGCCACTGTAACCCAGTCGTTAACGCTTTCTCTTCTTTCCCTTCTCTCTTCCCGTCTCTCGTTTTCCCAAGCCAGCTTCTGTCTTTGCAGCTGTCCATACTGTTGTTTGTTAGGCCTTCCCGTCTTGAATTCACCCACATCGCCATCCGCTCTCGTCCATCTCTTCCGCACCGTAGGCAACCCCTCCTGTCTCTTCGCCGGCGCCTCTTCATTCCTCCCTTCAATCAACCTGACCAAGATCCCATCCATTTCCTTAAAAGGCCCTTCACTATCCCCAAACCCGCCCATCTTAGGCGTAGTATCGCAATCCGTATGCGACGCATCCGCCACCGCCATTGCCATATTAAACGCATACACCAACCCTCCCTCCATCTTCTCCAATGCATTTACAGCTTTCAAGTGTTTGGAAGCCATATCTGCATATGTATCTGTAGTGATGGCTCGGCTGTTCGGGGACATTTTTCGGACTTTGGCGTCGAGGGATTTGAGAGCGGTTTCTAGTGCTTTGATGGCATCTTTGTATGTTTTGGCTACTGTGGGGCCTTTTGTCGCGGTTGCCTTTTTCGCTGGGGTGGGTTTTGTGGTGGATGTGGTGGTCTTCTTGACGGGAGCTTTTCTTTTGGGTGCGGCGCGGGATGTGGATTCGGAGGCTGAGGAGTCGGCGTCTGAGTCGATGTCTATGGCCGAGTATTGACGTTTCGTGGCTGCTCTTTTGGGTGGCATGTTTGCTTGGACTATTGGTATGAGTAAGGTTGGATTGGAGAGAAAAGAAGAGAAGGAAATTTCTGTTTGGGAAGGCTCGAGGGAGTCAAGCACTTGCCCTGCAAGAGGAGGTTGGGAAAATGAGGGGTACGCGAATCCACACGCGAGACTGCCACGAGGCGTCGTCATCCCGAGGAAGATGAATTAGAGATAGGTTCTGATATTTTGTATTTTATCATTAATCATGTTGCTGTGTAACGCTGTCATGCATTCATTGATCTTCATCTTGTCCATGCTTTCTGCCGACCATTTCTCCATGCAGTACTTCGTCATGTAGTCTCTCATCCTCATGCAATCTCTGTAGCAGATTCGTGTCTCGTATTGCAGCACCTGCTGCTTGAACATCCCTTCTTGTTCGGGGCCGACAGCTAGTCCTCATTGCGACTGCCTCATCTATGCGACTTGTGCGTCTTCTTGGTGTCGGACTCGCCGTGTCAACAGCTAGCTGCAACCGTCTCCGAAGGCGAGATCTTGCAGTGCTCCTCGATGTCCTTTGGGCACCTCAAATATGTGAGAGCGGACCTGTGGCCGTGTTGCTTTGCATAGGGACAGCATTGCGCCTCGCGATCATGTCTCCACCACATCTCTCAAAGCTTCAGCGCTTGACTGACACGGCTGAAACAGTATTTATCTTGCCCATTGAGATCTTCTTCTCTGCCTCCACCAATCTCTTTTGTGTTTTCGAGAGCTTGCTCTTAGCATCGGCCAGGTCGAGTCGGAGTTGTTCGATGATCTTGTCTTTCTGCAGCAGGAGATTGGATCCGGGACTGTAGGCTTTCGATTTGACAAGGGGAGCTGATCGGTTTGCGATGGTCTTCTTGACGCGTGCTTTTACGACAGGTGCTGTTTGGATTGGTGTGAACGTCTGAGGGGCAGCGCGTGGGCGGAGTATTCGTTTGGCTTCCTGGCTCAGACTTGAGTCGGCGGAGGAGCGCTTGCGTTTCAGGAGAGGTTTGGGTGGCATTGTGGCTTTGTGATGCAGTTCTGGAATGTGTAGAAAGAAGGAGAAGGCGTTATAGAAGAGTTTTGTGTTGTTGATTAAGAGCTTGACATTTGGGAAGACGCGATTTCCTCGACGCGAGATTTGCGCGGGACGTCATCATCCAACGTCTTCTTCAACATTCTCCTTTCGCTTCCTTGACAACCAACGTTTACACAACATCTCTGCATTAATCGTTCCCTCGATCTCACTACGTCTGTCCGGTCTTTGTCCTTTCCAACTTCACCGTCATCTTTAGTACGGGTAAGTCTATCGACGTTGCCGGTCGTGCCGGTCTTCTGTCTACATCGTTATGTCGATTGGTGCGCCGGAAAGCTCAAATGCCCTATCCGGGTAAATTATGCCTGGAGGTGAATTAGCATAACCTTCACTAGCATGGGCCCTCCTCGGGCACCCGACGTGACATCTTCCCTTACCTTCTTCAACATCCGGCATCCACGTGTCGATATTCAATCCTGTGTCCTCATCACGAACCTTTTCAACCGTCGGACTCTCGAAACTATTGAAATCTCCGGGATAGAAATTGCATTTTTGGCGTACTGCGATCGCTTTATAGCCCTCCAATGCTCCAGCGCCGAACCTCTTCTCTCGATTGTCCCAGAGGTCGTCTGTGAAGAAATCGCGGATGAACTGATTGGGTTGTCAGAAACCTTGCAACATCACCACCTTGCTTGGGCATGACTTACTTTCATAGGCACCGCGTATTGAACGTTTCGATTAATCCCCTGCTTCGCACGACTGGCACTGACAAATTTATCCCAATCGTCATGTTTCTGCACACCTGGCCATGGCGCTGCCATCATGCCGAAAGGCATTGTGTCCACAGATGGATTGGCACTGATGGGCCCGATAGTGACGCCATTAGTGATGACGGCCTCACACGCGTATCCCTCCTCTCCTATTCTTTGGTCGTTGGCAAATGGAAATATGTCTTCATCTATCGCCAAGGTGTTCAGGAACCAGACGTGTGTCATTTCGTGGACCAGGCTCATAGCCGCGTGATATCGTACTCGCAGAAGTGAGGATTCATCCTGAGCTGCTGGGTTGTACCGACTTGCTGCGTAACCTGTGCCGCCCGAAAGAATATATCGAACATTCGTGTCGATACTCACAATGCATGCATACCTAGCGTTCCTAGTTTCAGTACTTCATTTTCAAGAAAAAGATGGGTTTTACTTACGTGCCTTTTGTTCCTCTTAGCCCGATTTTCTTCTCATCGACACTCGTGCACGCGAACATTCCGCCCGTGTCTTCCCAACGGAATGTCACATAGTTGGCCAAACGTTCCATCTCGGCCGATGTTTTGGTTCTCTCAACCTCTGAAGATCTCCCCGTGTAATACACATAGCTCCCTTTTGGCATCATTCTGGTCCCTGGTTTATGGTGCAAAGGGGATCCAAGCGCATGCCACATGTCCAACAAACTGGGCATTTCGAGCATCTTTGACGCAACACGCAGTATAGGCTTCATAAGTTCGTACTCGTAATCGCTTGTTTCGACCCAATTACCTCTTCTGAAACAGGGATGTATGCCGTTATGATCGCCATGCAACTTCAAAGCGCTTCTGTCCTTGTTCGCATTTGCCATGTGGTTGGCCTTCAACCTGAATCGACGCGAGATGAAAAGAGGATTGGTCGTGTTTATGTTGATGCAACCCTTTCTCTCCAGTTCGTCAGGAGTCACGTGTGCCAGAATGGCACTTACACCGAACCATGGAAGAAATTCTTTATACTTGCCTGTCGATTTGTTCAGTTCCGGGATATGACGGCGTTCGCGCAAACCGGGAAAAGGATTTGCACCCAGCGCAAGCACTGCGGATGACGCCTGATCGAAAAATACACGTCTGACATGTTCTTTCGCCGTCTTTGCTTTCCTCTTGTCAGGTACATTTCCGGCCAAGTACACGATTGGATCGTGGCACCACTTCATTTTGATTTCCTTGGGTACACTCGATGTGTCGAAAGTCAACGGGTCATAAGTTGATTCATCGAAAGGGGGTAACGGGTTCGGCGTGGGTGATGACGAAGCTGGAGGTGACATGAATGATAGAGACGACTTGAATGATTGAGCTGACGGGAATGGTAGAGGTGTGTGGAACAAGGTCTTCGAGGTCGAGATTGTGCTCGGATAAGCTCCAGGTATGGGAAGCTTTGGTGTTCTGGGAGTTCGACAGGGGCCACCGGCAGGGGGCGGTACAAGCCAATTGTAAGAGCCCGACATTGTTGTAAACTACACGATAAGCTTATGTCAATTCAAGATGTGGTGATATGGTGAAACTCCAAGAGACGAGGAAGGGGCCATCAGGCAGAGGCACTGCGCAAATCAACCCTGTCAGCTCTTTGTTCTCCGGATCTGGTTCCGTAAGAAAGTCTTCCTACCCGTTTTGAGGTTGAGGTTGGAATGTTGAAGGCTGTGTTCTTTGTTCTCTGGAGGTTGGCTGCCATCTGCGCATCGCATCTAGTTTGGACGATGTTTCGCGCTGATATATTGATATGGCATATCATCAGACCTACTCGATCAACTCATGCAACACTTATCCTGTGCTGGCGAAGACTCTAGCTCCTCATCGGCATCTTCTTCCTCCTCATCTTCATAGTCGTCGCTTCCGTCCCCCATATCTGTATCTCCTTCTTCGTCCTTATCTTCTGCTGGATCTTCCCCTGTAAATAGTCCTTCTCCATATCCCGAATCTTCTATATCGTCTTCCGCCGTTCTATCTTCTTGCGCCTCTACTTCAATGGTATCTTCTTCTTCAATCCTAGCCATTTTCGCTGGCCTGGGTATTGTAGGTATTTCTTTGCCCAGAGCTGACAAAGCTCCATCCGCGTAAATGATTCCTATCGTGACCTGAGGAAATGCAGCATCAGGTTCAATTTCGGGATCGTCCACATCAATTCCAGTGGCTTGATCACGCTTCCTCTTGACCCTCGGACTTTCTGGTGGGAAGAACTTTGTTTTGCTTATTCTGTGGCGTAGACCGACTGATTTGAAATTGTTTAGAGCTCCTTGGCCAAATCTTTCCACGCGATGATTCCAGAAATCGTCGTTGAAAAATTGCTTTATGAACTGGAGGCAGTCAGAGGTAATATCGACCAGATTGTTATTGGGTAGAGCTTACTTTCATAGGTACTGCGTATCTGGTGTCGAAGGGGATGCCATACTTTGCCGCGCTTGCTTTGATCCACCATTCATCGGAATGATGTGCTCCGGGCCATGCACGTGCAGCCATACCGAATGGTAGAGTGGGTAGTTGCACGTTGACTTCCAAAGGCGTTATTATGTTACCTTTGCTTATAGTAGCTTCGCCTTCAAATCCTTCTTCTGCTATCCTGTGATCGTTCACGAATGGAGTAACGAACTCGCTTCGCACGTTGAAGAACCAAGCGTGGCTCATCTCATGCAGGATGACGAGTGCTAAGTGAAATTGCAAACGCAGATGAGCATCCTCGCTTGAGGCTGCTGGGTTGTATTTTGTTGGCTAAACAAGGTCAGCAAACATGTCGTTCGATGCAATTTGATAGACATACATCGTATGCCGTCCCTCCTGTAAGTATGTATCGGTATCTAGACTCGAGTTCAATGGTGCAAGGGTGACTAATTAGCGCAATCAGCACTACTTCCTCAAGCTAGAAGAAAGGTTCCACATCCTTACCTTTCAGGGGTTCCTCTGAATCCCGTCTTATCCTCAATCGAATGTGTAATCGCATACGTACGCTCATGCGAGAGAGGAGCCCACCGGAATTTGATGAAATCGCGTAATTGCGTCGCTTCCCATTTTGTTTCGAGCCTGTCCAGGTGTGTAGATCTGCCTGTATAGCAAATTCGATGGGGAATATTTTCATCGTCCAACATCTTATTCGCCGGACCAGTGTGTAATGGTTGTCCTAAAGCATACCAAAGATCCATGACACTTTCCATCTCCATCACCTTTGTTACTATCCGTAAGGTAGGCTTTAGACATTCGTAATCTCGATCGTCTGTCTCCAAAAAGTTGGTTCTTTGGAAGCATGGATGAATGCCATCGTTATTGCCGATGACCTTTGCCTTGGCATGTCTATTCGTATTTGCTGTCAAGGCTGTCTGTGTATCGACTTTGAATTGAGGCGAGACAGGCAGGCCATCCGATGTTTCCGAGTTGACACAGCCCAATGCCATGAGTTCGTCCGGTGCTAAGAAAGATATCCATTAACATGACCATTGCTGACAAGGTAATGAGTATGAAGAATCAACAACTGACTTATGAAATGCAGGAAGGCATTATCTCCCATCCAAGGCAAAGTATCATCATACTCGGGAGTCATCTCTCCTAACAATGGAATGTAAGCACGAACCCTCAATCCAGGATATGGATTCTTTCCCAAGGCAAATACAGCCGGTGACACTGAGTGACCGTTCAATCGTCTATAAATTTGCTTTGCCGAGGTCGCATCCTTTGGGTCAAGTTGTGTGCCATCTCGAACATACAGATCTGGTTCACGGTCCCACTCTTTACGTAAATTTTCGGGGACATCTTCCGGATCAAAGGTGGAAGGGTCAAATGGAGGCAATTGCAGCGTTACTGTATAACAGTTTGATGAAGTTTCATCGACCTTCATGGGAGAGTCGTTCCGAAAGTCGGCCATCTGATGCGAATACTCCAGAGGGCCTGTTTCGTGGAGGAAACTTCAATGCTGACATAAACTGTAGTGATCCGATAGCAAGACTGGACATCAAGGCCGAGTTGAAGTTTACATGATATGGCATTGTGACTGACATTCCCAGACTGGCTTTTTTTCAACAGCTCTTTGTTCTCCGGATTCGAGGGCCTGAATTATTTCCATAGTTTATCCGCTTCGGGTCGAGAGACAAACCCAGGATCCATGTTCGAAAGGACTAGCACGTTTGCTCACTCTCATCTTATGAACTGCTGAATGTTCCTATCCAATCAACATTAGAGGACTACATTGTGCGAATTTGTGTCGATCGATGATACATATCTCGCCAGACCCATCTGTTCGACTCCTTATACGATTGATATAAGTTGTCCCTCAGTCTCTGTTCCCTCTTCCTATCATTCTTCTCTCCCCTCCCTTGTGTCTTCCAACTTGGTCTTCCTCTCCTGCATCTATATCCTCCCAAACATTCTAAGCTTCTTCCGAGCCCGATGATGAACTAGAACTATCAGACTCTCCATCCGCCGTATTTCTCGATCCAACTATCGCCACTTTCTTCGGCACACCAAAAATCAACGCTTTCATCCTGTTCCCTTTATTCTCTCCCTCAATCTTTTCCTCTGCAAAAGTAAAAGCCTCGTGTCTGTAGACAATCGCTGGTTCCATCAGGTTTGGTAGAAACTCGCCTACATTGTGATCATCGTGCTTGTCTACAGTCGGGCTTTCGGATGAATCAAAGTTATTGCGACTACTGCTGAAGAGCAGCCGGACACCTACCACTGCGAAGTTTGACAGCGGTATCGTCTCATATCTCATTTCTCGGCCTTCCCAGAACTCGTCGCAGAAGAACTGACGGACATACTACATGAGCACCATCAGCATTTTCAAGTTTTCATCAAGTTTGGTGATTATCCTACCTCCATGGAGACCATGTATTCGGTCTCATGTTTCACACCGTCTTTTGCAAAACTCTTCTTGATCAGATGCGTGTAAACATCTCTGGCGGCTCCTGGCCATCTTCCTGCTGATATACCGAAAGGTGATGAAAATATGACTTGGTTGGCCATTAGACAGCGTAGGTTCACGTTCGCGTTTATCATGGCTTCTATTACATGTCCTTCTTCTGCAATTCTTTCATCATTGCAGAAGGCGTCGATTTTGGTATCTATACTTGCAGTGTTGAAATCTGACGTTTAGATACGGTTAGCATGACTCTGTGAAAGTATAACCTATCGCTATGCTACTATCGTATGTGTCTACTCGAGTAGAATTTCAAAAAATGGTTAATACTTACAAAAAGCATGCGCGAGCTCGTGTAAGATGGTGTTCGCGGCCAGTAGTTGTATTCGCAAAAATGCAGACTCGTCTTCGGCTTCTGGATTACAGAGGCTAGCGAGCATCTCTTTGCCATCTGTAAGAAGATATCGCCATTCGTCGTCAAGTTTGATTTTGCATGCTCGGCTTTTGTTCTAATATTAGTAACCAATATTCACCACTCAAATAGTCTTGCGACGACATCGACTTACGAGACACCGTTCGGTCTGAGTCCTGACGTTTTTAATGGACTCGTTATCGCAGAAGCCCCTGAATCGTCGCCGCTCATCCATGTAAAATACATAAATTTCGCCATTTTGATCGTTTCAAGGGCTGTCTCAGCTCTATCCATGTGCGTTGATCTTCCAGTATAATATACCCAAACATCGCGTGGGAACATTTTCGTTCCGGGTTTCTTGTGCAACTTTGAGCCAAGTGCATGTAGCATATCCAGCACACTCGATGTTTCCAGCATCATTGAGACAATCCTTAGAGTCGGTTTGAGGTGTTCGTACTCCCAGTCTGACGTGTTGCGGAACTGGCGTCGTCGCAAAAGGGGATGAATGTTCTTCTCACTGCCAGGAGACACCGACACATTCCTATCTTTGCTCGCCTTTGCCGCTGCCGCATAATCGATCCTAAATTGAGGTGATATAGGCGATGTATCACTCGTATCGATATTGATACAACCCAGATCTAGCAATTTCTTGGGCGTAATAAGTTTGAGGATGTAGCTCCTATCTCCCATCCAAGGTTTATTGTAATCGTATTCGGGCGTCAATCGGTTCGACGCGTACCTGCGCTGCTTGAGCACTGGGTAGGCATGCTTGCCCAATTTGAAAACCGAGGGAGAAACTTGTATAGGTACGAGTCGCCTACAATACTCACGAGCAGTAGTGGCGGTTGATGGATCGGGCCAAGGTTGGCCGAACACTACGAGATCGGGATCTTGTGTCCAATCGTCAAAGGTCTTTTTGGGTATGGTTCTGGGATCGAAAGTAGAGGCTTTGAATCGACTGGTGTTGTACGCTGGTGGGCTGTATTGACCAACTGGAGGAGTAGAGGATGACATCCTGTTCAAGTCGTAACAAATGACTTGATTGCAGGAAATGTTGGAAGCCGAGGCAATGAGGCGAACTCAGACCACAGTGGATAGAACATGGCTTCCTGCTCGAAGCTCCTGCCGGCAATATTTTGTTCTACAGATCGGAGTGTCCAAACAAAGGAACTGCTTGTCATGTCCGTTTCGAGATTGAGGACTCGAAGCTACGAGATCTTTGTTCGCTGCGTTCGGCCCATCTCGTCCTACTACATCCAGACAACCAATAAAACAAGGATGTTGAACATCGACGTGAAAGAAGGGAAATACGAAAGAGGGTGTGGAAACTCACCGGTTGTCCTCCTTCATGCATATTTCAACATAGCGGTTTATCTTCCACATATTGCGATGCATGCACAATTCCCCGCACAAAAAGCAAGCGTCTCAGCGGAAGCTTCGGAGCCTCAACCTCAACCAAAATTCAGCAAAGATGTCTTTGCCTTCTTGGTGGTCAATCACAACCAACAAAATGGCAAAAGGAAGGTGCTCTCCATCGGGGAATCGAACCCCGGTCTCCCGCGCTTGACAAGAGGAAACTCTCATGACAAGCGGAAATCATGACCACTAGACCAATGAAGATGAGCCAGCTTTGCTGGTATTGGTGTATGCAGCATTTTTCGACAACACTGTATATGTCTTTTGCCACATTGTCAACGTGGACGAGGTCTGCGCAATGTGTGGACACGTTTGAGTGACAATCGTGTCGTCGCATGTCCATCTAGAGAAGCAGACTGCTTGGACTAAGCAATCGTGAATCCTTTCGTGAAGCTGTGAGAGTCTCAATACCGGGTCTGATGGTCAAATCGATGGAGAATGTGTCGCCGCTTGTTGGTTTCAGCGACGTGGCAGGCCTGGAATGCGACGAATGCGGACTGGAAAACCCAGGAGATGAAGATCCTGCTCAGTCATCTGGCCGCGCCGAAAGCAGAAGTCCTTCTGTGTTGTGCATATTGCATGTATTTTGAAGAGACAAGAAAAGGTTGGACATGGTTGTCAGAGATGAGAAGCAAAGGGATGTCCAGGCAAGCTGGAAACGGAGGGATTTCAAATCTTGCCAAGTTCCTTTGGCGAAACTGGTCACCCTGTTCTGAACTAGATCCACCTCTCAACTACGACGACATGATCGAAGTCCTACTTTGTCGAGAAACAATAAGAGCTAGATCCGTTTTCTTCTGCATGCCGCTTGAATTAAAGGCATGGTACACGTGTTGGTGTAGATAGCACTCAGAACACAAGAGGTCAGAACACTGTGCTAGTAACACGTGTGTTTCAGCTGGGAATGTTCCTCGTAGTCGACAAACTCTCCAACATATCTGGTGAGCACTGTGACGGGCTTGAATACTCTACAGCACAGCCTTGCACGTGTCTCTTGCCTAACAAGCTCCCAATTCCGCCATCCAAGTCGATGCCACTCACTCTGCCATCGCTCGTCCTAAATCCAGGATTATGTAATATCATATAGATCTTGACAGAGCAAAAATGACATATCGGCGCTTTGGCTGAGTGGTTATAGCGATAGACTAGAAATCTATTTCCTTCGGGAGCAAGAGTTCGAATCTCTTAGGCGTCGTGCACAGTCTCTTTTTGGTCGTTTTCCGCATGGTAAAGTCTTGCCTTTTTGCTTGCAGTAGCGTGGAGAAAAGGGATGGGCTGTGAAGCGTTAGATTGTAGAAAAATAAGTGGCTGATGCATAATTTTGTGTCAATCGTTTCGTGCGAGGCTTAGCAAACAGCAATAAATGATCGATCTCGAGGAACAAGAGCATTGAGGAACAATCTGTTAGGCACATCTTTCTGCGATCTCGAAACAACCGTCGTCCACGGGAGGTTTCCAAGCAGTTAAGAGCAACTGTGCAGAAAGTGCTCCGGCTGCACGAGATATAGAAGTCGATCGCTGTTGGCTTTATGAAAGTTATGTTGAATGTTCTGTTTGTGCACAAGCATCCACCTTAATCACAGTACGGAGGAACTTAATTCGTTCGAACAAGAGATAGACATTTTGAATATAAATGACAAAAGAAAGACACTTTCCAGGTCCTGTAAGATAGAGTATGGAGTGTCGTTTTGATTCGTATGTATTGCGCAGAGTCCCAAATCAGACGTCCGCATTCGCGTTGATCGTCTTCTTGTCTTTGGCGTCTATGACCGACTTGGATCGCTGCTCTTTGCCAATCGGTGTTCGCCTCTGCTGCTATAGTGAGGGCGGAGCGTTCGGACGATGTGAGGGCATTGTCGATGGTGGAGACGTGTAGCTCGGCGTATTTTGGCAAGAGTGTGTTAGTGAAGTCGATTCGCTTGACGACGGTGCCTTTAACTGGCGTCGAGAGAACGTCTACGTCTACCGAAAAGAAGACGTTGTTGCTGTATGTTGACGAATTCTGGAAGGACACTCGTCAATGAATAGGACTGCGATGACAAGTTGCAACTAGTTCTAGAATGCAGTTGCCTTGAATGCCCGACTGCTGCCTCCGTGATGTGTTTCCCACTGCCAGTTGTGCAACAATGTAGAAGGTCCCCAAATCGTACGGAAGCTACTTTCGAAGTGCGCATTCTGTGTGAATCCCAAGTCCTTTTTACAGGTACTTTACCAGAGGTGACTCTTTAGAATTGATATCTGCCCGGAGAATGTCGACATCTCCTACTTACCTCAAGTCGCTGGAGTTGATGCAACGATGCATAGCTAAAAAGCAAAGAAATCGACGGTAACCTTCTGCTTAGATACTATTCATGGTCCCGGGTAATATAGCCATGACGCCGCCGGCATAGGATGAGGCTCCGGATTCATGAACGATAGGAAAGGCTTCAGCCAACACTACCATCCGAATGGACAAGACAACGCCGTCTCTTCACAGCAGCTCGTGAGAAACGGCGCAAGACGTGAAAGAGTCAAGATGCAGGGCATGTCGTTGCTGCTGATGTCAATGCCAAGTCTGTAAACAAGGTTCCTATCAGGGGTCAGTGCCACATGTTTCAGGATGCTTATCTCAGATTACAAAGCTCGTCAAGGCAACTCGACATCTCAAGGAGACGAAGGGGCTTGAAGATGCTTCAACAAACAAAGAGCGAGCCTTGAAGTTCATGATGACTTTGCAAGACTTCGAACGCTCGGGACTGCAATCGCATGTCACTCGCCGGAAGATCAAGTCGTTCGTCAGCCGGCATGCTGCCAGAGAGTCGTCACAATGGGCTGTGAGCGATCAGGATTCCCCTGAACGACAGGCTTGTCTGGCCAAGTAGGCAACTTATTAACCGCTGATGCTCCCGACTTTCCTCAGTAGCGAATCTCTTTGAACGAGACCATGACACTGGTCGCTCCTGCTACACCTGAGTAGGTCGGAAGCGGTCCGCCCTTTGCGCAGGTACGCGCCAGGTACCGATGTCGCTCAAAAACCGATGAGCTTGGCTCCAGAGCGGTGGACGAGGTAGTCCAAGTCAACCATGCGTGCCCTTGGAAGCCATCGGCACTCCCTTCGACCGAGTCAACGATCAGTCCTCATGACCTGCATCAACTTCGAGTCCATTCAAAGTCGCTTCTGAATATTGCAACAACATCATCGATTGACGTCGTAAAGACGAGAAGAGTTCAAGAGTCGGAGACACATCGGTCAACAACTCAGCCGTACTGAACCGCCGCTCGAGATGCGACGCGCACCATCTGTGCGGTCGTGCTCCGGCAAGAGCAACAGAGCCGTCGAGACTCGATGCACATGTTTCGCCTCTTTGCAATGCGCTGCACTATTCATGCCGTTCATGGAAGTCGAGTTTCCGAAGATGGGTGCAAGCATGTGTTGGCTGCGATCTCGGGTGGCTCGGCCATGCTACCTCCTATCACCGCAATACAAGCCAAAGTTTGGCCGCGGTGGATGCACTTTACACAAGGAGAGGGACTCAACTTCCTCCTTTTGACAACTTCTCCAGCGATGTTGATCCTAGGAAATTAGGCAGCGCGTTGATAACCCGTATTGCCCGCCGACGAGTTAACTCCTAGCTGCAGTTTAGTGTTAAGCTTGAAGCTTCACGCGCCCCTCACAATCTTGGAAGTCGTTTGAAGCTGCTACGTAACACCTATTTGCCTGCTTGAAATCCTGGAGGAGCTTCTCATACGGCGTGCGACAGGTAGGTATGACACGGGTGGCACTTTGGCAGGTCTGAGCTGTTGTGTCTCCGAGGACTTCGGCCATTCTCGTATTGAGAGGCAATACATCAAACAACTCTATGGTAGCCGAGTCCTGCTCCCCGACGCCTGCCAGGGCTCGATTCAACAGACATGTTTGTCGCCTCTTCCACGTCTGAGCCCTGATGGAATATGAAGGTCCATCTTGCCTTTCATCAATCCACCCAACAATCTGATTGAATAAATTAATATCCTAGCCAAACACGTGAGGCGCAATTAACATTACGGTTCCGATGCTTAGCTACAGCCAGCCGCACAGCCAACCGGTTCGGCAAGAAAATTTGGCGGTCAATGGCTTTTCCAGGGTCCCCACATCTCGGTCAAACACCATCGTGAATACCATCGCCCTGCTAGAATTTGTCCCTTATGCAGCAGCAACAACACGACTTATATTGATATGCTTACCCAGTTGATGTGGAGAACCAATTCAGATGATCCGCCTTCCTTTCACTAGTGAAGAACAAGACCCCATACCCCAGCCATTCTGATGTGTCAACGCCGGGGACGACTTTGCCTTGAAAGGTAAAGGACATGAATCGTTCTCAAATGACGAACGCCAAGATATCCAATGGAAGAATTTCAAACCACGCCGCCGTCACGCGATGCCTTCCGACGTGCTTGATCCACAGAATGCTTGTCTCATTCGGTCTTGTATTGGTCAAGCACTTCTCAACGTATGTGATGATTGGCCGTTCTCCATCGCATCCTCCCCGCTTGGCGATCCACACTGTCAGTTACTAGTTGGATAACGACGTCGTCGTATTGTCGCATAGGCGAAAAAAAGGTCCTACCTTGCCATCCGCCGCATAAGAACTCCGTGGCACCCCGTCTCGACCAATCTTCCTTTCTTCCTTTGCTTACCAGCTCTACCTCTATTACAACTACCCTCGAGAGTATCTTGGAAATAATCAACAAAGAACTCATCTCAACAACATCCAAGCCTCGTCCACTGTTGCTACGTGGTGACACGCTTCATCCTCGCATCTGTACGACTCACACACTACGACTCATACCCAAGCAACTCTGAGAATCATCTCCCGAGCAACTCGAACAACATTTTTCCTCGCAACATCGCCATTGACTCGAAATTTCGAACTCCCCAGCGACGACTTACTCACCTTCAAGCTTAAAACATATCCCTTGCGCCATCACATCTCGAAGTGAAACCCCTACGCAGCGACTGCCCGTGCATTGCTAGCAATTAACTTCAAAGAATATTTGAGTGCCTAAGCGACTTTGTACGACAAGACCGACACACCCTCGCAACTCTACCCCAGCAGCACTTGTAACACACCCAAGCAACAATCTTCGTAACGAATATGGATTACCTCAAACGTACCTTCATGGGCAAGGACGAGAGAGACTTCCACCATGCCGTCGTCCCGCTTCCTTCCGAACGTCGCCAATCAAATCAAATAAAGGCTGAAGATAACCAAACTGATGTCAAGTCTGATGATTCCACAAGCTCCCTTGGTGAGAAGTCATCGCAGAGCCAAACATTAGGAAAATCAGCAACCACTCTCGAGTCACTAAGAGCTGAGGTTGACTCCGATGTCGCTGTGGAAGGACACAACACTGCTTACGATCGTACGTATAATCTTGGTGTTGGGGAATCTACAGCGCTTTTGGCGTTCTGGGCGATGCTTTTCTCCACGCTTCCCACGAATGTCAGATTTGCTAACACTTGGCAGGCAAATCAAAAGTCATCAACAAGGCTATTCAAGATATGGGCATGGGCTCATACCAGTGGAAGCTCTTTACACTCTGTGGTTTTGGTTGGATGGCCGACAACCTCTGGCTTCAAGGCGTTGCCTTAACTCTCGACCCCATTGCCGCTGAATTCGGCGTCGACAGCAACCGTGTACGCTACACTACCCTTGCTCTCTTCACAGGTCTCTGCATTGGTGCTAGTTTCTGGGGTATCATCTCGGACATTATCGGCCGTCGTTACGCCTTCAACATGACACTCTTCCTTGCTGGTTCTTTCGGTCTCGCAGCTGGTGGTGCTAACAGCTGGATTGCTGTTTGTGCTCTCTACGCCTGTATTGGACTCGGTGTAGGTGGTAACCTTCCTGTCGACGGTGCCTTGTTTCTCGAGTTTCTTCCCGGCGAGTCCAACTACCTTCTCACCCTCCTCTCTATCTGGTGGCCCGTTGGTCAACTCATCTCCTCTCTTCTGGCGTGGGCTTACATCCCCAACTTCTCTTGCGCCGCTGATGCTGCAGTCTGCACCAAGGCAGACAATTGGGGCTGGCGTTATTTCATCCTGACTCTGGGCGCCATCACCTTCCTGATGTTCATCTTCAGATTCTTCCTCTTCGATCTCTTCGAGTCGCCCAAGTTCTTGCTCTCTCGAGGTCGTCAGGCTGAAGCTGTTCGTGTTGTTCAGGGAATTGCTGCTGCCAACAAGACTACCACCTGGTTGACCGAGGACATCCTGAACCAGATTGGCGGTGACCCTGATGTGACTGAGGACCATAAGCTTAGTACTCTGGATATCGTCAAGCGTGCCGCTGGCAAGTTCTCTACTCAGCGTATCGGTCCTCTTTTCCACGGCTGGAAGCTTGCCTCCACCACCGTCCTCATCTGGTTCGCCTGGACTACCATTGGTATGGGATACCCTCTGTTCAACGCTTTCCTGCCTCAGTACCTTGCCAACAACGGCGGCGGTGGTTCCAACTCTGTCTCGACTACCTACCGTAACTACGCAATCACCTCGATCGTCGGCGTTCCTGGATCTTTCCTTGGCTGCTACACCGTCAACCTCAAGTACATTGGTCGTAAAGGCACCATGGCGGGTGCGACGGCCATCTCTGGCATGTTCTTGTTCCTCTTTACTACAAGCACCAACTCCGGTACTCAACTCGCTTTCTCATCCCTCGAGGCCTTTTTCCAAAACATCATGTATGGTGTATTGTACGCCTACACAGTAAGTTCCGCCCAGTCGAACAAGCACTTGAGAGTCATAGACTAACACAACACAGCCCGAGGTCTTCCCCGCCCCCAACCGTGGCACAGGTACTGGTATCTCGAGTTTCTTCAACCGTCTCGCTGGTCTCTGCGCCCCCATCGTGGCAGTCAATGCAGCCAGTGCCAACCCCAACGCTCCCATTTACGCATCAGGTGGTCTCTTCTTTGCGGCATTTGTCGCAATTTGCTTGCTCCCAATTGAGACGAGAGGCAAGCAGACGCTGTAAAAAGTCTGGGTTCCATTAGTTGTCGGAACGAGTTCCATGGCAACCCTTTCACGAAGGCCCTGGTGGCCAATCATGGCATATATACCCCCCCATTGCTATTAAACAAATTCAAGTTACATTTTTAAGCACAAAATTCATGTCGGCCAATCCGTTTCACGAATGCGTTGTTGATTGCTGCTCTTGATTGAGTAGGAGCGAAGCATTAGAAGGATAGCGGACTTCTTTCCGCCGTGTGCCTTCCTCAACCCCACCACCTCGCGGGGCATTCGTCGACATGTGAAGATTGTCTGTTTTTCAGATCATGGAAGCAATCAAGTATCTGGTGAAGGATGCGAATCACCTCCTTAATTAGCATCCTCTCAGATACGTGTATCACGCCGTCTCTGCTTCTTGTGAAGATGCAACTCCTTAAAAATCGCCTACCTCCTCCCTCATAACGTTGCCAACCGCTTCATCATCACTTCTTCTTCCATTGGACCCACTTCATTGAGTCTGCTGCACTGGATCTACTTCATTGGACTTCTTTCATCCACTCAACTTCCCTCATTAAACAACTGCGCCCCTTCACTAATTCTTGAATCTTGAATCTTCTTCAATCGCGCTTCTTCATTTATCCTCCCCCAATTCCTCCGACTCAACCTCCTTCATCATTACAACTTCTTCATCAACAAACCTCGTTCCTCGTTACAACTTCTTCTTTCATCACAACAAACTCGCCCAACATCACAAGCCTCATCACGAACAAGATCTTCACCATGATGGACGCACCATGGTGGAAGGACGCTGTCGTCTACCAAATCTACCCTGCCAGTTTCAAGGACAGCAACAATGATGGCTTGGGCGATATCCAAGGCATCATCTCCAAGCTCGACTATCTCCAAGCTCTCGGAGTCAACACCATGTGGGTGTGCCCGATGTATGCTTCACCTCAGATCGACATGGGCTACGACATCAGCGACTACAAGGATGTGTATCCTCCTTACGGCACCGTTGCCGACATGGAAGATCTCCTCCATCAAGCCCACTCTCGCGGCATGAAGGTCCTCTTGGACCTGGTCATCAATCACACAAGTGATCAACATGCTTGGTTCAAGGAGTCCAGATCCAGCAAGACCGATCCCAAGCGTGACTGGTACATCTGGAAGCCTGCAAAGATCGACAAGCACGGCAATCGTCAAGCACCCAACAACTGGCGTGCAAACTTCGGTGGTAGCGTCTGGGAGTGGGATGAGCTCACTCAAGAGTACTACCTTCATCTCTTCGCCACCGAACAACCCGACCTCAACTGGGAAAACGACGCCACTAGACAAGCCGTCTACAAGGACGCAATGATCTTTTGGCTCGATAAAGGTGTTGATGGCTTCAGAATCGACACGGTCAATATGTACAGCAAGCCTTCTCACTATCCGGATGCTGAGATCACAGACTCGGATGCCTTCTTGCAAGAAGCTGCCCTAGTCTACGTGAACGGTCCGCGCATGGACGAGTATCTTATGGAGATGAACGAGATCTTGAAACGCTACAACGCCGTCAGCATCGGAGAGTGCCCGCAGACACCTGACATGGAGAGAGTGCGAAGATATGTCAGTGCGCAGGAGAAGCAACTGGACATGGTAAGTCTATCATCCTAGACCCCTTTTTTTCGGATCCTCACGAGTGCCACAGGTCTTCCAATTCGACATCAGCGATGTCGGCATTGACAAAGTCCACAAGTTCCGAAGCAAACCCCACAACCACAAGCTCACCGACATGAAGTCTGCCATCGCCCGCACTCAGAGTCTCATCTCACCCACCTCGGACAGCTGGACAACCGCTTTCATGGAGAACCATGACCAAGGACGCAGTATCTCTCGCTTCGGCAACGACACCACTCCTGAACTCTCTATCCGATCTGGTAAGATGTTGGCTTTGTTCAACACATGCCTCAGTGGCACACTGTTCATCTACCAAGGACAAGAGCTGGGCTGCGTCAACTTGCCCATGAGCTACCCCATCGAAGACTATCAGGATCTGGACAGTCTGAACTACTACAACTTGGTCAAGGAGCGCAGCCATGGCGACAAGGAGCAGCTGGCCAAGGCCATGTCGGCCATACAGTACTTGGCTCGCGATCACGCCAGAACTCCCATGCAGTGGGAGCCTACCCTGCCCCACGGTGGCTTCACCGGAGAGGGAGTCAAGCCTTGGATGAAGCTCAATCCTTTCACCACGACCATCAACGCCGAGCAGCAGATTGATGATCCTCACTCAGTCATGAGTTTCTGGAAGAAGATATTGCAGCTGCGCCAGAAGCACAAGGAGTTGTTCGTGCATGGAGTGTTCGAGCTCGTCGATGTGGACAACGAGAACGTCTTCTCCTTCCTCAAGCACTCGAAGAACGAGAAGGCACTGGTTGTCTGCAACTTCTCGGATGGCGAGAGCAAGCTTCCATTCTTCGGCTCTGGAGACTTGTTGATAAGCAATGTCGATGACTCAAAGGAAGACACGCTGGAGGCTTGGGAAGGTCGCGTCTACCTTTTCAATTAAGGCATGGTCGTTGACCTTTGACCTGGGAGAAACAACTTGACTTTTGCATTTGGCAGATTGCATTTTGCGACAATTGCGGCCTCTTTTGGTCGCAGACTTCTTGCACTCTGGAAGCGATATTGAACTATTCTCTGGCAGAATAGATTGAGGGCTATTTTGAGCCATGTTTGACAACTCCACTCCATACTTTTGAATTGAAAATAATCTCTGCTCTTGCATTCGTTCCGCTTACTCTTCTTCTCCTCCTCACTGTTTTTCATTCGATCCTAGCTCTGGCTTTCATATTGTAGCATCAGCTATTTGAGATGCTGATGGCCACTTAATAGCCTTCAAGCCCAGAGAGATTGATCATTTGCCCCCGGCTCAGCTACTCGGTCGTTACGTCGTTTGAAAAACGAAACATCAGGAATAGCTACGATGAAAAGCGCGACGCGGCAGTGTGACACATCCGGACTTCGGCATGACCGCGAGTGCCTGTCACAAGACGTCACAAAGTCGGCTCAGACACGCGCTTGTTGTAAGGAACCAAAGAAACAGAGCAAGAACGAACTAAAAATCCGAACGAAGCGTTTTCGCGGGATCCAAATGCTCTTTCCGAGTCCGTGTCAGAAGGACTGCCGATCTCTGATGTTCTGAATTGAGCAACAAGCAAGAGCGCTCATGAACTGGCAGCAAGAACGACTGGTTCTTCAAGTCGAATGTATAGATTTCTACAATATGGCAGTAATCAAGTCGTCGAAAGCCTCAGCCGGATTAGCAATCGTCAAGAACACATATTCGTTCGGTGGGAACTTGGCAGTAGCGAACTGGCATACTGACAGTGCCAAGTGAGCCGTATATTGCCGGAGTCAATTTGGTAATGGCAATAATCTCCGAACGATGCTTGATGCTTGATGGTGAGGCAGGTGTCACAGAGCCGCTGTCGACGAATCTGTGATGTCGAGGCGACTGAAGAGGTTTGGAAAGCCCGAGCGAAAGTAGCGATGCTAGATTGATGTATTTGTTGCCCTTTTGTCAGCGCCATCGATAGCTGTGGTCATATCTCGATGAGTCATTTGCGATCAAGATCACATCGACATCGCGTTCTTCGCAAGATAGCATGCTGTAGATGGCATTGAGAGGCTTGCAGCAGAGAGTTGCTGATTCGTGTTTCCTCGAAACAGTATTGTTTTGCCACATCTGAGACCGAAGATTAATTGCCTCTTACTAGATCTCCGCAGATGTGATTCTCCAGCGAGGTGATGCTGTTCTCAAAGGGATCCTCGACTCCGTATTTCTCCAGGTCATCCCTCGTTGTTGTGAGTATTCTGTGAGGGAAAGCCGTCCATTCGTTGTAGGGTGCTACCCGATTTTTCTTGTCTCGTACTTCTCGTTCAATGAGCACCCATAGGATATCGTCCAATTCTGCCAAAGTATGTCCGGTAGATTGCTCTTCGTCCTCGTCTTCGTCGGGTTCGTTGACTTCTTCGAAATATCTGACCAGTGCCACCGCGACATTCATAGCATCCTGACTTGCTGCATGACGGCCAACCAGACGCCGCAGATCAGGCAGCAGTTGCACAATGAGTGGTGTACAGTTGGCTGGTCTAACACCATGATACCCGAACTCCCTTTTTCTCATAATCGTAGTCCTGTAGCGAATGTCCATCATCAACTCGCTATAGAGACAACGAGCTTCGCGCGAATAGAGACGTGGCAAGTTTCGTTGCTCCAAGATGGACTCGAGCTCCAGAATGCTCTCCGGAAACCAACCGTTTAGACCATACGACGAGAGGCGATAGCTCGTCTGCGTCAGGTCCTCGAGTGTCGATTCGACCCAATCGTTATCGCGAGAACGTTGCCACGACCTTCGATGACTAACAGAAGTACATGACATACGCGACCACTCTCTCTCTTTCTCCGCAAGCGTAGCCTAATATGGTTAGCTTAAGTAAGGACTAGAGAGGTTCTATCACAAACCGAACGCGGAGGCATTGGATCCATGACTAGGCGCCGGATCAGCCACCACAGTGCATCGTCAAGCTCTCCATAATGTTCTTCGCTTTCGCCGTTCCTGCAATCCTCGTTATAGTCTCCCAAGCTACCGTAGGCAGTGTCGGAGACGCGGAGCATGAGCAAGAATGCATGGAACAAGCCATAACGTCCCTCCATGTAACTTATATCAAGGATGGTGGGGATATACCTGACGGCGTTGACGGCGTAATCCTCAGGCCCGAATGAATGCTTGCGCCTTTTCCCGTTTGAGCCATTGAACTTGGCGATGTCTTTGTCAATGTCTCGGATTGTTTGGCGATAGAGTAACTTCATCTCGGGTGGAGGCGAGACTGCTCGCGCGCCCTCTTCTGGCATTCGTGGGATTTCCTCAACGATCGCAGCACGACCGAGCGCCGATCTCATGTGTTCAATACATCGAGAGAACCAACCGTGAAGGCCAAACCTGAGCAGGAAGTTTCTTCGTTCCTCGAGTTTTGTAAGGATAGAAGACATCCAATGAGTATCATTGTCACGTTCCCTTTGAAGCTTGATGAGCAAAAGCATGTCCACGTCCAGTTCCATGAATGGTACAGCACTACCACCACGTCCAGGATTCTGGTAAGACAAAGCTGGCGAGAAGGCATGCTCAGCGATCTTTGTCAGCAGATCCCATGCAAGTCCGAGGTGTCCTTCCATGCTACTGATCTCGCGGACATGGGGGAGATATGCGATTGCGGTCCTAGCATAGTCGTCCGTGTCCGTCGTGCTATGAGGCTTGCTCGTCGCCACATTCAGCTCTTGAATGGATGATCTAAGTGCCTTGGCAGTGTCTTCGTAGATTTGGTATACTGACAATGGAGGTTCAGGCTGTTCGACGCGTGCTTTCTTCATGCGATCCTGTGATCCCGCGTCCTTGGTTGCATCATCGTCACTCTTGCGCTTTTGTGTCTCCATCTCTCGAGCCCGGCTACCGGCGCCAGGTCATTCCCCGCAAGACTTTGCCTGACTGGAAGGAAAGATGAACTACCGTCGCGTACTTGACGCGAAGAAGGAACTCGAGAAGCTTGGGCCACAACCCGATGACGTTCTTGATGCCTTTGACATTTCGAGCATTCGCTTCATCTGCATTATTGACTTTCGAAAGTTTGATTCTCTACTTCCTTCTCTACACATACAAAGTTACTATTTGGATCGGGAATCACCAATTGAACTCACTGGACAAACCTTGCTTCGAAATAAACGAAACACCAATCTACTCCAGGCTAACTTAGCTACTAAATACACCATCACCATGGACGACTGGCAAGACGCAGCATTCTCCTCCCGACACATGCACAATCGTGTAAACCGGAATGGCGGGAGAGGTGGTGGTAAAAGCAAAAGAAACACCTTCGATGTCCGCAAAACTTTCGGCAGCTACGAATGCAAATGCCCAGCATGGCATAGAATCACTAGCGAACGCGGCTCATCAGATCAACACGCTGTACTGGAGTTATACAGATTGACAGAGGATGGTCAAGGTGTAGTCGGAGAGCTTTCATTACCTGGTGTTTTGCAGGCTGCAGTGATCTTGGCTGCGAGTAGGAAGAGTCTACAGGGGATACTATCGGAATTGGAACCTGTCAAATCGCCGCAAGAAGACGAGAAGCCGTCGGAATCAGCAGATACCACAGACGACACCGGCGACTTGAATCAAGACGAGGATAGCGATGAGGAAGAGTCAGAACAAGAAGAAGAACCAGAACCCGATCGCTTCGAAACCTTTGAGAAGAATAGTTTCCGCGAGCCTAAATTCTGGCTGCAATGGAACGGTATGCTCTCGCCAACATCAACAGAATCAGAGAAAGCAGAATCGGGACTCGGCTACATCATCTTTCCGAGCAATGATTGTAAGAAATTCAAGGGGACACTGAATTGTGCTTCACTAGAGTGGAAGGATGTCGCTCTTTCTGGTTACAAGATTGCTCCAAGATCAGAATCGGATATACCGGTCGCCTGGGGTCCGGATGGCGTCTCAGTATGAAGATATCATACAGCGTCGTGGCTGGCTTAGGATCTGATGAGTAGTCAGCCGCTGCCTCTTGCTTCAATATTGCTTTGACGACGGGTACGAGAACAGCATTGAATGCCTGAATTACCACCTTACTGATCCAATCGTAATTCTACCAAAACCATTGACTACGAAGAATCAATATGTGTTTCGCTGGTGCCTCGAGCGAAGGATTCGGCTTACCCCTCCCCCCTCCGAGTTGTTCTGAGCCGCCTTGTATATCTTGAGCACTACTTCGCCTTCGATTTTCCTTTCGCTTTGCTATTACGAGTCCACTCACTATTTGGTATGAGATATTCGGAACTCCGATTTCACTCAACCATGTGGGCTTTACTCAGCTTCTTGTTCTTTTTGAGTGCGCAAGCACGCCTTTGGGCAGAAGAGCATGGAGAGCAAAGCCTTTTCAGTGCTCCGATCAATGTCGAAACATCCAAAGATGTTTTACTGACAGTCAGTATCCGAAGCCCAGCCTAGCCAGTTCCAGTGTTCACACAAGACCCTGAACTGACGCTTGACAAGTTCGACGACATACCAATCTACCCCAACTCAACAACACCCCTCCACACCCACAACCTCCTAGATTTCAAAAACTTCCAACTCATCAACGTGACCTCGGCCGCCGCAGAAGGCTCAATCAGTCACAAAGACAAGAATTGCGCAACCTCACCCCCAAACGCCCTTCGCAATATCCATCAAACATACAAAACAGTTTCATCCTTTCGCTCCAATGAAACTTTTTGCACCGTCAATAATATATCAACCTACTTCGATCTTCAATCTTTGTATATCAAAACCTTTGGCTTCACGTCTAGAGGTACTGTGATTGATATCCTTGCTGCTGAAGTGGATGATCGGACTGTTGTGAGGATGCATAGTTTGTCTGTTGTTTATGTCAGGGATACTTGGTTCCAGGAACCGATATATCTTAGCTTTGGGTGGAAGTGGGCTCCGAGGTGGGGGAAGGGGGTTAATTATGTGGAGGTTTCTGCTAGTACGAGGGAGGGAGAGGCGGTGGGGTTTGCCATTGATGATTTGAGGGTTGGCGTGTATGATGTTGGGTATGAAGAAGAGCAGAGGATGCTGGAGCAGGAGATGGGACAAGTCGACGCAGGGCCACCGACTCAGTTCACAATGTACATTTGAAGATACGAACGCGGTCTGGCGAGAATTGTGTCTTTTGAATTCTAGAACAAAGTCGGTCAACGCAACAGAAAAGCAACGCTAGACATGATATACAAGCAAACACAGTAGCAGCGAAATTGAAAAACACCTCCCTGCTTTTTCTTTCCATTGTTTTCATCATCTTCAAGCTTCTGCCTTGAATATGCCATCGTGACTCTTGCGGTGCTTCTTCTTGATCTTTTGCTCGGCAGGCGTGTCGTCGTTCCAGAAGGCGTTGATGGTGGCTTCGGGCAAAGGTGGTTCAGCCATCTAAGCATCACCACCGACGCTCTTGCGGCCCTTCTTCTTCTCCTTCTTGTCCTTCTTTGCGCTGGCTGGGGGCTCGGCGGGGGTGGAAGCGGGAGGGGCGGCCTCTTCCTCCTTAGCCTTGCGACCGCGCTTCTTCTTGGGCTCTTCGGCGACGGTCTCGGCATCGGCCTTGCTCTTGCGCTTGTTGGCGCCGTTGACGGCGGTGAAGGCGCCCTTCTTGACGGGGCTGGAGGCTGGGAGTGGAGGGGATGATGCTGGAGGAGCGGCCTTCTCGACCTTCTTGCGACCACCCTTCATGGCGGACTTGGGAGTCTTGACTGGGGGAGGAGTGGGTTCCTTTGGTGGTGCCTCTTCCTCGTCTGAGCTGTCGTCGTCTGAGTCGTCCGAGTCTGCGCCAGCGGTAGCAGCTGCGGCGGGCTCATCGGCTTCGACATCGTCATCGTCTGCCTCGGGGCTTTCTGCAGCAACTGGTGCACCGTTGGCCTTGAAGTCTGCAAGCTCCTTGTTGTAGACTTCGCGCGAGGCCTGGTATGCGTCTTTGTATTTCTGGTCGTGGTGTCAGTGGTTGCGCGTTTACATGCGACTCGGGAGAACATACTTGCTTGACCTCCTCGGGAAGCTGATGCCATCTCTTGGTACCCTCTGACGAGATCTCGCCTCTCTTCTGCTCGGGACCAAGCTCGGTGTGGATCTTCTCACGGTTCTCGCCCAGCCACAACAGGTAGGCTGTCAAGGGGCGCTTGGGCTGGTTGGGGTCTCTAGGCTCGGCCTTCTTTCTCTGCTTCTTCTCTGGTGCTGCGGGAGGGCCACCACCAACAGTGACGAGTTCGCCGGATTGGATGAATGCGCCGAGGTCCATTTGGCTAGGGTCGAGGTCGACATTGCCGCCGAGGACAGCATTGGAGTGGTCAATGTATGCGCTAGTGGCATTCTTGAGGGCGTTTTGGAGAGTGATCCATGATGTGACGAGCTGTTGTCGCTGTCAGTTCGAGTCCTTGTTTTGTTTGGTCGCGACGCGCTTCGAATCGTCCGAAGACGCGTCTGTCTCAGTATGACACAATTGCGCCCAACATGCGACAAGTTCGGAATTGAGATGAACCGAGTCGCAAAGATGGGCGCATTGGAACTGCGACGTGACAGGGACAAAAAACATACCGCGTCACGAGTGCGAACGAACTCTGCTTTATCGATGGTGATTTGCTGGAGGTCAACCTCGGGCTTGGGCGCGACTTCGGGCTTGACAGATTTGGCGCGAGGCATGGTCGCGTTGATGTGTAGAATAATGTGGATGAATAAAAAAAAAGTTGGAAACCAAAAGTTGGGAGGGGGAAAAGAAGGAGGAAGAGTGGGAGGCTGGGATGGGATAGCGCGCGAACGAAAGACGATCAAGCGTGATTTTGCTTGGGGATTAACCGTTCATTCACCAGCATTGACCAACATTTGCTTAAACCCTGTGCCCTTCCAACCTTTTCCCACCCCTGTCCATTCTGACACTCTGTCACCCTGTTCATCTGAAAAAAACAAATGGTATCATTGAAACTTCGCCCTGAACGCCCATCGTTCTTCCAATATCTCACAAGTAATCGTAGAGATCGAGTCCCTCTTGAGACACTCCCTTTATACGTACTGAGGAGGTCCCTGTGGTGCTTTGTACTGCTGTGGAGGTGCTCCGTACGGCTGCATCGGAATCTGTTGAGATGACTGAGGGTTGTTGGCACTGTTGGGATCGTTCATCATTTGTTGTACGTCTGGTCGATGCCTAGAATTTATCAGTATCCAGTTTGTCGTTGGGTTGAGACAACATACATGACGTCTTGGTAAAAGTGACAGATGTGGCAACCAACTTCGTGATGTGGCTTTAGGGAGAATGGTATGAGAGGCTGTCAGGACGCGTTAGTACTGAAAGAAACCATGAACGTGCTCGATAAATACTTACGACAAAGCAGAAGGTGAACCACTCCCATCTCTTGTAAACTTTGGCTGTGAAGTTGCCGCAGTTCTGAGTAATGATTAGTTTGGATTCGTGTTTATTGTGGTGACCCTGCCACATACCTGGCATTGCGCTGTGATGTTCTCATGCCCGGCAAGCAGTGAGTTGAAGGTGTGTGTTCCGCAGGTGAAGATGAAGGCCATTTTGTGCTGATGTTATTTGCACGTATGATATGTGGATGAGAGAAGAGGTAGAGAGAACGTCGTCGTTGCTCGTGTTACATAGATGATTGCGGCGCGAGCCTGTTTCGTCGTCATCACATGCTTGCTGAGCCATTCTTGGAGGCCAAGCGCCGAGACTCATTTTGGAAATCCATTTGGGCAAGTTGCCAACATTTGGATATATCCCTCGGTTTGAACAATATACCAATACTCAGACAGAATGCACATGTATCTTCTTCCGCAGTATCTCTCCATGCCCCAGAGTCATGAAGCACCTGAATGGGTCGGCAAACATCGGCCGGTCAAACAAAAGACGCTTTGACTTTGACCAAAACGCGGCTTGCAGCGGTCTCACAAGGAGGCAGATCTTCTCCACAAGCCCACCAGCCACTGTCGGCCACCACAACTTTTTTTTGAGCTTGTCTCGTGCCATCATCGTATACATACAAAATGTCGGCCTCACTTCCTGGTAACCGCGCATTGCCGGCTTCGCAGTATAATCTCGACACATACTGGGGTCGTGTCAGACATGCTGCCGATTTGTCTGATCCGAGGTAAGGAATTGACATGTGCGCAAATGCACTTTCGTTATCTTTTGATCATTTCCATCATCACGTATTGCAATTCTTCTTGGACCATTTCTCAAGTCCATGCATTTACAAGAGAAACATATACAAATCTTATCGCATCACCATTCAAGCACAATTGACTGATCAATCTCATCAACAGAACATTGTTCACCTCTCCAGCTGGTCTTGAAAATGCAAAGGATCTGGTCACCTCCTACAAGCAGGGCAAGATCCAGTCTATGACTCCTGATCTGTGGAGCGCAAAGAAGGTCATTGATGCCACACTTCACCCTGGTATGATGAGAATGATCTAGATATCGAAGAAAACCACTAACATCATCAAGACACCGGCGAGAAGGTCCTCCTCCCCTTCCGCATGTCCGCCTACATCTTTTCAAACCTGGTCGTCACAGCAGGCATGCTCACACCCGGTCTAAGCACAACCGGCACTCTCGGCTGGCAAATCGCCAATCAGTCTCTCAATGTCGCCATCAACTCCTCCAACGCCAACAAGTCGATCCCCTTATCCATGTCCACAATGGTGCAATCCTACTTCCTCGCTGTCGGCGCCAGTTGTGGTGTCGCTCTCGGTCTCAACTCCATTGTCCCCCGTCTGAAGCGCGTAAGCCCAAACACCAAGATGTTGCTCGGTCGCCTGGTCCCCTTCGCCGCAGTCGCATCAGCAGGTGTCCTCAACGTCTTCCTCATGCGCGGAGAAGAAATCCGCAAAGGCATCGATGTCTTCCCCACCGAAACCGAAGCCCAAAAGCTCAAGCGCGAAGAAGCAGGTCTCCCTCTCCAATCGCTCGGAAAGTCGAAGAAAGCAGCCACCCTTGCTGTTGGCGAGACTGCTATCTCTAGAGTCATCAACGCTACTCCTATCATGGTTTTGCCTCCTCTGTTGTTGGTGCGTCTGCAAAAAACGAATTGGCTGCAGCAGAGACCTAGAATGGTTACTCCTGTCAACTTGGGATTGATATTTGGTACTAGTATCTTTGCGCTGCCGTTGGCTCTGGCTATTTTCCCGCAGAGACAGGCTGTCAAGGCTGATTCTTTGGAGGCTGAGTTCCACGGTCGTGCTGGAGACGATGGATGTGTTGAGTTCAACAGAGGTATCTAGAGAGGCTTGGTCAGGTTGCGTCTTTCGGTCGCGCATAGAAATGGTTACTGGCGACATTCAGATCCTCGATAGAAGAATTGGCAATTACAATTGGTTCATCTTCAAGCGTAAATTATGACTGTCTCGTGACCATGCACTTGGATCAAGAGCTGCGCGATCCTCGTGCTCTTACTGAACCCGTGCAAGCGATATGCACGAGGCTTTTCGAGAAAGCTGGGTTGGACTTCGAGAGGTCGAACTTGAGACACTTCTCGGACAAGTCGAAATATCGGAAGACAAGCATATTGCACTGGACGCTAACATTTAAGATATTGTATATACACCCGCAACTCGAGATCAGCTTGGAAATAAAATAAAGAAAGCGCATTTTGGGTGAAGCCAAATCGTGTACCAACCCCAAAATCTCCACCACCAGCCTGCAACACAAACTTAGACCACGACACCAAAACGTGTAAGCACGAGTGTTGCAGTGTCGTCAAGCTGCCAAAGCCACAAAAGTGGAGTGTGAAAGTCGCAAACTCGCCCAACTCAAAAAAAAAGATCCCCCAGCACCACCCTCGATCAACTCGGTCAATCCTGAGTGATGGTGCAAGTGTGAAAGGCAAAAAGAAACGACCGACTTGGGACTCGAACCCAAAGCCTTCAGTGTTGGAGTGTTGCGAGAACACGGTGTTATCGGTGAGCCGAAAACTGACGCCTGGGATGGGTTAGTAACGTGTTGGGGTGTTGGAGTGTTGGAGTGTTGGGGGGATCGTACGCTACCATTGCCTGTGAAACGTTAGTAACATGTCTGATGTAATCATCTTGGAAAGTACGAACGCTAGCCGGCCATTGGATGGTTGAAATTTGCCGAAATCTTTGCAACTCTATAGCTTACAACAGCACCACCAGCACTGCGTGTTGGAAGTGTGCCAACACAACAACACCAAGGAGCGTGTTTTCCACGAGTTAGAAATCGATTATGCAAAAACACCTTACGTTCTTATCTGGAATAAATCGACCATCAGCAAGGCGAGATATGTCGTGTCAGCATTGCTAGTTGGACGACCTTCGACAGTGGCGATAGAGAGTCTTCTGTACATCCTAAGGTCGAGAGCAAGGGGTGGAAAGTGTGAGATGACTAGCACCAGATATGAATCAGGATGTGGAAGAAGGAAAGAGGAAGGTCGAAGTCTGGTGGAAGAAGATATATGCGGCCGGCGTGTTGGGCGAGCCAGGGAAAGACCTCTAACACCAACACTTTCACAAACACCAACACGTTCACACAAACACCAACACGTTTAACTACAAACAGAACACATATACGGAGAACACTTTCACAAACGAAGAGCCTGCAGGGTGCAACGCGTCGATACGTCCTCCCCTTATGCTTAAGTTTGTCACTGTCGCTACTGTAGAAATGCATGATACTTTTCAGGAGTGGAGCTAGGGCCAAAGAGAAGACCTCCAAGTATCGCTCTCTGTGGACGACGTGCTATTGCTCAATACCATCGTGCATTTTGACGCGTTGATTAATGCCCATCGCTGCGGCTTGAGAGTCGATATGACAATTTTTAGCACACGGAGAGGGCACGGGACTAGCCGAATAACACGATGCACAACACAGAAGATAGATATGAAAGCGTGAGAAAAAGGGTTGGCATTGACTGCGTCTGATGCTGATCAAGTCTTGCATCATCTATCTGGCTCCGTACCTACTAGGTGCGGCACGATCACCGATTATGCAACAAGAACGATCCCAAATGTTTGGTCATTCTCACTGTTGACTGCCACTTCTTCCCGCGTGCCGTGAAGCAATGTCAAGGCTTCTTTCTCGCTTTGAGCCATTCTATGCCTCGAACTTCGAGAGGCAGCTGCGCACGACGATTCAGGCTGTCCAATTGTGTAGTTGAGCGAAGCTTGTGTCCAGCGACCTATATCCGACCTGCCAGCAGGGCTGGATTCTCACACTCTCTTGTCCTTGCAAGATGCATGAGAGACCTGGTATGGCGCCTCCACTGTTCAAGATCGGAGCCTGGAGCGGCCTCTTCTAGACCTGGAGTATCGCTGGTGCGCTTGGGTAACAGGACTTGGAGCAGAGTGCTGGCTTATATCGATTGTGCTCATGATTTATGCATGCCGTCTCACTTCTTTGAGGACTTCTTGTCTTTCTTGCTCTTCTTTTCCTTCTTCTTGTCTTCCATGGACGATTCCTCGGATGCCGGCTCGGTCGCAGGTGTAGTGGTGCCGCTTCGTCGTGATTCTTTCGCTTCGAGATTCTTGACTTGTCGTAGGGAGAAGTATTGTTCCAGTGTGACTCCCTTTGCTGCTGCACGTTCTTCGTACTGCTTGCGCTTGTCTTCAGGCAGACCTTCCAGTGATTTGTCCTTCTTGCTCTTGCTCTTCTTGGTTGTCGCATTCGAGTTGTCTTCGCTGACAGTCGCTGATTTCTTTGCCTTTTTGGCGGCGCGGCGTGCCTTTTTCTCGTCGTCTGAGGAGGATGAGTCGGATGTGGATTTCGATCGCTTCCTGTCTTTCTTCTCCTTCTTGGCCTTCTTCTTTTCTGCCTTGTCCTCGTCATCATCCTCAGCCTTCCTCTTCACACCCGTGGCCGGCAAGACAGCCGACGCAAGCGCAGCAACCTTGGGATCCACCATTCCAATCGTTCCCGGCACACCCTCTCCTTGCACAAATCGTCCATACAAGCCACCCCTCTTGATTCCCTGCTCCTTGACATTCGCCAGGATACTCTTCTTGCCAGTTCCAAAATCTTTCAAACTGCTGTCGAAGGCTTTCAACCACCACTGGCCTTGGATGACATCTGCCTTGTTGATTCCGATACCGAGTACGTCGACTTTCTTGCTGACGAGGAGTGGTTTGCGAAGGCCCTTGTTGTCCGAGTCGAGCGAGTGACCGAGGCCACGCCAGCCTTGCTTTTTGAGGAGTCCGGCTGCGTCCATGATGTGGTAGGTACTATGGACTGGTCGAATGCAGAAGTGTCCAGTGCCCGGGAAGGATATCCTTTGATTGTTTTGTTACGAGACTAGGTCGGCAGAGAAAAGTGTCGGGATTATTTTTCTGCCGGATTGCGATCGAGCCTTTTGGGGTTGACCGCCTTCGAGCGGGCCGGGACGTGCTTTCCCGACGACTGTTTTCATATGACGCATCACGTCTTCTCTTCATTCTATCGACCTCACCCATCTCGCTTGTTGCATTGGCAATAATCTGACTACCGCTACGGGGAAGATCAATCAACTGATTTAGCATCGAAGCTATTCAAAGAGTTGTGCTTTCGACCAATAGCAGAACAGGAAACAAACAAATATTGTTGACCGCATCGGTCGTGTTTGAATCAATGTTGTCGTTTGTCTCGACTACGCTGAGGCCAAAGGTCCCTGCACCTCTGTAAGTAACATTCGAAAACGGACAGCCAGACTTGATTCGTTGGAATATCAGTGTTGAGCAACCGCAAGGCTGTTTTCTAAAATGCAACAACTGTCTACATCACCCGAGGACCCTGCAAAGCGAAGAGAGGCGTTAAGCACCCGCAATGAAGTGCAGAGACAACGATACGCCAGTGATCCAGAATACCGAGAACGCCTGCTGGCAGCTTCGCGCAAACACCGGAATGAATTCAATTTGGAGCGCTACCATAGAATCAAGGACTCGAGGAAAAGGCGCTGGCAACAGATTTCCGAAGATTCTAAACGTTTGGAGGAGTATTACAAACGTTATAATGCCTACCAAGCGAAGAGAAAGATTGAAGAACCACGATTTCTCTTATCTGACAGGCTGCACAAGTGGACTTTGGGGCTTAAAGACCGGAAGGACGGTGTGCAATGGCGTTCCCACGAGCCCATCTTCTACAAGGAGAAGGAACCACACGACTGTCAATATTGCTCGACCCGCCGGGGTGGTGCCAAGTTGTGTAAGTGACAAAAGATGAAACCACAAAAACGATACATCCAGTTCTGCATGAATGCTCATTCAAGGACGGCACAACACATCCAAGTGTGGTGAACCAATCAATTGACCAAGTGCTCATCCATTTCACCTGATAACTTGCTAACAATTCCTCTCTCTTCAGGGTGGAAGAGCCTCCAACATCAGGACCCTCCAGCATACAGTTGCCACGCATGTTTCGCAGCACGATGGCCGGAAGGTATGCCCCACAATTACGAGTATCGCACCAGAAAGGACGGAACGACAAGACTTGCTCGCAAAAAATAATCCCCCCTTAGATGTCAACGACCTGGAACGGCCCTGTCTTTGAGCTGGTCGCCATCATGCGAAAACATTTGCATGATAATCATTTCACCTTTGTTGCAGTCTAGATCATGACACAAATCATCGATCGATGTCGGTATTGCCGTCGATCATCGCCTTTTGACGCATCAACGTTTCAGACATTCTGTTCTCCCCAATCCATCACCAAATGACACTTTTTTACTGGGAGATCTGATCTTACTAAAAAGCAACGGAACGCTCTACTCAGATCTTTCCTTCAGCCTCAAATCTTAGTTCCGAACTGGCTCGCCGTCACGACCAGAGAACTGCAGAGAAATGAGACAACCGACACGCTCCGAACAATCCGAAGGTTCACCTGTATCCAAAAACGGTAAAAGGCATACGACCTACGCAACTGGAGACCGTCCAGTCTTGTGTTTGCGTGTTTGCACAGCTGAATCAACTCGAGATCAATCTCGCATTCTGTAGATACACATGTCATGAATTTCGGTAAATAGTTACACTGTTTGACCAGTGTCGCCATCACATTACCGCTGAAGCTATCGTTTGTCAGCAAATTCATTCTTGGATCTGGACTATGGTCGGATACATCTGCCAGCCTCTTGCCAAGCGCGGACATGTTGTGCTGTTGTATTATCGACTTCAAGTTTGGTTTCGTCACATACTCCTGCCCTTTTCTTGTTTCCGCCTAGGCTGGATTTCACTGGACAGGATATAGTATACGTTTTGAGAACATATGATTTTCAAGCTCGGTAACCAAGAGAGATTGACTCTGAAAACAAAGGATACTCGAGTCTCTCGAAGTAAGTAAGTGATGATGCCTTCTCCTGACTAGGATTTGCTTCTTCATCACAGCTGTTCATAGACGGGATATCATCCAATGATACGGGTTCGCCCATCAAGAGCGTTTCATAAAGTCATAAAGTCATTCCTGGGGATATGGGTCTCTGTCTGCATGATTTCTGGCGTATGTCTGAGCTCTCAGCGGAAACGCCACATGAATTGAGACCAAAATGCGATCGACCTTGTGATTTCTCAAAGATCAAGCCGGAGCTTTGAGAAAGTGTCGTGTGTTTTTACAGCAGTGGGCCAGGAGCAGACGATGATTGCTACCCCTTCACTTGGCGACGTGCTTTTACAATCTTTGTGATTCGTTCACACTATTCCAAAATTCCGACAAAGTCTGATTGCTACGGGTAGGAACTTCAGGTTCTCTTATAAACACATTGCCGAGCCAAGGGATAGGGCTTTTGCATGTTTCGATTTTATAGTCTTGAAGATGTGGAATGAAGATAACGCAATTTACCCTTCGTGCTATCTTCTATCTACATCTTAACCTTGCAAGATCTATTTACGATGCAGGTCTTGAAACATGTCATGACCATATCATCCATCATAAGGTGCAACCCACAAGGTCATCTGATCCTCCATCACATAACTGTAGACAGGATACCGCTGCAAAACCGATTCAGCCAGAAGATTCTATCTCCAGCTATCGTTCTGCGTAGCAGTACCAGCACAGTTTCCGCCAACAGTGTAACTTCTGTTAGGATCACTCTCCCAAGTAACACTTCCATCAGCAGCCTTCTTGATGTACTTGTAGTTGAAGCTGCTTCCGGTGGCAAAGTTGAGAGTCACATACCACAGCGGGCTGGAGCTGGTGTACTTAGAGGCGCTGAGTGCGATTGCATTGGCGGCGTTCCAGTTTCCGAGGGCGGTGATGCTGCCGACGATGTATATGTTCTCGCCGTATGCGGTGGTCTTCTGCTCGTTGAAGGTTACGGCGATGGCGGTGGGGGTTGCGCAGGCTCCTCCGGTGGTGGTGGGAGTGGAAGGTGTACCAGGGTTGCCCCAGTTGGTGTTGGTTGCGGCAGCGCAAGGACCCGAGGCAGAACCACTGGAGCAAGAAGAAGGGAGTTTGGCCTGTAAATTGCATGTTAGTCAGACGTAGAGGTGTCCAGGAGATAGTTGTAACGTACGGATGCAGCGCCCCAAGAGGCAGGAATGATATTGGCGCGAGCATTGTAAGCAGTCAAGAAAGCAGCGTAAGACCAGGTAAGGTCGGCAGCGGAGAGGGGAGTGCCGTCAGCACGGTTGTACTGCTCAGCGAGAGCACCGCTTTGAGGTGTGTATTTTTGCTGGTGTACGAGTCAGTATGTAAACGAGGTAGGCAGCATGAGTTCACGACATACAGCAATCGACATGTAGCTGTCTGCGTAGGTCTGAACAGCGTTGACAATAGACGTGAAAGTTGTGGTCGAAGATGCGTAGGTACCAACAGCGGTGGAAGAGTACACGTCCTTGAAGAAGGGAAGAGAGATAGAAGTGACGGAGATGGATCCAATCTTCTTCCACTGGTAGATGGCATCATAAAGTTGCTCAGCAGCAGCAAAAGTGTTCAGGTACCTGGATTGATTAGCATATGTTCTATTTCATAGTTGAAGTCACTTACCAAGGGTTTCCGTTGTAGTAGGAGTCCTCGGGATAACGACCAACAGCAACACCAGAGCCTTGAGCGATACCCTTGTTGATGTTATAGATTGAACGGAAAGAGTCAGTGACGACCTTGTGGTTGGCAAGGGCCTTGTCACTGCAGGGCTGGAAGGTAGTCGAGTCACAAGAAGCAGCAGGGTCGAAGATGTGGATGCTAGTCAGGATTGAATTTGCGTCCTTGCCAGATCTACCGCCGCCAGTGTTTGAAAGAGCGTATGAGCCTGTCCAGTAGGATTGGAGGAAGCAAAGGACGAGAGGTGCCTGAGAGACACAGTTGGGGCAAGACTTTCCGAGCTGAGTGGCAAGGTTGTTACCCTCAATGAGAGCACGATATTGAACTGCAGTTGTGAAGAAGGAAGAGCTGTTAATCTCCTCCCACAAGTCGAAACCAGTCTGGTTCCAGTACTGAGTGACATATGAGAGGTCATTCTGTACAATAGGCCAGATGATGTTGTTGACCGTGGTTGTGTTGCCGTTGGCCTGGGGCATCAATTAGCATGATTCAGAAGCGAAGTATGTCATCAACTCACAATGAGGTAACGAGAATAAGCAATCATGGCAGTCGCACGCAGAGCAGGGCCATCACGTTGAGGTCTGCCCCAAGCACCCGTGAAGGGAGTGAGGTTGACTTCGAACTTTGGCTCAGCAAGTCCGCCAGAGCAAAGACCACCGCTAGGGTTGTTGACTTGCTGCAGATTGGCTTGAGCACTGATGTATTGCTGAATGAGAGGCTCCAGAGATTTATTGCCGGCGATGAGCTGATCTACAAGCGCCTTGAACACAAGAGCTGAATCACGAGTCCAGGTGTAAAAGTCTTGGTAGATGTCAGTCAGAATTTCGGTTCGATATGACGACAGGTTTGCTCACAGTTGGGGTCAGTCTTCGAAGGAGAGGCAACCACAACACCTGCACTTGCACCAGAGGCCTTAGAGCCGCTCGCACCGATGTTGGCGAGAACACCCTGGAGAGCGTAGGTGTTCTCAGATGTGAGCCATGAAGCAAGAGAGCCGGTGGCACGTTCCTGAATGCTTTCAGGCGATGGAAGTGAGAATGCCGCTCCGAAGAGCAGAGGAAGAGAGTAGAGAAGACGCATGATGGAGAATGGCGTAGTTGTTGTTGATTCTGTTTCTTACTGAGGACCACCAGCGGTTTATATATCATGGTAGACACTATTTATTGAGGACAGTGGAGTCGCGTCTCACCAAAGACAATCTCCTCGGATCCGTGCTCGTGGACTAACGCAAGGGTCAGGCAAGGAAACAATAGACATACGCTCTGTTGAAGCTTCTTGGGAGAAGTTCGCTTCTGAGCACGTCTGCTCGTCTGTGCTGATCCACGGTGGCGTACTATAGTAGGGCTACGGCCGACGGGCCTGTCTAGACGAAGTGATGAATTGTGATGAGAACGTGAGAATGGTGATATCAGATCATGAATTTTTGCTGCAGGGCGTTCACATTGATGATCAACAGGGGGTGGGCTGCTCCTTCTGTTCACTTCAAGTCTACTGTCTTGGACGCGAGAAACATTGCAAAGCGGCAGGAGACGCCCTCCTGAGCTCGCTTGTGATGAGGTCGCTGCCACATGAAGCAAAGTTTAATGCCGAGGCTTGGGAGAAAACAACGCGTGCAGTGCTTGTTCGAGGACCCCACACCCCGCACCCGCCTTCCCGCACGGAACCCTCGGGAATTTGCAAGCTTTGCTCCTACTCTCCGAGTCTCCGTAACTTCACATGGAGATCTCCATGCACTCTGTCAATCATCTATGCAGTGCAATAATCTAATGTAGACCACATGGCATGGTGGTCATCTTATGCGACCCCCTGACAGCGAGGGCTGTCATGCGACAACATCACGCTCACTCCTTCCCTTCGCCGTTCTTGATGTCTCCTTGCCTACCCAATGGGTGAAGCTTGAGCCAAGTTTTCGTCCGTAAGGTCCGTTATGTCAATAGGTCATGGCGTAGCTCACAGTAGTACAGTATAAGCATCTACATCGCTTGTAATTTTTAACTTTGTGCTCTATCAGGAAGGTGCGGTCTTCCTCGCTTATAACATTCCATCGTTCGCTGTGCGCGAACGATCGCCAACTTGTGAGAAGATGGCTGATATACATCAGCCTTGTTATGCACATTCAACCGAGCAGCGTTCTGGACAAAAGACACCGGCGTAGTGTCATGCAGGACAATTCCACGTGTCTAGACTGAATACCATCGAGCTTTAAACATTCTCAACACTGTACGGGTTGCGGCTCTATTCAGGAGCTACAGAGGACGACCTGCTTTTTGTGGACATCAAGCCGAGCATCTCAAGTTTTCCAGTCTGTGCTGCTGTCGCCATACCACCATCACCAACCGCTAGACGATCAAGGACTGGAGAAATGAGGGGTCGAAAAGTCTGTTGTCTGATGACTTGCCAATCAGACCCCAAAGACATGTCTGACCCTCTATACCACATGGCAATCGCGCCGAATGTTGCATGATGAAAACGCTCTAATACTGTGCTAAGCTTCTCGAAGCGAGATGGTACAGGCGTCGTGCCTGATCTTCAGTAGCTCGATGTATCGATCAGCAGCGCACCATGTATGCTTTCCATCGGTGCCGAGTAATTGACTACACATCTCTCACCGGTCAATCTGGCTGGTATACGCGCCCTACCGGAAATATCCCACCGGGCCTTGAAGTAATGCAGACTGTTATTGTCGCTCTTGTCTAGGGCGGAACATCGCTTAGCCAGCTACAACCAAGACTCGAGAACAACGCTTGGCCAAACAAACCATCATGGTGGTCAGTTAGACATGATAGAACTAGTTGTGCGACGTTAGAAGAGCGTTAAATCTTGGTACCGCGGCTTGAGCAACCATATAAAATATGACCACAACTCAAGCCATTGTCCAAACATAACTATCGTCAACCTCGCAGGTCCTCAACAACAATGGCGAGCTTCATGTCTCGACTGCTTCTTGCTCTACTATCTTTGGTTGGCTTTGCACAGTGCCTTAGTCCTGCACAATGGAGAAGTCAGTCGATCTATCAAGTCCTCACCGATCGCTTTGGAAGGACTGATGGCTCGACAACCGCCTCTTGCGATGTCAACAACTACTGTGGAGGTACATGGCAAGGTATCATTAACAAGCTTGACTACATCCAGCAGATGGGCTTTACTGCGATTTGGGTCAGTCCCGTCGTGAAGAATATCAGAACGTCTGGACAAGATGGCGACTCGTATCATGGATACTGGGCCCAGGACATATATCAGGTCAACACCAACTTTGGCTCTGCTGCCGACCTGATATCACTGTCAAAGGCTCTGCATGCCCGTGGCATGTACCTGATGGTAGATATTGTCACGAACCATATGGGATATGCTGGCTGCGGTAATTGTGTTGACTATTCCCAATTCAACCCTTTCAACAAGCAGTCTTACTATCACCCATTCTGTCTCATCGACTACAACAACCAGAATAGTGTGGAACAGGTAAGTGGTTGCCTCTCTTTGTTAGATGCGCTAATTATTTGCACAGTGCTGGGCCGGGGACAACATTGTGTCTCTCCCAGATTTGAGAACAGAAGACGATGCTGTACTATCCATGTGGAAAACCTGGATCGCACAGCTTGTGGCAAATTACACCAGTGCGTAGCTCTTTGACACTTTGGAATTGTTCCTTGCTCACCCTTTCTAGTTGATGGTCTCCGTATCGATAGTGCCAAATCAGTCAACAAAGCTTTCTATCCGCCCTTCGAACAAGCAGCCGGTGTATACATAGCCGGCGAAGTGTATGAAGGCAACCCAACCACCTTTTGCGACTACCAGAATTATATGGATGGCATGCTGAACTTCCCTTCGTAAGCGCATTCTCCGAGAAAAGTCAAAGATGAGCCTGATGCTAATTCATACAAAGTTATTACTGGATTACCCAAGCCTTCCAATCCACCTCCGGCAGCATCAGCAATCTCTACAACGGCATAAATACCCTCAAGTCATCATGCAAAGACACCACCCTCCTCGGCTCCTTCATGGAGAATCACGACCTCGCTCGTTTTCCCTCGCTGACCAATGACTACGCACTCGCCAAAAACGCCATCGCTTTCACCATGCTGGCCGATGGCATTCCTATCATCTATCAAGGACAAGAACAACATTTCGCCGGCTCCGGTGTGCCGAACAACAGAGAAGCACTTTGGTTGTCAGGATACTCGACTTCTTCGACATTGTACCCATTCATCGGTACCTTGAACAAGATCAGGAAACAGGCGATTAAGCAAGATACAGGATACGTGACCTACAAAGCCGTCCCTGTATACTCCGACGCCTCGACCATAGTCATGCGAAAGGGTACCACCGGCTCCCAAGTCGTCGGCGTATTCACAAACAAAGGATCTTCCGGTAGCAGCTCATTCACCTTGACATCCTCAGCCAGTGGCTTTACCGCTGGCCAGTCCATCACCGATGTCTTATCTTGCACTTCTTACACCACCGACTCCAACGGCAATCTCAATATCGCTATCAGTGCCGGTCTTCCTCGCGTCCTGTACCCCACTGCCAAACTCACTGGTAGTGGTCTCTGTGGTGGGTCTTCGGGCTCTACAACTGCAGGTCCAGCACCTACTACCATCAAGACTTCTACGACTACAGGTGGTGCTTGTAGCACACCCACTTCAGTCGCCATAACCTTTTCCGAGAAAGTAGTCACGCAGTACGGTCAAAGTGTTAAACTCGTCGGCTCTATTTCTCAACTCGGGGCCTGGAATGCTGCGAATGGTGTTGCTTTGTCTTCAGCTGGGTATACGGCTAGTAATCCTGTTTGGTAAGCTTGACTTCATACATCACCGAGGTGTCATCATTGACGATGAACAGGTCTGGGACTATCAACCTCCCCGCCGGAACGAGTTTCAGTTACAAATTCGTCAAGGTGAATAGTGATGGAAGCTTTTCTTGGGAGAACGATCCGTAAGTTCTTCTGACCGTTGTTTGTGATGAGATGATGCTGATTTGAATGCAGGAATCATAGTTATACTGTTCCTGCTAGTTGTGGCGTTACTACTGCTACTGTCAGTAATACGTGGCAAGGATAGGGTTTGCTTAGGAAGACATGATCGATATGGTGGTCTGCTCCGGAGGGTTTTGGTTGGAGGTTGTCTACTTGAGATGGTTGAAATCACTTCAAGAGCATTGCATACATTCTCTATCAGATATATAAGATTTCTTCCCTACCGAAGCTTCATGGCACGTAGCTTGATACCATGATCACTTCAATCAGTTCAATCACTCTGCCCCTCGCCCTTACCCATCTCACTACCACCCGATCGTTCTTTCCATCCATCATGTTCCAACAGATTCCTCGGTCTGGTAAACCAAAGCAGTGGCTCGATATATCTGAACCCTTGACACGTCAACCAACGTCAAGCATCATTCTACATCCGAACGAAATCGCAGCCTCGACTTCTGGCCATGATGATAGTCCCTTCTCTTTCCTGTCCACTAGAAGAACAAACAAAGATGAGGTTTTTGACCTGAAAAATGATTGCGGAGGATATTGCGACTAAAGACAAAGACTAAGGTTTTGCATCGAATGTAAAACAGAGATTCATAGAAGTAGTGCCACAGGTTCCCGAGCCAGACCATCAGGCTCCGCTATCGACCTCGTACGCGAGCGTCGCGGTCGCCTCGTCCGCAGCGGACGATGTCGTGGGCTTGCCAGAACCAGAAGAACATGGCTGCAAGTGTCTCTTTCGTAAGCTTTGGTAAGATTGGATTTGGCGATTGATGGAGTGGGAAGGGGCTATAGTGTTGATTTCGAAGAAAGCCTGCACAGAGTGAATTGTCATAAGAACATATGTTAATGGTATGATTAATTCGAGTTTCCCACTCTTCTCCACCAGTCATCGCCCATGCGACCGATATCTACGACTTCGACGTCTTTGCCTAGACCGACGAGTTCTGAAGACCCCCACCATTTGTCGCTTCTCTCTGGTGCTTTTCCTTTATGCAGTGCTTCGTCTTCGGTTTCTGTTTCGGTGTCGACCAGGCCGCCAGCGCCGTCGTCACCGACTACGAGAATTGTTTGGCCGACCCAGCCTTTCAATTGCTGGATGTGCTCGCCACGTTGACCGGAGAGCGATGGGGCATCTGTTAGGTAGACCAGAGAGGGGGAGAGGTGGCGCAGGATGTGGATGTAGCCAGTGGGGGTTGAGAAAGGGAGGACTTGGGAAGGCTTGTCCACCAGAGATTGGGACTTTTGCCATAGTGCGTCGAACAGTGAGGAAGATGGCTGGTCAGGAGACGATGTACCAGGGTAGGAGACAGAGGCGTAAGAGGATGAGAGAGTGGTCGATGCAGAAGTTGTGGGGAGAGCAGGGAGAGATTTCTGGTCAGGGGCGTATATCAGGATGAAGAGATTTGTGAAGGCTGGGTCGATATGCTCAGGCAGGTGGGAGAGGATGGACTGCTCAGTGTCAGTAACAGTAACAAGGATAGAGAGAGACTCAAACTGACAGCATGCTCTGTACGATAAGAAGCCTCATCATCTTGTTGGTTATCCGTATCGGCACTCAATACAATGGCTATGTTTCTCTTTGCTTTATTGCCGATGGGCCGGGAACAAGTGGGTTGTTGTGATCGCTTGCTCTCGGCTTCTTCATTCCAATGTTCGCTATCTGAAAAGGCAGGTTCGGCTCTTTCTTCTTGTCTTCCATCTCCAGATAAGCCTACTGCGGCACGTATACGTTGACCAGTTCTATCAAAGAATTGCTGTGGTGAAGGGGTGCGGCCCGTCATGCGAGCTAGGAAGCCTTCGTCGCGGGGCTCTGCTTGCTGGTCGGATAGGTCCTCGGGATAATCGAGAGGGTGGTCATATTTGTCGTCTTCTAGGCCGTTTCTTTGGTCGTTATCATCGTTATCGTCGTCGTCTTGCTGGCGTTCGCTCCAGATCCAGGCGGCTAAACCAGCAGTCGCAATAGTCACCGTCACGACCAGCGGTACCCAATAGCCTAGAGCGGATCTGCCAGGGCGGGCCTGCCTTCGCCGGGCAGCATCATAACGGTTCATTGCATCAGAAGTTTCATCAATGTCCTGACTGTCACATGAAAGGAAGCTGTCGCGATTGCGTTCGCGGTATACACGTTCCCCACAATTCTTGGCGCGTTCGAGGTGCGGGAGGCTTCGACAGGTTCGCGAAATTCTGTTTGATGCGTCACAGTCATCCTGAGAGAAGAATATTTTACACCGTCCCACCAGACCAAGAGCAGGGAGCAAGAGAAGGACAAACAATATACACAGGGCATGCCACACGCAACCAACATGCCATACGCCGGGTTCCAGGCCTTTATCCTGTGCGGCCCCGGCCTGTCACTCAACACCTTCACCTCGAATGTCGCAGACTACCCCAAGGCTCTCGTACCCATTGCCAACCGTCCCATGGTATGGTACCCTCTGGATTGGTGCTACCGTATGGGCGTCACAAACATCACCCTGATCACACCCCCCGAAAGCGCTGCTCCTTTGGAATCCGCCCTCGCCCAAAATCCTCACCTCACAAGTCTGCCTGCGCCCAAGCCCGAATTGCTTTGCCCCGAATCGCTCACACAAACCACTGGAACCGCCGAAATTTTCCGTACACCCGAAGTTCAGAAAGCCATTACATCCGACTTTATCGTTCTACCTTGCGATTTGATTTGCGATCTGGAGGGCTCTGCTCTGTTGCAGTCATGGATGGTGCTCGAGGCTGGTCTCGGTGGTGCTACTGGCGGTATCGTGGATGGACAGGCTGTGCGCATGACTATGGGTGGTGAGAAGAGCGGTCGCAGAGGAGGTTTGGCTGTGTGGTACCCTACGAAAGGCCTCGAGGGAGTCAGTCAGAAGGGCGATGAAACAGACTTGGTCGCAACAACTCCCTTACCACGTCCTGCCGTGCCCGCACCCGAGGGTCACTTACGACCCCACGTCGAGAAGCTCGTTCTGAGCATCCCCACCAGTACGGTCAAGGACATTACAGAAGAACAAAAGAGCTTCCCTTTGCGCCATGCTCTACTACGCCAACACGGAAAGATCAAGATCAAGACTTCGCACAGAGACGCACATGTTTACTTCTTGCCATTCTGGGTCAAGGACATGATCAAGGAGAATGAGGCTTTCGATTCGCTCTCCGAAGATGTCATTGGATGGTGGGCAAAGGCTGGATGGCAGCAAGGTCTCGCTGAAAAGCTGAACCTACGTAAAGTGCTAAACGACACCCCTTCAACACCGGACGCCGACGATTTGATGATGGCAAGCAGTATGCAGCTCGACGAGGAAGTCGATTTGGCTGCCATGAGCACGACATCAATGAGCCAACCCATCGCTTCTTCCGTCAATCAATCAGCAGATGCTTTCGCCTCGCGCGTGCCTGGAAACCTCCAAACAGACAACTCTCCTCAAGATCCTCTAGTAGTCCCTCCGATCTTGGCCTATGTCCAGCCTCCTCTTACAGACGCCACCAACCAGCCCCTGATCCGCCGCGTCGACACCTCATCCCTCCTCCTCAGCATCTCTCTTCGCCTAGCAAAACTCCCATCTGTCGCCGAAGCTGCCGCTACCGGCGCTACTCCCTCACCTTTCGCACACAACGCAAAGGTTGCACATCCAGACATGATTCAACAACAAACACGTGTGAGTGAGGTCGACTCTTTGGTCGCCGAGAACGTCACAATCGGCAGCAGAGTCAACATCAAGGAATCTGTCATTGGTGTAGGATGCAGCATTGGCAATGGCGCAAGGTTGACGAGGTGTCTGCTGATGGAAGGCTGTACGGTAGGAGAAAATGTCACACTCACCGGTTGTATCGTGGGCAAGCGATGCAAAATTGAAGGCGGAGGTCCAAAGGATGAAGACAAGACTCGTCTGACAGATTGCGAGGTTCAGCCTGGCTATGTTGTCAAGTGGGGAAGTAAGTTTATGCCTTCTGATCCGCATCTATCAAGTCTGGACCGAGTATTAACATTATCACAGCTGAAATCAAGAACGAAAAGTTCATGGTATTCGAGGGTCTTGGTGAGGATGGTAGCGATATGGATATGGACGATGAGGACATGGTATCAGGAGATGACGACGGCACCTTTGCATAGACAAAGCACCAGGAATATTATCCTGAATGAAAAGAACATGAATACCTCTAATTTCCGCATGCTTCAAAATGATGCTTGCCTTGTTGCCTTGCCACGGTGATTTCTCGGTCTCCCTACAAGGCGGAGTTCATCCGTCGGCAGTTTCGGATCGAGGCTGAGCTTGGCCTTTTGCTGCGCACTCCTGCTGCGCCCAGAGGCGGCGCAAGCCTCACGATATCCAAACGTTGCTTCCTTTCTCTGCTTTTGTAAAACCGTCCTTCACATGAGGCAGTAACAAAGGGCTGCGGCATGCGTAAAGGCAGACTTAAATGAAGTAGGCGCGAAGCATAGCCCAAAATCCCAGATAGTTCCAGGCGAGTAAGTTTGCGACCGAGTGAAAGGTGAGCATATAACAACCAACGGTCGCATGTAGACCAAGACATGCCTACCTACCAGCCAACTCACATGAATCATCCGCATACCCGTCTTATTACCTGAAAGTCTGTCCGCACCTTCTCAGCTGGACTCTTACATCACAAGACCCTAAGTGATAAAGTCTTGGTCTTTCCTTGACTTGTAACCCTCCCCTCTTTTCTATCTTCGCGACTTCACCAACGCTCAATCTGTGATACAACCACCCATCAACAATCGACAACCAACAGACATCATCATAACAGACGACATGCGCAATATTCTAGGCAGCATCAAGCGCAAGGTCTCGTCCAGCAGCGGATCAGGAACACAGAATAACTCACGCGCCTATCCCACAATCCAAGATCCCTACGGCACACCCTCGAGAACAGGCACCATGAAAAGCCAATACGACCCACCTCCACAAGCTCAAGTCCTAGCACCTCTAAACCAAGGCACCGCACCACCAGCCTACTCACCCGTCTCCAACGCCTTCCCCGTCCCCGTCCCTCAAATCGCCGTCTCATCACCCCAAGACCAAACAGCAGATGACCCCTATGCCTTCCTCAGCTCCTTTGACACAATCTTCCTGATCGACGATTCGGGCTCCATGGCAGGTAGTCGCTGGAGAGAAACTCAAGAAGCCCTGGAAGCAATCACGCCAATCTGTACTTCTCACGATGCCGATGGGATTGATATCCTCTTCCTGAACAATCCGGAAAATCCATATCACAGAAATGTCAGTTCGCCGGCCACGGTCCGCGAGATCTTTTCTAGTGTGAGGCCGCATGGTGGTACGCCTACTGGACAGCGATTGGATTCTATTCTGCGACCATACATCAGGCAGTGCGAGCAAAGAGGTCCGGAGGCGGTGAAGCCGTTGAATTTGATCGTCATCACTGATGGTGAGCCGAGTGATGATGTGGAGGCGCCACTCATCAGCTGTGCAAAGAAGCTGGATAAGATGGATGCTCCCGCTTGGCAGATTGGTATCCAATTCTTCCAGGTCGGCAGAGATGAAGGTGCACGTGCTCATCTCCGCGCGCTGGATGACGAGTTGGCCGAGATTGCTGGCACCGAGTTGAGGGATATGGTTGACACAGTGCCGTTCAAGGGCGCAGAGGGAGAGCACTTGTCAGCAGATGGCATTCTGAAGGTTGTGCTAGGAGCTGTCAACAGACGGTTGGACAGAAAGAGGAGTAAGGATCTCCACCGTTGAACGATCGTAGTACTGAGGCTGAGCCGAACGCCTTGCTCGGATCCTAAGAACAGGGAGAAAGAACAGTAGCCGCAGAGCACATTACATTGATACCCAAATATCTGCGAAGAAAGCACCAATAACCTTAGCTTTCAAAAATGGCATCCTTTCACAAATACCATGACTTTTTCTTCCATGTCGAAGTTTCATTTTTGGCAACCATGATCCTTGTGCTACCAATCACGGTTCTGTTGCAGCCTCACGTGAAAATGAAGGTGCACGTCTCTGCCGCTCTCTCTCTCTGTCACGACATCGCTTGCCGTAAAACTCTGGCTCAAGCATTCGTCTCGTACGTGTCCATTCACACATTGCGTCAAAAGTTGGACATAAACCTCTCAAAGGATTATGCTATGATTATCCAGTGTGGGAAGTGTCTCTTGATGCTACAGTCAATGAAGTTGGCAAGAGGGACCAGTGGCTTGAGGGGTCCGCGATAACTATGTTTGAATATGTGTTGATGAATTGATGATGTTTTCAGTGGGGATTTGTATCGATCGGTGCATTGCTCTCTGTGCAATTCTTCTGGTGCTATGTCGAACTGTCATCCGAGCCGCGTTTGTGGGAAGATGTTTAGTGTCCTTCCTTCGCCAACATATCTGCAATACACGTCAGCATGTGATTCTTAAGCAATACTCTCCCTTCATCGTTGGAAACTTACCAGCGATATCGAGATAGAACGCGATAGCGTTGAAACTGCAAGTCACAGCGTCAGCATTCCATCCTAGAGAAGAGATCATCATGCAGGATATCAAAACTCACTTCCTCTTGTTCCCCGTCAACTCCCACAAAAACCAGCGTAATCTATTCGTCCAATTGATCATATCCAAATGACTGACATCCTTCAAAGTACCCTTGTACGTCCCCCACTTTGCACTTTCCACACTAACCAATCCATCATTCTCCCCCTCCAATTTCTGAATGATCCTATGCGATTGGCGAAACATACTCCAGAAGCGAGGGTTTACAGTGGCGCCGTAGGAATAGTAGGATATTCCTTCGCGGTCGGGGGTTTTTGGGTTGAAGGTTTGCGACATGTAGGATTGGGTCAGTTGGGAAAAGGCGCCGGTTTCGAAGCCGAAGAATTCGAGCATGGTGTAGAGTTTGGGTATGTTGGTTGCTGTGAGAAAAAGGGTTGTGTTAGTTGGGGTTGGGAAGGGATTTGAGGGATGGGGCGAGACGGACGGCCGATCCAGGAGAACATGACATCTGCAAATGAGGAGCCTGAGAGGGTGGGTCAGTGAGAGACGCATGGCTGGGGAGAGGGTATGAGATATACCTCGGTGAGGTGTTGCGATTGTTGTCAGAGATAGCACTTTGACGTTTGCTGGTTTGAGTTGACTGATCATGTAGCGAGAGTCCAGACCGCTGTGTGCGAGATCATGTCAGTTGCGATCAGTAGATTCGATGCTCATCTTGTGTTACCCCTAGCAAACAGTCAGTAGAGTCTCCACATCAAGTTCGATCTTCCGTTGTTTACCATGCTGTGTCTGTCGAAGGAGTTAGCAAGTAATCTCATGGACACATTCAATACCACACATACGCAATAATGTTCACACTCTTGCCCTTGGCTTTTTTGTGAATGTCCTCGCTCAACTTTTGCGCTCGTGCTTCGATGGATCCAGATGCCGGTACAGTGGCAGTAATGACTTCAATACCTTTCGCCGCCAGTGCCTCACGAATACCTCTCCAGTACTGTATGCCAGGTAAGACGGCCTTTGGGATTATGTTCAGTTCTTCGAATCCCATGAGTCCGTGGGCCAGAATGATTGGGTTCTTTGGCGTATCTTGCACCTTGTCAGCACGGTCCGTCGAGTATTCTATGGATCGTCGCAACATACCATACTTCTCGCGGAGAATAGCATATTGATCTTCTATGACCAAATCACCAACTTCATCCTTGAGGCGAGGGTCTTCGGCCTTTTCTTCTCGTTTCACCGTGCCATGACTGAATGGAGCAAGTCTTGTGCTTGGTAATGTCAACAGTGGGCGTGATGAGGGTAGACACAGCTTTCGGGCTGGTAGACGGAGGCTCATTTCACAATGTTATTCAACTTTATGGATGGAGAAAAGGTAAACAGATGGGTTAGGAGAGCACAAAGTGAGCCCCCCAGAAATGACGTCAGAATCCATCACAGGCACAAGAGTTGAGAGGCATACTCGTACACGATTGAGTTGAACAAGCACAAAGTTGCGATATAGATAGATTGTGAATATAATCAGAGAAAAACGGAAATATGTGTGCGTAGTCGTGGTTCGAACGGCACAGCAAGTCTCGTCGGATGAAGATCAATCTATGATTCGGAAGAGGATATCTACAACGAGGAAAAAGCAGAGCGGCTAGAGGCAGAAGGTGTGATTATGAGGGGATGCGAATGTCAAGCGGATCATGCGACGGGCTGCTCGACTCTGTCGGGGACTTGAGGCTTGACGTCGGTGACGGCGCGTAGCAGGTTCTCGACGACCGTGTGGCCCTCCTTGTCGCCAATGCTCTTGATCTCCTTCAGCTTCTCGTCGGTCTCCTTGCCGGCATCCTTCTCGGCTTGCTCGTTGCCGCTGGTGTGCTGTTGGGTCTGTGTCAGATTGCGCCTGTGGTTGAGAGAGGGCTATTCAAGGACGGACCTGTGTTGAGAATTGCTTGAACTCTTCCTCCTTCTTGTTGCGGTACTCGTCAATCTCCTTTTGAGCTTCGGAGCGGGCGTCCTTTACGCGCTTGGTGCGGTCTGTTGTAGGAAGTGGTCAGATTGCGAAGACGTGGTTGGGTACGGGGTGCGGGTAATATTACACTCTCTGGCTGTGACTTATTAGCACGCATTCATGACCGAAGATTCAGTGCCATCGCATACCTTGCTGGACGATCTTCTGGGCTTCACGCTCAGCCTAGTGGTATAAAGTAAGTAAGAGGCATGACGGAGGTGCCTTGGGTTCGGCCTACGTCGAGCAGCGTTTGGATCCCGGCCGAGTTTTGTGCAGACTGAAGCGACAGTTAGCATCCTGTCCATGAGCAGCAGCAGCTCTTCCATGCGATATAGCGTACCATGGTGAATTAGTTGATATGACGACTGGACCGGAGATGGTTGTTGGCCGACAGGTGGATGTTGATGGTGACCGCCAAGTTGTGGTCCAAGCGTACCATTCGATATGCGACCCATCGTTCCTTCCCAAAATTGTTGCCTCTCAATAGTCACTTCCACATTATTCAATCATGTCGACCAAGGCGAAATTGACTCTGGCTGCTACCTCGCTCGGTGCTCTTGGTATCATCATCTTCGTTCACCACGGCCAGAAGGTTGAGAAAGCTGTATGTCTAGCCAGATCCGTCTCCTCAGAAATCACACTGACTTCTGAATTAGGCAATGCACGCCGGTGTCATCCGTGACATGGAACAACAGAGAATCAAAAAGGAGCGACAACTAGACTTCGACATGCAAGCCCAACTGGAAAAGGAATACCGCAAGCTTCAAAGCGTTTCCGATGGCCGCAATCAAGGATAATCACTTCTCATCATCGACTCACAATCTCCACTCAAATATACCACAGACACGCTGTCTGTCCGCCTCGATAGATATCGACTCTACTCTTGCCCACCAACAAGAGAACCCGCCTTCGCCCCTTTGGCTGCCGCGAATTCGCCCCATCTTCGAATCAGACCGTAGACTTCTAAAATACAAGGGTGCATGGACAAAGGCTGGAAAGAGAGACGCAAGGACATGGACTGTTACGGCCATCCGCCAGGTCATGGTTTTGTCGCCCAGCTCAGTCAAGTCGTGTAATAAGGACACCCAGGACACACGACATTGCCAGGCCTAGGACACAGTTGTACCGCGACTTCACGAATAATCACTATTCTTGTAAAAGAGAATCGGAGAGTGTGGCCTTAGAGAGTGGATTAGGATGGCATAGAGGAAGGTTACAAATAAAGGCAATTTCTGTCATGATTTCATATCGCAAACGCAACTTTTACGCTTACTCCTTGTCGACTGCAAACTTCTTCAAGTCCTCCAAGGATACCTTGTCCAAAGCTTTCTCGTTTGTGGCGTTGAGGAAGATTCTATGCATGGTCAGAAGATGGTATTAGGTTGGAGGAGTATTTCGACTTACTTGGGCACGATCTTGTCACCCTCCTTGCCTCTAGCATCAAATGCCTCCTTCCAGCGAGACACACAAAGACACCATTTGCAGCCTCCCTTCAATCCAATCTGACGGAGATCGTTGCCACGGTCTGCAGAGAACTTGAGGAACTCATCTGAGACCTCTGCGGCGATAGCATGGTTGCCAGCATCTGAAGCAGGCACTTCACAGTAGCCGTTCCTCAGATAACCAGTCATAGGGCTAGTAGAGTGGATAGCCAGAGGCTTGGAGAGGACTGAAGCTTGTAAGCAATTGTCAAGCTGGTTATTGCTGTTGTATTACCATTGAGAGATCTGGACATCTTGAGTTGATGTTGTTGGTGTAACTGATTGTGAGCCGAGGCGGATGCGGTGATTGAGATAGCTGCAAGGCACAATAGGGTGATCAGTAAAGAGGTCGAATGCATGTGAATTGGAAAGATTTGGTCGCTTCAAGCACTTTGATGGTCAAAAGAATCATGAGCTCATAGTTCGCACATGCCAAGACCGTCGAGCATCTCGGAGCGGAGCCAGAAGGACGTTTCAGATCGGAAGGAGCATCTGTCCGCTGATGTTCGTTCACGGAATCTGCTTCTCCTCCAACAACCCTCGAGATCAATTTACCCATGAGACTCCGTTTGTAGAGAATCCTGTCCGTCAACCATAAGTGATGGCAGAATCGATTCGCTGGACTGTTGCAGCTCGGATTTCGAAGTGCTATGTCCGAAGTCGCTGGCAGTCGAGGGCGGCAATGACAGATTCGAGTGCCGTTTGAGCCGGCCAATCAATCATATTCGAAGTAATTCAACGACAATTTTGGAATGATCCTCGACTCATCTCGCCTTCTCAATCCTCTGGACATTGGCATCACCAGTCGATACGGCAATGTCGCGCTCAACCTCGCCGTCGTCGACACTGAACGCGTCGCCAAAAGAGAAATCAAATGACGACATCCCCGCACCTGTCTCCCCGCATTCACAACATGACCGCGACGACCAAGTCGATGACCAGGACCACTATAATCATGATCAATCACTACCGCTTGACGAGGAGGCGGCTCAAGTGCTGAAGGAGGAGAAGTCAGGGGACCCGTTCCTCGTGGGATGGGAGCCGGGCGAGAAAGCCAATCCCATGAACTGGTCGTCAACATACAAGTCTTTCATCACCTTTGTCCTGGGTATGCTCGCGCTGGCCGCCAGTCTGGGATCATCAATCATCTCGCCAGCAGAAAGAGAAATCGCCGAGTACACTGGCATCTCGAATGAAGTCGCTGTCCTTCTGATCTCCATGTACATCATTGGCTTCGCTGTTGGTCCGCTTATCTGGGCACCCACTTCGGAAGTTTGGGGACGCAGGATCAGTATGCTGCCGGCAATGGTTGCTCTTGCCCTGTTCAGTATAGGTACAGCTGTTGGCAAGAACGCTCAGACCATGATCATCTGCAGATTCTTTTCTGGTGTCTTTGGTTCCGCCCCGGTGTCCAATGTTAGTGCTGCACTCGGCGACATCTGGCCTCCTAAGTCAAGGGGAGTGGCAATGACGTTCTACGCTGTTGCTGTGGTCGGTGGTCCTACGATAGGGCCTGTCATTGGTAGTGCTCTTACTGTGCAACTTGGGTTCAGGTGGCCCTCTTACATTTTGGCAATCTGGGTCTTCACAATCTTCGTCTTCGCCTTCTTCTGCCTGCCGGAAGTCTACTCTCCTGTGCTCCTGAAGAAGAAGGCTCAACGACTGCGCAAGGAGACAGGAGATTCACGTTGGCACCACCCTCACGAAGATGTCAAACTTGATGCGAAGTCAATCGTGACCAAACATCTTGCAAGACCTATCGTCATGCTTACTACAGAACCTATGGTCACCGCCATTGCCTTCTATGCTAGTTTCGTCTACGGTCTTCTCTACATGACTCTCGAGGTGTTCCCGATCGTCTTTGAACAAAACCGAGGATGGCCACTCATCACTAGCACGCTCCCGTTCTTGGCACTTTTCGTCGGAGTGTTGTTCGCTGTTCTGATCAACCTCGCTAATCAACCACGATATGCAAGGGCTGTCGCCGCCAACAACGGCAGAGCTGTTCCCGAAGCCCGTCTTCCACCAATGTTCTTAGGTGGAGTACTCTTCACGATCGGAATGGTATGTTAAGTTCGACCCTCGATATCGCTCCTTCACTGACATGGATACTCTTTTAGTTCTGGTTTGGATGGACAGCAGACCCAGACATTCCATGGCCAAGCTGTGTAGTCGCGGCTGGGTTTATCGGAGCAGGCTTCAACATCATCTTCCAACAGTGTATTAACTTCCTTGTTGATACGTACTCGCTCTATGCCGCTTCTGCGGTATCTGCCAATACGTTCTTGCGCAGTTTGATCGCAGGAGGTCTACCGCTCGCAGCGCGGCCCATGTTCAACCACCTAGGAGTCGGACCAGCCATGAGTATTCTTGGCGGAGTCGCTGCGCTGGCTTTGCCTGTGCCGTTGATCTTCATGAGATACGGACTAAAACTACGAAAGATGTCAAAGTTCGCGCCGGTGCACGAAGACTGAAAAGACAAATCAAGAGCATAGGGATCGCAAGACCAAATCTCGGCCCCTCGAGACGTCCTCCGAACCATTCTTCGAATGACACAGCGATTTATCCAAGTTTTGTGCCCGCTATGAACAACCAAATCATTTGCTCTCACCAGAAGATCATGCCTACATGAACATAACCCTGCCCTTTTCGCACAGGAAAACGAACTTTGTGCCGGGCTGTAAATTCGAAGCGCAGTGTTGCTCTCCCGTTATGTGCTCAAATGCGCTCTATGCAACCCGACAGAAATATGGAGTCATCTGTCTTGACTGAGTCACGACACCGCTGCGTCCCGGATTTCAAAAGTTTTCTCAAGGCTCGCATGCAATTGTCTTGCACATTCATATCTTGGCCGACCCGGAGATCCTCCTTCATCAGCATCAGCATCAGCATCAGAATCAGCATTAGCATTGCCGTCATCATGTTCGTGAGACTTCTCCCCATCGACACTCAATCGAGGTCTACCACCAAAGTCCGGATATCAAACGCGCGACCTGTGGCAGCCACAGCTTTCGATCACTCAACGACGAGCTCGACGGTATCTAGTTGTCCAGACTTGCACTCGCCATCGGAATGTTTTATCGCACTAGAAAGTTCAAGAGACCAGGCATGCGATATCCAGCACACAATAAAATATCTCTGGACCGCTTTAACATACGACATATCTCCCGCCAGATTTACGTTGCGCAACTTGAGTCGCAAAGAGCAATCAGATATCAGATTTCTTCGCTCGCAAAGTCTGATCAACAAATTTATCAAAGTCCTCAACGCCGATCTGGATATGAACCTCAAATTCAATATCAGGGGCGCCATCAAGCTGAATGTCGTGGCTACGATTATTCATCGCGAGAAAAGGTATCTGGCGCATTTCCTCAAAATGTGGGATATACTGGAGCCGCATTTGCACCAACTAGCTTTTTGCGGGATTGCGTGGTCCAAGGAGGTTTTCGATCTGCTGGAGTTGATGCTGCAGACTATGCGACGATTGCAAGATCAGCTTTGCGATGTGCATCACGACCTTCGCAATTTTCTGGACTCTCGAAAAGCTTGTGCGACACAAAATCTGGGATTCGCATCAGCAAGCTTGAGTGCGAGTACTGGGTATGCAGATTCTCAGTTATATTCGGGCTTGCGAAAGCGTGGCAGTGGGTCAGTGAGGGGTTCTTGCAAATCGTCAAGTACTGCAGATAGCAGCTTCCTGTTGAACCAAAGACAAATGGCTAGATGAGAGCGGGGTTGAATGAGTTGCTCGTGAAAGAGGAAGTGGCAGCTTGCCTTGAGTGGGCCTTCCTTCGATAAAAACCAGAAAACACACACTTTGCACTCCACTGAACCGACAAGAAAAACAGTTCTCTCACCCTGATCGCAATTTCCATCAGCCAATCCGCAAAGCTGTCAACATACACAAACATATTGAGATCTGAGACATCGGCCAGCAAGATAACAGGGGTTTCTATGCACCCGACGGGTGCTTCATCAATCGTCAAAACCTTCATGCCTTCTCACAACCAGGCTACGAACAACAAGAGGCCACACAGCTACACTCTCCACCATCATTACATGCAAGCAACGAAACCGGATTATCAACAAATGTAAATCAGATACGTTAAAAACGCAACACTACATACAATATGAAATGGTCAAAGCATCTCCAGCAAACCGAAACACCAAACTCCAAAAATCACTCAGCAACTCCGAGATGTAGTTTGTGAAGCGCAAGATCAGCGCACCTTGGGAGATGGCTTACGTAGCAGCGACAACCACCTAACCAGGCACCTTACTCCTGTGAGACGCGATGAGCTTCATTATACGCGTCATTCTGCTTGGATACATCGTATCCTCCTTTCTTTCAGCGACAAACTTCGTTGGCTTTGTCTTTGGCAATGAAGGCCTAGCTTGCGACTTTGTGGTTGGTTGCGCTTTTGTCGAGTCTAGAGATGGATTCGTCGTCATGGATGACTTTGAGGACTTTGAAGATTTTGATGACTTTGATGAGGAGGTTGACTTTGAAGTCGAGCGCGACCTCCAAGGATGGCGGGCGGCACGTGTGCCCTCCATTTCCTCGTCTGATGATGGCATGTCGAGCTCCCTGGCGTCTGAATTGGGAGCGTCTGGATCGGGCATTGGATGGTCGGGAGGTGATTTTCCGCCCGGGTTCATGCCATCCAGATCCATCCCGTCGCCTTCATCATCGTCTTTGCCGCCTCCGCCACCTCCACCACCTCCACCACCTCCACCACCTCCACCACCTCCGCCACCTCCGCCGCCTCCGCCACCTCCGCCGTCTTTACTATCTGTTCCATCTTCGTCTTCGTCTTCAGCATCTTCTTCGGTGATCATCTCCTCGGACAAGTCTGCGACGTGCCCGTTTTCAGGGCTTTCACGACGAGAAGCGGGTCTGAGGTCCTGATTGCCAGTATCCCCGGCTCTAAGACGATTGATAGGTGGAGTGTTGGGAGGCTGCGTGAATGAAGGCTGCCTGTTTTCAGGGCCCAAAGGTGGCAAGACGAAGTTTCCAACGACAGTCAGGGCTGTCCAATGCAGTGCCTCTGAATAATTGGCCAGATGTAATTGACGGTCTTCAGTCTGTGGTTGTCCTCTGACAATACGGTACCAGTCAGTGACTCGGCCGGCATCGCTCCAGATCGGCCTGTACATGAAGATCTCGACATCTAATGCGTCAGCAACCAGCTGAGCCATGTCTTCGTCTCCCATTTCCAGATTCCGTATACGCGTCTCCAGCGACCCATGCGTGTTTTGGCGGCTGTCGTTTTGGAGAGTCTGGTAGAGAGCGAGTCGAGTCTGGCGTGCGGGATTCGTAACATTTTCTGGAGGACGCATTACAGCATCCCACAGTTCTTCGACTCTAGCGTGAACGGGGTATTGTTCTGAGAGTGGTCCTGATGTCACGTCTCGTTCACGTCCAAGCCAAAGACGTTGCACGGCGTGCCAAAAGCAACGATTGCCTGCTCCGGAGACATTGGTTTGGCCGAATGTCTGAGTTTGTCCTCCTGTGGTCATCGTCAAACGCCTTTGTTCTGCCATCTCGAGCTCCTCGGAATTGAAGACTCGTCTGGCATTGTTTCCTCTCGTGGCTCTTGTGTTTCGGGGAGCAGCAGGTTTGCCTTTAGCTCCCTTGCCGGTACCACCTTTCTTTGCGCCCTTTCCGTCTGTTCCAGTTCCAGTTCCCGTTTCTTTGCCTTTGCCCTTGTCTTTGGCTCGAAGGGCGAGATTTTCAAATGGGCCGCCAGCATCATCATCGTCCTTCTCCCCATCACCAGTTCCGGCTGCTGTCTCGACCGTCTCCGATTCAGGGACTTCGACTTCACCGAGTAAGGATATGATGCTGTCAAGGGCTGCTCTGGTCTCTCCAGGCAGTCCGGGTAGACGTCGCCCTCTGGCAATCTCATACATGAGAATGGACCTGTCCAAGTCCCAAAGCTCTCCTTGAGTGCTCAGGCCGTACCTTCGGCACTTTTCCTCGAGTTCTTTGCGAGTAGGGTTCACGCATCTTGACCCCTGACTCTTTAAGAGGTTGAGCAACTGTCGCAGCGAAAGGCCATGGTTATTCCATTGTTGATCAAGGGCCCTCTCTTGTGCTTTGACCCTTTTGATCTCTTCCAACTCTTCCTCTTTTACTTTTTTTGTAAGAAATCGGAACTGTTTCTGCTTGCCGGGGTACTTGAATCCTCCCTTCGTCACCTCGTCAACAACTTTTTCCAACATCTGTTTTGCTGGTTTTCTTCCTTCGGCTGCATCTGCCTCCTGGGCCCTTTTGGAGAGATATTTGAACCGGGCTATATCATGAGGGTTCTGCACTCCTCGCTTCTTGAGCTCCTCGACGAGTTGTTGGGATAGTGTTTTCGCGAGATTTCTCAATGCCAATGCGGTCATTGGTGCGGTCATCTTCCTCTTCTTCTTGCCCTTTTCTTTGCTCTCACGCAGTATGCAGATAGGGGCGACCTCTGTATCGAGTTTGTATGTCTTTCCGTGCTTTCTTCGCCTCTGATTGCGAGTCTTGCGGCTCGGCTTCTTTGGAATGATGATTTCCGAATACACAGTATGGCCGTTGATGTTGTCTACGGCACGAAGAGCCTCTTCGATATCATCGAGCAAGTTGTCGCAGCGTTCGCGCAGATTAGTGATGGGGTCGACAGGTTCTACCATTGGGACATCTGAGTCGTCGGAATCATACGAGGGATGGGCTTCATCATCTGCGCCTTCAGTGGGGTCGATTGGAATTCCAAGATCTCCAGCTCTGCGGGTCAGGTGGGCGTTTAGTCTCTTGTTCTCGGTGTTTTGATCAACGAATGGATCTGGTGATGCCGTCGAGCCTGCGGATGAGACAGAGGTTGTGGGAGAGGGAGGTGATGGCTTGGCTCTTTTGGGGGAAGGTGCACCATTTCCTTCGCCCGAAGCCTTTCTCTTTGGGGTCTTCTTGGGAGGCATTATCAGCAAGTATCAAGAGTCGAGTACGTGTCTGAGGAAGACGACAGAGTTTCGTTCGGACCAGAGAAGGGGTGATCAACGGGGGGTGAAGAAGACAACTATTTGTGGATATTCCACCAATACAACAAAGGACCACACTCATTGTCTGTTTGTGACCTCGTCGCCGCCGGATCCGGTATAGGCATTGATTACAATGGCAGATGTCACATATTTCCGCATCCGGAACTCGCGGGCATTGTCCCTCGACGAGGAAGTCACAAATCTGTCTTCGAGCGTGCTTTCCCTTGTCCCCGTCGCTTTCTTCAACATTCGAGTTATGCATTGGAATGTACAGACTATCGTCAACAAAGAAATGTCCATCTATCAAGGATGTCCACAGCCGAATTGGGATGACTCGACAATGATGAGGAAGATTGAGATGCTTCCACCCCATACACATCTCATCGTCTTTGCTACCATCCTCGGTCGTAACTCGAGACATACAAGACCTGCAGAAGTATACGATGCTATTCTTTTAACATGATCATCCACGGAGATAAGGAGTTTGACACACTCTCAGTGACGGCGCTTCCGGATCAAAAATTATGATGCGTTCCAGCACTTACATCGTGACAGACCATGCAACGGAGGAAGCGAATTATTTTTTGCAATTGAATCGAGATTGATTTGATAACAGAAAGTGAAAATCATATACTTTAACATAGAAATCATTGAATAAAAAGCACAACCAACATATCATCCAAACCCTCTATGCTCAAGTCATCTACTGTATCAGGTAGAAGATCTAACAAGGCTCAAGACGGCGGCGGAAGACGAATCGATCGTGTTGATGTTCTCGACAATGGAGATCGCAAAGCACCAGAAACCATCTCGGGACTATACATTGCACGTAGCCAATCCATGTACACCTTGCTCTTGTACGCTGGCTTCTTGACGATGTTCCTCTGCGCGCGAGGGGGAGGGGTAAATCTGTTGCGCGCTCTGTTTCTTGACTTTTGACGAGCTCGTCTTCTTGCCCGTCTTTCTCTGTTTGTCTCGTGGGTCCATGAAGTGCCTACCCAGTTGTTTGGAGGTTCTAAGGAAGTTTGAGGGGGCTGATTCGTCTTTGAAGATGGAGTTGACTTGGAAGGTGGCGATGAAGCTGACGATGAAGACGATGAGGAAGACGATGAAGAAGATGATGATGATGCGGTCGACTCTCCTGCGATATNTTCGAGGAGGTCCCGCATATCCTGGACTTCCTGGTGGTCTTATACCTCTTGTAGGTGATCGAGGGCTAAAAAGGGGTCTTCCGTCATTCCTGTCGTTCCATGGAGATGATTTGCTTGAGGGTGAGTGGGAGACAACCACAGTCGGAACTCCTCCACCATTTCCACCGGCCGAGGGGGTACCATCTTCGGCATAATACTCGTAAAACTCGTATTGCTCTTCGTCATCCTCTTCCTGTTCCTCTTTTCCTTCCTCTTCCTCTCCCTCTTCCGCTTGCTCTTCCTCTTCCTCGTCCATATCCTCATCCTCATACTCATACTCATCCTCATCCTCGGTTGCCTCCTCAGTCTCTCCATCCGCCAGGTCCCTCACCGTGCAATCCGCAACATGACCATCTTCGGGATCATCATGCCTTGCTTCAGGTCTGAGATCGAAATTGTCAATGTGTCCAATAGGAAGACGGGGTACAGGTCCTGGAGGGTCCAGGGTGAAGTTTGGGGTCGTGGCCATTGGGTCGAGATCAGGCATGGCAAAAGTTCCTACAGGTCGTAACGCAGTCCAATGTATTGAGTGCATATAGTTGGCAATATGGATCTGTCGTTGAGGGTCGGTCTGTGGTTGGCCGCGTGCAAGTCTGATCCACGAGGTCGTGCCGTCTGATTCGTACTGAGGTGTGTAGGTGAAAATTTCGACGTCAAGCGCGTCGGCAACCAGCTGAACCATGTCAATGTCACCTGCATTCAATGTCAGTATGTCATGAAATATCGTATTTGTACAAAGACTTACCCATTTGCATGTTGTACAAGCGGTCTTCCAAGCTGCCGTCACGAGCGTTGATGCTGTCCCACTGCATGGCTCTGTAGAGCGCGCGTCGGCTCAAACGAGCTGGGTTTGTTGTACCATCGGGTTGATGCATGACCTCCTCCCATAGATCTATCACCCTTGAATTGACGGGATAACGCTCTCCGAAAGTGGTACCATGCCCCTGTTCCTGTCCAAGCCAGATTTCTTGGATTGCATGCCACATGCAACGGAACCCTACCCCTGAGACGTTCACCTGTGTGAATTGTTGAGTTCGACCACCGCTGCTGATGGTCACGACTTCTTGGTTCATGATCTCGTTGTCTCTGTTTCTTCGCTGATCCTCGTCCAATCTCTTGCCATTTGCTGCTTCCGCTTGGACGCTCCATAGCGCAGACACGATATCTTCCATTTCACCCTGAGGCAAGTCGTATAGGCGTTTCTTAGCCGCGAGCTCGTACAGAGTCACGGCCTTGTCCAGGTCCCACAGAGTGGCGCCGACGGTATTTAAGCCATACTCCTTACACTTCTTTTCGAGTGCAGAGCGAGTAGGTTCCTCCACGGCAGGGCCTGTGTGGTTATATAAATCGAGAAGCTCTCGAAGTGTAAGGCCGTGCTTTTTCCATTGTTTGGCCGGAGTCTTGGTTTCTGTTTCAGACCTGGGATGCTGAATTCTCTTTTTTACCAGATTATCGACAAGGAGACTTGCTAGAACTCTTTTCATCTCCTGCAATTCGGCGTTTGTGACAACTACAAATCCATCAGGGAAGTTTTTGGATCTGCGCTTTTTGGTGGTCAATGGTTCGATATGCTGATCGAATGGGATTGTCTTGTCCTTTGCGCGCTTCTGACGACGAGTTTCTGTTGATTTGTGCTCCGATAGGAGTATGTCTTTATAATACCCACGACCAACAGCACGGAGGGCTTCCTCGATAGCATCAAGGGCGTCATCAAGACGCCCACGCAACACCCGCTCCTCATCGTTAGGAGAGTCGTTGCCGTCATTGCTGCTGCCGCTGATGTCGTCGCTGCTGCCGTCGTCGTCGGCCTTGCGCCTTCGTTTGGCTCCTTTGGCCGGCTTGTCGCTATCGCTGTCGCCTCCGGAGTCATCACCCTTCCCCTTACGCTTGCGCTTGACCCCTGTAGTTGGCTTTGGTGCTGGCGTTTTTCTAGGACGCTTGCCAGCCGTGACAGGAGTGGCCAGGGGTGCGGCCACGGGGGCGACCACAGGTATGGCGCCGGCAACAGGGGCTGCGGCTGCGGCCTCCGCTCTTGCCATAGCTCTAGTCTTGACCGTAGGCTTATTGTCTTTAGCCTTGTCGGCCTTCTTAGTCTTCTTAGGAGGCATTGTTAGTGGCTGCTTGTTGGGCCGAAATGATAACAGAGGTTTAAAGACAGAGGGCAAAGCTTTGCTGGAACGATGACAAGTTTAGAAGTTGAGGAATCAGGGGAGTTTGAGCATCTCGTCTACGACGACAATAGAAAGCTGGACTTATTGTCATTTGGTCGCCGGATCCGGTATTCTCATTGATGACAATAGCAAACACCATGTTTCCGTATCCGGTTGCTGAAATTTATTCACTTGCAACAATGCAAGAAGCTTTTGAGGATTCGAGATTGGTCCAATGAGAGAGCAATAGTTTCGGGCTCTCAGTGGACTCCCTCTGATTTCTCAATATCATCGTGCATTTTGACAGAGAATTTGGTGCCATGAGAGGACAGAGAGAGTTGTATGCGCCGGACAAGAAAACTTCATGCGCTTGATACCACCACGTCGAATTGCCCTTGTGTGTATCGTGGCATCTGAAAATGCTCCGTTTCCTTTTTTTTTTCCGGAGACCTCAGCCAAATCCTGATGCTGGATTCGAGAGTAACGACACCTGAAAGTCATTCTTTCTTAACGTGAACGCCTCGGACGTGATGAACAGTTCTAGGCTTTGTGACGCGCTTCGTGTGAGATGGCATGTTGCTTTGGACCGTGACTAAAACTTATGTTGCGAGAGCTCTCCATCAAGCCGCGGTCATTTCGCCTTATCCCAGGCACACCGCCAGTAGTCAGTGGAAGTGTAATGTTCGGTGCGAATTGACTATCTTTATAGCTACAACCGCGTCGATCTTCCGCTTTGCATATTATTCAGCGAATTCAGCATTCAAAGACAGGTTAGAGATGCAGGTAGGCTTGACCATAATATGCTTGAGACTAAAAGGAGGCGGTAGCTATTCAGATTGCTGCTCGTCTAAGCAGATGTTGCTTGTCGCAGAGATAAACTTGTTGATGGAGTCAGCGATGTAAGCACCATCGAAAAATACATGATACAAAGACATGCACCTCCCAAGTCCCTGACGCTATTTCGCACAATCAACTGTTCCGCATTGTCTATTTTTATTATTACGAACCTTGCACGTTCAAGACGACAGAGCCGCAAGCATCACTTTGCTTCACAGCTCTTCGCCACTCGCCCAAGCGTTGTTGAGGTCTGTGGGCGCAGCACTGCCACTCGTTGGCTCAGACAGGGGAAACTCGCAGAGGGACCCAGAACCAAGACGCGTTCAAACGGTGGCAGGCATCCCCAATACACATAGTACCCTGCTCTTATACCGTGCGCCGAGCACAGCACCGTTGTGAGACGGTAAGGGTATCCACCTGAGATCGTCATACAAAGGGGGGAGTGGCCGGTCATATAGTAAGGCGGGAGTGGGCGGGTTGCGCATGCGCGTCCACGGCAGGTAAGAAACAAAGAACAGGGAACAGATGAAAATCAGCAATTTCGAGGCCGCCTCTTGTCCACCTCTGAAGTCAGGACAAGGAATCGAGATGCCGTGGAATCGGGTGCGCGGGTTCTGTGAGCGCGGAGGGGTACCCCAAAGCAGAGGTTGAATGACGGTGCAGTCGTTGCCGGGTGCGGCGCAGGACAAAACAGCTTGTGCAGCAGACGTGCATCGAACCAGACTTGTCCCCTTCTTTGTTCAAATGACCACAGTCATACTTTTCTGCCAAAGTAAGGATGCCTGGTTTTTGTGGTAGACCAGGACAAATGGAAGCAAAATCTCACGATAGACGTTGGAGTAATTGTAATACTACACAGTATGCTTGTCATGGTACAGCACATGATGGCCCATCAGGTGGCCAGAAGATCAAGTTGATCAACATTGCGGGTCTGCCCCGTGATGGCCGTGCGTCTTGCACTTGCCTGTTCCTGGCACGCTAGAGGAGAAACAAGCCTTTAAATCCCCTGGGACTGATTGGAGTAACGGTCCCTGCGGAAGCCAAAAAAGACATCGCAAGCAAGGGGAGTAGGGGTAGGCTTAGTAAGTTACTCAATGTCAGTTACTCGTAAGTTCCGAGTAACTTACTAAGTTGGTTACGGCCGAGGTATGACCGCCCCGCACCGTTGACCTGATCGCCTACCGAGGCCCTGTTTTTGGACGATTTAGTAAGGGAAATGGGCCATTTATTGGGTCAGCACGGGTCAGATGGTCGGAACTCTTAAAAGTCATATTTATTGCGAAGAATTCATAAAATCGAACTGTAGCGCCGGTAGCAACACTCCTCTATATATATAAGTGTTCTCCTTATGTTAAGCATAATGCTCGTAGCTGTTTAAGTTATAGTCTAGCTCTCCGAGGACTAGCCTCGCTAGCGGCCCTATCGAGCCTTAAGTCTATATAGTTCCTTAAGTAGTTACCTCTAAAGCTCGTCGTTCTCTCTAAAGCTNCTCTAGAGTAATGTTTAGCGAAGGTAATCTAGCGTAATACTAAGTATNGCAAGGGGTGCTAGGGCGGGTNTATTAGAAGTTTTAGCTTAGGAAGGATNACCTAATAGTCGATATAGACTGCTAACTAGGAGGAGGGTCTAGAGCTAGTGTTAACGNANNAGATAATTAAGACTAAGGTCCTCGCTTCCTTNTCGATTTCTTAGGCCTTTATGTCTACGCCGTTAATGCCTTTTAAGCGGCCTTCTTAGTTAGATAGTTCTCGCTAGTCTAAAGATGCTAAAGGAACTACTAATGCGGCCTTGTAACCTACGACGGTAATAGTAATAAAAGGTTAAGATCCGTGCTTCGAAGCGACTAAGGAGTAGGAGGTAAAGCATCGACCTAATAACATAGTTCTAGAAATGGCGCTAACTAACTGTCCTCGGGCTCTTTTCTCTCGATCTAAGTAGCGCTAACTATAGCTACGATGTTATCTATTAGGTCGTTAAGGACTAGCTCTAACATGTTAAGGCGCTTAAGTTTATTAAGGCAGAACCGGTAGATCTGTTGCTTGTTAAGATAGGCCCTCTATCGCTCTACTCGTCGCTCGATCATCTTGCTTCTTAATTAGTTAGTCTAAAGGATCTCCCTACGGTTAAAGGCGCGGCAGTTTATGTAGATAGCGTATAGCATCTTCGTAGTAAGGGTTAACATACGAGAGCGGTAAGAGTTTTAGATGTAGTTTATTGCTAAGAAGGACCTTTCTAATGGCACGGAGTTTGCCGGAGTAATGGCTAGACGACTAGCTAACTTAGCTAGAGCTAACGCACTAAAGTTCCCTATAAAGTTCTAAAAGGTCTAAGGATTAAACCTTACTTTATCGCGCTATAGTTAAGCCCTTAAGAAGACTCCCTTGCGCTCGATATACGCTACTAGTTGTCGCTAAAACGCACCGATTTCCTCGGTAGGAACATGTTGTTCGAAGAACCGGTAAGTAGCTACCTACTCCTTAGGTGATTGCTTAATGTCTTTAGCATCTAGCTAGCAGTTAAGAAGGTAAGTAGCATAATGGATATTAGTCGTTTAGATAGCAAGGCGCTCGTCTAACTTCTTTAACACTAGCTCGCCGTCCGGCAATGTTTACGCCTCTAGTTCTAGTCGAAGATTACGCTAGCGAGGAATAACTATACCGACAGTCGACTAGTCGTTTTTAGAGAGCTTCTACGCAAAGTGAAATGGTCTAATTAAGTTAGTAAGGGCCTCGATTTCCTTCTACCATTCTAACGAGTCTATTAGTAGGCAAACATCGACATTAGATAGCAGTCCTCTATAAGATGCACGCTCTAGTAACCCTCGATTTTTTAGTAGCGCTATTATAGCTATGTAATGAGAGCCCTATCGGGTTAAGTAGGCGATCGCGAAGGCATATAACTTTACGCCTTCCTCCTTAGCTAACTCTAGTAGTAGTTGCTAGACCTTATCTAATGCCCTTAGGTAAGTTAGGGCCATGTTGACCTCTCTTAAAGTTAAAGAATAATACTTAATGCTACTAGCTGTCTCCTAGTTAGTAATATCCTTTAGTCCGAGCTGTAACCTATGCTTATCGTAGAGAACATAGAACATATGCTAAGTCCTTAGGTCCTGCTATAGGGCACGATAGAAATTACGCTATATCGTGCACGTATTAGTATAGATACTGTTCTACTTCTAGAGCTTATTTCCCGTTAGCTTACTAACCTTCTCGATGACTATGTCCTTAGTCTAGTCGCTACCTATAGTTACGCCTCCTCCGTTTACGGCATCGACAAAAAAAGCCTAGCTATTAGCCGTGTTAATAGACAAGTTTAAGACCCTGTCTCTATTGTTTGCGCTAGATTCATCGGTAATAAAGTTTAGGTAGGGCCGGTAACGATAAGCTCCGGAAGGACGTTTAGATGCGATGATATTGTCTAGCTAATCTTTAACCTCTTAATAGCACTCTTAAAGAAGCTCCTTTATAAGGCGATGTCTAGATAGGGGCGAGTAGTTAAGCTCTAGATTTAATGCTTTAAACATCGCCTAGAGATCTAGATTCTTCTCGTAGGTGTTAAAGGGTAAACCCCCTCGATATAGCGCTATACTAGCTATCTTATCTAGCTTATGTCGATTAAGTAAAGGCCTTAAAGAAACAGCGTTAGTCATTACCCCGACCTTGCTTAACAGTCTATTACGATGAACCTCTAGATATTGTCTAACCTTAGGGTCACCCTACCGCACTAATACCTTAAAGTCCTTAAGGAACGGTAGGCACTCGGCGAGGTAATTAACCTTACGCTCGTTTCTATTGTTCTTAAGTGTAAAATCCGGACACTAGTTGCACTTGTACGTAGAGTCTCCGATGCTAGTAAACTAACGTCCAATAACACTAGTCGGCTTGCCTCTACCTCGCTTGGTCGACATTGCTAATTATTGATGTATATACAGCTAGCAGACCGTCGTCTTAATCACCTCTAAAGCCTCCGGAACCCCCTTACGAACAACCGCTACTAACGTCAATAGCTCGGCCGAGCTCGGCTATATCGGAGACCGGTAAGTTACTCAAAATCTGCAGCAAGTTACGGCAGTAACTGACATTGAGTAACTTACTAGTAAGTTCCGTAACTTGACCACCCCTAAAGGGGAGAGGCTCCTGTGTCGTCAAGCAGCGTTTAATCTTCATAATGCTGACACGCGCCCTGCCACATGCACGGGTAGGTGGGTAGATGCAGCGAAGACGGTGACGCTTCTGGCGCCAATCGCCTCGGCAGACGCTGCAACGCTCCTGCTACAAGAAAACCGACCAACTTAGACTGCCCCTGTGTCTGTCCGAGTCTTGGCCAAAGGTTTTATCTTGTCCTTACTCCTGCTTGAGACTGCCTCTTTTTCGTCTTTCAATTCCATTCAACTCTTTTCTCATCTCTCGCTGGTCAGAGATACGCCGAGCTTTGGACTCGTATTGCTGTGCAATTAAAGCTTCTCTACCAACATTCCTCTGCTGGACAATTACCTTCATCTCTCTGAGCATTCCGCTTTCAGATAACATTCCATCCGATTTCCCTTAGCAACAACAACCGAACCCAGCATCACCAATCAAACAGGTCTCCATAAAGATATACCGTGGACACCTGCAACATCTTTTTTGATCATTGGCGGCGACTATCTGGGCCCGGAACATCATCTCGACATCACCTAAGACAACATGTTTTTCAAACACACATTAGCCGCATTGAGTGCGGTAGCGACTGCATTCGCTGCACCTCAGTAAGAATTCATGATATGCTGTACGACGTCACAATGAGGCTGACAATGCTGCTACAGTATGAAGCGTGCCAGTGGCTTCAACTGGGGGAACGAAGTCATGCGTGGAGTCAATCTCGGTGGATGGCTGGTCCTCGAGCCGTGAGTCAAGCTCTCTTCATCTATGACCACACGGTTCTAACATTAGCTCAGGTGGATTACTCCCTCAATTTTCCAAGCCTACCCAAACTCACAGGGCATCATTGACGAATACACACTCGGCGAGAAGCTTGGTAGCGATGCTGCCTACAACGTTCTAAAGCCTCACTGGGATTCCTGGGTACAGCTTGCCGATTTCGAAAAGATTGCAAAGTCTGGCTTCAACGTCGTCCGTATCCCGATAGGTTACTGGGCATACGACAATGCCAACAGTCCCTACGTATCTGGAGCTGCTCCGTATATGGATCAAGCCATTGCATGGGCAAGACAAACCGGACTCAAGGTCATTGTAGATTTGCATGGTGCACCTGGCTCTCAGAATGGTTTCGACAACTCCGGTCAAAAGACAAACAACGTCGACTTCCAGCAAGGAGATAACGTGCAGCGCACTTTGGCCGTCTTGCAGACAATCCAGAACAAGTATGCAGACTCATCCTACGACGACGTTGTTGCAGGTATTGAGCTTCTCAACGAGCCTCTCTCCACGGTGATGAACCTGGACGACCTCAAGCAGTTCGAGCGCAACGGCTTCGGTCAGCAACGCACCGTGTCTAAGAAGCGCGTTGTGATTATCCAAGACGGCTTCCAGCCACCAAACACCTACAACGGCTGGTTGACACCTTCGGACAACAATGCCCAGAATGTCGCTCTCGACCACCACGAATACCAAGTCTTCAACAACGAGCTGGTCTCAATGCAACCCTGGCAACACCGTCAGTACGTCTGTAACAACGCCAAAACTTACAGTGGTGCCGACAAGTGGACCTTCGTTGGCGAGTGGTCAGCGGCTATGACTGATTGTGCGGCTGCATTAAATGGCTATGGCATTGGTGCCCGTTACGACGGTACATACCCTGGCAGCAACTATGTTGGATCTTGTGGCAGCATCAACTACATCGATCAGTGGTCGCAGACCATGAAAGACGACACCCGTGGCTACATTGAGGCCCAGATGGAGGCTTTCGAGAGAAACACCATCGGATGGGTCTTCTGGAACTTCAAGACCGAGGGCTCACCCGAATGGGATGCCTTCCGCCTGATCGATGCCGGCGTCTTCCCTCAACCTCTTACCGACAGAAAGTTCAGCCAGATCTGCTCTTCATGAAGCGATTGCGTCGTACAGAAACACTGGAATTGTGTATGATCACCAGAACACAGGACTTATATCATCCCGGAAGCATATGCATACAAAGCGCAGGAGCATAGGCAGCGTGGTCTTCTTCACCGGCCCAATTTCGTATTTCTGTTTCCTCATCCTCTTCTTCTTTTTGCGTCTTTGCGCGTCTAGCCATTTTCCAATACCCTTCTTCTTGTGGTCTATCTTCTCCATACAGTATCTTTGCTGGTAGAAATAATTGTATTGCATAACTTTTGACCATAAAGCTCACGTCTCCCTGTCTTGAACGTGCTTTGATGTGATGTGCAAATAACGTGTGTCTTGAGCACCGGCAGTGTGCGCTGGCCTTTTTTCAGAACGACGCATTGTATCTGACTGACACGTCCGCAAGTGTCTGCATCAAGGCCGGGAGCACTCCAAAGAATATGCAGATGATTTTACTCTGAGCATTCTTGCGAACAGCTGTGTCTTGCAGTTTTCTCGACTGATTGGCAGCCGGCTGTGCTTTTTGTGTAGATCGTGGTTGCCAGGTCGAAGATGATGTCGCGAGTATGTCCTGAAGCCTGAGTCCTTTAGAATTCGATCTGGAAGTATTGACGGCTGATGCTGCTTCGTTCCTTCTGTTATTGGATCCAATGAAGCGTGGCGATCTCGACGAGATGTCTGCGAGGAAGTAGCAATGAAGGGCAGCGAAACCGAGTATCCCTTCCGAGCTCTCGAGATGAAATTTATCTTTCCTCGTCGATATCCACCATCACCACTCAAAAGCCCCAGGAACTTTACAATTCTCCAATTTTCCCACTTCCTCTTCCTCTTCCTCTTTAACATCCCCATCATCCCCCTCCTCAGTCCCCACAACCTCCCTCAACAAAACACACTCCTTCCAAACCTTCAACTCCTGCGCAAACAACTCCATAACGCAAGGATCACAACTACTCCCACAACAATCTCCCGCCGCCGGTTTGATCGGTTTCGTGCGTGATGTGGCTGCGGAAATCAATGCTGTTTCTCGAATAGGCGCGGGACGGGCTTTGAGTAACTTCGTCAGAGTTGGAGAGTGGGCTTTTAGGATTTTTAGGGAGGGAGGAGGTGGAGGTGGTGAGGTTGTCATGGGTTTTGCTTTGGGGAGGTTGTCGTGATGTGATTTGGCAGTTAGTCGTATGGTGAGTCAAAGTGAGAGGATGGTTGGTGCTTTCAGGTCGTACGGGTTTGAATCAGTATCGATAAGTGTTGGGTCCATGATGGAGAGGACATTCCAATGCTTTTGTTATTTCAATCGAGAAGGGGTAGTTGTCTTCGGCTTTTGATGTCGGGTGATTTCGGAATCTGGTGGTCTCTGGGATGACCCTGATCTGACATTCACCACCTCCTTCCCCTGCGACAGTAATGGTGAACTTGGTTCACTATCTGCCTTGCGTCAAGATTGACTTCTATGGTCTACTGATGTGGAGATATCGAATGGACGGTCAAATGACATCGATATCACTTTTTTGAGATGTTGTCGATTCTTGACAGCAGACCAGGCGGTGGTCTGTCGTGAACTCTTGTGCTACTCCAACTCAAAAGTGTCATTATCATGGCAGTTGGCAAGAACATCCACAGCTTTAGAGTGTCAGGTAGGAACAAGCTTTTCATTGAAAGTGCTTTGATTGGATAAAGTTACAAAGTGGTTAAGGCTGGGCTGCTTTCTAGAGAATGAACCAAGTGTAAAACTGCAAGGAAGAAAGAAACCAATTTCGTTTCATAAACCCCCATCCGTCGAAACAAAACTCCGTGATATGCGTTTGAAGTTCTTTTTCCGCTTTTCTTCCGTCCTTCTTCGTGGCGTGATGCCTTTTCTCGCCCTTGGGCCTGTCCTCGGCGGCTCACAGGGGTATCTGTCTGTTGGTGGTTCCGTGTATCGGACCATGCGTCGTCAATGTGCTCATCTAATGCTGACACCACTGCGCTTGGTGTACATGCGCGTAGCCACGTTCATGGCAGCAAGCTCCTGGAACATAAGCTTGGCGGCGTACGGAATGATGATCTGTGCAATTTCGGTCTTGTTCTTGCATGGTCTGCACTCGAACTGGTTCTTCTTGAGGGAACTAAAAGTATGTTAGCAAATCTGTTTCAATGTGTGACAGGAGGTCGTATAAACTTACGCAATAGGAGTCATGAGACCACAAATCTCGCAGACGTGGACACGGAAAGCATCTGAAACATCAAGCAATCTCTCCTTCAAGAAAGCAGAGGCACCGTGAGCGATCATACAATCGCGCTCCATCTCTCCGAAACGCAGACCACCGTCACGAGCTCTACCTTCCACAGGTTGACGAGTCAAGATCTGGGTGGGACCACGAGCACGAGCGTGAATCTTGTCGTCGACCATGTGGCGCAGACGCTGGTAGTAGGTGGGTCCCAAGAAGACTTGTGCGTTCATCTTTCTACCTGTGTGACCGTTGTACATGACTTCGAAACCACGTTGCTGGAAGCCGTGTTGACGCAGAAGATCGGAGATTTGAGTGACGGTGACATCAGTGAAGGGAGTAGCGTCACCTTCTTGACCACGTAGAGAACCAACCTTTGACAGAAGACACTCAATCAAATGAGCAATGGTCATACGAGAAGGAATAGCGTGAGGGTTGATGATGATATCAGGGACAAGTCCATCGGCGGTGAAAGGCATGTCTTCTTGACGGTAGGTGATACCAATGGTACCCTTCTGACCGTGACGAGAGGCAAACTTGTCACCAATCTGGGGAATCTTGGTTGTTCGTGTGCGGACCTTGACGAACTTGAGACCCTCAACGTTGGTTGTAAGAAGTACCTGATCGATGAGACCGCTCTCAGTGGAACGTAGAGGAGTTGACACATCGCGCTTGATGTGGAATTTGGTACGCTGGCCGAGCTCCTCAGCGTCGGGAGCCATAGGCGCAGTCTTTCCGATGATAATATCCTCACCAGACACACGAGTACCGGGTGCAATGATACCATCGTCATCCAGCTTGTCGTATGTTCCGTGCTTCATTCTCATAGTGTCTCCACGAGTAGGCTTCTCGAATTGTTCCACAACCGACATACCAACACGCTTCTCTTGATCCATGTAAGCACGGTAGAAAAGCGAGCGGAAAAGACCACGATCAATCGACGACTGGTTCATGATGACGGAGTCTTCTTGGTTGTAACCACTGTAACATGCGATGGCGACAATAGCGTTTTGACCGGCGGGCAGTTCTCTGAATTTGAGATACTCCATGGATCTCGTGGTACCGAGAGGCTTTTGAGGATAGTAAAGGACGTTCGCCATGGTATCCATGCGCACGTTGTAGTTGGTGAGGGTGATACCCATAGCTTGTTTACCCATGGCAGATTGGTAGGTGTTACGAGGCGACTGGTTGTGATCGGGGAAAGGAATAATGGAAGCGCAAATACCAAGAATCATGGCAGGGTGAATCTCGCAATGGGTCCATGTTCTAACGTTGGCGTTTGGCCTGCTCTTGATTCTTCGATGAGGGTCAGTCACTGGCTCTTCGTAAACGAGTCCAGCTCTCATCTGGCGATGCTCGTCGAGGTCTTCAGGTGACATGACCATCATGGCAACCTCTTCTTCCTCGGCATCGAGGTACTCAACGACACCATCACTGATCAAGTTCTTCCAGCCATAAATTGTACCGTCGCGCTCCTCTTCGCTAAGACCGATAGTGTCAGTCTCGCGTGCATTAAGCAGCTGAGAAATGTGAGATCTGTTCAGGGTAAGCTGACCCTTGGTCGGACTTGCAGGGTCATTGTTGACAACGAACAGCGGTCTCATGACACGACCAGCATCAGTGAAAATCTTGAACTCTCGCTCACGAACATCTCTGATGAGTGAGATTTCGAAAGAGATGGTGCCGTTACGGCGGAGACTTTGCACAACCTTGACGAGCTGAGAAGGGTCTCTGTGAACACCAACCCATACACCGTTGACGAAGACCTTTGTGGCATCCGGGTTGTTCTTGGGCTCATACTCTTCGAGCAATTCCATGTTTCGCTGGTTCATGAACTCAACGATGGGCTCGGCAGGCGTACCAACACTGACGTAACACATGAGAGACAAGTTCTTGACCAGACCGCAAGCCTGTCCTTCGGGTGTTTCTGCGGGACACACAAGACCCCAATGGGTGTTGTGCAATTGGCGAGGCTTGGCGATTTTTCCGTCACGACCGATGGGAGTATTCGTTCGTCGCAAATGTGATAGTGTAGAAGCGTATGTGTATCGGTTCAGCACCTGGGAGACACCGGCCTTTGCCGAGGCTGCCTTTTTCTGATCACCCCAGTTGCCAGTGGCCAAGCAATAGCGCAGACCAGATGTGAGGATGTTTGACTTGACAGCAAGTGTGAGATTAAAGTCTCTACCTTGCTCGATGCAGCGGGAGAGGTAGACACGCATATCGCGCACGAGTTGAGTGAACTTGAGGCGGAAGACTTGGGCCATCAGAGGACCAGACAGATCAAGACGCTTCTTGCCAAAGTGATCTCTGTCGTCTTCGTCGCATCTGCCCAGCATGACCTGACACATACGGTTGATCATGTAACCGAGGAAGAAAGCCTTTCTGGTCTCACTACCCTCTCGTTGCGAGATATGGGGCAAGAATTCCTTTTGCAGGATATCGCGAGCATAACGAATACGCTTTTCCTTGCCACCCACCTGGTTACCACGCTTACCGATGAAGTCAAGAGCGTTTTCGCGGTCTTGAACGACGAAGGCCTCTTCCAAACACGGCTTGATCATCTCGCGCAATTGAGTGTCGTTTGCATCGTAGCAGATGCAGTCAAGAATTTGCATATCTGAGACGATACCGAGCGCACGGAAGACGATGACAATGGGAATGTCGGCCTTGATGTATGGCAAAGTTGCCTTGATGGTGCCGGTCAAGATGCCACCCTTTTTCTGTTCTCCCTTTTGGTATAACTTCAGCTGCATGGAGGAGAGCAATCGGGTACCCTTCTCGGTGGCACTTCTGATTTCAGCGACGATGGGAGTGGGGCTTCCCTTCTTCTTAAAGACCTGGACGATGTTGGCAGCACTGCGCTCCTGGGCGATCAAGACCTTCTCGGAGCCGTTGATGATGAAGTAACCACCCTGATCGTAGGGGCATTCTTGGAAAGCGTAGAGTTCCTGTTCTGAGCGATTGCGCAATGTGCAAATCTTGGACTTGATCATGACAGGCAGTTTTCCGATAAAGACGCGCTCCTCCTTCTCAACAGCGTGTGGGTCCTCTCTTTCCCATACCAGCTCGGTCTCTTCCTCATCGTCTGGCACACTATCCGGGTCTTCTGGATCGTATCCTGGTCGAGCAATGCGTCTCTCGCGGGCGACCAAGACGCGACTGGTCATGCCAAGGTAGATGGGACTTGAATAGGTCAAGTTGCGTAGGCGAGCCTCGTTGGGGTACAGTGGGCGGGTAGAACCATCTCCCTCTGTGATGGCGGCCTGGGAGATGGTGATGTTGCCAAATTCGATTTCGTAGCGGCGCTTGACAATGGGGTTTGCGTCGTCGTCGTCCTGTGGGGCATTTTGGTCGATTACGATGCGGCCCTGTTCAGAAATGATGTCCTGCATGGTGGTACCGGCGAACTCATCGAACGAGTCGAGCTGTTGCGACACCAGACCCTTTGAGTCGAAGAAAGACTGAATGACAGTCCAGCAATCTTCACTTGTGATGATGTCGTCCTCATCGTATTCGGACTGAGCAGGACTGCCCACGCCATTGCCCCAGACGTCGGCCATGGCTGATTAAGTGGTGTGATGGAGCAGGAACGGAAAGCGATGGGATTGACGTGTTTTGAGGGCGGCGGCGTGTGTGTAGGAGAAAGAAGGCGCGCACGCGCTTTGTGGCGAGGGACGGTCGGCGGATCTGAAGAGCGACGCAGCGAAGCGGCGCTGTATGAGAAGACGATGAGTGCGGGAGATGGCGGAGTTGATGGGTGATGGCGAGCGGGTCGAGTGCTCTTGGGCCAGAGAGTCGAGATGCTGCTGCTGCTGCTGCTGCTTGACGCTCGACGCTGGCCGGTCTTGCTCCATGCCGGCAGGGCTAAACGCGACTTGGCACGCGTAATGTGATTGGCTGCACGTGCCACAGCGAACATCTGGCCTCGAGCATCAAGGTAAGGTAGGCACTCCGAGTAGCTTGTCTGTTGATCTTCGCGCCTGTCTGTTGTAGTCTGTCAATTCACACCATCGCAATGTCTGTGCAACCTCTGAACGATCTCTGGGAAGCTGCTGCTGGTCAGCCTTACGAACCCACCATTGGCAAGAACTCCCAGTTCACCGTCGGCATCACTCTGCTGTTTGCTGGTATGCGACAATGACTTCAGACTGTTCGTTCGAGGAGAAGACTAACATAGGCAGCGCTTATTCTGTCTGGTTACTTCGGCCTGAGTATGCCATCTCCAACGCCTCAAGCTTTGTGTCTCAATTAACGTCAACGCCGCAGACCCCTCGCTCAAGAACCTTCCCCTCATTGGCCTTCCTGCTTCTCTTGCTGCCGGGTAACACACCTGTCCGTACGGAGCTTGAACATACGCTGATACACTACAGCTTCGGTGCCGTCTACATGATCTGCGCCGTCGGCGTCTACGTCTGAGCATTTGCTCTCCTTCTTGTTGCCTACCTCCTTCTATTCGCTATTCGAGATACCCATATCAGACCAACACAGCCTCGTTGTATTCCGTACCCGTTTTGTCCAACATACAAGCGACTTGTGCAAGCTGTTCACCAGCGTTGAGTGAAGATGAGTTGCAGCCTGCGTGCAGCACAGGAAAGATTGGACGAAGGAACAGACAGATCAGTGGATCAGGAGAGGCCTACGCCTTCTACAAGCCTTGGAAGCGATTCAGAAAGATCCATAGCGACGCGAAAGCACGAAAGCACGCGCTGGAAGAGCAGTCGCAGTTGCCTAAGGCTGACTAAGCTTGGCATCCCCAGCTTCCATGTTCAATACCACTTCCATTGCTCGTGACTGCCATGTATCAAATAAACACCACTCTCCTGCAACCTTGTGATTTTCTGGAACAGACTTTCTCAAGTCAGAATTCGTGATTTCGCGCCACATACAGCAATCCTTGTGACTCGACACTTTCCACGCCACCTCATATTGCCATAGCAGAATGGCCCCAACAAACACATGTCTATTTAGTGCTGTCTCTCCAGCAGCCCGCGACTTGACTCTGTTACTAAGATGCATCGCCTTTGCTTCCAAGACTCAGGTACGCCTTTCACCAGAAGGTCTGCGTTTCAGCGCTCAGGAAACTAGTGTCATGGAAGGCAAGCAGTTCTTATACCACTACATCCGCCACATGATTCTAACAACACTCAGCCTTTGTCTTTCTCTCCAGATCTCTTTTCACAACTTGGAGCTACCAAGATCCAGAAGCCTCCGAAGACGATTCACCGGAAAATGATCCTACGCCACCAACTTTCCAGATCTCTCTTCCGGCTTTGCTAGAGACTCTACAAATCTTTTCCCTGGGTGACAGCAACGCTTTCCGTCAGCAAGATCCATACGACACATTGAATGCCTTCCGACAGAATCGGAATATCAACAATCCGTTCTCTACTGCTGCTCTCGGATCCTCTGCCCTCTGCCGCATCTCCTACGAGAATCGTGGCAGTCCTCTGTCCATACAGATATCGGAGACGGATGTTACCACGAATTGCGACTTGACAACCTACCAATCCGAAACCACAGAAGACATACCTTTCGATAGGGAGACTCTAGCCCTCAAGACAATTATGCGCTCTGCACACCTAGCCGACGCAATCTCTGAACTCGCCTCCACGAATCCTACCAGTATCTCCTTGATCGCCTCACCCACAGCACCTTATATGTCTCTCTCAGCCACCGGGCCACTAGGCTCAGCTACCGTCGACTTCAACAAAGACCAAGACCCTCTACTTCTCGAGACGTTCCAATGCCCCTCTCGCTTCCGCACCACATACAGCTTCAGACACATCAAGGCTGTATATCGCGCCATGGTCTCCGCGTCCAAGGTCAGCGTGCGCGCAGATGAGCAAGGTGTGCTGAGTCTGCAATTCCTGATTGAGGTGGACCCATCAGCTCAAGCTGAACCTGGCAAAGAAGGTATCGCTTTTGTGGACTTCCGAATTGTGCCGCAGGTCGAGGGAGAGGCTGCGAAAGATGATTCAGAGACGGACGACGAGTGAGAACGTGACGGCTTCTCAGTGCTACCTCCATCAATGACCTCAATGGTCCACTGGCTCACCTCGAGATGCAGCCCGTCCGTCCACTAAAAGCTGGCGACTCTTATATCACGTCGCTCTTAGAACGCCAACAGAAACATGGCTTATCCATCATCGGCAGCCTACGTGCCAGTCACGCAGCGTTTCACAATCAGAATCCACTGAAACTTCGAATGTCTGTTAATCTGCTTCCGCGTGTGGTCAGGAGCCGAGGGTCTACCATATCACCCATGGACCTGATACCGCCATGTCAAGAGGAGTACTATCCAAAGAGAAGAGCTTCTGTCCAGACCACAGACACTGGGGGGATACGATTCTCAGCACGTTATTGCAGAGTTTTATACGCAGACTGAAGCTCTAGAGGAATGCTACAGAAGGTAATCACAAAACATAGAAACAGGGTTATCTCGTGTGCGTATCCGGTTTGTTTCTTTCTACTCTGCATTACTATATACATCATCATCATCTCTCATCAAAACACATTCTGTAATCCTCCATCATGTATCATCTCAATCTTCAATCCAACGCCCGAGAAAGTTGAAACAAAAGCGAAAAGGTATATGAAAATAAAGGGCAAACAATCAAACATCGCTCGCTCGCTGGTTACTCTTGCAGAAGAGTGAAAAGAAAGAAGAAACCAAACAGTCTGGGGGTTTTGGGGGTTGGTCCAAGTCTTTTAGAGGCTTGTGGCAGGGCAATAGTCAATCGTGCCTTGGAGCAGTGGTAGCAATGCTGGAATGGGTGAGGTGGCGGAGACGTCTTCTACTGCGTCCAGGCTGGAAATTGCTCTCTCCAGCACTGGTGGGGAGCTTGGGATAGCGAGGGCTGTGGTAGCGCTGATATCGGATGCAGGAGCCTCAGTAGTAGATCTGACCGCGCGATCAACGATTTCTTGGAATGAGTAGTCCTCATTGCCTTGGTCTCCTGTAGTTGGCATCTCGCTGGCTTGGTTCAGCTCGTTAGGTTTCGAACTGTCCCACATTTCGACCTTTCCAGTCCACATCGGATGTCTCTTGCCGTGGCCAACATCGACTCGGGACGACGTGGACAGTGGCAGCGGCTCACTGACAACTTCAACTTTGCCCTCGAACATGCTGACGCTGTTTTTCTTGAAGCCCTGTGAGGCCAACATGCCGTAGGAAGTAGATACCAGCAAAGTCAAAATGAGGAATGAGATGGCCAGGTTCCGGCGATCTCGCAGTATGAGGTAGAGGTAGTTGCGTAGAAGAAGACCCAATGGGACATCCTTGGGCTGGTAAATGGGCGGAAGGTCGTTGTAATGGGTGGATACCTCATCAGGGGTCTTCAACGGGATAGATTGAGCTTCTTGGTTGGATCGTGGTTGGATTATCACCAGCGCTGTGTCTAGGGGTGATGACGGCAGCAAGGCTTTCTCCTGCTGCTTGGGCGCCTCTGTCGTTTGCATTTCGTGAATCGGTTGAACGGATTGATCGTGGCCTTTTCTCTCGGCATCGTTATCCTCAGCTGCCTGGACGTCTTCCAGCTGGCGACAGACGTGTTCCGGTATGCAAGGTCGGACCTCGACATCAACTCTTTCCATCTCGGACCAGCACGCCGACCATGCGCCAGCTCTCATGAGGCCATTGGCAGCGTACGTTCGAGTGAGCCAGCCTCCTGTGTTGCCTATGTGAACTCGCAGGCAGGTGTTGCAAGTCTTGACTTCTATGTCTTCTTCCTCGTCCTCTTCGCCTTCCAAGACAGTGTTGGGTGTCCGGGGTCTGTATTGTCCATCATAGCCAATGCGTTCGGGAAGCAGGTCCAGAGTCTCAAGCACACCCTCTTCCAAAAGTTCGAATTCTTCCCTGGGATGGGCGATGAGGATGCCTCGTTGGGAGATCAAGCCCGAAGTAGCAGCTCGGAGCACACCGAACTGGTGTTTCAGCTCTGATGGCAAGACCACGTCGAGAACAGTGCGGTTCCAGGGTAGACGCGGAGGCAGAACTGTGACGTGCAGCAGGACTAGTGGTGCGGGTTGTGTTTCTTGCGGGGCCTCATGATGGATTGCATCTTCTCCCCTGCTTCTAGGACGAGCACCTTCTCCTCTGCTCCTGGGGCGACGAGATGTGTGTTTCGGTGGCCATAGCGAGGACGGGGATAGACGCTCGTTGGGCAGAGGTGACCGACGTAGACTTCCTACGCGGTACGTGGGTCGAGGCTTCGAAGTCGAGTAGTGAGGACCGGGTACGTCAGAGTCAGAAGGCCAAGCCGAGTCTGGAAACGAAGAGATGGACGTTGCTGTGATGTTTGAGATGCGGCGTTTAGGGTCATCGTACTCATAGTCATTGTGTTCGTCGTAATCGTCAACTTCAATACTGGTAGAGATTGGGCTGTCGGCCCTGTATCCAGAAGAGCGAGCCATCTCTATCTACTGGCATTCCAGGCAGTTCAACGGCAAAAGATACACTCAAACTCTCTTTTTCGCTGGAGGAAGAAAGCAAGGGACCTGTTCGCGAGTCACGGAGCTGGGGAGTGGAGATAAACCTTGTGTTGTGACAATCGCCCCAGATGTGTTGTCAGGGGCAACCAAACCATGACATCGTTCCTGCCCTTTTGAAACCCTTACAGTGTGCTAAACTTTGTCACCCTTAGCCATCTCTCGCGGCCGCGACCAAGGCCATCCGGGCTGGAAGAATGCACAATGCTTTTCAGACCAGTGCATCCCCCCCACTGGGATGCGCCGACTATCACACTCCGAGTGGAGGGCCGCACTGATCTCAAAAACATCGTGCATTTCTACAGCATGCGCGTGACAAAGTCCTGCACACGGAGAGCCAGTCACACCCCTTATTTGACAACAAAGTACAACGCGCTGGAAGAGATGATCTCATACACATAGCTAGAACAAGGCGAATCGATCTGAACCTGCTCCAGACTCGGCCGGGACCACCTGCTCATTTAAGCTGTCATGTGTAATCATGTCTGGGCCGGCCAACGGCTTTCTATTGTTCGTTGCACTCTACTTGTGAACTGTCCAGCTTTATGTCATACAGCACTCCGGAATGATCGGCTCACCAACTATTATTGAAGTATACAAGCACTTTGTGGAAGTTAATCGACCTTTTCCATGTAATTGGATTGAAGTATATTAAAAAGTAGCTGGGTATCATTGCTGTCCGCTTTTGGACCATGAGCAGTTTTTGAAATGTGACAAAGGAAAATTGGACACTGTGAGTCCATCGAACATTCGTGGTATCATGATCGTACTGTGATCCAGGTGTTTGAAAGTACATCAACAATCGGGAAGCAAGAGGTTTGGCTGTACCCGCGCGTCGCCTTTTCCGCTCCAGATACGTGCACTGTAGGCTTGCTTGGCTTGTTGTAGCTCGGCCAGAAGGTCGGTCTGTGACTCGCGGCTTTCTGACTGAACGGTATCGAATTGTACCACGACTTCGTCTGAGCCGGCTCTGGAAGTTCTTCCTGAGGGTAGGTTGACCATTTCCACGAACGGCTCGCTCTTTGCGCGAGACTTGCCTTCTGAAGCGAATCCATACTGTGCAAATTCTCCACGGCGAGGTGATTGAGGTGGTGAAGTGACACCACTACGTGAGGGAAGGCCGCGCTCCGCAGTGGAAAGCTTGTTCTTCTCCGAGGCGCTCGAGATGTGTGTGCGAGTACGGTCCAAGACGCTTTTGAACATGGGTCGCAAGGTTGCCATGCATGCTGCCACTATTCCCATTCCAGGCTCGATTGTGCTGGCGATAGCAATGGTCGATGCGTTTGAGAAGAATGTGGTGGCATCTTGGTCACCGGAGTGCAGATCGTTGATGTAGAACAGACGGACCACAGAGGCCACACTGCCGAGGACACCGATAATGAGAACGAAAACCACGGAATACTTGTCTCTGCCACGCATGTTGGCTTTGCGAACGACCAAGATCGGGAGAGACACAAAGACCCAATCAGTTAGAGCGTTCATGACGCCGTGGATGTAATTCATCGGGCCAAGAGCACTCCATGCTATGCATTTGCCTTGCACTTTGTGGATGAGGTACTTCGCCGGATCGCCGCATTGGAAGATGGCGACAAAGAAGAAGCCAAAGGTGTAGACCGAGAAGACGATGGTGCTGATGATGATGACTTGACGCTGCCACTTCGCCAGAACCTGGTTACCTGAATTAGCGAAGAAACTCTGATGAAGAAAACTTCGACGACTTACAATGCGCAGGAAGAAAACGGCCAATGAAAGCTTCAGGAAGATGGTCGTAAGAAGATAGAAAGCAAATTCCAGCACAACATACTATCAGTAGTCAGTATCGTTCCAAGATCGCATGTGACTCTTACTAACCTCCAAAGCATTGGAGAGGGGCTTGATTGTCTCGAGATCGTGATTTTGTTCTATCCAAGCGATGTGTACCAGGAAGGCGGCTTGACAAAGGAAGCTGCCCAAGGCAAGTAGAATCAACCAATCATCCCAGCCGAGTGATCGAATCATGTAGCCTCGCACGAAGAAGCGTAAGCTGGTGAAAGTGATTGTGACTGCCAGGAAGGCGGCAGCGATGGCAACCAAAGCTTCGTGATGATATGATGATGGGGGATGGTAGGATGCATTGGAGTTCCAGCTATCTGGGGCCCTGGCCAGCATGTTCGAGGCCATGGCGAAATGTACCTGAGGCGTATGGATCTGGGTATTGTTCGCTTCCAGGCGGACACAGACTCAGTGAACTTGGATCCACAATAAAATGGATGAAGAATCCAATGGTGGCTTGATGAAGTATGGGAATTCAGAACCGAAAGTTGGAAGAATAAGTAGATAGATGGAAATGAACGCGACAGTCGGTACAGCAGGGAATTGAAGGTGAGAAAGTGGTCAGGGCCGGCGAGCGAGCACATGATAGCTGCTATGTATATGCCGGGTTCCTGACTTCAGGTGCTCAAAAGAGCAACAGCCTACCGTAAGGTTAGGTAGCGGCATGACTAGCTTGTTACTTACAGGGCAAGACATGTGCTATGCCACGTGGGTTTTGATTCAGATGGGTCTATCCAACGGATGAACCGCCCAGCAACCTGAACGTTCTGGACATGCCAGCAAAATCGTTCTCAAGCAAGACTTCTAGACGTTATCTAAGGCGTGAACGGTGAATTTGGAGGCCCCGCAGGACCATCATCCTGCTGAGAAAGGAAGTAAGCTCGGCAAGGTTGTCGTTTCGGCCAACGGTTGTGGCTTGCTGAGTTGACGAGCTTCGCTTACTAACAATCCTTTCACAGAGGCTGCTTCGAAGTCTGAGGAAACGGTTTGATCAGAAGACTTGCCACTGGAAAGACTACCATGGAAGTGGAAAGTTCGAAAGATCTTATACAGTGTCGGTGCTGCTTGTAGATTAGATGCTGGTACAGGCTTTGGCACTCAAGCAAGACCGTAGATTGAATGGTTCATCTCCCCACAACAAGCCCTCGTTCCGTTCGCAGACACGATAAGCGAAGCGGGTGTCCTCTTTTCGGAAGCCGCGCCGTATACACAGAGAATTGGGATCGCAGGGTCGTGGAAGGATTTAGGCTCAGACGAGCCGTTTGTGTATGACCAATCGGTGTGCAGCACCCGATATAGGGCCTTTCAAGCCGGCAATTTGATCTCAGCTGCTCCAGCAATCTGGTTCGTGCAACAGCGAGCAGGAAGCGAAGCATGACGAGAGAAATCGGTTCGCCATTGCGATGAAGCGTTGTGACAGACGAGTCGAAGGAAGGACCGGGGTAGAGTCTTGTTCTGAGGATAGGCAAACGGTAAAATCGAAAGTGACGACTCGGCTCCAGGCAACATGGCTGTTCCACATCCTGATGGTGTTCGAGCAGTTACTCGAGAGCCGGTACCGATGTATAACAGCTCACATAATATAAAGCGTTTGTGAATCAGAGAAACGTCGAAGAATCGAAACTTCGACGATGAGAAGCGAAAGAAGGGGAAAAGCGGCCTTCGGTACACGCCGATGCAAGACGTGACCCTGTCCAACGCGTCCGAGTGTCTCTGCTGGCCGCCTCGACTTTCCCGAGAGCAACGACATATGCTGTCAACTTTGAACAATTCATCATTCCTCTTTCGCTGACGTGTCCTAGAGAGAGTCAGACATGAAGCCTTGAGATGCCTCCACCTTCACGCGCACATACCACCGCCGCTGGATCTTACCAAGCGCGTCAGAATCGATCTGCCAGAGCTAGGCACTCGTTAGACGATACTGGCTTTTCCATCGACAGTTCTGAACTCCCATCGGGCCTGATTGTTGATTACAGTATAGACGATGTGGTGAGACCGAGCAATATTGCCGAGCTTGGGCGCGGCCAGCAGATAGAGAATGTTCATCTAGACGATGAGGATGAGGATGACGAGGATGCAGATATCGAGGAGGGTGAACTAGGTAAGGCAAATTCTTTTTCTTCTTGTTCACACTCCGATACCACATATGTGGTTGAATGCCTCATTACATCGTGGTGCCCTCTTCCCTACCGAGAGTCGCCAGAGCGTAGCCATCAAGAGACACATTGGTTCTCGAAACGGAGCGCTATTCAGTGAGAGTGTTGTTTTCGCGGACTCTCACTGGGAAGCTCTACGGTTGCAAAAGTGTTGTGCATTGCGACAGTCGTAAATCGCCAGTTCCAATTGTCGTGGCATGCTGTTTAGGCAAAATCCATCCGTTTGCTCCTGCTCTACACCTCGTTCCTCACTAGGTCAAAGCTGTAAAGCCGCACCTCAACTACGCGCAACTGCTGAATCACGACCTCAGCCGTGACAACCCTGATTCACCATGTCGTCGGAGATTTCTGATGTCGACTCCTCCATACTGTCGTACCGTTCGTCTACCCAATGACCACCAGCCAGCCATGTCACACGCCAACTCAACTCTGCACGATATTACTCCCAAGACTCAGAGGTCACTAACAGTCATCCCAGATGGAGCACCTGCCTCTACTTCTGGCGATCAGCTACCTCCTACTGGACTGAAGGAAATCTCATCACTCGCTAGCTGGACTGTCAGCACCAGCAAGCCTGGGTGTGGTGTTGCTGCTCTGCGTCACCCATCCACCTCACTGTTCTGGCAGAGTGATGGCCCTCAACCCCACCTCCTTACTGTGCACTTCTTCAAGCAAGTCGCCGTCGCACACATCCGCATCTACCTCGACTTCGAAAACGACGAAAGCTACACACCCACACGCATGCAGTTCTGGGCTGGCACTGGCCTGCACGACTTGATCGAGTTCGCCGACATGCAGTTCGAGCAGCCCCGTGGTTGGATCCCAGTCGACTTCTCCCAGGTCGGTCCAATCGAGGACGATGAAGAGGATCCCGAGTCAATCGACTGGAGCAAAAGACCTCTGCTGCGTTGCTTCATCTTGCAGGTTCGTATCCTTGAGAACCACCAAAACGGCAAGGACACGCACCTACGTGGCCTGCAGATCTTCGCCCGCGACGAGAGAGCTGAGGACGGTGGTCTGGCAGAGGGTGTCGATGCCAAGGAGGGTGCGCTTGCCGATAGAGTCGACATGCCCGTTCGCTCCAAGGAAAAGCGTACACGCTCTGAGGGCTTGCCGAAACTCAAGAAGGCTTCTTGGATGATGGAGCCGGAACTGAGATGAGCAAAGCATGGCGGGCGAGCCACCACCCAGCAAAGCATCACAGGGGCATCCAGGAGTCACGGTGCATAGATACGGGTCACTTGTCCAAGGCACCAGGCTATTAGAGTCATCGTCTTGGAGCAAGAGAGGCCACGGTCTCGTACAGCTATCGAACTCAAATTAAGTGATACAATCGAGCACTCAGTAGACAGGCCCCGTTCGAGTTTCTAAAACTTTCGCGTAACTTGACAGCCAGTTTGAACCGCCCCGTCGGTCGCTGATAGCCGTGTAGACTATTTGACAAGCAGGACTCAGCATGAGGGAGAGGAAATATACGGTACGCCGCCATCTGCGGCCATTACAATTAACATTATGGAAAGCTTCAGTATACTCTTCCTCTTTCTATCTGCGTATCAAACGCTCGCTCGCTGTGCATGTATCTATATCCCTCTCGATTCTGGAGCCAGTCCAATGGAATGCAACATAAGAAATTTCCCAAAATGATCAAAACAAGGTGTTGGATCAGCAACAGCCCCTCCGTCTGGACCCGTCGAGTTTGAAAACTTCTTCCCACTCGCGCAGACCAGAGGCCCACTGTCCTGTACCTGCTCTCTTTCTCCGTCTCCTTGGACCGTCTACGCCGCTTTTGATACTGCTTCCTCCGTCGTCGATGGCCCAGGATAGACTGTCGCCGTATTGGATACCAGATAAGGGATCATCGGGGTCTATCTCGCCCAGCTCAATCTTGGCCAAGATCATGCGAGCTAGACGATTGAACAGCTCGTCCACGCCATCGCCGTTGAATGCTGATACTTCGACGGCCATTGGAATGGTTTGTGTCGTCGCCCATTGTGTCGCTTGTGCTGAAGAGACTTGCCGACCATCCGGCGCAAAGGTTACGCGAGCGCCGTTTCCACCTCTTGGTATAGTGCCTCTGGAAGCGATACTGTCGAACCTGCGAGAGTCGTAGCTTGACGGCGTTTGTCCAAGCGGTGGTGACAAGATACTGCTATCGTCCAAATCATCCTCGCTCTCAGCATCACTGTCCACTGGGTCCGCTAGATCGGCTTTGTTACCCGCCAACAGCAGCGTCAACTGCGGACTCGCCAGTGCCCTCGCATCGTTCAAAAATGTGCCCAGTTGCGTGAAACTATCCCGGCTTGTGATGTCGTAGACCAATATCGCGCCAGCAGCACCACGGTAATAACTCCTGCTCACACTCCTGAAACGCTCTGTCCCAGCCGTATCCCAAAGTTGCAACTTTATTCTCTTTCTGCGGTTTCCGTCGCCGACTTTTACAATTTTGGTCGCGAATTCAACGCCGATGGTTTGAGAGGAGAGGATGCGCCAGGAAGAGTTTACGAAGCGGTGGAGGAGGCAGGATTTCCCGGCTGACGAGGGACCGAGGAGGATGATCTTTGCGAGATAGTCGTACATGGAGCCTAATTCCGACTCTGGTGGTAGGCTGTTGTCGGCCGTCGTGGTAGACGCGGTGGAAGGACGTCGTTGTCGGCCCATGTTTGCGGTATCGAGTGTTGTGTTCGGCCTGTTGAGAGTGTTTGGTGTGACTTGTGATTGCTCGGAGATAACAAGATTGTTGACCGGATGTGTTGATCTTTCACGTGAAAAAGCGGATGGTGGACAGTGTGATGGTGACTTTCAGGCTATGGTGTAGAAGAAGCTGGTTGATGACTCTTGACTGTGCTAGGACATAAAAACAAAGGGCGCGTAATGAGATGAGATATGATCAAATTGCAGTGGCCTGTTTCAGCCTGGTGCTGCTGCAACTTCGAGCACGAACAATCATCCTCCCCAGCTTTTGTTGAAAGGATGCCGCCATGCCCTCGGATATCGCCGTTGAATACCGTGAGCTTGCTGCATGCGTTGGCAAGGAAGAGAGCTTCCCACCATCTTTTTCCTTCTGGTATACACACTAGATTGACGTTTGTCTCTTTCGCCCACAAGCCTCGTTTCGGTGTCACCATTGCTCTGTTGCTTGAATCAAACGTCTCTTGTCTTGTCTGCGCTGCAGCAGGATGCGACACGCCTCAATCATGGCTATCGCGTGCCCTTTGTTCGAACAATCAACACCGATACGCAAGTCCTTGATTTCGGAGACAAGCAACAAGACGGTTGCTGTCCATGTCGCTCGGGTCATGTGCTGGGTTCGGACACTCTAATAATCACGGTAGAAGACTCCTGCTATCTTCAACCATCGTCGACTTGTCATACTGGCATAATTTGAATTCGTTGCCAAGGCGGCTTCCCTGACTGACGTATTCATCCGGTAGGTGGTCGTGTGCGCTAAAGTTGATCTTTCACATGTCTTTTCCTGAGAGCCCATTATTTTCATTTCCCTTCTCTTCCCACTGCCCTCGTACCTACTTCTGACAGTCCCTATCCTTTGGATCGCCTCACTTCTATACCAGCCTACTCGCCGACCGCAGCCATGGTGGCTTTCCTTTCACGCCTCAATCCAACACCGGCATTCCCGGAGTACCCTGGCCCTCACTCCGTCGGCACTGTCGATGTCGAGATTCCCGTCGCCGACTTGCCCTCGACCGCCACAGCCCCTGCCGACGCCGCTCCGACCGTCTCCTTCCGTATCTTCTACCCATGCGAGAACCAGAAAGAGAATGCCCGACCCGTGAGATGGATCCCCTCGCCACAACGCCCCAATCTCTCGGCCTTCGCACGCCTTCTGGGCGCTGGTTCGCGAGCCTCCGACTTCTTTTCCTACTTTCCGACCATCCTATACTACATCACTATCCCGGCACAACGCAATGCTCCCCTGCTTACCGCTCCGACCAGCAGCAAGCGATGGCCAGTCATGATGTTTTCGCACGGCCTTGCCGGAAATCGCAACCTCTATTCACACGTCTGCGGGTCCATGGCCTCTTACGGCCTAGTCGTCATCGCTATGGACCACAGAGACGGTAGCTCGCCCGTTCAGTACATCCGTGCAACCGCAGACACACCCAGCAAGATTGTCGACGAGATCAAGATCTCCCACTCGCCATCACCCGAAGTTTACGCTGCAAGAGACAAGCAATTGCGTATCAGGTGCTACGAAGCCTCGCTGATTCACGCAGCTCTGCTCAAGATCGATAACGGTGAAAAGGTGGACAATCTGGATGACAATACCTCGCACTCTAAGAAGGAGCGAGTCGAAGTCCTATCGCGTTTTGCCAATCAATTAGACGTACAGACGCCTGGCCGTATCACCTGGGCTGGCCACTCTTTCGGCGCATGCACGACCATCCAATTCCTCAAATCTGTCTTCTACGCCAAGGAGCGACCTCAAAACGCCCACTCTCCTCTGATCGTGCCGACCGATCCTTCTTTGACAAGCCAGATCACCCCTGCTTCTCCCGTACTGTTACTCGACCTCTGGACCTTACCTCTGCGCAGTCCGACTCAGTCATGGCTTTTCGAGCGTCCTCTTCCCTCGTACACTGATTCCTCGATCGGCGGCAAGAACATCCTTAGCATCATGTCGCAAGCATTCTTCAAGTGGACTGGTAACTTCAACGACGTCCGCCGCGCCATCGCTCCTCCGAAGAACTTCTCTGGTGCCAAGCCACACCTTTTCTACCCAGCCACCAGCCAGCACTTTTCGCAATCCGATTTCGGCGTGCTGTTTCCTTTCCTCACCAGCAAGTTGCTGAAGACCGAGAACCCCGAAAGAATCCTACTGTTGAACACTCGCGCCATGTTGCAAGTACTCAGGGACATGGACATCGAGGTCGCTGATGTTGGCGAGAAAAACCTTGAAGGCGAGAAAGAGGAGACTATCTTGGAGCCTAGCAGCTCCGGTGAGGAGACTGTCAAGGGTTGGGTCAGAGTCACTGTTTCAGATGCCGAAGGTAAAGACTCTGGCATTTCGATCGAGCAGGACAAGAAGCAGAAGCCTTCGGATGACAGCGAAGGCATGGATATGTAGTGGAGTGAGCATGTCTCTCGCTACTTTCGGTGCTCGTAGGTTTATTTTGCATGGTTTCGAATGGTTGCATAGCGGTCCTTCTTTCTTTTCAATTTGGTACACAGCGAGCGAGCAGACAGGGAAGGTCAAGATTGGGTCTGGGATACAGCGACAGGAGTTTGTTGACGGCGATCTAGAACGTACATACACATTGCGATATTTTCACAAATTTCTTTCTCGATTCCTTCTCATCAAGGTCTATACTGACGAATCATGTTCGGAATGCCTCTCTCCAGAGTTGCTATTCTTGGCTCACTCCAGCCGCCCACCTTCCGCACTTCTTCCTAAGCGCCCAGCCCTCGACGACCATCACACCTGCAACGCGAAATGCTTTCTCAAACCGATGCACTTCTCAGATCATAGAGATGAACATGCTTTCTGAAACATGATACTTGTTCGCAGGTATACTCGAGTAAGGTTCAGCGGTCCTCGTAGCCAACCAAAGCTCACCGAGCACAATCGTACTAAAAATACTACTGCTGTTCAGCAGCGCTTAGGGGAAGGAAGGTACGACTGGGCGAACGATAAGAGTAGGTCGCGACCTCCTTGTAGGTTCGAAATCAACAACTGTACATTCTCCTCTTCTCGCATCTTTCTCGCAAGCACTGGATTGCTTCGAATCTATCCTGTTTTTTCATCGCATTTTCTCCTTGAATATACCGCTGGATCGGACATATATAATAACACCAGAGCAACGACTTCTATCAAAGCTGCCATATCGTCGGAATCAGACATATCACTATATCTGCAATCATTCGAACAACATCCAAATCACAAAATGGCTATCCGACCAGTCACAAGATCACCACTTCTCCTTATCACCCTCAGTGTTTGTCTGGCCCTCCCTATTCTTGCCGTCTCATCTCATATTCTGTCTATCTATCGCGACGAACATGCCTCGAATCCCTGGTGGCTACCCATCTGGCACGCTCATTTCGACACACGCGGTCTCATCGCCATCACTGTGACTTCTTGCATCATCTTCGCTCTTGACCTTGTGTCTATCGGTCTGGTGATTGCTGGAAACAAGACGGGAAACAAGGTAAGCGTCTCTCTTGTACTGATAGAACATTCCATGCTGACGATACTACAGAGCAAGAATGTCAAGTGGATCGTCGTAGCATCGATGCTGGCAACGACTATTGCGGCGTTAGTCGCTATCATCATGCCTGCCATTGCCAATGCCGCAGCACCCAGCAAATCTGACACCGTTCAAACGTGGACTTGTCGATGGAGAAATGCTGTCGGTGCACCTGAGAATTTTGGAGCGTTGTGTCATGAGAGCGTATGTATGCCCTTTGACCATCTCTCGTTGCATCAGCTGACGTGAAAACAGCAATTCACTTCCTACGCTCCTATTCCGCTCTTCATCATTCATCTTCTGCTTTTGGTTCAGAGTGTCCAAGATGCTGTCGTTACACCGCAGCCGGATCAGACGTTTGACGAAGAGTTGGTTATCATTACAAAGAGTGTCGATGTCGCTACTACAGCTTCGAATGACAGTCCCAGAATGGATGGAAAGGAAGTGAGGCTCTGATGTATTCTGCGTTCCTGCACTCGCAGTGCTGTATACCCGTGAAAAGGCAAGAGATTTTTTCGTTGAGAGCAAGCTGATCAGTTGCTCAGTATGCCTCTGCCTAGTTGCAAAGTGCCGATCTCAAATGGACTTTGCATCTCGATGGGCATGGCATTAGTTCTAGGTGTGTCTGCCGTAGGGGCTAGAAGATCTAGTATGATAGCAGGCAAAACACTCATACCCTTTGATTTAGAAACAAAACACATGCCTAGCATTCATTTGCGTGTGCTGAACATTGTCGCGCCTGCGTGTGTAAACAAAGGCACAATGCTCTTTTGACTTGTCCATAGGGAGCGCTTCGAGAAGTCTCTCTCATCGGACGTCTGCGACGATATCAAGACGTTGTACATCTCTACAGCTTAGATGCATTTCTCATGCTGGCTAACGTGGAAGGCGAAGGTGAAAATCACTGGCTGAGAGTAGAAGCCAGAAAGTTGGTGGAAGGTTCACGGACTTGCCCTAGCACTGTTTGCGACCACCGGAGTTGCGGACCGAGATGACGCTAGCTCGGGATCGTCGTTATGTTGCCGATCACCCCACGCTTGGTTCGCGTCTCACATTCACGAGAGGGCCAAAAGCAAGAAACAACATCACAAGTCGCTCATCCTTGACAAGCAGCGTGCGCAAAATCATCATCAACTGAAGGTGGAGCGCGCGTTTTTCGCAACTATCAATACACAACTGGTTTCGCAATGGCACGCACGCATGAGCAGCCATTTCGCGGCCTTCCCAGAGAACTGCGCGACATGATATGGAGAGAGCTACTGACTGTAAAACATGTCCCCTTTCGGAAGCCGGCAAAGAAGACAACGGAACCATATTCAGTCTTGTTTGGCGTTCCAAAGCTTGAGCGCATTCTCGATTTCGGGCGCCCGCCACTTCACGTGAGAGTCTTCATGGCCAACAAGCAGGTCTACGCAGAGACTGCCCCGATCTTCTACTCGTCCAATGAGTTCATCGCCGACACCGACCATCTCGCAACCACAGACAGTATTCTAGCCAACATCAGACCCGACATTCGACGTCTACGTCTCGAGAACAAACATACCGTCTACCCAACTCGATTGCACGCGTCAGGCCTTCGTAATCAGCATCTATCCTTCATCCACCACAGACTGAACGTCGTCACCATCAAGATGCCTCCCGAGCCACCCACCAAATGTAGCAGCAGAACAGTCCGCGAGTCGATTTGTGCAATCCTCGCTGTCGGCCTGGTTGACTGCTTGCTCAAAGGCTCCTTCAAGCGTTTACGACTCGTCTACCCGAATCCTATCACTTCCACCGATCCGGATCAGCTTTGCACCATCAGCGCACTGCGCAAAGGTAGACGTGCTTTCCAAGGACCAAAAGGTTTGCTGCTACAGTATGCCTGGTACGGTGCTCCTGTATCGTCATACCTTACACTCCTTAGAGGCCTGCAGGATCTTCCTGACCTGAACTTTGTCGCCAGGTTCGAGCATGTCACGTATCTGAGGTCATCGCGTGACAGCAACGTGATTGTACTCAGCAGACTCGAAGACGAACCAGTCAAAAGGGACACTGTCGATCGCCCTCCAGTCAAGATTGTTGGACCCAACTCCCACCTCAAGCGAAAACTTCCTGCGAGCCCTACCAGCGCCGACCCGACACCAACCAAAGTTCGGCGTTTGCAGCTACTGCAGTTTATAGCTTTCTCGGAAAGCCGCAACCACAACATGTCGCATCAAGAAGTGAGAGACAGATTTGTTGGAAGAAACAATGAGCTGCGTCGCTACATCAATCGAGCAGGACTAGTCTTGGCTCCAATCCCAAGATAGACGAATCTCTGGCAACAATACCCAAACCATGGCCTCTGAAATACAGTGACTCTCAACGAGCGAAGCGTAGGTCACTCATCGTACTGTCTCTAATGCAACAGACCTTGTCCCACGATCATCGATTGGTCGTTCTTCCCGCATTCGCCCAGCGACTCGTGTCTGTCGAAAATATCACAAAGCAAGTATCAGCATTCCAGAACTATTGAATTCTCGGACTGACCTTCGACAGAAGATTGTCTCGTTCCGCGATCATTACATCCGTCGTCCATGAGGTAGGATATTCTGGGTATGAGCGACGTCTCGGTGGAGACGCAGTGTCGATGCGCAACAGACGCTGGCTTGATTCAACACTGCTTCGTCTGATTGCATCGTATGTTCTGCGCAGGTCATAATTTCAGACATCACACACCGTCGCTTTTCACAATCGATCTCGTTGCGCAGTCCTCCAACAGTCCGACTGTGTTTCTTACGAATCAAGCACCGCTGCACAATGTAGTTGAGAAGTTCTTGGATTTCTCTATCTTTAGAAGGCTTCACGGCGCTCGATAGATATCAAGGGACTCACATTATCACATATGTCTGACGTTGTCAGACAATGTTCCATCTTACCAATGTCTCCCATTCCATGCACGACTAGTGTGAAACGTTTGCCATGTTCCAGCCATAGTGCAGAATGTCTTCTAGCTTCTTTGTTCATTAACAATGTCTTGCTCAGCCTGGTCAACAAGAATGCTGGAAAGTTTCTGCCATGATCAACATCGACGAGTATAAGTAGAAAGCTCGTCTCACGATGACTGCTAATTTGAACGACATCAATTATTTTCAATACCCAACATGCATAGCTCCTTGAATACCCTTGCACAGCTTATAGGAAGTCGATGCAGCAGATTTTCTCAACATGCGGAGCATCCGAGCACGAATGACATTGACACATCGAGACGTCCTCAACCACTGACTGAAAATAGAATACCAAAGACTAGCAATGGTCGACCAATTATCTCAGAGCCTATTGCGCAGACACCTACAAACCAGTTCGAGAGCGGAAGACGTATCGCAAAGCTCCCATCTGTACAGCAGTCCCTACCTCGCGATATAAATTCTGCTAGCCGGTCTACGAGAAGACCGCATGAGATGCCGTTGTCATGTCATCCTCCATCTCAGCAGTCATGGCTTGAAACTCAGCCACTTACTACCCATGTTGTCAAGATTGGTCCTGACCTCGTGCAGGGTGTCAGCAAAATTCCCTCGCATCAAGTTATCGATGGGAAGTTGAAAGAACCCCCTCGACCAAGGTCGCACCTTCCTGAGAATGTACTCCAACCAGTATCAAATACAATCCCTAGAACTCAAGCGACCAGGCAAAAACATCAACATCACAATAAACCCACAACCACCACCAACCTATTCGACCAACCAGTCGCCCCACTACGACCACACACTTACAACATACCTCCCCTCCATCCCACCATCTCACCACAAGAACCCACGCCTACTTCCACTCGACCCAAACATACTCCACCATCTCATTCTCACAGCCAAACTTACCTTCCCGTCCCTTCAGCTCTTCAAACCCTATGGGCAAGACGTCGTTCTTCTCACGTCATTCTGGCTGACTCGCCTCTTCAATTGAAAGTATTCCGTGAGCTTAATGTTGTGCTTGATGAGGTCATGGGGTTATATACTCCTGGCAATAGATGATGAGATGTGTATGGTATGGTTTGCGAAACCCTCGAACTCAAATTCAAAATGTCGAACATGCGCGGAAAGCTTACTGTGTGGAAAGCTACACATAAAACGACGAGGGAAGATGGAAAGTCTGGGCAACCGAGTGGTCCGGAAATGATGACGGGGGGCTTGGAGTGACATTCAGACATTCACATTTGCAAGAGCAGAGGCAGGAGGCAAGTTGATTGATTGGTATTTGGATTGTCATATTGTGAATATTTACGTCTATTTGAGAGAAGAAGAAAGCATACATCTTTTGTGAACAAAGAAGAGGAAGAAAAATCGCTAAATGGAGTATTAAGTAAACAAAGAGGGATAAAGTCGTGAGACAGAATGAACAAAAGATCCGTCCCATCCCAGAAGAAAAACGCATAAGGGTCATCAAACTCCGTAAATAGGTACATCATGCAATTCAAACCTCTTCCTTCATGGTAGACTGAGACCAACTACCAACAGGTGTGAGGTCGCGCATGTATTTGCCAAAGATGGCGGTCTCGATGTCTTGAGCCTCGGGGCCGGCCTTTGCTGCCTGATGGCGGAAGTAGATGCGCTTGGCCCACTTCCAAGACTCGACACCGATGAAGAAGATGAGGGTGGCGATGAAAACAATGCCCCATTCCCATGAGATGCCAGTGTGGCGGAAAACATCATGGTTGATGACTGGGATGTAAAGTACAGGGAAGATGAGGACGAAGCCGAGGACGACGGCGGTGAACAAGAACTTGTTGCGCCAGACGTCGAACATCCACTGGGTGAGATAGCGGTCGGACTCGGGCTTCATGCGGAAGAAACTGCGGCGGGGGTCGATCATCTCCCAGGCGAGGAAGAGTGAGAACCAGGTCAGGGTAGCAAAGCAAGTCGAGCGGGCACGGAAAACAACATCACACTCGGGTGACCAAGAGTTGTTGCAACCAGTGGCAGGGATGCGACCAATGTTGCCATCTTCGAAGCCGTAAAGGACCAGGCAGAAAGAGCATAGACAGAGTGCTGCGACCCAAAGACCATAGACAAGCATGTCGACAAGAACCTCGATGGTGAAAACACCGCGCTTGAGACTTTGAGGGGGGCGGCGCATGACATCAGGCACGGCTTCTTCGAAACTGAGACCCATGTCAGGGAAGGAACTGGTAATCATGATGATCCACATAATCTCAACAGGCGAGATAGGGAAGACAGACAGGTCGTCGAGATCCTTGAAGACGAGACCAATTAGCAAGATACATGCTTGAGCGATGTTCTGAGAGAGAAGATGAAGGATGAACTTTTGAATGTTGTCGAACATGCGGCGGCCTTCCTCGACAGCGTTGAGAATACTGGCGAAGTTGTCGTCGGTGAGAACAATGTCAGAGGCGTCCTTGGCGACATCGGAACCCGACTGTCCCATTGCGATACCAACATCAGCACGCTTGAGGGAAGGTGAGTCGTTGACACCATCACCAGTCATGGCAGCGAAAGCCTTGCGTCTATGAAGAGCCTCGATCATGCGAACCTTGGTGTTGGGTGCGCAACGAGCGATAACCAATGGGAGAACAGGGAGTGCATCGATCTCGTCGTCGCTGAGCTTGTCGAAGCCACTGGCCTCCATGACAATAGCATCCAAGACCTCTTTGGACAGATCCTTCATGTGAGATGGAAGGATACCGACGTCAGCAGCGATAGCTTGAGCAGTGCCCTTGTGGTCACCAGTCAACATGTGGACAATGATACCAGCCTCATGGGCTTGGCGAACAGAGGAGGCAGATTCGGGACGAGGAGGGTCGTAGAGGCCAACAAGACCGCGGAAAGTCAGGCCATTCTCAATAGAGTTGCGGTCGACCTCTTCGTCCTTGTTGATTTCACCTTCAAAGTCCTTGCTGGCTAGTGCCAAACATCTCAAGCCGAGAGAAGCGATGGCCTCCATGTTCTGAAGGATCTCCTCTTGGATTGCCTCAGTCATCTCGACGGGCTTGTCGGAATCATCTTGGTAAAGGCTGATGCAGGAGCCAATGACGCGCTCGACAGCACCCTTTGTGAATACTTGCTTCTTGCCAGTGGCAGCTTCCTCGAAGATGACAGACATTTTCTTGACATCGGAATCGAAGGGGAACTCGGCAATCTCCTTCCACATAGGGCTCTTTCCAGAGATGAAGGTTGATCTGTTCCAGCCAAAACGAGCGGCGAATACCTGGATGGCAATCTCGGTGGGGTCACCACGAGCTGTCCACTTGTCATCCTCGTCCTTCTGGACGATGGCCAAGTTGTCCAGGGCGGCGACTCTCAGGAAATGTGCCAAGTGTTCATTGTCCTTAAGCTCTTCATCGTAAGCGACAACGTCATGCTTCTCCTCGCCAGTTTTTATATTTCTTGGTTCTTCAGGACTGAATTGGAGATCTCCGACGGTAGGGTTGGAAGTCTCGTCGGTCTCTCCAATCGAGTATGTGCCTTTAGCGGGAATCCAAGCCTTCTTAGCCATCATCTTGCCTTGTGTCAGAGTACCAGTCTTGTCAGAGCAAATGTCGGTGACACCGCCTAGAGCCTCCAAAGAGCGCAGATTTCTAACGATGACATGGCGCTCGACCATTCTTCGTGTACCGGCAGCCATACAGATGGTGAGAATGACGACGAGGGATGCCGGGATCATACTGAGACCGGTAGCAACAGCGTAGATGATGACTTCCTGCTGGCTGCTGAAGCTGTTGGCGGCTTCAACGATGACGGCACAAATAACAGCAACAAAGAAGAGCAGGACTGCAAGTCTCGAAAGTTGCTTCTGCAGAGGTGTGCCAACGTTGATGCCGAGGAAACGACCGACAGCATCGGAAAAGGTCAAGGTCCATGCTTGAGCATATCTGTGGGGTCTGGCAGAACCATCAGGCTTGCGCTTGACAGGTCTGACCTTGGAATCCTTCTTGCGGAGTGCGGCTGCGATCGATCCGATTTCGGTGAACATGCCTGTGGCATAGACAATACCACGAGCACGACCCTTGGTGACGACTGAAGAGGAATAGGCGACATTAAGACGGTCTCCAGGTCCAGTATCTTCGTCGAATACGGCGTCTGCGTCTTTTCTGACGGGCAGGGACTCACCGGTCAGGAGAGCTTCATCGGTCTCGAAGTTGACTGCTTCGATGAGTCTGACGTCAGCAGGTACGGTGTCACCTAGGGTATTGTTAGCTGTTGTGAATTTGATGGCTGTCCTCCTGGACTCACCTGTCTTGATCTCAACCATGTCACCGGGTACGATTTCGACTGTAGGAATGTTGACAGTCTTGCCGTCACGAACAGCGTTGGCGGTAGGCGAACTGAGAGACTTGAGCGAGTCCATGGTCTTTTCAGCCTTGAACTCTTGCATAAATCCGATGACGATGTTCAATCCAATGACTGCTGCAACTACACCGCCCTCGATCCATGATTTGATAGCGAAACTGACAACCATTGCCATAATGAGTACCTTTTCATCTCGTTAGCCAAACGGTCAGCCACATGTTCTTATCAGTACCACATACCAGTGTCATTGCGTTTGCAATTTGACGAATGAGAATCTTTCCAGGTTCAACACCACCAGCATCACCGAGTTCGTTGGTGCCATATGTGCTGTGTCGTTCCTTTGCTTCTGCCGATGAGAGACCGTTCTCAGCATTGGCCTTGATGTCTTCTGTAACTTGAGAGAAAGTGAGTGCGTGAGCAGGCTTTGAGAGGCCATTGCCGTTGGCTTGGCCTGACACATGCTGGTCAAGTGTCGTGTCTTCGTTCTTGCCCATATTGAAGATTGGGCGTTAGGAATGGTAGATGGTCAAGTACGATGACGAGAGGGGGGCCCTTGCATGCCTTATATGTGGCCTGCTCGTATATGGTTTCCAGCGGAGCGCGGACTTCCACCCTTGGCACCCTTATCATTCCTCTGGGATGTTTATGCTGCCAAGCGACGACACGCACAATGGTACCCACGTTAGAGGCATCTCCGTCATCCTGCTCGAGTTATCTTCCTCAGGATAGGCTTGGAAGTTGTAACTATTGTCGAGGGTTTGAGTCAGTATCCAATAAGGTGTTGGCTGGCTGGAACCATGTTGCATGGCACCAAGAAACTCAAGAAACTCCCTTGGCGTCTGTCATTGACCTACCTGTTCGTCAACTGCTGCCGAATAGAGTGCAGATATCTAGACTCATGCTACAGCTAGACAGATGCGGTGACTTGTTCTACTATGCCTTGTTGCCTGACTAGAAATGTGTCGACAAATGTGTGGATTGTGGTGAAGTTGGTGGCGATCAATGGACGTCGTCGGATGTCGGGCCAAGACAGCCCAAGACCCTGAGACTGCCAAGAACGGTATGAACCCGCGGAGGTTTGCTTTTGCCATCACTGCCATGGAGGGCAACCCGGGGTCACCGTACACGTGCCAACCTTGTGGAGAGATACGTGATACGTAATGATTGTGAGCTGATTCAACGACCGTGGAGGAAGGCGATAGGAGCGATGACAAGACCAAGCCCAGAACTAGAGATGGCCGATAACCGAGCATAACACTCGGCATGCAGCGTGAGGGCGAATACAAAGACAAGCAAGCGATGCGAAGAGAAGAGAAGAGAAGGCTTTGCCTTCAGTCTTGAGGTCGAATGGTGCTTGAGAGGTTGCAAGACCTGCAAAATTGACAAGCTTCCCTCAAACACGTGAAATGCTTGAGAATCTCTGAAAGAACGAGATGGGCAGTCGATCCGGAAGCCAACCCATCTTCCACCGTAGAAGCAAGACGATCGCAAAGGAGGAGAAAGGCATTTGATCGTGGAGCACCTCCTCCTCAAATATTCAAGGCCCTGAGGGATTTTTGGTATATGCCGCAGGGCAGTGCAGAAACCTTGGAGATGTGCATGAGGTGGTGAACACCCAAGACACTGGATTACACAGGGTAGCCGTCAGAATGCTCGCGTTTCTCATAGACCTGCGACATGGGACCAAGAAGGCAGTGCAATGCCAATACATGACAAAGCTGATAAGATCAGACAGGGTGGCTGGTCGGTCTTAGCGAGAAAAAGCGGATTGTGTTGACCTGAGTCTCCTCCCTGGTCACCACCTCGACTTCAAGTCACAAGAGTCAAGACTCTGGCGTCTGGGCGTTATTCGCATCATGAGATAAACACCTTAATGGCTTGTCTACTCGCTTGTCCGTCGCGCTTGTGCTTGCAGCTCGCGATCGTATTGAGCGAAGGATCAGTCTAGTGGCAGCCCTCGACAGCATCCCACTTTGTGGGCACGAGGCATCCACCCATCCGCGATTATTGTTCTGGTCGTCAGACACGGGCCTAAACACATATTGTAAGCTGATCCGCAAAAGTTCCCACAGATCCGGTCGATGTCACCTCTTGCTCAAACCGTCATGATCGAACTCGTGGCGGAGGTTGCCAAGATCTTACATCTGCGGAAGTAGAGATGTAGTTATACGGTGTCCCCGACAGGCTATGCAGCATTCTTATCCTCCAAAGAAAAGCAATTAAGGTGGCATCTGACAGAAAGCAGCAAAAAGTGCAAAGCACACCTCGCTTTGTTGAGAATACGAGCCAGTCAGCGCGCTCCGGATGCGACTTTGTTTTTGACGAGCTTGAAGTGGCTGCATGCCAAGCCAGAATTTTGTACTCGAGTACACAAAAATAGATTCGGTCAAATCTCTACCAAGTTCTTTCCTCGATAGCTCTGGTCCTGACCAAGCTTTGCCCTCAAGCAGTGGTTCTAGCGCATTCGACTTCGTATCGTGGCGAGCGTGGCGTAAGATGACTCTAATTTGACAGCTCGCAGCTATACCATACCTCGCAAAAGGATTGGTGAGGTCAGTGATGCTACCTCACCGCATCAGGTTCCAGCTGCTGATGCTATATTCGACTATGGGGCGTAGAACTCAATCTCAACGAGCTGCCTTTTGAGTAGGTAGCCCTTGCCTCTGACTAGTATATTAATCGCGGTGAATGTCCATGCAAAATCTCTCTTCTCATTCATAACAAATACAGCTCGTTTCCCGATCACCATCGCTCAGAACCACATTCGCTATACCGCTTTGTCATTCGCTTTCTGCAGAACACATCACTCGATCTTCGCCGGATATTCGACTATCTACAGCAACACCTCAACAGCACAACCAACCAGATATCGATAATCAAGATGCACTTCAGCACCACCTTCGCCGCTATTGCCCTTGTGGGAAGCGCTTCGGCACTCCCTGGCAAGTTCCAGTTCGAGAAGCGCACCTCGAAGACTGATTGCGAGACCGCTTTCGACTCTTGCCGTACCAAGTACCTGGCCAACCATGCTACTTGCGCTTCCGAATACGCTGCGTGCCTTGGCTACAACCCCTTCGTCTACTCGAACACTGCTGCCTTCCCGCTTGGTACCTCTGGCGTCGCCGCTTCTACTGCTTCTGTCTCTACTCAGTCTGCCCCTATCGGAACTGGATCTGCCGTGACCAAAACTGAGGAGGTCTACACCACCACCACAATTTGCCCAGTGACATCTACTGCATGGCACGGAAACAGCTCGACTGTCATCACTACGAGCACCACAAGCACTATCACAGTGACTTCATGTCCCGGAGGCTGCCACGCCGCCTCTCCCACCAACCCTCCCCCAGCCGTCGTTACTTCCTCGACCTCGAAGAGCGAGGCCTGGTTCCCCGGAAGCTCGACTGTCAAGACCTATACCATCCCCACTGAAGTGACCTCAACCATCACCTCTTTCGTCCCCTGCTCGACTCCTGTCATGTCCAACAGCGAGACCACCTTCTTCAGCACCTGGCTCACCGTCACCTACCTGACCACAAGCTACAAGACCGTGACAACCAGCTGTGAAACTCTCTACCCTACACCCACCTCTGTCCAGGTCTCCGCTACCACTCTTCCCGCCAGCACTTCCACTGGCGAGGCTTCTGGTACCTGCGCTGCACCCGAGACCGTCTACGAGACCGTCGTCTCCTACGTTACTGTCTATGGTGACCACAAGACCGAGACCGCGTCTTCTGCCACCAACACTCCTATCCAGCCCGGCTCTACTCTCAGCTGGTCTCACACTGGCTCTGTCAGCGGTACCGCTAAGCCTACCGGTTGGGTCAAGCCCTCTGGCTACGCTAAGCCTTCTGGACACTAAGCGATCCACGCTTCTAGCTCCTTCGACTCGGCTTGAACAAGCAAATGTACATTGAAACATGCATAATATGTACAGATACGACCTTACATTTCACGACACTCCTTTAATGTTTCAAGATTGGGACAAAAAGCGACAGCGGATTTTTGGCATAGACGGTTATGGCGTTCTCTGAATTGGATTGAACCTTTTTCTGCTTCTTACACTCTAGTGCTCGCGCACTTCTTAATGTCTTTACATAGCTTCGCGTTTTGATTTTGCAGAGATTTGATATTCAATTGCAAGATTGATTTAACTTTCCTCGAAAAGAAACTATATGAAACACTCCTTCTTCCATCACTTCCAGACTCGTCCAGCCTGTAGAAATGCACAGTGTTTTTGAGATCAGCTCCTTCGTCCAAAGAGAGTGCTTAATTCTCTAAGGGGGATTGCTCTCCCTGTGCTCTCTCTTTGGACAACCACGTCGGAACGGAAAACATTGTGCATTTTGACCGCTTTTTTTTTGGAAGGACCCTTGCCAGGCTGAGAGTTCAGTTCTAGTGCAATTTATGTACCCCTATATCTTCGTTCACAAGTGATTCATGAGCAGTCTATCGCTATCTCGTCGAGTAGATGGCGGTGCTTGCTCTTGCCAGGGTCATACACCCAGCAAAAAGCACTTTGATTGTAAAAGCCAAACGAAGTTGATTTTTAACTACTGGCGGCTGCTACGGCTATATACCTAATGCTAAGAGAATTGGTGACCCTAACCTTGCTCCGGTAACGTAATAACATCCTCCCCTACCTAGAGTTAAAGCACCTGCTCTAACTATTCAAATAAATGTAAAATTACATGTATATACTATAACTAAAGTTTAGCTTTACATGCTATGTAGTAACTATGTGTAAAAGCTTAGTATAAAAAGTCAGTTATAACAACACCTCATATGTTATAATAACCTGTTGTAACTGCTTTATAAGCTATAACAACACCTTTTACACTTTTACACTATTATAAGACTATAGTCTAAGATCCTATATCTTCTCTACCTCTTATGCTCTCTCCCTTTAACCTTAACATTATAAAAACCTTCTAGCCTTCTAAACCTATATAGCTTCTATAACATTAACTCTAACAATCTTTCTTACTTCTTTTCTTATATAACACGACGTATTATACCTTCCTTAATATGACTTCTGTCCTTCCGGCTCCTAGCTCTCTTACTAGAACTAGAAAGAGGGGTAGGGATAGTAGTAGAAACCCTCCTTACAAATCTACTAGTAAATCTAGTCTATCTAGTTACTACATAGAGGCTAATTACACTATTGCTAAACTAAAAGCTATAGGTAAGTCTCCTTTCACTATTACAACTTAGTTTATAAAAGCTAACTTGTTATAGCTGCTTTAATCTATAATCTTGACCGTAAGACTGCTATAAAGTTTTTTAAAGCTAGATCTATTTACGCTTATAACGGCGAGAAGTTTAACCTTAGAACTAAGACTAAGGGTTTCTTCGAGCTTCGTAATAGATCTTATCTTATCCTAGCTTATAACATCGAGATTGCAGCTAAGAATTCTAGAAAATCTAAGCTAAATGCACCTTATGCACTTACAACTCTACTAGCTTATGCTTCTAAGGATAGAAGAGTTTGTACTAGATCTACTTACGACGGCTATAAGAAGGGAAACGGAAAGTTTAAGGACTATATAACTACTTTAGATGTAGATAGAGACCTATTTAGTAGGGCCTATATAAACTATGCTAACGGTAATAGATATAAGAGCTGCTTACTATATAACGGAGCTCCCCTTAGTCCTATTTAGGATAGAAGCTCTACCTAGGCTATTGCATCTAGTTCTAAGACTGTTGCATCTAGTTTAAAGGCTATAACAAGATTAGCCGGTCCTTATACTAGGTCCTAAGCCTCCTTATTAAAAGGAAAGGAAGTTTAAGTTGTTGTCTCTAGTCCTTTAGCTTTAATAAGATCTGCCGTTGCTCCTAGACCTTCTTCTAGGACTCGACTAGCTATTCGCTCTATAATAATAAGTGTTGCTTCTCCTCTAAGCGATTCTAGACATACTAAGTCTCCTCTTCCTTAGTTCTACCCTCGTAGTTCTAGAACTTTAACTCCTAGATCTGTTACATAATATAGGGATGTTGCAAGACTTGCAATAGGTTCATCTAGAAGTTCTTCTTATACTCTAGCTAACTCTATTTATGCACCTTTAAGTGCAAGAAGTAGAAGAACTATTCCTAAGACTCCTTAAGTCTCTCCTTCTCCTACTCCCTAGACACCTAATCGTCCTAGGTTCCTAGAGCGTAATCCTACTCCTTAAGGTCTTGTTTCTTAAGCTCCTATAATGGCTAAACATCTAGTAGATCCTACTCTTGTCTAAGGCAGATATATTGTTCTAGAGGACCTCTATAATGCTTAGTACACTAGATCTAACCGTAGAGAGAATGCCTATACATTCTTAACCGTTTATAGTAGAAGAGTTACTAGTTTAGTAAGCACTAACTTCGAGATCCTCTATAACATCCTAGAGGAGTATAACTAGAGAATAGGAATTTAGGCCTATTATTATAAGCTAGAAATAGATAGGGAGGACTTTTCTATAATTACTTAGAGTAACAGAATGTTATTAGCTCTTTTTATATGTTTTTTAGAAGGCTACTACCTTCTTATAGACTTATATTGTAGCTAAAAGTAGCTAGCAATATCACTCTTTTCCTTAAACTATTATCTAAACCTTTTTGTTAGAGTTCTATTCTTTCGTAAGGAATATCCTATTAGTTAAGTGTCTTTGTCTAAGTCTATTGTACTAGTTATAGGTTATTTAGAGATCTCTTACGGAGATAATAGCTCTATTATAACTGTTTCCGTTATTACAAGTAAAGAGGTGCTTATAACTAGATGCGTGTTTTAATAGTTAATAAGTTCTTTTATAAGAGCCTTTCCTTAGTTAATCTTGTTATCTAGCACTTCTATCTCGTACTATTCTTGCTATTACTCTACTATTATAAGAGCTTTACGTACTACTAAAGCCTTTCGGGCATCCTCTAAGCTAATAGACTTCTTTTTTAATGATCTGTTGTCCTTGCGGCGGCGGCTAAGTTTAACGTAATAAGAGATTTAACTATCTATGTCGTTCTTTTCTCTCTCCTCTACTAAAAATCTTCGTGCTCCTACACGATAATTCTAGCCTAGTGCAAAGTTTTGTAGTAATCTCTAATTAGATTCTAACAGAGTTAACTACGTTTTAATATTAGGGACATTATGTTCTTCGCTATTAAGTGCGTCTAGCACTTTAGGACTAGTAGGTTTTACCTCTAATCTCTCGATAGCTAGGTTAGGCTTATTCTAAAAAGATTAAGCGCTATTGTAATAGGCTTTTATAAGCCGGTTTCTATGTATTAGATGGCGTAACACTCTACCCTCGGGGGTTTTAAGTGTATATGTGCCTAACTAGTGTACCTTTAAAATTTGATAAGGCCTAGTCCACTTCGGAACGAGTTTTGTAGGTTTTAGGTTCTATAATAGTACCTACTCATTCTCCTTAAAGGTAGGGCCCTTATGTTCCTCTAGTTTCTAGGAGTTTACAAGTTTTGCCTAGATTGCCTTTTATAAGAGCTTCTCATTTATAAGGTATCTAGCATGTTTTATAATAGCTTAACGCTTCTCTAGGTCTATAATAGAGATGTCTAACGGTCTTGCTCTATTCTCGTCTTCTACTATACGAGGGTGTTAACCGTAGATAAGGTAGAATAGGCTAAAACCGGTACTAGAGTATATACGGCTTTAGCAATAGAAAATGACTTTAGGAAGGAAGGATTCCTATAAGGACATCTCGTTTCTAACATATATCTTAGTTAAAAGACCGCCTAGAATACTATTTAGGTTCTTATTCTTACTATTTACGCGAGGATAGTAAGGCGTAGAAAGCCTATAAAGAGATCGGAGCTTATTATAAAGGTGTTGCATAACTCTTAATACAAAGTTAGCACCGTTATCTAAGAGGATTTCTCTAGGAGCGCCGTATACGTAATAGATCTCTTTATACATAAACTTAGCTATTATCTCGTCGTCCATAGACTAAATAGCTCTTATAATAGGCTAGTTTATTACGTAATCGATAGCAGTTATAACATACTACTTACTAGATAGAGAAGGAGGTAATAGTCTAATAACGTCTAAAGCCTATCTTTCGAATAGTTACAACTCTACATTAACTTAGTAGAAAGCCGTCTCATTCTCCTTACTACTCTTTTTCTAGGTAATCTAATATATAGGACAGTGTTTACTAAAATACTAGATGTCTCTTTGCATAGATGGCTACTATGCTCTCGATTTAACATAACCGAGTAAACTAGGGGCCCCAAAATGCCTATAGTAGTTATGCATGTGTTCTAGGAAGTCTACGCGCAAGGCGGGCTTAAGATAGGGTGCTAGACCTTTATTATTAGCAACTCGATACTTTAGAACAGGTGTACCATCTTCGTTAGAGATAAGGAAGTCGTTAGACTTCTATTATAATAGTTATTATAGGTATAGATCGTTCGGTAAGACTTTCGTCTACTTAAAGGTAATTATTCCTTTAACGAAGGCTTTATCTTCTTTACTCTTAAACCGCATAGCGTTAATGCGTTTAGCTACATTAGCGGGGATAGTACCTATAAAGTTAGGCCGCCTAGACAAGGCGTTAGGAACAGTTAAAATAAGACGTACAACGGGTGCATATAATACTCTAGCTAGCGGTAGGAAGTAATCCTAGAGCCTATAGAATCAACTAAAGGTGGAGATGCGACCTTTACTAACGAAAGCGAGCTAATAGTATATAGCTATGTGATTAATTGATTTAAGAGAAGAAGAGTATCTATGGGCGCAATCTATTAAGAACATCCTGCTCTACTAAGGCGTTAGGATACTAAGCTAACCTTGTTATCCCCTTACGTGTTATAGCCTATTATAGACCTATCTGCAATAGAACCTTACCGTATTGCAACAGAGTTGCAACTCCTCTAAGTGTGCTAGGACTGCACTATTTTTAACTAGAACAATAGCTTTAGATCCCTTTCAGTATTAAATTTCGATATTAAATTTAGAGAACTCCTTAAACTATCTTATAACTCTCTTACTAGGAGTCTTTATAGTCTAGAGGTACTTTAAACTCTCGTAATTAGTTAAGATAACGGTAGTAAAGCTATTCTAAATGTAATGTTCCTACTAGCGTAAAGCCTCTTTAATTGTAAGACCTTCCTTCTCGTAGACTAGATAGTTTAGTTCTACGTTTTGTAACTTACGTCCGCCGAATGCAATAGGATGCAACTTATTATCCTAGCCTTCCTAGTATAGAACTAATCTAATTGCCTACTCGGAAGCGTCTATTTTAACCGTGTAAGGCTTGTCCTTATTAGGTACAACTAGTATAGGCCCTATTATAAGCGCCTCTTTTAAAGTTTTAAAGGAGATAGTGCATTAAGCGTTCTAAAAAATAGGTCGACGTTTCTTCGCACGTAAGTCTATATCCTCTTCTTTAAGAAGGTCTAAAAGAGGTGCTATAAGCTTTATAAAGCCTTAAATGTACCGACGGTAGTAACTTATAAGGCTAAGAAATTATCGAACTTGGTACGCATTTAAGGGCGTAGGCTATGTCCTAATAATATTAAGCTTATCTTATAACGGCCGAGTGTAATCTAGCGTAATAAGATAACTATAGAACTCGACCCTTTATACGCCAATAATACACTTCTTTCTAGAAGTAAAGAGTTTCTTTTATTATAACACTATAAATACTTGTTATAGATGTTATACGTGTTCCTCTTTTAACTTCGAGAAGATTAGGATGTTATCTAGATAGATAATATAAGTCTTCTAGAGGAATGGACGTAACACTCTATTTATAAGAGTTTAAAATGTTGTAAGGGCGTTATATAAGCTAAAAGGCATAATAAGGAACTTATATTTACTATAGATAGTGTTAAAGGCTATTTTTGTAACGGATTCAGGATCTATTAGCAACTGCTAGAAACTAGAGACGAGGTTAAGCTTTATAAACTAGACTACTTTTATAAATGTATCTAGGCAGTCTTATACGCGTAGTAGGGGGTATCTATTCTTCTTTATAACTAGGTTAAGGGCGCGAAAATCGACGCACATTCTCTACTTATTACCTAGTTTAGGGACAAATAAGATAGGACTTCCCTATAGTAATAATGATTCTCGGATAAGACCGTATTATAATAGCATATCGATTTGTTTCTACTGTTCTTATAACTGTTACAGATTAAGCTAGTAAGCCTATGTGTTTATAGGCTTTGCATCTCTAGTCTTAATAGTATAGATGACTCCTCGATTTTTCGGAAGGCCTTTAGGTAGTTCCTCTCTAAATATAGAAGGAAACCCTTTTAAGGCTTAGTTAAAGAGAGGGTCTATTAGTTGTTGCTCTTCCTTAGGTAGTAACAAGTCTATCATCTTAAGCGCAATTAGATACAAAAGCGCCGTCTCCTATAAGCGGCGTCTTACTTTAGCCTTTGTTGCAAATAGAGGTGTTATAAGTTCTATAAAGGCTATAAGTACGTCCTATTCTCCTATCTCCTTAAGATTGAATATCTTAGAGTAAGACTTAAGAATCTAAGGTTCTAAAGAATCCTTATTTAGAAGAGTAATAGAGCTAATCTACTAATTAATGCTTAGGTTATGTCTTATAAACTAAGATAAGCTAAGGATAACATCGTATCCTTCGAAGTTAATAAGGCGAGCTTCTAGCGTATTATACTAGTTTCCTATTAAGTAGGGAAGTTAAATCCCTTTAGTAGAAACGAGGGTGTTTCTGTTTAGTAAGACGATAGTCTTAGGAGGTATCTAGATAATAGAGGATTTCTAGAAAGACCTAGCTTTTAAAGCTAAAATGTAGACTAATAATGCTATAGTATCTAGGGTAAACTAGACTTTTCGAACATTATTCGTAGGTCTAATAGTACTATGTAGCGTAAGAAGACCGCTATCTAGGGCGGCGAAGTACTTAGTATTCTTATCTACTAGCAATCCTTTTGTTATAGTTATATCTAACATTGTAATAAGGTGTTCTCTAGTTTTAGAGGCTATAGGTAGTAAGGAAATTGCCTCTATTATAACCTTACCCTCTATTTTTTTAATAGGTAATCGTTCTTATAGTAGCCGACTTTGTTATAACCGTAGTAAGTGACTTTTCTTTACCCTTCTCCTTCTTACTTATAGTATTAAGTTATTCTAATAGTATAGCGTTTAACTATTCCTTATTACGATAGTTATAAAAGAGAACGTCGTCGTAAGCAATAGCTCGTAATATATATTGCCGAGGTTTAGTATTATTAGGCATAATAAGTTATGTGTCTAAAGCGTTCTATACTTCTACTTAAAGGCTGTCTTAAAAGTAGCGTAAGATATACTCGTTTAGCGGGGTAGGGACAATCTTACGTAAAAGGGTTTATAACTATAAGAGTATAAAGGTATGTAGCAACGTATAAAGTCCCGCTAGTAATATGGTTACTAATAGTAAAGACTAATCGATGCCCCGAGTATTAGTGTCTTTGAAAGTAAAGATATACTTATATATGCTAAGCCTCGCTTAGAGGCTTAGGCTTCATCGTAGAGGCTACCCTAGCCTCTCTAGTAATAATAACTCCCTTATAAAAACCTAAGTAGAACCCTTCTACTTTATAGAATTAAAGCGTTGCTTCTTTATATTTATCTAGTCGAGATCTATATATCTCTTAGAGATTTTATCTAGTTGTTACGTAAAAGACTTTATTACAATTCCTTCCTACTAATAGTCGAAGGGGTCGCCCTCGAGGTAAGAAGATATAAGCCAAACCTTTTTATTTTCTACTATAGGACGGCGGAAGATAAAGGTCTCTTATAACCTAATCTAATTAGTTATTTAACTTATCTAATTGTTAATATCCTCGTTTTTTATTCTTTCTTTAAGAACGAGAGGTTTATTAACTAGAACCTTTAGACTAGTTTTAGGAACTACTATAAAAGTGCTCTATTACGTAGATAAGGGTATATTAAGTTAGTTCTTAAGTCGTCTAATATAAGCGTAAAGGCTTTCTAAAGTAATAGCTAGTTGTTGTAGGTTTAGGGTAGGGCCTATAGGCTACTATACTAGCTATTATAAAGGGTTTTATAACGGGGGCCTAAAAGGCTATTATAAAGGTAGTAGTTACATGTTTGCTAGTCCTATTATAATAGGGTTTAGTTAGAAAGCTACGTCGTCCATATTAAAGTCCATTTTAGTTAAAGAAGTTTAGTAGTAGTAGTAGTAAAAGAAGAATAAAGCTAAAATACTATATTAGAGTAATTATCGTCTAGTCTTCTTATAAGAAGGTATAACCTTCTTATATCTCTTTTTAAAAATCGTCTAGCTAAGGAATCTATAGATTCGTCCTCCTCGGTTGCTCCTCTTTCCTTACGTAAGGTTTAGGAGATAATTGCGTCTAATGTTAGATTACCCCTCTAGTAAGCGTAAGCTAATAGTAAGCTAATAATAAGCTAATAGTAAGATAGGAGATTAATTCCTTATCTTCCTATTAGCTTGTTATAGATGTTCTATAACATAGATTAACAATTAGTTAGTTTGTTGTCTAGTGCTTATTCTTTATATATATAAGGATCCTAGTCCGTATTGCTACGATATTGGCCGGTAGGAGGGGTCGATACTATCTAGGAAAGAGGTCTACTCGTAGTTATAACCGAAGAGGGCCTTCTTCGAGGGCTATAGAGGGCACCTCTAGCTAGGCTAGCTAATTAGAGCTTAGCTACTAGATGTAAAAGCTAAACGAAGTTGATTTTTAACTACTAGCGGCTGCCACGGCTATATACCCAATGCCAAGAGAATTGGTGACCCTGACCTTGCTCCGGTAACGCAATAACATGATGAGACTTTGCCCATGGGATCTGTGCAGTTCAGGCAAACTCCACTTTCGTATTCGTCTTGCAACTCTTTACATAATGCCAACCACCGACTCCATGGGGTCTCCGCATCGACACTCACCTCACCTCCTCATACGCTAGCTGCATGTATACAAGTGGGTCGAAAGAGGAAAGAGACACCCCCATAAGCGCTCAATCACTACTTCCCATGCTTCAGATCAAATTGTTTGTGTGTAAAAGTCATCAATTCCTGTGTCTAATTATATCTTATACAGCGAGCGTGATAGCTAGGGAACATTAGAAAAAGACCTGTATCGCTTATGCATTTTTTTCTCCCCACCCCCAGCCAAACCGGAAGATAGAGCATCATTTGCCCATCACGACAGAAAAACGAACGGTATATGTACAAGAAAATGCAAGGGAAAGCAGAATCGAAGATATCGCTTAACAGAAGAATTTGTAAGCCTTCTTCCATGCTGGCCACTGAGCCTGCTCAGCTCTCTCCTCGGCGATGAGCTCGGCAATGTTGAGCTCGCGGATACCAGTGTGCAAGTCCATGTTGTGGCTGCGGATGAAGGGTGTGCGCTTCCAGAACTTGTAGACGACGTAGAACAGAATGACCACAGGGGCGGCAAGGTAGACTTCGAAGAAGCTCTCGACCTGCTCGCCAGGAGTCATATCAGCATATCCGATGGGGAAGCATCCGGTCCAGAATTGTGCAATCAAGACGAGACAGTTGAGGAGGAAACCAACCCAGGAGCCGATAATGCCGGCCTGAGACTTGAAGGCCAGCTCATCGAGAGTGTGGCCCTGAGCCTTCCATCCCTTGCGGAATCGGATGTGGGCGAGGCAGATGCTGCCCCATGTGAAGATGGAACTGAGACCAGAAAGGGCCAGCATCCAGTTGAAAGCGTCGGTCTGCTTGCTGGATCCGGCAAGGAAAGCGAGAAGTCCGAGAACAGAAGCAATGCCAATAGAAGCGATGGGACGACCCTTACGGTCAATGTATCCGAGAATCTTGGGGGCCTGACCTTGGTCGGCGAGTGCGGCAAGAGTACGCGAGGAACCGTAAATCGAGGAGTTTCCGACAGACAGAACAGCAATCAGAATCACAGCGTTCATCACACTTGGCAACCCGTCAATCCCCGCATTCTTGATGGCAATAACGAAGGGACTGGCCTTGGCATCAGCACTACTGGAGCCATTGATCAGACGTGGATCGGAGGAAGGAACAAGAAGGCCGACGAGGGTAAGCGAGACCAGATAGAAGAGGAAGATTCTCCAGAAGACCTGCTTGACGGCAGTAGGCAGCGACTTGCGAGGGTTCTCTGTTTCGGCGGCAGCAAGACCGACGAGCTCAGTTCCGGCAAAGGCAAAGGCAGCAGTAACGAACACACTGCAGAGACCTTTGAAACCGTGGTTGAAAGCTCCAGGGTCTAAGCAAGATATTAGCTCGAGTTTTATGAAGTATTGATCATCTTGATTTCACGTACCACGCCAGTTACGACCACCAATGTAATCGCCGTCAGGGCCACCACCAACATCAAGGATGATACCAAGGATGATGAAACCAATGACGGCGATGACCTTGATGATAGAGAAAAGGAACTCGGCTTCACCGTAACCTTTGACACCGAAAAGGTTGATGCCAATGATAACAAACAGGAAGATGGCGACCCAAGCGTTGGGGTTGATAGAGTCGTTCCAGAATTCAATGGTGAGTGTAGCAGCGACAATCTCCAGCGGAAGCACGACGAGCCATTGCAGAGCGTAATTCCAGCCCATGGCGAAGCCCCAAGCAGGGTCGAGGAAACGGGTCGAGTATGCAGAGAAAGAACCAGCGACGGGGAAGAGGACTGCCATCTCACCAAGAGCATGAACAGTACAGTAAAGCATGATACCAATGATGCCATAGGCGATGAGCAGAGAGGCAGGACCTCCATTCGCAAGAGCTGAACCAGATCCGACGAAGAGACCAGTACCTGCACAGATGGTTAAGCAAAGTACATGACTGAAGCATGTGATTTCTAGATACCAATTGAACCACCAATGGCGATCATCTGCAAGTGACGACCCTTCAAATGTCTAGCCAACCCCGAGTCGGCAGTTGCTGCATTTGCAGTCTCAACGTCGAACACTTTTCCATCTGCGCCAACTGTTCCTGGAGGTGTCGCATGTGCGTTTGGGTCGCGCTTGAAGCTGTCGAACATGCGAGTAGACCATGATCTGGGGTGGTCGTAGTTCTGGCCAACTTCCGTCGAGGAGTCGGCCGGTGACGAATGGTATGCGGAACCGGGGATGACCTCTTTAGCGTCCTCCATGATTGTTGATGTCGTGGTTCTCTCTGTTACAAATTGCGAGAGAAGTGCGTCTTGCGAAAGAAGAGAAAAACAGAAAGTGAAATGTCTCGAGTTTCGCGAATGCGACGGCCGAGTTCGCAGAGGTTGTACAAAAAACGAACTGCACCTCCAACCGTGTCACTGTCCCTTATTTACGTCAAGGGCCAAGGCCTGCAGGTTGAAAAGATGAGGCGATAGAGTTGTGGTAGGCCTACCGTTATGTGGCTTGCAGGACGCATGCTGATTAGCTGGCACCTGTCCGCTATCTAAAAGCCATATCGGCGGCGCCACCGCCTCTGCCGGGTTCGTAAAAGGAACCATGACCGACGTTTGCGACGTGATGATGGGAGGATCTCGAGCTTGGGTGATGGTCATGGGTTGAGTTTACTCCACACAGATAGGGATATGCGTTGTGCGACGATTTGGCTGACACATACTTTTGACAGCCGGGTTTGGAAATAGCTGGGGAATCGACCCTCCGCCGTCTAGACAACGGCTTTACTTATTTCCACGTATGTAGAAATCGGGTACAGTCGCAGCCAACGGCTTTCAGTGACGCTCTTCCTCTTGAAGCCCTTCTCGGCGGCAGCTCTTGAACATTCTTGAGTGTGCTTGTCCAAAAGCAATGCCCTTGGCACTTAGAACATCCTCGAGCAACACTCGTGTGTTACACAATGGTAATGCGCCGGCGAGATCGTCAGCATGGAAGACACAATTACACCAATCACGGAAGTATTGGATCCTTCGCTGTCGCTGATCCCGAACCCGCCTGTGCACATGCGGAATTCTATCACCTTCGCGATGCTCCCGCTGCTGGCCCACACGACATTGGAGTTGTAGGAACGCAGGATGTTTGACACCGGAGCATCTTTCTACGAATTAGATCCTCGATGCGCTCTCAAAAGACGTCTTTCCAGCTGTGAAAGAATCGTAAATTCTTTCACAGCTGGAGGCTTTACGAAGTTGAGACGGGGAGTGGCTGTGGGGGACTCGAGGAAAGTTGAAGCCCTGTCTTCGGGCCAGGCGTAGCCGAGGAGCCAAGCTTCTCCAACTCTGTGGCTCGTGCTTGTTGGCTGCAAAAGAGCTTCCTCGGCTGCAGTGAAAGATGCACGACATCTGAAGGAGTCTCGAAGGCATGGATGAAAGACAAAGACTGGCTGAGACCTTTGACTGCAGTCAGACGTGACCAGAGCCACACGACTTTGTCAATATCACATGGGAAATACACAGCTGGGAGAAGCAGACTGAAAGCTCTCGCTCTAATTTCCCTCTCCGGGCTCTCCTACTGAGCGCCCATTCGACATGAGCAGATCACCATTATCGCGATGCAGACACCAACATCATGCTGCTTGCAGCTACGAAGCTCGAGCTACCTCATTCTAAAATGGTGGATACCAACACCATGTATCGATACCCGAAATGAGTACGCGCTGCCTGCTTGATTGTGCTCCATCATCACATCCTTCGACCAAAGGTGCGTCATGCTTTCATCAAGCTTCTCAACCTCTTGAAAAAGCACAAGATATCTCATGATGCCTGGTACTGCGTATGATAATTTGCTCATGCAAATACGTCTGAGAAATGATCCTTCGGCATGCCTATCGCGGCTTCCTTGGCCGCGAGATAAGGATTTAATTCAGCCACTCGGAGTCGAACTTCGCTTTTCACTATCTCTCGGCCTACGAATGCTTGAACAAAGCTTGTTACAACCTTCTCAACATCGATCATGCCATGTCTCATCGTTGTCCCTCAGGTAGGGCAGGAATAAGACTGAATGCTTACCAATTGACTCCACCAATGGACCTCGACAAGAAGGCGATTGTAGGAATGCACCAAGGTCCCAAAGCTTTGGAATAGTCCATCGAGAGACCAGGTCCCTTGTTCTCCTTATGGGACGAGCTCCGACGTCCTGACAGCGTTTGTGCTTCCCAGCTAACGACAAATCTAAGCGATATGGACACGCATGCGCTCGGTTACCAGAGCATGCGCAGTACCGGTATGGTGATTTTGAATTCGAGAAGGGATCCGCGACACCTTACAACACCTTAGCTACTGGAATTACGTGGTCTACTTATGAGCTGCACGCAATCACGAAGAACGTGTATCGCGATTAGGCAGGACTGAATTCTCGAATGGCACTCAGATGCGGCGACCAGTTTGAGGATTCAAGATGTAGATCGTTCCTCAATTTGTTCCTCCATTTGTACAACGCCGCAACCATGTACACAATGTCAGAGCTGACTTGGAAGTTCTAACTTTGTGGAACACACCGAGCTGCTGGTCAATATTCGGTGAGCGGCATTACTGGCCATGCCTTCTGAGTCAGAATTTGCTTAACACGTTCCGCTTGGAGTCACCGCAGCTTGATGAGACAAGGACAGTAGACGGTGACAGCCAGAAGGGCTCGGCGCTTTCCCAGTGAACAGGCCGATTCTTTCCAAGAACTAAAAAAGTAGTCTTGGTAATAACCCAAACACTTTTTTCCGGCTCTCCAGAGTCCCGCGTTCACCTCCAACATGCGAAAGAATAGCCAGGCCAACAAGCCGCGACAAGCTGCATCGACCAAGCAAACCAAGCCAAAAACAAGAACCGACAAAGCGTACGCGCCGATGAGAACAACCGCTGGCGACTCAATATTCTTCTTCAAAGACGATGAACAACCATATGGTTTCCTCTGCCAGTGGTACCGATCTCGATTCAAAGACCCCGACTCCAGTCTCGAATTCAACTGCGCCGAGCAATGGATGATGTGGAACAAAGCACAACTCGCAGGAGATGCGACATCTGCAAGAACAATAATGGCTACTACATCTCCTCGGAAGCAAAAACAGCTCGGTCGCGACGTCGAAGGGTTTGATGTGGATGCTTGGGATCAAATCAAGTTGGACGTCGTCCAGAGAGGCAACTATCTTAAGTTCACGCAGGCAACGAATGTTTCTTCTATGAAAATGGACGATGTCGGCGAGCCTTTACCTCTCAAAGATCTACTACTGGCTACAGGTGAGCAAGAGTTGGCAGAGGCATCCAGGTTTGATCGCGTTTGGGGCATCGGCTTTGATGCGCAACAAGCACAAACGACATCTCGCGACAAATGGGGTCAAAATCTGCTAGGTATAGCACTGATGAATGTTCGAGACAAGGTCAGACACGAAGCGAAAGCTACTTGCGAAACCTCTAGGGAGAACTGAGCCGTCATACAGCAAGGTCAGCGGTGTGATGTATCAGACGCATCGCACTGGGACTGCAGACTGCGCATTGAATTAGGCACTGGCTGAAAGCTTGTAATCCTGCGTGCTCTCTCCGTGCTTATCTGAAAAACATCATTCGTCGGGAGAGAGTGTGCTTCGTTGATTCCATATCAATAACGTCAAAACAATCCTATCCGCTCCTTCCGTAACATAATAGACGCAGGAAGACCCTTGTGAAAATGCACGATCGCAACTGCCCTGAGTAGTGGCAGTCGCGGACATCGTCCAAATCCGAGGCAGGGACTGCTCTCTACCTCCTTCCACTACGACCAACGCCAAACAATCTAAGTCAGTGGTGACGTACACATTTTCCTGCCATCAAACTCGCTTCGCTTCTGCGTCAATCCGCCTCCATCCGACCTCATTCATCATTGCGACGTCCATCCGTCTTCTTCTCGCCTTCATGAACTGTATCAGGCGAGTAGTCAGGATATTTCGACGCACCCTTCCCAGAGACATGATGTCCAGCAATGGCGTAACAAAGAATGCACCTGGTAGCTATATCTTCCTCCGTTCTCGGTTCCTGCAATGCTGACTTTGTTCTTCAGTCACAGCTTATACGCCCACACCTCATGCACTTGATGCCTTGATGAAGGCTCTGGATGACGATGCCGTCCCTATAAAGAAGGAGCCCGAGTCTGACCCCATCTATCGCGAGCGATCCTTCAGTTTGGCCCAATCCATCTCCTCTCTGGTTCATGCGCCGACCATTGAGCCAGAACTCATCGAGGGAGTGATTTACACAACCAAGCAAGAGCCCGCACCACTCCATTTCGTCGAAGATGCCAGCCTGGTCAACTTCGATGCCCACCACCAAGGTTGCAGCGCTGTGTCGACGGATGAGGACGTCAAATATGATTGCCGCAGTCGCGTAAGCAGTATTTCTGGCATCGATTCGGGTTCCGAGATGAGCCCAAAGGTTCAGCTGAAGCACGAAATCTATCTGCCCAACGACCCCAAGTCTGACTACAACACCATTATCCGAGGCTCAGACCCCAAGACCGAACCAAAGCTCCCAGTATCGAACAACCTTGATTTACCCACGCGTTGTAGCGACAAGGAACTCTTCCGAAGAGCCCAATCGTCGTTCAAAAGTTACACCGGAAACTTATACAGTGGAAACTCGTCTAGGTCTTACTGGGAGCAGTTCTTTTGCGAAAAAGCCGAGCTCATCGAGCAGAAAGCTGAAGAGTCGCGGCTCAGAGAACAACAAATCGCAGAACACAAAGCCGAGGAGTTGCGACTCAAGGACAAACAAATCGCAGAGCAAGAAGCAGAGTTCGAGCAGGCAATTCAACAACTGAAGAACAAGAAAATGAAGGAAGAAGAGGAAGAACGTCGTCTCAAGCGAGTGAAGGATGGTATCGACACCGGGCATCGTTTGGCTCCACGACGCCAGGTCACCGAGAGTGAATCATTCTTGATCGGAAGATTGGTTATTGAGGTACGCACTGCTGAGGCAGCCGCAGAGTTTGCAGTTTGGGCAAATTCGAAGATGAACTTTCACGAGAAGCAGGAATACAACCGCATGCTGTGGATCGTAAATGGGCGAGAGGCCAAAGGCCTTATGTTGGAGGTCCCTGGTGGCAGTGAGTTGGAGTATCTTTGGTCTTGATGACCCGAAATGGAGTATCGGCTGTGATGGATGAACATGAACGCGGAAAGAGGGTAGCTGAATCGAGCTCGCTATCAACCAAAGTAGTATACAGAAATATCATGATAGCATCGGTTTTTCAACCATCTGATCCCCAAAACTGTTGGTTGCCCACACGAAACTGGATGGAAGAATAGTGCAGAATGAATGTGACTGCTGCAAACTACTCATGCCCAACCTCTCTTTGGACAATCTCGCATTCTTGAAAACCTACTTGCATCTTGACGATCGTATCGCTATGCACCACACTGCAGAAGAGATGAGGTTATCTTCAGGAGCCCTGTCATCTTCCTCTCCACCCATCCACTCACCCCTATCACCACTCTCAGCTCCCCTGTAACACTCTCCATGTAGCAGTAAAAAGGCACGAAGTTTTTCGGGAATCGGACGAGGTCCAAAGAGAGTGTCAGTAGGCGATCAGCAAGTGATCATCTCCCTGACCCCAACACCATTCTCTGAATAAATTCGTGCATTTTGACGGGCTGCATCATAGACTAGTCGTGTGTTTGAGATGAAATTACCCCTGCGTTGGTTGATCAACCCGATGTACTTTCTCTCTGTTACCTGAGCATGTGCTTCCAATCATCTTGCTCTGATCAGAAATATAGCGGTCGGTGTGCATGGATTTTTCTCGGGATTGAACGGCGTTTGTTGAGATGGTGACTCAACGAAGATTTCATGGTCAAGATATCATTTCCTGGATATGTTTATGCGATTTGATGGATATGATCGCCAACCTGGCTATGTGTTTGGCATCAGGAGGGCTGTTTCTGGGGTGGTTGATGTACGTCGAATCCTGCCTTGATGTGTGTGTCTCTGATGATACTATATCTCAGTCAACGTTTGGGAGTGGTGATTGGGTATTATAGCAGAGCTTTATGCGGACGGCAGAACGTTTCGTTTTGGTATGAGATGCTGATAGAACTGATTTGTATGCTCAATCTCCTTTGCGTTTCATTACCAAGTCCAACTCTTTCTCAAGACCCTCTGAATTGATCCAAGAGTTGACCACCGATAGTTCTTCTTCTGCCACCCTCATTCTCTTCCCCTCTTGTGGAGCCACTAGCCGTAGCGGCCTCTCCTTCCATGCGTCTCCTCAAGCCTTCAAATCTTTCTCTGTCCCTCTTTCCAGCGCTCCAGTCTGGTATCCTCCATGTCGCAGCTCCAGGAAGTATTTCTCTTCTGTATGCATATCCCACTAGCCATCCTACTGCAGCAACGATTGCAGATCCGGGAAGTTGGGAGAGGGCGAGTTGGAGAGGGAGAAGGTAGGATGTAGATTTCGAGGTGAGGTTGATGGCCGAGGATGTAGTTGATGGCGAGGAATTGTCAGAGGCAGAGAGTTGGTACTTGTACATGTAAGGGATGGCAGCGTGGTATTGAGCGAGGAGAGCGAAGATGATGGCAGTCGGGCCGGCGGGAAGGTAGTTGATGTTGAAGAAGGAGAGTGGTCGGATGACGACTACGAGGAGGAGCGGAGGAAGTAGCACAGTATATGGTAGTGTCGAGATCAAGAACGACTATGACTTCAATAAGCAATGGTCCCGGTGGCAGTTGTTGCATCGGTTGTTGGACATACAGCGAATTTCCTCGACCCCCAAAGACGCTCAATGATGCGAAGTTGATACAGCGTCATGGCCGAGAACAAGACTTCGGTCGAATTGGTGTATAGCAGTGGCCATGTCATGCATCGCCATAGCTGTCTATAGTCGGAGATGTGCGGCTTGACCATGATCCAGAATAGGTGCTTGCTGTCGGTGATGCTGGCCAGAAGCGAGGCCGCGACTACCGCCATGACCAGATACTTGGAGAGTGGCGCATTGCTGAACCCGGACGCCAGCATCCTGTTGTTGTTCGAGTCGTGTTTTGGTATGGAAGTTGATTGGAAAGGCAAGGGTCGATCATACAGCAACATGACAGAATGCCACTTCCCCACAATGCGAGCACAAGCCAACCCCACCTGAACACGATCATCAACAGCCATCTCCCGTAGCCACCACGCCTGGAGCTTTTCGGCCTTTGGAAATGCACACGATCATCTGAAACTCATTCTTTGGACATAGCCTTTTTCCGAGAATCTTTGTACTTTTTTACACACGATTATCAGTGACAAACTTCACCGACAGGGAGTTGAGAAGCCTTGCACATCAACGTCTTCCTGGCACATGAGACACAAAGTTCAAGAAGTGATTCATGCTTCTCATGTCAAATAGCTAGCTATCTATGCTTTGTAATAACCTTCATCTTCACTCTTCTGAGATAGCAAATGACAATATTGGACCTCCGCCAACACCAAACCCTGCCCATTTCTAACGCCTCAGTGAACCTACGCCAGCCAATACAAAGGAGATTGATAAAAGTATGAGCAGCTAAGAGTGCATTACTTATGCTCATGTGCTCGGGTATCCGTGATCCGTTTCTTCTGTTCCCTTTTCCTCAATGCATTTCCGTCCTTCGCTGAAACCAATGTCTTGTTGCCCACACCATGTCGTAATCCGTAATCGTCAATTTTCGTCGTCTTTACTGCCCTCCTGCCGCCGGTCCTGCTGCAGTTTCTGCTTGTGCTTCGACATCTTCGATTTCGCGTCCACGAGGGTCGACCACGATTCGGTGGCCTCGCTTGTTTTCGGGTATACCGTCTCGAGCTGCGCCGAAATCGAGCACCTGCAATTTGTTAGTTTCGTCTGCCAATACTGTCTGCTTCTACAAACATACCTCGATGTAAGTAAGGTTATTCCTTTGCACCGCGGCGACACATCTTCTCTCGTCGAATCGAACTTGCCAAACTCCACTCAGGTCCGAGAGCAGGTCGCGCAGGCACTCACCCGTCTCGATGTTCCACATCTTGAGCGTGCGGTCTGACCCGCTGATGACCTTCTGATCGTCATGCTGGAAGCACGTGATTGCTCCAGTGTGCGCCGACAAGATGGACTGGCAGGCTCCGTTATCTGGGTCCCAAATGCGAAGAGTGCTGTCTGCGGCAGCGCTGACCAGACGTCCATGGCTGAGATCCAGAAGACCTACAAGAGACGTGTGCCCGTCGAGGTTGAATAGGCAGTTTCCAGTCTCGAGGGACCACACCTTGACGAGGTTGTCCATTGATCCAGAGATGCATCTTCCTCTTTCATGATCAAGAACCACACTGTAGACCTTTTGTGAATGTCCTGTGAGACGGTGCACCATGTCGCCAGTAGAAATTTTCCACACTCGGACAGTGCAGTCGTATGATCCGCTGACAAGGGTGTCACCATGCGCTGCAATAGCACGTACCGAGTTATGGTGACCTGTAAGAACACGCAATGAGTAAGGATTATCACTGTCATTTGCTGGAGGGCCGGCTTGATGAATCTGTGGGTCATCGGGACGAGGAAGCTTCCAGACTCTGAGGGTCGAGTCACGCGAACCGGTGATGATCAAGGGCTCCTTTGGCATCATGATGGGAGAGCCATCGGCAGCAGTACCAATCTTGACAGGCTTCAAGATGACAAGACAGCGAACGGTAGAGGTGTGGCCCTGGAAAGTCTGCAGACACTTGCCAGAAGGAATGTCCCAAATACGAACGGAGCGATCAGTCGAGCCGGACACCAGTGTGTCGCCCTCGTACTGCAGTGCCCATACGCCACCTTCGTGTCCTTCGAGCTTTCTTCGCAACACACCGGTTCGAGTGTCGTAGACGTTGATGTTTGTGTCGTCACTACCGGTCAGAATCTTGTCCGAGTCGAACAGTAAGCAGGTGACGACATGACGATGATGGGCGCGGAAGGCCAGATGGCGCGGCTTTGCCTCAGAATCCATCCAGCTCTTCGCAATCATGTAATGCCTTTGGTAGATGGACTTGAAAAGATGCAGGTTTGCTAGACTTGGAAGACCGACGTTTGGGTTTGGCACTGCTTTGGCGGCAGCGCTTGCGTAAGCCATGGGACCTTGTGCTGTCTGGAAGTCGCGCAGCCAAAGAGGGGCTTCGTCTTGGCGTCTGGATACCTTCCGCTTTTGTCTCTTGTGACTGCCAGTGCTGCCGGTGGCCTTTCTCTTGGTTCTTGTGATACGCAGTGATGCAGAAGAACCCGCATCGTCGCTGCTGACTGAAGGTGCGCCCAGTGGACTCATTGGCTCCAGCTCGACGACTCTAGAGACCGAGCGGGTCGACCTTGACTGACCGAGGTCCTCTTCATATCCGTCCATAGAGGGAGCCTGCCATGCCCATCCTTCACGTACTGCGCGCTCCACTTCGCCGTCAGGCAAGTTGAAGCCGTCTCTGTCAAGGAGTTCTTTCCATGCTCTTTCATCCGAGTCAATCAGGTGTCTCCACTTTTTTGACACCTGAGCTGCACGGCAGAGACTCTTGACATCCAAGAATTTTGTGATCTGCAAACCTAACTCTACTGGAAGTACGTCAAAGGGATCGCACTTCAGCGCAGGGTTGACAAGCGAAGCAACGGTTCGTAGTGTCTTCTTGGTTGAGCGTCTGAGCATTTGATACAACAAGTAGGACTGCATATCCTCGGGTAAAGCATCGTATGCGTCGATCATTGTGGGGACGTCCATGAGCGTTAATGGAGGCGGATTGGCCTGATTTGGGTGGGTGTGAGACTGAACAGTGGCCTCACTGGAACTAGCAGGGGCATCGGGTTGATCGGTCATCATACTGTCCTCAAGATCCAGCCTAGAAACCTGACTAGCGTTTTCGTCGTCGGCGTCACGAGTAGATAGAAGAAGCTGATGGCTGCGAGCTAGGTTGGCAGCGGCTGTGACAGGGGAAAGACTGGGGCTTGGGAGGCTGGCATCTTGCTGTGAACCGCCGAGTAGACTGGCAGGCAAGGGTCTGGGCTGCTCAAGACGAGGGTATGGGTTTTCGACGGGTTCGAGATCGCCCTCGGCAACTGGAGGAGTTGCAGTGGCAGCATCTCTGTCGAACGAGTGGCTTGGGCCAGCCTGTGTAGCCTTTTGCTTTGCATGTTGTTCTTGCCATTCACGAGCTTTCTGTGTCAAGGACGTCAATCGCTGCTGTTCACGGTCGTTTCCGAGGGCAGCGTCAGTATCAGGAGTGACGGGCAGAGGGCGGTTTAGAGAGGAAGTCGGTTCTGAGGCAGAAGGTTGCTGGTCGGTAGAGAGTGGATATGTGATGCCAGAGCGGGTTCGTGACAGGAGCGAACGAGGATGTCTTCTACGACGATGAAGACTGGCGAGCTCTGCGGCTTCGGCGAGGCTGGGCGGCGAAGCAGGTCTTTTAGGTGGTGGTGGTCGAGAGTCGTGAGCTCTGGTGGGTGTGTGATATGTCTGCGAAGAGGCCTTCTGGCTGCGAATAAGGCCGTTGGATTGTTGCAGTTGGGCTTGCTGCAGCTTGTACTAGGGGAGCTTGTCAGCGGGAGATCAGTAAGCATGTGTCGAGCTCAAGTACCTTGTCAAGGGAAGACTGAGCGTTCTCAGCCTCTTGGTAGACAATCGGAGTACCCCCGACGTCGAGCGAGAAGCGTTGTAGAGATGACGGAGTGGGAGTAGATGCCAAAGGGTATTGCTTGGGGTCGCGGCTGAGCATGTCTCTGGGCGGGCGGATCAAGAGAGGTGGGAGAGTGACAGTAGTAGTTGTGGTGGTCGTGACAACCGTCTGCTGGGTAGCCGGGGCAAAGGCCACATGAGCCATGGTGGTATAGGGCGACATGTCTTGATGGTGGTCGGGCGAGGCAGGAGCAGTGGTGAATGAGGCCTGGGTGCTGCGTATCGGTGCCCGTGCCTGGTCGTGGCGGGCTGGAGGTTCCATGCTGGCGAGCTTCTTCGAGTGGTGCCAAGAGCGGATGGCTGCGTCCCTGTCGACGTCGATGTCGCTGTCGTCGACGATGCAGTACTCAGTCGGTCTCGTGCAAGCCCCGGAGCGTGACGACAGAGTCAACGCACGGGGATGCGAGGGCTACAAACACGCTCAGGTTGCTGAGACGTCGTTGGCTGATTGGCCTCTTTTCTTAAAGTAGCATCGTCTTTGAGGGCTTGGGCAAGGACGGTCGAGTATAATGCGGAGTTTGCTGGTCGTTGTGTTGATTGATGGGTCGGAGAGGAAACAGGCCGTTCGCTGCCTGAGTCGCTTTGTTCCAAGCCTCTTCCCTGCCTGCCGTTTTTGCGGAGGCCGTCCGAAAGCGCCACCGCCTGCGAGCCAAGCGCCCTCTGCCGACCACGAAAACCTTGCTTGCCGACTGCATAACCAGCGAACTTAGTCTTTATCTTTCTCAATCCTGCATTGTCTCGACGAATGGTCCTGCTAAATCACATTCGTAGTCCAACCTGGTCATCATTGCTATCGAGATCTGCCTGTATATCGCTCTTCATTCCGGGGTACCGAGCTCTGTCCTTCTAGAAGCCCGAGCGAAGTATCGAATAAAGCAATCACAGATCAGCAGGTCACGGTCATTGCTTGTACAGGCAACAATCTCATTCGGTACGAGAATACGACAACAAAGGCTTTCTCACCGGACATTCTCCATGTTCAGATAACTTTCTGCCCTTTGATGGATGGTTTCGACTAGGCTTCACGTGGAGGAAACTGCGAAGTTATAGTTCAGGGGTCGACAGTACGGAGTAACAAGATAGAGAAATGGTACCACGACCAAACTCCACTCCAGCATGCCAGATGCCTGTTGAATTAGCTATCCAAATGCGAGGCGGTTTTCGCAATTCAGTCCATGTCCAGAGAGAGCGGCACTTTCGCTTGCTTTCTTTGGATATTTGCCTCAAACCCGAAAAAACATCTTCCTATAAGCAGTAGGTTAAAAACGCATTCGGGGTTGAGGTGATTGATCAATCACAATCGGATTCACAAAGAAGAGACGATCTTTTTTTCGTAAAGCATATTTCATTACTTGACTTTGTTCAGCAAGACTTAAACTACCAGCTGTATCAATGTCAAAGACGATCTGACCACTCCGGCTATTGGTCTGTGTTTGACAGAAAACAAAACGATATGCATCACAGAGACCATCACCATATCCATCCTCCATCCCGCAAAAAAAACAAGACCTTGATAGACAGTTTGACAACACACTGCTGCTGCATGCTCTAAACGTTTGTGTTTATGACACAGAGGCTCTCAGATGACTCAAGATCATCTCTACTTGTCGTCGACAAGGTTGTCGACCCAGTCGGGAGGAAGACCCACTCCGGACATTGAGGCATCGGACTTGATGCGATTACGTCCGAGAGTAGGACGAGGACGAGGGGTGTCAGGCTGCACGCTGGCAGTCTTAGGGCTGGTGTCAGGAGTGCGCAGCTGCTTGGGCACCTGTCCATAGCCAAAGGCAGCCTTGTCGGGAGATCCATCGTGGTTGTTCTGGCTGGAGATGGAGCGACCAACACGAGGAGTCAGGGTACCATGAGTTGTGGTGTCCATGGGACTGGCCGATAGATCGTACGAGCTTTGGCTGTGTCTGAGAGGCGTCTTGGGCTGGGTGGGGCTTTTGATACTGCTGTACGACCAGGTGTTGATGTTCTTAGCAAATCTGTTGTCCTTGTTGAGCTCAAAGCGGGGTGTGCTGGACTGATGGGTCTCCGATTGAGGTCCAGGGCCATGCTGAGGGCCAACAGACTTCAGGGGAGGAGGCATGGCGAAGGAGAGGCTTTCAACACTGCCTTTGGCACCGTGACTGTCGTTAAAGACCGAGCCAGACTTGCGGCGGAGCATCTGTTCATGGCTGGGAAAGCTGCTACCGATGGTGGCAGAAGGCAGAAGGGGAGGGGGCATGTTCGAGCTCTTCAGACTTTGGATGCTCTGTGTTCTGGCGAGCGAGTTGGATGTCTGAGCGTCGGAACCCTGCATACTGGCATAACTCTTGACCGGAGTGATCGGCTTGGTGTTGCCATTCACATCTGGGGCGGTGGTGAGAGTGCCATCAGGATACTTGAAGACTTCGATGACCTGGCGCTCGGGTTGACCGCGGTTGTGGTAGTGCTCAGGCGATGCAGGGTTGGTCTTGGTACTGCAAGTGGTCTCACTGCTTTCGGTGCTTCTTACAACTGGACGAGGCGCAGAACGAGGCAAGAAACCATGTCCAATCTTGCCAGTCTCGAAGCGGCCTCTGCCTCTGAAGCCATTTCCAATACCACGGGAGAAATGCTGACCGCGGTAGTTGCCACGACTGGAGAACCTGGGGGCCATAGGAGGAGCAGTAGCAAGTCTGCTGCTTGCCATTGCCTTCTGGAAGAATTCTCCCGAAGGCGCAGCGAGCATGTTCTCAATGTGAGGTGCTTCGACGTAGCACTTGATGACTTCGCGACCGGTCGGTTCGGAGTAGCTGAAGATTGGTCAGAACAGGAGGTTGATAGAGGTTGGAAGATGAACTCACTTCATGCCATTCCACATTTGGGTGACTGATGCCTGGTCGATCTTGCCTTCAACAAGCGGGGTGATATCCTCGAATGGAACTAGCTTGTTGTATACCCAGTGAATGATCATACCACTTTGCAAACGTTAGTTCCTGCAAGATGAAACGATTTGAGTTGACTGACCCTTGGATCTTTCCCTCATCCTTGTCCCAGAACTCGGTCTGGACGTCGGCATCGTAGGCCTGAAGCTCTGCAAGACCACAGAAGTTCTTGCTGGGCAGTGTTAGCAGGTTTGAAAGATATCATAGCGATTCAAGGTACTAACCTTCCGGGCATGGACCAGAGGAACAGAGTCTTCATGGATGGATCGTCGCGACTGTTGTGAAGCTCCATGATGCGGTCCATGACATTACGGTTCGTGGCCCACAGTCCGATCTGGTGAGACAAGAGGATATCATCAAGAGTGTTGCACTTGATAGCAATGACCCTGGACTGTAATTGAATTAGCGGAATGGAGATACGGAGGGTTGTGGTTAGACTTACACCGTAAGGCATCAAGTAGTGATCAGGGTTCAGGCTGCTCAGAATCTGATAGGCTCCTTCAAAGGTCTCGTGACGACGTCTGCTAGTCTGATGCTGCAGCTTGAAGGTGCGAGGTGTCTGCTTCTCGGTCCAAACTGGAGGAGGACCAGTAGGACGGACATACTCAGAGGCTCTGACGGCATCAGAGGTAGGTGCAGCAGCGTCTGACTTGTTAGCGACAGCAACAGAAGCTTCAGGTGAAGCATTGCTCGAGACCGATGAGTCCTTCTCGGGTGCGCTTGACTGGTTGTCAGCAGATCGAATGGTGGCTGTATCGAGAGGCTTGGCCGGTTGCTGCTTCTGATTGGCGGAAAGGTCGACGTTGTGAGGACCTCTCTGCTGAGGACGACCAGAGTCACGCGAATGAGCAGCACCAACACGAGAGTGAGGTCCAGCTGGGATGGAGTGAGTGACGACCAGAGGAGTCTTGTTGTTGTTCTCAAGACCAAGTGGTTTGAAAGGGGCGCCAAGGCCTGGAATCAAGAAGCCATTAGGCTGTGAAGCAAAGGGTGCGTCAGAGACATTGGCACTGGGCATGCTGCCAGAAGTTCTGGTAAGGTCACCGGCGACATTTCTGCCAGTGCTGGTGACGTAGCAACCACCGAGGCCAGGCAGCGCATTGCCAGGACCAGTGTGATGGACAGATCCGTTCTGATTCAAGAAGCTAAAGAATGTGTCAGCGGCGCAATCATCATTTATAGCCTAGGTAGCGACGCGTCTTTCGACTGATGTTTGGGCAAAAAACTTACTTGTTGTAACCACGAGAAACGTCAGGACGAGGGTCATGAGCCATGGACGATGCGCGCATGCTGGAGTTTTCGTTGGGCTGAATCTGATCACCCATGATTGTAGATGGTTCAATGTTGAACAAAGCCTTCACAGCCTGACTATCAAAGCCGTTCTGTGCAGAGTATTGCTCGAGAGAGTTTGGGCCGAGGCGTCTGCGCTTGAAAACTTCAGTAAACTGAGTTGCGCCGGAGTTTTCAGGCAGAGAGGCAGAATCAGACAAAGCGTAGGCGCCAGAGTTGATGGTACGCTGAGTTACGATCTGATCGGGGCCAGTGGAAGGTTCCTGGGAATTGATGACCGATGCTGTGGCAAAGGTCGATCTTGAAGAGTTGAAGAGCGCCTGAGCGGCGGCGGTAGGTGGGATCATATCCGGTGCTGTTTGTGTGTCAGCGACATCGAAATGACCGTTAAGACAAGGACGACGTACTCATACGCGCTTTTTTTATTTTTTTAGAAGAAGGGAGCAAAAATGCGCATAAGAGTTTGTGTTGGTGTCGGAACGGAGAAGGAGACGCGCGACGCTCGAGTTCCGATATTGATCAGACGGCTGTGAAAGCTGACAGTAAAGTGAATTTCCAACAACACAAGATAAGCGAGAAGTGAAGGGAAAAGATGTACAACACTCTTTCTTTTGTCACTTGAGAAGGAAGAAACGATGAGAGAGGGATATGCGTGAGCAGGAAGTTGTATTCAGCACAGAACAACACACTTGGGAGCGAAATTCTGAGGATTGATAAATGGTATACCACGTACAGTACCTAACAGACATAGGAGAAAGCTATAGGTGTGTCTAGCATCTCACGAGAAGGGTGATGTTAGACCTCTGTTCTGGATCCATGTCGGGATTCCAGGTAGGTGATGGTCCGGGTTGCTTGCAGCACTCAACGTATAGATTTCACAGCTCTTCATGTTCTATGCTTCGTTATATCGAAATTGGGTCGAACATTGGTTATGATAGCATCCATGAATGCAGGTGAAGATGAGAAAGTGAAGTTACACGCTGTCGTCGTCAAGCGATGAGGTCTTCGGACCGCACGGGCCAGTTTCACAGTTCTACCGTAGAGCCGCCGGAGGGCGATATACCGTAGTCACGAGTAGATAATAGAACTCAAGTCTCACATGGCCGTTCTTCTCATCTACATGTCTGAGCTACAGAAGTTTATGCGTTTTCAAGATCAGCGTCACGCTGAATTGAGACATTCGGTCGGTCCTTTATATTTGAATGCACCAACCCGTCTCGGAAATGTTGTGCAGTCTCATACTCAGATGCAGAGGACAAAATATCTGTCAAAAGACAAGATGCTTTTGAGATCGGTGTATTTGTCCAGATAGAAGCACACGTTGTGGTTGCTCTCAGCAGACAAGCGGCTGATCACACAACATCTTGCATTTTGACAGGCATGTATGGAGCGTCGTACCAAAGAGAGAAGACGTTCATCGAAGATTATCCTGACATTTTCATGACCACTCAAGAAGTCTTGCGAGCAGAAGCTTGGTTCTGTGTTCTCTCCTCGGATCGCTCTTGCCTCAGCGACCTTGTCACCTTCCGTTTTCTTTGCATCTTCACATGTGACCCCGCTCTTGGAATAGCTTCCGTTTCAGTCAAGTCTGCTGGTTGTCATCGCTTCGTCTTGACCTCAATTGTCGTCCACATTGTCATCACCGTCAACATGGCTCAAGTCATGGCTCATCGCCAGGTGGTAGCCACCAAAACTAAGCTGAGCCAGAAGCAAAGTACCGAGACCGTCCAAGTCATGCTGTACACCTCGGTCAGTCAAGTTGCAGCCTGTCTTTCGAAAGTTTCTAATCATCTCGGTTCCAGGCGAGCATGCTCTGCAGCATGAGGTGAGAGATGTGCCAGCCTCTTTCCCCAGACCAACCATCTGACTACAATCATACAGAGGCATGTTTCCGTCATTAGCGTTTGATGAGGCTGAGTTGGCCGACGATGAGCTATACACCGTCGAAGGTCTGATAAATGGTGAACATCATTCCCGAGCCAAGGCATCATCGCCATCCAACACTTCCACCAGATCATCAGAGTCTACGCGGTTCAAGGTTCCTCTGCTCAAAAGAGGTCGCAGCGATCGCGCAGACCAGTTCATTGAATCACTCGTAGGTCCCATGGTCAATGACTGCTATCCTCAATGCTGACTCAAGTCGCCCCGTCAGGACACTGTCTTCGAAGCATTGAATCGGGGAACTCTGCATGCTCTACGTATCCCGTTCATGGGCGATCCTGAAATCAATCCGGATCCTCTCGAAATATGGTGTTTCCGCATCCTCTACGTCAGGTCTCCAGAAGGCAAACGTGAGGTCCAGGGCCTTCAAGCCAACTACAAAGGCGAAGACAGGCTTGACCCGAGCCTCGATCTTAACGGCCGTGTTCTTAACTTGCTGGAGACGATCTCGGAGCAATGCAGAGACTCCACACAATTGCCGAGTAAGAAGCGCGCTCTACTTCTCGATGACCAATGGACTAACCCGGATCAATAGATGAGTGCTACATCCAGCCCAGTATCATGTATATAGACGATGGGTGGCAGCCAAACAACTTTGTTGAAGCTGAGCCTGAAAAAAACGTCAAGGGGTTTGCAGGATGGCAGCCGCATGCAGCGGACTTGGGAGTCAGTGGTGGAAGTAAGCATGAGTATGTCACACGGCTTACAACAACTTTCACCGGCTGACCTGGCAAGGGTTTCCCTGCGAGTCGCGTTTCTCAAGCACGAATCTTCGACCAAAAGACGAATCTCCCAAGACCTCAGAGTTCGCGATTCAAAGATTGGTCAAGCTAGCCGTGTACCTACCGGAACAACCACGCCCCCGATCGTCGTTCCACCAATTCGATCAGAAATAATCTCGCCCACTGGAGGCAGAACGACCTCTTCCACCTCAGCCATACCCGAAACACCACAGCATGTCCACGGCTCCAAAATCGGTTCCACGTCTCTCGCAAGCTCTCGCGCTCTGCGGTCAGTTGCTAGCAAGTCAAGCTCGAATACAGGGGACATCTCGCAGATTGCGGCCACGCCAACTGTCACCCAAGATGAACCATCACAATCGGTGGCCTCAAACACGTCGCAGGTGGATGACGATATGCGTCGCAAGAGTTCATTGGAAAGCATGGTAAGCATTTAAAGCATCAGGAAGTGTTCAGAGATTGACCTAATGCTCAGATGAAACCTCGCTCGAACCTCGATGATGACTTTTTGACCCAGCCGCGAGCAATTCCTAGCCAAATTTCGAACGCTGAGGACGGTCTGAGTCTTGAGTTGACTGAGCATATGAAGAAGTATGACTTTCTTTCGCGAGAGAAGGCACAACAGCTATGGTATGCAATACCTGAGCTTCAGCAAAGAGCAAGAATGCTTGCGAATGGTCCAATAATAGGTTGTCGATGCCGACTTGTGGACTCTACAGAAGATATGGTACGTCGAGTGCTTATCCAAATTGAACACTCTGACGGCCACCCTAGGTCCAGTGCGATGTATGTGGTGTGCAGCAACACCTTATCTGTCAAGGCTATCTGGAAGTCGACAATCGCCAATTGCCAGAGCACGTCTGCCATATTTGTTTGCTTGGCCGTGAAGCAGACAACAACACTCTCAAGAAGCTGCAAGTACTTGCTTTGCAACGAAGAGCTATGGATCTGCTGCTTTCCCAAGAAGCCGAAAATGCAGCAGAGCTTGGGAAGAAGCTCGGTGAATACATGAGCCGAAATTCTCTGGAGTCTGAATGCTAACGGAGACATCCTCTACAGGAATGGAGTTCGATCAGGTCGCAGAACTGGTCGCATCGCTGGTGTCGCAAGGATTCCTTGTTGAGGAGTCTGGTCGTCGTACACGAAATTCGCAAGGCAAGATCAAGTTCCCCGAGTCAATCAGCACACCAGAGTACATTGGTCTCTTTGTGAAGCTTTTTGATACTTATCAGGTTGTGGGACATCACGTAAGCATGAGCATCCTCATCGGAACGACTGTGATACTGACTGTATAGTTCTCCGGTCTTGAGGTGTCAGACGCACCGGCTAGAGACGTAACACAGACATTGAGAGCAAAGTACTCGATCCTTACACGACCTCCAGTTGAAGCAACAAGCGTCTTCTCGTCAGAGAGAGAAAGGGCTGCAACTGCAAATACAAGTAAGAACACTACGACCATCACGCAGTCTACAACAAAGAAAAGAGCCCGAACCATGGCAGCAGAAGGGGCTGCCACAAGCGTGCAATCGTCACCGTTGCGCCAAGCAGGAAGAGTGAGAACGCCCACACCAAAGATGAAGGAAGCCAAGTTCGGTTTCTTCATTAATGCACAAAACCTTCCATCTCGAGAGAATCCAGGAATCAAGTCGAAAAGGTTTAAGGGTGACTCATGAGCACGGGCTTGACTCGCGGAAGAGAGATTGGCTTCGGGTTCGGTGTCTCTAACAAGAGATGGGAAGTGACGAAGAGACGTTTGATGCTGGCAGTACGAATATGACTACGCGTGAGAATGGCTGGGATGTATCATGATGGACAGATCAATATATAGTTATGTGGCTTGAGTCGCTGGAGAACGCGAACAGATTGACCACTTAGCTTTGATGCGCATAAGACTTGCTCGCAGTCGAAACACACAAACCTTTGAAGATGGAAATGTTGTTCATATTGATTCTGGTGGCGCATGGCTCTCAGCGCTAGCCATGACCACTGTTAATAGCTATCAAAACGCACAATTACATTGATGAGATTAGGAAATGTCCAGCGAGAGATCCAGAGAGCTAGGTTCTCATTGGATGTTCTCCGAGTCACCAAAAAATTCGTGTCTTGAGATGGCTGAATTCCTTACAGCGTCTGGTGCTCGGAGAGCTCAGATGGCATGCTACAAGATACCCCATGCGCTTGGTGTCACCTGCTCTAGGAAAGCTCGCGAGGCTGGGTGTGCAACGTGCCCGTGGCCAACGTCCGTCACGTATCAGCGGCAGAAATGCACAGTGATTTTCAAACCTAGCCATAGGTTCAAAGAGAGAGAGAAGAGAGAGAGAGAGAGAGCAAAAGAATTGAGCTTTCAGTGGACATTCTCCGATTTCCTAACATGTTTGTGCCTTTTCATGGCTGGAAACGTCACAGCGTCTGGTGCTCGGGACGCTGCCCCAGAGGCCACTGACTAGGATGACCTTTGCGTGTTTGATTCATTTAATTATCCGAGACAGGTAATTGCGTGAGAGACGATCATTGGCTGTGGGTCAAAAGGTGGGTTAATTGCAGCAAATCATAGATTTGCCGGAGCTGAAAATGATGAGGGTTCTGTCATGGTTCACCAACAGAGGGACGACGTTATGTTGTGCAGGAGAGAAAAACTAGGGGATGCAGGTCGTGAGTCGCGAGAGGTTGGTGGACGACGTCCTCGGTGGACCCCCCACGTTTCAAGGCAGAGTTTGAGAAAAGCGTGAAGCATCCTTCGGCGGCTCGCGCTAAAGAATCGGCCCTTGATGTTGAGCGAGTCTCGAGCGGTTTAGCGAGCGACAATCGAAGCCACGACGCTCGGGACAGGACCGCAGAGTGGGCTTCTCGGAAACTAACAAAGGTGCCGGCATGGCGACATGGTCGAGGAGATTGGGGTACGTGGTATTAGCTGATTTTCGGGCTCGGTCTGACTGTGCAGCAATAAGCAATTGCAGACTTGCAGCAAAGCGCAAACATCCATGAGCAAGAGCAGGAGCACGCGCGACGGTCAGCAGCGACAGACTCGCCCCTGATCCATTCACACTCGCAGATAGCGTACCGGGTCTGACGTCGATTGCGGCGTCGATTCTGGCATTCCGTCTTTTCGCACGCACAAGGGGGACCGTTCAACTTGGCGCTCGACTTGTCAACACCCACAATCGCGTCTCGACGTGAGAACTTAGAGGTTCGCAGGCGCCGCCCCGTTGCGTTACTCGACTACACGCTGCTGCACGTCAAGAAAGCCGTTGGCCGCTCCATCGATAAGGAGTCGTGAGTCTACAGGGGGCAGGGTGTGCGGCTTTTCTTCATAATGAAGACGTCGTCCGCCGCGCCTGCGGTTCCCAGGCCACTGTATCCCTACCACCGCGACCACCACCACGACCCGGACCAGCTCGACAGCGACGACGAACTGGAGAAGCGCTTCCAAGACAGCATCGGATACACACTAGCCACCGAAGGAGGTGCCAATTCAGCCATGGGTGCCGCAGGGACTCTACAGATATGGCCCAAGCTGCACATGGAGCCATACCAGAACATGCCCGACCTCGACAAGGCCAGATTCAACCGCCTGCCCAGCGACCACTCGGATCCTTTTTCGCAGCAGCCCGCCAGACGACGACCGACTCTGCACGCTGCCGTCAGTCAACCCAACCTGTATTCAGCCTCGCGCAAGAACTCGATCAAGACCGACGCCGCTCTGCCTCCGCCTATTCCGCAAGCCCACCAGCGCAGCCACAGGGTCGACTTCTCTAGGCTCTTCGGAAGGCACAAATCAAAGAACAAGGACAAGGACAAGACTCCGAAGCCGTCACCCGTTGTCGTACCTTCGCCGCCTCTACCCCTCCCGCCGCCGCCGCCAGTACCTGTGTCTACACGCTCTCGCCAGGACAGCGACCTCTCATCCGTTAGACCTGCCTCCGCCGGCACTGCTAGTCACCGTATCCAGGCCACCGCATTTGACCGAAACGCTACCGAAAATGCAAAGATCAATGTACGCAGACCACCCAAGGGCATCAAGCACTGGTTCGAAGGTCTGGACTCGTCCGACGACGACTTGCCTGAAGTTGTGACTCCCGCCGAAACTATCCACCGATCTGCCTTCAACCCAGCACTCGGTCCCGGAAGATCAAGAGTTGCGCCCACATCACGTGTCACACCTAACTGTGAAGGTTCATCGTCAGATTACTTCCACTACCAAAGCTCCACACATCAAGCATATTCGCATCCTCAGAACCTGCAGGAGCGTAGCATGCTGAACCTTTCATCCGACGAAGAAGACGATGAGCACTCCGAGCCTGCGTCACCACCGAGGTGGTTAGATAATTCGACCACCAACAACGTTCCCATAGCAGATTCGGAGAGCTGGTCCAAGACTGCTGCGACAAGACAGTCAACTTTCAGCATGCAAACGACAATGACCTCTGGATCAATCCCGATTATCAATGCCGACAGCCTGGAAATGGCTTACCGAACTCCTCTGCCTCCTCTTCCTACTCAATATCAACAATATACTGATGTCAGCGCTGTCCCTGCTCCTCTACGCAAGCAGAAGTCTTACCACTTCTCATCGCCCGGGCGCACACGAGCCACAAGTACTGCTTCGACCATGCAGAGCGGTAACAGCGCCTCCACCACAGGTCAATCTCATGTCATGACTGTGACTCAGGAAGAGATGGCTTTACTGGAGATGATGCGTCGCAAGAGAGCCGAGATGCAGACTCAATCTACCCACCCCGCACGACGACACGATTCATCCAGCCAACCCTCCTACTCTGATCGCAAGAATTCTGCCGTGAGAAGCACCACTTCATCGACCTTTTCACGAGGCAGTGCCATGAGTATCGGTCTGATGCTTGATGCTCCCGAAGGCACCGCTTTCCCTGCTCCTCCCAGCAACAGGATTGTCCACGAGACACAGGACATGAACTACTTCGCCCTCGACGAGAAACACAACAACAGATCATCAGACATGTCGACACCCCACTCATACATGCTGGCCGAACTCGAGGCACCCACCGAGCAGTTGCAGGCCCTCTGCTTCCAACAGCCTCCCAAGTCTGCGAGCTCGAGTCAAAACAAGCTCGTGCCTTTTGAGAACACGGCCGATCCTTACCGTCTAGCACCAGACCTCGAGCTTTCTTCCATCGATCTCTTGCCGCTCCCTGCTCGTACATATTCTCCCTCCCTCGCCGGCACCTGTAGCTCAGCCATGACTCCCGAGTTCAGCAACCACAGCGCAAACCGCTTCAACGTTGCTGGCAGCGAAGGTAGCGAGACCAGCAGCGAGGCAGACAGATACCGTAACAGTGTCAAGACCATTGACAGTGCTGACATGGATGTCCTCACCGCATGGGGACGCCTCGGTGGCCAGTAGACATCCTTCTCTCCCTTGACTTTCCCTTTTGTACATACCTCTGTTTTTCGCTCCAGCCTTTTTCGCTACTTCTTTCTCATGAGATCACGATCAAAAATCTGGATATGGGGGGATCTTGTCTTATTAGACATTGGGGGCTTGGAGTATTACCTTCTTCTTTATATTTCGATGCTTATACACCTTTTTGATGTGGATGGGATTTATTTGACGACGTATTTACTTTTGCACGAAAGCTTATTCTTTCTTCTGTCAAATCGTTTCCTCTCTTCCTTCGACGACGTTGAAGCTTCTGTGATATATATCATGCATGTTGATGGATGCATCTGCGACGTTGGTAGCTGTCTCGAGATCACTGCGAAAATTCTGCGCAAAGCCAACATGGTGGTGTATTAATCATCTACCTGCCATCGCACATATACTATGGCGACTCTAGCGAATATTACGGTAGATCTGTAACATCCATAAAACATCCCGTCTGGAAAATCGAAAAACTGGTAAGGGAGCAGTTTCCTTCATCTCGCTGCGTCGTGCCCTGGAGTCTCGATTTCGCGATTGGCTCCATCCCGCAATAGCGACTACGTGTTTCTCGTGTCTAGCGCATATTGTGCTGCTGCTGATTCCCATACCTGCTGTTCTTGCCAACCTTGTAGAGGGAGCACAGTGGGTGTTTTTCTCAGCTAGCTCAAACGCCGAAGTCAATGTGGTCGAGGGCCTCACCCTGGCATTTGGCTGCAAGGGCGATATCGACGACAACACGTTGGCAAATCTTCTAATTTTGCTTTGTGCTGGGTCTGAAGTATAGTTGCTACTACTTGGTCTACACTAAAGGAGACCTACACACCTGGTTTGTTCATTTGGGCGTCGACATCTATGAATCTCAAATCTGCTCTTGTCTCGCATGCCTTTCTCGCAACCTCTCTCAACATCTTAGGCAAAGATGTACAGCAATAGATCTGCCGCGCCAGCGGCCGATCGTGCCATGTATCAGACGATATTAGCACCACGCTCTAACCAGCTGAGCGTAACCGACCTACCGACACCCTCTTCTGGCTCTCACATCATGCCTTCCGAGCGCAACCTCTGCCACGTGGCTCACAACAAAGATTCTTATTTGGTCTTGGTGAAGCAGTTTTCATGAAACAGGTCGGTTAGCTCAGTTGGTTAGAGCGTGGTGCTAATATCGTCTGATACATGGCACGCCAAGGTCGCGGGTTCGACCCCCGTACTGACCATCATCATATCCTTTTGCTCGTCATTAGCGTGTTGGTTACGTTTTGCTCGTTGTTGGGGAGGGAGAGGTGGTTGGTCGAGGTGCCACCTTTTGCTTTTTCGTTTGAACCCTGCCTCCAAGGGAATCAGGAAAGCAACCACAGCTGAGAAAATAATCCACTTCCGTAGTCTTGAGCCCTGCAAGATAATGGTACAAGTGTTTATCGAAAGGACAGGCATGTCCGAAGAGACAGGGCTCATGTCAGTGACAATCTCTGCGAAAAATGGCTGCCTTACAGAAAAGATCACAAAAAGGCGCAGTAAATCTGCGATGTACCACCATATCCAGGAAGAGCATCTAGTTTCAGCACTCTTAGCGGGCACTGTCTCAAATTGTGTATTCTGACAGCGTCAAAAAAGTTACAGTCCGGTCGTTCATAACTCACCACATGGGTAGAGAACGAATCGTGTGCTCGTCGAAAGTATCTATTCTCCCCAGCCACCATGATATCGCGAGAAGAGAATCAGCAGACTGTGACTTGTCAATTGAAACAACATTGCTGTGGGCAGGCATGTATCCCAGACTCACACCAGACAGTGTAACTTGCTAGGATCGTAAAAGTTATATGCTCTTGCTCCAGCAATCCAACCACTGCCTTGAGAAAAGATATGCAGATGTGGAAACTTGCCTGCTAAGGCGGCAGCAAAGATTCGTGGCAAGCATGGTAGTCGCGATTGACATAGTCGTCACAGCAACAACACCGTCAAAGTTCAGACGACGTCCAAATCGGAGTCTCAAGTCAATACATCAGAAGTCACGTTGAAAAGGTGGGACGAGGGTTATGGTAAGAAGAAAAAGAGCCTTGTTGAAGTCGCTCTTATTATACATTTCGTCACGGTCGTATCTATTAATCATGTTGAACACATTTGAGCAAATCGAAATTACTCGTCACTGGTCCTTCTCGAACGACCTCTGAAGTGCAGGTAGATTGTGGGAACAACACTGACACCAATCATCAATGCAGTGCCAACGCCAGCGCTGGCCTTGAGTCCAATGCTCTCGAACATCTGAGGGAACCAGAAAGGACCGATGAAGCCCCAAATCTGGCGTACGAAGGTGATGAAGACACCAATACTGGCAGCTTCTTCTTGGTGACAATCGACAGCATAGGTGATGAGGACAGTGGTGACGATCTGGTTACCAACGGCAGCGATGGCAGCGCCAATGAGAGGTGTAACGTTCCACTTGGTGATGTCTTCAGTCTGAATGAGGAAGACAATGTAGCCGACGATACCGAGGAGGAAACCAGCATAACTAAGCCAGAGACGGTACTCAGGTTGAGGACGGTGACCAGCAGACATCTTACGAGCTCCGCGCTTCATCCAAGAGTCGGACAGGACACCTCCAAGCTGTTCACCGATGATGGCACCGATGATGATACTGGCGAATTGGTATCCAATCTGTTGAGCGTTGAACTCAAACTTCTCTTGGAACAGCTGAGGAATCTCGACGGTGACGAGGATAGAGGTAAGAAGGAAGACCATAGAATAGGCCGCGGCAGGGATCATGACTGTCGCATGGCGACCCATAGTCAATGGCTGAATGAAGTCCCAAGCTCTGAGAGGAGTAGGGTCAATACGTCTGAAGCTCCAGTACTCTTGCTTGAGATCAGAGCCACGGTGCTCAACACCTTGGCGCAGGTACCGGGTTTCAGGTCCGAAGAAGATGTAGAGAATAAATTGAGCACCGTTGATCATGGCCAGAATGTAGTAGATCCAGCGGTAGCCAACGTTGTTTGCGACGAAGCCCATGGTGAAGCCGCCCAACGGGACACCCAGAGTGACCATCAAGGTCCAGATACCCATGTACTTTCCACGTTCTCTCTTAAAGAAGGTCTCGCCAACGACACCGCTACCAATGGCTCCAGCAGGACTGATGAAGAAAGCGACCAAGGCTCTGCATGCAGCCATGCTAGCATAGCTATGACTGTAGGCACAACCAATGTTGCAGACAAGACTGCAGATTGTAGAGATCAACCAGATCGGACGACGTCCATATCTGACCGAGAGAGGACGCCAAAATAGTGGAGCGCCACCCAAAATGGCAATCTGGAGACTAGTGAGATATGAAGCTCTTTGAATGCTACAACCAAGGTCTTCGTGGATGTTGAAGTACGCGGGAATGATCGCGGCAGCAGTGAATGTGCTCATCATCGCATGGAATGCGACCAGCAACAGGTTGACAGTTTTCTAGTACAAGTTAGAGGTGGTATAATTTTTCAGACTATGAGTCATCTCACCTTCCACGTCTGCCAGTTCAATGGATCCGCGTCGCCAAAGCCAGGCATAGGATCCAGCTCTAATGTTCCATGGCGTTTCAAAAGGTAGTCGCGGTGCTCAGGAGTGAGGTTTGCTGCATCGCCGGCAATGTGCGTGGACCACGGCGCAAGGCCACCGGTCTCAAGTTTTTCCAGATAGTTGTTTCCATTGACTTTAGAGTCCGTGTCCGAAGGCTCGCGAAGCTCCGCCTTGAGGTCAGGATTGTGTTGCATCTTGACTGAACCAAAGAGGAAGAGATGGGGATGGAAGGAAAGAGTAGGTGTTGGGACGGTCCTTTTTATCTCCTGGGGAGCAACTCGAAACGGTTGGCCTCAATATGAAAAATTTGTGGAGAGAAAGAATCGATTCTCTCCGCTTTCTCCACAGCGTGTCTCCGCGAGCGGTCGTCAACTTGGTACCAGCGAGATGATGTACCCACTTAGTGCACCAATGCGGTTGGACCGGTGGGTCATCCACGTCTTGATGCTCTAACAGATCGTCCGGGGTACTGCCGTATGAATCTTTGACAGATAAGAGGTTGTTTCGCCTCGAACTTCGAGAAAACGTCCTGTTTGATGTATGCCTATTACTGTCGAATTCACCAGAGTTCAGCATTTTGAAGAGAAGCGGCGTTTCGAGAAAAGTATGTCGCGAATTGGCATGCACACAAGCTTCCCAAGCAACGGCGCCATGGCGGCTCAAGTTTTGTTCGCACAGGCAAGGGGCGCTGAAGCCTAGGCAGAACATCCTCGGTGTGGCTTCTCAATTCCTTTTACAGCGCCACGTTTAGGGCATGTATCGGTTGGCATAGAGCGCTAGGCTTGGCCGGCATGATTCTTCGCCGCGACGGCAACATCTATCCGGGCTGCCGGGCCAGTGTACTCCGAGTATTGAACCCCATGGTAACCCCATACCCCACTGGTTTGTGTGTTGTACAAATAGCCATCGACAGACGGGGCGTGAGTGGTGAGTCGCTGTCGGAGATACGATAGCCCCAAGGACCAACAGCTACCTCTAGTCGACTTCTCCACCCTCTCCGTGTGCTAAAGTTTGTCACTGATACTGCTGTCAAAATGCACGATGATTTTCGAAAGTAGAGCTAGGTCCAAGGAGAGAGCGTCAACTAATCGCTCTCTATGGTCGACGTGCTCCCTCTCAAAACCATTGTGCATTTTGATGGCTGGAACGATGCGCATCGCCGCGGCTCGAGAGTCACAGAAGAACTCCTGGCGGCTTGTTCGGATGTCCGTATCCAGGTCACTGAACAGATGGCGAACTAATTAGTTGCCGTCATTCTGGTTGCCCAGTACCGATGTCCAGAGCCAAGCCGAAAGTCCGTCGAGAAGGAAAACCAGAAGGAGCGACGGCAGATGTGCTCAAGTCGAATTGCCGATTTTCTCTGCCGAAAGGCCTCGCAAGTCACAATCTCGAGCTTCACGTGCCATGATGATGCATCTACATCATCCGAAACTTGTACAATTATTCGTGATGGTCAGCAGCACACAATATACCATGCTCTCCCATCAAGGAGCTTCAAGAAGGAACAAATGACATGTCGACGATCGATCTTGCGAGGGAGAGAAGAGGTCTGGAATATACAGGACAACTTGTTAAGTTAAGAGCGGAAGACTTCCGAGCGAGTTTGGCAAGAACAGTGGGGAAACTCGTCTCAGAATCTGGGGTCCCCAGAGCCTCACCAGCACGGTAGTTGACATTGCGCCCTGTCTGACCTCTCAAAGACCGAGGATAAGGAGCAAAGAAATCCGAGAAACCGCGTGTTTTGCAACTGCCGTCCAAAAGTCATCTTGGAAGCTGTTGTTTTTACGCATGCGACCTGCTGCGACACCACGGCAGTTGTGAAATGGCCCATTGCCGAAGTCCACACATCGGTGGTCACTTGGTAGAGTACTGCTGTCAACAGCTGCAGAACATATAAGCTGCCTGCTGCAACTTGTAGGCTGGAATGACATCCCCTGTGTATCACTCTTCATCCCCTATCGTTTCTCATTCTCTTCAACCGAGTCTACTAATACTACATCATCGACCATCAATCTCCTACACTCCGAATATCTTGAGGTTTAACACATCATGATCATCGGCGAGTTAGTACCACTTCTGGTGGCATACTGGCCAATCGTACTCGCAACGTCAGCGGCCGCATACCTCCTCAACAACAAATTTTACAAGGGCCTGAACAAATATCCCGGAGCACCGCTAGCAGCCTACACAAACTGGTGGCGCTTCTTTGAAGTATGGGGCCAAAAGTCAGAGGTCACGCACGTAGCTCTGCACAAGGAGCATGGAGATATTGTTAGACTTGGTCCTAATGTTCTGTCGTTTGCCGACCCCAAGGCCATCAAGACCATCTACGGTTTGAACAAGGGTATGACCAAGTCGGACTTCTACCCTGTCCAACAAGCCGTTTCAAAGGGCAAGCGTCTGCAGTCGCTGTTCTCCACCACCTGGGAGGACTACCATGCCAAGTACAGAAGATGTGTCAATGGTGCCTTCGCCATGTCGTCGCTGGTCGAATACGAGCCTCTGGTTGACAGCACCACCGATGTCTACATCGAACGTACGAAGGAGCTTTACTGCGGAGAGAAGAAGCAGAGTTGCGACTTTACTCGTTGGTTACAGTTCTACGCATTCGATGTCATTGGCGAGTTGACCTGGAGCAAGCGTTTGGGATACATTGAGAAGGACCAGGATGTTGATGGCATCATCGAGTTCCTGAACAAGTTCCTCTCATATGCTGCACCCGTAAGTGTTTCGTGTTGCGCATCAGCATTTATACAGTGCTAATGACACATTGCAGATCGGTCAAATGCCCTTCCTTGATCTCATTCTTGAGAAGAACCCCCTCAAGCTTCAACTCGAGAAGTGGGGCGTCAACAAGAAGGTATTCCCAGTGACAAAGTTTGCCCTCGACCGCTCAGGAGAGCGCAAGGACGAGATGCAGAAGGTTCGCGAAACTGGCATCGTTGAGAAGCGTCCTGGCCGTGGTATTGATCTCCTCACCAAATTCAACCAAGCCCAGCACGACCACCCCGAGTTTATGACCGATGCCCAAGTGCTGGCTGCATCGACAAGCATGGTCTTTGCTGGCAGTGAAACCACCGCTATCAGTTTGAGCAGTGTCTTCTACCACCTCGTTAGACATCCCAAGGTCTACGCAAAGTTGATGCAAGAGCTTGACGATGCGGCTGAGACCGGCGCTATCCAACAGCGTGATAACAACAAGGTATCTTGGGCAGAGAGCCAGAAGCTACCTTACCTTGATGCTGTCATTCAAGAGTCCTTCCGCATGCACCCTGCTGCTGGCCTGATCCTTGAGCGCATCACGCCCAAGCAAGGCATCGAGATCTGCGGCGAGCACATTCCCGGTGGTGTCATCGTTGGCTGCAACTCCTGGGTCTTGCATCGCCGTCCTGAAGTCTTTGGTGCTGATGTTGACACATTCAGACCTGAGCGATGGATTGAGGCAGACTCATTGAAGCTGAAGGAGATGAAGGCCACCATGTTCCAATTCGGCGCTGGCGCCAGAACATGCATTGGCAAGAACATCAGTTTGTTGGAGATCTACAAGCTGGTTCCCACCTTCCTGAGAACATTCGAGATTGAGATGGCTTGTGATGACTGGAAGACAAGAAACGCTTGGTTCGTCAGACAGAGCGAGTTCTACACAAACTTCAAGTTGAGAAGTGTGCCTCGCGAGGTTCCTGTATAAGCATATAGATCAGTCCCCAAATCAAATCAGCATCGATCAATTATATCGTTACCCTCATGTGTAGAGCCTCATGTTTCTCCGCAAGACCTCGGGCGTAAACAAAGCCTCATCATCACCCGTTGAAACCTTGATGGTGACCCCGCTCTTCCAATAATATTAATACATACCAACCCCGCGATCCTGTCTTCTCGAAGTCACAAAAATCGATTCTGAGCAGCAACACGAATCATGCCAGACATTACGCTGTACTTCCTGCAGGCCTCTCGCTCAATTCGGACAGCATGGCAACTTGAGGAGATGGGCCTGGACTACAAAGTTGAATTCTCAGAACGTGAGAACGGCAAGGCTCCTCAGCAATTCAAGGATGACTCTGGTGATGCACTGGGCAAGTTCCCTTTGCTGAAAGATGGCGACTTGACGGTGGGAGAAAGTGGCGCTATTGCGGAGTATGCGACCTCCTGTTTTGGTAGCGTAGCCAATTGCTGATGTCGCTCGAAGGTATCTCTGCGAACACTACGACACCTCCAACAAACTCCTCCCCAAAGACTCCGCCACACGCGTGAAATGCCAACGCTGGATCCACGCGTCAGAAGCCACGTACGCACTGCATGCACTAGCCATCCTCTACACACGTTGGTTCGGCGCCGACAACCCTTCCGCAGCCGAGAAAATTGAGCAAGGCATGTCAGTGAACGTGTGTAAAGATATGGATTTTCTGGAGAATGAGTTGGCAAAGAGCGGAGGTAAATTCTTGGTTGGCGATAGTGTGACGGTGGCTGATTGCATGATGCTGTTTTCGGCGCAGTTCATTCTGGCTAGACAATTGGGTGTGCAAGGGAAGAAGTGGGAGAAGATCAATCAATGGATCAAGGATTGTGAGAATACCGAGAGCTACAAGCGAGCGGTCGAGAAGACTGGACATGCGCTGTAGAAGCCAAATATTGATTTTTCAGCCAGGATTTTGTTGTTCCAGAAAGAAGTCAGAAGTTTTGGTCTCTAAGATAGCATGTGCAATTGTGATTATTCAATATTGTGTTTGGCTGTTGAGGGGAGAGTGTTGGTCGCGACTGCCTCACCGAGCGCATGTGTCAGGGTTACCCGTTCTCAACAGCAAGCCAAATCTTCTTTCAACACAAACTACTGCTTCCTGAATTAACCACAATGGCCGACTTTCCAGACCATGAGCGACCACACAAGAGAGCGCGTCTCAGCGATTCGACAGCAAGTACTGATTCTCCTCCGAAAGATGAGTGTAGTTGGAGTTGGCCTGCCGACCTAGATGGACCAGCCACCAAAGCTATCAGCCCGCCCCCGGTTTCGCGCAACAAGGGCAAAGAGAAGCAGCACCAAGAACAGCAAACAATCACAGAATCGTCGCCTTTCCAACTCACCAGAATCCGTGATTTGCCAGCCTCTGCAAATGTTGACACCGTCACACTTTCGGACATTCTTGGCGATCCCATGATCAAGGAGCAATGGCAATTCAACTTCCTCCTTGATATTGACTACATCATGAGCCATCTCGACGAAGATGTGCGTGACACGGTTCAAACGAAGATTATACATGGCTTCCACGAAAAGAACAGTCTCTCTCGTATTAGTCTTGAGGAAACGGCCAAGAAGTACCCGAACGTCCAAGCACTACACACATGGATACCTGCCTATGGAACACACCACTCCAAGATGATGATCTTGATCAGACACGATGACACTGCTCAAGTCGTCATTCACACAGCCAACATGATCTCTCAGGATTGGAACAATCTTAGCCAAGCAGTATGGCGATCTCCTCTTCTTCCTCTATCGGCAATAGACGATAACACATCAGACGCTCTGATGGGCTCGGGTGCTCGATTCAAGCAGGAGCTGCTCAACTACCTCGAAGCCTACGAGGACAAATACAGAGATCACACACGTCCCCTGATCAATCAACTCAAAAAGTACGACTTCTCTTCTGTCAAAGCTGCTCTTGTTGCAAGTGTGCCTGGTAAGCAGCAAGTTGGCACGAACTCGATCGCCAAAGGCCAAAGTTTATGGGGTTGGCCTGGATTGGAGCGGGTCCTCAAACAGGTTCCGTCGGCTGCATCGGCAAGCAAAGCTCAGATCAATGTCCAGATATCCTCAGTGGGCATGTAAAAGAAGGCTATGAAAGGTCAGCAGCATGCTAATCAATCTCTCAGGAACCGCTCCCGAGAAATGGTTGGACGGCTTCTTCGACGTCCTCGGAACAACTACCACTGGAAAGCAGCCAAAGCCCAGGAAGCCATCTGTGCGGGTTATCTTCCCAACAGCTGATGAAGTCAGACGCTCGTTGGATGGCTATCGATCTGGAAGCTCAATTCACATGAAGCTGGACTCGCAGATGCAGAAGCTACAGTTGAAGTACATGAAGCCTCTGTTGTGCACTTGGGCTGGAGACGCAAAAGAAGGCAATCAAGTGCGTGAAGCAGGCCGTCGCCGCGCCGCGCCACACATCAAGACGTTCATCAGATTCTCTGATGACGATTGCAACAACATCGACTGGACGCTGGTGACATCGGCAAATCTATCGAAGCAGGCTTGGGGGGAAATGGCGAACAAGCAGGGAGACGTCAATATCAAGAGCTTCGAGATTGGCGTTCTTGTATGTCCGCAGTGGCTTGCAGAAGATGGGCAGAAGGCGGTTATGGTGCCAGTTTTCAAGAAAGATAAGCCAGAGGTCGATGTACCAGAAGATGCTGACAAGGTGATCGGCGTGAGAATGCCCTATGACTTGCCGCTTACGTCCTACCTCGAGGGTGAGGAGCCATGGTGTGCAGAAAGGTCGCATGCGGAGCCTGATTGGCAGGGCGTTGCCTGGCCGGGGTTCAACCCAAGAGTCTGAGGTTTCTGGCTCTTTGGACGATGTCCGAGTCCTCGAGGACGAATTGGTAGCTTGGTAGCTTGGTAGCTGGATGAACGACGGCAGCATGGCTTTGACAGCTTGAAAGACGAGAACACGAAGAAATGACCAGACGAAGAAAGTTATGTTATGCAGATTATGATATTGCTTCTCTTTATTCATGACGACAAGCAAAGGAAAATCGAGGGGTATTCGAAATGACGCAAAGAGTCGTTATTTAACCAGTGTAACCGTGCTTCTTCTTGAGCGACTCGACGAGAGCGACGTACTTCTTCTGGGCGTCCGAGGGCGAGACACCCTCGTCAACGAGCTTCTGCCATGCGTTTCTCTTGGCCTTGCCCTGTTTGTAGAAGGTTGTATCAGCGTGTTGTTCGGCTCGTAGAAGAAACGGGAGCTCTGTTCGGAGTTGGAGGAGTGTGGCGTTACCTTGAGGTCGAACATGCCGGGCTTGTCGGAGGACTCGATGGGAGGGTCCTGGGTACCCTGCTTGAACAGTCCGTAGAGCTGTGAAAAGGAATGTCAGTCATGTGTCCACTTCTATTTCACTTGCTTGTAGCCACTGCTGTCGTACCTGGAGGAGCTCGTCATCCGAAGGCTTGGCCTTGAGCTTGCGGCTGTCCTCGACGGCCTTCTTGAACTCGGCGGTTTGGGCGACCATATTTGCGGTGTTTGTGGTATAGGAAGAGAGTTTGGATAGATGTGTGTGAGTGTTTCGAAGGAAAGAGAGAAGGAAGGACAGAATGAGGGGTTGGCAATCTCTCGTGGTCTCATTTGCTGCGGGCCTTGGCAAAAGGTGGGGAGCTCTTCGAGACCCTTTCGGATTCGAAACATGGAAGCCTTGACATCATCGTGACCTTCTTCCCACCTGCTAAAGTTTGTCACACCGTCTTTCTCTCCAACCTCGCAGTGAGACGCGTGAGGTAACCCATCAAAATGCACGATGCTTTTTATTCCAGGCACCTTGTCCACTGAGAGCGACTGTTTGCTGTCCTCTCTTTGGACATTCACGTCGAGATCAAAATCATCTTGCCTTTTGATAGGTAGCTTGACGAGCTATCTGAGTTTTGGGACTCGAATCAAATGTGAGTCTCGTGTCCCCCACCTCCACGTTATTGTATCTCGATGGGAACGTGAATGTAAATGTGGATGTCAGGAGTAGCGTCGACTGTTATACGCCGCGCTCGTGGAAGCAATTGACTGGGCACATACAGTGAAGAGCCAAAGTGAATAGTGGTCACTGTAGAATTGGCACTGCCAGCCTATCTTTTCTTACAATCTTGTTTCCAGGAATCTTGGATCATCCGGATTTGGAAGACTTCACTAGTTCTGGTGAAGCAGTGACGACTCTCACTCACACTAGAAGTGCTGCAGACTTTGGTTTCATGGCGTTGACAGCGTCAGGAAAGAGCTGGACGATTCTATCCACAACATTCGCGCTTCTCATACCGAGTCGCCGTCACGACCTTGCCGTCACTGAGCTACCACGACCTTGACGACACCGAGCCACTATCACGACTTTGCCGTCACGACCCCGCCGTCACTTTCTTGCCGGCACTAAGCCACCACCACTGTCAGGATCTTGTCGAGACTGAACCACCGTCACGATCTTACCGACTCACATGGTCACTGCAGACGACTCACTGATATGGCTCACTGCAGACGACCCGTCAGCGTGACTTACTGCCGTTGGACCACTCCCGCCAGCGTCACCTCACTACAGCGCTCCTAGCAATCACATCTGCTGTGCAACTGGTTCTCTTCTCCGACATCTTCGCCACGATGGCTCCTACGGAAGAAGCAAACCCGAAGAACCCACGAGACGCGGCCAAAAGAAAGAACGGTACCTACTATGTCGAGAATCTCACCGACAGGATTATCGTCAACAAGCGCCGTGTCACGGCCGGCCTGGCGCCCAAGCATATCAATCAGTCCAAAGACACCATCCAAGTATGCGAAAAGAAGCTCCCCGTCGCGTACACCAGTCTCACATCCCACAGAGGCGGAATAGACGCGGAATGGGGAAAGGTCGTACAGCTTGCTCAAAGTCAAGGAATTGAGCTGCCCAATATCAATGAGGCAAAGCTGCCGAAAGAGTACCAAATCTCCAGCGCCAGAGTGCAGACCCCTGGTAGCAGCGCCCCCGTGCTGAAGAAGAACATCGCAGGTCTCATGGCTCAAATTGTAGCATTTGAGATCATGTGGCCGTCTTGGACATCCTAGGCAGTTTCGAGGCGTCAGTTCCAGACATGGAGAGTTGTTCAACAATGTCGTCTCGGGTGTGTTGGATGGTGTGCGCGATGCGCGTGCGTCGAAGATCGCGACGGACTTCGAAGATGATTTCGTAGATAGTTCTGAAGGTGTCTATTGTGTCTCGATGTCGGCTTGCTAGAAGGACTCTTGTCTTGCCATGACAGCGGTGTGTCCGTGACCGACTGAAGGTTTCTCTGACATGGTTGTTGAGTTTGGTTCGTGAAGCCGACAGAACGCGGTCGTCATCGCTAGGTCGAAGCGCAGCATTTGCAAGTGCTGATCAAGTGTCGAAGAGTGATTAAGTATACTCGTGATTTGGGACGCATGAACGAGCAGGATCCTTGCAGGGGAGCCTCTGATACCGACAAAGGCTCATCGAGTATGTTTTTGAAATGTAGGGCGCATTGAGTAAACCCAATTGCGCCTATTCGGACCGGGACTAGCGACAACATCGCGAGAACAGCTTCCTGATTCCTTCGACGCTTTAGACTTGGAGTCTGACAGGCTGTGATCATTGAAGCGAGTGTGTGATCTCTGGTGAGCTTGTGTCGGCATAGGGAGTGGTGTGAAACCGAACTGTCCAAAAGCATCGCCACGGGTCTTGGTGAGTGGGAACTGCGTCAAGACGTGCAATACGTTGCTCCACTCCTTGAAAAGCACGAAGCACTGCTGTCGCGCCAGTTGAAGGTGGTGACCCTTTGTGATGTAGATGCCGACGGTGACCAGCAGCTTTGAAGTGCCCACGGAGCCGGCCAGAGGGAAAGCTACTGAGTCGTGGACGTCGGGATCATCGATAGTCAGGCAACAGTAGTGGTCTTCTTCAGGCAGGGAGATGCATAGTTGGCGAAGATGCTTGCTTACAAGGAAGACGCTCTTGTCGGATTCATACTCGAGAGTTTCTTGTGAGCGTCGGGATCGTTGGGCGCGATTGCGTATTCGCAGTCATGCTGAGCACCTCGTTAGGTCGAGCCAGCAATGTTCAGGAGACATCGTAGTAAGACGAATTGAAGGGATCTCCGAGCACAGCGTGAGATTCTTTTTGTGCCTGTCAAAATGCAAGAACTTATTTGGTTCCTGGAGACTGTCCACTGAAGCCCTACTCCATACGATCTTCCAATGGACGCATACCCGGTTCTGAAAGACATTGTGCATTCTGATGCAAGAATCGAGAGGCACGCACGGTGAGAGAACTACCGCATACCGAGCTACGTTGACAGTGCCCTGGTCTTGGTATAGGGGAAGGGTGACCGCACCAGGACCAAAAGGGTCATCTCAACCTCCCCAGACGCGGACTGACTTCCTGCCAAAAGGCAAGATGATTTTGACAATCAGCCCTTTATCCACTGAGAGCAGCACTTGCTTTGTGATCTCTTTGAACAATTACACTGAGGTTAAAAACATTGTGCCTTTTGATGTGCATTTAGTAAGGTGTTTTGGCTGGCTGAGAGCTGGTTCTTTGTGCCATTCAGGTTGACAGCTGACCACGAAAAAAATAGGTAGAACTTCAGCTTAGATATCTTTGCATTAACTACCATGACTTTTTTGGTCGTCTATCTTCGTTTCCAGATGCCTGTACCATCCATGCAAGTGTTGAGTGAGAAAAAAAAGAAAAAGAAAAATGGGGGAATAAACGCCTCGTAAAAACATATCGCTTCCAATGAACATCAAACCACACATCGATGCAGCACATCCCATACGTTTACTGAGAAGAGCCGCCAGAGATGGTGAGGACCTGGCCGTTAACCCAGCTGCCGTCGCCACTGGCGAGGAAAGCCACCACGCGTGCGACATCTTCGGGCACGGCGCAGCGGCCCAGAGGGCAGTGCTCGGCCATGAGGTTCTCGATCTTCTCAGCGGGCCACTCGGGTGTTCCACCAGGAATGTAGTGCTCACGGGGAGTCAGCGGGCGGGGAGTGATATAGAAAGGTTGTAGAGTGATAAAAACTTACCCAAGCATTGGAGGTGAACATATCGGACTTGATACCACCAGGAGCGACACCGTTGACGGTGATACCACGCTTACCGAAGTCGGTAGCGAAGGCCTTGATCATACCAATGACGGCCATCTTGGAGGCGTTGTAAAGAGCGTGGTCGCGGACACCGAGAAGACCAGCGGCGATAGAGGACATGAGAATCAAACGACCGTTGTCCTCGAGGTGCTTCCAGGCAGCCTGGCCAACGAAGAACTGGGCACGAGCGTTCAGGTTGAAGACGTGGTCGTACTTCTCCTCGGTGATCTCCTCAGTCTTGTCCCAGCTCTCGGTACCGCTGTTGGACATGACAATGTCGATCTTGCCAAAGTGCTTCTTGGTCTCCTGGAACAGACGCTCAATTTCGGCGACCTTGCTGACATCAGCCTGGATGGCAATGGCCTTGGCTCCGCTGCCGGTGGCCTCGATCTCTCTGACGACCTCGTCGGCGGAGGACTTGCTGCTCTGGTAGTTGACAACAACGCTGGCACCACGTCTTCCGAGCTCGATGGCACAACCACGACCGATACCACGGCCGGCACCAGTGATGAGAGCGACCTTTCCGTGGAGGGAGGCGGTGGGAACAGTAACGACGCCTTGAGACATGTTTCCGGTAATTATTTTTGGATCAAGAGGTGATATGGGGATTGGATGGTGTAACGGTGTCGTAGCGAGTGTTGAGAGTAGATGGGATGAGAGGAATATGGAAACAGCAAACCGTGGAATTACCAGACATTAAGTATCACTTACCTGTGTTGAGCTCTACCATCACAACTACTCGAAACAGTTGTTCTATCCAGCATCCCGACACAACGAGGGCCGAAGTGTTGAAGTCCAAGTGGGGAGCCGAAGTGTTTGAGAGACCGAGCACAGCGTTTTGAAGCCCCGAAGCGGAGCGGACGACGGAGACACTCTGAGGCACAGCGGACGTGAGACATGTCTTCCCTCGAAAGTCCGACAATTGATGATGAGCATTGATCTTTCGGGTGCGCCAAAATAGAACCCGTCGGAGAATTTTGATGCATAACGACGATCTTGTCCGTTCGGTTCGCAAGGGCCGCAGGGTAAAACTGGTGAGGCAGCTTGCCTGTCAGGGCCATGGGGCGGGGCTGTCTCTGGAAACTTTCGGCAGACAGACTTTCGCTCTCAACTTCCTTTCTGCAACAACACCCGGTACAGCACTCGATACTTGTTCACAATGTCATGGAGAATGTGGGGACCAAGTTGATGGCAGACAGATTCCATTCTGAGTATTCTCTTGCAACACCACTATGCACCTGCCTGTTCGATGCTTCTACCATTATAAACACCATGAAGGTGCAGCCTCGCTTCTACTAGCCCCTCCGTCAAATGCGCTTTCCAGGACTCCGAGCAATGGCTGCGATCCCAAAACACATCTCCGGTATGCATGATGAACAACGAAGAGAATCGGCCAAAGAAGCAAAAAGAGAAAAGAAAAGCAAGAACGGAACATAAAACAAAGAAAAAGGGTAGAATCGCTGCAATTAAGCATACGATTCTACATGCGAATATTAAGTGCTCATGTCGTCGTGCCATCGTAGTAAACCGCCTTCCAACAGAAACCCGCCGATTCGCAGAGCGAATATCGTGAGTGAGAAGCAAACAAGCCGATGGATATGGCTACAGCTAGTGTATAGCGTGATCGTCGCTACACCAAAGTTTGGATCTGAGAGCTTGGAAGCAAAGAAAGGAAGACCAGTAAACAACGTGGTTGTGTAGGTCGAGGGGCCCTGAGGGTATCATTTGAAACGCCAGTATCAATCCCAGAACTCCGAAGGATAACAATTGTTTGATCGTAAGGACCTGGTGTACATTCATCACCAGCCCTTGTAGCCGATAGAGCCAGCACGCTTGAAAACGGGAAGCTTGAAGCCCTTCTTCATTTCGGTCTGGACGAAAAGAGATGCGCGCTTAAAACGACGGTCCTGGTACTTGTGGAAGACGGCGCTGTGGTGAACATCGGGGGTCTCGCAACACTCAACCATGACAGCCAGTAGTTGACGGATCTGCAAGTAGGTGTAGTTGGAGTAGTAGACGTGGGCCTGTGTCCATTCACCCTTACGCAGCATTAGACGAGCGAGGCAGTGGGCGCCTGCGGCCAGGAAACTAGGAGTACAGCCGACAAAGCGTTCGTCCATGATGGTGATCTCCAGGAAGTACTTCGCTAAGGTTCTGGTCTCAAGGTCGTAATCATCGGCTTTGCTGATGCGACGCAGGAAACTCATGGGACCAGGCCAGCCAAGCTCGAATGAGAGCATACTGAGCATGTAGCGCTCGGCCTTCAGGATCTCATCTTGAGTGTAGCCGCCGTCAACCATGTAAACAACCTCTTGGACTGAGGGGCAGTTGACTTCCTCGTATTTGGCGGCGAGGAATATGGCAGTGGCTCCGACGAGCTGGAGTTTTCCAAGCGAGATGACCTTGCAGGACAGGAAGCGGTCGATGTAGTTGACGGCTAGGAACAGAGTCTCGGGCAAGAGGGTGAAGCGAGTATGGACCTGGATCAGCCAGTCCATGAGGACGGAGCGCATGGACCATTGGCACTCGTTCTGGTAGTCCATATAGTGCGCATTCGGGCGCATACGTTCCTGTTGCATATTAGTAGCTTACACTTGATCGAACAATGTGGTCTGGACATACCTCGAGTGTGCGCATGTATTCGAAGATTTCGTCGCCGTACTCAGCCACCATGGATGTATCCCATTGGTCGTCCTCGATGTCCTCAGTGGTGCGGTTGCTCTCGACGAACAGCTTGGCCTCCTCAATCTCCCTCAATGTTCTTGAAGAGTGCTTTGGGCATAGCACGACCGTGGCACCTCCAGTTGTGTTGTCCGTAACACCTCCTCGTGTCACTGTTTGGCTGCCTTCGTAAAACTCTTCGTCATCTTCCTCATCGTACTCGTCGTCGTTGACAGTGACCAAAGACTGACTCAAGACGACGGCCTTCTCCTCGACTTCACGCTCGAACTGCTCCAGAGCGTCGTCGGTCTCCACAATGACCGCAGCCGGGTGGGCTACGACTTGTGGCGGTTGGGCGATATGCTCTTTGGATTCGACCACAGCGGTGGTTTGATGCACTTCAGCGTCGTCGGTGGTACCTTCAGAAGAGGGGACGGTCTCTTCAGTTGCGGTTGTGTCGACGGTAGGCACTGCAGGCTCTCTGAGAATAGGGGCGCTCTTCTTTGATTGAACTTTGCGGATAGTAGGAAGGACGGTTGTGGGAGCAGCGGTAGTGATATTCTTGATAGTGAGAGGCTTCTGAGAAGGCTTTGAAAGGACGAGGGGCTCCAAGTAGACAGCGGCTGCCTTGGGGTTGTCATGTGCCTTGACATTGTCGTCTGTCACGAGAGCGGTCCTGGTGGTGTTGCTCACATCGGCAAAGACAGCGCGCTTTGCGCCAACGCGCACAGCGCCGTTCTGCATCAGGGTAGGAAGAGTGGTGGATGACTTGTTGCGCTGGTGGGTTCCCTTGGCGGCGACAGGGTGCGAAGGAAGAGCGTTCTCGTCATGGACGCGCAAAGGGCGTTGGGGTCTCTGGGGCTATTTATGGTCAGCATGGGCACGCTCATGGCTCGTGGATGCAGGTGCTTGGAGGGAGTTTGCGCGTGTTGGTAAACATCATGTGGGTACACGTGTGTATGGGACGTGTTGTGAACATGCAAGGGTTGGACGAGCATATTCGTTGCAGAAAAACAAACAAAGGTCTGCAAGGGTATCTTTCGTGGACGTGATATGGGATGGATGGGATGGCTGTTCAAGATGATCGAGTATAGGTCTTACCTTTGCGTCCATGGTGTTCGAGTTGAGACAGGGTGCAAGCAATGTGCGGTGTGAAGACGAATCAGAAGCGCGTCGCCGGCGAATCTTCAAAGTCTGCGAGACGGCCGGAGTGGACGAGACGCGTATGGACAAGGAGACAGCTGGAGACAAAAAAGATCAGTGGTTCAGCGCAGGCTCATGGCGAAGTAAGAAGGTAGTTGATGGTCGAGGGAGATCCTAACATAAGATTGCTAGAGAACCGAGTTTCAAAACATCCATAACGGTTCGCATCAACAAACAGACAGCTGCATCGCATGCAAGCCAAGATAAATGAGATCCGTGCGTCTGGGACGCCGTAACTTTATCACCCTGTCCAGAGAGTAAACAAGTCACGTCTCCCATCCTTTCTTGAATATCACTTTCTCTGCTTAGTTTCATCCGGTGACCAAAATCTTGATGCAATTATATTTCCACTAATTCTGATTCATCACCGAATATCTCTGCCATGTTTTTGGCCGAGTTTGCTAACCAAACCACTCGAATGTCGCGTCCGTCCCTTGCAACTTTCTGGAAACGCGGGTCTACACCATTGCACGTGATTTCGAAGATAGACATCAATCGATCAACTCTACCTCACGTTGCAACTCTGTCTCCACGCGGATGTAGAGTACTGATCCCTCCCAAAGCTGAGTATCTCGAAAACAACTGTTGAGATGCATGTTGCTTTTTGCGGTGAGAGACACGTCCAGTGAAACCCCTCAGAGTGTCCGCTCTCACTCAAAATGCTTCCTATCTCAAAAGCGTTCCTGCTCTGTGATTGCCTCACAGTAACCCTGCACGCTTCACAAGGACCAAAGCTAAGGGGTAGGATGCTATAATATCTTCAGGTGTTGCCAAAACTGTCGCGCAGATTGCGACTCACGGAAGACAATCTTCCTGACAGTTACGACCTCGGCACACTTGCGCCGGCGCATTTGAAACCGACATTGCGAGCGGGTTCAATTCCAACATTAGACCTCATGCTCTCCTTCTGAAATGACATGCGTTCATCACAACTTGGTTCTCGCTCCTCGAAAGCAAAAGTCAACTCTTGTCGCATCGCGACAGGGATGAGTCTGTCTGGACCATGACTCCGCCGCGGGCAGATCAGCCTCGTCATGCCGACGGCAATTGTCGGCCTGGACTTGCGCACGCTGCGACCAAATGTGCAATGTCGTTCTCGTCACTTGTCATTGTTTTGTGCAGGCACGCTAGGGAGTTTCAATCTCATCTGTCGTAGGCGGTCTGCCTGGTCGCCTTTATAGGCAATCTAACACCGGCTCATCCTCAAGGTGAGGTGCTAGCTTCATCGTGTCGCAACTCGGACCACGCATTGCTTCTGTGGGCATTCCATACGGCTTGGCGGGTCGGTCGCATTCGAACAGGATCGAATGTCGATGTACGCGATTGAGTGGAATGATTGCGCTGGTTAGCGCTCAAGTGGAAGCAGTGCGAGGAAGCGACGCTCGCCATGGGTGGTGTTGCGTGCATTATCAGAAGACTCGGGAGGGGAGCAGCGCGAGCGGATCTGCAGCGCTATGCTTGTGCTATGCGCGTCTACATGAAATGGGCCTTGAGGTCATTGTATCGGTGTACGAATGCATTGCGCATACAGAGTTTGGGGATACTGGTATGCGCTTGCGTAGCACAGGCACTGGGTGAGGGACTCGGACACAAGCACCCGGTTTGACAAAGTCACAAAGATGGCAGACAGACATGACAGAACAGGGCGATTTGGCCGTCCAAGAGTCAGACACCGCTTTTATATGGCACAAGCGGAACTAGACGTGGGCAAGCGCAACGCCTCTCATTGGCTTCCACAAGCCGCCCACAGAGCAGCGCCATTCACGAGCCTATAGACTGGCAGGATTGTGCATGCGATGTACTTGATCGAGGCACACAGTGCAGGTACAGGGTAGACTGGCAGAGATATGTCTTCCTCAACAGAGTAGGCCTGATAGTGCCCTGATAATGGACTCCAGCAGGCATCGGGATATGGAAATGGATAGAGAGCCAGGGCAGCGAAACGGGCACTTTTGAACAGAATTCAAGTTCGAGTAGCAGTTCATGTAGAATGCGACCACAGTAAAGGCGATTGTGAAAGAGAAACAAGAGGTGTTTCGCATGATGAATTGGGCGTGATGGTTAGTGGGCCCGAAGTCTCCGTCCGCTTGGGGCTTGCGAGCTTTGTATCTGCACTCCAAGACGACTTCCCCCACTTGCTACAACCTCTTCTTCTGTCCAAGTCTCGGTTGTCTTCTATCATCTCATCTTATCTTTCTCATCCAGCACCTTGTTGCGCTCTTACCTTTCGAGTCATCCGCCATTGCTCGCTGCAATCCCGGCTCACCACCACCGCCCACCAAACTTCGGGTGAGCGCTCGAGCATACCCACAACCAACAACTATTCTGTCTACAAAACTTGTACGAGGGATCGCCTGTATCTCTCGACCAGCCACCGAGTAGCAGCGACAGCAGTCACTTGCTGAAAGCGCTCGAATCGGTTCGTTGACCCTCTAGGGCGGCTCCCCAGCGCCGCCTAGTCCCAACCGCCATCAATGTCTTCGCATCACCGCTATCTAGTGTCGTGATGCACCATCCTACCCATCCCCCTTATATCGAAGGCCAATCGAGACATCAAGCGCTGACCAGACTGCCATTCCAGCTCCTCGACGACCTCCCGCTCCCGTTGCGCCGACGGCAACGTCACCACCACGAACCTCACATACCTTCCAATACGCCTTTCTCAGTACCAGCAAGAGCCTTGACTATAACCACATTACCCCAAAAAGTCATCAGAAGCCTTTATCATGGACGTTGGTGACCTCTTGGCAAGAGATGGGCCTCGGGCCACGAGCGGCAGCGAGGGCAGGCCATCGAGCCGTCAGCACTCGACTCGACATTCTCTGCCGTCGCATTCAAGCCAGTATCATGACTACATGTATGATGGCGCAGCTGATGCGGCTGCGAGGCTGTATGCTGACCCTCCTCGCCCCTCACGGGCCAAGCAGCAGAAGCATGTCACATTTGAACTTCTCCTGCCCGAAGGCCAGAACCGCGAGAACCGCGCTCGTCTCCCCATGCGCGTTATGATCTCCCCCCATGACACGACAGACTCTATCATCACAACGGTGCGCAACTTTTATGGCCTGTACGAGGGTCCCGGTGTCAGCTTCCAAGACAAGGAAGGCCGCATTCTCATTGCGACCTTCGAGAACTTCGAGCACAACATGGTCGTCTACGTACGTATGACTGCTCCCGACCCGGCTGTGGCCGCTGCTACCAGCCAGGTACGCTCAGCTACGACATCGCCTCGCAAGCCCAAGCTGGCTGCACCAATTGATATGCGTCCGCCATCGCGAAACTCCCGTCCCGCCTCGCGCGCTGCCCCTGGCCGTAGCGTCTCCCCTCAATCGAATCGCAGCCATCGCAGCATGTCCAAGCCGCACTCTCGCAGTGGCTTCCGACCCAAAGAGGAGAAGAGCTTGTATGACGACATGTATGCTGGAGACACTGATTACGACAGTGACGGCGCTCACAGCCGCCGTTCCAAGATCGAGCCCCACGCCAGCGCTGAGATTAGCGTTGAGAACATAGTCGAGGGTGGCAGGAGAAAGCGGGCTAAGTTTGACAGCTCGGTATGCGCTAGGGCTCTGCCTTGGTCCCATGTTTGGTCTAACCTTATCCCAGGAACTCCCTCTGTTCGTCCCTCCTCAGGTGCCAGCCACCAATTCAATCTCATCTGTATCGCCCCAGCGACGTCCTGCTGCTAATGGCGACATTGTCGCGTCCCCCTTCTCGTGGTCCAACCAGCGCAACATCACCTACCAGCAGCCTCTCCCATCACCTCAGAGCTATACTGGCTATTATAGCAACACTCACACTCCTTACAATAACCCATTCCGCAGCCGCGCTGTACCTACCTTCCAGCCCCGCTCGTCTGTGGGTGGAGGTGTCATTCTGCCCACTCCTGAGCCCACAAATGCAAGCGTCATCTCAGATGAAGATGTCGCCTTGCAGCTCATGCGCCTTGGCGATGCATCAAACTTCTCCCACGGTCGTACTTCCACATCTACAATGGATGATGGTCTAAGTGGCAAGGCAGACGCTGCTTCATCGGCTGGAGACGAGAGCGAAGTCATTGATGATGAAGCTGCTGCGCCTCAGCAGCCCACTTCGCACGTCGCTGGACCGCGCAGAAAGAAGCAGCGCGTGCTGGAAGAAACCCTTCCTAGCACCGATAGCGTTCACTCTAGTGATGACTACTCCGAGGCAGATAGTGACGTTCCCGAGTATGACGAGAACGGCGTTCACATCGCTCGTGCTATGTCCAAGGCTAAGGGCATGCCTAGCATGCAGTCTCATGGCAGCGTTGCCTCTGTTAATGGCTCTACCAAGTCTAGCAAGAGCCGTCTCCCTGGCCTACCAAAGTCCAAGCCAAAGTCGAACTCGACCTCGGCTTCAGCAAAGATCCCTATGTCGCCAGCATCCCTTCCGTCGCAGTCCCGTAAGACGTCGGCTGCTTCGACGATCAACTTCCAGCATCAGCTCGGGATTGACGAGGAGGACTTGTCTACTAAGCCTCGTTGCCAGAGGTGCCGTAAAAGTAAGAAGGGCTGCGACCGTCAGCGACCCTGCGGACGCTGCAAGGACGCTGGCATCGGTATCGAGGGCTGCGTCAGCGAGGATGAGGGCAACGGTCGCAAAGGGCGCTATGGCCGTCACATGGGTGTGCCCGTCAAGAAGTCTGACCTCGCATACGATGCTTATGACGCTATCCCTATCGTCGCTGCTGGCGGCGCTGGAGATTTCCTCGCGCCCGCCCTTCCTGACAAGAACAAGAAGAGGAAGCGATGAAAGGGTCCATGGCTTTCGGCTGACTAGCCAATCTCGTATGTTTTTGTTTCTGTTTTCTATCATCATCGCATAACTCGTCTTGGGCATTTGGAGTACATGTGGGCCGGAGGAGTTCTGTTTTTCATCATTTGGGCAAGCGAGCGTTGTTTCCAGAGCTGGTCGTCTCTCATTTTGCTTTACCAGTCTACATGCTATCACAGCGCGCATACACACACATCAAATGCTATTTACCTTTTCCATCATCTCATCAATAATTGGCCTCCTGGAGCGAAGCACCACAATGCACGATGTATTCTGTAATTGAGCCACGTACAAGGAGGGCTTGCGAAAGGGTCGCTCTCGGTGGACACGATTGGGAATACGAAACTTCGTGCATCTTGACGGATGATATCTCCAGATGTGCACTGGTGAGAGGGTGCCATCAAGGGGAGGACAACGAAGCTTTGACAGCATGAGATTATGGACACATGTCAAGCCAACAACCAGATAACCATATGATGTCGATAAGAATGATTCTCAAGAGGTATTAGTGTCCGATTCTATGCTGCAGAAACTGTTCTAAGGTCTGATGTTGGATGTGGTACATGGTGAAACTGTCTGACAGGGTGATGAGCATAACAAAGCGAGATAGCGGAAGGAAGGCTTGGTCCCGTGCGGCATCTCGTCATTGGGCTTTGAGACCTCGACCGCCGTGACCACTGCACTCGACCTGATAAACAACAACACTCCGTCGAATCGCTCACCGCCTTTCATTTCGCGATCGCTTAGTTGATATTCAACTGCACATACTCGCCATCACCCGTTCCTTGCACCGAAGCACGACGACAAGCATACGACCTTCGCGCCAGGCGTCCCGTCACACATCATGTCTTCGCGCAAGAAGGTCCTTCTGAAGGTTTGCTCCTCCGAAGACCTAGAATCTCGTGTCGCGTGACAATCTGACAGTGAATAGGTTATCATCCTCGGCGATAGCGGTGTCGGCAAGACCAGTTTGATGAACCAATATGTACGAATACCCCACCATCGACGACCGTGAGCGCGAAGAACAAGAGCTAGGGACAACGAGGCTGATAGCTGTGATACTCTCAGGTCAACAAGAAGTTCAGTGCTAGTTACAAGGCCACCATTGGCGCAGACTTCCTGACAAAAGAGGTTCTGGTCGACGACCGACTGGTCACCATGCAGGTGCGCATACCCAATGTCCAAGAAGCACGTCTATCCCAGCGTATCTGACTATAGCAACAGCTCTGGGACACCGCCGGCCAAGAGAGATTCCAATCGCTTGGTGTTGCCTTCTACCGTGGTGCAGACTGCTGTGTACTCGTCTACGACGTCAACAACTCCAAGAGTTTCGATACCCTTGACAGCTGGAGAGACGAGTTCCTCATCCAGGCCAGCCCTATGGACCCTGAGAGCTTCCCCTTCGTAAGCTGCTGCCGAGCGTAAAGGACCAAGAGCTAGACTAACAACCAACAGGTCGTGCTCGGCAACAAGGTCGATGTTGAGGAGAGCAAGCGCATGGTATGTTTTACGTGAACCCATGACAAAATGGCGGCCAACTAATTGCGATACAAAGGTCTCATCGAAACGCGCCATGGCTTTCTGTCAATCCAAGGGTGGTATCCCATACTTCGAGACCAGTGCCAAGGAGGCCATCAACGTTGAGCAAGCTTTCGAAGGTGACCATACACGTTCTCTATCTGCTTGTTCGACCATCACTGACATATCTCAGTCATTGCCCGTAATGCCTTGGCCCAGGAAGAGAGCGGCGACTTCAACGCAGACTACCCTGAGACAATCCCTATCAACCTCGACAATGAGCGCGACGGTTGTGCCTGCTAAACACGTCCAGGATTGTTGATTTCTCATTAGTTTCATGCCATTCGTTTTCTTTGGGATGCAATCGGCGTTTCTATTTGCATATGGAGTCCTTTAACACTCTATGGCCAGGCTCTGTCTTGTTTCCTTCGTACTGGCTGCTTCTATCCGTCGGTGCATGCGGTGTCGATATAGCACAGATACCTATAATCACCACTAAGTTTCATGTATAAGCTCATTTTCCAGATATGGCGCCCAAAGTATGAGACAACTTCGACCACGCACTGGTCGCAATCTCCCAAATAAAGAAGTACCAGACTCTGGAACAGCCCATGCAACGTGCAATTCAATTTAGCAGCAGCAAATAATCCGCAACAATTCCATTTTGTGACAACATATCAGTTCAACACAGTTTCCTTCTCATTTGCAGTTCTTGACGATCTCCGTCTATTTCCAACCAAACATCACGAGTGGACGCTGTCTCACCCAATTTCATCATCAAAATTGCCCCACAATTTAAACGTCCCCTGTCACCAATCTTCCCCGTCCTTGCATTCACGTTCAAGCATCTTTATTTTCTGCATCCTTTTCTTGGTTATATCTTGGCAACATTATAGCTGTAAACAAGTACCATATTTTGATACCGCCAGCCGTCTAATTGTTATACAATTCAATTCCTCCTGTCCAGATGCTGGCGCCGTAGTGTTACCATCGATTCCAGGAAAACAACACCACGCGACGACTAATTCTTCGTACCAAAGGCACAGCATGGCCAGTACCACAGTCAGAGACTTTCAGTCGCCAGATCGAGTGGCTTTCCAGGACCAAGGACCAGTGGGTCGGAATTCCATTGCCTCTCCTCGAAGTCCAGAAAACGCAACCGGTCGTCCGAGATTTGGCAGTGTCACCTCAGGCACGTCATATTTTTCAAACGACAACACATCTCGTCAAAGACGTCTATCTCGGTCCAACACTGTTAAAACCTACCATGAGCCAAGTCGTCCGAATTGGCAGCCGGGTGCCGAACCTGGTATTGATACCGATGCTGAGAGGGTGAGCCCGCACTTGGAGGCTCTTCGCGCGCGATGCGATATTCTTGTTGCAGATTTTAGCGCCGAGCACATGGAGTCAGTTCAGACCGACAATGCTTCGCTGGAAGAAGTCCTGTCGGAAAAACGACCTCCTCATCTACCTTGCCGCTGGATTTCGGTAAACGGATTGAGTTGGGACGTCATCAAGATCCTCGGTCAGCATTATGGACTGCATAGATTGGCCATTGAGGACCTGATCAACACGCGTACTCGTACGAAATGTGATTGGTATTCTGATCATGCGTTCGTGGTCTTGACGTTGCAGAAGCTTGTCCGGATACACTCGCATTCAGATTCGGACGATTGCGACTGTTCTGACGACGAAGAACCAATACGCTATGATGAGATTGAGGAAGGGCATGAACATCATCCCGAGCGAGAACGCGTCCCATTTTGGAAGAAGCCTTTCAAGAAGTCAAAAAGAAGAGAATCTACATTGCCGCGCTACCGCGACACCGAAGGACTGGACAAAACGGGAGACGCAATCCGGGCACACAGTTCAACAGCAGAAGGCGCACCACTGCAGAACATCAGAACGCTCCATCGATACGAAAGTATGCAAAATCCAGAGCACACGCTGTTCATGGAAAAGCACTCGGCACTCTTCGAGGAAAATCTAGTCGTAAGCGTTGAGCAGGTGGCTATCTTCCTGATGTCAGACAACACAGTCATCTCCTTCTTCGAACACTCCGGCGCCGACGTCGAAGAACCAATATTGGAGCGTCTGAAGAGTCCTGCCACAATGCTGCGTCGTAGCGCGGACTCATCATTGGTGCTACAGGCCATCATCGATGCCATTGTCGACTTGGCAATACCCGTGAAAGAAGCTTACAACAAGGCGCGAAAGGACCTGCAAATCGACGTCCTGACCAACCCATCTATGAGCACTTCCAAAGCCCTCCATATTTTCACTGAAGAAATCGACATGCTGCAGAATCTCTTCAAGCCAATCATTAATCTGGTGAATTCGCTTCGAGACCACAAATCAGAGCCATTTCCTGGAGCGCCACTGCCTCCAGAGCCTTCGTCACGGAAAGTGGGAGATCATCGGCGACCACAACCGAAAAGGTTCTTCACACAAACGCCCACCACTGTCGTCATGAGTCCTTTGGCTCATGTGTATCTGGGAGATGTGCTTGATCATTGTATCACTATCATTCAATCGCTTGAGCAGATGGATGCATCGGCTAACAACTTGTCTTCTTTGATGTTCAACACCATCGGTTCGTTTCACCATCCCTCCCTCCCTATACTCTCAATATTACTGACATCTCTTGCCTCACAGGTGCACGCACAAACACAACAATGTCCATCATCGCCCTCGTAACAGTCTTCTTCGCACCTCTGACCTTCCTCTGCGGTTACTTCGGTATGAACTTCGAAGACTTCCCCGGTATCAAGAATTCAGACGTTTACTTCTGGATCATCGCCGTTCCAACCACATTCGTGTTTATGGTCATGATTGGAGGCGGTGTGGGCTACAGGACCGTCAAGACTTGGGCAGCGAGATTCCATCTTGCCAAGGCGAGGAGAGGGAGGAAACAGAGGCAGGCTAAACTCAGGGCTAGACAGAGGCAGAGAAGGATGGCCGTGTCTTGAGACAGAGTATTGAGATGTAAGAGTCGTCATGTGTAAGAAAACAATGTAATCATCACGTCAAACAATCTTCTCCGGGCACGCCTTCTCGATAACGTTGACGGACTGCTTCTCCACAAGAGTGTTGACTTGCTGAGTGCTGGTAAGAGTGAAACAGAACAGCGCAAACAAGCAAACAAACATATCAAAAAATCCGAAAGCGCACTTCACTTTGCAATCGAGACTATATAGGTATCAAAAGTTTTCTCTCTGTCACCTACTCAGGAGGAAGCGGAGTCCAAAAGGACGTATGGCCTGAGGGGAATAGCCTGTGCTAATAAGCATCGGGAGAAGTAGCGTCGGGGTGCCTTCTCCTTTTGCTGGTTGTGTGTTCGATCCTTTGATGTGATTTTCTTTTTTTGTTTTGCTTTATTTCATTGATGGTCTACTCATACAAGAAATCCTCAGCGCATCTGATTCACCAATTTAATCGAGCCTTCATCGTCGTTGCTCTTCTTCTCGTTGGACTCGTGGTCATAATCTTTAGTATCAAATCTAAAACCGTCATCGCCATCTTCGAAGTAATCACTATCCCACTCAACGAGGAAAGAGCGAAGCATAACGTGCTTATCCATCTCACTATCATCAAATCGCCAGGCTGTGAAAGAATCAAAATAATCGTTATTCTCCTTAATGAGGCAAGTGTGAAGCGCGATGTGCTCATCCATCCCATGGTCGTCAAATCTGCCAGGCTGTACATGAACCTCCAACTCATCTCTACTGAAATAGCTGACCCCCTTCATTGTGCACTCGCGAAGCCGCGAATCTTCTGTTTGATGGCATTATAGGGTCTCACCGGGAAGTTCTACTTGGTGAAGTTAAATATGCAAGTCTCCATCAGCATGTTGTTACCTCTGTCGTCGAATTGTGAGAAAGACGTGCACCCCCTCGAGATGAGCAATTTCGAAGCGGAGCGGGTCATGATAAGCCAAGGTCATTGGCAAACCCAGAAACTCACCATACTTCTTTTTGTAGTGTTCCTTGAGTTCAGCGTTGTGATCGCCGGCCTGGATCTCGCACTTGATGACACAGATGTATATCGTGTCTGGAGTGTCGATCGTGATATCATGGCGATTGCACCATGTGCCACATCTCACCCGGCGCTCAAAGCAAAGCTGGAGGCATCTGCCCCAGCCCCAGTTCTTTGGCTTCGAGTCGGGATGCAGAAAGAACCAGCAGTTGTCATTATCGAATTGCGGAAGCTCGACATTAAAGAAGGCGAGGATCTCATTGACGACGCTGCGGATGCGGTGAAGATTCTTAGACAACCAGGAGACATCTGCAGGGACAGTGGTGCACTCAGCGTATCTGTCGCCGCTGTTATGCCATGGGCCCGGCTTGCTCAGTCCGAGCCTGGCAGTCAACCATTCTTCCATGAAGGCGCCCATTTCTTCTTCGTCCATCTTGTAGATATGCTTGAATCACTTCCACTCGCTCTTGATTCGGATCTTTCGTAGACAGGCGCAGATCTGAAGCATAGTCTATTGACTATCTGCGAGCGCAACACGATCTTCATTCTCCTTGAAGAGGTCGATGACGTTGAGCAAATATCAGCTCAACATCTTAAGAAGGCAAGGAATATGGATGTGATTGGCGAAGTTAAGGACCATGGATGTGACGGCGATGTTGCCACTAGGATGAATTAGAGATCGATCAACGAATCATAAGAACGGCCAGACCGCATCACCGCTGCAGTCCAGAGGTTTCTTTTCACCAGCCAAAAGGTCGACTTGCTTGTCTTGCAAGGTGTACTGGTTGGTATAGGTAATCTGATCGTGGTGATCGGCTTCGGCAAAGATGCGGGCGATGTCGACTCGAACGGCTTTGATAGCAAGTTCGTACTCAGCACTGCCAGCTTTGCAGCCAGCCATCTCGCACTCCTTCTTGAGTCGACTGGTAACACCACGACGCACTCTGGTTTCCGGAACACTGCCGCCTGATCTCTTGTCGTCCTTGCGCTTGCAAGCCTTGCACGATATTAGGCCGAGACCGCTGACCACCAATGCCATGCAAACCAGAGTCCTTCCGCAAGCCGAACACGGATGAGGAGTAACAGCACAGGTGGCGTTGGCATTGCAGGTACAGACACCAGGAGCCTGTTCACCTGCCTGGATCTGGATATCTATCTCGTCAGCTTTGTTGGCGGCGGCTAACCGGCTAACCAGGCGGTGAGGATGTCTCCAGTGACCATCCATGTTTCGTCGCATGCTTGCATGACTGGCATCAGCCAACGTTTGTCCAGATGGAATGTGGTGATAGTAGGCAGTTCGACGGAGATGTTTCTTTGCGCAGCATTGCTCATCGTAACCGTGTTCGATTTTCGCCGAAACTGCGGCGCTGATAGTAGAGCACATTGCCACCGTACAGTCTGGGTGCCGCCGAAGCTGTATACAAATCAGTATCATGCGTTGGAAAAAAAGAGGACGAGACACACATCTATCAGCTTCAAACGCTCCCAGCATGACTCGCAGCAACGAGTTTGTCTCCAGTCTCGTTAGCATCAAGTTCTGTCCGTGAGCCTGAAATATTCTTGCGAACTTCTCGGCCGTCTGCAGCTTCGCGACATCGTCGTCACTCAAGGTGTCGTTGTCCTTGGGGACACAGGGGGTCGGTTCATCGTCGGTATCGCGAGGAATACGAATGTTGCTCGAGATGTCGGGATAGTCGAGGCCGACGATTTGCGAGATGCGGATGATTGATGCCCAATTGTGAAAAAGGCATGTATGTGCTTGGCGAAGTTAAGGACCAAACAGGTGAACCGCTGTCCAGAAGGGTCTACTCTCACTGGACAAGACGGCGATCTAGAAAACAATCTTGCATTTTGATGGATGTATAGCGACCTCTATCTGTCGGCAGGAGTCAGACCTCTGAATAGCCCCTTGTATTCACCCTGACTGCAGATCTCTAATCGCCCCTTGCGACATCTCATTCACGGCATCTAGTCGACGAGAGTCACGTCAAAATGCATAAAGTTTTTGAGTAATGCAGCATTGTCCACTGAGAGCGCTCTCCTCACTTGCTCTCACTGGACGAAACCTTAGTTCTGAAAATCATCTTGCATTTGGACAAATATTTGGCGAGGCCTAGTCGACAGCGGGAGACAGACCTTTGAGATGGATCTTCATTTGCTCCTGCTCGGGCTCCCTCTCTTAACAGATTCTGGATTTACATGCGATTGTGATACTGACAGACCACACACATGTACGTCAATCATACCGACAAAATATGCAACGAGATTGGCAACAGCCAAAACAAAAAAACAAAAAAACCGACCGTCGGCATGCCGTTTGAGAAATGAGGATTAGAGAAGAATCTTCAAAATCACAAGCTTGAGTCTAGAAGGCAGTACGTTGGTATATGACAATCACGCTCAACTTTTCCGGTGACTTGATGGTAAGCATTTTCCGCCATCAATCGTTTCTGTTGGAGCGAAACGTCGGAAGAGTCCCAGCGGCTTCAGATTTCGCGTATACCATACACAATCCGACTCATGATTTGTCTGTCGATATTTGTGTCGGGAATCCAGAGATAGACAATTTGCATGCTGGTCCCCTATTCTCGAAAGTGTGTTGTACCAGCGCCAAGATAAAAGATGGGTTTCCAAGATTCCATCTTCCTGTTCTTGGTTGCCAGCAGCCGCATAGTGTTGAATGTTGGTGGGGACAGCGATGTAGGCGACAAGAGCGTCTGCAGACTGCGTGCACGTGCTTTCTGTGCGTTAAACTCAAAAGGTACGTGACGCAGCTGGTGGTAGTAGAGGACATCGTGGACTTTCTGACGAGTCGAAAGAACCTGGCAACGGCAAAACGCACCACAATGTAAAACATCAACTGAGCAGCGCCGAGTGGGAACAACCCAACCTTGACAAAAAGAAAAGTAGCACCATGAGCAGGAATCGAACCCGCGACCTCCTCGGATCTAGACTGACACGGCGTTGAGTAACAACGAATGACTGCGCACGTGTTAAGACCACGGGTGTGTTAACCACTACACTACCACGGCTGAGAACTTACAAAGAGCACAATATAACTATTATATAAAGGTTAGAGCTGCGTAGCGCGTGATCAGGTGCACTGCGTTAAGTCGCGAAAGGAGAGCTGGCTTGAGTTAGTTTTGATTAGCAGCAGGTTGCAGTTTTTGGGATGATCTGATATGAGTCTTAGACTACTGTATCGGTGACTCAAATACCAGCATGATTGTGAAGCCCTGTCTTGAAATTTCAAGTGTGGGTTGCTGAATAGTAGAGGATCGTGGGATTCCCAGCTGAGCAAGGGTTGGTTTTGTAGTCACGGAGAGCTGACATCAAATCGAGGATGTTGGCCGTACAGGACATAGTCTCTCAAGAAGATAGCGATGGACTTGTTGAGATAGTCCGATGCAACTTGAGTATCTCGAAGGTGCGAGACCGCAATGAATGAAGACGAGATGTCGTTTTGTGCAATAGTCCAGGAACACCGTCGATGAAGATTGCGACGAGGTCAGAGTATGTCGCTGAGACCAGAGCAATACGCTGTTGGATCGTTTTACTTGCCGAGGTCTTCGGCCGAAGCCTTTGCTCTGCCGTATCTCTTGCGGCATTCTCCTGCCGAGATAGCTAGATGCTGCAGGCAATGCTTTGATCCCATGGAGAGTGTGTACGACCTGCAAGTGGGACCACCTGTCTGATAACCATGTGTGTGGCACCACATCTTCCTCAATTCGTGACCGAGGACCTGGAACACGCAGGACGTTTGAGCAGCGAGGCGACATCGTGGTTGGAAACATCAGGAGCGTGTTAAAGACTGCTCGTATCCTGATCAGAAGACAACATAATCGCGGAACCGACATCACGAGGGCAAAGTAATAGAATGCGGCAGTGATCGGAACGCTCCTGTTTGTTGCAGAAATTTTCTCAGAGATGTTCGTCTTCGGTCAAGATGATTGCTTTCGGGTTCGTAAGAGATTGTACAGACGGTGTGGGTGGGTCTTTGAGGCTGCCCCATGGAGCAAGATGGGTCAATCTGTTTCGGTCTCCAGAATTTTTCCGGTTCGCAGAACGGTAATTTGGCGATAGGGCAAATCAGTTCGACTGTTCGTGATCGCTCGAAGTGATTAACATGGATTCATAGCAGCCTCTGATACTCCAGGTGTCACTCGGATAGTGTCCGTCCGAGGATGGATGAGGGGTCGTCTACATAGAGTAGATACATGGCGGATTAAGCTCCAGCCAAAAGTGGTGGTACCTGTACAAGCAATACAGAGTTCGCCCGTTTCACCTGGCAAGAAAGGATTTCGGAAGTCGGGACGCGATTTCCTGCTCGGCGCAAGCCACCAAAAGCCCTGACAAGCGCCTCCCGCATGGTTGGCTTGGGACTTTAACCGTGTTTTCGTACTTGTAGACGTCCATCGTCACAAGGCTGCGTGCATGTACCCAAAACCAGGTCTCTGCAAGGATGCTAAGACATTGGCTGCTCACGGTGTTAGTCTGAAGCCTCTTGACGGTGAGGCGCCGCCAGATTGCGTGGCGCGATGGTGGTAGACTTGAACGACTCAATCGCGTTCTTGCTGTATACCATGAGGTCGCCTTTTCACCGTCAAATCTTCCGAAAGCTGGCATTATCCACAGAAGGGCCGAATACAGAGCTGGAGAAAGTCGGGAGAACTGGAGACGAAAGCTGGAGGGATGTGGGCTGTGGGGCGTGGAGTGAACTGTGCCATGGAGAAGAAAACTGGAAAAAGGTGATCAACACTTGGATGCAACCTCTCGCGACATGGTCACAGTGCGGTGTTGATACGACTGTCCAATGAGAACGAGATGCTGTAAATTGAAGGATTTCGGGTATCCATATCCCATGGCATTCCACAGCATGCTAGTTACTCCGAACGACTGGTGTCGGATTGGTTGTCATTTGCGCCAAGTGGCTCACGTTTTGAGCTCCGATCTAAACGCGTCGAAAAGCGAGTTGCTCCTGCCTCGAGCCTGTATATATTGAGCTTCCCTGCCCACTTTTGGCACCTTCTTTGCGCCATACGACCTATCCCATAACTAAGAATCAATACCTGGAATTGCCTCGCCCTTGGGGATCGACCAACGATGTATCAAACAGGGAATGTCTACACCATTGCCGCCATCTCCATCATTGGAGGTGGTCTGTTCGGTTTCGACATCTCTTCGATGTCTGCTATCATCGCTACTCAGGTATGTGGATATTACGTGACATTGTGAACCTTCATGATCTAGTGCTGATATACCGCCAGCCATACAAGTGCTACTTCAATCAGCAAGGGTTCAATGATGTTGGCGAGTGCATTGGTCCCAAGGCCGATGTACAGGGAGGTATCACCGCCTCAATGGCGGGAGGTTCTTGGCTTGCCGCTCTTTGCTCTGGATACCTTTCGGATCGCCTTGGCCGCAAGATGGCAATTCAGATCGGTGCCGTCATCTGGGTGATTGGATGCATCATCGTTTGTGCCTCTCAAAACATTGCCATGCTTATCGTCGGCCGTGTCATCAACGGATTCTGTGTCGGTATCTGCTCCGCGCAAGTGCCTGTTTACATCTCTGAAATCGCACCTCCAAGCAAGAGAGGAAAGCTTGTTGGTGCTCAGCAATGGGCGATTACATGGGGTATGTCTTGTCTTGTATCTCGTCCAGCAAGAAAATTGCTGACCATATACCCTCAGGTATTATGATTATGGTAAGCACAACCAGTGCCTACAATTAGATGTCTTAAGGCAGTGCATTACCAATCAACCCAGAAGCATGCTGACTGTCACAATAGTTCTATATCAGCTACGGTTGCTCGTTCATAAATGGCACTGGTGCCTTCCGTGCTCCTTGGGCTCTTCAGATGATCCCTGCTATCTTGCTCTTTTTTGGCATGATGATCTTACCCGAGTCTCCCCGCTGGCTGGCATCCAAGGATCGATGGGAAGAGACCCGGGCAGTCCTTGCTCTCACTCACGGTCACGGTGATCCCGAAAGTCCCTTTGTTGTTCGCGAGTTCGACGAAATCAGGGAGTGGATCAGAATCGAGTCTGAAGCTAAGAACGCCTCTTACCTCGAGCTCATCCGTCCTCGCATGCTCAACAGAACTATCATCGGTGTATTCATGCAAATCTGGTCTCAGCTTACCGGAATGAATGTCATGTACGCTGATTCAGATCACTCTTGGCTGTAAGGACTATGCTAACTTTACTCTCACTCCCAGGATGTACTATATTACCTATGTCTTCCAGATGGCAGGTCTCTCTGGAAACAACCTCCTCGTCTCCTCGTCCATCCAATATGTCATCAACGTCGTCATGACTGTTCCTGGTCTTCTTCTTGTTGATCGTGTTGGTCGCCGTCCCCTCCTCTTGGTCGGAGCTGCGTTCATGGCACTGTGGTTGTTCGCCAATGCCGGTATTCTTGGCGCTTACGGAACCAACCCTGGTCCCGGTGGTGTTGGCGGCAACACTCCTGAAGCCTCTACCGAAGTCACTGGTGCAGCTTCCAAGGCTGTTATTGCTTGTTCATACCTGTTCGTTGCATCATACGCCCCTACCTGGGGTCCTGTAAGTCGCCTACATTCCATCTTCCAAGAAAACAAGAATGCTGACTGCATCCTCTAGGTCTCCTGGATCTACCCGTACGTACTGAACATGCATACACCACGAACCACCAGCCGCTAGGTGTTGTCACGGTCACGACCTCACCAGACGCCATCTCATTGCAGTAACGTTTTGTGCCGGATACGTACCACGATCGAGATCATCTTTTCTTCATCAACACGATGTAACTCTCGACAGTGACGTTCTCCGACACAACGTACTCTTGCAATGAGACAGGTGTAGATGATGGTGTCTGACATGGCCTCGTGGTGGTGCATCATTTCACACATAACAAAAATGTTGACTTTTTTTCTTAGCTCCGAGATCTTCCCCAACCGCGTCCGCGGCAAGGCCACTGCTCTTGCTACCTCAGCTAATTGGGCCTTCAATTTCGCCTTAGGTAGCTTCATCCATTCAGAGCACCATGAGGGGATGTGATGCTAACAATATTGCACTGTAGGCTATTTTGTCCCCCCAGCTTTCATCAACATCAGATGGCAGGTCTACATTGTTTTTGGCGTCTTCTGCGTTGCCATGTGGCTCCACGTCTTCTTTTGCTTCCCTGAGACAGCAGGCAAACCACTTGAAGAGGTCACCGCTATGTTCGAAGACCCCAGTGGCATCCGCTACATCGGAACTCCCGCCTGGAAGACCAGCGCATCCACCTCGATCACCTCCCGCATGGAGAGAGGACAAGATCTCGAGAAGAAGCTCAGTGAAGACGAGGCCCCCGAGACTCACGAAGTCGCTCCCAAGGCAACTGTCTAAAGGATGTTTACAAAACCATCCGACGAACTGCTTTTCTATCGAGAATGCAGAGATAACCTTCACGAGCTTGATGTTGATTTGACCGTACTGAACGAGTACGATGTCTATACAGTATAAACCTATACACTCTAATAATTACATACCATTCTCTACATTTCGACTGCCACTACATCTTCTGAGTGATTTTGTCGAGTCACGGTACTTGGAAGAAGGGCAGGGTCGCGTTCGGCGTCTTTCAGCCGCACACTCTTCAGCATCAGCCAAACCCAACTTCGACCTGGTCTTCGTCGCTGCTACCTACTCTGTCGCAGGCCAAACAAATGCTCAGCCCCAATGACGTTTGGAGCACAACACAAGGGGACGCATGTCAACTCTCGCTCTCTCCCGTCGGCAATACAGTCAGATTGCTGTCCATCAAAAGGCACAATGATATTGAGAACCCGGCGAGGGTCCACTGAGAGCCCAACTTTCTTTGCACTCTTACTGGATTTTCTTTGATTTCCCAAAAACTTCGTGAAGTTTAGAGTTGAATTCTTGCAGCATCCTGTGCTTGGAGTTCAGCATACGCTCAAAAAGCCCGATATGTTTTTTGTCAATTCACTAGGCTCGAGCGCAATTAAAATCAGGGGGATTCTCGATTCATGTGTGGATATCTAGGTTACTTAGGAAGCGATTGAGTACGAGCACAAACTAATCACAGTTTCGATCCTTCAAGTCAAACGACATTCTTCTGCAACCACTCTTCCCAGTCTTTCTTCGAGAAGCTGCTCGAGATGTTTGGCTCGTTGAGTCCCTATGATTGACGTCAGTACAAATATCCTGGCTCAGGATTCATCTTTACTCACGTTAAACAGAACAGTGGGTGAGACATGAACTCCAACCAAACGACCAGCCTTGATAAGTAACTTGAGATCGTTGGTGACCTGGTTGCCTGTGTTCAAGCTTCCATCTTGACCGGGCTTGTCAGAGATCTCGAGAAGGCTGTAGATCTTGCTCTCATCCAGACCTACACCGGCAGCAAGCTTGGCGAGACGCTTGTATGTCTGGTTTCTGGTCTCATTGACTACATTGACGTCAAAGTAGTCGGTCTGCTTGTCAAACAGAGCGGCGGAGAAGGGCCAGAACTTGGAAGCATCGGTTCTCAGGACTGCAACGGCGGCTTCGTGGACCAGGGTTGATGACGGGTGCCATGGCTGGATCTGTTGGCGGAAGATGACCTGAAGCTTATCTGAGTACTTCTGCTCGACAATGGGCGCAACATCGTGGTAGAAGGTGTCGAACTGCTTCTTGCTGAAGGGACAGACGTAGTCAAGGACTACTACAATTAGTCATGGTGATTCTGCAATGGCTTTCATCGATGGAAATGGAACATACATAGCTCCAGAGTGTGACTGGCATTACTCGACAGAGCCTGCCCAGCAAACTTGGGAGCGAGAGCCATTTCAGCAGCTTGTTCGCTTGTTGAAGTCGAGAAGTCACTTGCAGTACTCTGATCCCGGGTCGCAGTGCTGGAGACTGGTGGAAATGACTCGGACAAGGTGGGTTGACGAGACTCAGATCCAGGTGGAGCTTGGTTTGGAAAGCCAAATAGATTGCCTGTCAAGCGGGCCACACGTGGTCTTTCTTCTGGATGCTGAGTATAATAGAGACCTGCTTCAGCCTTTCTGATCTTGCGTTCTTGTTGTGCTTTGAGTTTTGCTTGTCGTGCTCTGTGTGCTGCTACAATCCCTTCTGGTGTTGGGCTGGAGTGACTGCCGCCGATTCCTATCTTGACGGAGTGCTACAGTGAAAATGTGCTGAAAGTCGTGTACGGATGGAATTGATTATAGGAGCAACGATGGATGGAGTTGATTGTAGGAGCAACGATGGATGCAGGCTTGAAGGATGATGGTTGTTGAGTTGATGTTTATATCTACACTTGCGGTTGGCGAGCTTCAGTCAAACGATGACGCGAGAGTCGGAGCTGTCGGATTTTGCGGAAGGAGCGTCTCCCGACGGGGTCCAGATCTCTTTCCCGAACTTGCGCGTTCGTCCTTTCGTGCTCAATTGACACTTCTGTAGCTATTGAAATATACAATGGATCTTGGATCAAGCTTAATGTCCACAGAGAGCATACCACAAAAGTCGGTTTCTACGGACAAAGTGTAGCTCCTTTGTGCGCGGCGGGGTTTCGATTAGAAACATCGTGCATTTTGGGTGCATCCCCATGTCGCTGCAGTGGGGGAGTCGAAGGTGACAAACATTAATCATACTCTGACTCGGAATTCAGATCAAAAGGCCTACGAGATTGGCCCAAGTTCTACGTGACTGTCCAAGAATCTAGCCCCAGTCTCGGGCAATCTCAGTCTAGAGTAGAGCTCGCGAGTCGCGAAGGAGCTCACGAAGTAAAGCGAAGGCAACAGCTTGGCATGCGCCGGATAAGAAGGCTCGGCTGGTCGATAACAGCTCGCGTTTCGGCGCGTCTACCTTCGCCACACCATCTTCTCTATCCTGTCATTGGTGAGGACAGAGGAATGGAATCTTTATAAAGATGTCGATACATGCTCTTCCACAGACGGCAGTACGCACAATCCGCTCTGGTCAGGCCCTGACAGATCCAGCTTCTGTGGTCAAAGAACTTATTGATAATGCTCTCGACGCGCGAGCATCGAACATCACTATCGAGATATCGACCAATACTCTCGATGTGATCCAAGTCAAGGATAATGGTCATGGAATTGCGCCTACAGACAGGCCACTTGTGGCAAAGCCTTATTGCACCAGCAAACTCAAGGATGAAAAAGATCTTGCTCTTGTAGGTTCATCCTATCTTGGCTTCCGAGGTGAAGCCTTGAGCAGTGCATTGGAGATGAGTGGTGAGATGATCATCACTACAAGGGTCGAGGGCGAAAGCATTGCTACTGCCATCAAAATCTGTCAGACTGGCGATCCAGCTCAAGATCGTGCAACGCACCCCCCAGGAACCACAGTTCGCATTGCCAACTTCCTCAAGAATCAGCCTGTTCGCAAGCAAGTCGCCTTGAAAGCCGCACCCAAGACACTGTTGAGGATCAGACAACTACTACAGTCGTATGCCTTTGCCAGACCATCCACTAGGTTGTCATTGAAGGTTATCAAGGCCAAGAATGACAAGGATAACTGGACTTATGCACCCAAGATTGGCAGTGGAATCGAAGACACAGCTTTCAAAGTTGTGGGAAAGCCTTGTGCTTCTCAATGCACCTGGGCAGAGTTGGAGCACGAGGGCTTCACCGTACAAGCCTTCCTTCCTCGCCCAGACGCTCATGCTTCCAAGATCAGCGGAATGGGACAGTATGTGTCGGTTAACGATCGACCTCTCACTTCGTCCCGGGGCATCTCCAGGCAACTCATTCGAACATTTAAGGAAAGCCTCAAAGAATCATCACCATTAGAAGACGCGAAGGATCCATTTCTATACTTGTCGCTCTCTTGTCCGCCAGGCAGTTACGACGTCAACATCGAGCCAGCCAAAGATGATGTTCTGTTCGGTGATGTCGACAAAGTCCTGGAAGCTGTCAGAAGACTGATGCTGATCTCGTACCCGGAAAAAGAAGAGTCAGACGAGGTAGCAGCTGCGATTGAGACCACTGCCAATGCTCGTGAGCTCTTTGCGACACCAGCGCCTGGAAACAGATCGAACAGGATTGAACCAAAGAGCAACATGTATGACCTTGATGAGGATGATCTCACTCTGTTCATGGACTCTGTAGATCAGCCCAGGGATGCCACTCTTGATGAGGAAGAGGAGCAATTGGGATCAATCAGAAGTGCTGCTGTGTCAAACCCTTGGATCACCGCCAAAATGAATGCTTACAGCAACAAGAAGAACAACGCCAACGTGCAGCTTCTGACACCAGCGAAGCAAGCATCGAGTTCTCTGATGGAAGCAAGTTCGCCTGCTTTTGAGACAAACCAACTCCAAGATATTACGCCAGGATTGCCAACGCCTCGTCCGTCGTCTCCAATGTTTTCCCGGTCTGAAGATCCTGATTCAAGTGGTCCTCGCCGAGTCATAGGTTCCTCCAATCTTCCTCCGGTACCTCACATGTCAATCCAGAGAATGTCGCCAATGAGGAACAGTGTCGAAGCTTTCGAAAGCTCTCCCGCACCACAGCGCATGACTCTGCCTCCTCAGCAATCCTCCGAAGGTACCCCACTAGACATGATACCAGAGGCAGAGCCAAGAAGACGCAGTCCACCCAAACAGCAACAGCGGCAGTTTGTCAATAAACCTTTCGTGTCCCCGGTCGATCCTGAGCGCGATGCGTGGTTTCACTTCCCGGAGTCGCAGAAGTCGAAGCAACCTGGACGGAAAGTGCAATCGCAGAGGCCGAACGGCGAGAGCTTCGTTCCCAGTGGCGAACCATACACTTCAGCCTCGAGTGCTACGCCTCCTCCCAACAATGCTGATATCCGTGACTTCCTTGGCCGAGGTCGTGAACAACACTCTACTACTCCTGCAACCACTGTCCCTGAGGCCTCAGAGAGCGAAAACTTGCCACCGGTTGATATTCACCGCGAGACACAGCCTAAGGGGTTCTGCAGAGCGAGCGAACTCAACCTCGAAAGTACTCAATTTGTCGAGCCAACACGTCCAGCTCCATTACCAAAGCCGAGACGACGCAGAACGACAGATAATCGAGCACTGGAAGAAGTATCCGGCAATGTCAGAGCGGACAACGATGAGAGTGGGTCTGAATACGAAGATCCCCCTCGTCGCCGCCGCACTGGAGAATCCGATCCGAAACGAGTACGTCGCGTCAAGTCATCTACTCTTCCGCTCGAAAAGGTACCTCTGAGTGCACAAACTCAAGGCTGGACTGCTAGTGTATCTACCACTGTTGATGACGTAGAGAAAGAGTTGCAGGTCGTTGAGCCGCAAGGTACATTTGTGGCATGGAATGAACCTGCATTTGACACACAAACGGTCGTGAACAGAGGTTTCGCAGAGAACGATGTTCAACAGTGGACCTTCTTGCTCAGCCAGTCACTGCTCAAGCTCGAGCCAGATGCCGAATTGGTGCGCGATCTGGAAGATGTGGTGAGAAATACGATGAGCAGATGGGGTTCTTTTGCTGCTGCTTGAACAGGCATATATTCTTGTTGTTTTGCCTTTCCGATCGGAGAGGATTCATCGCTTTCTTGATATTGATGATTTTGCTATCGAGCCAGGAGATATTGCCTACATGAGAGGGGAGGCTCATGGTGCTATGAGGTGGCTTTTTCTTTTTGATGTTTGGCATGATACCCCAGCGAGAGAAGGCGCTTTTGACCTTTATGATGTATGACAATCGCTGTGTATGTATAATCAATGCTTTCGATCTTTGCTTATGATGCTCTTCAAAGTCATAGTTCAGAGAAGTTGCCTCTTTGACTCCCTTTGACACCTCCACTACAGTTCAAGAAGTAGCACATCTTCCTGCTCACTATCACACCCCCCTAGCCCCCCTCTCATATCCCTCCATGAGCTCCCCAGCACGTACGACATAAGCCCTCGCAGGCAACACATCCCTCATCAAAACCTCATGCACCTCTTCCTTGAACTCAGCACACCCATCCTCCACAACCGTAACCACAAACTCCTCATCCGTTGCCGCCAACGCCGTCCTCAATATAACTCCCGCACTGCTTATTCCTGCCAACACCAAAGACTTAATCCCATTCTTCTGGAGATGTTGCAGAAGACCCGGTGATTTGAGAGCAGAACCATAACAAGCCGGTCGTATAAATGTCACCTCCTCTCCACCATCACCATCCACGCTTTCCACCAAAGAAGCAGGTTCTCCAGCATCGAGCGACTCGATCATAGATGCAACAACCTCTTCCACCATGTTATTGGGTTTACATGTAGAGAAAGAAGGAGGATTTGAAGTATCGACCAAGCAGTGAATGACATGGATATTTTGATATTTGGCCCATTTTCTTAGGTTTGCGGCGGTGGTTACAGCGGGTGAGGAGGAAGGACCTAGGGCTTTTAGGAAGGTTGTGTGGAAGTCTAGGAGGAGGAGAGCTGTTTGGGAGGGGCTGTAGTGGGCGGGGTTTGAAGGGTCGGATGGGTTGAAGGTTGTTGTGTTGGTTGCCATGGTTGTATTTCTGAGTGTAGTATGTTGCAGAAAGTCAGGTGTGCTGTGAAGATGGTGTGGATGATTGCACTTGGAGATGAATGCAGTATCACCTGAGAAGGATTCTACGCGCGGGGAGACATCTTGGTCCGAGATATGTCGCGATCCTGTCGACCAGATTGATCCATAGAGCAGGCGCATTCACCTGATAAGAGTATAAATCCCAAGAGGAACATAGCATATTATACACAGATCTAAAAAGATCACCTTCAATATCTTACACGACATCCCACCTCTTCCATCTACGCGTCCAGCGCCTTCTTAGCACCATCCACAATCTTCTTGACCTCACCAACGCCCTTCTCAACAACCTTTTCCATCTGCACACCAGCCTTCTTCAAGTCATCCGGTCTTGCAGTCTTTGCCAACTGCATCGCCCTCAACTTCTTCTGTTGTCCTTGTCTAGCATTCCTAACTGCATTGCTTGCCACATCTCCTGCTTTTGCTGCTGCATTGACGGTGGCCTTTCTGGACTCGGCGGTGGGTGGTGGGATGGGGATGTTGAGGAGGAGGGGATTTGCGCCGGTGGGGTCGGGTTGAGGTGTTAGGTTCAAGTTTGCGGACTGGATTGACGAAGAGATAGGTTTGAGGTGCTGTTGAGGGAGGCGGTCAGTATAGCCCTTGGTAGAGGAGTAAGGCATGAAGTGTTTACCTCTTGCTCGCCGACTACGACTTGAACGACTCTTCCCTTGGGGACCACTTGCGCGAGATCTCCCAATTTAACAGGTCCACCCTGCTTGAGCTGCACACGCAAAGACTCGAGCACCTGGGGGTTGAAGCGGCCACCTTGTCTCAGCTGCGAGAGGTCGGCCTTTAGCTTCTCGACAGCATCGTTGATATCGGACTCGAGGGCGCTGAAGTCGAAGGGGTCTTCCGAGCCAACTGCTGCTGGAGCAGAGGACGACGAGGATGAAGAGTCGGAACGAGAAGCCTCGCGGGCTGCTTTGCCGCCTTTCTTTAGCGTGGCAGGTGTGTTGCTGAAGGTGCGGATAGATGTGTGTTTTGCTGAGGCAGCTGCGACCAGACTTGAAGGACTGCAGAAATTGGGTGTTAGCTCGAGGTCGCAATTGTTATTGCACGATGTGAGGCGCATACCGGAAGCTACATTGTCTTACAGCAGCTACATCCCGCGACAGCAGGCGAGAGCAAAGTAGTTGTGTTGATCGTGATGGGCGCATTTTGGGAGTGTGGTTTTGTCTTTGGGCGCTCGACCTCGAAAGCCGAATGTGGAAAGAACTTGTGACGTCGGCGTGCGTGCAAGCTCAACTGTGACCCTGTCCTCATCGATCACGAGCCATGGTCGGATCGACGAGCGATCTTCTGCAAGGGCAGGCGCGCGTGTATCTGGAAGCAATTGCTGTCTGGTATTAGACGCAACTAGTACGCGCTTGTGTCAGGCACATGAAATCTACTGTGAGAATGACGACAATTTGAACGACGATCCATCAATGCATTGCTTAAAACTGATTAAAGATTGTCTGACTGTGTACGCATGAGTATCTCGGCCGTAAGGACTTGGAGGATAAGAGAAAGCAGACCCAAACACACTGTGTGCGTGACAACAAGAAAACAATAATGCAATCCAAACGCCAAAGGAAGGTGACATATCACCTCTGGTGAAAGCATGTCTGTGAATTACCGTAGTGGAAAAGCAAAAACTCCATGGTGGGAAATGTGATGGGGGGATATTTGTAAAACCAAATGAAAAGGCCAACAGTCTGTCTCATCCAAGATCGAAAGACTAGTCGAGCCTGTCTTATGAGAAAAAATCAATCGCTCGTGGGGAATCTTTTATGCGTGATGCAAACGCAGAAAAACACTTTCCCACCTAACCTCCCAGCTTGCGCCGTGATTCATATCAATATGTCTTTGCATTGTAGCAGGAAAAGTGAACGCCAACCTGATGCCCAGAGAGTAATGAGAAGTGATGACTGTAACGCTTGAAGCGCAACAATCCGTAAAACCAAGGATTAATATGCCAGAAAGACGAATCAAGACCGACAGTCCTGATGATTATCATGACGCCAATCAGTGGGCGGACGACAACGAACAATACGCGGAAAGAGGCGATCAATGGGCGGAAGACCACGATCAATACGCGCAAGATCATGATCAGTGGGTGGTGGACCATCAACAATACGTAGAAAGGCACGATCAATAGGCGGAGTAGGCGGATGACCATGATCAGTGGGCTGTGGACCGTCAACGATACGTGGAAGGACGGAATCGATGGGCGGAGTAGGCGGAAGACGCGGAGGGCCATTGACAGCACACGGAAGACCACGATCAACGCGCGGCGGAGGACTTGCCTATTTTCCGTAGCCAGCATAACCGTTGTGGCCGCTGCCGTTGGAGTACGAGGTTGCGTTAGGAGGACAGTCCATGAAGCTGTTCATACTGCTAAACGCTGCCGGATTCGAGTATTGAACAGGTGAGATGTTGCGTGAAGCTTGAGGGTAGCTGTTCATACCCGGTTGGGAATGACTCTGAGGGGGAATACTCCTGAAGTTGTGCGTAAACCCACGAATAGCGCTATTCTGTTGCATGGGCGGCATAGGATTAGAGTGTTGCAGCATAGGTGGTGGTGGGGACTGAGTTGGCGGGCCATGTAGACCAGGAGCCATCAGTCCAGGAGGTGGACCTGCTGCAGTGCTGAATCCAGGACCCGTTCCGTTGCTGAAACCTGGATGACCTGCGTGAGGGCTCATGGAATGTTTTGGGTTGTCGCTTCTAACGCCTAGAGGATTCTTAGAGAAGCTGACCCGGATGCCTCCCTTGTAGCTGTTGTGCAATTGTACGCCATACAATTCATGGAGGGCATGTGATGCATAAGTCACATCCTCGAACTCGACGAAACACATCGGGCCATTGGCTTTTGTACGGAAACAGAGTCGCTTGAAACCTCTTGCTTTGGAGAACAAAGACTTGAGCTCGTCCTCACTGGTGTGAAGCGGAAGATTGCCCACATACAAGGTATTGCATGGAGGGTGCTGGTCGGCAGGGTTGGCAGGAGGGAAATCATGTCTCAGATTTTTGTGCGAGAAGCTTCCGTTTGTGGTGACATTCGAAGGCCTGGAAGAAGCTGGCAAGGGCGGCGACCGCATTGAATGCGGCGAAGTGTAGTTGGGGCTCGTGGGAGAGGTCACGTAGTGAGGGTAACCACTTCCGTTCATGGCGCCTGTCTCAACAGATAGGTTGCCAAATTGGGGAACAGGATTGCTGTGACCCGTCAAGGCATTTCGTCCGTTTTTGGCGTAACCAACTGGATCCTTGAGGAGCTCTCCGGTTTCGTCGTCGTCGTTGCCGTCGTTGATAACAGACTTCCCAGAGATTCGGTTCGGACCAGGGTAACCATTGGCGTGCGGAGACTGAGGAGAGAAGATGCTTTGAATATGATTGCTGCTGTCAGGAGCGGGAAACTCGAAGGACTGGGCAACAGCAACAGGCGGAGACGTGAGTGGTGAGCTTACGCCCCAACTGGTACTGAAGCGAGAAGACTGACGACTCAAGGGAGCCTCCGAACCGTTACTCGAACCGCCGGAGCCAGTTTGTTGTCGAGCTGCCGTACCGTCGACAGTATTGCGTCTCGAACCATTGTACGCGGATTGGGATTGGGATTGAGAGTCGGGCAGAAGCTCGACAATCATTTTTATTCCATTCTTACCAAAAGGCTTTCCGTGAAGGCGATCCTTGGCTTCCATGGCACCAGCCTCGGAGTGAAAGGTAGCAGTGGCAGTGCTGAAACCAGAATCTTCCAGGCTGTCTGATGAGTGTACAAATTTGGTGCCGTCGAGGTCAGTAGCGAAGATGAGCATGCTTCTGAGCGCATCCTCACCAAATTGGGGTGGCAGACGTCGGATGCGGATCGTCCATCTGTTTGAAGTATCTGAAGGCTCGGAGTTTCTGTGGTTGTTACGTCTTCCTATGGTGGGTGACAGGCCTGGCAACTGAGAAAGAGTGTCGGAGGTTGTGGTGAAGACACCCAGCTTACTAGTGCCATTGAGCTGGCCTATTGGCGACAGGCTGCCTAGATTGGGTAGGTTGTTCATCCTTGAGGTCGGAGGGCTGTATCGGGTGGGACGTTTTTCGGCCATTGCCTGGGACTGGGCTGCGCATGCGATTTAGACGGAAGCTGAGTGATGACTCGACAGACGTCAGCAAGGCGTGTGCGTGCTTTGTCGACTATATGAGCGAGTTTGCGGACAAGGCAACAGGGTGTGGCGAATGTAAGAATGCGATCACAGGAAGGCGATGGGCAGAAGGTGGCCGAGAGGGTTGAGATGCGACCGAGTTGCGACAAAGCTTCGAGGGGCAGGTCGAGGGTGCGATGCCGAAAGCGACCGAACTGCGCTGCACCGAGAAGCGTCTGATGCGTGCTGCGACAGGGAGTTAGACAGACTGATGAGCCCGATCGAACACAACCAGAAAGATGTGAGCGACAGGGGGTAAACTTGACGTGTCTGTGGAGCGGACAGGCAAGCAGCACGGCGACAGCGACGGTCGGGGAAGATGAGAGATGGAGGAAGGCTGGCAAGTGTGGAGTCAGAGAGTGCGCCGATAAGACCGCATTTCACATCCTTGCGAACACGGCAATGGCTGGGAGTAAGACTAGCAAGCCTTAGTGTACCGCCTGTCGCGCCATCATTGACACCTCGTCCTCTTGAATTGACACAAAGGCCCGCATACTATCCAGATCTTGTAACAGGCCTGATGCTCATCCACTCTCTTGTTGTGTCACTATCCAGACTTCGACCACGCGACATGAGTTCTTTAGCAAGCAAATGATGCAAAGCACAGCACGACTGCGATTCTGCTTATGAACTCTAATTCCCGGAGGCAGCATCCCTCAAACCTTGTTCACCCTCCTCTTGGCCCTGGTTGGCCAAAACCGCGGTCCAGGGACATGGTCAGAGGATATCGCGCCCCCGGATCTCCTTTTGAGCAGATGAGAAGTTATTACCAAGGCCGTTCACTTTGTCGACTCCTGATTGAGACCTTTCGCAGCTCCAAACTGTCCTTTGTCCCAACACAATCGCCGTCTTATTTCAGGGGTCGAAGCCGAAAAAGTCACGGCTGTCGTCAGATCGCACGGCCCAAGTTCCTCCCTGGTAGGCGTCAGCGGTGCATGAACTCTACAGTAGGACCTCTCCTCCCGCGACCGGCTCAGGCTTTCGATAGACGTGTCGGCTTGCTTCGGTCTTTTGAGCCAGATGAGCCTTTCACGACTTATTGGCCTCTTCTAACGCAGTAGCCGGTCAGTATCGCACTCAAAAAATGCGAGACAAAGGTGCGACCCAAGCCCGTGGTTCCAAGCGTTCTGGGGTTGGCGCCGGTGGCTTTTGACACGTGAAGCTACTCTTGAGTTCGACATGTAGATTGTTGGTGGATCTTCTCCAACACCACATCGCATCACCACAACACACATGCTGTCTGAGGCGGTCATGAAGGCGCATATGCCAGATCGCCAGGCAGCACAACATCAGCCTATCGTAAATATTGTCACTCTTTCTAGCGTACTATATCTGCCATCTTTCTACGGGTAGACTGTACTCCTGAGATGGGGCGCAATCTAGTGCACTTTAAACGGATGCAATCCTGCATCTGACGAATATGCGCGGCTCATCAGCTTCAAAAACTTCACTCTATCACAGCATCAAGGATGGTAAAGAAGAGCCTGAAGCACACGGGAAGGCTGTGCCTTGATTGCTGCGGTACAGATGTCAGCCCCATGGGATCCCGCTTCAAGCGAGCTATCGTGGCCAGCAGAGCTTCAACCATAGACATCTTGACACAAAGTAACAATCTGTGTGAGCGGTGCAGGATTCGGTATCGGAGATATCCAGGAGCGCCTTGTTCTGTGAGTACAGATCCGATTGTTGGTTCAAGACACCACAGGCAAACATCTCGGCCAGCGCATCTCCGGCTGATCTCTGACACCATTGGTCGCTCGGCAGCGATGCAACTGCGGCTGGATATTGATGCGCCGGCTTGATCAAGGCGATCAAGACTACGAGATCACGTTGACATTTGGCAAGCCAATGAGATGGAGGCGCGTTTCATCAACAAAGCATTCGAAAAAGCCCTGAGGCAGTTCACTATGAGCAGGCCATGTGGCTTGACACGGTATACAATGTACACAATAGGTACTCGAGGTCAAACAGGATGCTTGGTATTGCATTGATCGTCGGAACTCTCTCCGTAACCGAGGGCTATCAATTATCGATCAAGAACCGGCATAAGGGGAACATAAGTATGGAGATGGGTAACGTTCATAATGCGTGAAAGGCTCTACTTTGTGCGGTCTGGCAGTCTTTTGATAGTTAGTCTTCATGTCTTTGGTTGTCAGATACAATCATTGATGCCGTACCTACTCTTTCGACTCTGATTCTTTGGAATCCTTCGAATCCTCGGCGGATGATGCAGGTGCCTGGAGAGTAACTTCCAGAATGTCCTTTCCTCCGTGCAGACTGATCAGGGATAGTACAGCCTTACAGTTCTCTCCAGTAAGAACAGTGGCTTTGGGGAAGAGCTTGCTATCCCTTCCTTCGGCTGCCCAGCGCACCTTGATCTCGGTCACCTTCTCGGCCTCTTTGCTCTTCTTGTATTTGGCCAGAGCCTCGGCGCAGTTGGTTGAGTTGGCAGCCAGATCCTGGATGCGATCGCTCAGATTCTTGATGCCGATTCCAGCGTTGATGAGTACGACCTCGTGCCTGGAGGACGAGTTGCCGATGGTGAAGACGACGGGAAATTCTTGTGCCATGGTGTGAGTGCGTTAGGAGAAATGTGGATAGAGTAGATTTTGGTTTGCAAAAGAGTCTGAAGAAACAAAAGGAAAGACAAGAAACTTATGCTGGTTGGTTGGTTGTTCGCGCATTCCATCCCTGTAGCACCACTGACGTATTAAAGCATGCTGAGCCTGCTTTTCTGCATATCAGGTCGGTTCCACTTCCACTTTCTCCACGCGGCCTCTCATAGAAGCTTCTTTGACATTTCTGCTGATCAACTACTATCTCAAGACGTCGCTGTGTAATCGAGAAGAAGATCTGAAGGGATCGGTGGCATATTGCAAGACCTTACCTTTGTCTAGAGTAGCCTCGCAAATACTGGAGTTTTCTGAGAATCCGAGGAGGAGTAGAACAGTCTTGACTATTGTACCTCGTGGAGAGCGACAACATTTGAAATATCCAACATCAGCATTTGTTAGAATAGATTTCTGAACTCAAGTCCGAAATGGTCTCATGCTCCAAAGGTGAATACAGGGAGAGGGTTGGAATTGCATGTGAAAGTCCGGGTTGAACCCTTGAGCTTGGTTAGCTACAACGGCGCCAAGCGGACTGACGAGATGGAGGCCATGCAAGATGGTCGTACAACCATATCGACCTGCACATCTTCGCCAACGCCGAGTATTCGAGATTTGCGCTGAATCTTTGCGAGAGGAAATCCACATCATTCACATTCTTCACCGCGCAATTGCCAATTCCCGCCGTGTCAGTTTCGACAGCGGAGCCGAACCCACATTCCGACAATCAACATGGACCGAAGCCTGGATGAGATCCTCGAGGAGCGCCAGGTTTGTCCAAAGCAGCCTTCGCATGGCAATAACCATCTAACGGATGGCAGAACACCCGTGGCGGACGCCGTGGAGGACGTGGCCGTCCTGACCGCGATGGTGGCCGTGGACCCCGACGAGACTACGAACGCGAACGCGACTTTCCCAGAGACGGCGTAAAAAAGGTGCGCGCCATGCTCAAGAAGAGAGGATGCATCGACTTGGACTGACCTTCTGGCTGTGCAGGTTCTCCTTCCTTCCTCGTGCTTCAGTCAATAGGACGACATCCATCAACATGCGTCGACAAACACCAACCACTTGGCTCGATCCGCTGACCGTAATCTGTATCAGTCATTCCCCAGAGAAGATGCGAGAAACATTGACCGGTGAGTCTATGCTTCCAAAACATGTGCTGTACATAATGCTGATCCGCCCTGCAGCGACTGGGTCCACGATAAGTTTGAAGACGATGACTGTTAGTTTTGCTCATCATGGCACACTCGGCCCCATTCTGATCCTTGGACAGCCCGTCGCCCTACAAGAGGCTCGCGCAACGATCGCTACGACAGAGAACCTGCAAGAGATGCGTATGTACCATACTCTCCAGACCGCGCGATTCCCAAATCTAATCAAATCCACAGCTCCGGCTCTACCAGCATCCGCGTGGAAAACATCCACTACGATATCCAGGAACCAGACCTGAAAGTACGTTCACTTCTCTCATTCGCGTCCTCTGCGCTTCCATATTGACCATCCCTTCACAGGAGCTATTCGAGAGCATCGGACCCGTCGAATCTTTACGCCTACTCTACGACCGCCACGACCGCTCGCAAGGTGTTGCTTATGTTGTCTACCCCAGCGCAAGTCTCGCCGACCGCGCCTTCCGTCAATTCGATGGCCAGAATGCTATGGGCCAACCCATCTACTTGACCATCCAACAACAATCCGCCGCGCGCCCTGCCCGCAACCCCTTTGACAATGTCGAAAAGCCTGCCCGCAGCTTGTTCGATCGCATCGACAACCGTCGCAGTGCTAGTCCCGACTCGCGCAACGTCGATCGCTATGTTCCCCCTGGCGGCAGAGACCGTCGCAGCTCGCGCAGTCCTCCTCGTCGTGGAGGCCGCGGCGCTCCTCGTGAGGCTGGACGTCGTCCTGGTGCTCGTCGCGAGAACACTGATCGTCGCGAAAACGGTGGTCGCGAGCGTGGTGACAGACGTGGTCCTGGACCCAAGGAGAACGATGGGAGACCCACAGTAAAGGGACGTCCCAAAAAGACTGCCGAAGAGCTCGATGCTGAGATGGACGATTACTGGGGTGGAGGCTCAGCTGCCAACGAAGGCAGTGCTGTTGCATCGGGTCAAAATGAGCCTGGTCGCGAGCCCCAGGTTTCCACCATTGCTGGAGGAGAGAACAACAACATGGGCACAACATCCACGGCCCCTGACGATGACATTGACCTCATGGTCGAGTAAGAGGCCGTTCGAGGTCATGACACAAATGCCTCTCCCCTCGTTCAACTAGTCATGTTTTATGCAAAGATGGCTCAAAAACAAAAAGATTGGAAAAGGATCTGGAGTACAGCTTGTATATTTAGGTTTCATGTCAATCACTTCGGAATCGTACAACGAGACCCAGACACCAACAAAACGAAGGTTCAATTGATCCTTCTCTAGTTGATTCTCTGCACTTCTTGTATGCAATCTATACAATTGCTCATTTTTCCTGCGTGTCCTTGGAATAATACCTGCTTTTCTCCGTCTAGTGATTGATCGCCAGAGATCTCGTCTCTCAGGCGCAAGCAGTGTCTCTGAGACTTCCTACCTTGCCTGTTTCGAGTGGACTTAACAAGCAGCGTCTTCGGGCAGATCGTCATCCGTCTCCCTCTCTTGACGGTATGTGCGCAAGGCATGGCGGTCATCGCGGGATTGATGGCGTCTTTCGGAGGATTGTGTAGTCTCGTCGTGTCCGACATCATTCTTGTTCGGGCTCTTCTACTTCCACAGACCGTAGGACTCGGTGGTGGCTTTCCACAACTTGATTGTGCCGTCTTCGCTGCCTGTAGCGTAGAGTTTGCCATCAGGGGAGAATGCGCTGGTCCATACGGGACCGTGGTGACCCTTGCGTGTTTCTGTTCTTGCTGTCAGCTTTTGAGCATACATGATAGGCTTCGGGGAATCGCATACCAATCTCAGCGCCAGAGTCGAGATCCCACACCCGTACGAAGGTATCTCTAGCACTTCCAGTGACGAAACGACGCTGGCTTCCACAAACAGCCACACTAGCAATCTCCTGGTCCAACGTCTTGGAGTCGAGCAAAACACCAGGACGAGCACCATCGAAGAAGTAAACACTCTTTCCAGCAGCAACACTCAACGTGCCATTTGCCGATCCGTCCAGAATGCTAGAGTTGAGTTCGCAAGACCCGATCGTGCCCTCGACCTCGTGTGTCGCAATCGCCGAGCGCGATCGCAGGTCCCACCAACGCAACTTCTTGTCGTCGCATGCTGTGGTCAAGATGTTCGAGTTCGCGGCTGACCACACGATGCTCTTGATTGTTTGACCGTGCTCGCCGGCACCGACTTCGTAGCATTCGTCGCCGGAGGAAGCACCGTTTGAGACGCCTGCGCGAGTCAAGTCCCAGATACGCAGCTTCTTCTCCATGCCACCGGTGGCTAGACTGGTAGGGCGGTCCTGCAGGGCAGGAAAAGCAACAGCGCGGACAATGTGGTTGTGCTGCAGAGTGTGCAGTTGCTCGCCGGTAAAGGTGTCCCAGACCTTTGCGCTGAAGTCTGCTGAGCCGGTTGCTGCGAGGGAGCCATCGGCTGAGACACGAGCAGACCAGACTGCACCCTTGTGGCCGACAAAGGTGCCGATCCAGTCGCCGGTCAGGCCGTCACGAAGCATGGGATTGTTGTCTTTACATGCTGAGATGAGGTAGTATTGCGGTTGCGAAGAGGATGCGGAGGCTGGGCTCAGAGCGGAGAAAGAGATGTGGGTAATGGGGCGAGAATGGCCGTGGCAGGTCAGAGGCACTACTTTGCTGGTTTCTAGATGGCTCGGCGGTTAGTTGCTGCGGGAGAGGCAGGACTGGTGCTGGACGCAGTACCTGTAGCCATTGATGCGATTCTGTAGGGTATAAAGTATTGGAAGAAGTGGAGATATCAGACGCGTGATAGCGAGTGTTCAATCGAGGAAGTGAAGTAAGGTAGGTAAGTCAGAAGTAGGCAATTCGAGGCAGTCCTTGTAGAAGATTTGAAACAGCGAGCGGTTTGAAGAAAGGGTATATTAGTCTAATCAAAAGACAGCGTATAGACGATGGAAGCCGGCAGCAACAAGGGATATCAAACGAAGTGAAAGAGGAAAAGACTCAAAGGTGTTTTTGCAAAGGGAGAGGTGGTCAAGGGTGATGATCTTCTTGCTGATGCAGGGCAACTCTGGACCGCGGGGTTGACACGAGTGTTCGAAGTCCAAGAACGTTTTGGTACAGCGAATCAGAAGCACTCGAGACACTACATACCAACTCCATTAACACATCACAAAACCCAATCAAATCATGTTCTGGGCTCTCGGATCCATCTACGGCGCTACCGCCGTCGCCTTTGGTGCTTTTGGTGCTCATGGCCTTAAGAAAAGAGCAGGCATGGATGCTCAGAAGCTGGCTTCATGGAACACGGCTGCCCACTATCAAGTCAGACAACGTTCTTTTCTTGTGACATATCTTTCAGTCAATTACTAACTTATCACAGCTTGTCCACTCTGGCATGATTCTCCTTACAGCTGCCGCTGCTCCCAAGAACAAAGTCGCCGCTGGTCTCTTCGCCGCCGGAATCACATGTTTCAGTGGCTCAATCTATTTGCTCACCCTCGACCCTCAGAGATTCAGAGCTCTTGGTCCAGTCACACCGATAGGAGGTCTCTTCCTCATCGGCGGTTGGGTTGCCCTTGCTGTCGGGTCTAGAGGTCGTATTCTCCCCAAGGCTTCATAGGCCTTGAACCTAGGCTTCATGTCCAAACTTCAAGGCAATGTTAAGCCATGAGGCTTTTTGTATATATATCTCCTCTCTTCAATTGCAATATATCCAACCACATACTGCTTGTCTCTGTAGCTGCAGTCAAATGATAGCCCTGACGTGCAGTAATGCCTTTCGAAGAGCTCTGTCTCACATACGTTCAAATAGATGGTCAGTTTACGATGTCTCGTGTAGGCTTCAGTAGGCTTCTGAAACGTTATGCTACCATCAACTTCTCGTTCGCAACAGGTACCAGTGCAAATTTGGGAATTGTTCTCACCATCAATGTCGGTTTACTGCAAGGGGGAAGACTTTTTGTCTAGATTTCTCTAAAGATGATGAAAAACTGATCGCGCGCGCAAAATCCCTTCGAATTTGCCTATTGCTACATACGAAACTCAAATGCGGCGCGCACGACGCAAAGAGAAATCGCTCGAAATATACACAGAGTCCGACCCGCTTACATGTCCTCGGAGGCGGTGGCACCGGTGATAATCTCGACCAGCTCACCGGTAATGGCAGCCTGTCTGGTACGGTTGTACAGAATCTGGAATCTGTTGATCATGTCACCGGCGTTCTTGGAGGCGTTGTCCATGGCGTTGCGGCGAGCAGACTGCTCACAGGCGTGACCCTCGGCAAGAGCCTGGGTGATGTTAGTAAACTTGTGGTCTCACGAGCATCCGTCAGAAAGGGGGTACGTACCCAGAAGAGGGAGTTGGCCAGAGAGTATTCGCGGAGGTTACCGAGGATTGAGTCGTCAACCTCGAAGGAGGAGATGTTGGCTGACGATGAAGTTAGTCAACTGGCAACATGTTTTGGATGGGTATGTCAAACGCACCAGAAGCCTTGATGGCGTCCTCGGAGAAGGCCTCAACAACGGTGGGCTCGTACTGCTGTGCGTTGAGGAACTTGTTGTAGAGAATCTTGACGCTGGAGTAGTTGCCGGGAAGCTGGGTGATCTGGTCGGCGATGGCGGAAGCATCGGCGAAGGAAGGGACGTCCTTTCCGACGTTGGCGAAGGAGAGGGCCATGTTCTTGGGGTTGGATCTGCCGAGCTGAGCCTTGCACTTCTCACCGAGGACAACAAGCTCGTAGCTCTCGGGGTTGGGGCCGTAGACTCTGCGGACGTAACGAGAAAGACCCGAGTGGATACCACCACAGAGACCCTTGTCGGAGGAGCAGACAACCAGGAGGGTCTTGCCCTCGGCCTCGAGGGGCTTAGTCTCAGCCTCCTCGAAAACCTGCTGGGAAGCCTGACCGTAGGCACGAGACGAGTTCATGGCACGCTGGGCGCGGGTGAGCTTGGTCGAGGCGACAATCTTCATGGTCTTGGTGATCTTCTCGATGTTGCGGATGGACTTGAGACGGCCCTCGATTTCACGGAGAGTAGCGAAGTTGGCGGCATTGGGGGCTTGGGGCCTACAGAGGCACAGCGGATCAGTACAATGACCATAGGTTGCGCTCGTTGGCGCATCGGTGGGCTCAAGGGAAAAGCTGTTTCGGCGTTGGGCTGGGAGGTGGACGGGCGTACCTGAGGGCGGCAACACCAGCCCTGGCGGTGGGACGAGCGGCGCGAGACAGCATTGTCAGGCTATGGGAGCGGAGAGGTAGATGAGGACGAAGTGAGATGGCGACGGCCTTCGGGATTGAACTGCGAGCTCTGCTGTCGTTGTGTCGCCCACACCCGATGTCGACTCTTGGCGTTGCTGCTCAGCGCACAGACTCTTTTCAGATCGCGCTTCGTTCTTGCCTCTCTGAGCCGGGTCCGAGTTCACGTGCCTAGCTTGCACGCAGGAACGAGAGTTCTTTCCTCTCCTTCACTTTTTGTCTAGGTTCCATCTCAAATCCCTTTCTACCCTATCTCTCTCGCCCGCCGTCAGGTCCACCTGTGCCACTCTCTCCATCTCAGTCCGCCAATCCAAACTTTTCAGCGTTTTACTTCCGCGTTTCCGCGTCTCTCTCAGCTCATACTTTTCTTGGAGTACCCACACGCGTCTTTGCTGTGTCCAACCGTCTAGGCTACAGACATTCAGTACTTCGCGTTTCCTAAAGCTTCAGCTCTCCAATCGTTTACCATATACTACCGCTCGCAAACCTTGGCCTTTCATTCCAGCTATGTCGGACTCGGAGGATGATAAGCCTTTGATCAAGGGTGAGTCTATGCAGCTACCCGTCTGAATTGTTTGCCTTGCGATTTCGTCTCTATTGGACTCGCCTCAATTACATCTTAGCTCTCACCTTCAGCTTTGGTCTTGACTTTGAGCAATTCACTTCAACTTTCATCACTTTACGTCATACACTACTCGAAGTCGTTCCTTATTGCTTTTCCTCTGCTTCCCTTATACTTCGTTCCTTCCTCGCGACATAACCATCACAGCTTGACATACTTTCTTCAATCTCTCACCTTCATCTTCTTCATACCACTTACACTTCCACAGCCAGATCCAACGAGCGTGTCAAGATGGATGACACCGATACCAGCATGACTGACTTGAACCCTGGAGTCTCGGTTCGCAACGGCCCCATCGACGACGACATGGATGTTGACGCGCCTACTACCAATGGCAACGGCATCAAGCGCAAGTCATCAATGAATGGCAAGAGTTACAAGGACGCGACTGAATCTGAGGACGAAGACGATGTTCCATTGGTGTGTCGCATCTACATCATCACGATCTTCCTGTTCTAATTCACTTCGCAGACCAAGCGCAGAAGGACATCCAAGAACAAGGCGTCTTCTGACTCGGAAGATGACCAACCTCTTGCTAAGAAGACTGGACGCAAGCCTCCGAAGGTCACCGCACAACAAATTGGCGAAGAAGACGACTCCGACATTCCTCTCACCAAGAAGCTTGCCAAGGAGAAGGCCGTCATCGAGAAGAAAGCAGAAACACAAGCCAAGGCAATTCGCGCAAAGGCCAACAAGACTGCTGTGAAGGCCGAGGACACTGATGAGAGCGACGTTCCACTCAAGAAGAAGGTTGCACCAAAGAAGAAGACCAACGGTGTCAAGAAGGAGGGATCTTCTGACGACGACAAGCCATTGAAGAAGGCTCCCGCCAAGCGTGCAGCAACAAAGTCGCAAAGCGCTACTCCTGCTGCTTCTGCAAAGAAGGGCAAGAAGGCCACAAAGGAGGAAAGTCCAGAGGAGAAGGAAGAGGACGACGAGGAGCAATACCGTTGGTGGGAGGACACTGCCAAGGGTGACGGCACCAAGAAGTGGTCTACTCTGGAACACAACGGTGTTGTCTTTCCTCCCGAGTACGAGCCTCTTCCCAAGAACGTCAAGATGCGCTACGACGGTGTACCAGTCACACTGCACCCTGAGGCTGAGGAAGTGGCCACTTTCTTCGGCGGCATGCTCAACTCCACCCACAACGTTGAGAACCCGACGTTTATCAAAAACTTCTTCGGCGACTTCAAGGAATATCTCGATCGCACCGGGCATGGTACCAACGCCAAGGGAGAAAAGGTTAAGATCCTGAAGTTCGAAAAGTGCGACTTCAAGCCCATCTTTGAGCACTTCGAAGCCGAGCGCGCAAAGAAGAAGGCTATGACTACTGCGGAGAAGAAGGCAGCCAAGGCAGAGAAGGACGAAGCTGAAGCACCATTCATGTTCTGTCTCTGGGATGGTCGCAAGCAGAAGGTTGGTAACTTCCGTGTCGAACCTCCTGGTCTTTTCCGTGGACGTGGCGAGCACCCCAAGACTGGCAAAGTCAAGACTCGCGTCAAGCCTGAGCAAGTCACCATCAACATCGGCGAGGAGGCTACCGTACCCGCACCTCCGGAAGGCCACAAATGGAAGGAGGTTCGTCACGACAATGAAGGTACATGGCTCGCAATGTGGCAGGAAAACGTCAATGGCAACTACAAGTACGTCATGCTGGCAGCAAACTCCGACGTCAAGGGTCAATCGGATTTCAAGAAGTTCGAGAAGGCCAGAGAGTTGAAGAAGCATATCGACAAGATTCGCAAGGACTACCAGCGTGAGCTCAAGGATGAGCTGATGGCCAACCGTCAACGCGCAACTGCTGTCTACCTTATCGATCAATTTGCACTCCGTGCTGGTAACGAGAAGGGTGATGACGAAGCTGATACCGTTGGTTGCTGTTCTCTGAAATTTGAGAACGTCACTCTCAAACCCCCGAACAAGGTCGTTTTCGACTTTTTGGGTAAAGACTCAATTCGCTTTTACGATGAGGTCGATGTCGACCCGCAGGTTTTCAAGAACCTCAAGATCTTCAAGAAGGCGCCCAAGAAAGATGGCGACGAGATCTTCGACCGTCTCACTACCAGTGCATTGAATAAGCATTTGAGCAACTACATGCAAGGCCTGACTGCCAAGGTGTTCCGTACCTACAACGCCTCCTGGACCATGGCAAGACTTCTTCAGGACATGAAGGCAGTCGGAACTCACGCTGAGAAAGTCAAGGCATACAACGACGCCAACCGCAAAGTAGCCATTCTCTGTAATCACAAGCGTACTGTTGCTGCTGGACACGCCGCACAAATGGAGAAGGTGCAAGACAAGATTGACGCTGTCAAGTACCAGCAATACCGTGTCAAGCAGATGATGCTGGCCCTCGACTCCAAGCAGAAGAAGAAGAAGGGTGCTGATTGGTTCGCTCTTCCCGAAGGTCTTGATGAGGAGTGGATGAAGAAGCATCATGAAGATCTGGTTGAGCAGGAGCGTCAGAAGATCACCAAGAAGTTCGAGAAGGACAACGAGAAGTTGAAAGCAGACGGCGAGAAGGAGATGAAGCCCAAGGAGCTTGATGAGCGCCTTGAGGTTGCTACAGAACTTGAGAAGAAGCTCAAGAACGAACTCAAGACGAAGAAGGTCGAGCCTGAAGGCAAGGGACCTTCCGTTGAGAAGTACGAAGGCCAAATTGAGAAGCTTACAGCCAGAATCAACAACATGGAATTGCAAGCCGAGGATAGAGAGAGCAACAAGGAAGTCGCTCTCGGAACTTCCAAGATCGTAAGTTTTTGCTGTTCAATTTGATATACTCTTCTTTTCTAACGTGCCGTACAGAACTACATCGACCCTCGCCTCACTGTCGTCTTCTCGAAGAAGTTCGACGTCCCTATCGAAAAGTTCTTCTCCAAGACCCTGCGCGAGAAGTTCGCCTGGGCCATTGCCTCAGTCGAAGAGGACTGGGAATTTTAAGCTCGCTCTTCGTGGTCCAACAACACAATCCAAATCTATCGACATATTGATACATTCCATCATGTTCACATTGTATCTCCAGCATAGGCTCGGCAGATATTGAAGGGGAAGCGAGAAGCGGATTCTTCAAATCTGCGCTCTGGCTGCCCAACGCCTCGATCACAACAGAGCCACACCAACTCTGTGGAGCAGCATGGACACATTGAGCCTCTGGTCACTACTATTATGGCCTTCCAAGATGGCAGTGGCCGTTTCCGAGCAAGATCATGCCACAGAAAGGTATTTTGCCGTCTTGCGATGCGACAATGCTGCTATGGCAACCGTGATTCATTCTTATTCAGTCCTGACCTTGCTGCAATTCAGTTTAGCACACAAGAATAAAGCTGAGCTTGATTACCCATTCTTTTGTTTCTCCTCTCCATCGATTTCCTTTTCTTGCTGTTGATCATTCGTGATGGTGTCAATCATAGTTGTGTAAGTCTCGATGCTGTCTAATATTGTGATATTTGCTCGCCTCTAGATTCTATTTGAAGGTAAATCCCACTTGGCCGTTCACGGCAACAGATTACTGTTGTTGCTCTAGCTGCGCTTCGAGGTTTTCGGGCTTCAAATGGCATCGTCTGGTATGAAGAAGCTGGCCAGAGCACAATGGAGAGTTTGACAGCCAGACACTGGGAAGCAAATGATGACTGATCACAAGAGTCACTCATCTCTTTGGTATTCATTAGACATGCTTTTCATATAAACCACACAGAATCACCATGCATCTGCTTTCCTTCTACTCCAGATACTCGACTGTTACTTTCCAAGAGTGGTTTGACTCGTAAAACAGTGCATCTTGTTTATTCAAGATCGAAGCACTGCACAAACGTCAGGATACAATCAGTATATCTACAGCAACAGCGACTTCTGGGTTTCTAATTCAAAGTGGCTGGCTACTGGCTAAACTGTGGCTCTCAAGGTAATGTAATATCTAATCTACAGGATGAAGAGCTTAGATGAGCGATCTCATCAGTGGTCGGGAAAATATATTGAGCATGGCGTTCAGCCACGAAGCGGCCTCCAAAACCTGTTCAGTCAGATGAAGGGGGTTCTTCATGGGTTGAACAACTAAAGTGCGATCAGTATCTCGAGAGCCAACATGGAGCGTGAGCGTGTGTGTATGCGGCCAAAAGAACACGATACTTGGTCAAAAGGCTGGAAATCATTGGACGATGGGGGGTGTGGTTGGCAAATACTATTGTCCATCCATACCTGAAACTTAAGATACGCATACGAATACAGAATGAAGTGTCTTGAGCTAGATCCGAGATTCTGCTTGTTCTCTATGGACTGGGAAAGCAAACAGCGATAGATGCGAATATGGTAAGATGATTGATGTCTGAGCATAATTGATGATACAAATATTGAAGCCAAAAACTTGGGATAGATGCTAAAACGCCGGGTATGTGTGTGTAGATGCTGCCTTGGATTTCTGTCTCAGAGTGTGTCTGGTGAGCAAAGATATGGTGATCCTGGGGGTTTAGTGTTGGTGATGATGACATCTAAGGCCACCACTTCATGCGTTTATAGCTGTCGATTACGGCTTCGACTTCCTGTTTTGTCAACTTCTCGTGGGTGTATCTGGGGGGAGTATTAGCATGTGGAATTTCTAGGGAGGTGCAACGGAGATTGGCTTACTTGAACCCAACTGTTTGTTCGAACTTTGCTCCATCGAGACAGAGATCGGCTTCGCGCAGTAGCTCCTTCTCCATGAAAGGACTCAAGGGTCCAGTACCAGCGTCAATACCGGCTTTTTGTTGTAGCTCAGCCCAAGGATCAAGGGTCTCATCGTTCACATCATCTACGACGTGCTCGAGATTGAGGCGAGCAAAGGTGTTGATGAGGACGTTTTGGAAACCAGTCTCAATACCGAAAAGGGCCTTGGTGATCTCAGCCATGGTGCCTTGGCTTGTGTCGCCCTTGTCGACGATGTTGAAGACCGAGGCAGAAGACAAGGGGCCCTTCTTGGGTGTAGGAGAGGTGGGCGTAGGAGGAGCGCTGTCGGCAGCGGCACCAGTCTGTGCTTGGTTGGCTCGCCAGTCTGCAGCTGTCCAGCAGGCACGAACGACGTCGTCAACGTGAACGGTGTGTGTACGCAACTCAGGGCCCCATAACCATTTCAACTCTTTCTCAATGCCTTGGTATACACGAGCGAGGGCCAATTGAGTTCCCATCCATTGACCGGAATATGGGCCGTAGACATTGGGCAGTCTGAGGACAACGAGTGGCAGGTTTGGGATCTTGCTTAAGTCTTCTTCGGCTTGTAACTTCCATTTTGCTTGCTTGAGCGAGGGCTTGAGTTTGTCGGTTTCCTTGCGCGGCGGATCGCGTTTGCTGTCGTAGACAGTGCCTGTCGAGAGCTCAATGTACGCCTTGACGCCGCGACGGGCAGCTTCTTGGGCAACGTTGAGCGATAACTCGTAGGATCGTAGCTTGTAGACCTCGTCGTCCTGGGAATGACGCGTCTCGCCGCCGCAGTTGAAGACGTAGTCGAAGCGCTGGCCGTCGGGCAGGTCGAAGACGCGGCTCAACGATGGCGGTCGCGAGGCATCAGCCTGCATGAAGTTCTCGCTGCATGCGTCTTTGTGCTCGGGAGCCAGCGAAGCCAGCTGAGGCAGTTGCTTGTCCACTATCCGGAGTGTCGACGCAAGTGAGTTGGTATGGATGTGGTTGGTGAGGAAGCGTCCAATGTAGCCTGTCACGACCAAAGACGTTAGTAAGATGGCCAACCCTATCAATCTTATCGAGCACCTTACCAAGGCCTCCAATGATTAGGACATTTGGTTTGGTGGCGGCCGTCGACCCCGCCGTGTCACCCATCGGAGTCGCTAAAGGGGGTTTGAGGGGTCCGAGATGCGGCCAGCAAATACAAGTACGACACAAGCAATTGGATGGAAAGTCGCGAGTGTTTCAACAATCCAATTGAGGCTCAAAATCAGACTATTGGGCGAGAGGTGGCCGCTACAACTGGTTCCAACGGTCCGGTAGAGTTTGGTGATGGAAGGATGGAAGAAGAAAAAAAGAGATCAATCGTGGAGGTGAGAAATGCTATCTGATCGCTACACATTGTTCCTCCTCGAAAGGGCCCGGCCAACCGACCGACCACAGGCCACCATGTGGATACACCCTTAAAGGCTCAATCACCTTCATCAAAGTCCTTGGAAGAATTCGACTTCTGCCACCACGCAATTGCCGGAGAATCTTGACCTCTTTGCTAGAGACATGCAATGTGGGAGAGAACTCTACATTAACAACATTGTACTGATCCACCGTCCAACCCCGTCAGCTCCTATGTGTCCTCTCTTCTCGGACCTGGCGTCCTTTCATAATCTTATAGTAGCCTCAGCTCCTCAAGCTGAGGCACGCTCGGGCCCGAGACGATTCAGTTTTTGGTTTGCGGGTAATCTGCTACCGAACCAGATATTGTGATCTTCCACCAAGATTGACTTTGTCTCGCTCTGCTCTTGTACTTCCTTGACTCGGTAACGATCGCCGACGGCCAGCTGTTCTTACCTACTGCTTCGGCTCTATGCGGCTCTGCCAGATTTCTAGAAAAAGGAGCAACATGGTACTCGTAGTTGTGCTCTGTTCTGGTTATGCGGTAGACCAATTCTACTTGGCCATCGCAAAGCATAGTCATCTCGAAGTGAAAACCCGGCATTGAAAGTTTGAAACCAATGTCTTCTCAGATTTCTAGTGTTGACTGAGGAGATTTGCGTTCAGTGTATTGGGTGATACTTAGCATCATGAAGTCTCAAAGAGGTGTGATTTGGTCTTTAGAATTGTATGTTCATAGCCAGGTGATTCCTGGCTGGGTTGATGTATTTAAAGCTAAAGCTAAAGCTATGTAGGTGTTTCCAAGCAAAGGTGTATACAGCAAAGCGATATGGAAGCTTCCACAGATGTTTACGAGGCCCATCCCTAAGATCAGGCCGCATTCTCTCTTTTGATACCCGTAAGCTTGTTTACTGTATGAGCTCTTTGCAAGACAGACAGTGTACTGGCTCCTTGGCCTCATCACCGGTCTTCTTGTTAGTCACTAGCATCTCAGGGGCTGCAGATTCAGGTACCACCAATTCTGCCTTGGTGTTCTCGTCTTCCTCACAGACGCCGTTATCGTCTGCGACGGTTTTGGTACCGCTCGTTTTGCCGACAGATTTCCGTGCTTGTTTTCTGCCTTTCGTTCCTGGTTCGGCCTTGATTCCCTGTTCTTGTTGTTTACGTTGAACAACATCTTTGGCTAGACAGGAGGCGTGGAGCCAGATCCCACAAGCTTGGTTGCTACACTTGACGATGAGATGATCCGGATTGTGTGGTTGTTTGCATTCACATATCAGGCGCAGTGGCTTCAGAAGAAAGTTAGTACACTCGTAGTGTGAACCACATATGTTACTTACCGATAAGACCTTCGTGTCGTAATTGTACGTCTGTCTCCAGAAATACTCGCCGGGACCTGGCATCTCTGCATCATCATTTGACTCGTCCCAATGTACCACCTTCAATGGTCCGTTCACGGTCAATGCATCAATAACGTCCATCTTGTTGCCAGGTACGAGTTCGAAGCGACCATGATATGGTGGCATGGTGCGCGCTTCCTTGGGTAGCTCCTCAGGATTCTCCAGCCATGTGCACCGAAGAAAGACATGGTGTTCGTCAGCAGCTCGAACCTGTGGTGGTGTCCGCATTAGGAAAGTGCTACAACAATATTCAAGTGACTTACTTCGTGGACTTGAGCCTTCCAATCCGGACCAGAGTCGTTACCCGGCTTTACTAGCACGCAATCTCCACAAGAATGAGTCTGGTTTCCTACTGTGCTAGGCAGGGTCAGTTCAGAACCCGTGAATTTTTCGACATGAAGCATACAATTTCTTGTACTTGGTCATTTGGGACCATTTTTCCATCGGCTTGACGGCCCAGCGAGCCTCCAAATAGATCCTGTCACCCAGGATCAGGGGTTTTTCAGTGCTATCTGATGACTTCTTTGCGCCATGGCCTTTAGCGGGGACGACGACATTGAAGATGGGACCATCCTTCTTGTCTGCCTGGTCCAACCAATGCACGAGCTTCTCCTTCTCCTTTTCTGTCATGCGAGGTTGAGCTGGAGATTGTGACTCCGATGATATGTTGTCTGTTAATTTTCTTCGCTTGACCGAAGAGGGCTCGCTGAGCGTGGAGTCGCGTTTCCGAGGCATGCTGATCTGACAGGCGTCTAGCGATGCTTGCGCATAACACAGGTATGAAGGCTGTCACTAGTAAAGGGTATAGAACAGAATAATGCGACAAATAATAACAATGCGATTGTCGCGTGCGCGAAAGAAGACGCGCTCGGCGTTAAGCGCGTCATCGGAAGGCTCAGGAATACCTACCTATCGAGATTGGTTTTTCACACTCAGGATTGGAAGGCGCGATGCGTGCTCCGAATTGCCTTCCATGCATCTTCAACCTTTTCAACCAGTGTGTAATTTCGTATGGCTTTCTAGGGATACGCAAGACACGTATCTCTCTGCTTGCGGCTCCTTCGAGACTGCCAGCTCGATTTGTCCATCGAAGTGAACAGATCGCCGTCAAAGGACGGCCAAGGAGTGAGCATCAGGGCATCGGACATGCTAGTGTGCACATCCCGCCTATGCTTATTTCACAATGGTCAATAACAACAACAACGTATTTATCTCCATCCAAGACCTTTCGATAGTCGGTGGATAAGAGATTTGTCTACAATTTAACCCTGCCTCATGCCTTGCATCTCGTTTGCGACCGATGATTAGCCCCCTATTTGCGAGCATCGATGTCTGAGCAGTCGCCCTCCAAAAACAATCGATTCCACAACAGCCGCGAGGCCCTCATAAGAGTGGCTGCGTTATTGGGCCAAGGGAACGGATCGGGGTTGTAGCTGTTTCCGAGCTTTCCAAGGCCCGTTTTAGCTCATCAGCTGCAGGTCAAGACGGGCGCAGCTGGACGCATGTGCTGGGCTGGCAAGCAAGCAAGCAAGATTGGATGGGTCCGCGGCATCATGGATCATGCTGAGTGTCATTCGTGCCGCCCTTTGACTTCTGAGGGCGTCTAGTGAGCCACCGATCAGAGAGCGAGTCGGAAGTTGGGGGATCTGCTTTGGAAGCCACGTCAAATTCAAAGTCCGCTTCCTTCTCCACGACTTTTTGTTGCGTCTGCGTCGTCATCGAACGGTTTGATCCAGTGGATGCTGCCAAGGCGTGGAATATAGGAACTAGCAAGATCCAAACATCCACCTTCTACCCACCTCTGCCCTGTTGTCATTCTCTCCAGATTTCTTGTCAAGACCAGTCGTTTCCCAGCCCAGCTTAGACACTCTCTGCCATTTCCGCAAGACCAGGTTCGACCTGACAAGTACCACTCGTTGTGTCGCATGCGCGGATCCGCCTGCAGCCGGTATCCGTCCTAAAAGTCCCAGTCCCTTGCAGGCCCCCATCAACTTCTGGTGTCACTGAACAGTAGCCGACTGCATTCCAAGCCTGCCTTACACAATGCCTCGCTCCCGAGTAATGTCGTTCATGTCCCAATGGGGCGCTCCTTCGAGGAGTTTCACACCAGAGCCCAAGCCTCAGATGTCAGAGGACCCTTTCAACAGCAACCCTGCCAGACCACCAAAGATTGATACCTCCTTTGCCTCTGCTACGAACAAGGTCGTCGATGCGTCGAACTCGCCTTCGCCGAGCACCCAGCAGCGTTTCCGCTCAGATTCTCGTTCGGAACGCACGTCACGACCCATGTCCATGGTCTACACCTACCAGCCGCCCATCATGGATCTCGCTCAAGACACGCTGCCAGAACTCCAGCCAATCTTTACTTTTCTCAACAGCCATTCCAACAAGCTGTATCAAGAGGGCTATTTCCTGAAGTTGCACGACTTAGACTCCCGTAAGTAGTCTCAACGAAAACTGCTTGTCAGCAATCAACTGACTTTCTTACAGGAGGACGCCCAAGCGTGGACAGAGCATGGACAGAGTGCTTCGCTCAGCTGGTCGGCACAGTACTCTCGTTATGGGATGCTGCTGCACTGGATGCTGCCGGTGAAGATGGCGAGGTCCTGCCCACATTCATCAACGTCAGCGATGCATCGATTAAGATGGCAAGCAAAAATCACGACTTGTTCAAGCAACATTAGTGACTAACACTCTAACAGATCGAATCACTCCCAATGAACGGATCTGCAGGAGGTCAACTCCAAAACGTCTTAAGCATCTCCACCGCAGCAAACAACCGCTACCTCCTCCATTTCAATTCCCTCAACTCCCTCACACAGTGGACCGCTGGCTTCAGACTTGCCATGTATGAGCACGCAACATTACAAGAAGCTTACACTGGCTCCCTTATTGCTGGAAAGGGCAAGATGCTGAACAATATCCGCACAATCATGGAAAGAAGCAAGTTCAGAACAGAAGACTGGGCTCGTGTCCGCTTCGGAGCAGGCACACCTTGGAGACGCTGCTGGTGTATCATCTCGCCTCCAGATGAGAAGGAGTGGGCGAAGTATCAAAAGGCGCTGAAGAAGCGTGACACATACGACCGCAAGGTTGAGGTACCCAAGGGCGACATCAAGTTCTACGAGACCAAACGGGTCACAAAGAAGACACGACCCATTGCTACCATCAAGGACGCATTCGCTGCATACGCCATTTACCCTCAGTCGAAGCCACTCATCGACCAATCTACGCTTATCAAACTCGAAGGCCAAATCACTATTCACGGCGCAAAAGACACAACAGCCGAAGGCTTCCTCTTTGTCATGCCGGAGGTGCATCCAGCAGTCAGTGGGTTCGAGATGATGCTTCGTTGGTTGTTCCCTGTGTGGGATGTTTTCGCTCTTTACGGCCGCCCCAATCGTCTGATTGCCGACTCTCTTGACCAGCGCGGTTTGATGTTTGCCATGCCTCGCGATCGAAGATATGGTTATTTGGATATCTTAGACGTATCTGGCTTGATCCACACCAAGGGCAGTCAAACATGGTCCGAACAAGACTGGAGACGAGAGATGAAGAAGTTGACATCGCATCGCATGAACGCTGCCGACGACACACCCCCACAGGCAAGAGGAAGACGCAACACGCTGGGCCTGGCAAGCAGGACAAGCCTCAATCACGGAACGGTCCGCTTTGGCAATGACAGCTCCGAGAATTCGTCGCCATCACCGGGCAGAGGGTCTCCGGGACCTGGAGAAGGTTCGATCCAATTTGCTCCTCCGCGCCGGGTTGAAACGACGCCCATGACTATGGGTAGCCCGGGTCGCGGGCACAATCGTTCAGCCTCGGACGCGCTCGGATACAAGCGGTTTCAGACAGAGAACCGTTCGCGTCTCTCTTACGAGGCGACCAGCATGCACGACATGGCGCCCGAGCCACCTGCTCACGGCGGGACTTTGTCCGAGAAGAAGATTCCCACAGTGCTCGAGCGAGTGCCTTCAGAAGAGACGCCGTACACGTACGAACAAGAAGGACGTCTTGAGCCGGCCTTTGAGGAGCTAAAAATACGCTCTGGCTCCCCTCCAACGGTCCCTGTGGCGTCGCCCCCGAAACTCATGCACGGGCCCAACGCTAGGCCCACTAACCTCAACCTGACACCTGAATTACGAAGGGCCAACTCGGCCATGGATGCGGCGACGCTGCAACAGCTCGCAGAGGCCACCGGTGCCACGCCATACAACGAAAAGGAGCAATTCGACTTTGCCAATGCACGAGAGGTAGCTAGTGTCACCAACAGGACTCAAAGATCGCTCGCTGACCCCTCGTTCCGCAATGAAGAGGTAAACCTCGCTCCAGGAACAATACATCAAGCTGCCCACCGCCTACCCCCCATCCCTGCATCTCCGTACAACCGTCCTGCACAACCCGCTGCAGCTGCAGCTCCCGCCATGTATAGACAAGACGCACCTCCTCCTGTGCCGCAACACACCAACCATCCATCAGCTGTTCCCGCACGAAGCCTTGCAAGTCCACCTCCATTAGCTATGGCTGCATCAATCAGCAGAAAGCCTGTCCCGAACGGTAATCAAGCTCCTGGATACACAAGTCCTCCTCCTCCTCAGAGCCCTACTCTCTCTCGAACATCAAGCAATGCGAGTCTACAGAATGAGCTCATGCAGCAAGCTATGCTTGAGCAGATGCTTCAGCAATCACCAGAGACACTCAACAGGGTCGTGAGTCCTCCTGTCAGTATTCCTGACGATGACTCGGTCGATTATTCGAGCGTCAAGAGCATGTCACCGCCAAAGAGGAAGCCGCTTGAAAGGAGCCGGACGGGTCGCCTCAAGACTGTTGGCAATCCCGAATACGAGCCTCAGACACGAAGCCGCTTTGACGCCGAATCCGGGCTGCCCATCAATTTCGGCCCTACATTGACCTACAAGCCGAACGCTCGACCCTCTACAGGTGGTAGCATGCCCGCTGTCGAAAACCAAGAAGACCCCGACCTGCTTCAACGTCCTTCCTCACGCCTCACACAAATGGACAGTAAGAGAAACTCCCTCCTCGACTCTCGTAGAACACCGAACGACGACATGAATCAGGACAAGCGTAGGAGCGTTGCCTGGCAACCAGCAGCTGCTCCTGGCGAGTCTATCGATCAAGGTCTCACCGCTGAACAATGGGTTCAATACCGTGCCTCTCTCGCTGCCGCTCCATTGACCCAGTCGCGAGCCACTCCAGTCTTTGGGCACGCTAGAGACCACTCAAACGTCAACCGTACCTCCAAGACGCCACCGTTCAGTCGTCCGGCATCTGGTCTTAGCCGTACAATGTCTGGAGATTGGACACAGCAGCTCAACCGCATGTCGCTCAACCGCACGCCCTCCGGTGATTGGGGCCAGCATGCAAGCCGCATGTCCCTCAGCAAGACCCCACCACCTCTCAGTAGAACTCCTTCTGGAGATTGGAGCAAGCAGGTTCCGTCTCGTCCACACTCTCGCAACGCCGGTGCTTTCTTGAATCCTCCTAGTCCTGGGAGAACTTTGCAGCTTCAAGGCTCGTCGCTGTCAGCTCACGAGCAGATGCAGGTTGCTCGCATGACAGGTACCTCGATGATCAATCTGAGTGATAGAGATAAGCGTAAGGACCTCAACGAATTGGACGCTCCAGGCTTGGTTGGTGCTATGGCAGTTCGTGAACGCCAGCGAAACATTAAAAGAGAAGGTCTTCGAAACAACGCAGTGCAGCAAGCGATTGCGGCACGTCAGCAACAACAATTGCAAAATGAATTCGATGCTCAAATGAGAGCACAGGTCGAGGCTCAGGAGTATGCTCAGCAGCAGGCCGAGCTTCATGCTCAACACATAGCCCACCAGCAAGCACAGCACTACGCACAACAATACGCTCAGCAACAGGCTCAACAGGCTCAGTTACAGCAGCAAATGGCTCATCAGCAAGCACAGCAATATCAGATGCAATTGCAAATGCAGCAGCAGCAGCAGCAAGCCAACTACCCGTATGCAAGTGGGCCAGGCACAGCTCAACAACGATCCTCGCAGTATTTGGGACACATGAGTCAGCATGGAGGATGGAGCAATGCAGGCTCGCCTCAGCCTCAACCAGGTTATGCGCAGTCATACTTTGGCCAAGGTGACGGACAGCATAGACAACAGCGAAGATATTAGCATCAAATTTAAGGTATAGCATGGAAGGTTAGTCAGGTGTGTCGGTTCATTGATTAGGAATAGCATAGTTAGTGGAGTTTTGTACATGTTCATGAAAAGTCCTCGAAATTACTTTGAATGTTAAATGTCGGTCCCCCGTCTGAAAGGATCATTGTGTCTGCTTTGTGTGTTGGAAATTGGAAGTTAAAGCAAGTGGTTGCCAGCCTGCGACTTTGGTGGAACTGCATCACAATAGTCGATACTGGAAAGACACATCCACACATCATTTCGGATCATCCAACATTCCTTTGCATCATGGAAGTGGCTTGTTGTAAGACTTTTACCGTTCAATAGCCCACTTTGCGTAAACTGACCGCGATGAGTAGCGACGAAGAAGATGCAGATATCACAGACAGGGTGAGACCAACAGCAGCCGACATGGTCTGTGCAAAAGACATCTCCGCATTCTAAATTTTAGAGTTGCTTCTCACAAGGCTTTTCACATCGTTGATCTCTTCACAGTGTGTCGACGCACGCGACATGACCAAAGATCCCAATCATTCTCTATTAGTAATAGAATCCTAGTCCATTTCGCCCCGTGGAAGCAACATGGTCTCTCTTGTACAGGCGCCGAGTATGCCGCCCACCCTTCCGCAAAAGAGTCTGAAAAGAGACGCCTCGCATCTGTCGTCACCAGCACCAGAGTCCAGCCAGAGCAAGAAACTGCGAGTGGCCTTTGACGACCGGGTCGACGTCCGAATCATGGACGACTGGACGGCCAAGCCGTTGGACCTGGTCAAGGACGAAGTGAGAAGCGCGCTCGAAGGCCATCTCAGGCCTGCCGCCGACAAGGACGATGGCGCATATGAACAGCTTAGAATGGTCTTTATCAGCGCTGCGCCTTCGCGATCCCACGACAACGGCGCCGTCTCGTCCTACACCGAAGCACCCAGCACTGCACTGCTCAAGAAGTACCTGGTAGCTCTGAGTGGTCGTGTGAGCGATCTCAAGGCATGCGGCAAGCTGGTCCACGCCGTCCTGGATGTAAACTGGCTCGGCAGGGACGATGCTTTTGTAGCTCTCTATGTACGCTTCCTGGGAACTTTGGGAAGCGCTGTCCCCGGCTTTCTCAGAACAGTGCTCGACCGCATTGTGGGACACTTTGTCGAGGGTAAGCTTGCTTGCCTCTTGCTATCGTGTGCCCGTTTGCTGACACACTCTCAGTTTCATCATCCTTGGGTCGCATCCCTAACGAGCCTTATGTCCCTCGACAGCAGATGGTTGCTCGCCTCCATAACGCTCTTCGATACCTGCTACGCCTGATTCCGTCTGCCAACAGCGCCCTCGCCGAGTCCCTCCGCGGCCAGTTCCCGAATCACCGAACCGCTAGCCGTCAAGGCTACATTGCCTTCGTCAAGAACTCTCTCAAGACCATCGAGTATGCCCCTGAGCTCAAGGCTGAAATCCAAACCCTCATTACTGAACGCCTGGTCAAAATCGATGTCGAAGTACAGGAAGAGCTGGACGATCTGGAAGACGAGGTCGATGAACACCGTGTACTTGGCCTCTCTGGCCTGTCAGAAGCAAAAGAGGATGCCGACGACTCAGATGATGACAGTGATGCCGACTCAGACTCGTCGAGCGAGATCAGCATGACACCTGAAGAGAACCACCTCCGTGCTCTACGAGACACTGTCGCTAAGCTCGACTCTGTCCTAGATCTCTTGTTCTCCCACTACACACCCACGTTTGCCAGCGGAAAGATGTACGAGGTCAATGATGCCTTTGAACACCTCATCTCGCAGTTCTCTACCTTCGTTCTGCCTACATATCGCTCGCGCCATACACAATTCCTCGTGTTTCACTTCGCTCAGATGTCTCAGGCTTACGCAGAACGTTTCGCCGGTGTTTTGCTTCGCCTTGCTACTGGCCGCAGCTCTGCCTCGAATGGTTCCCTGTCTGCTGCTGCATATTTGGCTAGCTTCATAGCCCGCGGCGCTCGCGTGAACAAGACCCTCATTCGGTCAATCTTTACGAGACTTGGCAATCATCTCGATACATTGCGTCGTAATTACGAGTCTGCCTGCCAAGGCCCCAACCTCAGCCGCTACGGAACGTTCTACGCAATTGCTCAGGCTATGCTCTATATCTTCTGCTTCAGGTGGCGAGACTTCATTATGACCCCCGACGATGCAGACGTCGAAGATTACGATATCTTCGAGGAGGGTGAACCCGAGTGGCTTCCTGGTATCAAGGAGTGTTTGACCCAGGCCATTTACTCCAAGCTCAACCCTCTCAAGGTTTGCGCACCTGCCATTGTCCACCAGTTCGGAGCCATCGCCAACCACCTGCGATTTATGTATGTCATCCCTCTGTTGGAGACCAACAAGCGTCTGCGCCTATCCTCATTCCGTTCTTTGGCTGCACCAGCTAGCAGAGATATGGGTGCTGCAAGAAGAGAGAACACCCTCAGTCACCAGAGTGGTGAGGCTCACCATCAACTCGATGCCTTTTTCCCCTTCGATCCTTATCAGTTGCCCAAGAGCAAAAAGTGGCTGGAAGGCGATTACAGGGTGTGGAAGGGAGTGCCTGGCATGCAAGACGATGACGACGACGAAGAGGACGACAGTAGCGACGATGAAGATGAGGAAGAAGACGAATTCGGGGACATCGGCGATGATCCGGAGTACGAGAGCGAATGATCTGACTACATCATGTGGTCGGCATAGAGCTTGATGGCATGACATGATTGATTTAGCGTGGAGTTCTGGGTTTGGCATATGCATGTTGCTTTGTTATGCATGTGCTGGTCGTTGTTTTCGGCGCATTTTCAGCGTGGGTGGTCTACAAGGAGTTCTCGGCCGAGTTCAAATTCCTTCAAAAGCGCGAGATAGCACATGGACGTATTCTTGAGATCGAATGACAATACAACTTATTTTTAAGCAATTTGTATCTCAACTCATATACCGTAAATCGAACGTAAATCCTGTCCCCAACGCCTTCCACATCCTGTCTGTATTGTGTTGCTCGTTATCCATGTTTGATGGCCATATCGTCGCTTCGTCATGTTTTCCCTCTATACCGAAGTCTGTCACGCGGATAGGCGTAAAAAAGCGCGATTATTCTCGATCAGGTGGCCTTCCAGTGAGAGTGCGTCGCAGCTGTCTCCGGAGACGACCACCTCGTTCTTAAAGGTATCGTGCATCTCTACAGTCCAAGAACCTCATGTCTGCTCGAGCGGGAAGAGCGAACGTGACAGCCTTTGAGCATAGGGAAGGAAGATGTAGTGTGATGGTTTTCTTCTACAAGCCCAGAGGATTGTTTGCGGTGCCCTTGCCAGCATTGCGTTGTCCGCTACCGGGAGGCAGTTTTCCGCCAGGCATCAAAGTCTTGCTGGATCCGACGCCGCTCAAGCCGAGAGGGTTTCCACCAGTAGGGACGCGAGGCCCTCCAGCACGAGCGGCATCCTTGATGTTGTTGCCATAGCCAGCAACGCCCTGGCCCCAGTATCGAGTGGTGTTGGTGATGCTGCAGACATGTCAATATAAGCCCGTGACATGGTTCAACAGACATTGTTGGGTTCTTACCTGTTGCCAATTCCACTACCAACATTGTTGACACCGCTGCCTACGCCATAGACAATGTTGCCAGCCACCTTGCCGGCGCCTGCGACATAACCTTGGACTTGCTTGCTAAGCCAGTTGTCACCCATTTTGTTGTGATGTGTGATTTTGTTTAGAGTGTGTGGAGGTGATAGTTGGGGAATGTCTTGAAGCTAAGAAGACGACAAACCAGGTTTTACACGACGGCCCAGGGATATATATGTAGAGACGGCTGGGATAGATTCTAGAATCGTCAGACCAAGGTTCGTGTTTTGCTCCGCAAGTGGCTGACGGGGTATACGTCATAAGATCTGATAAGCACATCTTATCTTAGTGCCATTCATGCCACGCTAGCGTCTCGGCTCTGGAGGCCGCTCGCCGATGGATCGTCCACTCTTTCGACAGGGCTCATCTTCAATCACATTCAGCGCGTGTTCAACCCCATTCGAAGGCCAAAACATTATCAGATACCACACTGGAGCCGGAAGACCAGACCATCGTCTATACGCAAGAATAACCAGCGATCTGTCCTACTTGGCACAGAAAGGAGTACCACGTGGGAGGCGGAATATGTATTCTGGCGCATCCGCATCGACCTGAAATATTATCAAAAACAAACTGGAACAGGAGAATACCGCCAAAAAGGACGATCTCTGGACGGTAAGATCGTGGGAGATTGAAGTTGGGCCAGAAGTGCACATCTAGCACTTTCTCGGGCAATAGCGCACTGTCTGGCCCTCTACCGAAACAACCCAGCGATCTCAGGGGCTGGACCTAGAAACGTCTGGATATGAACTCGAATCATCTGGATCCATTTTCCGCGGTCGGCGCTGGTACCAAACACAAACAGATCCAAGATGCCAAGGATATGTACCAGGTGGTCGTGGACCGCGCCGCCAGAACAAATACCGCTGTTCCCGACTATGAGTTCATTGAACTCATCGGAAAGGGTTCTTTCGGAAGAGTTTACAAATGGTTAGTCTCGTGCTGTGTCAAAGGTCTGTGGGATTGGCTAACATATATCAGTAAAAACAATGCTACACAGGATCTGGTGGCCGTGAAAATCATCGATGTTGACGATCTGGACTACAAACTCGATCTCGACCAAAAGGATGAAGCCATTGAGGATTTCAGAAAGGAAGTGAAGACGCTAAAACTCCTAAGAGACAGCCAGGCCAAGAACATCAATTACATTCAAGAGGCCTTTGATCTACATTCTCAACTTTGGATCGTCAGCGATTACTGTCCCGGTGGTAGCGTTCATACTCTCATGAAAGCCACTCCTGGTCCTGGCCTTGAGGAAGACTACATTATTCCGATTGCGCGAGAACTTGCAGTGGCGCTCAAATATGTACACGATGCTGGTGTCATCCACAGAGACGTCAAGTGTATGTGTTGTCGGCCATCTTGTCTTTGTGGTATACTAACATCTTTCAGGCGGCAACGTCCTCATTTCAGAGGATGGCCAGGTCCAACTCTGCGATTTCGGCGTGGCAGCTATCATCGAAACAGAGGCTTCGAAACGATCCACTATCATCGGAACGCCGTTCTGGATGCCTCCAGAGATGCACTCTATGGATATGGCGGTCCAACAAGGCTATGGCACTGAGGTCGATTGTTGGGCTTATGGCTGCACCGTCTACGAAATGGCCACAGGAATGCCTCCAAACCACAAGTTCCATCCCTCCATGTTGAGGACGGTGCTGAAAGCTGCACCGCGGTTACAAGAGGGCGACTACTCGCAAGGCCTAAGAGACTTCATCGCGTTCTGTCTTGAGGAAAAGCCTCAGAATCGACCCACCATGAACGCCATCCTGGAGCACCCATACATCTCAGGCACATCAGATCAGCATCCTACTGAGACAGTCAGACAGATGATCGATCGATACTTCCAATGGGAAAGAAGAGGTGGTCAGAGAGCCTCATTATTCAACCCGATGGGCGCTGCGGCCCCTCAACCTTCTGAACAACGCGATGACTACGACGACTGGAACTTCTCTACCTCTGCAGACTTTGAGAATGATTTCGTCAAGCGATACAGCCAACTTGGCATTGCAGAAACCGATTTTGCAGCCACCAATAATGGCATCGAAGAGGTGGTGCCTGCTCTCAACAACGTCACGAAACCTCACCCCAGAAACCCATTCCACGAGGCTCAAGAAGAGGCTAGGGCCAAGCGAGGAGAGCGCTCAATGGGTCGACTTTTCAATACAAATGCGGACCCTTACGACTACAACACACTCATGGAGGATGAAGAACTACCAATGTCAGATCTTCCGCTCCGCAACCTGTCCAGCGATCGAGCGGCCAACAGAGAGACCCTGATCGACTTGGACATGGGCGCTGCGGGATTAGACGTTCAACCGACTTTCAACTTTGATTTTAGCGACGTACCTACGCTTAAGGCAGCGAGGCCGAACCGCATGTCAACACTGATGGCCGACGATGACGATGATCAGAATGACTTCTACGACGGACAAGATCAAGATGCACGACGAGCAACTAAGGATTGGCAGTTTCCTCTGCAAAATATGCCAGCGGACAACCCCAGCCGTCGCACGCAAGACTGGACTTTTGCCATGGCACAGCCACCTGCAGCTGACCGCAAAACCAAAGATTGGTCGTTCGCTACTGCCCAGCCAGCAGCTGATCGCAAGACAGCAGACTGGTCGTTCGTCACAGCTGGGCCAGCTGCCGATCGAAGGACCCAAGACTGGACATTTGCAGAGGTAGCGGAGCCTCTGACCGCGGAGCCAGACCGTCGAACAGCAGATTGGACATTCGCAACAGCAGAACCAGCCATGTCAGGTGAACCAGACGCTGAGCCGGACTTCTCTTTCCCTCCGATGAAAGACGAGACAGACATTGCACCCGGCTTCAGACCTCACCTGACACGTACAGCCACGGAACCAATTGGGCAATTCAACGACTTTCTACATCCCCCTGTTGGCTCGGCAGTGAAAGATGATTTCGACATAGCAAGTGTGCGCGAATCGAAACCAATCATCGACCTTGATCTAGGAATGACTTTCGAACCTAAGTTCGATCTAGAGAGTGCCATCTCTCATCAGTCACAACCAAGTATAACAGCATCGTCCCCCGTCATCAGTGCGGCAGGATCTACCGAAACGTCACGTAACCCATTCTTTCTGGATGAGGTCGAACCACCCAGTGGCGATGAAGTTAAGCGCTCATCGCATCGTCAGTCGCGTTCCGAACCCCAGCTTCTGGCATCGAATAACGTACTACACTCCCGAGGCCCAAGCAATGTATCACTACTGCGCCACTCCCGGGACCGAGGATATTCCTACTCATCCACAGCATCTTCGGATGTCCCAAGTGGAAGCTGGCCGCGAGACTACAACCGCAGAATGGAGGCACACACTAGGCAGCAGCTTCTTGATGGACTGCATACTTCTGCGATTGCATCACGCAACAGCTGGGCTCGTTTCGCGGCAGCAGACTCCTTGGATGATACCGATATCGAGACGCCAATGGCCGATCCTGGTATACGCGTACCAGGAATCGATGATGCGGATTTCCCGCTTGCAGGACTGAAGCCCTCACCACGCATTGATGCTTTCAATGTAGACACGGATGAAAGCACGTACGGCGATCTCACTATGCCCCGCAACCGAGCACGCGCAGACACAGGAGGTACGACCAGCACAGGCACAGGCTACGACTCATCGAGAGACGAAGCAGCTTACATGACATATGTACGCAGCAGTCGTCTGCTAAACGAGTTCCCACGATTGTCAGCACCTGACGCAGAAGTAATGATCGATGGTGCTGACTCGGAACTTGTCTTCCAAGAGATGGATCGATTGTTTGCCGATCTGGAAGGTGGACTCAGTCTGGCTGCGGAGCTGTTTCAGCGTCGCGATAGAGACATCTTTCGCGGTGGAAGAGAAGAAGGAGAAGAATATGAAAGGCATGTCAAAGGATTTGGCAGCGAAGGAGAGGGGGTAATGTGATGGACGAGGAAAAACGCATGATATTAGACAAAGATTCTCTACAGCGAAGATACCCGAACGGCTTGTAAGATAGATGGTGGTCTTGTAAAACACGCTTTTCTTTGCAGCGACATCTGAAAGTCAATTGTTCTTGTCGATAGTGATGGAGTTATCACGGAGATTAGCAGAAAATGTCGGACCTTAGCGCACACCGAAAGCTGGGGACGCACGCACCACAAGATGTAGAGTATGATGGAACGGAGGGTCTGTTTTCTACGCACCTTGTTTTAGCACCCACTATCTGCCTCGAGCGCTATGAATAGCCAGCCCTCGAAGACTTGACGAGCCTCGCGAGAACGACCCCTCAACGAACAAGACCTCAGCATACGGTCCACTGAGCACGTAGCCCAGTCGGCGCGCGCATACGCCATCATCAGATGAATCCAGCGCATAGAGACGGCTGGCCGCCCAGAGAAGACCATACTCCGCTCCATCGCACTTTCGCGTGAGTCGGCACATGCGAAATTGAAGCCTGTCAAATGCTGATGCCATTCCTACAGCGGAAACCCCCCGCCTGCTCATCCAGGTGCAGCTCCTTCTCCACGCACCGGCGGTCTACCCCCTCCACCAGGTACAGCCAGTCCCGAGTCACCGACTATTCATATGCTTACAACCGACACAGGCTCCTTTGCCCCTTTCCAACAGGCTTCACACAATATCCTGAATCCTCCGTCGCCCCGCCATCAAGCACAAGCCGCCTTCCCTCTGGGTCGCGACATGCCCGATCATCGGGACAATATTCACATCAAAGAAGAGCAGGACGCCGTGCGCCGCGATCAGCAGCGCGAAAGACAACACATGGATCAACTTCCGCCTCATCAGGCTCAGGGAGGGCCCATCCACCTACACCAGCCTGTCGCTGTCGCGCCTCGCACCGTCCATGGCCCCAATGGTCTATTAGCTAACACCCCCGGCGGCCACGGTCAAATGCCGAACGCTGTTTTCAGCGGTGGCCCCGTCCAGCCCGCTACTCAATCGCAGGCTATGCTTGTTCCCATGCAACCTGGCAGTGCTCAGCCTGCTAATGTTGGCCAAGGCCAGCAGCCCATTCTGAACGTGCGTCTTCAACTTCTTCCCTCTGCTGTCCAGCCTGCTGATTATCGCCAGGATGCGCTGAGCTACCTGGATCAAGTCAAAGTCCAATTCGTCGACCATCCGGATGTGTACAATAGATTCCTCGACATCATGAAGGACTTCAAGAGTGGGGCGTATGTGTCGGTCTCCACATCCGACTCTTCTGAGGTGCTGACTAGATACAGTATTGATACACCCGGTGTTATCGAACGTGTCTCGACTCTCTTCGCCGGTAACCCCGAACTGATTCAAGGCTTCAACACCTTTTTGCCTCCCGGCTACAGAATCGAATGCGGCACTGGCGACGACCCGAACGCCATTCGAGTAACGACACCCATGGGAACTACCGTTCAGGCCATGCCGGCACCCCGACCTATTTCTCCTCGCACCGCTGCTCCTCCCCAAGATGGAAGCAACCCTGAAGGCCCTCTGTTCGCTGCCGTGAACAGACAAGCCAACGGAAACTGGACTCCTCAAGCACCTAGTCACTCTCACATTGCTCACAGTCCCAGCGGTCGTCCGGTCGGTACAGCTCCTTTCACTTCTCAGATGAACCCTCAGCAAGCCGCCGCTATCGCTGAGGCTCAAGCTCGTGAACAGCAAGCTTTGAGCCTCCAACAGGAACAGCGCGTATCACAGCTACAGAATGCCGTCTCAGCCGCAGCTGGCGACAACCTGGCTAGAGCTGGAATGATGTCTCCAAGTGGGGGTGCTGCTGCCCTCGCTCAGGGGGAGTTGGTTATCGGCCCCGACGGACAGCCCATGGGCCACGAGAAGGTCAGACCGCAGGTCGAGTTCAACCATGCCATCAGTTATGTCAACAAGATCAAGGTTCGTACCGCGCGTCTTTTTGAGTCGTATCTCTTACTCACATTTGATCAGAACCGCTTCCAGCAGCAGCCCGATATTTACAAGCAGTTCTTGGAAATTTTGCAAACTTATCAGCGCGAGTCAAAACCCATCCAGGATGTTTACGCCCAAGTGACCAGACTTTTCAACTCAGCTCCAGACCTCCTTGAGGACTTTAAGCAGTTCCTCCCCGAGTCCGCCGCTCATGCAAAGGCTGCAGCTGCTGCAAGAGCCCAGCAACAAGAGGAGTCCGTCATGCTTAGTAACGTGCGCGGAGATCCCTTCTACCAGGCACCGCAGCCCCATCAAACTCCCAGAGCCGAGCATCGCTTGCCTCCTGTCGGAAACTTTGCGCCTACGCCAACTGTTAACAAAGACAACAAAAGAAAGCGCGGCGACAGACAAGGAACCGTGACTAATACTGGTCCTGAGACAAACGGTCTGGCCAAGGCTCCGGCGTACGGTCAAATGGCTAGCGTCAACAAACGCGCAAAGCAGACTCATACTGGAAGACAGGCCCTGCCTTCAGACGTTCCACCGACTTCCCCGACCCTGGTTCCTGCCCTGCCCGAGCCTCTGCCGCCAACTTCAAGTTCGCTTGCTACAGCCGACGAGATGAGTTTCTTTGACCGTGCAAAGAAAGCCATTGGCAACAAAGCTGCCATGAACGAGTTCCTGAAGCTGTGCAATCTTTTCTCTCAAGATTTGATCGATCGTGTCACTTTGGTTCACAAGGCTCGTGGTTTCATCGGCAGCAACCCCGATCTCTTCCAGTGGTTCCAGATGTGGGTGGGTTACGTCAACGACGACATCCTCATTGAGAACAAGCCCAGAGCCCCACCATGCAGAATCTCCCTGAGCAACTGCAGAGGACTTGGACCAAGCTACCGTCTGCTCCCCAAAAGAGAGCGACTGAAGCCATGCCGCGGACGCGACGAACTCTGCAACGAAGTGCTTAACGATGACTGGGCCTCGCACCCTACGTGGGCATCCGAGGACTCTGGCTTTATCGCTCACAGAAAAAACATCCACGAAGAAGGACTTCACAAGATTGAGGAAGAACGCCACGATTATGACTTCAACATTGAGGCCTGTTCACGCACCATCCAGCTGCTTGAACCCATCGCTCAGCAAATCCTCCGCATGAACAACCGGGAGAAGGAGGCTCTCGAGATCCCTCCTGGCCTTGGTGGACAGAGCGAGACGATTCACAAGCGCATCATCATGAAGCTCTATGGACGCGAAAAGGGTCACATGGTAGTACAATCACTCCACGCACAGCCTTACAAGGTCATTCCTGTGCTACTGAACAGGCTGAAGCAGAAGCTTGAAGAGTGGAAGCAGGCACAGCGCGAATGGGAAAAGGTTTGGCGTGATCAAACACAGAAGATGTTCTGGAAGAGTTTGGATCATCAGGCTGTAAACGCCAAACAAGCCGACAAGCGTCAGTTCCAAACAAAGACTCTTCTCGCCGAGGTTCAAACTAGGTATGAAGAGCAAAAGAGACAGCGCCTGGCCGGTCAAAATCCGCGTAAGCCTCAGATGGCCTACATGCTCGAGGACACGAGTGTCATTATCGATGCATCTCACCTTGTTCTTCTATACGCTGAACAGATGCATTCCACCGAATACCCACGCTTGACATCCTTCATCAGAGAGTTCATCCCTCTCTTCTTTGGTTTGGACTATGAGTGGTTTGGTAACCAGATCAGAGCCAAGTTTGGCGATACTCCTCACATGGACGTCGGTGAAGACTCGATCTCTGCTTTCGACGACCCTATCAACGCAAAGCCTCGTAAGCCGACAACCAAGAAGGGCGACCTCTTGCGTGGTGTGCTTGAGCGTGGACGTAAGAACCGTAAGGACGATGGAAGTAACACTCCCCTGAGTCGCGCCTCGACTCCTGACAACGCATCCAACGTGGACGAAGACATGAGCGATGGCGTTAACATGGTTGATGATCTCAAGTCAGACATCGCCTTGGACACCTGGGCCTCCCACCCTATGGCGGGCAACGTCCACAAGGATAAGGAGCTATATCTCAACCAGATGTACACACGCACGAGATTCAATCTTTACGGTAATGCCAACATCTATTGCTTCATCCGTGTGTTCGTACTCTTGTACGAGCGCTTGAATAACATCAAGCAAGCCGAAACCGACGCTCATACTACAGTCAATCGCGCAATGGCACCCAAGCCAGCGACTGAGCTCGGCATCATCGACAAGCTTCCCACTGATTTCTTCACTGATGTCAGTGAAGGGTCCAACTTCTACCGCCAAATCCTTGGCATGTTCGAAGACCTGATCAAGGGAGACATGGACATGGCACATATCGAAGAGACACTGCGTAGATACTACCTGCAGTGCGGATGGCAACTGTATTCCTTTGACAAGCTTCTTGGTGCTTTAGTACGCTTTGCTATCTCCATGCTCGGCAGTGAGAGCACCAAGGATAAGAGCTGGGACATTCTTCAGCTGTTCCGCAAGGACAGACAAAAGGATGAGACCTCGTTCCAGGATGAAATGAATTACAGAAAGCAGACCGAGAAGTTCACCAAGGACACTGACATCTACGGCATTGCTTATGTAAGTCACGCGCTGGAAGACACACATGAACACTTACTAATAGACATGCAGGACCAAGCAACGTCCGAAGTACAAATCCGGGTTTACCGAAAGGACGATCCTACCCTCGACACAACGTCGATGCTTCAGGAGGATCTTTGGCGTGTCTACGTTACCAATCTTCTCAAACTTGCACCTACACCCGATGTGCCCGCGACAAGACGCCGTCCGGTAATGCACAGAAATCTGCGCCAGCTCAACATTGACCCCGGCAGTATTTACAGCGATGAGCGTTCGGACGAGTACCGTCGTCTCTGCGATTCTGCCGTCTCTTCCGAAGGTCTTGAGTTCCGCGTCGCTGTCGAGCTATACCGCATGTACTTTATCAAGAACACAGATGAGTACGTGTACCAACCAGCAGGCATCCGAAGTGGTGGCAAGGAAGGCGTTGAGGACGCCGATTTGACGGCCCGCTACCGAAGTGACCGTAGCCAGGACACATTCGTCATCAACAACGCAGCTATGAAGGGACTCAGCAAGGAAGATGTCGAGGGCAAAAACTCTGGATTCAGCGCGCTTGTCAGAGAGGGCGGCGTGGCAGTGTCTTCAGGGCCCGCCGATGAAGATGAGGAGATGGAAGATTAGGCGTTTTATCATCTGATCTTCTAGGGACGATGACTTTCATATTCATATCTCGATTTTAGCGTTGCGAAAAGGCCACTGAACAGGCTCGTTTGGTTCAGAGATATTTGGCGGAAGATGGAAGGAGTCTGGCGTGGAGCAGGAGCATTTGGCAGACGTCCACCTTTAGTCGCCAAAGATGGTGGACCATCACACGGTTTCTTTTCCTTTATGCAGTAATGTAAATGTATACGCTTTCTGTGTTTTCCTTCAAAGACCTGATCGAGGTTTCGAATGTTTTTGCTGCCTTCTTGACTTGAGACATGGTGTGAGCATCAAGGGAGGTCAAGTTGAAGTGGACGGTGGCAAGTTCCGAAAGGGTGGGGAAATTATTTTCGCGGAACCTCCGAACATCACGGCATAGCAGCGTCGAGTGCCGCCTCACGATTGTCTTGGGATACGCAGCTTTCCTCTCCCAGACCTCGCAATACATTCACAATGCCGCCCCGTGTTGGACCTCGGGCGGGCCAAGTGCCTGGATCGCAACAATGCCTTCGCACCTCAAGGACAGGTAGCAACACACGCCAATCAGTCGCAGGTCAGCGCGACTTCTCTCAATCGACCGGCCAACAATTCCACGCAACATGCAAGAACGACACGCGCCTGCGTCGCAACATGTTCTCTTGGTTGAACGGACCTGGTCGCGTGTTCCGTGAACCTCTCCAGGGCTCGACCAATTACCTGGGTGCATACGACAGAAGTGGAAACTTGCTCCGTCTGAGATACGGTGCAGAGCAGGAGAATGAAGAGGAAGATAAGATCGACGAGTCGAAGCTCAGTGATGAGGAGAAGGCCAAGCGCATCGAGGAGAAGGAGGCAAAGGAGAAGGAGGATAGGCACAAGATGCCGAAAGAGCGAGCATCAGATCTTCGACCATATCCGTTAAACAACGACTTCCGCAGTCAGTCTATTCTGAGCGAGGAATTGCGCGAAGAGCTATACAAGAAGATTGTCGACGAGAAGGTCGATCTGTCGACTGTCAGTGCTCTGTACGGTGTCGACATGCGCAGAGTGGCTGCTGTTGTCCGACTGAAGGCAATTGAGAAGAACTGGGTCTCAGAGGTATGTCGTGCTGCTCTTCCCATTTCCCCACTGCCCCTTGCATCTTCTATGATGAGACATACAAAATATTCGATTAGTCTTTATGACACCCACATGGATACAACGCCTATTACTCTGATCAACTGCCTCTAAACCCTCTTGTTTCGCCGACTTGCGGATCGGAACAGATGCTGACAAGACACAACTAGGGCAAGAAGCTCGCTACACCATACGCAGAGGCAGTCATGCAGATGGTACCGCAAACACACTTCAACCGCAAGCTTCTCGAAGATCCCAAGAAGAACTTCTCACACGAGTCGATCAACGATCTTCCTGTCCACCCCTACACACGCCAGCAGATCTTCTACCCGACATCCGAGTCTCGCCAATTCACGCGTGCCGACGCAGCAAAGGTCTTCTCGCCCACGCTTCTCTCTGCAGATGAGCGGATACCTCTGTCCGAATTGATCGACATCGAAAAGGACGCAATCAACAACGTTCCACGTGAGGAGCGTACAGCGCGCATCCGCGAGCGAGCAGAGAAGAAGCTCGCCGCAAAGCTGGAGAAGGAGCGTAAGCAAAAAGAGTGGGAGGCCAGAAACGTCAAGGTTGTAAGCAACCAGCGCTGGAACTTCCGCTTCGAGAGCATCAACGTCGAAGAGGCAGGCAAGGACGGGCGCGGCAGACGTGGTGTCGGGTGGAGATATGGAAACCCTCACCACGACCGTGAGAGAGGCGAAATCAAGCTTCCCACAAGCGTCGAGTAGGCTTGATTCGTCGAAGTTGTACGAGTATTGTAATATATACATAGACAGATTTGAGAGCGGCTTGTCCTCGTGCCCCTCGTCCAACCCACCTTGTGCATTGTACTTTTCTGCCATGACACAAGATGCACACCCCGTCATATGACAAAATCCGAGAATCGCATGTGCAAGCAAGTGCTCAGCAGGCATTTCGAGCGGATTTAGCACGATTTTGAGACCAAAGGTAAAATGAAGCACATCAAGCCATCAAGTCCCATGGCAGCTTTAACTTTCACGCCCACCTTCTCGACTTGCTTCACCGCTGAATCAAATCCCCGTACCGGGCCCCTCCTTCCTACGAATTTCTCGAATACCACAAAACCATGAGCCTCATCGGCTACTTTGGGGCGGCGCTAACGTCAATTCTGGTATCGATACCAACACTGCACCTGCTGGCATCCGTGACGCACATGCCCGTCCTGTCCTTTGCAGCCCGCTCCATTGCTTCCTTCAGCGCCCTCATCTTCTGCGCCTGCTATGGTGTCGCCGCTTCTATTGTCTTGCGCCTCGTCGGCTATGGCGGTCTGAGCCAGTGGACCACGGCGCGCGCCTTCAAGTGGACCATGTGGACTCTCACTGGTGTCGAGTTCAAGGTCACCGACAAGTACGGTGGTCTGAAAGTCCGCCCGGGTATCCTCATCGGTAACCACCAGACGTGCGTCTCTTTCCCTGACTACTCCCTTGTATCTTACATGTGTCGCTGATGAGCATCTGACAGTGAACTCGATGTCCTCATGCTTGGCTGCGTCTTCCCACCCTACACCTCGGTCACTGCAAAGAGCAGTCTGAAATGGGTCCCCTTCCTCGGTCAATTCATGGCCCTCTCCAAGACCGTCTTCATCAACCGCACCTCTCGCTCTGCCGCACTCGCCGCCTTCTCCCAAGCCGCAGAGACCATGCACTCTGAGCAACAATCCGTCTTCATCTTCCCCGAGGGCACTCGCTCCTACGCAAACACGCCCACCCTCCTCCCATTCAAGAAGGGCGCTTTCCACCTTGCCGTCCAAGCTCAGGTCCCCATCGTTCCTGTGGTCGTCGCAAACTACAGCAACATTCTGGATGTCAAGAGGAAGATCTTCAACTCTGGCAGTATCCCTGTGTCGATTTTGAAGCCTGTGGAGACCAAGGGCTTGACAAAGGACGATGTGGATGCCCTGGTCGAAAGAGTGAACAAAGACATGGCTGAGGAGTTGGTCAGGATCACACAGGTTGCTGAGAAGAAGGGGGTCGCCGATACTGGGGCTGCCGCTCGTAGCGCCGATGCTAAGAGCACCGGTGTTGATATGAACATTACTGGTTGATACAACTGGTATCATTCCCAATAACACAACGACGGACAGAAGGACTCCAGCACGTTGACTGTCTGCTACCATCTGCGTACAGACCCGGCCCGTGGACTGGCCAGCACTGGACACTCGAGGTTGATGCGAGAAGGACACAACTCGAATTATATGCTTCATGTCAGACAATCACGACAAAGAAGCGAGAAAAGAAATATCGAGACGTCCTCGGTGTTAAGACTCATCATGTCTCTCGGTTGCTCTTTAAACATCAAAATGGCATATACCTTTACAGGCCAGTACATACTCCTATATAGCAGAACTACACGTAGCACTTACACGATTGTCCGCTTTCTTGGGCAAACGAGTGCGCTTACCTCGATCGCGACTTCCTATACTACAACCCTCGACTTTTGACCATTTATCGGAGGCAGTTGCAACTCGGCCGTCGCTCTTTCCTTAGGCAACAAGTTCATCTAGCAATGCAAACAAAATGATGAGAAGCAGAACGTCATTGGCAATCACATGCTCCATCGCTCCTTCTCTGGAATCCCCAAACTCAAAGCCACAATCACGGCCTCAAAAATCGTTCCGAATTCCGAATTCTGATATCCTCGATTTATGTATATCGAATCGCACCGATCTGGACACATAATTCAACTCCCTTGGTTTTATCTGGGAATAAATGTCTAGCGATGTTTCCCTGATTGTTAAAAAGAGACTCTGCAGCCATCATGCGTGGCATTGATGCTTTGTTGTGGTTTCACTTCGGCAATTGATATACAAGGTCAAAATACGCCAAAAATGTGACTAAAAGTACACTGAACATCTTGTAAGTTACTATACATTAGCAGGGCTATCGCAAAATACCCTTTATAGCCTTATGTATAATTGTATTGTCGTCGTTGATGCATTTTTCAAATGCAGAGATGATACAAACAGGGTTATACCTCTAGCAACTTCGACATGCCCATTACAGCAGAAAAGAAAAAGCATGGCTCCATTGATCTTCTTGTTCTTCTTTCTGCTATACAATTGGTTGCTGTGTCTTGCGGATAATTACTCTTTCCTAATTTGTCATCGTAATCGTGCCTTCCTCATTCGAAGATGTAGATTGCTCCTTCCTCATTTTTCAAAATGTAGATTGCTCCTTCCTCCATTTAATGTTTATGAATTGTTCCTTCCTATTCTAAATCATTAGTAATCGTTCTTTCCTTGCTTCTCGTGTACTAATCTCTATCACGTTATAACTGCCAAAATGCACCATAGCTTTCAAAAGCAGATATAGGACCACAGGGAGAAAATCGTCAAGTATTCCTCTCTCTGTCGACGACGTGCTTTTGATCAAAAAGTATCGTGCATTTTGACAAGATATGTACTCTTGCATCGGCTAGTAGTAAAGAGAGCCTAATATGGACAAAACAATAGCATATGATCAAAAGAGCAAGATAGTCTTTTTCTCATAACTGTGATCGTGTGCCTTATTGATACGTTTCCAAGAATGCTTCCTTCCTTATTGGGGCAAGCATAGGTCACTCCTTGCTACAATCTATGATGTCGGTCGTTCCTTCCTTGCTCAGAACCAAGTGTGTAGTTCTTTTCCTAATTCGGTTCGAGAGTAGCTCCTTCCCGTTTCGATTCGACATGGGTCGTTCCTTCCTATCTCGATTCGAGGTTCACTCTTTCCTGTTTTGATTCGGGGCTGGGTCGTTCCTTCCTCTTAGTTTTGGAGAATCTGTTCTTTCCCAATTTGGATGCGTAAGGATCGTTCCTTCCTGTCTTGTGGACTAGGTTGTTGCTTCCTAGTTCAGGCTGGACACGTTCGTTCCTTCCTATTCTGTTTGCAGTCGCCCACAAAGAGGAAGAAGGAAAATGCGAGCAGAATGTTCATCCTGTGTATCAAGAAGTCTGTGATGCTTGTCATTTCATCTCTAGCTCACGCGAATAAGAAGGCCAAATCAAAGACGTCTTTCAGGAGGATTAATAGAAGAACAAAAAACATAACCTTTCATTTCTTATTCCCAATACTTGCGCCGTCTGCCATTCAATGAGTTTGAGCCCCCCTCTCGTTACAGAACCATCTAAACCTCTGTATCCGTCTGCGGTGATGCGGGCTCGTCAGCCTCGTCTGCGGCAACAGGTGTTGCCTTTTCCTCTGCCTCCTCAACATCCTCGCCATCTTCTGCGACTTCATCTTCTTGCTCCTCGACCTCGGCCTCGGCGTCATCGCCAACGTCGATCAGATCGTTGCTCTTGTTGCCACCATCTTTTTCGAGTTGAAGATATGAGTCCCATTCGGGGAAGAGGTCTGCGTCGCCCTCACCGTCGGTGGGCGGTACGCCCAATAGTCTGGCGACCTTTGCCTTGCCATTTGCCTCGAGTCCTTGCTTCCACTGCTTGGTGATCTCGGCCGCCCGGCTGGGTAGGTAGGTTTGGGCGAAAAGGACGGCTTCGGGGGTACGGTCGGTGCGGATCAAGAGGTCGATACATGCGTTGAGATCACCAACTTGCCACAAACAGCTGAATGCTACATTACGAGCACCAGCGTCGTCGGCCTGTTGGGCGAGCTTCCTCAGACCGGCTTCATTGCAGCTTGAAGTGTAGAGCAAAAGCAGACTGCCCATGTCCTTGGCGTGTGTGAAACATTCCTCTGCAAGACGCATGTTCCAGGCTGTGAGGGCGGCGTCACCGACGGTCTTCCACTTATGCTCGACATCAGCCTCGCGAGCAAGCTCGAGGGCAATCTCGAGTTGGTTCAGGCTAAGTGCAAGCTCGAAGCGGTGCTCAGAGTCAGTGGCGACTTCCAAGGCTTGCTCCTTGTAACCTTGGCCCTCAAGGAAGCGAGCAATCTTTGATTTTTGATCCTCGGGAATATCAGCGAGCATCTCGTTAGCGGAATCGAGATCGCCACGCAGCACGAGCGTTTGGTACTCGATGACTGATAGTGAGAGAGCGAATGAGACAATCTGAACGTCCTTGTCGGCAACGTAGACACGGCCATCGCGGGGAATATAACCAAGGACGTAGTGGGGAGAGTCGAAGTGTGAGATGGTGTAGGTTTGGTCACCAACAAGGTAGTTCAGGCGGTTAGTGCTGTTGGTGTAGACGAAGCAGTCGCCAACCCACTGACCAGTGCGGACGCTGTTTCTCAATCAGTTTTTGTCTCAACTTGAAGAAGCATACATGATGGACTCACCTCTCATTGACATCGGTGACGACCTCGAAAGCGGCCTCAACGCCATCCTCGTCAACCTCACCATTCTGGAGAGCAGTCTGGTACTCCTCGCGAGAGAAGCGAAGGACGTAGAAAGTATCCTCGCAAGCAAGGGTAACAAGCTCGCCGCTTTCTGACCAGTAAACCTAGAGAGGCCATCAGCGATAGATCGGCATATACCGGTAGATCAAAACTCACGTTCTTGGGGTCGACTTCAATTCTGCGGACAAGCTGGCCTGACTCCCAGTCGAAGAAGCCAATACCACCCTGACCCTTGACACCGAGCAGAACACCACCACTGAGACCCTCTGCCTGGAAACCAATATCGAGAACTGCCTTCTCCTTGAAATTGCGGAAAGTCTTGACAGACATTGAAGACTCGCGAATAGCGTAATCCTTGTCGTTCTCCTTTGATCCCCAAGCGAAGTCAAGAGCCGAGCCGAAGGCCTGGTTTCTCAATGCAAGAGCAGTGTAGATGATGTATTCGCCATCACCGCAAACAGCAACGAAACGGCCATTGGGAGAGTGGATGAGAGTTTGAGGGTAAATTTCGGTAGAACCAAGATCCTTGGAGGGAAGAGTGAGAGGGGAGCCATCAGTGAGAGACTTGTCTCCACCCTTGATGACAGCGGTAAGAATGTCGTTGTGGCGGGCCCAGATGATCTTTCCAGAGTTGTCCATAGATACGGCAGGCTCTTCACGACCCATCTTGACAACAACAGCACCGTCGTCGAAACCCATGGCGATGCCCTGACGGCCGCGCTGGTAGCTAACACACCAGGCACGTTCCAGACCATAGTTGAGCGATTGTTCAAGACGGTATGTGTTTGCGTGCCAGATCTTGACGGTGCCATCCTCGGAACCGGAAATAATAACGGGCAACTCGGGGTGGTAGCATGCGAACGAGACATTGCTGGTGTGACCCTCGAGGGTTGCGATCAGAGCCTTGGTTGTGTAATCCCAAATCTTGACAGTGCGGTCGTCCGAGGTAGTGAGCAAGTAAGGCTTGTCGGATTGAGGGTAGTAATCAACGTGGTTGACGCCCTTAGTGTCGTGTGCATCGAGAGTGTAGTTGGCGGTGCTAGAGCCCAGACTCCAAATCTTGACGGTGCGGTCCAGACATGCCGAGGCGAAGGTGTTGGTGTCCTTGGGGTTGATGGCCAGACCCATAACGTAGTGGCTGTGGCCCTCGAAGACCTGGACGCACTTCCATCCACGCTCCCAATCCCAAAGCTTGATTGTCATGTCATCTGAGGCTGTCAGGACGAAGGGTTGTGTGGGGTGGACGACGATTGCTCGGATGTAGTCGGGGTGTGCCTCGAAGGATGTGATCTTCTCGGAGGTGTTGTAGTTGTAGACGCGTAGTTGGAAGTCATCGGAACCGCAGACGATCCAGTTCTTGCGTGCGATGAAGCGACCAGCTCGTACGGGCACGTCGGTGAGTTCGAATGTCTTGACGATGGCTTGTGTCTCGTATGACCAGATGTATACATGGCCTGCAATCGATGTTAGATTTCGTGGGCGATGGTCCGAGGTGATTGAGCATACCGCTGTAAAGGGTAGTGAGAATCTACACACGGTTAGTCTGCTGTCTCGGTGTCGAGGACTAGGAACTCCTGAACTTACCCATGGCTCGGTAGGATGGAAGTCAATGCCCTTCACTCGCTCGGAGCGGGCAAAGAGCTGTCTCTGTATGTCAAGATGCGTGTGAGCCGTGTCCATGATAGCAGTATTGCGTGTCGAGTGGTGGAGGTGGGCGTACCTTGACATCCAGGCGCATTCTGGCTACTGGTCCAGGTTATGCAAGGGGTCGTGTCTTGTCTGTACCGCACTGATCCTCGCTCTTTTCTCGCAGCGTCCTGGGCGGTCGTGAGATGGCGTGATAAATTATGGGCGAGATACAATTCAATCTTGATGCAGTTGCTAGCTCCTCCTGTAGCTGTAAACTTGTCCACTCCCTAACTCCACGTATGTCGCACGGGCCACCAACCCCTGCTTTCTGGTGGCCGTCGACTTCTCGAGAATGTCTCCACTCTGGAAACTCAACTGTTCTCTCCTCGAGTGCACCTCACTTTAAACATCAAAACACATGTACAAGACAACGAGAGGACTGAAGACAACTGTTCTTGTTTTGCAACTACCTTATGCCGCTAAAGCTAATTTCTCGTCCTCAAGCTCCTGATATTATTCTCCGTCATGGAGGAAGGCACGACTGGCCTCGCTTTTTAATCATCGAGGGATATCTAATGTCTCTGTTCGGCCTCATGGCTCATCGACATGCGACTCGGGGTAGTCGGTCTGCTCTGTCTATTGCCGAATGCGATGTTCTCTCTCAACGCAATGTACTCACTATCGGCATAGCCCAAAACACCATGAATCTCTGTGCTCTTGACGCCGCGGATTCTCTTAATTTCCGCTGCCGAGTAGTTGACCAGTGCTCTACCGACCTCGAACGGTGCAGGATCCTCCTTCTCAAACTCGAATGACCCTCTTGACTTGCGCTGCACCACCACTATCCGCACCGCTTCCTGCTGTGCGAAGTTACCCTCGACCTCCACTACGCCTGCTGGCAGCAGACCAGCCTTGTCGGCTAGAGCTCTGTGTGCGCCCTTGTCGATGTAGACTGTTCCATGTGGTGCGAGACCGTACAGCAGCCAGAAGTAGCGGTCTCGAATAGGATGGAGGTCTGGGATGAAGCGTGTGTGTAGCGGAGGTCGTGACGGCTCATCAAGTTTGGGTTCCACGGCACCGTTAGTGCTCGAGGCTTCATTGACGACTGCCTTCTTCACAAGCGAGCTATCTTCTAGAGTCAGGTTGCTCGTTGAGTTGCTCAGTGAGTCTGAACCATCTGTTGAACCTTGTCGTGATGAGCGCTTAGCTGCAAGTTCTTCTGCCTTCTTTGATTCGGCATATGTGACGATGTTGGCGATGTTTCCAGGCTTGTCCGAGCGGGTAATGATAGTGGTCACACCTGCGGAGGTTGCTAATCGGGCGGCGGTAATCTTGGTAGCCATACCGCCAGTGCCAACTGATGAACCGGCACTCGAGACATCGGCGACTAGGTCTCCGATATCTTCAACGACCTCAATGGCTTTGGCATTGGGATTTGTGCGAGGGTTGCTGTCGTACAGGCAGTCGACGTCGGTCATGAGGAACAGATAATCGGCCTGAACCATAGCAGCAGTGATGGCTGAGAGCGTGTCATTGTCACCAAACTTGATCTCAGCAACTGACAGGGTGTCGTTCTCGTTGACGATAGGGATGACGCCCATGTGGATCAATTCGATAAAAGTGTTCTGAGCGTTCAGGTACTGTGTGCGATCGGCGATGTCGTTTCTCGTGAGCAGAATCTGGGCAATTGGCTGCCTCCTGTGCATGAACAATTGATCCCACAGACTCATGAGCTTGCACTGTCCGATGGCAGCCAATGCTTGGACCTGAGGAAGATGCTTTGGTCTGCGTTCCATCTGCATGTAACCTAGAGCGACGCCAATGGCGCCGGAAGACACAATGACTACGCGATGTCCATCTTTCTGAAGTTTGCAGGCTGTTTCGACGATGGTGGAAAGGATGGAGAGGAGGGGTTCGTGGCTCTTTTCGTCAACAATTGACGAGGTGCCTGCGCGTCATGATTAGCATTGCAATGTAGGCGCAACTGGTGAGTGGATTACCAAGTTTGATGACGATAGTAAGGTGTTTCTTCATGGTGCCGGTTGTTCAGTGCAGAAGCAACCGCGAGTCTTGATCACATTTCTGGTATACACAAAAGTGAGGAGTCATGGATCATTTCAAGGGCGGACAAAGGCGGGGCGGCTTCGGTCACCGCCGCGTCGGCCAATCGCATTGCATGTCCATTTGAAGGCCTCCGCTCCGCGACGACTGACAAGTGAAAGTCTGAGAACATCTGGACATCACGATATCTATCCAATCACACATCAAAAAACATGTCGCAAAGCAACACGAACTCATTACCGGAGACGACGACGGCCAAGTCGCCAGCCACGCAGACTCCGGACAAGGACTTCTACACATGGTCCACCTTCTTCTCCATTCTCACCGGAGGCGCAACACCCCAGGAAAGAGAAGCCTACTTCGACATCAAAGATGAGATCAACGAGGAGCGCGATATCCAACGTGCAGAGAAGGACAGGAAATGGTTGCTGGAATACTCGCCCATAGTACGCTTCATGCGACACAACATCAACCTGCTCGGTCATGACTTGAACGAGTCCAACATGCGTGTTAAGCGCTGCACTACACAACAGAGCGGAGGCTTCGATCCAGAATTTGGCATCTTGTTGTGCGCAAACAAGTTCAGAAACAGAGGTCACATGGAGGATACAATGGCACACGAGATGGTCCACGCATACGACCACTTGAGGTTCAAGTTGGATCCTTTGGACCTCAGACATGCTGCTTGTATGGAGGTATATTGAGCTGCCACATCACCATACTCGAGTCCCTGGCTAACGACAACTCTAGATCCGTGCTTCAACACTATCAGGAGAATGCCGCTTCGGTCGCGAGTTCTTCACCCGTGGCCAGTGGAACATCACACAACAACTGCAAGAATGCGTACGAAGGAGAGCCACTCTCTCAGTCGCCAACAGGCCCAGCTGCAAAGACCAGGCCCACGCTGCCAGAGTCGTCGACGAAGTCTGGGATAGCTGTTTCAACGACACCAGACCCTTTGACGAAATCTACAAGTAAAGAAAAAACAACATGCTTTGTAGTAATCCCTTCTTGTCTGACTGCCACATTTCTCCTTGTCTTGCCTCATTATCTTCTCTCTCCTCTATACCACTTGCATAGCATCGGCGTTCTCAATCTCCAGCAATTCCAAATGTATCAAAACAACCGCATGAACACAGCTCATCATGCTTCCTCATATACTTTTGTACTTTTACCGCTTCAATCCACTTGAACCCCTCATGACCAGCATTCTTCGCAGATCGGTCGAATAATGCGTGGTGAAGCTGTGTAAATCTGGAGTCACAAGGCGTGTGGATCTACTGTTGTGCGACTTCTCGCAGGTACATGAGTGGCTAGTAATTCGATTCTCACATACTGCCGTTCAGTCACGGATACCACTGCTGAATGGGGATGTTGGAATGAAAATGTCTCATCTTGCTATGAGATCTGTAACTCCTATACAGAAATTTGGACTCTTCGTCCATCAATGTGCCTGTGGCTATGCTCAACACGAAACTCCAACCCATCCATGCGTTTCGCCTCGCGGACATCCTCCTGAACGCCAATAACAAACTGTATCCCATGATATCCTTGAGAAAATGCAACCTACCTTGAACGCCTTTGATCATGATTAATGCCTTCCGATCCACTCTTCATTCGCTTGGGCGCTGTTTACTGCTGGCAGAGGTTCTGTTATACGCTCTCTCGCCCTTGACGCAGTGTTTGATGATCCAAGGATGTTGCTCTACTTCATGCAGAGGAATTCTCTTTTCGGGGTCTAGAACAAGCAACTGCGAGTATCGTTAGCACATGATCCTGAGAACTACGTTGTAAGCTTTGAGCATACCTTCTTGATCAGGTCCTTTGCTTCGGCGCTGACAAAGGGAGGAATGGTCATTTCGCCGCGAGCAATGCGTTTTTGGGTCATTGAAGGAGTATCCTCGAAGGGCGCTTCTCCGACTAGGAACTCGTATGTCAAGACACCCAAACTCCACAAGTCGACCTTCTCGTTGTACCAGTTCTCATCCTTGCCAGGCTTCAACATCTCTGGGGGCAGGTAGTCAAGAGTTCCGCACATGGTGTTTCTCCTGTTGTTGGGAGCGTGGACCGACCAGCCAAAGTCACTAATCTTGATTTCGCCGTGAATGCCAACCAGAATGTTCTCGGGCTTGATGTCGCGGTGGATGACATGCTTCTTATGCAAATATTTGAGAGCGGCGCACATCTGAGCGACGTATGATGCGGCCTTCCATTCGGGGAAGCGTTGTTCGCGGCGCAGATGCTTGTACAGCTCACCCTTGCCGGCGAACTCGAGGATAAGGAAGATGCGTTTGCTGTCGTGGAAGTGACCGAAGAGACGGAGAATGTTGGGATGAGCAAGGTTTGACTGAATCTCAATCTCTCTGCGGACTTGTTTCTCAACCTTTCCTTGCTGGAGCTCGATCTTGTGTAGGACCTTGAGCGCACAGACGAAGCCACTAGAGCGTTCTCGCGCCAGGTATACTCTTCCAAACTTGCCCTTACCGAGGGGCTTGCCAATCTCAAACATGCCGAGGTGGAATTGTCTTGGTGTCGAAGGTTGCTGAGGGATAGATGACAGCATAGACTGGGGGTCAGAACGGCGGGGCTCCGTGTCGGATGATCGTTGCGCTGCTTGAGAAGGGAGAGTGATTTTGGCGATGGTAGCGGCTGTGTTGGCGCCGTTGGCAGAATACAGGGAACTCTTGGTGGCATTGGCGGGCAGCTTCTGCAGCGGGAGCTTCAATCGGTTGGCAGCAGCTGCGGCACCCAAGCTGGAGATGGAGATAGAGCCCTGTGTCTGGTATAAGTCACAGCTCTTGATGGTTCATGTGTTACTGTTGTTGTGATGGTCTGCGGCCTACCTTTGATTTGTGAGAGTTTTGGTCGTGGTTCTCATCGTTGACCGAGATGCCCTCGAAGCGGGACTCGAGTGACTGAACGTCCATGATCGCAGGCAAGTTGGTGGTTACTCAAAGTGTTGCTGTATCGTTAGTAAGTAAGTCGTGTGGTCGGATGGTTGGATCGATGGTGGACGCTTTTCAGAAGAAGGATCGAGTTTATTGTTGACAAAACAAAGATGACGCCCGGCAACCGGGTGCCAAGACTTGCTCCAGGAATCGCCGCCTGCATGCCCATCACATCACATCCATCGAGATCCGAGATGAGCTTTCATCAAATTAAGTCAGATCGTTAACAATAGGACTGCTTTCTATCTTGACTGATCAAGTCGAGTCACCATGGCTTCGAACGGAGAGCAAACAGACAGTCAAGGTGTCGACACCTTTGTTTCGCGCAACAAGCAATGGAGAGTCAGCACGCGCAAGAAGCCAATTCTTAAGGCCGGTCCCATCGACGCCATGAACGAGAAGCTCGGTATACCCGTGCCTGAGATGATCTTCGGCGACAACGTAGTTGCTGTCGAGCATGTTCCTTCGGGCTGGGCCATTGACTTCAACGCATTCGATGCTCTTGACCGCGTCTCCAAGACAGCCGATGGCATGTTGCAAGTCGCATACTCCAAAGAATGGCAGAAAGACCGGTATGTTCTGGCTGAGCTTTGTGATTATGTCGATTTGAGCGGTACTGACCATGTCTGACCTTTTTTCAGTCAACATCACCATGAAGGCATCAAGGAAGTCGTCAAGCCATTTGACTGGTCGTACAGCACAGACTTCAAGGGCCGCACTCACAGCCCAGATTCCTCTGTTGTCTGGCAGCCCACAGACAGCTCCAAGGACCCCATCAGGACCGATCTTCTTTCGCGTCCGGATCCCATACTTTTCTACGACGATGTCATCTTCTACGAAGACGAGCTGGCTGACAACGGCATCGCCATCTTCAGCTGCAAGATTCGTGTCATGGCTGAACGTCTCCTTCTCTTGTGTAGGTTCTTCCTCCGTCTAGACGGAGTCATCGTACGCGTTAGAGATACGAGGGTCTACATTGAGCTGGGCTCCAAGACTGTCATTCGACAGTACACCGCCAAGGAAGAATCATACGATGTCGTCCAGTCCAAGCTGCAGGCCCACAGGGAAAACATCCCCGAGGTCCTGCGTGATGCCAATCGCATCGCCCCTCTTCTGCGGACTGTTGAAGACACGATGGACAAGATCGTCATTCCTTGAGCATCAAGAAAAAGCATCCCTAGCAAGCTCGTTCAAAATGGCTCAGATCTCAACACGTCGGTCTGGCCATGCCTTGTGTTGCCGCCTGCGGACAAGTATCCGAATAGGACAGTGTCCCGCTCCGCCTCCCAAGACTTAAGCGCCGGTATGGTACCTGGTACACAACGCCTCGACGGCTGAGGCGCATCCTGGGATCTACTTTGCCTTACACGCACATGTCTCCGACTGGTTCAAATCGTTACGCCTCGCCACGAAGAGACTTTTATCATAGATGGAGATCATGGAATCGACACGAGTTGCTCCGATATATGCATCTACCCCAGTGACCCCGCCTTCAAGTCGGAAGAGACCGTGAGCATCTGTCTGGTGCAGCGGCACAAATCGGTATCACGCTATTGTGTGGATGACTGTGGGTCTTTCCTTTCAACTGGGGCCCCAGCACACTTGCTAGTACGCGGTTGCAGACCATATCCAAGCGCGAATAGATTAAGCGCGGCGGACCCCACAATACCATGATCCTTCCAAGCAAGCATCATTCAATTCCCATCTTCAATCCTCAAATCTGTCTTCCAGCAACCGCAATTATTGTCAATTTCTTGTTTCCGAGATTCCGCAAAGGCCCGAAGTATTGAAGTATCTCCTCAAGCAAAGTCAAGAGAAGCAAGCAGGCTAAGCAAAGCCTTCGCGAGCTTCTGAAAGCCTTGGGCCAGGGCGGTTGGACCTTCAATAATCTTCTTTTGCCAAGGACCGGAGCCAATCCTGCAACAAAATTGCTTACCGATACCAAGAAAAGTGGCGTTCGGACTCCATCTTCTGACCTCCATTTACCGTTCGGCCACATGCCTTTCATCAACCAACCAGAATATTGGTCATGTCTGCGGTGTGCTGTCATCGACGAATCTAGGGCAATTCACGCTCCCCTCTGTCGTGGATGGCGACCAATTAGCCAAACCTTGTTAGTCCAAACCTTCCAGAAAATGTCGCCTCGCGAGTGTTTTGGTTTTTGTCGTGTTCGGCATGCCGAAAATACAGCATTCCCGGTTTATTGGGAAATGATACCGGACGGCGAGAGAGCATTATCCGGCGCATGCCAAGCACCACCGCTCTGTGCCTCCAGGACCCTGCAAGCGGACAGAATCGGCTATCAGAATGCATGGGGTTTTGTCAGATCGAGAAGCATCCATTGGGAGCAGAGCTCAACACATCTCTCACTAGAAGTTTCTTGCACCATGAATAGCCTTGTAGGCTTCTCCAGCTACACGTCCATACGCGTTGAAAGTTGAAGATGCTTGCGTTGGTTAGCAAGTCCTGACTCCTTACCTGGTAGCGGCTGCCGTTACATTCGGTACATGCACAGACCTCTCGGTCTCCGTCTGAGAGCCTAGGACCCACAGCTCCCCGGCTTCTCCGCAGTGATAGACATGCCCCAGAGAGAAGCGACACGCGATCTAGCGATGAACGTTGCTTGTCTGCATGGCTCAGTCTACGAATTGCTACGCAGTCAACGATACCGAGTCTATGATCGCTCTGAACTATACAGACACACTATGGGACGTAAATCGTGTACCTGCAGTTCATCAACACAGCATACTGGACTTCTCGCCGGACGTTGCAAACCACGGTCGGTCAGCACCGAAAGCTAGGAGGGCTCGAACGAAACAAGCAGGCACACCACCGGACGCCACGTGCCTTGGCATACCCCACGCTGAGCTTGGCAATGCAACGAGGATCGGCTAAACAACCCCACGCGACTGGGGTATGGGGTTGGTATCTCCAGATCAATCGAATTTTTTGCGGAGTCCCGCCTAGAACGGTCAGGCCGCTCGCCAACCGACGGGGAATGGAATGACAAGGGGTACCTTGAGAGCATTGGCCAAATGGTATAAAGCAAGGCGGGCCTGCTCCCAATTGCTGACCATCCACTCCTCTCATTACCTACCTTCGTTTACACATCCTCCACCTCTCCATCAGTCAACATGGGTGCCGGTGGTAAGCCTGTCAACATCTTCACGTTCAAGAAGAACGGCAGTGAACCCCCAGAGGTTCTCAACTGGAAGCTATGGTTCGCTGTTCTCTCTTTCGGTATCATGGGTGCAGCCCGTGGTATTGATGAGGGTCTCATTTCTGGAACCTTTGCTACCAAGCATTTCCAAAACTCCCTTGGCCTTGACAAGCTCGACAAAGTAGACCTCGCCCAGGTCAAGGCCAACGTCTCTGCCATGGTTCAGATCGGATCCGTCGGTGGTGCTCTCCTTGCTTTCGTTCTCGCCGACCGTATCGGTCGTCTCTGGGCTACTCGTCAGCTCTGCCTCGTGTGGATGCTTGGTATCGTCATCTTCATGACCAGCACCGTTGGTGGTGGTCGTCTTGGTCAGGTTTACGCCGGTCGTTTCATCGCAGGTCTGGGTATTGGACAGACCACTGTCATTGCTCCCGTCTACATCTCTGAGATCGCTCCCAAGTCAGTACGTGGTCTGTGTACCTGCGTCTTCTCCGGCTCCGTCTACATCGGTATCATGCTCGCATACTTCGCTTCCTGGGGTAGCTCTCTCCACATTCCCAAGACTGAGCCCACCTCATGGGAGGTTCCTACCTCAATTCATTTGATGTTCGCTGGTCTCATCTTCGTTCTCTCGTTCTTCAACTACGAATCGCCCCGTTATCTCATCAAGGCTGGCAAGCGTGACCACGCTGTTGCTAACTTGGCCCGCGTTCGTGGACTCCCTGCTGAGCATGAGCTCGTTCAAGGTGAAATCGCCGATATTGAGAACCAACTTCACGAGGAGCAAGAAGCCACTATGGGCCAAGGTGCTATGGGATACATTAAGGAGATGTTCTTCATGCCCAACAACGCCTACCGCTTGTACATTGGTTTGGGTTCGCAGGTGCTCTCGCAGTGGTCTGGTGCTCAATCTATGACTGTCTACGCCCCCGACTTTTTTGCTCTCCTCGGTACCAAGGGACAGAACGAGAAGCTCTTCGCCACTGCTATCTTCGGTATCGTTAAGTTCGTTGCCGCCATTGCTTGCGCTCTCTTCCTGGTCGACTGGATCGGTCGCAAGCGCTCTCTCAGCATTGGTATTGCCTGCCAGGCCATCAGCATGGCTTACGTCGCTGCCTTCCTTACTGCTGTCCCCGGAATTGATACCGAAGGCTTCGAGTTCTCTAAGAGCCAGAAGGCTGCCTCTACTGTTGCACTTGTCATGATCTACCTCTCCGGTTTCGGTTGGGCTATGGGTTGGAACTCGATGCAATACCTCCTCAACGCTGAGATTTACCCTCTCCGCATCAGAGCAATCTCTTCCTCCCTGGTCATGTGCTTCCACTTCGTCAACCAGTACGGTAACTCACGCGCTGTTCCTCTTATGCTCCTCGACCACTCCGAGGGTGGTCTTGGTCCCGCCGGTACCTTCTGGCTCTTCACTGCCATCACCATCATTGGTGGTGCCTGGGCTTGGTTCACTATTCCCGAGACCTCCGGAAGATCCCTCGAGGGTATCGACAAGCTGTTCGAGCTCCCCTGGTACAAGATTGGTCGTTTCGGTGCCCAGGAGGCCGAGATCAGCGACCAGTTCGAAGCCGACAAGATCGACGAGAAGAAGGCCAACGTCCAGATTATCGAGCGCGCTGTCTAAGCAATGTTACTTTGGGGATCTTACTGAATTGGGTTATGGAGTTGACATGCTGTTTAAAAAGCCACTGTCACTACGAATTTTTTATACCGTGTAACGACAACACGAATGAACATATTTTACTTCACTTAATCTTTGCTTGCCACTCGTGATGGACATGTGAACACTGTACTAACGTTGAGTCTTGGGCCTCTTGCCTAGTGTGTGCAATTCCAACGATCTCGAGTTCACTGTTATCTGACTGCAAAAATGCACGAAGAGATCGAGAATTCAGACGGCGTCCAGTGAGAGGAGAACAGACCTGAGCTCTCAATGGGCGTCCTTCGGGATCCCGAAAAAAACCTTCATGCCTGTTTACGAGTACAAGACGTCCCCTTCATCGCTGTTCAGGTAGTACTCAGCAAGCTCCGGCTGAAGTCTTACCCAAGCGCTAAGTATCGCATTCCCGTGATACTTCAACGGCACCTCCACCCCGAAGTCTAGAGCATGATTCGCAAACTCCAACAACACATCGGCCCACTGTCGTCCGAACGCGGCCTGTACACCCGAAAAAGAGACAACCCCCGCACAAGTGGTGTAGCTTTTCTACTGATCATGATTTAGAAACTCACACGTTATTGCTTCAGCTGCCCTTTGAACACATTCACCGTTTGCGAAGAAATGGCTGGCCAGAATTCCAATTTGTCGTGTCTGCTATATGGGCCACATGAGGCTAAATTTGAAGATCGAGAGGTGCCTGGTATACGAGATCCGCATGATGTTGTTATAAGGATTGCTTATGTTGGTGTTTGTGGCAGTGATGTAAGTAAGGCGAGCTTTCCATGTCACCCTCTTGGTGGAACACATGTTAAAAAAGTCACAAGAGACCATCACATCACGAAACATTTTAACAACATGATCAGGTTCATTTCTGGCATCACGGCGGCGTCGGTCTCAAGGTCTCTCAGGACAACCCTTTAACCATGGGTCACGAAGCCTCAGGCACCATCCACAGCATCGGCTCTTCAGTGAAGACCCTCAAGATTGGCGACAAAGTATGCATCGAACCGGGCCTCCCATGCACCCGCTGCAAATCTTGTAAATCTGGCCGCTACAATCTCTGCCCAGACATGGCTTTTGCGGCATCACCTGGTCCTGGCCCTGCTACCCATGGCTGTCTATGCAAGTACTACAGGCTTACCGAAAGTTTTGTGTATAAGTTACCCAGCCAGGTGAGCTTGGAAGAGGGTGTGCTTGTGGAGCCATTGGCTGTTGCTGTACACGGCAGTAGATTGGCTGGCGTCAAGCCTGGTCATAGAGTTGTGGTGTTTGGAGCTGGACCGGTGGGTATCTTGTCTGCGGCTGTGGCGAGGCAATTCGGTGCTGTGGAGGTCATCTCGGTGGACATGAACGCGGCGCGGTTGGACTTTGTCAAGGGGTTTGCTGCTACAGGAGTGTTTACCCCTGATGCCAACGTCGATACCGACACGAATGCTGCTGAAATCGTTAAGCGCTTCCAACTCGACCGTGGAGCCGATGTGGTCATCGAGGCTTCTGGTGCAGAGGCTTGTATCCAAATGGGCATCTACGTGTTGGCACCTGGAGGCACATACGTCCAGACAGGATGTGGAAAGCCGAACGTCATGGTACCAATGACAAAGCTTGGTGAAAAGGAGATTGTCGTCAAAGGTGCCTTCAGGTATGGAGCTGGCGACTTTGAGTTGGCTGTTGGCTTTTTGAGTGATGGCCAGATTGATGTCAAGAAGTTGATCTCGAAGACCGTTGACTTTGAAGAAGCGCCGGATGCTTGGGAAAGTGTGGGTAAGGGGGAAGGCATCAAGACACTCATTCGTGGTGTACAGGATTGATAGTCATAACCGTCACTGAGATCGGACTACTTTGCAACTCGAAGTGCTGCTAGACAACCGAGTCGTGCCTGCCTAAGTCAAAGCTGATGGATACCAAGCCTCAGCTGGAGGATTTCGTATTGTCCACTCATGCAGCTTCTTTGCGAGATCACGGTACACCAAGCGAATGTGTTCAATTGACCGCACCTGGATGAAGAGGTCACTGGGTCACTGGTTGTTGGAAACGGACCGGTTGGCGCGCCGAAAAGTTCCGAGCCGTCAAAAGTGATGGTCAAACTTTTTTCTTCTTTGACCATGTTCACCACTTTTCACACTGCGCTCGACTTCCATGCATACGACACCAGTGATCGGAATTCAGCTCGCCTGCGTATCGCGTCGCTATCCATGGTGCACGCTTCAAGACACGATCATTTGCCCTGACAATCGTCGCCCGCAGCATGATGCAACAACGAGGCAGACAGTGAGCGCGAGAATTTGCTGTCGGTACCCTGGAGATTCACGGAAAACGTCGTGTACCGTGTGAAGTTTGGAAAATGTATGATAGCCTTAGTGGTCTAGTGGTATGATTCCTGCTTTGGGTTTGTCCGAAATTGCAGGAGGTCCCCGATTCGATCTCGGGCTGAGGCCTTTCTTTTGCTCTTTGTTCATCTTGTAATGATCGACAAACCATCGTTTTATATCGTGGTTGTGTGGTTATCCATGCCAGAAGTATTTGTTGACAATTTGGTTGATGTTTCGTGCGAATCTTGGCGGCCCATGATTGTAGCAAAGGGTCGCACCTCCGCTTCCTGGACTTCTACATTTCTCCTTTGAAATTCGGGCTGAGGCCATTCTTTTTGCCTTTTCTGGAGGCATTCCTTGCTTCATGGCTGCCTATCCACCAAGCGTTATTGACTTCAAGTTGGGCCACGAGGGTTTTGCCGTCGCGGAACGCGTTGCGGTTTTTATGGAAGAGAAACAAGCTTCGATTGTTTACATTATTTTTTGATTCTTACTATCATATCTTTTATCCCTACGGCTTTCTCAACACAACCACCTTCATCGCTCTACTAGAATCCTTCCCATTTGAAGGGAAATTTGATGCCTGCAAGCGGCGCTGTCCATCTGAAACTGTACGTGCCATCTTTGCGAGTATCGCGACCGAAACCTGGAAATTTGGCTTGATTGTCGGTAGCGGCAGGTGCGGTGTTCTCCTCGGGCATGCCTGTTGTTGGGGTGTTTTCTGAGCTATCAGTCGCTTGGGTAGAGGCAGGTTGAGTAGAGGCAGGTTGAGTAGAGGCAGGTTGAGTAGAAGCAGGTTGAGTAGAAGCAGGTTGAGTAGAAGCCAGGCTTGCAGATGCAGGTCGGGCAGTCACTTCTGCTGCCGAGGTCTTCGTTGAAACAACATCATGCATGGCCTCATAGTCATCATCGACCTCGACAACTTCAACGTATCTTCGTGGACGATAATGCCCAACTGCAATGTACTTCTTGGGTAAGCGGATCTGGTATGGGAAAGGCGGAATTTGAGGTTTAGCGTTTTCTTCGGAATGCGCTCCCTGGTTGTCGAGCGCTGATCTGAGAAACCCGACATCTCGCGCGATCTCTGTCAGCTTGTCATCGACTGGTGCATTGGACTTTGTCTGAGGCGGCTCAGAGTCACGAGATCCCTCATGGAAGCCATCAGACTTTTCGACAGCACCGTCGTGATGTTGAGCCTCCATCGCTCCTCTTGATGCTACCATCATGCATGTTTTGGCGACTGGCCCCATGAACGTAATTGCAAAACTATAGTAGAGGTGAATGCATTCAAAATCCCGGCCTCCAAGGTGTCCGAGAGCACAAGAAATTTGTTCCAGTGTCAGCTCTACATAATTCAAGGCGTCAACAATGGCTTCTGACTCGCTATTGCTCGGTTCCGTGTCTTGTAGCTGTTCCTGGTAATGCGTGCGGAGCATATCTTTCATCCCAAGAACTTGCTTATTCATGTCGTTAAGGACCTTCTTCATGCCAACCATGCTGGCAGGAGTGCCTGAGCTCTTAAGAAGACCGATTCGCTCTCTCTTTCCCAGGGCTTTGCGTCGATGAAACTCTGCCTCAAATCGGGCATGGATCTCAACTGGTGTCAGATCGGAAGCGGTCTCTTGGTCAGAAGTGACAGGGAGAGCTTGTGTATCCTTCTCACATTGGGTTTCAGCAAATTGAGGTGGCGATTGATCGACGTGGTCTGCCGTCAACTTTTGTTTCTTTCTTCGATTGTGGCTGTCGAGAATGCTGTCGAGGGTAGGCAGTTCTTCGGCTGGCTGTTTTGCGACAGAGGCGGTCGCAGTACCAGGTTCGTGCAGAACATCGCTGAGCACGTCCCAGTGGATCTCAAAAGCAATTTCTGGGTCATTTCCTGGCTCCAGACGAGGGACGAAGAAGCCTTTGTGAGGTCCATATGTATCATAGTCTTCTAAGAGCTGGACGAACTGAGTGTTGAAGATGTTGCGGCAGGCTAAACCAGACGATGTTCGTTGGCAAGGGGTTATGAGATTCTTGCGATCTCCTTCCAGCGTCAGGGAGACCCAGATAGACTTCTGCCAGGCGATTCTTGTGTTATCCATGATGGTAATTTGATTTGAAAGGATTGAGAAGAGAGAAGTCTACTTCGACTGAATTTTTAAGTTGCGAAAAAGGCTCACAATCCTGCTGCCTACATGGTATCTGAATACAGTCATAGAAAGGATAAAGGTGTTGAAATAGCACATGGCCATGACCGAAAAACTAACGCACGCTCACCAGCTAGATAGTGTATCTTCAAGGCACCTGAATATTCGAATTCTGAAGTACGTTAGAGATACGACATGTGTCATCTGTTCGCCTCACAATATAAAGCGAAAGCCTTTGATATGCTCAGTACACATTCGAAAGGTGCTGACAGTAAGGATGTAACCTTGTGCTAAGGTCAATCGCAGCATTCGCTGTAGCGCTGCCACCTATCCCAATGCACAATGCTTTTGTAACGGAGCGCATCGTCCAGAGAGAGCCACCAAGTGATTGTCTCTTCTTGGGCAGATCCTGCCTCCGAAAACATCGTGTTGACAGCTGTAAAAGTGACACACTTCAGCATATGAGGAAGGAGTCAGATCTCAAGATGAGTTGGCATGGCTGCCTGAGGAAGAGACGGGATTTGCCGCAATGTCGCCGACGAACCGTGCGTACATCCAGCAACAACGTCAGAAGGTCGAGGGCGAACGCGACAAGGAGCTGGAATAGACTCCAAACACACATATCGCCATGTTGTTGAGGTACCTCAGTGCGGCCGCTCTGGCCCTGCAATCCGCAAACGCCTTCAAGGACGCTTCGCCTTTTGTCCTCTACTCGACCAGCCAGTAAGATTGACCGGCAGCCAACAAGTTCCGACGAACGCATACTGATGAAAGTAGACTGGAAGGAAAGAGCCTCGATGCGAACATCATCAGTGCCCAGAGCCTGGAAAAGGGTGTTGAACACCTTGTTAAGGATTGCCCATCAGACACGTATGTCTTCGTATCGCAGCCTGGCGTTTCGACCAACGACCTCACCGTCTCCAAATCCACTCCCCACCTCCGTCGCCGCCTCTCTGGCAAGGATGAAAATGTCAAGTCTGTCTTGGCCGTGAAGGATGTTGTTGGAGAGGTTGATGCCATGAAGTTGGTGTCAAAGGTTCACCTTGGCTGCGACGAATCTAGAAACGGATTCAACACTTTGCTCTTGGACGGCGAAAGTATGTGCTTCTTGAACTCCACGGCGCATGCACAAAGATGCTTACAACGAGACAGAGGGAGAGATTCCCACAAAGCCCTACGACGCAATTCACATCCAATTCCCTAGTCTGCCTGCCAACCACGACGACCGCGAATCCGCCCTCCTCCAAGCCGACTCGTACCTGAACTCGCTGCTCGAATCCCTCGAATCCTACACCGTTCTCTACGCTCCTCTCTCCAACCTCTCTCCTCCACAATCTCAGCATCCCGAACAGTACGAGATGGACGAGCCTTACCCTTCAAACATGCACACCGACCTGAAGCGTGACCTCAACTCTCACGTGTCCCGCGCCAGCAACGCCTCAAACCCTCAGGACGGTCTGCCTCTGTTTGAGAAGTACCAGTTCCTCTCACCTGGTATGTCTTGTCCCATGCGCTTTCTGTTTCGGATCACTTTGAGCTAACATGATTCTCTAGGCATCTTCATGGGTGGTGTTGTCAGCATCCTCCTCTTCTCTATTCTCTACGTCGGAGTCAGCGCCATCGCTAACCTCGAGGTCTCATACATGGCCTTCAGTAAGGAGATGGGTCCTGCTGCTCAGAAGAAGCAGCAACAGCAGTAAGAATGTCGTCGCCCAAAGTAAAGAGATACCACCATTGTACTTTTCCTGCCCTTTCATAAATTTCATGTAGATGCGAAACTTTTGATTTAACGTTACAAGGACAATCTCCCGATGTCGTTCGTTGGCTGCACTGTCACCTAGCTTTCTGTCTCTACTGATCGAGTTTTGCGATCTCCATTATGCATTAGCCACTGTTCGCTTTGTCTATCTACACGCATCGTGTCTCACCCAATCGCCATTCGCTTATTTGATTTAGCCTCTTCTTGCCCAATCATAGCATCTCAGTCAATACTTTCCTAGTAATCATCAACTCTGGGTCTCACGGTAAGATACGCATATGAGCTTCTCCAGGTAATGATTCAAGACGTCGTACTCAATGCTAGGCCGCCTGATGGTAGTTCAAGCCACATTCAGGACGAACATTACGATTTAGCTGCTCGAGTGAGTACGAGGAAGTTACATCTTGAGACAGGGTTTTACCATCGACCAAAATATCGAAGTCACAAAGACGGTTTGTACGGGATGTCGTGGTAGGCAGAATGGAGCTACAGTTGTTAGGAGTGGAAGGAACAACGAAGATCGAAGAAGGGAAGGAGCTGCAGCAAGAAAGGAAGGCACGATCAAGAAGAGCTCTTTCCTCGACACCGGACTGATTGAGGAACGCCGCAAACATCTATGATCCAACTCGAGTGTAGACGTTTGGATTCAAGGTAATCACAAAAAACATGAACGTAGTGGAAGCAGCATAGAAGTAAAGAGGAATTCATTATTCGGAGTTATCATTGGAGTAGTAAGGGCATAATTTGACCAGCGTTTGAGTTTAAACCCAGCATCGTTTTCTGTATGCCAAACTTGGTCAGCAACTTGTAGCATATAATGTATGGCAAGCTTTTGTGAAAAGAGGAATAGAGTGCAGTTTCAGATCAAAAATAATTCTCAACAATAGTCTTCAGACAGGGATAACTGTTTGATAATATGTCTCATCATTGCAAGGGAAGGGGGTGGTGTTGGTGAAAGAGGGTTGAGGGAAAGAGAGAAACGTACGGTGATTGGCAGGGAAGAGCGCAGTGTACACGAGACACAAGACACACATTCACAAGTCGAGCAATCAAGCAAGAAGTTTTGACGAAAGAAGCCGGTGGATTTGCTTTTGCGGCCTATGGAAGAAAGCGCCCTTTGTGAGAAAATGGAGCAAATCCGTCCCCGAGGAGGGTCCTTGACCCTCAACCGAAGTTCGACACCTGAAAAACTCCCATAGAAAAGCAGAACCAGCGTTAAAACCGACGGGATATCTTTTCTTTTTTCTTGTAGTCGTCGTCAAAAAATGACCTCAATCCATCCGGACAAATGCGTGAGTCATCATGATCGAATTTAGTCGGTGCCACCAACAGCGCGGGCTGGTAAAAGTTAGTAAGGTCCGGAGTAGATGTGTAGAAGTGATCAAAACGCACTGTAGACGAGGCACTTGGAGTGGCTGATGACCTTCTTGATCTGGCCCTGCTCCTCAAGCTCGGCGAGCGAACGGCGGGCGAGGGAACCGTTGATCTTCAGTCTGTCGACAAGGGTGGCGACGGTGACGAGGCGGTAGGACTGAACCTCCTTCTGGAGACGGTCCGAAGTGGCCTTGTCGAGGATGACGGCGTGCTGGGCCTTGTCCTTGACTGTGTGCGCATCATGTCAGCTGAACTGTTCTCTTTCTTCGGAGTTGGAAGCGCGGTGTTCGGGGTGTGCGCGGATTCGTGATTTCGAGGTGTAGGAGTATGTCGCTTCGAGATGCGACGGATTATGGAGACGGTTGATGTGTAGTTTTGATGTTGTTTTTGGAATTGTGTGTTCTGCGCGTGAATGGAATAGAGGAGGCGTGCGTACCCTTGCCCTTGGACCACTTCTTCTTTTGCTTCTTGGCTCCGGTTGCTGCGGGTGCCTGAAGAGATGGTGTCAGTGTCTGTCGTCGTCAAACATGTCGTCTACGGGGGCCGTACCATTTTGTCGGATGTGGGTGGTAAGAGGGTTGGAAGGCTTGAAGTCGCTTCTGAATATCAATCCTTGTGCGCGCAGCTTTTCGAATGTGGGCCGTCACGTGTGTGCGGATGGTCCGTGCTTTCCGTCAAACAGTCGTTTAGCTCTCGACTCCAACTCACCTCTTCCCGAGGCAGGGGCAACTCACTCAATTCTGATGACCTTCACTGTAGCACCTTCCTGAGTATTCTTTTCGAAAGCTCTTGCCGGAATTCTGTAGTTCAGTGGTAAGACCAGCAAGTAAGCACTCGGTCAATCTTTCATCGATCTGCCAATCAATCAATACCTATGGCTTGGCATGCTAGCTCCCCTCTCTTCGGTCGTCCTCCAAAACAACCACCTTTATCAGGTCTGGGAATGTCTTGTGCTCTATTCGGAGCATTTCTGTGAGACTCTGCTTCGCCGCATGCACACACGATCTCACCTGCAACTCTGCATCGTTTCTCACCATTGTGGCTGGTGCTCGTCGCTTTGCGCAGTTAACCGCTGGATCAGCCTTAGCACTGCCATAACCTGCCTCTCTGCCTCTGCCTGCCTCTCACAAACGTTAACACCAGAATCTTCCATGCTTCCATCTGCATTTCGGACACACTCGTTTGACCCAACATCTACGCATTTGCTGCTTTGCCTTTCTAATTGTTCTTCCCAATATATCTTTCACGAAACATAAACACTTGCCGCCCTACCCTCACGTCCTTCTCCGTGCCGCAACACTGTACATGATCCTGCCTTCGACAACCAAGTCAACGTCCTGATTGCCCGTCGCATTGGTCCGAGTCTCAAAATTCGGCTGAGATTCTGCAAATTTATTACGACCCTTGAATGGTGCGCAGCCGCGCTCTACGAACATGCGCTACACAACCTTGAACTCAAACGGCACCAAGGGCGTCCGAGTAGGTCAAAGAGATGGATACACAAGAGTAGTCAAGGACTGACTCTGTTTAGTGGTACTGGCGGATGATAGCCATTTGTGCTTCGTGCTTGATACTAGGAGGGTGAGTTGTATCGTCTTGTTGTGCGAACCTGTTCTGATCCGACCAGTTTCCTAGTTGTACCCTCCACATTCGACACGCAGGCACAACTCAGAGTATCTACAACCATTCTGGGCGGCTTTGGCGTAGGCCTTTTGACGCTTGGCTTTTCTCTTGCAGCACTCGCATGCTTCTGCAGTCGTAGTTGGGCTTTCAGTGCGGAGCATGTCTTTGTACCGTGCATTTTCGTTTGCCTGGTTGGCTTCCTAAATGTGCCTTACTGTTTCATCGTCAGTACGCGCTTTAGATGGAATGCTCTAGCGATGAGTACCACTATCGGAGCAGCCGTCACAGCATTCCTGTTCACTGCACTCTACTTCTTCGCTCGTCGCAGACTCGCACCATCAAGAATTGACCAGGTCGGACACTCAGACAACATCGATCTTCTGCGACGACACAGCAACGCGAGTGCAACAGGATCTTATCACACCCAAAGTTATTTTGCCAATCACTTTGCAAACATGTACCCAGCCGCTCGTACAGCTCCATCAACAACGGCTATTACTCCTCCAGATGAACGACCCAACGATAACGAATTACAACGACGACACATGTCAGACCTTCTGCATAAGCCTGAGCCTCACATATCTCCAGCGATGAGCCCATTCAATCGTATCGAGTTCAACGTGGACGAGACTGAATCGCCAATCAACGGCTACTACGCTCCTGGCGCGAACAATTTATCGACGCGCTCGCTTGACGATCCGTCATGGCGTTCACGCAATGGCAGTTGGGTTACCAACGACTCGCGACGTAACTCTTCTCGGGATGAGCGCCGTCGTGAAATCGAGATGGGCAGGTGAGGACACACACCCTCGCCGACGTCTCACACACTCCTTATGATACTGCTTCCAACGTCCCTGCAGGCCAGGGCTGGGCCAGCTGAACAACTGTCCCCTCGAACCGACACACATCGTTCATATATGCATTGATACGAGAGCATGGCCTGGTGTAAGGTGTCTGATTCTTTCTAATTTTGAGAGTGTAATGTACATTATGTCTGCCTTGCTTATTGGGATAGAACATATGCAACAATTGTATGGAGAGATAATGCTACGTTCTTTTACAATCCAACTTAAACTTGCAACATAATCATATGGGCATCCGGCATACAACTGTCAGCCGGCTGACATGTCCCTCTCATACTTGCCAAAGACCTTCGATCCTTTCAGGCATTGTGGTGAACATGCGAAGCTTTCTTCTATTGCTTTGATCATTGTGGGACATACAAAGGCTTCTTTCATCTGTTTGAGCACTGTTTCTGAAAACAAAGAGGCCGAATGCACAGTCGCAAGCATATATAGACAGCCACAACTTCCTCCCCAGTTTACTTTCGCCAGAACCACGAAAAGGCTCCAATAACAATTGTAGAGACAGGTCTCACATTCCGCTAACAAACCCGACTAGGCTCCAAGAACTGCATCATACATCATCAACATGTGTTTCGGCGAACAAACCGAGATCGAGTGCGACATCTGTGATAGCATTACCGTTCAAGAGATAATTTGGCTTGGTTGCCATGCTCAGGACTTGGACGACGACTCATATACATGCTGCCCGAAGCCTCTGATATGCACGAAATACCTCACCAAACCCTGTCTGACATGCGTTTTCGAAACAGTTGAAGACATCGATACCGACGATGAACAAGCCGACTATCCTGATCATCCTGGCTTTCCCACCGAGGGCCTCAAGCATGTGATTCAAGTACCGGTAGGCCCAGTTGATTTGCCAGCACCCACTGACTTTAAGACTATAGAAGCTCTAGAAAACCTCGCAGGTCCCACCGATGAATTACCTCGTTACGAGGATATACCACACGATGTCCCTCCTCCATCTTGGGAATTGAGTGAGATTCGCGAGGACGGTCGTCATTCCGAAGTTATCGACAAGGCAATTGAGCTCTGGCAAAGTTACATCACAACGGTGCGCGTCCATATGGCGCGTCTTGAGAAACTCTACTGGCGTATCACTGTTGCAGGATCTCTTGCATACATCAAAGTGGACTTTGCTGAGGAATTGATCAAGTCGTGCATGCTGGACGCCGAGGACTCCATCACTCGTATCAAGTTCCTCGACGAGACTCTTTCTGATCTCAAGAGACAATCCGAAGAAGAATGGTTCATGCAAAGTCCTACGGAGAGAGATTGCTTACAGCAAAAGATTAATGCAATCGTCAGGGAATTGCAGGATTATCTGGAGCAGTTTGACCTGTTCTTCTTCGTGGATTATGATTTAGATTGGGATAGAAGGCTTGAATGTCTGGAGCAAGATATCGCTGATCATATCGATGTTGAAAACTCCGAGAAGTTTCTGAACGAATCGAGGAACTGGAGATCTTGCAGTCCGCTGGACACTGATACCGAGATCGTTGAGAGATTCTTGAACGAATCGAGAAGTTTGGGATCTTGTATTCTACCAAACGCTGATGTCGAGATCTCTGAGAGATTCTTGGATCAGTCGAGAGATCTGAGATCTTGTTGGTGTACGTAAACACTCGCGAAAGATTATGTAAATTTCTATACTTCGCCGCTGGTAGGCAAAGACAATACGAATGGTCCTGCTAATCCGTCTCTGTACCTGTCTTTACGGCTGCTGCCTTTCAAGGGGCTCTCAAATTCAATGTTCGTGCCTTCCATATAGATATTACTCCAAAATCTTCATGTTTTCCACTACTGCATTTCAACCTTTGTTCTTCTACCTCAACCTGATGTCCATCTGATGCCATTGTGAAAGGCTTGATCTATATTTACAAGTAAGAATCAAACACCGGACACATCCATGAGCGCCAAATGTAAATCAATGTATGCTAATGCTTGCTGTCACACCGTAGTAGCCCGAGCTGTTAGCTGTGATAGACGCAGCTTCTGTTCAGTCTGATCACAATGTGTGTGAAATTATATCGAATCCGTATCTAGCTGTAAAGATGCACAAATGTGGTTACGACAGAGGTAGCGTCCACCGAAAGGGCTACAGTCAGTGCCTTTCTAGGGATATTTTACTAACAGTAAGATAATTGTGCGTTCATACAGCCTTGTTAATTCAAAAGTGCTCGCAGGAGATGATCAAGCGACAGATCTTAGTACACCAGGAGGGAGTCAGATAGTGTTGTTGAGATGGTTGTAAATTCCGTGCTAGAACCATGCTCGTGGTACTTCTTTCACCTCGGACCGGTCTTCATTGTTTTCATGGCTCTCGTTCTTTCATGATGGACAACAGCTTTGTTCATTACCATCGATTCAAGTTGTCTTCAATATCCTGCACATTCTCGTTCTTTCACAATCGACCATGCCTTTGTTGCAACACAGAAATCCAACAAAGGCGACCAAGCACTACACCAGCAACACCAAATCTATATAACGAGCATCCTCAACATTTTATTTCCAACTCACCAAGCAACTCAGAACACACTCACACACACAACAACCACAAAACACCTAACAACCCCCGTACAAAACAAACAAACATGGGTAATCGCGGTTATCCTAAGCCTCCTCCCCCTAGATGCCCTCAATGCCGCCGCTCCTGCACTTGGAGTGGTTTGATGCAAGCCTGGATGTGCTTCAACTGCCCTTAAAGCCCTTGAACCATGTGGTAAGCTCTCTCTACCCGCCTTGCTCAAAACGTATACAAGCTATTGGTGAAACTCTCAACGGTAAGTGGTTATTGGAGATTGCTATTGCATCTCTGCGGTTGGTATGTCTGCTTTTTTTGGTTCAATATCTTTGCTATTATTGGTAAGTGCTCCTTTTTCCGGATATAGTGTTGTTGCTTCAAGTCATAATCGAATCTCAATTTTTTTTGCTCTACAATTTCTCTCTGCCTAACCAATCCTTTTGATCAATATGTGATTTTTGTAATGTATACGGTGATCCTTCTTGGTTAAGAAGTTAAGTGTCTGTGATGACATACTTTGCTCTAGTCCATGCGGTTGGTGTTGTGTTTGGGCATTGATGAGAGAAGAGACATTATGGTGACAGCTTTGGTTCTATGGTTGGACCAAGCAGAAGGAGCGCTCGAGCAAGAACGTATGGACTCAACAAACAGTAAGGTCAATGAAGCAAGCACGGCCTATCTCGCGAGGAAAGACCTACCATGGTCAGCCCGGCGCGAGTGCCCCGTAGCTAAAGACGAGTCCAGTCGCGATGCAGCAGATGATCCAGAAGCTCCAAATCCTAACCAGAACATGATGTTTCGGCTTCGAGCATTAGCTAGAGATGTCCAGATGCAAGATCTATTCCCGGATCCCAAATATTTACTGTGACGTTGTACGACCAGACCATAGTACTCCCGAACCACGATCTGTCACACAGTAAAATTGCATCTTCACCTCACACATCCAGCCCATGAACAACCCATCCGAAATCCGTACAGCCACATCTAGAACACCATCAAGAAGTCATCCCCCCTTCCGAAAGCACACAGATCTCAATCCATCCAGTCGCATCTACCAACCTGCCGCAATCGACGATTTGCACCCAAAGCCCAGGCCTTTCTTCCAAGTCGTACAAACGAACGGGAATACTCGGGTCAGAGATGAGAAATCCGTCAGAGGCGCCAGCCATCAAGGCATCCGTAAAGATCCAGGCCGCCTCATCTGACATGAAACGTACGCACGTAGATAATAAAACTGCCGGAGCCGGTTTCAAGAAACTCATGGCGACGGGGATGGCATCCGACAAAGATGCAGTGCGGTGTAAGAAAAAGGACCGTTCCAGACCCCATGTTTGGTCTGGACCCTGGAAAAAAGAGAAGAGGTGGAAGGTACATTGGTACCATGTACGCGTAGTCAGAGAACCGGTCAAAAATCTAAGTGGTGAACATGTTCATTGCGCCCTGCAAAGCGTGACTAAACACGCATGTAAGCACATGTGGCACGTTCGTAGAAGAAGAAAACAAAAAAGGCCAGATGCGTATGAGAAAGAAAAAGCGTTGGTTCAAGAAGGTCGTGTGAAGTTCGAGGCCTTTGGAGACACGTCAAGCCACGTCATTGGTTTCGGCTTCTCGACCAGTCGGAGGATTGCCTGGATGACTACCAACCATAACGTCTTTGTGCCTGGTTTATCGTGAACAATGCTCTCACAAAGAGATGCATGCGCAAATAGCAGAGACATCTCGGTAAAACATACTGATGACAAGTGAGAAATTGCGACTTGATCGAACATGGTTATTGGATTAAAATATTTGTACTCTAGCCGGAAAGAAGATGTGTTGACATCCATGCAGTGCAGAAGGAAAAGAGACAAAGCCAAGAGTCATAGGTATCTAATGTTAGTTCATGATTGCCAGAACAACTCCAAAAAAAAAAAAGATATTGTAAACCAAAGACGCCATGGTATTCCAGTTGGTGTTTCCCGATCTTTCATGTTCATATTGGAACTCCAAACACCTCGCTACTTCAACAAGTAACCCAATGAAATATTGATGAGATAGAAGAGAAATGAAAAGAGACAAAGTAGTGAAAGGCGTGTCTGGTAAAGGAGACTTACTCCCCGCCGTCGACTTCACTGCCGCTGCGAGCGCAGTATTCCAGAATCAGACGTTGAAGGTCCATGAGCTTGAAAGGCTTGGTCATGAACCCCTTCATGCCGACTTTGGCAGCCCGCTCAAGCGCGCCGTCGGTCACATCCGCCGTCACGGCCAGAACAGTCGGTGTACCGCCACAAACGCCATTCTTGCCGTGTGTCATGGCGAGAATCTTCTCGGTGGCTTCGTAGCCATCCATGAAAGGCATCCAGAGATCCATCAGCACAACGTCGACTGTGGGATTCTTGGACATTTGTCTGACTGCCTCGGCGCCGTCATATGCTTCGATGACTGTTTTGTAGCCGAACTTGTTGAGCATGCTTACGAGGAGCTTGCGGTTGATTTTGTTGTCCTCTGCAACCAGGAAGTTAAGAGGGTACTTGGTAGCCAGATTGCGATCAATGCCAGTAATTGATGCCGATGACTTGCGGCCGCTGATGCTTGGCTGTCTGGGCGGGAATGATGGCATGGGGAAAGAGTGAGTATGCGTGAGTGCCGGAGGACTTCTAACAGCGGGTGCTGCAAGGGGGTCGCTTGTAGCAGGCTTTTCAGTTGGAGAAGCAAGGTCCCGGGATGAGGTGTCGCTTCTGGTGCGGGCGTGCGAGCCGCTGAAGTTGGGCATCGGCGAGGGTCGGCCATCTGAGTCTATTGAGTTGGATTGGCGTACCCTGTTGTGAGAAGGTGTTCCGAAGGGGGAAGGGGGACGTGTAGTAGTATCGCCAGCCCTCAGTGGGATTCTCATTTCGAACTCTGAGCCACGCTTAGGCCCAGTAGTGTCTGCTCTGATACAGAACAAATCTCCTCCAAGCTTGCGTGCCAAACCTTTTGCCACCAGGAGACCTAGACCAAGACCCTCACTTTGACGAGTAAGCGAAGGGTCCTCCTGTGAAAAGGGTTGGAAAAGACGTGGAAGGAAGGCGGCTGGGATACCAGGGCCAGTGTCGGTACACTTGATGACAATATAGCGTGCTTTGGGGCTTAGCTTTGCTGTCACAGTGATGTTGCCCTGTTCGGTAAACTTGGTAGCATTCAAGAAGACGCAAGAAATCAGCTTGGCGAGATCCTTCTCGTCGGCGAGGATGGTTTCAGGAACAGTGCCATCTACGGACCATTCGATGAGCTTCGTCCTCGGCTCTCCCTTGGCCGATCGTGTGCAAACCTCGATGATTTCGCCAAGATGAGTCTCCTGCGCAATGGCCGATTCCGGTCTGCCTCCAACCTTTAAACCTTCGTTTACAACGTACTGCAGAACCCGACGAAGGTTGGTGTGTCTGACACCGGGCGCGATTGCGCGGTCACCTTGCAGAGGAGCGATCGAAGGTCGAGGACTCCTGGGGAAATGCGAACGACCTTCGGGAATCGTCTCGGCTTCGTGGACACCTTGCTTCATGCCTTCGGTGGGGGAAGCCTTGGATGCACGAGCAGCAAGAGTGGCCTGGATCTTCGTCGGGCTTCCTTCCAAGTCGTGTTTGGGTTCCTCCCTGCGACGCTTGTTAGGTCTAGAGATGGGTAGGTCGCTTCCGGCAACAAGGATCTCTGGATGAGAAGCGTGAGTCATTTCTGGGAAGCCGTCCATGGAGTCTTCGTCTAGTAGCGGACCAGTAGGAATGCCCAGGTTCATGTCGTAAGCGTGTACAACATTGTCAGCAGCTTCGACGGCACGACGCGAGCTGTCTGTATAGGAGTGAGCATTGGACTAGTGGGATGACAAGAATGGCAAACTTACCTTGGACAGTTTCGATGTTCTCCTTCAGAGTCTCGAAGACTCTGCGAACATCCGCATTTGTTTGGCCCTCTGCTGCTTCTTGAACAGTGGCATACATGACATCGAGCATACCGACAACGCCTTGCATAGGGGTCCTGAGCTCATGTGACAAACTCTTCGCATATGGCTGGAGGGATTGTGCGGCGGTGATGACCTCGTGTGGGATGATCCTCGGTGGGTCCCTAGTCGACGATTCCTCCTTGTCTTTGAACTCGGAGCCTTCAAGCAGTCGTTCTGTAATGAGATCCTCGAGGGCGTGCATGAACATTTCAATGAAAGCCCAAGAGACGGTTCTTTTGGTGGCGCCTTCGAGTGACCAGATGATACCGAAATGAGCAAAGCATTTGCCATCTGCAAAGAGAGGGATACCAATGTACGACTCCGCGGCGATGGGCAGCTTGTTAGGGTTGTTGGCGAAGATCTCGCTGACTTTTTCTGGAACGACAAAGACCTTGTCGTGTCGCATGTATCCACAAGGGCATCCGTATGCGTGGTATTTCATGCCCTTTTCGAGACCTTGTATACCGTTTCCATCATTGTAATACCAAGCACTTGCCATCAAACAGGACCCCGGCTCTCCGATAGGTGGCATCTCGACGGCCGTGTCTTGTTCGTCGACTAGAATGCGTTTGGCGATAAAACAGAATTGAGCACCAAGGATTTCGGCCATGCGCTCAGAAACGAGCGACCAAAAGTCGTCGTTGTTGCATAGTCGCAGCTTGGACTTCAAGATGACCAGTTCTTCCAGGATGTTGCTCTCGATGCTCGACGGGTATAGGCGTCCCATTCCTTCGCCGAAGTCGGGGTCGCTGTCGTGAATGACAACTTTCGGAGGCAATGGCTGTCCCAGGCAGATCGACTTTCGAGTGATGAAGTCGGGCTCCATGGCGGCGAGTCCGCGTGGCGGTCCAGTTCGAGGGGTGTACTACGTGGTTCGCGTCAAGACGGGTGTAGCGGTATGCGTGGTGCTGTGCAGAGAAGCTATCGCGATGGTCGGTGGTGACGGACGGAATGGGCGGGTTGGGGTGGAAAGGAAGGACAGTCAGGTGTGTCAGGTTGAAGGCGTCAGACTCGGAGTCAAAGTCAGATTCAGCTCGGCGGCAGTGGTTTGGTAAGCATGATAGGCCTAGCAGAGACTTGGACAACGGACAGACTGAAGCCCGAGAGTTCTCAGGGAACGGCCGCCTACGCAAACCGTCGCGAGGGTGTGCGATGCCCTTCTCCACTCTCGACATTCTAGACCGAAGACGACCGTCTAGCGCTCTTTGGCACTCTTGGCTACAAATCCCGACGTCACCGAGCCTCTGGCTACATTATCGCCCTCGATTCTGTTTTAAAGGCCCACAGACATCTGTAGTCCACAGGGATCCAGACACTGTCTCTTTGAATCGCTCGCAAGAGACGTCCGTCAACACCTACATCGACCTTCTCCAGCTCTCCCCACCATCCTTGGCCCCCTTTGCGCATCAAAGCTTAAGAACAAACACCATTGGCTAGCCGTTTTGCGCGACAAAAGAGAAAGAGCTACCCAAGATCCGCCGTGCCGGGTACCCGACGTCATGTCTTCATTGGTTCTTTGTCTTGCATCTTTGGCAAAGACCGTTCGCGCACGTTCTGCTCTTGGGAAGAACTCCTTTAACGTCGTCTCTACGTGCCATTCTTTCAACAGTGGAAGCCTCAAATCCGCCGTCCATCTTTTCTTCAAAAGGGGTGGTAGATCTTGCTTTCATGTCGATCATGGTAGATCTTTTGCTTCAACCTCTTTCTTGCGCGCAGTTCCACGCGACCGACTTTTCTGGCCATCATTAACTTTGTGCGCTACGCCGGCCGTCGTTGACATGTTTCTATTGGATCACCCGTACACAAACTTTGAGTACGAGTGTGGTCTATGATATGCTCATCTTCTCTCTCGCCGGCCTCTTGCTCCCTTGTGTAGAAGTCATGCAACAACATACGACCCTGGCGTTCGCGACAGGTCCAACCGAGCTAGTGCTGATCCCAATTCGGATCGGAGCTGCCTCTCCTTGCAGACCACTTCTGAAACGTGCTTCCCAAACTCTGCCAACACAGCATCAATTCTCCCTCACGTCGGTTTCCTCTTGTGCGTTTGTTTACTGCATTCACCACATGGTACCTTCGTACACCCGTTTGACTGGCTGTCATATTCTCTACAAAGCCTCTAGGAGATCGTCGATCTGTCCGCGGCCAAGCCGAATCGTTGTTAGTAAGTGGATAGGTTTGTAAGCGCCGCCCTTGCTCTTACACCAAGCTTTCTTAGGAGAGCAGTCCGATAGTCATGCCATCTAGTAGCAGTATATCCCCACAATTAGCGCTACGGAGACTGCTTGACCACAAGTCTCGTCGGGCAATGTTGACAGTCTTGTATGAAAGTATGAGATGAGGAAGTGAATTATTGGCATACTGACAATACTCACCGTTGTTGGCTTGATCCGGTTCAGCTCGGATTTCACAGGGTCTGTCCGACGGAGTTCTGTTCCGTGTACTGCGGCCGTTGCATGCCAAGTCACGGTCTCAGTTACCAAAGGTATTGAAACTCATCTGCGAATGGCAGTATAAGAAAGTGGTATCACCAGGCACCTCTTATATCTCTCGAGGCTTGGTTTTAATGCAAGTGAGCTCTTGAGACAATTACATCTCTGCCTTGCATCAACAAACGCCCCGCCGCGTCGCATTCGAATTGACTGGGCTGTGCAAAAGATGGACAATACTGCCAAACTCTATGTTAGGTGACGAGTCGCCTAGCAGTCTCGTTTATGCCTGTCAATTACTCGAAATCCTTCGCGCGTAATCAACCACGTTGCATCGCATATGAACCTCTACGACGCAGACCGGTTGCTTGTCTGTGCTCCTTCGTGCCTTATATCAGGGGCTCTGGGGCGCCAATTATCCTCTCTCAGGGCACAAACTCTCAGGGACCTTTACGGATATCACATTGGCAGCCATGCTGAGCATGACCATCTGGTGCTGTGGTACTAGACAGCCTTCTCGGAGGGTGCTCATATATGATTGGGTGTGCTTCGACAAGGCCTCTTGCTATGAGCATACAACATGCTGTAGGAAAACACATTCGATGACACTCGGTAATATTGATGTGGGTGTGGATTGTGGACAACAATCCCAGGAAGCCACATGCGCTCAGCAACGCCACATCCTTAAAGCTTCCAATGGCGCGAAACATGGAAGCCAACGATTTTCTTCCACAATCAAAGACATCCACCGGGCCAAGTCAAGTCAACCCTGCCGACCCTGGTGACTTCCATTCAAAATTTGACAACGACGTCCTCAGTCTTCTGAAATTTGTAGCAATAAGATATACTGACATCTCAGGTTATCGAGAACAACGGAGATGTATTCTGAGATATGCAGTAACACCCACAGCATCCAATCGACCGGCATACTTCAATACTCTGTCCAATACAATAATCCCGAGACACAACAGTCCCCGACGCCATGGAAACCGACCAAACAAAGCCACAAGAGAGAACCACTTGACAGCTAAACCCTCTGGCCATTCTGACTTCGACAACGCCAATCGAAGGATACTCGAGTAGAAGAAACCCGATATTCCAGAAAACCCACAATGTCACTTGAACCAAAAACAGTTTTCAATCTCTGCAACAACACGCTGCATACGCATTTAACCACATTTAACCATGATTGCTGTTCTATTGAGCCTCAAAATTCGAAAACGGGTTCACCTGTAAAAATGAAGAAACCATTGACTGCCAACGGTGGAAGCTTGAGGTTCTATGTCATTGTGTAGAGATAACAACATATTCTTGTTATAGCTTTCACTCCTCGGAGTATTGACAATGTAGGTTTTGAGTTGGGAGATTAGGCAGAAAGTTGTTGCTTGTTTGTCCTCGTCCCGCGGCTGTTGACCTTGACTTCATCCTAGCTTCGACACCCCTGCCGCAAACATCGACATAAGTTAAGCCTCGACAGCAAAATACCTGACCTTTTTTTTTCTCTCGAAGCAAACCCTTCGGCAAGCACATACATCTTCCATCCCGCTCAGAGCGACTAACCTCTGCACCGATACGCTCTCTGCTGTTCAGCAGCTGTTATGGTCTGCTTTGTTCCTTATACCTTATAGACGCCCTCCCCTAGGCGAACCATGGCTTGGTCACGATCGGAGAAGTTGACCATATAGTGTACTTCTTGCAAGACACAATCAACGTACGAAGATACGTTCAACTCGACAGCCCACGGGCATGGCACAGGTGGTGCTTATTGCAACATCCCCAAGGTCAAGTATGTTCAGATGCGTTTCAACCAATCAACCCTTTCGCATCCAATGATTTGACTACACTGTTGTGTGTCTGTAACAACTTATTGCGATCTGGGGCTTGCGAGTAAAGAGCAATACATCACGATAACGAGTGCTCTACTTTCGTCTACAGCATTACCTCAGAAGAAACAGAAGGATTGTTCAGAAAGTGGCTCAAGAATTCAGTCTCCATCTGGATAACGTATACAACCTGAATATCAATTCATGCAGTGATTGTGACAAGTGGAGATAATCACGAGAGTGATTTGAGCAGAGAGGAAAGAGCGATTCGCCTGGATCTCCATCGTAGCTCCTTTCCCCCCAACGTACGTCTTTGTCTGGTGCGAAATCATCCTTTGTTGTGCAGGTACTCCTATGACACCTATTGGTATTTCGCCGAACACTTCTCTGCTCTCAACATGCCTTGTTCATGAAGCGGAGGGAATCTAGCAATTTTTCCTGCTTCTGGGCACCACAAATTGCTCGTGTTCTGTCCGTTGTGTATCCATGATGTGGCTTGTCTTGCAGGATCATTACCGTCGTTGCGAGAGGCTGCCATCGATATGCCCAGTTGAAGTGCCCGATGCTCTCTCTATTGAGTCCGTTCAAGCGCTTTGTCATTGATGCTCCAGCAAGACTTCTGCTCTCATCGGTGTTGCCAGGTCGAGCACAGTGTAATCACGGCCTGGAGCAGTGTCTACAGAAGCAACAGTGTCAGAACCTAGCCCTCAGCTCGTCGTAATCGAAACGAATCACGCAACGATCGCCCTCCCAAAACCATTGCAACTATATGCGCAAAGCAATTACACCATCATCATCAAAAAATTACCATCACAAGCAATTGGCAAAACAAACGCCCCCTTTACGGAGGTGGAAAGAAACTAGCGTACCAGTTTCGTTTCTGAACTAAGGATGGAGTGTCAAGACTCTGGCATTGTCTTCGATGGCGAGGATCGAACCGATGACCTTCAGTGGAGAGAAGTACCAAACACGAGTTGGCGCTTCGCTACCACTGGGCCACCACCGCTTGTCGGTAAAGCGATGGCAATGTTGGAGGGGCTGCGGGGTGGTGGGTATATAAGGGTTGAAGTGACGGTTGGCTGGAATGGGATGGCTCCAGAAGTGAAGTGGTCCAGATGCGCAAACAAGCAATTCGAGCGATAGTTTGCGGTTGAGATAGGCTTACGCGCGCGTGAACATGTGGATATGGGGAGCATCCTGTGGCTGTGACATCTGTGACATACTGACCGTATATGGCTGAGGTCAAGGTCTCTACCTCTTTCCTCCTCTTCCACCTCTACCGCCACCTCTACCACCACCTCGTCCGCCCTTACCGCCTCTTCCTCCTCGTCCCGAGCTCTTGGGTCCAGTGATGCCTTCCACATCCCTCTTACTCAGCTTCAGAGTACCACCGCTGAATCTTCCCACACTCGGATTGCCAATTCCCCGTTCTCTTTTGCTACCACCACCTCCAAAGCCACCTCCTCTTCCATCTGTTCCTTCCTTCCTAACCCTTTCAAGCACAATTCCATTCTCCTTGGCCTCCCTCCTCCTCTCTGCCTCTTTGTTCTCCTTTTTCTTTTGAATGCCGACTCGTTGGTGTTTAGGCATATTCTTTTGAGCGAAAATGGACGTCTTGGAGCCGAGTTCGAGGAGACGGAGATCGGTGGCTTTATGGCGGTTCTTGCCAGAAGGGTCGGTAGAGGAGAATGAGGAGTCGAGGAGATGTGATTCTTTGAGCAGGCGTTGAAGGGCGAGATCGTTTTTGAGGTCGTCTTGTTCGGTGGGGTTGTCGGCGTCGTCTTCTTTCTTTTTCGTCGGTTGTTTGGACGTGGTGGCAGGCGCGTCTGAAGATGTTGGTGGTTTCGAGGACTGTTGCCGCGCATGTTAGCTATGGGTTCCTGGAAGTGGAGACGAAGAGTGATGGTACCATAAATGCTTTCAGCGCTGCCTTGTCTGCTCGGTCGCGCGAGAAATTTGACATGTTGTGTTCGACCACTTCGATCTCATCCTCATGGTCCTCTTCCTCTTCTGAAATGCCATCCCAGTCTTCATCTTCTTCCTCATCGTCCTCCTCTTCAACTTCTGCTTCCTTTGGCTTTTCCTCTTCTATCGCTTTGAATCTCTTCTCAAAAGCGCGGCGGAATGCCTCGTTCATGGCTTCTCTATCTTCCGCATCTGATTCTGCTGCTGGCGCCGGAGGTGGTGGTGCTGGCTTTGCGATTGTTGCTTTCTTTGAGGGAGCTGCTGATTTCGTTGTAACAGTGCGCTTGCGCTTTCCTAATGCGAGCGACATATCTACTGTGTATGATGCGATAGTCAAGTGTGGTTACAGAAGGTGCGGAGGACAAAACAAAAAGAATAAATTCATCTGCAAAGGGTCTCGGGGAAGCCAAGACTTCTCCGCTCCGCTCCGCATTCATCACTCCACCACTTCTTATCTTCCTAGACAGTTTCCTGCTGCAGTGACACACATGCACTATGATTCTCTGATTGAGTGGCGACAAACTTTAGCATATGGGAAAGACATTTTGCATTATCTCTTCGCCTGGTATTGATCTACCTGATTCCTTTCGCCATAACACAAAGCGATGAACTTTCCTATCGTGAGAGCGATCAGATAGCCCTCCCATGTCGTTTTCCAGCAGTATTGTGGCGCTTCGCCGTCCTTGGTAGTGTATGCTTCTTCGCCGTCCTCGGTAGTGTATGGTTCTTCGTGCTCTTTCTTTCTTCGAATTTGTCGTGAAAACGTGCAAGTCATGGCATGAGTACAGCTCGGGAGTAAGTGCTTCACTCAGCAGGAGGAGGAATTGGTGGGTTGGTGGGAACAATCACCAGTCCAGTAGTTCTGTAAAAGATGGTGTTGTCCACGCTTCACAACGTTAGTAAGATCTCTGAAACACTATCAACATTGTACTCACATTTGGTTTAGCTTGTAGCTGAAGCCGTCCAACATGGTCTTCTCCTTGAACCCCCAGGACTCGAGATATGGAGCTACCCACTTCTTGTTGCCTTCGAGTTCCGAGTGCATCAAGTTGATCATGATGCGCGACACAAGACGTTGAGTACCGAGTCCAATCTTGTCATCGATTTCGTAGCCACCGCGCTCGATGTAGAACTGATCCAACAGCCCGAGGAGCTTGTCCATGAGGCATTTGCTGACACCTGAGCGTGTAGACTTGCGAGCCGCGCTGACGAACATGCCGACTTCAACAGTAAAGCGCATTGCCGTTCTCGAGCCGCATACATCGTCTGCGGAAGCGAAGCCCAGAACCGTGTCGATACAAGCTCGATCCTTGTAACGATTCCTGCCACCATATCCGATAGGCGAGCAGGCGACCAGGAATGGCAGGTGGTTGCTTCGAGAGCTTTCCCATCGGGCCTTCATGTTCTCAATAGTGATGGGCACCAATTCCGGAGTGCACACGCTGTTCAGGACATAGTGGTTGTAAATGTCCGTCATCTGGGGGATGTCGCAGAGCTCAGCCATGCGAATGAATAGACTGAGTACAGGCTTGATGGTGTTGTCGATCATGGGTTCCTCGCCGATGAACGACGGTTCCTTAGGTGGTTCGTCATCTCGCTGCTTTCTACCCTTGTCCTGGCCACCAGCCTTTCGTGCAAAGCGGGCCATCATGAATCCGTTGGGGTTTTGGAGGTATTGGTTGGTCCAGCCCTGGCTACCACGGTCGTTCTCGCGCGCTTCTTTGTCTTGGGGTGTGTCTTGGCTTGTGTCGCATTTCTCGTGCTCTGGCTGCTTCGGGAAGAGCTGGACTGCAGCGTGATTGACGAGATAGCGATCCCAGAATGGACGTCGATCCCCGAAATCAGACTCGTCCTGTGGTTTAGGAGGCCCGTTCAGTTGCTGCTGCCAGAACGACTGCAGGTTCTGGCCATGCTCGAATACCTGGGGTACCCATGCGCGAGGAACCAGTTCTCCCATGAGCTTCTCGTCATGCTTGGGGGGCAGAAAGTAGAGCTGACCCGAGGCAGAAAGATGCCTAGGCACACTGAACGAGAAGTTGGAGGACCCCTTGCGAACAAGCGATGCCTGCATGTGACTTGATGTTGCGCCAAAGGGCTTTGGTTCGACAGGCACTTGTTCCTGCCAGCGTTGGATGGTTGCTTGAAGATTGGGGTTCTTGTAGATCGGGCGCTCGAACCAAATAGGCGGCTCGGTATGCTCGCCTTGCCATGAGTAGAACAACTGAGGGTCGAGTTTGTCGCCGTAGTCATATTGCAGAGTGGGAACTGGAAGCGGCCCCACGACATTGGCTGTCATCTGTTTGAGCTCTCGATTGCTGATCCATGCTGATTTCTTCTTTGGGGGCATGATGATGTTTGGTGTTTTGATGCGCAATGTGGAATAATGTGTGGCGTTTGGAGGAGGAAGTCGAGGATGAGATGGATAAAAAGTCGAAGTGCGTGCGTGCGCAGTCAGTCGCGGCTACCTGCATTCACACAAGAAGTGAAGTGAAGTGAAGTGAGCGTCGAAGCAATCAACTCTCACACGTCGTCACTTGTCTTTTCAACGCCTGCCGCAATGCAGAAATTTATCTCGAAACAGGCGATTGTCCGAGGAGAGCTGCAAAGCATGTTGCAATCTAAGGCTCGCGGCGGACCCTGGCCCCTTTTCGAACACCCTCTTGTCTTTCTACAGTTGTGAAATCACAGGCTTGTTCCGTACGTGAGAGCCAAAATGCCTACAGTGACTGATAGTTTGTAACCACAAGCTCGCTAGATACAAACTTAAACCTGTTACTTGCTTTCACAACGCAGCAGTTTTTCCTACCATTGTCCAACGAGATGTCAGAAGACATACGACCGCTGCTCTTGTCTAGACACCTTCCAGCCTTGCTATAGCTGGTTTTTGGGCCTGTTGTTCGGAATCACGATCATACTACTTGCTGTCCGTGGACCCTTGGTCTTCTCCGAAATAAATCTTGTCGTCTTACAAATGATGAGATTCAGGATTATATCGAGGGTTATGAGCTGAAGTGCTAATTCCTGGAACCAAGCTATGCTTGTGTTCAACAAGCACGAGGTCGCCCAGGCTTTCTGGCCTGCATTCATCACAACTAATACATCGTTCAAACCGTCAACGAGCTTCCTCTCTCATATCCATTCTATCCACATTCTTCGCCTCAGAAAAATGAATAGGATTCCTGCCGGCTGTCTTTGTTCCACAGCTGCTGTGTTTGAGGAAAGCGACAGTGGCTGCTTTGCTTGTCGAGATGAAAAGATCCAGTGCCACACTGCTTGGTGATAATATGGATGTAGGAGCAGTCGCGCTTCTGCTTGCTACCACACAGCCCGGAGATGGCTCTGAAGTAGGAGCAATCAATCGCAGAGCTCTGGCTGAGCAGAGCTGCAGCTTTATTCTCAGGCGGCTAGGACTGCAAAACGCTGACGATAGAGCTAGCTCTAGACGAACTCGAATCACGAGGCGAATGAGCCGCTCCGGAAGTTTGGTAAGTATGAGCACCTCAAAGGAGGCCAGTAATGCTTTTGGCAGTATACTAGTATGCCAGCGACCGCAAAAATGTTGATTAGGTATCTTGCCACTCTAGTCATACCCTGAAGTCACAAGTTTGCTTGATACGTGATCATATTTTTTCTCTCTAAGCCAAGGAAGAATCTTTGTTAGCACCATTTATACAAGTCCAGTGAAATGGACAACGAAATGAACAATGATAGGTGTACAACTGGGTTTACTGTGAGGGCCAGCCAGTGCCTTTTGATGATCATGCCTTCCTCTTCATCTGACATTCAGTCAGTCGAAATTGAGACTAAACATTTTTTGGAAGGCACGTGACCTGCTCTTGTTCTTTCTGAACTCTTCCAACTCTGTTTCTCACTTCCGTCATCATACATCATTTGAGTAACCGTTTCCAGGCAGAATGTTGTCAATACTGCGAAAAGCGCGTCTCAAGGACAAGGAGATGCGAATCCTGATGCTGTGGGTGAATTTTCAATGGCGCAGCTGAATGAGGCTAACCATCGACCAGTGGACTCGACAACAGCGGCAAGACGTCAATAGTGAAGAATATCATGGGCGAAGACATCAACACAGTCTCGCCAACTCTAGGCTTCATCATTAAAACAATCGATTATGATGGGTGAGGTTGTCTGGCCATTTTGGAGCAAGGATGTGGAGCTGACAGCTGAGGTAAACAGATACAAGCTGAACATCTGTAAGGGAGCCAGCCCAGTTTTCGAGCTCGAGATGCCGATACCGAAACTTACACGGCACAGGGGACGTTGGCGGGCAGAAGACGCTTCGGACATACTGGAAGAACTATTTCGAGAAGACGGACACGCTTATATGGGTCGTCGACGGCACGGATCGGGAACGAATTGACGATTGTCGACAAGAACTGGAGGGGCTGCTCCTGCAAGAGGTAAAAGGCTCAGCAACATTGCACGAAGTGGGGACTGATTCGAACGGCAGCGGTTGATGGGAGCCAGTCTGCTCGTGTTCAAGAACAAGAGCGATGTGTCAGGATGCATGGATTCGGACGAAATACGCAAGGTTTGACGTTCCCTCGCCAGCCGCAGCGGGGTCCCTTTGTTTATCCACGCAGCATACTGACTCGGAATCGCAACGCAGGCCTTACGACTCGACACGATTCACACGCACAGGTGGAACATTATGGAGTGCAGCGCATTGACTGGATTGAACCTTCAGGAAGGCCTCAAATGGGTAGTGCAAGACGCCAAGGACCGGCTCTTTTTGTATTGAGGGGCTGGGAGATTGTGTATCGAATCTTCTATAGGAGGAGGAAGAGGATGATTAGGGGCAGATCTGGCATGAGCAGACCCCTGATCTCAAATACGCAGTCAAAAAACAATCAAAATATATGAGGAGTGCACAAAGATGTTCTGCAGGGAAGTTGACGGAGGTGTTTCAAGAGCGAACGGGGAATAGAGGGCTTGGCACGGCGCGTTTAGAGATGCGGTCGGGACGGTTGGTGGATTCAGGACGGGTACACAAATAAATGTCAACAAGACGTCTTTAGTGTGTCGTTGGTTGACTGTTGAACCCTTTTCTCCCGTCACAGTCGCCAGACGCTTCCAATCCAGCATTGAACCATTGATCGATAGCAGCGTCATCTACCGTATGGATTAGATACCATCATTACCTAGACACCTAGAAGATACGAAGACGCCATACGCCATGGACGATAGCCCCGATCTCGATACAAACGCCTTCCTCGAGAGCGTCCGCGAACTCAAGGAGAAGAGACAGAGGGAAGACAATGAGCGTCAGGAGCAATTAGAAGCCCAGATCGCGAGTTCACGACTCGCGAGGAAGTTGGGTGTGTCACACGAGCGCCAGATCCCCCAAACACTCCAGGTCGTTGTTACTGACAGGTCACGCAGAGAGAGAACGAGAGATGGCTTCACCACACATGTCGCCGTCAACGAGTCCGCAAAGGGCCTCCCCTAGCAGCGCCGTGCCATCTCGCGCCAGCACACTTTCGCGCCCGCCCCGCAGTCGGCCCATGTCTGTTGACATGGGCTCACCCACGAGGGCCTCGTCCATCAGGCCCATGAGCATGATGTCCATCCCCGAGAAGGGCGCGCCTCTTCCCTCACGCGACTCTCAGCGCTTTGCCGCACCGGACAGTGCCGACCCTGGACTTGGTCGAACCATGTCGAGTGCGCAAAGCCGTCTGGATCGCCCCAGTTCGCGTCCTAGCTCGCCAACCAAGGGCATGGGTGGCTTTGTTCAGAGTGCCATGCTCAAGCGCAATGACAGTGTCAACAAGAGATGGAGTGTCACAGCCGGTCCCTCGACTCTGGCCCGCAATGATTCGACTGCCAGTTTCCGCAGTGCTACCAATGCCGATGAAACTCCTTCTCGCCCTTCCTCGAGCCATAGCACCATCAGCAACCTGAACATTGCCCCTGAGTCGGACATCAAGGAGGAGAAGTCGGAGAGACCGCTCAATACCAGACATTCGCGCTCAAGATCATTGGCTTCCTTCTCCGGACAGGAGCCCATCCCGGAAGGTCTTATGTCACCACCCCTCAGTCCCAACAAGAGATGGAGTCGCAGTCCAACCAAGGCTAGCTGGCTTGAAAGTGCCCTCACCCGTCCAGACTCGCCCAAGCCCCTCGCATCAGCACAATCGAATCAACCTAGTTGGATGGCAGATCTCGCAAAGGCAAAACAACAACGGGGCACTGCTGAAGCCTCGCCATCACAAGAGAACATCGATGCTGCAAAAGCCCAAGACACACCCACGTTTGGCCAAGGCCTGCTGAAGAGGTCGTCCATGAGGCACACTCCAACTCACTCTCCCAGTGCTTCAAGAAACGTCACTCCCCCTACGAAGGCTAAGCCTGTTTCTCTCGTCGGCAAATCTGCTCTCCCCGAGCCTTCCACTCCCTCACTCAACTTGACGCCCAAACTTCCCGAGAAGACGGGATCCGAACAGCAAGAGCCGGTAAAAGAAGTACCTAAGAGAGAGGAGAACGAGAAGGAGTTGCCTGTGGAGGAGAAGGTGAATGACAAGAGTTCCGACAAGAAGGAGGCTACACCTGAGAAGGAAGAGTCTATCAAGCCAGTCCCTTCTAAGCCCAGCGCGCTTTCCTCAAGGGTCACCGAGAAGGAGCCAGCCAAGCCTGCTGCGCTGAAGTCGAGTGTCTTGTCGTCGGCTCCTACCCTTCCTCCCAAGCCACAAGCATCCGACTCTCTTGATACAACTGCTTCTTCATCGCCCAGATTCCCTGCCCTGAAGTCACCAGAAATGAGATCAGGAGAGTTCAAATCGCCTGAACTGAAGCAAGAAACTACACCCAAGACCGACTTCCGTTCCGGTTTGAAATCTCGAAGCGGTACCATCGGAGCGCAGACACAGCAGGAGCCCGAGTTCAAGGCCTTGTTTGGCAAGCTTAAGAAAGCTCAGACTGAGAAGTATGTGGCCCCTGACGAGCTGAAGAGCAACATTCTTCGCGGCAAGGCAGGCCTATCTCTCAGCGCTGGTCCTCAAAAGACAGAGCGACGCGATGAGTTGAAAGAAAGCTTGTTGAAGAAGAAGGAAGAGATGAACAAGGCCGCCGTGGAGAAGCCTGCGCCTGAGCCCAAAATCTCCCCTGCCCCTTCATCTGTACCAGAGGCACTTTCGATCAGAAAACAACTTGGCCGTTCTAACAGCACGCTTAACGTTCCTGCGCCTGCCAAGTCGCATAGAGACATTACGCCTGAGGCACTATCGTTCCACAAGAATCTAAGAGGCAAGCCCAAGGCCCCTGAGAAGAGAAGCAGCGTTACAGAAAAGGTGGAGCTGAAAAGAGCTTCTCTTGAAGCAAAACCATCCGTTGTCGCATCTGACGAGAAGCCCGCCGAGGAAGCACCTACTGCGCTGAAGAGCGAAGAGAAACCTGAGCCCAAGAAACAAGAGCTTCCCGAGCCAGAAAAACGTGAGCTCCCCAAGCCAGCAACACAGGAGCTTCCTAAACCAGTACAGCAGGAGCCATCTAAACCCCAGGCGCAAACAAGACCTATGTCGAACAAAATCGCCGATCGTTTCAACCCAGCTCTCGCAGGACTGTTAGCGCGTGGCCCACCGAGCACGTCGAATACACCTCCATCGGGCTCTCCATTCTCTCCTCCTGCGATCAACCGCGCTTCAACTACACAAGACCAGGAACCTGGAGAAGGCACTCAGCTTACACACATGACCAAGAGTCGTGCCAAGGGTCCCAAGAGACGTAAGCCCAAGTCGAGCGCACCTGCAGAGACTGTCAAAGCAACACCTGAGCCCGAAAAGCGCATCTCATCCATCAACTCGGCAAAGTCAATCGACCTATCATCACCGAGCTCGCCCGTGACTAAGACTCCCGTGCAACCTCGACCAAAATCCGCAGCCGTGAGGGCTGCTTCCATCAATCTCTCGAAGCCACCTGTTGCCGAAACCGAGAAGCCAAAGACACTTACACCGACAAAGTCAATGACATTCCCTTCTGTCCAGTCTGAGAAGCCAAAGACTCCCGTCTCGGCCAGATCATCTCTTGAGGTTTCGACAACAGCAGGTGCAGAAAAGCCTAAGCCAGTCACACCCGTGAAGCCAGTTCTGAGCACTCCTTCGCCGATGGTTTCTGACAAACCCCCGACACCCGCCACTGTCAAGACACCTCTTCGCACTCCTTCATCGACAATTACTGCTAGGTCCACGACACCCATCTCTGTCAAGACTCCTCTTCGCACTTCCTCGGCTAGCTCTTCGGTGAGCGCACAATCAATACCGAACGTTGTAACTCCTGTTTCGGCGGCTCGCCAGCCATCTGGCTTCAGTCGACCCCTCCCTTCCAAGCCTCTTCCGAGCTTGGGCATGGCTGCCTCGAGGTCACAAGACAAGCCTTTGCCACCGCTGAACACAACTGAGGCAGATAAGGAAAACCAAAGTTTCGCGTCAGTCAAGAGTGCGGCATCGATGTGGGGCAAGCCAGTACAGCAGACAACACCACAGAAACGTGCTCCTATTGAGTTGCCCACCAAGAAGGACGAAGAGGCCGCAATGCTGTCTGCAGGACTCCTCTCGAATTCACCCCTTAGATACAATGCATCGCCAAAGATGGGACTTGGTATTTCTGAAGACTCCATCAAGTCGCCCAAACGGACCAACGGGCATGAGCAAGTACAATCACCCAGCTCAGGAGCACCACCCAAGCCAGCGAAGAGCTCGAGAATTGTCAGCGGTCAATTGAGTACCAAAGGTGAGTCTTAGCAGTAGTACATCTGCCAGAGTGCAAGCACAAAGGAAAAAGAATCTTGATTCATGTTTTGAAGTTTTGTCTTTTTGTCCAAATTTCTGATTGCTTCTGAGCAGTTTGAGCCACTCTTTGCGATGCTATACCAACGCCCACGGAAGGGACTGAGAAGCTGACGTGTATCCTGGAATTCGATAGACCTACCTCATTTGCCCGACATGATTGACCTTCCAGCTGGCCGCGATCTGTCCGACTTCTTTGGCGAAGTGCCCAAGTCGCATAACCAATTGCAGCTCAACACCGACACTCAGACAGTGCTGCGTTCTAGGTCGGGAGAATCCGACAAGATCAAGACTCTGCGATCGTCAATCCAAGAAATCAAGTCGGATGGTACTCTGATACCCCTTCCGGCACAACAGGAGCATATCTTGTACGAGAACTCGATGTACATTTGCACTCACATCTTCTACACTGCCAACATGACTAGGATGGCGGAGGTGTATCTCTGGTGTGGTGATCGCATATCGGAATCAACTATTCATGAAACACAAGTCCATGCCAAGCGCATCGCTAGAGAGGCAGGAGCTGGCCAAAAGTATGCACCTTCCAGTTCTACGACTTCTCGTACAAAGGAGCTAACGTCTTCCAGGTCAACACAGTTGTACATTATTGATCAAGCTCGCGAACCAGCAAACTTCTTCCAAGCACTCGGTGGTATTGTGATTACACGCCGTGGTTCACGCGCAGAGAGCTCAACAGCGCCATACATGCTTTGCGGACGCCCACACATGGGCCACATTGCCTTTGACGAAGTCGACCGTACCAAAAGCAGTCTCTGCTCTGAGTACCCGTACATCGTCGCCCGTCCCATCACTCTCCAGGAGACAAAGATTTGGCTATGGAAGGGCAGTGGTTGTGGCGCAACCGCTATTGGGAGCACTCGTTTGATCTCCATGGACCTGAACCCTGGTGGTGGATTCACCGAGATCGACGAAGGCAAAGAGACAGCCGAGTTTCTCTCGGCGATCCACGATTCTGGCAGTGAAAGCGTTTGTCAATCTCCAGCATTGTGGAAAGGAAAGAGCGGCAACTGGGAGCATTCCTCGGTCCGCTTGTTCAAAATCGAGACACAAGAGAAGCCCAAACAAACAGCCACATCACTGTTCACGAGCTATTTCTCCCGTCGCCCTTCATGGAGCGCACCCAAGTCTCCTTCCACCGACCGCCCCAACAGCTCCGGCTCCAACAAATCACCCACCACCGAGTTCGAAGCCTCAATTTCAGAAATCGCACCGTTCACTCAAGATGACTTGGAACCAGAAGGCTGCTACATCCTCGACGCCAACTCAGAAATCCTCGTCTTACCCGGACCTCTGCTTTCAAAGCAGGCATTATGGCAACATGCGTTCGTTCAAGCATGTTTGTTCTCTCACGACTATGCCATCCTCTCTGCTAGTTTGGAAGACAGACCTGCTATCCCCAAGGCTAGAGTCGTACTTGGCGGTTTGCCTAGAGAAGTCAAGGTGAAATTCAGACGTTGGGAGGAAAGGAGAGGGCTTTGGGGTTCTGGCGGCTTGATGGCTGGAAGAGTCGGTGGTGAGCAAGGGGGTATGGTTGAAGTTAGAGATGTTTTGGGTATTTGTTGTGGGCTCTGAGTGAGCCCTTGATCTTTGTCTTTGGTTGTCTTCGGGGCTGTTTGCGAGGTGTTGGGTCGAAGTTTTCCATGGCTCTGGGTTGAATGGGCGGTTATTGCATGCATGGTGCTTTGGAGGGTAGAGGGAGTCGTTGTTTCCTGGACGCACATGCATGGATTGGGTGGGGTGTGGCTTTTCGGTTTTTTTGTTCACTCCTAGCATTTTATTGCCTCTTTTTCGTATTGTTCAATTATCGTCATCTTCGTCTTGCCTGATAAGTTTTCGATATGTGATTTTGGTATACTGTAGTGGAAGAAGGTATGTCAACGCTTGATCGCCCATTCCCGCTGCAGGAGCAAGGTTTTGAGGTTCTTTCCTCTCGCTTTGCTGAGACTGCTCAGTTCTCGTTCCTTCTCCGTTCTCGGCGTTGCTCAATCGCTGCATTCATCTCTCCTTGTCCGACCGACCGACCGATCGTACCTGCCTGACAGAAACAAATCGCCAGAAGACCAATCACTCTTGCTACATGGTCTCACCCTCCAAATTACAAATTTGTGCTTCGTCTTCCTGAAAGTTACACGGGTTTACTCTGCTGTTTGTTGACAGCTATTTGTACTATACAGCTGACATCAATCAAGTGTGTGTACCTACGAAGATAATCAAAAATCGGGGTTATCTTGAGCATGACAGCGAAAGCTCCAGAGAGAGATGGTGCACTGATAGATTGATTTCTTTCTCTCTTCTTCAAATCCGTCTCGTAGCTATCGCGATCATGGCTTTGACGAAGGATGATAGAAAATGTTTATTAAAAGGTGCTTGCTGGATGTTGGTTTCGTTGTGTCACCGCGATAGATTGATGTTGATATGATGAATGGGGCCGGGAACCTATTTTTATGGGAAGGAGTGATGGATGTGATGTGCTCTTGCTTCGTTACTGTTAGCACAAACACAGTGCAGTTATGTGAAGGGAAGGGAAGGACTTCGCCACGACAACAGATCAGTGGCAGCGACACAGACCAGCAATAAGGAGAGGGGGGTGACAAAGGAAGATAGCTATTCGACAACGGGCTCAAGAGGAACAGGAACATAAGATGGGAAAGAGCGAAGGAAGTATGTGGACGACAAAAATTCTTGTCAGTGTTGGTGTGATGTGATTCCTTTGCTATGCTACTACACTAACTACCAAAAGGTGGCCTGCCTTATTTTTTTCGTGTTCTTTTTTTGCTGTCGATTTTTATTCCTCCCATTCCTCCGCCTGGACCCATATCGTTCTGTCCAATGCAAGCCATTTATCCTCCACTTATGCATTTCGACCTTCAAGGTCTGTTATTGGAAGAAAATCACAGAACTCCTCCCAAGATGCAATCATCAATTCCCTGATGTTCGGAAAAAAATGAGCGCCAGTTGTTTGCTCTCCATGATTAAAAAACGCCATAGAACTGGGGCTGAACCTCTTTTCCATTTCCGAGGCCCGCGGGGGGGTATTGTTGTTGTGTAAAAGACAAGATGCTGTTTCGTTAGTAAAAAATCATTCCGGATGGTTTTCGAAGATCGTGCCACACATCTACCTGAGATGTGGGTGTGGTTGTTGTTTGTGCAAGTGGAAAGAACAATTGACATGGGGTTGAGAAGCCGCTTATTGGTCATCCTCCTCGTCTTCGTCGTCACAGTCGCGTGCTGATGAGCCACCCTTGCGATAGTAGGCGACTGTGGCACCGAACACGTTTCTGTTGTCTGCGTCGAGAGCGGCGGCGACACCATTGTCCAGGGTAATCATGTTGACAGATGCCTTTGTGGTGACGGCATACATGTTGAGGTTGTTGTTACTACCCTGGAGACCAATCATATTCTGTTGACAGTTATTGGTGGCGACGCAGTCTTGGCTGTAGTTCTCGAAGAACGAGTAGAGGCCGAGGCCGTGGATGAAGACGTTGGTACTGTCAATGACACGAAGACCCCATGACTTGTAGCAGGGTGCTGAAGGGTTCTGGGAAGAACAGATCGAGAAGGTGGGGTCTGAGGGACGCTGGGGCACGAAGGGAGCGGGTGCCTTCGGGTTCGACTGGAAGTAGGGTGTCTCAGATTGGATCATGCCCATGAAGACGTTCTTTGCGTTGCGAATTTCGTAGTTGTAGAACACATTGTGCTCAGATGAGGTACCGTAAAGCCAGACAGGACCTTGAGACTCGATGTAGACACCACGACCATTGTAGATATTGATCTGGTTATGGTCAGGAAGATCAAGCTCGTGATCAGCGACCCAGAACCAAGTGTTCTCGAGGTAGACGCCGGCAGACTTGGTGCCAGCCCAGAAGAGCATGTAAGCACCCTCGCAGGCGGTGTTGACAGCGGTCGATGAGGGGTTCTTGGAGCACTTGTCGCTCTGCAGTCCAGTGCCTGCACTACCGCCAATACGTACGTGAGCATCCCAGATGCCTGACGCACCTTGGGCGGAAGCCATGTTCCACTTGAGCATGATAGCACCAGGGGCTGGGCCCTTAGTCTCGAACATTAGATCGGTAATCTCGACAGCGCCGGCCTCACCAGCCTTTCCAATGTCGAAGACGGGTTGGGGGTTGCTAGGGTCGGCAAAGAAGCTGCCAGTTGCCATGATCAGGGGCCAGATCTCACCGGTCATCTTGATCTTGTTGGGGACGTTGATAGTCTTGCTGACAACATAGGCACCGTGGTCGAAGTACAGAATCTGGTTGGAAGTTGTACCGGCCATGGCCTTCTGGATGGCAGCAGTGTCATCGGTGACACCATCACCCTTGGCACCGAAGGACTTGACACTGATGAAGGAGCTGGCGGGCAGAGACTCGTACTGAGGCTTGGAACGCTCGAAGAACTTGCCAGAAGCATCGAGAAGGGCGGCAGGCTTGGAAGTAGCTGCGAGAGGACCTTGGACACGAGAGCCGGAGGTACCGGCGTATTGACGGCCCTCACCCCAAGAAGTAACAACCTTGCCACCTGCGAGAATGGAGCTACCATCGGCCGAGGCGACAGCGATAGGCGAGCCTGAGAAGTCAACATTGTCGATGATGAGAGTGCCTGCGGTGGCAGGGGCGCTGTTGGAGGTGAACGAAGTCTTGACACCGATGGGAGTGTTTGTCAACTTGGAGTCCATGAGAATGACGGAGCCAATCAGGATGTTTGTTGATCCACCGTTGGACATGTCGAGACCGACGCCGCAGTTGTTGATCGAGACAGACTTCAAAGTCCAGGCCCAGTTCCAGTTCATGAAGATGGCGGTGTTGCAGTTGTTGAACGTCCAGTTACGAGAGGTGAATTGCTGGTTGCCCAAGAAAGCACCGTAGTTACCGCCGTTGAAGACCAAGTCGCTCATGAAACCACCGGAACCATTGTCCATGAAGATACCGACTTGCTTGGAGGCAGAGCCAGGAATCATGTTGAAGACAATGTTCTGGAGAGAAGTGGCTTGGGCGACCTGCCAGTGAATACCAGCACCGGCTGTCTGAGGCATGCCAGTCAGATCAATCTTGAAGTTGCGGACTTGACGGAAGAAGTTGTTCTGGTTGGTGAACATGTTGGCACCACTGCTGTCGTAGGGGTCCGAGTCAAGAACGGCCATGCCTTGGAAACCAGTAGTGGCCTTCAGAACAGGCAAGTTGAGCGCGTCTCCGACGAGCTGAGTGTAGTACAACATGACAATGGGTTGGGATACCATGTAGGTACCAGGAGGGAAGTAGACGAGTGCCGGCTTGACTGTGCTGCTGTCACAGCCCCAGCCGCACCTGCTGCCTGCAGCAATTGCGGCGTTGATGGCGGCGGTATCATCTGTAGAGCCATCACCCTTGGCGCCGTAGTCCATGACATTGCGGTAGACTGCGTACGAGGAATCGCTGCCGTATGCCACAGATCCTTGACGTTTGATGTTTGCGAGCCAATAGTTTGAAGACGTGGCTCTCTTGACCGATGTGACGGGAGAGGCCGACGTCTGGGATGGCGCAAGCACCAGGAGCAAGGTAAACACGGCGGTTACGACGCTAAATAGCGAGAGCGGGCTAAAAGCGCGCATGGTGAAGTTTGTGATGATGGTTGATTCGGAGGTTGGTTTGAGAAAGGAAGAGAGCTTGAAGGGTGTAAAAGACTAAGTCGTTGTATCAGTGGCCTGCACTGAAGAAAGATCTCGAAAGTTGTTGTTGTGTCGAGGTGGAAAAAGTGCGAATGCGATAGGCGAATTTTCAAAACAATGGAGCGAATGGAAAGCTTTTGAAGGGAAACAGTCTCGAAGAGTCCGGTCTTCTGACTTGGAATAGTCTCAAATGTCAATAGCACCTGACAGCAACAATGACAAAGATGTATTGTTGTCCAGCAAGATACTTGTATTGATCAAGTGAACAGCGATTCGGCCGAGAAGAAACAAGAAACAAAGAATGACAGTGTGTTGAAGAAAAGAGGGAACGCGCGTGACAGGCAAGAAGGCAGAGGCAAAGGTAACCAGCCCTTTTTGAATATGCTGGATGGAGGGGGAATGGAACGGACTCACCTTGCAGCAGTATTGGGTCTCGAAGTGTGTAAGAACCCTTTCCCTCGCGTGTTTCAGCTTGGGATGAATTGAAGCTCTGCTCCTTTGCTGGTTGGAAGGAATATGCGCGCTCTTTCCACTTTATAGATAGTTCTTTCTGCACCGTTGCAAGTTCCGCAACAACCATATCCGGGGCTTGATTACTTTAGATTCTCGAATGGCTACGTACGGGCGGCTCAATTCACAGAATCACCACGTTTCTCGCTGCTAGCCTGCTATGTTCTCGCTCGGAATGCAGTAGCACACTGGCAGGCGGGGCTCAACGCGGTCGACGCGCCAGCGATTGGCAGCCCACCAAGGTATGGTCAAGGGTCTTGACTCTGATAAGTGCTAACGGCAAGGGGGCGTCGTCCAAGAAACACCAGTCTACGGCAGTCAAGTGTTTGGTGAAGAGTGGTGTGCAAACGTCTTTTTCCATGTAGAGCAATGACGAGGTGCTGTTGGCTGGCCTCCCGCAGTTGCCAATTTGCTGAAACGTTCAGGTGCTTCGGCCACGCGCCCGTTGTTTCTCGACGGCACACACGTGCTTGTGCTCTCGTCACCCGGGGAGCCAAAGATACACTGTCGGCTCCGATGAAACGGGAATGGCAATCGACAGTGCTTCGAGTGGTGGCGGAGTTGGACCTGCTAGATCTGCCTTTGCCGTGCGTACATGTCGGCGACGACGGAAGCGACGGAAGGCCCGTAGCGCTGCTCCGTGTGTCTCTGCTGTCGCTCGCCGAACAAGTGCGTTGCGACACCAAATCTCCGCCTCGCCACAACCAAAGACACGTCTAGATGTGTACTTCACCAGCATAGCAGAACGCCACGGCTTGAGCAACACATCACTCTTTGTGAGCGCGTGGATGGTGCTCGTGCAACCATGTCTTTCACTAACAACCCCACACGGTACTACATGACTGCTTGAGCCTCCTAGCAGATCTGCCGACCATACGCCAGACATAAGCGACGAGTGTCATATCAAAATGAGACGCACGGTCACAAGAACGCTTTCACCACTTGGCTTCCAAGATCGATTCTCAGCGCTCACTAAACTCGTCACCCTTATTTGCTCCCCCTGGCTTCAGAAAGAGATGGAAACAACCAAGCGGTCAATCTAGAGCTCGCCTAGAGATCATGTCCGAACGACTCTCGCACCCGATTCGGCCTCAGCAAGATTGCACTGGAACAGCACACTCAAGCATCGACCTAGTACAGCAAGACCCTTAGCTACGGCAGCTTCCCATCCGAGGTTATCAGCGTCGAGGGGTGAATCAGGGTCTGTTTGACGTCGCTGGATCTATGCAGATCACTTTAGTCGTGTTTCGTCCGAGGCGGGCTCATCTATGAGTGTCGCAGACTCTCAGGGGCAGGATGGGTCAGCATCTACATGCTTCTCGATGGCAATACTGCGAAGCAAGGGCATAACATGTCAAGACCGACGGACTTGCTCGGTCTCACCTCTCCCTAGTTCGCTTTGCCGTGCGTCGACAAAGATGCTGCGCTGCTTGAATGTAGCGTTGACGCGGCAATTCGCCGTCCATCTGCTAGCAGGTATCACCTCAGTAAGTCATCACATTGTGGCAAAGACAATCCAGCCAGACGCTTCACTGTGGCCGGGAGGAAACAAGATTACATGTCGAAGACTAAGTCATGTCTGTTCTAATTGCTTCGTATGATTCGGTCTTCGTGGTAGCGTCCAAGGCTTTGCACAGACAACCTGTCAGCGTGGTCAGCGTATTCACTGCACAACAGCATTAGGATCCAACATACCTCGCCTTCTGTGTACGCCCAGAAATATATCCCACATCCGATGAGGTAATATAGTGCGGGATTCGTTCCTTGATATAATAACACAGCCGTCAAGCTCGACAATGGCAACAGCAGTATCCTGAGTTCCAGCGAGCGATGTATTGCAGTTCCAGCGAGGAATTCCAGTGGCCACTCCCAAGCTAGGTTTATGAAGCCGAATATGAGGTTTATGGTTTGTAGTATGGGTACAGGTTTGACGGCGCCATCAAAGTTTTTGGTCAAGAAGTCGAAGAAGAATTTGGGCCAGAAGAAGCCGTGGAGGCTGGCGGCGATGTGATCTGTGGTGCAAAGTCAGAGTCAGAGTCAGATAGACTTGCTGTGGAAACAGCCAAGTGGAGGAGGAATGAAGCTTACATGTTGCTGCTGTCATGACGATGAGACGGGCCAAGTGGTTCTTGATGAGCTTTCCCATGCTGCGGTTGTGTAGGTCAACAACAGTGAGGATGAAACTCTGGTATGTTGATGGAATCTTTGCTACCGGTTGAGTGGTGACACAAGGGTCGAAGCCGACATGATTCGGATTCAGTGCAATTCAGGTGACGAAAGACCAGTGCTTTGTATATTATCAAGCAACCCTTTTGCTGGGGTGACGAGCGGGTGGTGTGGGATGCGAGTATGGGGAAAGGGTACTAGTGATTACAAGACGAGGGAAGAGCAAGAGATGCAGGTGATATTGGGCGGGAGTGGCTTAACAGAAAGCGGGATCCATGTCTTTTTTGCTCGCTTTGCAAAGGGCAGGAACGAAGGCGAGGGAGTGGGTGGAGTTCTAGAATAGCTGGAATCGATCCCACTTGGCTTCTTGGTTTTGCGTGAGGTGGGTGGTTGGAGGGTCTTGTGAGGCTTTTCGTAACTGCGAAGCGCCCATGTCGTCCGCGAATCAAACCATATTTTGCCTTTAACAAACATTCATTCGGCAAGAGATCGACAGTATCAATGCATTTCTGCATGATTCCGGTCGGTTTTGACCGACCTTGCTCTATTCTCCGCTGCCCGGTTGTCTGATGGATCTCGAAGTCACCTTTCTGTGGACGCAATCCGAAGGCAGCCCTACTATATGAGCCCTCAATATCGCATCTTATCATGATCAAGGGCCGAAGCGAGCAATCACTATCGTCTATATCAGTGTACTCGCCAAGATACATGTCGAGAAGGGCAAACCAGCATGCAGCAGTGCCAGCGGTTACGCACCCAATCAACGCGTCTCTGTTCCCTTCTTGGGCACGCGCCGAGGCCTCCACCTTTCGACCACTCATCACTTCCACACATGGTTTTTTGTGAGCCAGCCACCGTATTTTGTGATTGATGAGGAAGCCCTGCAGGAGAATATGCAGGTCCTGGTCATCAAGGTGGGTTGCTGGGCGGTTATGCAGTGGTGCGTGTGGTAAGGCGAGTTGACTGCTCAACCGAGGTTTGCTCTTTTCCTCCCTTGTGTCGAGTCTGGTCTATCTGGTGATTGAATCGTGATCGTTTTGTTGCGATTCTCTCTTTGATGAAACGACAGACTGTGTTAGCTATACTGATTTCGCTGTCTTGATTTCATGCAGTCAAACTGAACACCTGGCCCTGGACACTTTGATCATGATAAATTTGGGAGACAAACGATACCTCTTGTAGAATTTATCGGGAGTCTTTCCTAAACTTTGTTCGTTATGCCAGAACATGCCGAGGAGAGGTCATGGAGGTCACTGTTCACTCCCAAAAAGTTGACCTTCTACCTGCTATTTCATGGATTCCACGTTGCATTGTTCATCGTAGGATGGTATGCTCTGACTTCTCTGCTATGCTTTTCAAGCTAATTCTAGCAAGGTACAAACAACAGACCAGTAAGGCATTGGCCGGTCTTAACATACTAACATTTTCCGTATGGATATCGAGAGGCGCTGGATTGGTCCTCAGCGTCGACACCACATTGATCATGCTGCCTATGTGCAGAAATATCTTACGCTTCTTCAGACCAAAAGTCAAATGGCTCCCCTTGGACGAATCTCGCTGGTTTCATCGACAAGTCGCCTACTCACTCTTATTCTGGACCATTGTTCATACTACAGGCCACTATGTCAACTTCTTCAACGTCGAGCGATCGCAAGTTCGCAAACAAGCAGCTGTTGAAATCCACTACACTCAGGCTGGTGGTGTAACAGGACATGTTATGCTCTTCTGCATGCTTCTCATGTACACGACAGCGCATCAGAAGATCCGGCAACAGTCTTTCGAGACATTCTGGTACACTCATCACCTGTTTGTACCTTTTCTCTTAGCCATGTATACACATGCCACCGGATGCTTCGTTCGGGATACTGTTGAGCCTGTATCGCCATTCGCTGGCAAATACTTCTGGAACCATTGTCTTGGATATCAAGGGTGGCGCTGGGAGCTGATTGGTGGTGGCATGTATCTGTTCGAGAGAGTATATCGAGAGATTCGTGCTCGCAGACCAACAGAAATCATCAAAGTCGTCAGACATCCATATGGTGAGTATCGAAAGCAAGGTTATATCTATGCAAATCACTGACTCCGCGATAGATGCTGTGGAGATTCAGTTCCGCAAGCCGAGCATGCAGTACAAAGCTGGACAGTGGCTTTTTCTCAACTGCCCAGAGGTGTCGAAGCATCAGTGGCATCCATTCACCATCACATCTTGCCCTTTCGACCCTTATGTCAGCGTCCACGTCCGCCAAGTTGGCGACTTTACAAAATCACTAGCCAACGCGTTGGGCGCTGGACCGGAACAAGCAGCTCTATATGAAGAGCTTGATCCTATGGGGATGTACGAGGTAGCTCTTCAGCAAGGACAGGAGATGCCTACGCTCAGGATCGATGGACCTTATGGAGCACCTGCGGAAGACGTGTTCAACCATGAGATTGCCATCCTGATCGGTACTGGCATTGGTGTCACACCGTGGGCTTCGATCCTCAAGAACATCTGGCACATGCGACTATCACCTAATCCGCCCAAACGACTGAAGCGAGTCGAGTTCATCTGGGTATGCAGGACGACGACGTCTTTCGAGTGGTTCCAAGCCTTGTTGTCGTCTTTGGAGATGCAATCACTTTCGATGTCTTCGCCATCGGACTACAACAAACCCAACGAGGACACAGACGAGTTTTTGAAGATCCACACGTACTTGACGCAGAAGATGGATGTGGACCAGGCGAACAATATCGTACTGAATAGCGTTGGCACCACAAAGGATCCGTTGACAGAGCTGAATTCGAGGACAAATTTCGGGAGACCAGACTTTCACAAGTTGCTAGGTGCGATGAGAGATTCGATCGAGAACGGAACGTATATAAGTGGGTTGGAGTCAAGGAGGGCCGAGGTGGGCGTCTATTTCTGTGGACCCAATCTGGCGGCGAGGAGTATCAGGAAAGCTTGCCAGGAGGAATCTAGTCACGATGTCAAGTTCCGGTTCTGGAAGGAGTATTTCTAGAGAAGGTTCAATGCGGCTTTTGTACAATTCGTGTCCTTCATACGAGGTTTCTTTTGAAGAGGTGAGGTGATTTTGGGTATCGGAAATATGGTACAGCAGCGCTGCTCGTGAGCGCATAGAGGGAGGAACCTCCAAGCTTGTTCTTCCCTGCTCTTATATTCCCTCTGCTTTTTCCTTGCTGTCGTGTGCGCGTGCTCGGATGGAAGAGGGTGGCGGGCAGTGGATTCGCCTTGAGGTGTTCGTCGAGATTGAGGATGTGTTGTTTTGCTGGTATGAGTGTCGAAAGCAGCACTTTACATGCCACCGAAACCACCGACACCGCCCTGCTTGCCAGCAGCCTCTCCTTGCATCTTCTCGGAGACCTTGATGTTGACCTCGAAGAACTTGCCGACGCAACGGTCGAGGCAGACGGACTCGCCCTTGTTAAGGTCGCCCTCGCGGTAGCTGTTGGGGATGCACTTCTTGGTGCAAGTCTCGACGAGACTATAAAGGCGGTCAGTATGCGATAGTTGTGCGACTTGATGGATGGTGCGTGGTGCATACCGGTTGTACATGTCCGAGACCATGTCAATCTCGGCCTCAGCAGCGGCAATCTTCTCTGCTGAAGAGGGCTGGGGGCGACCACCACCGAAGAGGAAAGACATCTTGATATGAGTTGAAGGGGGTGTTGTGTGAAGAGATGAAAGGACGTAGAGTATGAATTACTGTTCTTCCAAGCCGCGCATCATCATGGTTAGAAAGTTGCACGCTCGACCTTGTTGAGCTTGGGCCACGCGCACATGGCTGGAGCTCGGTATTCTTGCAGCAGGAACTTCTGCGCCCTCTCTCCTTCCTCTTTCCTTCTTTCTACACCACACAACATGCTGTGACACATGGTAAGTTCTTGCTCTTTCCCTTCCTCTTCCCAATCTACACATTCCATGATGAGCCAAATTTGTAAAGAACCGTTGCGAATGACTCCTTCGGGGGGTTGATTTCACAAACATACCGATTATCCTGATCTCTTTTACACCACACACACTGCAACCCAATTCTACATTATCGATGCAAGATCTAACTGTGTTTTACAGATGCAAAGGTCTGCCGAAGTTTACCGTTTCTTGCGGCCCGTTCTTCGACATGACGTCCGATCACAATTGATTCCTTCGTATACTCGCTGCTTCTCAGCCTGCGCCAGACTTGCTTCAAAGAAGCCTGTCAAGGACTCTCCGACTGGCGATTATGAGAAGCGCATTGTCCAATTGCAAGCGAACACTTCCTTGCAAGACTGCTGGCCGCGTCTTGCTCAACGCCCCGATGTCGCTAGAATATCCGTGAACGATTTGAGAAAGAGCAGTGCAACTTTAGATAACGGTGCCACCAAGCTCGACGATAAGTTTGTCGTCTCCGGCAGAGTCCGCTCTGTGCGCACTGCCGGCTCCAAGCTGGTCTTCATCGACATAGAACAAGATGATCGTGTCGCCCAAGCCATCTGTAATTTCTCCCACCTCGATCAGAACGGTGTGCCTCGTGAGCAGTTCAATGCCTTCAAGCGCGTCGTTCGTCGGGGAGATTGGTACACCTTTGTTGGTCATCCACACAAGGCTCAAGGTGGAGAAGAGAGTATTCTTGCGACAGAGCTTCCTCAGCTCATGTCGCCTTCGCTCCATCAAATCCCTGCTCAACTTGATGACGCTGAAACACGCGCCCGTAGGCCTCATGTTGACATGTTGGTTCATCGCCAGGCTGTACAGACGCTCAGGATTAGGTCTGCTATCGAACGTGGCATTTCTACCTTCTTTGATAACCAAGGCTATTCCAAGGTCAGCACGCCCCTGCTGACTGCAGGTGCAGGAGGCGCTGTCGCCAGGCCCTTCGAGACTGTTGCTACTGAGATGCAAGATACTACACTCAACCTTCGCATTGCTCCGGAACTATGGCTGAAGCGATTGGTTGTTGGTGGCTTGGGTAAGGTCTACGAAATTGGACCAGCCTTTCGCAACGAGGGCGTCGATGCAACTCACAACCCCGAGTTCACCATCTGCGAGTCTTATATGCCGTTTGCCGACCTTGATCATCTCATGAAAATGACGGAAGATCTGTTGGCTGGCTTGCATGAAGAACTGCGTAAGCTGGGTGAAGAGAATTTCAAACATCTCTCCGATACGGCTGTCAACTTTGACTCGGATGCAACCCACCTTTTCCAAGGCCCGTTCCCACGCCTTCCCTTCATCCCTACCGTCGAGAAAGAGATGGGCAGAAAATTGCCTGACCTGAACGACGCCAATGCGACACAACAGATACTCGACCTCTTCACTGAGCTCAACATCCCCATCCCGGCCAGACCCACGCTCCCACGCCTCTTAGATGCTCTGGCAGGACACTACATTGAACCACTCTGTACCGACCCGACGTTCATAACAGAACACCCTGCCGTTATGTCGCCTCTCTCCAAGTCTTTTACCTGCCCTAAGACCTCTCAGCTCATCTCTGCCCGTGCCGAACTCTTCATCCGCGGCAACGAATATGCAAACATGTACGAAGAGGAGAATTCGCCGTTCGCGCAGCGTGAGAAGTTCGTGGAGCAACTCAAATACCGCGAAGTCGACGGCGAAGGCGATGGCAGGGCTGAAGTCGACGAGAGCTACCTTGAGGCACTAGAGTGGGGACTGCCCCCTACTGGTGGTTGGGGCATGGGCATTGATCGTCTGGTCATGCTCTTCACTGGTCAGAAACGCATCGGAGATGTCTTGCCCTTTGGTACTTTGAGGAATGTTGTCGGTCTCGCTACCCGGCAGACTTGACGTCCCTCTGTATATATACATTGCTCTTCTTTTCAATGATACCCCTCCGCTTCTTTTCGTCAATTGTCTTCTTCCTTTTTCTTCGCGATGTGAATATGTCTGGTTCTAGATGTGGTTTGCACCGGGTCATGACTTCCCTGATCTCCCTTTATGCAGCAGCCCGACAATCTCGCTCCAGCTGCAGTTCTTGTCTCAATCTACCTGACAGACAAGGCGACATGACTACCGCCACTCAGCGCCGGCGAATAGTAGCCATTCAGGCCTCAATAAACACAGCCATTCCCAACTTGACACTTGTCGCACCGCCTCTGAACCACGGTTGAGTTCGTTCAAACTCAATCACATCACGAAACCCCCTCATGTGTACACGCAACTTCTGCACGAGCGGGCACATTTCCAACTGCAGCGATTCTGCAGCCTGCGCATTGCGCATCAATAATAAACCTGCACGAGCGGTCTCACCGCACTTTTGACAGCCTTTGAGTCACCAACAACATCGATTATCTTCACAGGAAGCGCCTCATCTACACAGCCTGCTGAGTGGTGTTTCTCGGGTGTTATCTCAGGCCTTGGCTGCTAACAATATCGTATACCATGGCAGCCGTCAACGGGCTGAGATGGTTTCTTATCAAAGACGGTGGTAAAATAGACCATGTGGTGCCAAGCCACGGACTCGATACTGCATGCAGAAGGTCCATGCGGATCATGACGCCTCGAAGCCTTACTTTTTTCCAACAACCTCGATAAATCTCCGCAGTGCGCGGGAGCCGGACGAGAACTAATGAGGCGGTTCCAAGGGAAAACCAGTTGACCACGCGCATAATCGAGGCTAATAGGGCTATCTATCCAAGGAAAGAGAAGACATTTCTTTCTCTGCATCCTTTGCTCGAATGTCTTGTTAAGTTACACCTCCTCCGTCTCTTCTTTCCCTATTATTTATTAGCATGTCTTATCACTCCGAACAGAGGCTTCAAGAAATACATCGATACGACAATAATACTCAGCATCAAGATGTTCGCGTGGTTAACGGGAACGGAGACGACGCCTCCGGCCTTCCTTGAGTTGCGAAGTTCGTATTGGCTGATCCTTGTTACTGTCTCCGCTGCCATTTTTACGGATGTCTTCTTGTACGGCATCATTGTGCCTGTGCTGCCGTTCGCCCTTCACGGTCGTGCTGGGATTGCAGAGAATGACGTCCAGCCTACGATATCAATTCTGCTGGCTGCGTACGGGGGATCGTTATTAGTTGGAGCACCCATATGTGGGTGGGCATCTGATCGGTTCGACTCGCGTCGCTGGCCGTTCATGGTCGGATTGCTGGCGTTGGCTGGGTCGACGGTATTCTTGGTTGTCGGTAATAGTCTTGCTCTCATCGTTGTTGGCCGTGTCCTCCAAGGTCTTTCGGCAGCGGTGGTTTGGGTTGTTGGACTGGCGTTGCTCAATGATACTGTTGGTTCCGATGCTATCGGAGAAGCGATGGGTGTTGTTGGTATCGCGATGTCGATGGCCTATTTGCTTGGTCCCCTCTTGGGTGGTATCGTCTTCAAGCAATCGGTATGTTGTCCTTGAACAAAGAGCGAAAGTACGCTTGCTAACACCATCGCAGGGATATTATGCCGTTTTCGCCATGGCATTTGGACTTTTGGGTCTTGATGCTATTCTCCGTTTGATCATGATCGAGAAGAAAGTAGCCCAGAAATGGCTGGGAACGAAGGCAGTTGAAGTATCTACAGATGATGAACACAAAGGCAGCACAAACGACGATCTTGAAGCTGACCCGGAGTGTAACACACCCGAAGATACTGAGACACCTGCAGTGACACCTACGAAACGTAAGGTTCCTACAGTGTTCTCTCTACTCTCGTCGTACAGACTCGATGCCGCTCTCTTCGGATGCTTCATCTCCGCCGCCTTGCTTACCTCCTTCGACTCCATCTTGCCTTTGTACGTCAACGAACTCTGGGGCTGGGATTCTATCGGAGCTGGTCTGGTCTTTCTGGCCGTCACCATTCCGTCCTTTGTTGGTCCTTACATCGGCAAATATGCCGATACACATGGAGCCAGATGGCTGACTGCAGTCGGCTTCATCGTCACGGGTCCCTGCTTCATCCTCTTCCGCCTTGTCGACCATGACAGCATTCGCCAAAAGGTGCTTCTCTGCGCACTTCTCGCCATAGTCGGACTCGGTGTCACTTTATCGCTCACGCCATTGATGGCAGAAGTCTCATATGCGGTAGAAGCACAAGGAGCCAAGCGACCGGCTGGCTTCTTCGGTAGAAACGGCGCTTTCGGTCAGGCATTCGGACTGTTTAACATGGCATACGCGGCTGGCACCATGGTTGGACCTATACTAGCTGGTTTCATCAAGGAGAAAGATGGATGGGGTACTGCGACACTTGTACTCGGTTGCCTGTCTCTAATCACCACAGTACCGACATTAATCTGGTGTGGAGGATCGATCTTCAAGTTGAGGAGAAAACAAAAGGCGGAACAGATTTTGAAACACGATGAGGAGCATGCGGAGAAGGTGGAGAAGGCTTTGAAAGAGGAGGAGGAAGAGAAGACAAAAAGAGCTGCCCAGGATGAGGAGAAGAAGAGAAGTACGAATACGAGTCCGGACACCAGCACGAGTACGAGTACGAGTACAAGTACGAGAACAAGTGTTGTGGTGGATATTTGATTTTCTGTCGATGACATTTCGGGTCATATAATTGTTTATATATGGGTAGATATCTAATGATTTGACCATTTACATATTCCACTGCCAACGGACAGCACAAGTACTCGACTTCGACGTCTGCTAAAAGGAGAGCGCGATTTCAAGTCGAAGCACAGACAGGGTCGCACCAGTAGCAACCACTTGTCGACTGTTTTGTCATCTCCTGCCTCTGCGTGGGATATGGCGATGTACTCGGTACACTAGGATGAGTCCTCTATATCCCAACATGTGTTGGTGCCAGCTATATCTGGTCAACTTGATCGCTGCGTGCTCGGCATCGATTTTGAAGATTTCAAATTCTCTGTTTCTGAAAACAGGCTAGAAACACTGCAGTTTATCCTGGTTCTTAAGACACCACTGCACGAACCGTGAGAACAAGTTGGGGCACTCTATCTCGTCCGAGCACTCAGCATGCCTGTGACAGGATCGACCCAATGCAACATCTACAAACTGGACATCAACATTGTCGCCGTCGAGCTCGTAGAGCGCAAAGCTCAGACCACCTGCTCCTCAGTTTGTGACGCTCAACTTTGAAGGCCTTATATGTGGGAATGAGCACTTCTTCGGCATCCATCCAACGAGATCCAACCAATCTCGGGATACACCTTCAAGGCGCTTTGGCGGAGTGGTTAACGCGATGCCCTGCTAAGGCATTTCCTTCGGGAGCGTGTGTTCGAATCACACAGGCGTCGAGATTTTTGTACTTGCCGTGGCTGCAAAGTCATCCTTTTGCTTTTCGAGGAGACGGGATCGAAGAGGAAAGGGAGGGGTATGTTTTGAGCTATTAAAGAGGGACTTTGGGCAAGCGGTTGTGGTGGAATGGTGGGTGAGAGTGGGTGGAGGAATAGTGAATCGGTGGTGAAGGTTGGGGTCGAGAGCCTCAGGCAGAAGCATTTGAGCCCGCTGCCAAGCTTTCGGTATCTTTGGTGCGGGAGCTCGGTAGCTCTCTCCTACAAGGACTGTCGCCGCATCTACTCGACGTGAATGGAATGCATGCGTTCTCATTCAACACCGAGCGCGATTGCAATAACTTCAACCTTCTGCCATCGGAACACTCTCTCTCCTCCGGCGGACGAGCCATGAGTCACGGCGCGCGCTGGATGCATAATCGCGCACAAGCATCATCCCCCTCCGAGGATGTGTCCACGAGAACAGAGCGCACATGCTTTATCCTTCCTGGAGCCGAACCTGGCCAGAAGCCTCTCACAGCAGATGCCGAAAGTCTTGTAAAACGACTTCTATCAGCCCTGGAAAGACCCACTGCTACCATCTCGAGGTACTCCATGCAGCCTGTGCAATCCTTCGTCGCTTCGAAAGGCCTCACTTTATATTCTTGAGTCCTCAACCTATGTACCCTGCGTGGTTCGTCGATATCTCTCCTACTGTTGCAAACGGGCTTGTTGGCACACAAAAGCTTAAATCGCCATGTACAACAATAAAAACGTTGTCGTCGTCGACAACGGGGCCAAGGGTCCATATCCCCTAGTTTCTGTATTTCCTTCTTCGCTCTTCGATCTTTCCCAGTTCTCGAAAGATCACAGAACGAAGGATCTGTTTCGCAGAGGGTCATTCTTGATGACGGCCAAGGAGAAGAAACACAAGAGAAAGATCGTCCGAGACATCTGTCGACATTATGCTATCATCGTGTCTCTGTACGGCTGAAGCATTCACATTGTCATGTAAGCAAGAGGACCCGTTGGTGGCACCAGTCTCGATTCTTCAACTCCAGAAGATAAAGGCTTGTCACAAATACCTACAGCCACAAAGTAGGTTCAAAGGTCCGAGAACAGAAGTAGGTCAAGTAGTAGAGGCCCACGTGAGACAGATATGGGGAGAGCAAAAGCTAGAAAAGAAAACGCCGAAGAAGGGAATTTTTGCTAAAAGCCGGAAGGATGGCAAATCAAACGGCGCAGAAGCTAACCGTCTGCTGTTAACGTTCACACTATATGAGCTAGATATAAGTGCCTCTGGTCCCCTTTCCCCATACACGAGGCTCTTGAACCACATCTACCCGCTTGTCACCTCTCATTAACGATCCGCTCACGTCTACCTGGATTTTTGGATCTGGAAACACTTGGTCCTGAAGATTTCTACAGTTTACCAGTGCATGGTAGATATTCCGCAACCATGGATTGGCACGACAAATCCATCCCTCTGTTCGTTGTCACGATTGCCATGATCGTATTACCACTTGTTGTCGTTCCTCTACGATGCTATGTTCGTATTACACGGCGGTCTTTCAAGATCGATGACTGGCTCATCATCGTGGCTTTGCTATTCCATCTCGGAGCTTGTGCAACCACACTCTGGGGATTCATGTATGGCCTTGCCATGCCTGATAAGGTTCTTACCGAAGAGAACAGAATGAAAGGTGTTCAGGTAACCATAGACTGCTCTCATGAGAGGAACTGAAGATGTCATGAACCAATACTGACATAATGACTAGACATTTGCCATGTACAAGCCGATATACACAATCGCTACGGGCTTGATCAAATGCAGTATCTGTTACACATTTCTTCGCCTCTCGACTGCCCCGAAAGTTAGACGCTCCCTACACTGGATCATTATCATTGTCAGCATCTCTTCGCTCGTCATGTTTGTCGGATCATTCGTGTACTGTGTACCATATGCTGCCATCTGGACTCATTGGCAACATCCTCACACTCCTGGATACTGCTTGCCTGGAGCGGTTGTCTTGACTGTTGGATACGCTTTTGCCTGTATTACCATCATTACGGACTTTGCTTGCGCCATCATTCCTGGAGTCATCCTATGGCAAACAGTGATGAGCACGAGAAACATGTGCTTAGCATGGGCAACGTTGGGGCTGGGTGTTTTGGCTGCCGCAATGACGATTTGTCGTTTGCCCTACATTGCCTACTGGACACACGACCACAACCAATCATGTAAGTTAGCGACCTCTTCATTGGATGTAAACCACGATCTGACAAGAAAATCAGATGGCCTGGGGAGAATCCTCCTTTTCGAATTGCTCGAATGTGGCCTTGGCATCTTTGCCTCCTGCGCTCCTGCTCTCAAACCCTGGCTCTCCGCATCCATCACCTCTTTCACCTCTCTCCTCCACCGCCTCACCCGATGGACAACTCTCGGCTCCTCAATATCATCTTCCTGCTCTCGTCAAAACCAGGATCTTGAGAAAGGACCTCCTGTGCCAATAACAACAACTACTTCCTCTTCTCGTCCTGACTCTACATCCTCAGCACCCCCTGTACCTCGTATGGATCTCGTAATTCCAGACATCGAGGATACAGTCATGGATAGCGTCATGGATGCACAGGACAACAAAGCTTGGGATGACTACGAACACGAACGCTCAGGAAGCGGAAGAAGTAATGTACCCGTCATCATCGTCTCGAGAGTCAGACCGGAAAGTGGTGATTACACCAACACATGGAATGTCTCGAGAGCTGAAGATGATTAGGAGATTGATGACAAGAAGACTTCAATGACTGAGTTTATGGGACCGTTATGGTAGGAAAAACCATGACTGTTTCCTCCATCACACCTCGATCACGTTCCGAATAACTTTCATTAGGCGTTCATCAATACAGCGTGAGACGAGCAAATTTTGGTCACGAGGACTGTGCATTCGAAAGCTCGTCAAATGTCATCGTTGATTTGATTGATGTATGTAATACAGCTAATGTCACTCAAGCCAGAACATGCTGTATAATTCATTGGAACCATGCGTGTATAGCGTTGGTCCTTCACGCAACGTTCGACACGCTCTGTGTCTTTAGCAAGAACTGCGTGATATATATGCCGATCTGGCATAAGGTTAAGCCTCGCGATCACGGTCGCTTTGCTCCTCAGTGGTGAATCTGCGCGACGAGCACGACCTTGCTGTGATGGGTAACGAAGCTTTTGGCGGGCGCTGACTTCATGTCTCGGATGACGACCATCCTCATGCCTCTTGGTAAACGCCAAACTTGACGACCTCTACTTCGAGAGTCTCGGCATCGAGCAGAAGAAGCTCGCCGGTGTCCTTGAAGCGTGGTACTGAAATGATGCGACAGCTCTGACCGTCGGGTCCTTCGACAATGGTTGATTCGAAACGAGGTTGATTGCCCACAATATAGACATGCGGCGTTGCCTCGATGACGAAGCGGTCTTTGTCTTGGAACGGATAACACCCTAGATGTTGTTAGCAATCTGTTGAGCATGACGGAATGGCCTGTCTTACATAATGTGTCTGGAGCAGTAGGAGCACACAATCTCCAGCGCAGGGTAGCTTCCATCATCTCCAAGCGGTCGTCACCTTCAACGTACTTGAATACGTCGTCGATGGGCTGACCGCCGGTAGCCAAAATTCTCCAACCATCTACATCTCCCTCCCAGGGATTTGTGACAGTATCGAACCAAGCCGTGTCTTCCGAGTTAGGAGCAGCCATGTAAGCTCTGCTTCTTGGGAAAAGAGCTGAATGCATGGGTTGTTGAGGTAGAGAGGTATGCGTAGGATCCTGTTCACCAGGAATCAAGGTGATGGGTATTGAAGGTAACAGTGACTCAAGCAGTGAATCTAGGCGGTCTGTCGGAGCAGGATTGTATGCGGAAGCATCGTAACCATACTTTTTAACAGCGGATGGCTTCTTTGCTGGCAAGTCTTCTGCACTGGGGATCGGATTCGCCGACGAGAGCGAGTTGCCAGCAATCAGAAGTCGCGATATGCTCGATATTTTTTCTTGTTCGTCTGGTGACGTCGACTCGCCGAGGAGGTATTCCACAAGTAAGTCCAGAGCCATAGTATCGCCGGAGTCACCACTGACTCCCAAAGTCGAGACAATGGCAATCTTGCCGGCCTTCTCTTTCTTTGTGTCTTTCTTCTTGGTGGCGCCATCACTTTGGCCTTGCGACCAGCGTTCGGGTTGTGGTGCAAGCTCGGGTATCTTCAGATCGATGACTTCGAAATCGCCGTTGGCGTTTTCGGTTCCCATGACTGCCACGATACATCCTGTCACAAGTAGGCATGAGCTCAGGAAGCTACCTGTCAAGCGTAATCGACCAGATTCGTCTTCGAGCATGATTTGATCGCTTTCTCCAGATGTGAATTTCAGTCGGGGCGGCGGTGCGGCAATCCAGTGCTATCAAAGAGGTCAGCGTTTGCTTCGTGGTGGGTGATCTCCACGAGGCTCACATGTTTGGAGATGTCGTCAAGAATGTTTGGCTTAAGCGGCATTTCCATGTAGACGGTGCCGGCGACCCAGACCAACTCGCCTTGTCGGACATCGAGCACGCGATCGACTTTGTGTACTTCGTCTCCACCAATCTGTCCGTATCGTCTTAGTATCGTTGTCGTCTTGTCTCCTTGGGGGTGCTGACCTCGAAGCCATCCCATGCTTCACTAGCAACACGCTCTACGGCAGGCTTGAGCACGGCCAGTCGGGCAAAGTACATGTCGGCATATTGTTGTTGGTAGTGTTTTTGTTCGCCCTTTGCAAGATGGAATGATCGAAGAGGCTTGTATGATGATGGTGTACGCTGGAGCGTCTGGTACTCCTCGGTCCTTTGAGCAAGTCAATCTTCTGTTTGATACCAGACACTACATCATCGCACTTACGATGGAGGCTGCAACAGCGCATCTACCGAATTTGAGAGCGCCATGTCGCAATGCAATGTGTTGCAACTGAGTGTCTATGACCAGAAGATTGTGTGAGGGCTGGCTGCCCGCGTCAGAAGGAGACGCGTCGCAGCTTCCACTTCTGACGCGACTCAATTTCATTTCCCCATTTGGATCATCTTCATCCATGCAGCGCCTTGAATGTTTGGTGGTCATCATGATCATACATATAATACAGAGAGGAGAAATCTATTTACAATGGGTATATCGCAGCAAATTTCAATTCTACTTTTCAAGCTGATGCTGCGCCAACTTCAGCCTCGGCCTCTGCCTCAGCAGCACCACCCAGACCAATCTCCTGAACCTTCCAGCCTTGTGCTTCGTCGACAAAGCTCTTGCGTGCACCAAGCACAGCCATACTGCTGCTAGACATGCCGTTCACGAGGAAGCGTTCTGCAGCGTCACGGACCTGCTCCTTGCTGACATCCAGAAGCTGCTGCCGGCGTGTTTGCTCCATGTCAGGAGTCACTCCACTCACAAATCTGGTCATGCCCTCTTCGCTCACGCTTCTGGGAGCATCAAGTGCTTGGAAGACGGATAGCTTAGCGTCTTCAAGGTCGCGGTCCGTCCACTTTCTGTCTACAGCCCACTTGCCGACCTTGTCCAAAACCTTGATTGTGTTCTCAGGGTTGGGGTCGCGGTAGGAGTAGAATCCGAAGACACCATCGAGAGCCCGGGAGTAGGCACCACCTCCATATGCGCCACCACGCTCACGAATCTCACGATGCAGATGCTTGTGTGTAAGCAGTTGTGCGAGAACAGCCAACGGTGCACCAGCGGCATCTGTGTAGGGAACGGTCGGGAGGGCAAGACCGGAGTAGTAGACCTGGTAAGGAAGAGGGAAGAATGACTTGGCGTTGCGAGTCAATGCCTGGCTCGACTGAGTTTGAGACGACGACTCGGACGACGAGAAAGTGCCGCTAAGGAAGCCTTGCAGAGCTGCCTCGTTGATGCTGGTAGACTCGGCACCACAAGTGATGGCGACTCTCATGTTCGAGACATTGGCTGCGACAAGCTGCTGGATCGTCTTCAATGGTTGGATGATGTCGTCACCGATCTCGGAGAGTGATGCCAAATTGACCATGTGCTTGATCTGGCTGATACCACCGGTCTGCTCGAGCAAGTTACCGTGGGGACTGATGCCAGCCTCAGCAACACGTCTGGCGTAGGCGTGACCCGACTCGGCAATAGTGTCGGCACCACCACTAGCAGCGCTCTGGATCAGCTCGCGAAGAGAAGCTTTGGCCTTTGGTCCGTCGAAATCGGTCTCTAGGATGATCGTTCGGATCAGGTCGTACAAGGCAGGAACGTTTTGATCGAGCGCGAAACCAGACAGACTCAAACCCTCTTCGCAAGCACTAGTGTTGGTAGGGGAGGTACATGCGTGATAACCGAAAGAAACACCACCAGTCTTGAGCTTGATAAGGTCTTCGATCTCTTCCATCGACTTAGTCTTGGTTCCAATGCGCATGAGTGCGTCGCAGAACAGAGGGACGAAAGTGCGCAGCTCGGTAGGCAGGTTCTTGAAGATACTGAGAGCTCTGAAGTAAGTCAGTCCATTCGTCGGTGCTTCTCTCCATTGCACTTTGACATTGTCGAGAGAATCTTGGCGGGTCTCGGTGATTGGCTTGCTGCGCGGAATATCCTTGACATGCACAGATGGCAGGCAGCTCAGGTCTTGTTCCTGCATTTGCTGCTCAACAAGTTCCAGCTCTCTCTTCTTCAACTGATCATAGGCCTCTTGCTTGGAACCAAAAAGTTGCTCAGCCTCGGCCTTCTTCGATGCAAGTCTTTGTGCTTCCTCTGCAAGAAGATCCTCACCGTAGGTTGCGGAAGGTTCCATAGTGAATGTCAAGGTGTTGTCATTCAACAAGTACTTCTCCAAGAGACCTTCGAGGTAGCCGCCCTTGGCACACTCTGCCTTGAAGGTGTCTACAGTCTGTTGCCATGCCAAAGCGTCGAAGACATCGACACCGTTGAACCAACCAGGCTTCAGACGCTGGATGATGGACATGCCAAAGTTTGCAGTCTTGTGCTTAAGGCTGAGTTCAAGCTGGTGCAAAATGCCATCAATCTTAGACTGATCGAAGCCCTTTTCTCTGACTTGGCGCAGAGTCTCCGAGACAGCTTCCTTGACCTTGGGTACATTTTCCTGCTTGACGCCATTGAGGCCGACGGAGAAAACACCACGCTTACCGGAACCATCGAATCCAGTGTTTGGTGAGAAGTCAGGACCAAGACCGGCCTCGATAAGGTTGCGATAGAGAGGTGAGCCGTAGCCGTCCATGAGCAGCGACGAGATGATAGAGAGTGAGAAGTTTTCGAGAACATTAGATGTGTCGCCCATAAGCCAGGTAACAGAAGTCTTGTATTGAGAGTCAGCAGGACTCAGAGGATCCAGAGGGCCCTTGACGGTGACAGAGCGAGGGCCGTTGTCGAGACTCTCAGGAACCTTGATATCCGAGTCCACGGAGATGCGTGAAAAGCTGTCCAGCTCCTTTCCAATAGACTGGAGATGCTCGGTAAGAGGCAAGTTTCCGTATGTCAGAACCTTTGCGTTGCTAGGATGGTAGTGGTCGGCATGGAATTTCTTGAGTTGTTCATAAGTCAGATCAGTCATCTTTTGAGGGTCACCACCAGAGTTGTTGATTGCAGGGAACAAGTTCTCATGGAAGCGAATGTAGTAGAGGTATTGCGAGTCAGACATCTGACCCTTCATCTCATTGTACACAACACCTTTGAAGATAATGTCGTCTGAAGAGGGGTTCTCGGCTTGAGGGTTCTCAGGTCCTAGACGCCATCCCTCCTGGGTGAAGTCGTGCTCTTGAAGAAGAGGGTGTAGGGTAGCATCGAGGTAGACGCCCATGAGGTTCTTGAAGTCCTGAGCGTTGGTTGTAGCGAATGGGTATGTGGTGTGATCGGAAGAGGTAAAGGCGTTCATGAAGTTGGAGAGCGATCTCGGCAGCATCTTGAAGAACGGATCGCGGACTGGGAACTTTTGACTTCCACAAAGAGTGGTGTGTTCGAGGATATGCGGTACTCCAGTCGCATCCGGAGGATTTGTCTTGAAGCCAATGGAGAAGACATTGTTCTGGTCATCTCGTGCGATGTGGAGATAGTCGGCACCAGTACGCTCATGTGTGAATTGGAGGGCAGTGAGCTCGAGTTCCGGAACGTGTTTGGCACGCTTCAAGGTAAATCCATGTAATTGATCTCCAGGCTTGGGATAGTTTGACAAGTCGGTTACGGAAGCATAACTTCGTCGCAAAGCCGGTAGGTTGGTGTGTGAAAGGCGATTCGGCCTGGTCGCTAGCCTGTTGACTCCGCGTAGCATTTCCGAGTAGATCAAGGCTCTTGATCTGGTAGGCTTCAGTTGTGTTTCCGGGAAGGAAGGCGAATTCACAATGCTCTCAGGGCAGTCGCGAAGAGGCACGGACTTTGATGACGGACGGCGGGGAGCAATTCACAGTCATCGAGTGGCCAATCAGGAAGGAGATCAGACACGGCTGTTTCTTCCGTTTCGACACCTCTTTGCACATCCAGAGTCGAGTCGAGCCCTGTCCGGCACACGACATACGACCGTCGACGAGTGTTTACGAAAGACCCATTGTATCTTGGATATCTCTTTTCGCCCAGTCTTATCGCTAGAACGACGACCCTCCACCTTGTCTGCTCTTTCGACCAGGATTTGCAGCAGTCCCTGTCCGACACCCCTCTTGCCCTCCCAGATATACATACGACATCGCTATCTACTACTTCATCGCTACGCCGACTTGTTGGTCGCCTTCCGAAACTACCTCTCCGATCCCTGTTTGCGCCACAGAGACAGGCATACCCGGATTTTCGCTGTGCCCGCCTGTCTCAGTGCGCCAATCTCAACCCGCTCCTTGCGCCTCACTGCCCCCGATGCAAGGGCAATCACTTCTCTTAGTACACCCATAGACCATTCTTCCGACACCTAAACAATGGCTCAAGTCGCCGCACAACACCAACCCCACAGCTCACGCGCTTCGCCCGCCTCTGTCCACGAACACCGCGACGATGCTCCATTGCCTGCCGCCCCACCTCCGCCGCCCAACAACGGTCCTGTCGGAAAGAAGTCCAAAGCAAAGAAAGGTGCCGCCGATACGAATGACGCACACAAACAGCTCCAGGCAAAGATTGCCCAGCTAGAACAAGATGCCACCGGAAGGGCTGAAGAAGATGCGGAAATTGGTGTGTCATCGACCTTTGCTGGCTATCGCATGGGCCTATACTGACAATGACAGACCGGGAAGTAAAGAAGGCCAACCGCGATCTCCAAAATCTCCTTCAGTCCATGGATGGTCCGATAAGCAAGATGGAAACCGTGCAACGAAAGTATTCGGAACTTCTAGCAGAGATGAAACGGACCGAACGAGAGCATATCAAAGCGAAGAAGCGAGGCGATCAATTGCAGAAAGACAAAGACACGCAAAGGTCGGAGCTTACGAAAGCCAATTCGATGAAGGAGAAGCTGGAGAAGCTCAGTCGTGAACTGACCAAGGAAAACAAGAAACTCAAGGTGCGCTTTTGCTGGATCTTGTCAGAGTGATACGGTTATTGATTGCGGATGCAGGAGGATCTCCGCGAGATGAAGGAAAGCGCGGCAGACAAGAACGAAGAGCTGCACCGCCGTCTCGAACGGATGGTAGGCGATGTTGAGCAAGTCATAACCGACCGCAAGCTTCCAGATCGACCAACCGGCGAGCTCGAAGAAGACAAGCTGTATGTTTGTTGCACTGCGCTTCTCAACTCCAACTCACACAAGTCACAGCTTCCGAGAAAAGTTCAAATCCTTCGTCGAACAATACGAAATGCGCGAAATCCAGTTCCACTCGCTTCTCCGATCAAAGGATCTCGAAATCCAGTACCATCTCGCCCGACAAGAGCAGCTACGCAAACAACAGGATGCAGAATTGAGCAAGTCGCATCAGTTGACCCGTCAGGTATCTACCTTTTCCCAAACAGAGAATGAACTGCGCAGTCAGCTGAATATTTATGTGGAGAAGTTTAAGCAGGTGAGACTTTCTTCCAAACATGCTGCCCCCGTCCATGTCTTTATTCAAAAAGTCCCCGTCCATCTCTGAAAGAGAGCCCCCGTCCGTCTCTGCTACCAAGAGTACAACCGCTTTCGCCCATTCGAACAATTTCCTCCCCACTTTCCAACTTAGGCAGTGCCATCTCACTCACTGACCGCATTAGCAGGTCGAAGACACCCTCAACAACAGCAACGACCTGTTCCTGACGTTCCGTAAAGAGATGGAAGAAATGAGCAAGAAGTCCAAGCGACTGGAAAAGGAGAACATGCAGTTGACGCGCAAGCAAGAGGCCACCAACAAGAACATCTTCCAGATGGCCGAGGAACGCTCGCAATCACAGTCAACCATCGATCGTCTACATAAGGAGAACGAGAAGCTTAAGAAGCTGTGTCGCGCCATGCAGACTAATGGTTACGGACGCGCCGACATGGTCAACGCCGCCCCTGGAGCACCGAATCCAGCACACCACCCCGACGAGGAAGACGAAGAAGACGACCTTGCCGAGACAGATTCCGAATACGATGAGTATGACGAGGATGAGGAGGGCAGCGTCGAGGCTGAATACGACGACGACACCGAGGACGAAGCCGTGGATCAACGACCTCGCACATACGGCCCGGTGCCGCCACCCCCTCCACCACCGCCAACAGGCGACCTAGCCAATGGTGGGAATGGCAAGGCCCGACAGCACCAACAGCCAGTGAATGGTGTGAAGCATTAAGAACAAAAGAGAAAAAAAGCCAAACAATGACTTTGCATCCAATTTGTGGAATCTACTACTACTACTATTATGTCGCGACGTTCTTGTTCGAACATTCTTGTTTTGTCCCTCATATGTGAGAGAACAATCACCTTACTTATATCCACGAAAGTTGCGATAAACCTTTCTCCATTTCTGTTTCTCTCCTTACGCCTCTCTCTCTCTCTCTTGAACACATTCTCCCATACCCCTACACAATCCCACAAAGCGTGAGGCAGATACACTATCAGGCGTCAACCAACACAATCTCCATTGTTGGTATCCGACGAGACAACCGCGCAAGATCAATAATTTCGTTCTTCCTCTCCCCTCGTCTTTCCTGCCTTCCGTCACTTTGCGATCCCTGACGCTCGTCGTCCTGTTGGTCCTAGTGTGAAAGTGTGGGTTGGATGAGAATGAGGGCTCGAAAAGCTCTGGCTATTACAGACCCGCCTGTATTTGAGTATCGCACTGGCGGACTAAGTTTCAGAGTACATTTTTGAGCATTGATGAATGGTAGATCATACTGTTGGAATAGATTATGGGATTATGGGGCCTTTTATACTTGAAAAGTATATGACGGGTTGCCGAAAGCGTCTTGGGGACAAAGACTCCTGGACAGGCTGTTTGCGGACTTTCAGTCATCTCTGTTGATGTATACATACTGGACCTGCCTTGTCTAATGACTATGCTTTCTATATGATTACTTTGCCAATTATTCCCAGATGTGTCATGCCTGAAGTGTGTACATCTTTTTCGAGATTGCTGTTCTAGGTATGACTTCGCTTTACTGATCAAATAGCTATCATTATTGGAATGAACCCGACTAAACCCATAAAACTGCTTCGACTAACAAAGTCTGCACATTACTTTCGATGCCATTTGTAAGTAGTCTCTAGACCGCCCGTGATTATACGTTCTGTGTAACTCTAGCGTTGCTACGCAGTGCTCGACTGGAAAGCATCCGTCCTAGAGTCAAGGTTGACCGAATTCATCATGACCTGCTTGGCTCATCTGCAGTGTGGGATATATGGATCCTTTTCAGACCCAAAAACATCACAATTACTACGGTGGTGTAGCGGTAACATTCTTCCCTTCCATTGCTTCACAGCGAGGATGAGCTCAGGGTTCGACTCCCTGTCGTAGTATCACTTCTTTTTGCACTTTTGAACCCACCATTGTGATCCTCTCGATGCGCTGGATTTGATTCTGCAACAATTGATTTTTTTGGTCGAGTATTGGATTTTATTTTGAGGTTCTTGTTTTTCTAGAGCATGCACTGGAGGGGACGACTAGTGAGTTGGGTGAATAATCGTGATTGTTTGCAACGACAAAGAACTCGCTGCTAGGCTCCATGCAACAAAGAACATCAAGGACAGGGTCGCAGAATGAGATGTCGCGACGAGCTCGGGATCGACCGGGAGATCCAAGGCAGGCAGTCTGTGCGGCATAAGGCTGGGGAGGATTTGGGGTACGTCACTGGCGATGACGCTCGAAGTGTGTGGGTGAGCTCAATCTTCTCCTGGATGCTGGGAAGCTCAATCGATTTGGTTCCTCATTTTCATCTAGCTATACTTTCAAGATGTCTTTGAACCCGGAGCCCGCCGATCCGCAAGAGCGACAGGAATCTCACCTTCCTCCCAAGTCTTTCGCTGACGCCGCCCACGAAGCTCTAGGAGAGCATGAACAAAATGGCGGAGATTCATTCAACGAGGAGTCGATTAAGGAAACACCCCCGACGAGGAAGCTTTCGAGAAAAGGCAGCATTGAGCCCCGACCACTTCAAGAGATGCTAGACGAAGAAGAGAGACAACCATCTCTACCATCCACACCAATTCAACCTCGCCGTACACGGTCCCAAAAAGAGCAAAAGCAGGAGAAATCCTGGGCAGATATGGCAGAGGAAGGAGTCAACACCAATGCGCACCCTGTCATTGATCTCCATGCAGGTGAAGCCAATGGCGACAGCCAGGAGTTTACTGGAGAAGGGCGCAACGACTCGCCCAAGAGCCCAGCTCAAATGCACCGTCCTCACAAGCGCACATCTTCCAAGTCAATGAGCCCAAAGAAGACCGTCTCGGAAGGCACAGACGGTCAGCAACAGAAGCTCGTATACGAAAAGTTCGAGAGTCCCGACGGCAAGCAATTGACCAGTGTCAAGCCTGATGATTCATACGAAGAGGAATTGAGAACAGATGAGAAGGAAGCGCCCAAGCAAAAAGAACAGCAGGTCAGGGACTCAAAAGGCGAGCTCGTCAGTGGAAGAAGAGCTGGAGCAGGCTGGGAAACTTCGGCGTATGTCCTCCCGCACACCCTCAACAGTCTGACATTGCTAATACATGTCTCAGCATAAGATGGGCACCCCTCAACGTTCCTCTCCAGCGTAGATTGCAGACAGGAATGGTCCTGGTTCACACCTTGAGCATCGCTCTTTTCCTTGCCGCCTTTTTCGTCCTCTGCGCCATTCCGGTGCTGTGGCCCTTGTTGCTTCCTTACCTTCTCTACGTCCTGTTCTCCAAGGCCGGCACCTCGGGCTCGCTCAAGTACCGCTCGGAATGGCTGCGCCGTCTTCCAGTCTGGTCTCTCTTCGCTTCATACTTCCCTGCTCGCCTTCACCGTTCGCAAGAGCTGCCTGCAACCCGCAAGTACGTCTTTGGCTATCATCCACACGGTATTATCAGCCACGGTGCCTTTGTCGCCTTCGCGACCGAAGCTCTCGGCTTTTCTCAGCTGTTCCCCGGCATCACCAACACTCTCTTGACCTTGGACTCGAACTTCCGCATCCCCCTGTATCGCGACTACGCTCTGCGCCTGGGCCTGGCCTCGGTTTCTCGCGAGAGTTGCGAGAACATTCTCTCCAAGGGTGGCCCCAACGGAGAAGGTATGGGTCGCGCCATCACCATCGTTGTTGGCGGTGCTCGCGAATCGCTGGATGCTCAGCCCAACAGCCTTCGTCTTGTGCTCGCTCGTCGCAAGGGTTTCGTCAAGCTCGCCATTCGCACTGGTGCTGATCTCGTTCCCGTACTAGCGTTTGGCGAGAATGAACTCTACGAGCAGTTCGATCCTCAAGCACATCCCACCATCCACAAGTTCCAGCTGTTGGTCAAGAAGGCTCTAGGTTTCACAGTTCCGCTTTTCCACGCTCGCGGCGTTTTCAACTACGATGTTGGTATGATGCCTTACCGACGTCCGCTCAACATCGTCGCTGGCCGACCTATCATGGTGCGCAAACAGGAGCGTCCTGACTCCAAGTATGTGGATGAGATCCATGCGCAATATGTCGATGAGCTCAAGCGCATTTGGGACGAGTGGAAGGACATTTTCGCCAAGCACCGCGATGGTGATCTCGAGATTGTCGAGTAAACCCTTTCTTTCATCATGACTTTCTTCATGCACTTTTTGTGCTCTAATGCTTATGGGGAAGTTTGTTGTAGCCTTACTTCCATATTGTATTTTAGAAATTGACACCATAGCTTCTTGACGAATCATGCTCAATTTTTCTCCGGTTCTTGAGTTGCCTTCACTCGTGGCTCTTCTGCAACACAGTTTCTTGACAGCATCATAACAGAGAATCATAGATCTGCCAACACCCAGCTCACTTCGTACAGCTACAGCTTTCCTCTCACAACGTCGCATTCACGACCGCATTGATGAAACTGCACTGGATTAACGCTCTCCCTAGCCCTCGCCGTCGCCATAGAAAACCTCTTGACGAGCGACAGATCTTCCCCTTCTTGAGATTGCCCCTGGAACTACGCATTCTCATCTACCAATATGCAATCGCCGATCAAGAGTACGACATCGGTCATCGACATCTTCCGTCCCTCCTGCGCACCAACCTCCAGATTACACGCGAGATCTACCAAATCTGTCCTATCGTCGCAATATATGAGCTCATCATTCCGGACCTCACCGATTCGAAGTACATACCACGACGACTCTACCTCAAATACCCAGGTCTAGTCACGCCCACGCAATATTGTCATTGGATGGCCATGTGCTTTCGCCTGTCAAGGGCGGATTTCAGAGCAAAGGCGTTCGACTGGTTTCACGGGAGGAAAGGATTGACGGCAAAAGTTCAGACGCAGTGCTCACTATGTTTTCATTATAGCACATCGGGTGGATTCCGTGGATACCCCAGATGTTGGTATTGTACCTTTTACGTCGAGCACATTATGCGGCACGAGAAGAAGACGCAAAAGAAACTTTTGGTGAAGTTCTGCTGAGTGGGACGCAAAGACGGGGTCCGCAAGACATCTGATTAGATACCGTCGCTATGCACAAAGTTGATGGGGAAAATGTCCATGTCCATTGAGAGTCGTGTTCTGCAAATTTCGATCCTGGTCCGCGAATAGAATTTTGGTTGGTCTGAAAACCAGGAGAAGCAGAACACGTTCCCCTTCTTCGATTCACCTCTAGAACTTCAGAATTTGGGTTACCGCCTTGTAATCTCGGAAGAAGAGCACAAATTACCCGAACTCCTCCTGCCTTACCTCAGTATCGTCTATCCGCTCTCTTCGGCACGACAATTCAGATTACACGAGAGATCTACCGATTCTACCACATCACAGCAGTAATCGACGTCAAGATTCCGCATCTTCAGCCTCGATGGTGTTGGAGTTTTGCTGCATGGATCCAACTAATCACCATACTTACCTGAATGCTTGAAGGCAATACAAGGATATGGTACTTTGAGAGCATCAGGGCCAGAAGAGGGTTGGTTATGAAGTTGACAGTGCGGTGTGGGCACCGTGAGGAGTGCAGAGAAGTGAGTGGGAACCGTGTTTCTTCGGAGAACCTCGTGGTGCTCAGTTCTGCGTGTTGGAGGGTACTTGATAGAAAGGTCTTATTTGAGATTTGTTAGATTTGAGAGAGTTTCGATGGCCGGGCTCTTGGGTACTTTGCTTTTAGTTGTCGTAGACAGGTAGTTACTGTCGTAGTTCAAGAAATTGGATGGTTGAGCTCGTATCTGTTGAGAGCAGTCTTCGATCGATTTGAGCTTTGAGAATTGCCATGCGTGGCCGGCTCAAAACGACTGTGGTACATATTTTGGGGTTTTTTGAGCTACGTCATCGATCTAATCATATCTTAGAATCATGTCGCAGTGGTGTAATGGTTAGCATTAGCGCCTTCCAAGCGCTAGACCCTGGTTCGATTCCTGGCTGCGACATCCTTTTTGTGCTCTGCGCTTTGAAATGCGCTTATTTCCAGCCAATTCGGACGACTTTTCGTCGAGAAATGTCGAGTCCAATTTTTTTTTTTGGTCCCCCCTAGTGCGAGGCTTCAGCGTCACGAGAGCTGGTGTGTGGGTAGAGTATATGCGTACGCTCACTGACCTCTGGTCGAATTGGCGCAGTTTTGGTCGAGTCATCTCGAGTCCAGATGTTTTGCTTGTGAGTATCGAAGCTGCGCCATCATTGAGTCTGAAGCCTCGCGACTCGGATCCTGCATGCGTGGTTCGCGAGAATCTGGCCATCTAGCGACGCACCGTCGAGTTTCTACCGCATGTCTGTGGATCTGAAGGACGACATCATTGCCATAGCTTTCCAGACTCTGGTAATCAGACTGACCCTCCCCGTGTGCTGAATTCTGTCACACCATCAACTCTGATGCCGTAGCGATGCACACTGAGATACATATCTGAATGCATGATACTTTTGAGTGCGACCGCGTCGTCCACAGAGACCAACCCCCTAAAGCACTCTCTTTGGACCTAGCATCGACTTCAAGAACAACTGTGCATCTCTGACCCGAGGCATCAAGGACATCTGGATGCAATGCTCGTTATTCAACTCAAATCGACGCAAGGCACCAGCGCTACTACTTTCCGCACCAAGTGAGTCAGCGAAATAACAGGAACTCCTTCACTTTTCAGTTGCTTTCGCAACCGATCACTTCCTAATCTCGAACATGAGATAACACCACCTCTCGCATGCATTTTCAGCAACAATACCTCTACTGCCAGCAGCCAGCAAAAGTCATACAAGAGCATCTATACCAACCAATTCCCAGAATCATGGAGAACATCAACAACTTTGTGATTCAGCCAACCGAGGCACACACGCACACCATCATAATACTTCACGGCCGCGACAGTGTCGCTTCCGAATTTGCAGGAGAGTTGTTTGAAAGCCAAGCGTCGGACGCACGCACACTACCAGAAATCTATCCCGGCTTTAGATGGGTCTTTCCAAACTCCAGTATGCTCAGGTCAAAGCGCTTCGACACGGAGATGTCACAGTGGTTCGATATGTGGAGTACGGAACATCCGCATGACAAAGAAGAGATGAGCAGAGCAGGCATCGAGACGGCAGTGGCTAGAATGACGGATCTAGTCAAACAGGAGTCGAAAGCAGTTTCTCTTGATCACATCTTCCTGGGAGGCATCAGTCAAGGGTCGGCAGTCAGCATTCACACTTTGCTTCGTAGTGAGCTGCAGGTTGGTGGATACATGGGATTTTGCACCTGGTTACCTTTCCATGACGAGATCCAGCACCAGACGACAACCATCAAGACACCAATCTTCCTGGCACACAACAAAGATGACGAGGTCATCTCCGTGGAGAATGGAGAACAAATGCGGGAGACTCTACAGCATATCGGGTTGGAGGTGACATGGCGAGAGTATGAGGAAGGTGGTCACTGGTTCAACGAACCAAAAGGCATCGACGATGTTGTTGCGTTTCTCGCACGCTGTGGTGTCTCGAGCAGAAACCGAAGTGCAACAGCATCGCAATCGACGGGGTAGTGAAGTGGGAGGAAGGCACCATTTCTGACTCCATATCCTGTCAGTATCACCTTCTACATCTTTTAATACTCTGACACGCGTGAAGTTCGAAAAGTGATGCTCGTCTGTTGGAATCTCGTGACTTGTACGTTTGCTCCTGCCGTATTGATGTAAGTTCCTTCTGTGCTGCTTGAAAATGCCTCTGCCTTTGGGTTTTCGATATATTCTCCATCACAACCACAAGCTTTAACCTCTTGTCTCATTAATACATCAGACTCCATATTCGATTTCCATGCACTAGAGTTGTGTCAGTCACCCTTTCAAACGTCACCTCTCAACGTCATCTCGTCGTCGGAGGCTGGTTCATCGAAAGCCATCAACCAAGGGTCAACCGGAGACTCTCAACACTCAATCTACCTACCTGAAATTTCTGTCGAGCTGCAGAAATTCTCGATGCTCGTCTTTGACAGCACAACGCCGGTGGGACCTCGAACCGTGACTCCCCCGGACTGACCCGGGGATCTCGTATGTTTTCAGAGATGCATTCAGTCAAGCGACACTTTGCGGCTCAAGCTGTCAACCGAATACGACAGAAGTCTACTGGAAGCTGCTTGAAGCTCACCAATAAGCCGTCCTCAAGGCGCCTGCAAACCATCTTCAAGCCAACCTCAAGCCAAACCACTGCCACTGATACCTGTTTCCAGTCATTCACCACCTGCTGTCAAATTCGTACCCGTTCCCATCATCCAGTATCTAGCCTATTTGGGACGTCCTCGTCGTTTGTACGCATTCGGCCACGCTGCCAAAGAAACTCGAGACGTGTCTCGATGGAGTAGAACAAGAAGCGAGAAGGAAACAATAGGCATCGATGAATCAACCGACTCCACTTCTCGAAGGTCGATATCGCTGATCTCCCGTTTCCAGAAGGAGAACAACTCGTATTTGAAGGATCCTTCGCGTCGCCTTATATCGCAGTGGATGTCAGACAACAGAAAGCGTAGCCGGACACCTGCCATCTTGGGGTATCAGATTTCCTCAGTGGCACGCATCTATACGATACGTGCGGAATCACTATCCCAAAAACCAGAAGAAACGTCTTTGCATGAGAGAAATCTCTGTGGCTGATGGCCGAGGGAGGTATAGGCGATGCCACTCACTTGCGATACGGCCTTTCTCTGGAAGTTTAGACGGTACCTGCAGCTTTTTGCGAGATTGCTGAAGCCATCGCAACGTAGATGCATGAATTTCTGGACTCTGCCGACGACATCCGCGGAGGCTCTTCCACGTGTATACCATCTGACGGGAGCGTCACAAGATGCAAAGGCACTTCTGTCGGCACATTCATCAAATCGTGTGACCATCCGACCATACGACCTGCGATTGCGGAGATGTCAACTTCACTCGTCGGTAGATAGGACAGAGGGTTATGTCAACCCTAGGGTTGAGGCCCCATGATTTGACGACACACTTCCATAGCTCAAAACTCAACTCCTATACCACACCACCAGATACCAACAGTCAGCCAAATACAAGTTCCTAATGCAGAACTTCAGGTTAGACCGAAAACCACACCCGCAAGCTTCTGAGCACACCTACCAAGCATCGAGCAACGGGGCGAGGTTACCAAATTATGAACTTCTCGTATCTGACAACGGGTGGGTAAGAGTTGCGTGCTCAACAGTGCAAAAGTGTAAAAGTCATGTTGAAAAAAGGAGGGGGGGAGACCAACTAACAAATCAAGGTCAGAGTTAAAGTGTGTTCGTATTTGGAAAAGAAGATTGGGTGTTGGAAGTTTAGCTGTCACGCACGGCTAATTTTGTAACCTTTTGGTAGAGATATGCTTTTAGGGTTTTGTGTGTAACCAAGGAACTTTATTCAAATATCTATTCCAACGTCGGATGGTCGATTCACAGAGCATGCGGGGCTCTAAATGTTTTGGCAGAAGGCATCGGAACTGCATTTCGCGCGACAAATAAAATTATTGGTTGAATGATCGTCCTTTTTCCAGATTTTCCAGAAATGTTCGAGAAGACAAGAGACATATTGAAAGGAAGAAGGATGGAAATGGAAGGAATAGGCTCGTTTTTGCTTTGTAAAGATATGATTGACTTTTGGGTATAGGGTGTAAGGATCTAAATCTAGTATCTAACAAAGATGGATGGCGATAGCCAATGAATATGAAAACACAACCGATCGCTAAAAATGCCCAACAGAGATGATGAGAAGAAAGACAAGAAATAATTAGCGTATAAGGCCTGAACTCGTGAAAAAGACCGAGATAGACGGTACGCGAGCCGTGGAATGGAACATGCAGGATGAAGCGAAGTGATGCAGGAAGCGAAAGATGCAGACTGGAAGATGCAATCTATGCGGTGTCGAAGGTCTTGACTCTGCAGTGGCGCAGCTTGTCGAGGACAGTGAAGTCAACACCATGTTGTCTTGTGCAGACGGCGACGGCATCGAACTCGAGATCCAAGCGGCCAGGGTGGAAGCCAGCGTGGTCAAGCTTCTCGAGCCATGGTACTTGTGATTGCTCAACAAGAGGGTCGTGGAAGACGAGGCGCGAGCAGCCAAGACGCTGAAGCTCAGTTGCGAAAGCAAGGCCGGGAGAGTAGCTGAGGACACTCTGGCCAGGCTTGAAGCCAATACCGACGACAAGAATGCGAGGACCGGTAGGGCAGGCAGCACGAGCAGCGCAGCGACGGTGAAGCTTCTTGGCAAGAGCAGCAGGGCGGTTGCGCATGAGCTTTGTGGCACGCTTGAGGACGGGGAGGTTGGGGTTGTTGGAGAAGAGGTAGAAGGGGTTGACAGGGATGCAGTGACCGCCAACACCGAGACCGGGGCGGAAAGCCTGGTAGCCATAGGGTTTTGTTGCGGCGGCGTCAATCATCTCGTTGGGGTCAATACCGTGAGCACGGGCTGCATCGGCCATCTCATTGACATAGGCAATGTTGACCATGCGGTAACAGTTCTCGAACAGCTTGGTCATTTCGGCAACCTCAGGCTTGCTGACGGGTACTACTTGGTCGAAGACGCGAGCGTACAGCTTGTGAATGACAGAGTTGGATGCAGGAGTGAGTGCGGAGATGATCTTGGGGATCTGCTGGGCAGTGGGGAAGGTGCGACCAGGGTCAACACGCTCTGGAGACATGCCACAGTGGAGGATGTTTTGGTAAGGGCCAAGAATCTGGCGGGTGGTGCCAACTTGGACACTGCTCTCAATGACAATGGTGTTGCCAGGCTGAACGTGCTTCAGAACCATGGCCAATGCACTGATGAGATGGCTCAGGTCGACAGTGTTATCAGCCTTGAGAAGAGTAGGGACCGAGATGAGATAGGCGGTAGCTCTGTCCAAAAAGGACTCATCGTTGGTAAGAGTCACATTGGGCATGTGACCAAAAATAGGCTGCAGTTGCGCGAGGCGCTGGACTGAGATGTCGAAGCCAATTGATTGGTAGCAAGTACCAAATGATCTGAGAAGGTGCTCGCCGACATAGCCAACTCCGACGACGCAGACCACATGGTCATGGTGGGCCAGGGTGAGATCGAAGCTGTCGTTGCGCTGCATGGTCGAGAAGCTGTTGTTGCGTGACATGGCTGATAGGTGTTGTGCCGAAGGTGATTAAGGTTGTATTGGATGATTATGATTAGGTATTATAACGAGTGAAGAAGGATATTAGTCGAGAGCCAAGGATATGAGATAATCGAAAACCGCCAGGATCTTCGTTGCCCGGTGCACAAGAAATGAGATGATGATGGAGAAGTGGGACAACGAAGATCTCTCGAGATACTTATACCAGGTGTCCCAGCGAGAATGAATTTTCGATATAGGTCAACGGATAGGCCCCGCCACGCTTCTCGGGAAGGGTTTGGCGATAGATGGAATCTAGCGAAAAGAAAGATCGATAGTCAAGTTTCAGCGGTCTTGTAGAGAAACCCCCATAGAGTTCCTTGTAGGATGCTGTCCGCGCTCCAGATACTGAAACCGTTGTGAAGAAAGAGGTACCCGCCCCTCGGTCCGCTTACAGTTGACAGGAATGGTGCGTTTGTGTCACCGAGACTCGATGGCCATGACTTCGAGGCATGTCGCCGTTGACCATAGCACGCGAGTCTGTCTGTCAATTCCAACGGCGTAGCGACTCAGACGTCTTGGTGGAGGCTTGAAAGCAAGGACCTTTCCAGGCCTTTTACCGAACCACTCTGGCGGTGCTTCTCTTCAGAGACAAGTAAATCAATATAGTGCTCCAGATCGAGACGATCCTGTGTTTCCATGACCAGGCCAGGATGTGATTTACAACAGAGTGGGAATTGAGTCAGAACCTGTCGATCGTGGGAGTGCATGCATGTGTACATGTCCCGAGCCGGGATCATATCAGCGCACACAACGGTGGTCCATTGTAACTGGCGGTTGCTGGTGAGCGTATGGTATAGCTCCTGTACGCAAGTACTGCCGATGGCCATGGGCGGCATGACTGACGTCTTCTGATGCCGCGGACAATCTCACGTGTGTGTATAGCAGTTAGTGCTAACGGTAAGAACTAGTGGCTTACAACCCGCAGTGCCGGATGTGATTCAACGGCTCGCCTACTATTACAACGTCGTGAACGTGAGGGCAAAGGATGCGAGATGTCGTGGCCAGTCACGGGAGATCTGCAGCTCGGGAGGGCAAACTCTGAATTCTGCCCTGTCTTTCTGAAATCGTGGTCAACGCCCGGCAGGACAGAAAACACAATCAACGACTCTGCAACAAAATGCATTGTGTCAAGAGTGTTATAAAGAACACACATCCCCAGCGAGCCATTGACTTCTCAAGGATAGAGATAAGAATAAGCGTCTGTCTTGGGAACAAGGTGAGGCGTCTTGAGGGCCATGCTTGGGCGTATATTTTTTAGACCCTTACGGTTGATGGCTTGTCAACGCTCATGTGTGGCGATGTTGCTTATTCTCTCAAAGCACAGCAAAACAACGGTCAGGATAATTAGCCGCTGCTCGCCGTGCGACGCAGACTCACGTTCAGGCGAGTCATAACTGTGAAGGGATGGATGATCTCCAAAGTGATGGGCGGACAGATATGCGGGCTGAAGGCAAGTACCCGTAGCATCAGGCCAAGGCAGAGCCACGAGGTGAGCTCTGGAAAAGTCGATTCTCCTCACGTGGAGAGAGTGTGGGAAAAAGCTTGGCATTTTGGAGAAACGGCCCGAGGCGAGCCTGGCGACTCGATGTCGGCATCTTACGGAGCCTAGGTAACTTTTGCATCATTATTATTGAGAACCGTTTGCACCTCGCAGCAGCATCTGTATGAGGCCAAATTTCCTCCGCTTATTCCTGTACTAGGACCTCTGTGTCTAGAGCGGCTACCGGAGCCTGCCGCCGAAGTCATGCCCTTGCCGGATACCGTTGAGGACACCTCGACTCTTTGTGGTGACCTATTGTGGTCCCTCGACTGTACTTGTCTCTCGATGCTCAATATCAGAAACGTTGCGGATGCCTCGGTCGCTTACACTCTCCATGCTTAATCACCTAAAGCATCTTTTTTGAGCCGCAAGCCATTCAATTCGTTGTGTAGGAACTGTTTAGGGGTTTTGGTGGCTTTTTTGCTTACCATTCTTGTACCTTTGTCTTACCAAAGTATGAATAGTCTCTAACTCTCCATATCTGCCATCCCTTTGGACAGTACTTTGGTGGAGCAAAAAACTGGTTGGCTGGTCTTCAGCGCGTGTAATGGCGGACCGCACTGACAGTTTGTGCATTGGTTATGAACCTTCAATATATGGCCGAACTGGTGTCAAATGTTAGCATACCATAGGAGTTTCCTCTGTAAGCCATACCTGTCGGTCTCTTCTTGTGGTTCGTGAGGCGTTCGTTATACGAAGCTGCATCGCCTGATTCGGAATAAGATGCCTGTAGTCGTTCGTCAAGTCATGTGTTGAACGATCGATTCACTGGTAGCATAGAGGATAGCTTGGCAACACATACCTCTGGTCCATGTGTCCTTTTGGAAGATCCGAGGAAGGTAAGCCCGATGCGGTAGTCCTGAATTCTGGAGGAGCTATCTGTCTTTGACAGTGCTAATGTCGAATGCATGGTACCTTTGGTCCAGCCCCAGCCTTGTGATTTGTCTCGAAGACTTATGTTGATCTGGTCGCGACCTCCGTAGCGCAAAGGACATTTTCAGCCAAGGATCGTCATATGAGAGACCCCTTGATGCTCGACACCAGCTCAGGACCCTTGAGTGAGACCACGTGTGATCCTTCGTCTCGCCTCTAGTACCGACAGCCAGGACGATCCGGCGATGGCGAGAGCCGACCAATACACTAGGACTGGTGATTCTTAGACAACCATTCCACGCGTTTGCTCCCCAGTCTCCAAGACCTGTCATATTTGGCATAAGGTGTTTGGCCGTGTACAGAAAGGAATCCGCAACCGAGACGTTATATCAATGCCAGCCTAACCGATAGAAGTGCTCTGTGTATCGCCATTACTATCAGTATGGAGAATGAAAAGTCGATGTTCGATACGCCGTTTGAGCCTGACACTCAAAAAGACTGCATGCGACACTGCTTTTCCACAACTGACTCATTGTGTGTATTCAGCGGCGATCAGGTACCTTGAAGATACAATGTCGTACATCATAGCTGTTTTCAGCATGACAGTCCAGGGACAGGGTGAAGTCGCTGTTCTAGACTTCGTTTTGCAATCCTGCAACGGCAACGTTGATTAGCATGAGGCTTTTAACAGCGAGGCAAGTGATGGCGAGAAACAGTGATTTTTCGTTTCGATCGACCTAGATAAGGCATGCTTGCAAGCGAGGTTGTGTAGTAAAATCACCTAGAAGACCTTGTCGGGACGAATCGAGGACACCTAGAGGTCAGCGGTTTGGCAGTTGAGACTGCTTCCGGAGCGACCTCGTACATCGTAGCCTTGAAATCCTTCTGCTCTTGCTTTGCCTTCATTTGTACAGACGCCAATAGCAGAGCATGATTCAGCACCTCCGTGGATCAGACATAGGGACGCGACGTGGACTTGCGCTTCTTAACGTTGATTTTTAATTGTTGTTATAAAGTGTAAAAGCAAAGAAGGATAGAGGAACGGAAGCGCCGCACTACCGTAATTGCTTCGTTCGCTAAAACGTAGCACATACACTACGAAGGAGATAACGCGCTAGCTAAACTACTTAAATAAGTAAAAGCTTTTTAAGAATAAGAAGAAGGTATAGATAGAGAAAGTAAGGTATATAAATATTAAAGTAAAGAAAGAATCTAGCTTCGACGTAAAGTTAACTATAGAATAATAGGTCTTACTAGATAAGTGCCTAGAAGATATTAAGAAATAGCTATAAGAATATATACTACTATATTATAGTAGTAGCGTAGTAGTAACGTAGTAGTAGCTAACTATTTCTAGGATAAGATTATAGATAGAAAGCCTATCTACCCTTACTACTTCTTCTTAGTCTACGAGCGTACTATATAGCGTAATAGAGCTTACTAGAACTTTAAGTCTAACCTCTTCTACTCTAATAATAGCTAAATTATCTACCCTAGTCCTACTAGTTAGTAGTATTTACGCTATAACTTTAAGAAGTATAATTAGATCCTTCTCTCTAAGGAGGTATATAGTAGCGCTCGTACTACCTATAAATTAGTTATTCTAGGTCCTTAGCCTAGTCCTATCTCTACCTATAACGAGTTAAATAGTATAGTAGAGAGTAGTAAGCTACTAATAGTTTAGCCTAAAATAGCTAGACTACCTAAGCTAGGTTTAGCCCTAGTAAGTAACTATATACGTTAGTTTACTACTAGACGCCTTTAGTATAAGAAGGGTTTATTTCTACCTCTTCTTACTACTATATACGTAGAGAGGAAGCGTATATAGAACTCTACTAAGCTCCCTAAGCGCGTCTAGACCTATAACCGTAAAGAAGGATTCTTCTAAGGCTACTACTACTATATAGCGCTACTACTATAGCTACTACTACTACGTAGATAAGCACTAGTTAATAAGGACTCTACTTAGTTATTATATAGAGTATAAATCTATCTTATTTCTTCTCTTATTTCTACTTCTATATTTATACCTTTCTATTATACTACCTTCTACCTTTCTAGCCCTAGGGTCTTAGGATATACCTAATAGCCCTAGCCTACGTTAGTCGCCCTATAATTATGTATACTAAGTATAGGAGAGCGTTATATTAAATTAAAACACTATACTACTATCTCCTATACTATATATACCTAGATCTACGTTACTACTAAGCCCTACGCTATTTATATAGGTCTCTACTATTACTAACTTTACTAGTACTAAGGTATCTAATAGTATAATACTCTATATATATAGTAGAGACTATATAAAGTAGTATAAGGTATAGTAGCGTACTACTACCTACTACTAAGTAAGTTTAAGTATTATCTAGAAGCGACGTCGTAAAATCCTAAAGTCCGATATTGTGCTACGGTGCTATGCGTTGCTACGCTTACTATAGGTTGCTATAGCACGGACCTCTATACTATAGCCCTTCTCTATCGTCGCTAAGGCCCGCCTCGCTACGCTACGCTTACTACTAGCGTTGCTAGTAGCCGTTAGAAGAGCACCCCCTACGTCGCTAAGTCTCTAAGAGTGCTCTTTTATTACCTTCGCTACTAGCCCTTCTAGTGGTCGCTATAATATCCTCCCTCTTATATCCTACTATATTATTAGCATTAATTCA